ATCCCATGGGCAGGGTGACGAGTCGGTGGGCGCCGAATGGGGTCTGGAACGTGGTGAAGTCGCGAGATGATTCGGCGAGCCCTCGTTCGTCATAGCCGACATAGAGATCCAGAATGCCGCCACAAGCGCGAGCTGCAAACTGTTCAGCGATCTGATCGGTATATGGGGGCACACCTGAATGCTGGATGGTGACGGCGTTCAAGGGTTCGAGGCTGTGAACGATTCGGAGTTTGGTGCCAGTGGAGGTGCTATTCGTCTTCTTGACGACTGTAAACCAGCGCGATCGGTAGGACGAATTCGACGGCTCATAGACTCCAGCGGCGATCTTGGTTTTGATAAGTCGGCACACTTCGTCGTAGATGCCTGGTGGAATCGGAATGTTGCGTTGAACCCAGGGCTTGTGTTCGACCACCGGCATATTGACTGGAGGAAAGAAATCCTCGCGGAAACGTCCGCGTTCCGAATCGTCCCAGGCAAATCCCATCTCTTGTAGACACATGAAATGGTGCATGAGCTGTCGTTCGGCCGGCCAAAGGAAGTCGTCCGAGTGGACTTTGTCGATGAGGTCGCGTCGTTCGGCTGTGTATCTGCCGGTCGGCGTGAAGGGTGGGGGGTTCGGTGTCAGCGTCGGAAGGGCAGCGAGAGGGTCACCGAGGATGTTCCGAACGATTCGGAACTGTTCGGGGAGGTCGGCCAAGACTGGTCGTGTTTTCTGTGCGACCGGTTTGTACTTGCGCTTGGCGGCGAAAATGGCGACCGGGTCGGCGATATTAGTGGAATGGAGAGAACCGGGAACGAATGAGGAGAATAAGGACAACATATCGGAATCGAGATTGTTTTTGAGATGATTTTCGGGCCCCAAATCGGAGGCCATAATGTACTTGAGACAGAGATCGCGATGAGAGGGAAATGGAGAATGGAAATCTGAGGACGCTTCGATAAGTGGGAAATTGGGGGTATCGTGATCGGTGGAAATGATCAGTGCAACTTCTCCTTGATCTCGGATCAATTCATCGAGTCGCGAAAACCCGCTTGTCTTCGGTGAAGGACTCGAGGGGGTCCTCGTCTGATCGTCGGAATGGTGGCTCGTCGTCCCGTGTTCGGGTCGCTGATGGTGATCGTCTGGTCTTCGTTTGAATAATTTTTGACGATACTTTCGGTGAGGATGTCGAATGGCCGACCGAGGAGAACGTCATAGGCGGGGTTCCGAATGATGTGGACTTGGAGGTACAGGGTGATGTCGCCGATGAGGAATGGCACGTTGCGTGCCAGGCCCAAGGATCGGTCGATTTCGCCGTTCGCCGACTGCATATTGAGGACGATTTCGGGGTCGTAGATGAGCGCCAGTTCGTTGCAAATGCCTTCCGACATGGCAATGACTTGTGAACCCGGGTCGATGACGCATTCGACTTCCTGCTGATGATCGACGAGGGGAACAATAGACCTTAGGGCAGACGATTCTTTAGCAACTATCAATGGCTGAGGAACCTGACCGGGCTGTAGATTCTTCAGGTACGTTTCGTACATGTCGGGGATGATGATCGCGCCCGGCGGGGGTGTTTCCGGTTGGTGCAGGACATTGACGAAGGAGGAGACGGTCGGTCGAGTCGGTGGTTCGAGGTCGTCGATGGCATAGGGTAGATCGGCATCTTGGTAGAAGGTCCGAACATTGCTGGCGTCTCTGGCAGGCGATCGGCGTGCCGACGTGGCTTCCCTGACCTGTGAACGGACTTCGGCGGAGAGAGAGAGTAGTTCGCGCTGGGTAAGCGTCACCTGAGTGGCCATTGCCCTGTTGTAGACCTCAGCTGCTACCTTCTCGTCGTAGATCGGCGCCGTGGTTTTGTAGGCCGGAGCGTCCTTCTTTGCCGATGGTATCTTCGCCGGGGCTCCCATGTTGCGGTCGTGTGGCGGTGCATAGGTGGCGTCCTGGGCTTTGGCATATGGGTGGATCGGAGCATCGTCCTTGGCTGGTACCGGGGGCGGTCGCTGAGTCGGGGTGGTCGGTCGGGGTTCGGGTTCGGGAGTTTCGGTCCTCGCTCGTCGTTCGGGGGCCGGTGAAGGGGTAGGTGCCGAACGTCCTGCCTGCGCCATTTCGCGTGCCCTTGCGCCCCGCGTTCGGAGCGCGAATAGTTCGCGTTCGAGGCTCGCGATTCGCTGGACGTCGGTGAGTTGGTAAGTCGGGGTGACATCCAGCAATGAGGGTGAATCGTGACGGGAGGCTATCGTCATCGGGTGAGTCGGCACCGCGTTTACCGTAAACATCATCTGTCCGGTCGCCAACTGGCCTGGATTCCTGCGATGCCATTCGTCAACTCGGTCCTTCAGGTTACTACCCGTGATTTCTCTCGGTACGAATGCCCCACTTGACAATACCACCTTCCCCTCGATATTCCTCTTGCATTTGCCGATCCGAATGTATTCGGTGACCTCGGGACAGGCGCGCATGAAGTGTTCGGGACTGCCGCAGAACATGCAGTTGTCGCCGCCTTGTCCTGGCTGTCGGGATGGTCGATCGGCTGGCCTGGTCGTCCCCTGAGCTGTGATGGCCTTGACAAAGGTGTCGGTGAGCCGTTCGAACATGGTCGCCAGGTCTTCGGCCTTGATCGCGTTGGTGGGCGGCGCGGCGGGGGCTGCTCGAGAGATGTCGGTAGGGATCGTGCTGTAGGCGGACGTGGTGCCGTGCAAGACGAATCGGGCCGCGTCGTGGATGTCTTGGAGGTTGTATGGGTCGTCTGGGAAATGATCGGGGAACTTGAGTTGTAGACGTTGAGAGATTCTTGCCCATAGCTCCGGTTGGAATCCTCTAGCGAAGGCGCGTCCTTGTTCGGCGACCGAGATCCGTGCCTTGCTGAGGAGGAATACCGTGATCGCCAGGAATCGCCGATGATAGTCGCCGAGTTCGCTGAGAGACAAGATGCCGACCCTGCTCGTTTTGCCGACTAGCTTGTCCATATCCGATACCGACCATTTGCGTTCTTCCTCCGATCCGGGGTATAGCCTGTAGACCTCTTCGCAGAACTCCTTGAAGGTCTTCGTGGCGTCGGTGAAAGTGGTGAGCGATTCCCAAAGCTCACAGGTGTCGACATCTAGGAATCGGCAAGCGTGTTTCTTTCTTTCTTGTTCGTCCACTACCGCAGACCGAACGAAGTGGAAGTCCAGATCGGAGAAATATCGTCTCAATTCGCGGGGTTGATGGGGGTCAAAGGTCGGGGCCGTTCGATCTCCACGAGCGGGCATGGATGGGGTCGCCATAGTGAGAAAGTCAAAGGTGGGGGAGAAGGTATTGTTTTCTAAGGTGATCGGGGATGGAGTCGCTGGTTCGAAGGAGCGTTCTAGTGAAGTCGGTCGGATGGTCGGCGTCCAGAAGACGGGGCTGCGTGGGATTAACGGAGAGATGGAGTCGTGGAGAGATGGGATAGGAGACGGGGGTGATTGTTCTAAGAGTGCAAGGTCGAGGATAGGGGAAATCGGTGGGAGTAACGATCGGTTCGGCGACGAAGGTGGGGTTAAGAAGAAAGTGGAGTCGGGTGGTGGTGAGAGCGATGGCGAGGATTCGAGATCAAGGTAGTGATGGTGGGATAAGTGTTCTGGGACTATATCGGCGTCTCCGAACAAACTTCGGTCGGCAGATGTTTCCTGAGTATTGAAGCTATCGATAACTGTTTGTCGTTCTTCGCGCTCCGCTGTTGGTCGGGACGAGCGACGTAGATTCCTTGAGGTAATTTTGAATACTAACCCCTCGCGGTGGGCTCCAAAATGTTACGCTAGAGGTGGCTCTAAGTGCCGAGCACAACACTAAAACAACCTCTAAGGCAGGGGTGCTGGAGCTAGTATCTGATACACAAGGAATTGTAAGTGATGACTTTAGAAATTGAAGGCGTACTGAGAAGCAATCGGGGAGTGTGAGATTATAGCGCCCGAACGGTTTCGGGACTGCGCCGAACACCGACCGAACGTTCGGTCGGTCGTGTCGGCGATGCGGTCGGTAATGAGAAGGTAGTGTCGCGACCGACAACTACGTGCTTCAAGAGCCACACGGGACTCTGACAATATACGAGGGAGGACGGGGGGGTACGAGCGAAGAGACGAGTACGAACGCGAATGAGGCCGAACGACGAGGATGACAAGTTTTTCGGAAGTCGACGAAGACGATTTCGATGGTTGAGACGAGTGCGAATGAGCTCTGAACTGTGGGGTGCGAAAGCTGGTTTATTCCAGAGTTGTATGTAGGTTTTTATAGTAAACAGAGCCCCTAAGTAAAATATTAAACAAGAAATGAGAGTAGATGTCGAATGGGCGCCAAGCCCCAGCGATCAGAGAAGATAAGAAGGTAGGTGAGATGTCCATATGGGTTCCGAAGGTGATAAGGTAAAAGGTAATCAGTGATGTCGAAATCCCGAACGTTCGGGATCCGTCGCCCGAGCGTAGGTAGCAGGAACAGGCGTTGGAGAGCCAATGAAAAATAAAGAAGAGGTATCGTACGACCAGGGTGGCCAAGCAATGGTGCAAGATCGCGTTTGACCGACCATGCGGAAGTCGGGAAGATAAACGATAAGGACCGACCGACTCACGGAGGACATCGGCCGATACGGAATACTGGCTCCGATCTCGTAAACACTTATCGTAACACTCCTATGCGGTCATGGTAAGTACGTGAAGTGTGGGCGAACTGACCCAAGTGCTGCCGAACGTCCTTCGGTGGCTTGTCGTCGGTCGGGTAGGGACCGACCGTGTTCGGTAATAGTCGGCGTCTTCGGTACTTGTCGAGCGCTGTTCGGTATCTCCCCAAAGCTTCACGAATACCTCCCTCGGACCCTAGCGCGGGTGCATGCTCATCAGCGCAAATTTGCAGAAAGGAAGTGGTCATTGTCGGACAGAAGTGTACTCCTGATGGGAGGAAACCAGAAGACAAGAAAGTGGAGAAAATTCTTAAATGGCCAACGCTGGCCACAGTAAAGGAAGTGCGCGGCTTTCTAGGACTATGCGGTACCGTCAGGATTTGGATTCCAAATTACTCACAGATAGCTAGGCCGCTTACAGAACTTGTGCGAAAGAACACAGATTTTATTTGGGATGACAGGAGGGAAAAAGCTTTCAATATGCTCAAGCAACTCGTATCTTCAGCGCCAGCGCTCAGACCAATTGACTATGAGTCATTAAATCCAATCATCTTATCAGTTGACTCCAGCTATGTAGCTGTAGGTTTCATTCTCTCTCAGCTTGATGATCAAGGAAGAAGAAGACCCGCTCGGTACGGATCGCTACCAATGAGCGAAGTTGAGTCTAGATATTCTCAGCCCAAACTGGAATTATTTGGACTATACAGAGCACTCAGACACTATAGGCTATACATCATAGGGGTCAAGAATCTTTATGTGGAGGTGGATGCAAAATACATCAAAGGGATGTTAAACTCGCCAGACTTACAACCAAATGCAGCTATTAATAGATGGATTCAAGGAATCTTGCTCTTTGATTTCACACTGGTCCATGTTCCAGCAGAAAGGTTCAAGGCGGAGGATGCCCTATCAAGAAGAAGGTTAGGAGAAGATGAAGAAGCAGAATTCGACGATGATAGCTGGTTAGAGTCTATTACTTATCATGTCGGCGGAGTAGGGAAAGAATACCCAACAGGAGCCATTCAAAAGACAAGAAGCTATCAAGTAGAAGACCTTCCATCTACATTTGCAGCAGCTATCTCTCAGGAAAAGAATCTACAGGACATATTCAAATTTCTGCAGACACTTCAATATCCGGAATATGTTAAATCCACCCAAGACGATAGGAGGTTTATACAGAAAGCTACCAAATTTTTTATTCAGAAAAGCAATATGTTCAAAAGGAATGGAGATAAGCCACCCTTAAAAGTTATCTTTGACAAAAATCAACGGTTAGATATTCTGACAAGAGCGCATGAAGGATTAGGGCACAGAGGAGAACAAGCGGTGTTTGAAACTATCCGGATCAGGTTCTTTTGGCCGCATATGTTCAATGACGTGCGTCACCATGTGCGATCTTGTCATGAATGCCAAATCAGAAGCACTAGAAGAGTTGAAGTGCCTTTGACAATATCGACACCTAGTACGGTCTGGAGTAAGATTTATGTTGACATAATGCTCATGCCGCTTGCTAAAGGATACAGATATATTGTAGCAGCCAGAGACGATTTATCTAGAGCCTCAGAAGGACGGGCCTTGCGTAGGGCAGACTCTAAGACACTGATGAAATTCTTCTGGGAACAAATCTATTGTCGTTATGGAGCAGTCGGCGAAGTCGTCACAGATAATGGATCAGAAGTCAAAGGAGCATTCAAGCTTCTTTTGGAACGAATGGGAATCCCTCAAATCACTATCTCACCCTATAACTCTAAAGCCAATGGAGTCGTTGAAAGAGGGCACTTTATTATCAGAGAATCAATTGTCAAGGCCTGCGAAGGAAACATTGCGAAGTGGCCAGAAAAGGTACAAGAAGCATTCTTCGCTGATAAGATCACAATCAGCAAAGTCACAGGATTCTCGCCATACTATCTTTTACATGGGGTTCACCCAGTTCTGCCCTTTGACTTAACAGAATCTACATTTTTGGTGAAAGGCTTCAAAAGTGGTATGTCAAGAGCAGATCTTTTAACTTTGAGGATGCGGCAAATCCAGAAGCGGCAGACAGATTTGGATAGAGCAGCAGCCCAGCTGACAAAGTTTAGGATCAGATCAAAAGAGAAGTTTGAGAAGAAGTTCCAAAAGCGGATGCAATTTGGACCATTTGATCCGGGTGACTTGGTTTTGGTGCGACACACAGAAATAGAAAAGAGTCTAGACAGGAAGGCCAAGCCAAGATACAGAGGGCCTTATCAAATAGTACGACGTAATCAAGGCGGCGCCTACATTCTTAGCGAATTAAGCGGGGAAATTATGAGGGAAAAATATGCAGCATTTAGGATTCTACCATATATTGCCAGAGATAGGAAGGCGCAAAGAATCATGCAGTCTAGATACAGAGGAGGGAGCACCGAACCTAAAGACAGCAGCTCAGAAGAGGAAGACTAAAAATAGAAAAGAAGCTGGAAGAACGGTGATAAAGAAGACGTGGATTAACATGAGCCTGATGCCAAGGAATTAAAAAAGGAAGCTCGGAAAATCAGGACACACAAGCGCACATAGGAATGAACGGAGAAAGAAACAGGGAAGTTGTAAAACAAAGTTCCTCGTTCCACTCGCCATCATCTTCACCCTCAGTAACACGTCGTCTATCTCATCTGCCATGAAACCTTTACTTAAGATTGGTCAGGGAATCAATATCTATCCCTATAGCGCTATACCGGTAACTACCGGACAGAGCTCGACGACAGGGACGATCTGTATCATGGAGCACATGGAAGGGGACCCATCAACTCTATGTTCAGCGGCGCCCACCTTAACACGTGGATTGATTAATCTGTTCAATGTGCCTGGAGGATTAAGGATAGAAAAGAAGGTATGGATTTTGGAGAAAGCAGGACTGGATGCGGTATGGGAAGGGAGGCAGTTGCTGACCAGATGTGAAGAAGAGGATGCATGGATGGAGGTGAATATTCAGCAGTATCTGGGAACAGACCCGATGGTGAGCTTGTTTAGAGGATCAGTGCGGAGCGAAGAACCAGGAAAAGTTAACTGGTGGGCAGACCATATTCTGGTGCCTAGCGTAGCAGCAGATGTTATGGGCATCCTCACTTATTCATTCAGAATGCCAGACATTACCCTATTTTTTGCTCGTCCTTACTTACAGTTTGTGCCAAGGCTTGGCGAGATAGCTGACAGCTCATTTGAGCACACTGCGTTCATTTCCAGACTTCAGCGTGACGAGAAGGAGACCAAGGAATGGCAGTATAACAGATAATCTTTCTTATTTCTCTTAAATCTCTTCTACTATAACTATGGGGAGCAGACAATTTTCATACCACTTTTGCTTTTTGTCATTTTATTATCAGTTTACTTTTACTCAGGAACTTATGAAGATACAGCTGACGGTTTCAGCATTTAGGAGCATATGTGGTGGCGACACAAGGTTGATACCGGAAAATCTAGAGCGGTCGCGGCTTTAAGGGTTCAAAAGCTTGGCTATGGACAAATTACAAGAAGGGAGCATAATCTATGGGAATATATTAAGGCTAACTAAGCGTGTCAAGTATCAACCATCATGTCGACTAACCACAGTGATCAGTTGTCGTGGTGGAATACTCTCCCTCGATCATTATTCCGCAAGCGGAGCACCATCTTTCCTCAGCCACCAGTGGACTTCCAGCCACTTATAGTTCCATCTCACCCACGGCCGGATTTGATTGATGTTGCATCAGTATTTCCTCCCCCACGCTCATTCTCATCTATTTTATCTGAACCTATACACCGTGTCGACCTCGCATTACTCGCACCATCCATCACTGTTCCAGAAACACCAGTTAATGTGCCTGGTACCATAGCAATTACCCCCGTGGAGCCTGGAATTCGGATGCCACCAATGCAGGCAGGAGGAATAATGATGGGAGTAACAGTGATTACAGAGCGAGATGGAGTATGGTTGGAGGAAGGAGTGTCGATTGACGTTATCGAAAAGAAGGAAAACGGAGTATTTGACTATCAGTCAATTGTCCTGGGGCAGAGAATCTGGAGGGATGATAGGATTGTGGTCTTTTCAGGAAAAGCAAGTGGCAAGCAGATCGTCGTTATCGCCTCTACTCATCGGATCAACTCACCCTCTCCCATGGGATACGCTCTGTATCATAACTTTGGCGAGTACATTCGTGCTCTTTTTATTGCCGATCGTGAACGGGAAGTAACATCTACTGAGGATGTGGAGGAAATCACCAGATGGGCATTAGGAGGAGCAGGGGCTCAGATATTTCGTCGCTTTCGTCATGCCTAATCTTGTTTTACGGTATGCTCCATAAACATTCTTACAGTCTATCCTTTCTTCCCTTTTGAGTTTCTATGGACATGCCTTTGGTATCACGATTCAACAATCTTTTTAACATTCATTAGCACTTCCAAGTTTCTTTTTTTGAAATCATGGAATCACGTAGCCTAAAAAGAATATACCGTCAACCGGGGACGGTTGAATGCTAGTGCCCCGCGGATGTCGCGCTCGCACATTGTTAGGCATCAAATAGTGATGGTAGAATGGAGGGCAGAATATCTGACTAGAAGAAAGAAAAGAGAAACAACCTGGAAGGGACAGGACATTTAATTCCGATTTTCTACATATTTTTCGAGTATTTTACCACTTAAACTTGATTTCCTATCCCTTTTCATACTTATAATTCGCTTTTGGGACAGATTCCAGAGCCTAGGGTCTATTTCAGAAAGGGCTAGACCATGGCAAGACAATAAGGAATGGAAAGAAAGCAGTGGAATCTGGTAGAATAGAAGGGAGCTTTAGTAGAAGGATGGAGAATGTTTAGGAAAGGGGCAAGGTCTAGGGCATTCCAAGCTGAAAGGAGGGGAAGGTTCTGAGCAGTTCTGAAGGAAGCTGAAGGAATATTCTACCACATTCTGAGCCTTTCTTTTACTTTCCTTTCTGTTCCTCTGCTTTCCTCCTAATTCTTTTTATTTCTACAGCATTCTTTGTGACTCACAATGACTCTACTCAGCCTGTATATACTAGGAAGGAGATTCCCACTTGAAATAGTATATAAGGAGGCTGAATGTCCTGCTTCAGGCAGAGACCATCTCTCCCTCTTACTTTTACTCAGTCAGTCAGTGCCAGTCAATAAGTTCTTTGAGTGATATCAGTTGGAGATAAGCTGCAAGACTTGTAGGGATACTAGACGAACTAGTAGCTCGCCTTCAATCTGTGTAGCACCTCAGCAACTTGAATCACAAAGTTCTTAAGCCTCTCCTCATTATTCTCAGCATTTACGGAGTATTGTCTTTGTTAGTGGTCCGGCACCACTTCAGAAATTCGCTAAATAGCTCAAGATATTCTCATCGTTGCCTATAACTGTGACCAACATCTGTGTATCGTGCCAACACCAGAAGGTATCATCTAGAACAGCAATCAAACGAACACTAGGTACATCCGGAAAAACAGGAAACCCCGATCGTATCTAGGGGAGAAACCATTCCTCTCCGCGACAACGTGGTCACCAAGAGGCTGCAATTGCACAGAAAGCAGCAAGGACTCCTAGCGATTGCCCAACAGTGCGACAGCCTACGGGTCCTAAGCTCAAGGTGCTGAACCTGGCAACCTACAAGATGCATACACTTGGTGATTATCCTGCAACAATATGATGATTGGGAACAACAGACTCATATACTATGCACATTGTGAGTACTAAAACTGTCTATATCCAACCTTGATCCTAGTATAATTGTCATGACTTCAGGGAGAGGTTGCCCATAAGTTCTCAAAAAGGGCCTATGATCAAACTAATAAGCACAACTTTGTTGGGCAACTTGCTTAAGGGGAAGCTCGCGGACGAGTCATCACTGACTCCAGGACAAATCTAGGCCTTGACAAGCCACAGGTCAAGATTGATCGGCGCCGGAAGGTTCAACATGCCGAGGAACCTCTCCCCTATACTCTCCCTACTGCCCATCACCACATCTCGGAATCCACATGCAATTGGCACAGAATTTCACAGTGGATGACGGAGCATGCTGGCGATCGCGCCATGCTGGTATGTTTTAAACATTGTTAACACGAGGTATACTCATTGGTACCCAGGACTTTTGTACCTGCTTAACGGACCACCTATTGGCACGGTTCATGGGTCTCACATACGATGGCGATGAGCATTCTTTCGCTGATGAACAGCTCCTCCAACTAGAAATCATGCAAAACAGGATGTATGAGCACAATGTGCTTCGAATCAATTACACAAGCTACGATGTGCGCCGGTTGCAACATTCCATCAACCCTCAAACACACCCGGATATCATGGTCCTGTCCCATGATGATGTAGGGCCCAATGCACACCTCCATCCATATTGGTATGCACATGTCCTAAGTATATTTCATGTGATGGCACGGTATATTGGACCGAAGAGCCAGTTATCAGAGATGCAACGCATGGACTTTTTATGGGTACGATGGTATGGGTTGGACCCGGACATGTGTACGGGTTGGCATGCTAGGCGACTTCCTGCCGTAGGTTTTGTTCCTGAAACTGATCCTGACGTGTTTGGCTTCCTCAATCCGCAAGAGGTATTGAGGGGTGCTCACCTAATTCCTGCTTTCCATCACAGCCTTGCCGAGGGCCTTTTGCATGCAAATTCATGCGCACGCCGGGCAAATGAGGACCAAGACTGGAACCTGTTCTATCCCAACATATAAGTGCTATAGTTCATATGTTGGCATCAGCTGACGGATCTCCTATGTGTAGTTTCGTAGACCGAGGCATGTTCATGCGGTACCGAGGTGGTGGAGTCGGGCACCTGGTCACTCAAAGTTGGGATCGCATTTTGCAAAGTGAAGCACGACCTTCAATGGAAGATGACATGGTGGACAAAAGCACACTAGTCCTAACTGCTGCTGGAGGATTGGGCAATGCTGACGAGACTGCGGAGGTAGACAAGGATGACGATGAGGGCGAGGAAGAGCACGCAGAGGAAAGCGCAGCAGAAGAGGAGGCAGAGGAGGAAGTTGACATGATCTAGGGAGTCGCAGATGATTCGTGTGTGCACGATGACAAGATCCTTGCACGGGAAAACTATGCTACATTGTGAATAAACCAGTTTGTATTGGTTTCCGTCTGAATGCATGGCTCATAGTATAATACAATTTGAAAGAAAATATTATATTTGGGAGGTCTTTGACAAAATGGACTCGAGCGCTGTCGATTCATACTCTGGAGTTGCTTACAGCTCGACGGATCATCCAAACATCTTTGATGTTCTGGATTGCTGTCAGGGTCTTAGAAATACTCATCAGTTGTCGTCAGTCACGGAATGTGGCACTGCAATGGCTGGCGAGTGCTGATCACGGCTTGTGGAGCCTGCAAGTGCTGATGTGCCTCAAAGCCAACTGCCATGCCTGGTGAGAGATGGCAAGCTGGAGTCGCCCCTGGTCAGCCCTGATCATACCCCGCAACCCATGGCAACACGTGAGTGCACCACCATTGTCGACCACTTTTGGACACTTTTGCTGATGACAGCCGGCGTGCACTGCCTAGGGGCTGGGACTTTATTTTTCACACCTGTTGTTCTGCAACGACAGACATAGGGCTTTATGTATTATTATGATAGCATGTATGCCATAGAATTATAAAGAGTTACAAGGTATCTTGATCCTCAATCAACTGCTTAGTCAGAAGGAATCTGATATGACAATGTTAATCCTGCTGAGACTGGCCAGACTGACCAGATCTCGTCAGACTGGCCAAATCTCATTAGACTGTCCAAATCTCGCCATAATGGCCATTTTCATGTTACCCTTCTCGACACTTACAAGACCGGTGGCACCTGGCGAGGCTGTGTCACTACCCCTGCTTACATAGCCTTCCTAGGCTGTGTCCGGCCATGGAAGATCCGCGCGCTTTTCCTGATGAGCCGACTCTGTGACAGGAGAAGCGTTACTGGGTGGGGAACGTTTACGAGATATCAAATGAAATCCGGAACCAGGAATCGGTTGTTTCTTTGAAACTCATCATGCCTGCCTCGATACACTTGAGTACCTCTTTCCAGCAACGCGTCGTCTCTCATACTATCAATGAATGGCACGACTTTTACGGAATGAGTCCAATCGAACCGAAGAGCATTCGTTTTTATGACAAGACCCCACCCACGCTCAAGTACGTATCACAAAAAATCTGCAGTCACTCAGCAGCGCTCAGCAAACAAAATCTTGTTTTTGATGTAGGCCTCTTGCAGATGGTCCACATTTCTGGTTATTTGACAAAGAAAACCCGATCGGTTATGACGGACGAGCTGGCCTAAGCATCGACCGGATTGTCAAGTTGATACAATCGCACAATTCATATGATATACAACCGCTCTTGATTCCAGAAGATTGGAAGGTATGTGTGCACTCATTTTATCATACCGAAAGCCAGTCTGATTTCCATTCAATCAGAACGGCGATCCCAACGCGAATGTACCCCCTGTCATCGTAACCTTGCAGAACTCCTTGTGCCACTATATAGATCATTTGCACACAATTTGGGACGAAACGCCCGTCGAATTCTACAAGCCACGATCATACTTCTCGACTATACCCTATCCGTTTCCCAACGTCACTCTACATGAATTGCGAGACCCGAAGGATATGCTATACAGCGTCGAGTGGACGATCCTCAAGATCTTATCAAAGGCGCATATGGGAATGGTACAATACAGCACACTCGGTGTAAAAACTTTCTATAATGCTCTTCTCCCTGCTATCTGTCATCAAATTCGGGGCTGTGAAGTGCTCAGGTCGGTCGTCTGTATCTCCTGTACCCCAAATGAGATCTGATTACGCTGGTTTGAAGGTCAACTACTATCACATTTCCGCGCTATTCTGCCGAATATGGATCTTCTACATGCTTAGATTTTGTATGTCGACCATCCATCGACAACCTCCCGCGTGGTCTGCCTAGTGGGTTTGTGCCGGTTCTTTTCGCTGCGCATCATCTAGATGCTCTACATCCGTTTACGAACGAAGAATTATCATGGAGTAAACCAGGGCCAACGGAGAAGATGCCGGACCGATCGCAAGGGGTAGTGAAGCTTGCACGCATCTTCCAACCTTCGTTACAGCTTCTCGTCATGTACTTGACGAAGATATATCGTGTCGGCAATCTACAGTGGAAACCGCAGTGGAATGTAAGTAGTGATTTTGTGTCTTCAATAGCTCCCTGTGTCTCACACACCGCTTGGCAGCCGGTCATTGCAAAAGGAGAGCCTTTATGGCACAGGCCGCATGTGCCGGAGAATTTTTTCTTCTACGGAATGAATTATTCCCAAGTCGCGTGCATCATCTACACTTTCTTCCCGCGCTATCAGGTGACCTCTTCCGGACGTGTTGAATGGGGATTCTGCTGTTACGAGGCATACACTCCTTGGCCCATTGGTGGCGGTGACTTGACGCAGCGCATTCATTTAGTGAACACGATTCTCAGGATTCAACGCCACACCGCCGAGCTTGTGGAGCTTTTCAAGACAATCTCTCTATCTTTGGGATGCTCTGAATCGATTTACAGGAGTGTTGACATTATCACTGAAAGGGGCTAGTGTCTGGTTCTTCGAAATTTGATTATTCGATATCCTTTGTAAACCCATGACATTACTGACGGAAACAATGTACACTGACACTGAGGTGGGTGGCGTGTAGGGTGAATCATCATTGACAAACCTGGGCCTGAAGGTGTCAGAAATTGATTTTTCATGTGCTCGCCGCTGTGCGTGTGCATACCCACAATGTCGGTAACTTTTTCGTGTGCAGGCTATCCCTGCCGTTTAATAGGGTATTTTTGGGGACCGAACTCGGTCAAGGCGCAGGACCCTTTCAATTTCTGGCGTCTGGGATCAAAGCCTGCCCCTTTGGCAAATGGCCATCCTTCAATTTCTTAGTCCAGCGACAGATAGCTGTGCCTTCGCTATACAATGACGCAGAGAACGTTATGGCTCATGCAAAGAAGCCTACCATGAGGTTGTTGACTAACAATCGATAAGCCTTAGGTTCGTCATCTTCCAGCTATCCTTATACCATACCAACACTTACTCCACGAGTAAATGATGTCTCTCTCTATTCCCATGAAGAACGACGAGAGCAAGAGCTGGATTCCGTGAGTACTTAGAAATTGCAGTTTAAGCAGAAATTCTCACTGACACAACAAAGGTCCAAGAATTCTCCTACGAACATGGTGTCAGCGGTCCCGGATGCACTGATAGGACTCGACGGAGCTCCACAAACCGTTGAACGGCCTGTTGAAGGAAACCCAAGCGACAAAGATCCGCTCTTCACTGATCCAGAGAAATCTGGAATTGCGATCACACCCGGAACAAGACGAGTACTGGAAACGTATAAACACCGACTCTGGAGCAAAGGCGTGGCAGATGATGCATGGAGTCCATTGGCGCATCGCGCGTGCATACAAGGGAACGAGCAAGTCCGTGATTACTGCAAGGTAAGCCGTTGTCATGCTTCATCAATTAACAGCAGCTCATACATGATCCAAATAACGATGCAAATAGCAACGTGCGCCAGGAGGATTTAGTCAAACAGTATTCCTGGCAATTTATCACCTACAACGATAAGACTCCAATAAGGATGTCGATCGGGCAACTCCCTCCTCCGAACTCATCGTTCAAAGACGTCATCCGATACGCAAGAAGGATTCTCACAACTGTGATTAATCACACCCTGCTCATACCTAATACGTGGCCGGTGCGTGATAATACCTGTTAAGCTGAATATTCGGCGTTGTCTGAGTACTCACATTCGGCTTACAGACAATATCAGATGAGGATATAAACGTAGAAGATGTCCATCTGGTTTTACGAGCCATGTTGAGGGCTCATATCGAGAAGTTGGAGAAACAACTCGGCGCAGACGTCATCTCAATTACAGGGATCGAAGACTCTGTTAATTTCCCGTCGTCTGAGAGCGACAGTTTGCGTGGGAAGACGATCACGCTAGGACTATGGGACAATCCTAGACCTGATAAGAATATGCGAGGCCAGCAGCTGGATGCCGCTTTCAACGCGCTGTATGTCTTGTTGTGGCCCGGCAGCTATACAGCGGCGTCAGAACTTGCTGTTGAACGAGTAATCGGTGCACTCGTCGCACCGAATTTCGGGGTTAACGAGTGTGAAACTCTCTCGTGTGTGCCATCTTGCTCATACCAGTATATTGACCCTGATGAGCTATGCTTTTAGGGGACAGTCTGTACGGACATCCTTGATCCTTGGGTGTTTCGGATCGTATGCGTCGGCCGATATCTGCACCAAGATGATATACCATCCACCGAAGGACGTTTTTGACAAATCATCCCCTCCTCTCGACTTGACCGTACTCCAGCCGGTGGTTTTTGGTGCAGATGCCAAGGTACGCCTAAGAAGCAATGCAGCAAAGAAGAGGAAGGAAGACGACCTAGAAGACGAATCAGAGGGTGACGACGATCATACAGAACCTACTAGCCAGGCGCCTATGCTTCGACATGGTACAAGCAGTCCTATGCATCGCGTTTCTGCCCAATTGGCCTTTCTTTTCCAGCCAACCATGAAGATATTCATTGCACATCTTTCAGAGATAGAAGAGAAGAAGGTTGAAGGGAATCTACGGTTGACAATACCGAATTGGGAGTCATTGCCTCTCGAAGATAAGCTGAAAGAAAAAGTGAAGGCGGTCAATTGGACTAATCTGAAGGTATGTTTTGTTCGTTCATCTGCATATCGCTGATTTTACAAACATGGCAAGATTCCCGAATGGATGTTTGTCTTCGGCATCGGATACGACTCCAATGGCTTCATAATATACACTTTTTATCCGGTCCTATTCGTGGACGGCAATCAGCCTCGCTGGGAGTTTCTATGTTTCCAGACGTCGACTTACTTCGACAACGTATTTCAGCATTATGATGCTAAAATGCGGATCGCAGCTTTGAAAACACTATTGGCGATGAGGAGGCATTCACACTTCCTTGCTCAATCCCTCAGAGCTGGCGATCACCAATTGCATCTTCCAGAGGAGTTCATCTTGGTGGTTAGGCGAATGGCCAAAGAAGACGAGGCCATCCGGTTGAGTCAGGTGGAGGCTGCCAAGCAACGTGATAAAGACAAAAAATCCCAGAGGGATGGTGGGTTGGAGACCGAATCTGTCCCTACGACTTCAAGGCAGCGGAGGGCCCCAAGACAAAAGGAAGAAGAGAAGGAGTACAGGCCGAGTGCAAGCTTGGGCTCGCTTCAGGGGTCGACGAGGCTCACAAGGTCTGATGGAAAGGGGAAGGTAAAGGCTGCGTAGGTTTGCTGAACGGCTATCTGATGTAACACGTTAGGCATGATTGGCGTCGAAACATGTGTTCTCTCCACCGTATTCCTATTGACAAACAAAAGTGGGCCATAATCTCTTCAGAGGAGTCGCACATGCAACATGAGCTCTTGATATATGTGATGCACGCATGCAGGAACGCCGATATTTCCACTGCCTCTTACGACCTTATCAGTAACTTGAACATGATCTACCTCGAAATATGTACTGCTCGCACTCTCGATGAGTACAAATATGAACCACATACACAAAAATTAAAAGATAAATTGTACATATTGTGATATAAAGTAATTACAGCCCGTTTGGCACCTTGAGCGAATCACTACGTTCTGCCTGATCACCGAGGCTTTCCGTGTGATGCTTGACGTCTGCCCTCCCGCTCATCTCATGAGATTCGGCCTCTATATCGATGAAAACCTGTAGCAGTTGATATCAATAGTCTATTCAGTGATTTCAGTGATATCGTCTGTGCTTGCCTCTGTGCGCATCTGTGATGGTGCTGAAAATGATAAATCGTTTGGCCGCTGCACAGACAACATCATAAGCGTGGGAACGATGCTGAGTCTCATAAACGCGTACGGTCTTCCTCTTTGAGGCAGATTTGAATTGAGAGCTGCCAATGATGCTGCCATTGCTTGAATCATACTGCCGCCCCTGACGGGAGTCGAGGCTGGACATCAAGGAATTGGTATAGAGCTTGGCGAGTGGAAGGTTGATCATAACGTGACTAACACAGTGTATGTCAGTGATTATCAGGAGGTATGGATGGAGGCGTGGATCTGCTCACTGCGCAGTTTGCTGAAGCAAGGGCGTTGGATTGTCGTGAGATAAGTTTCTCAATCCAGGAAGAAGAAGAACGCACGAGGGAAAGATACAGTGTTAGATCCAAGATAGCGAATACAGAGGTGAGTAAACCTGTCTGGACAGTGACTGGGAGCATGAGACGGTGATCAAATGTCAGGATTAAGTAAGACCGGTAAGATGCAAAGAGACTCACGGCGGATGATTTTGTTGACGGTGTCATCCGTTGACGAGAATCCGGTTCTCTGGTTCCGCTGTAAAAAAAACCCATCAGCGATATTCACAGACGGCACCGATGTGAAGACCTACTAATTGTGAACCAGAATAACACTGATGACCGTATCAGTTAGTGCTGAAGATGCCAACCAGACAATCACGATGGGACGATAGCGGGCAACTGCTGTGATCGACGACTGATCGACGAGGTTGACGATGGACAATACAGTCGCCCCAGCTGAACATCGTGTGTAGGCTCAAGCGGACGTGGACGATTGCTTTTTCGGTACTTACTGCAAGATATGATGGATGGGACGATCACCGCAATCATCCACCACCTTCTACCCGTAAGAACTTTCACTCTCCAAGCGTAGAACAGTTGAACCATGGTCGCGATGATACCCTTCCGTAAAGATGAGTCTAATAGTTTTTACCTGACGAGAAACGCACGATGGTCATGGGATCTGCATCGGGAAAGGCTCCGTGAGTGAGAAGGAAGCCTACAGCTCGAAAAGTCCTACTCACTCATAGTGTTCACTGGACCGGTGAAACATCGACATCAGAAATTTTCCAGATGGGACTGAATGGGCAACTTACGCCAAGTGGAAACGCCTGCCGCCGGCATGTTTCCTACGAGTCCATTCGCGGTCAATTGTATCGATCCATGTGAGACCACGTAGACGTACCGAAATTGTTGACGAGACGGTCATAGCTGTACGATATTGGAAGGACAGAGTTGGACGTTTCCACCACGATGAGCAGGGCAACCTGAGCAGAAAGGTCCATTATCGGCTGGTCCGTCTTGGCAAATGTAGGTGCCGCACCACAATCTTGATCCACATACGATCACTGGTAAGATATACGAAGTTAACATCGGCCCCCTTGATGTGCAGTCGCAGATGACTGACCGTTTGTAGGTTTGGAAGTACACAAAAGTCTGTGCGAGGAAGATACCGTATAGGATCAGATTGAAGAATGTTCCGAGGAGCATTGGCCCTTGGCTAGTAGACCGTCGTCAGAAAAGGCGACAGTCCGAATGCGCACGCTTACATTGTCCTCGCAAAGTTAGGTGTGGTAGCATCGGACATACCTCGCGACAGGATTGGCTGCTTGGTGAGATTCGCGGATAAGAAGGCGGGAAAGAACTGTGGGCGAGAAAAGAGAACAGAGCGTTCCTGGCTGGGGGGAGACCGCCCCACACTAAATATGCTCGCGTGGTTGGTGCTCCAAAGGTTTAATCAGAAACGAGACAAAGTTAGAACCTTGTAGGCAAGATCACTAGCGCACGGCTGTGTACCGTTAGATCACGAAGGGCAAGAAGAAAAAGTGATCAACTGGACGAATTTGACGTTTCAAAGGAGACCTTCGGGAGAGCCCGCTGGCATTGCTTCATCCTGTGAGCTCCGTATACATGCGCACACAGGCTCTTCTTCGTTTCCATTGGTGGGAAAGGGTGAGAGCGTCTACCGCAATTAGAATAGTCTAACGTTAGCCTGATGACTCTGCGAAGTCCGTGGATGTGGCTACCGGAGAATCCGTGATTGTGAGCGTGATGTTCTCAGTCAAACAGATAGATACCGATGGAATTTTCGAGAGAGACCTCAGTGAGTTGATGCGTTTTCAGAGGAGACTTGAAAAAGCAGGAGGATATATTGGAGCTGAACTCGATTGGCTGCTAAACGTCGGAGTTTCTATTCGCTTTTCACACTCCGCTTACACATTGTCGTCGATTGTTCTGCATTCTGATCCCTGTGTCAATCATGATACAGCGCCTGTTGGGTTTGGTGGGCCATGCTGTCGTCCTTCAATTCGACGCAGCCGAAGCACAGGTGAGCGCCTTTATCTGATGGAACTTTTCTTTCGATGTTAACTCCTCGTGTTTCCAGTGACTCTATCGCTATTGTATTCAAACAGCACCGGCTAAGGCATTCTTTTACTGTTATGGCGCAGAGTTTGCGAAGACTAAAAATGGCCGTCTCGAGATATCTGAGGATCATATCAATGTCTGCGTACTGCTGTCCTAATCAACTCGTGTATATCATAAAGAGGATCATAACCGTTCAGATTCACCACCCGTCACGTCTCCCCCAATCTTACCGCGCTACATGTCGACCTTATGGTTGACTGTAGCTGTCCTTCTGGTATCTTTGCTCCCGCATCTCTGGTATCAGCGAAAGGGAAAACACCCCTACAGCTCCCTTCCCTTTCCTCCTGGTCCCAAGCGCCTCCCATTCATAGGTAATCTGTTCAACCTACCCAGAGGCCACGATGCGTCTGTATATCGGGATTGGTCGAGAGAGTTCGGTGAGTCAACGATCTCAAATCCATTACTTGGATGATCTCAACTCTCGCTGCTCAGGCTCTGAGATCGTTCACCTCGACGTGATTGGGATGCATGCCATCGTCGTAAACTCAGCAAAGGCAGCGCGCGAAATCTTCGAGAAGAGGTCCTTGTTGTATTCTGACAGGTTCAATCATGTGCATCTTTTTTGAGAATAACTATTGACGTGCTTGGTATCGCAGACCTTCCTTTCTGGTACTAAATAAGATGTAATGCTGGGTCGGGATTGGTGTTGTAAACGTTCCACTAATGTTTGTCGCTTACGACCCTCAGGCTCGGTTTTCGTTGGGCGCTGGGCTTCATGCCATACGGTCGGAAATGGAGGAACACGAGAAAGGCGTTCCACAGTTGCTTCAACTCGACTGCATCTCTGCGCTACCATCGCCTCGATCTACAAGCATCACACGAGCTCCTGCGTCGTCTTCTAGACACTCCGCAAGCCTTCGTCGAACACGTGCGACAGTAAGCGAGCACATTATCGACGATCTCTCTCTCGGCTATCTCACTGCGATCTCACCTCTGTCTTGCAGCGTGGTGGTAGATCTCATCCTTGAGATCGCGTACGGCTCCAACATGAGATCAATGGGAGATACGGGTGATGATTATGTTATCATCGCGGAGAAGACACTCGATGCCATGCTCATTGGTAGCACACCGCACGCCGTCCTTCTCGATTTGTTTCCAATTCGTGAGCTCGCTCTTCTTTAAAATACGTTGTCGCGATTGAGGATCGCTGTCCAGCTCTCTCTTCGAAGAATGGACACACCGACTTCTCTTCACACTATCACCATCATCCATCACTCCTCCATCCTTCGCCTCCTCTATCGGGCGCCGCGCTGGAGAAGGTCGAGCAAGCACCGAGCGCTTTCATGGGAAACCACCGTCGTCACCATTGGCTAGGCCGCACTGATGTATCGGCTATAGCCTATCTGCGCACCGACCACCCCATCTCCGTCGCTCTTATAGACCCTTCTGCCATCGTTCTCTGACTCGCGTCTGCAGAGCACATTCGATTGTCACCGTTCAGCAAGGACAAGAATCGACACATCACAGCACCCGCGACCATGCCAATTGTTCAAGCAGGTAGCGTCTTCAATTTTGCATGTAGATTGCAGACTGATCAGATTGTCGATCTCATTAGATGATATCTCGGGTAAAACATTCGACTATATTATCGTCGGTGAGCACATTGCCTCATCGGAAGCGAGGAATGCAGTGGCGCTGAACACATCGCCGTCCTCGTTCAGGTGGAGGGGTGTGTCGCGTTACTTTCTTAGGAAGTGGCTTCTTTTGAATGATGCGAACAAATGCAGACTGCGGGCCTTGTCGTCGCTGCCAGGCTCTCCGAAGACCCCAATGTGTCCGTACTAGTCCTTGAAGCTGGCCCAGCGAACATCGATGATGCGCTGCTCTGTACGTGCTCGCCGAAACTGTGAATTATTGTCTCTCAAAAACTAAGACATTCATAAGGCCGCCCTGCATCGATCGGAGCGACGTTTGGCCAAGAGCAGTACGATTGGTCGTTCAAAACCGTGCGTCTCGCAGACACACATCTCGATTACTGCACAGGATTGAGCGCAGCCTAGTAGGTTCCCCAAACCCATAGCAACAACAAGGAGTACTTTTGGTTCAGGTACGTCTGCCGCGTCCCATTTCATGAGAATCGGGGCTTGATGCGCTCGCATGCAGTGGCCGAACTCTCGGGGGGAGCTCTGCTGTCAATTTCTTCGCCTGGAACAAACCACCCGCGGACCATATCGATGGTGCATCCTTGCAGTCATATAGCCGCACTGCGCTCATAGAGCCCGTATTTCCCCAGATCTTGAGCGTCTCGGGAACCCCGGATGGAACTGGGCCAACTTACAAAAGTACATCGCCAGAGCAGAAGGGTTCGATATTGATATTTCATACCCTCAGATATGCTTCCTCCGACACCAGTAACGTAGATTCGTTCCGCCGACCCCCGAGGAGATCAAGGAGCACGAGCTGATTGGAGCTGAAAATTGGAAGCTCAGAGAAAAAGGTGTGTGCACACTGCTACATGCGTGTGCCACCCGATGCATTGCTGAGTTGTGCGTCATAGGTCCGATCGACCTTGCTATACCCAAGCGCTTCCTCTCTGGGGATCTGGACGCCGTTCACGTCAGCCATATACGCCGTTTATCTGTTTTCGTTGCCTGACCACCGTGACAGACTGTCCTGAACGCCGGTATCCCGCGCGCCGCAGCTCCAGTATGTGATATACTGCTCGTGTCTTACGAGCACCCATTGACGTGGATCTACCTCTAGCTCAATGGAGATGTGCGTTTCCTTGCTTTCAGGATTTGATTTTTTGCTCACATGATTATTTACATGACTATATAGTTGGCGGGCTTATCCTTCGCCCCGAGCACCATCAATCCCGTTACGTTCTCTAGATCATTTGCTACAACGGTACGTCTTCAGTCTTCCCCGTGTCGATTTAGCTCTCCCATATCCTCATGAACGTCTACCATATCTTCATGAACGTCTAGGGATACTGGCTGCCGAACCAGAATCGTCACAACCTGTCACTCATTGTCAATGCTACAGCGACCAAAATCATTACTGAAGGCGAGAGCCCATCGTTGGAGGCCACTGGCGTCCAATTTGTCATCAAGGGGGCAAACAATGTTCATAAAGTCGTGCATGCTGGGAAGGAGGTGATACTGTCTGCCGGGTGAGTCCATGTCAAGTTGCATACGGTTGTAAGTGGGGCAACGAGAATAACTACGCTTATGATCAGGTCTATCAAGACTCCTCACTTGCTCGAGCTGTCGGGTATCGGGGACGAGAAAATTCTGGACAAGGTCGGTATCCCGGTCAAGATCGACTTGCCCGGAGTCGGCGAGAATGTTCAGGAGCATTGTATCATCTCTATCACGTTTGGTGCGTACGCGGTCTTCCTGAGAACCAATTTGCATGATTTGATCTGGCTTATGCCCAGAGCTCCGAGACGATGTCTCTTACGAGATATTCGACGTTCTCCCAGACCCCGCTCGCGCAGCAAAGGAGCTCAAGCTCTAGTACGTGACTGTGTTGAAGTCACCCAGTCACCGACATTCATCGCAGGGTGCTCGATATCTAGCGCGAAAGGCGAGGGCTTGCACACATACACGCCCCATTGCTACATATTCGCGCCGCTTGAGACGCTCTCGTCCCGCGGAGAGGAAATTTGATGTCCCGGCGTTTGGACAGGCGCTCCCCTGGCTGCGAGATAATGTTCTACTCTGCGCTGTCGTCATTCCCTAGTATGTGATTTCTCCACTCTCAGCCGGAACCAGTTCCACTCGAACTAATGTTTGCTGTAGACCCGCCTGAAGATGGAAAGAAGTATTTCTCTTACCACACATCCATGAACCATCAGTGGTCTAGAGGAAACATTATACTTATCCCATCTCTGTAATTCGGGCAAGGTTCAAATGCTGACACGAATCGTTTCTCTTACCTTTGCTAGCACATCACTTCCGAAGATCCCTTGGCGCAGCCTGCCATTGACCCACACTACTTTGAGGAAGACATCCGTCAGAGGTCCTTCACTACAGTTTTCGTGGCGTGCTATGCTTGCGTCGGAGGCAGACTTGAGGACCTTCGTTGTAGATGTCAAGTTCATAAGGAAGCTGCCGACGTTATCTCCTCACAAGGAAGTGATTGGTGAGCAGATACCTTGTTTGAGTATTCAAGAAGTGAGGTTAAGACTGCGTCAGAATTTCACAGTCAAGGAGATCAACCCCAGCCCCACCGTCACCACTGACGAACAGATCGGCGGTGCGTGGTTTTTCGCGCCACCTACGCATATGCACGCAGACTATTTCTTATCGATCTTGACAGACTGGATCAAGAACTACATGTCCACCACGTTCCGTAAGCAACCACTCACCTGTCTACGCATGAAAATTGTTTGCGATAGGCTGCGCAGACACTGCAGGCTCCGCGTCAATGCCGCCGAAGGACAAAGACGGAGTTGTGGACCCCAGGCTGAAGGTGCGTGCTGTCTTCTATCGACAATTCAGCTCGCTGAGAGATATCACGATGCAAGGTATATGGAACGAGCAACCTCCGCGTCGTCGATTTGTCTGTGGTCCCCCTCCTCTTTACGGCCCACTCTCAGTGTGAGTGAAGCTGTCTATCTGTCTTCTGTCGTGAGGACTGACCTTGTGTGCTCCAGCTGTTGTTTACGAGCTAGCTAAGCAAGGTAAGGGAAACTATTGACTGTGGCTGTTCTGTCAATACTGACCACAGTTCGTCTAGCCGCGGCCATCATCAAGGGCGAGATCTAAAAAGACAAACTGTATGGGATGTAAGATAGCAGAACGAACCTGTGTCTGACTATGTCCAGAATTTAAGATGACCTTTCTATCGCCCTTCGATATCAGGGGATTCAACGCGCCAACCTGAAGTATTGAGTCAACCAAACCTCGTCTTGTCGAACCATCACCGAGATCAGAAAAGGGCGCAGCGATATATCCATGACAGTAATAATCTCGTGACTGGACTGGAACACAGAGAATGAGTGACGAGGACTTTCGCGATGTGAGGAGACAGATAGTCAGAGGTCTGAGACAGCGCGTGACACTATGACTCGGTGGTTCGTTCGGCTGTCAGCGTATTCACTGACACGTGGTTGGGTTGGCGTTCAGCCATAGACTCGTCGGTTCGCAGGCGCTCAAATGCCTTGATGTTGTCGCAAGCCTCCTTGGACTGTGTGCACTTGAACTGCGGCGTCGCAAGCCAAAGTAACGTTTGGCCCTGAACAAGATGGAGGCATTGCAAATGATCAATTACAGGAAGAGGGCTAGATTGTTCGAGACGCACCTAAATTATCTCCCCTTGCCATATAGGTTTAATTGCGATGAGAGAGGTTCGTGCTTTCGAACCCGTAGTGATTGGGCCAGCGCCTTCCAAACGATCAACCTAGCACGTCCTAGACCAGGCGACATACCTGAGCTAAAGCCTTGTGGGACCTTCGCGAAATGTTGGGCTGCGTACCTTGGGAGCCTGTGCAATTTTGTGAGCCTGTTCCCCATGGAATCCTTTCGAGGATGTGAGCGGCCGCCGTGGATGCGGATCCTGAGCGACGAGTCCGAAACTACTGCTGTAAACGATAGGAGGCGTCTGATGGATTCGTATGCCTCCTTTGCGAAGCGACAGTCATGTAGAGATTATGGCGGCGTACAATGATTGATCGGTAAGTATAGCTGGTTAGAGAGTCTCCAAGCGCTCGACGAAGAATGTTTCATTGAATGAAGGGTGAGGCTTACACGCACCGACGTCTCCCGAAAGCCATCATGCAGCTAGAGCAAAAATGACTGCTGTCTTCTTTGACTAGCTGTCCATGCCGAGTGCTCCTACGGCGCTTTCCCATTTTGACACGCTGAGAGCTCTGCAGGTGAGCAATGCGCTGCGAACAAACGTGTGAAGGACATAAACTTACAAGTCGGCAACGTTCTCGCTCGGCATAACATATATATGGATACAGCCATTTGTCAATCTCACCGCGCCGACCTCGAACTCCCGTGCCCTGCGGATGGTGCGTAAATTTGTGAACGGGGAAGTAGTGTTTCCGGGCTCCTTGGCACCCTCCCAGATATCCCTCAACTGTGTTGAAAATAGAATGACGAGCAGCCGTCCTTTCTGCGTCGGGAGGATGATCGTGGCGCTCATTCTGGGAAAGTACGGCATAATCTCTGGCCAACGTGAGCGGGTCATGTTGGAATAGGTGTGCGAGAAGGAAGCGAGGATCATCTCTTCGATATGCACGCCGATGGACGGATTCTCGTCCCCGTATCCGTCTCCGTCTTCGGTAATAGCCATGCGGCCGGAGAACGACTTTCCGCCCGGTACTTGCAGGCCAGGAGCAAAGATCACAAATGGAACTGATAGGGGCCTGGAGGTCGGATTCTTCTTCCGCGGATAGGAGTTGGGGCCGAACTGAAGGATCATGTTGTCCTCATCGTCGTTCATCTGGGAACCCGGTTGGTACGGGAAGGTAGCGAGATACTGATCCTGGATAATGATGCCGCACGACTAGATAATTATCGATTTGATATCAAGTCAGGTATACCAGTTTGCAAAGAGAAGAACACGTACAAAAACGGCTCGCAAGAGCTGGACGCGATCTCCTGCCTCGCTGCCTCCTGGTTCGCTGATCGCCTTCTCTATCTGAGAGAGCAAATCACGCTCCCTCACACTGATCTCTTGTCCAATCTCCTCTCGGACACGTTCAAAGGACTCAAAGGCGGCGCGCGCTTCGTCGTAGCGAGCGAACTTATAGTGTAGTTTGGCACGTCGAAAAAGACATCTAGTAGTCAGCACCTTGGGGGAATCTGGCACCGTGTACTCTTGGGAGAGAGCAAGGTTGTTATCTCGAAAGGCGGTGCAGATATCTCCCCAGAGCATGTAGCTTTGAGCACGGTTGGAGATGATCGCACGCTTCAATTCCAGAGAGGTCGTGGGCCCGGCACATTCGAGAGCCTTTGTGTAGAGCTAGGGGATTGTCAGCCGACAAAGTGGAGCGAGGGTAGAGTGATTGCGTACTTGGATTGCAGTCTTGTACATGCCCGCGCGAAACTCCACATTAGCCCTCTCCTTCAACTTTAGAACGGAATCTCCTGCGCTCATGATAGCGCAGACGTGGACACAGACGGCGTGAAAGCATGTGCAGGAAGGGTTGAGAGGTTATTTTAGCAGAAGACACGAAAGGTAGACGGCTAAGTGAGGAATGGGAAGCGGTTGAAAATCATTTAGGGGTACCTGAGCCAAATATGTAATTTGAAACTTACGAGTCCGACGCTCGGACCTGTAACAGTGCTTTCGACTAGGCACTACCGTTCGCTCATGCGATCCCTCAAGTGTCAATCGAGGCCAACTCGGGATCGACATCACAAGCTAGAGCAGAGCGTGTACTCATGCCCGCGAAAAGTGTCTGAACGGCAATTGCCGAGCTGCTACAATGGCACTTTTGAACATGGCTGTATATTAGCTGTGTGTCTAACAAAAATATGACAATTTTTGAAAATATACTGGTGTATAATGTATAATATCAACATTCCATGTGTTAAAGTACTTGAAAAAATGAATCATTTTAAAGCTTTTGTGGTGAGATCTTTCTGTTATGATCACGTTCTATCGGGCCTATACGGCGGTCTATACCGATACGATCATCACAAATATCACGCGGCCTCACAGGTTGAGGCGTACTCCAAGGTACAGATATTAACCTTGGTCATCCACTCCCAATGGATCATCAATCATTGGTCGAGTATCACGGGCCTTTGTATTAGCGGGCATGGAACGCCGCCTTATAAATTACTCACACGCAGGGCATGAACCTCCTAATCTCTCCTGGCCGGAAGGAGACCAACGGAGAAGCACAAGAGTAGTCGTTATTGAGAGAGACGACTTAGAGAATACCTACAGATATATATTCGGTATTCTCACGCCCTACTTCCCAAAGTAGTATAAAAGGCCCATAGAATAGGCTGACGATCTTCAGTCTATTCTCTTCGTTCCCCTGTATCTTCACATACAGGGATCTTCGTTCAGTACTGTCTTCCTACAGTATTCCTTCGCTCACTGCAGTCTACCTACTGCAGCCTTCATTGCTACCTCGCAATACACTTCTGGCTCCTGTGCTACACGTACAGTCGAGACCACCGTTCCACACACCCTCCACGAGTGACCTAGGGAAGAACCTCCTACTCTTGGGGTTACCGACGAGCAGTCGTAACACTAGAATAGACTCTTCTGCCCCTACCTTGCTCGCACTAGCTTGCTGCCACACTCTCTCTCATAACCTTGCTCAGTGGGGATATAGACCCCCATTGAGAAAGCGTTACTGCACACACTCTGGAGCAAGACCTAGGCCAGGAATACCCACCCGGCACTAGACGTATCAATAATCAACTCCGTCACAACAATCGCCCTATCCGGCGCGAAGGGGACTTCTGGGTCTACGAAGACAATAACAGAACTGCCCCTCCGAATTACGATAACTGCTCATACCGAAACGGGCGTTATTACTTCACACTTGAAGACGGAACAGAAGAAGAGGATATTTGGAACGAAATAGAAGCTCAGTGGGAACTAGCCCCACCATACAGGGAACCGGCGCCGGTAATTCCCGAAGACTCGGAGCAAGAGGAAACAACCTCGGAATCAGACTCCGACTCACCAGACCAAACACCGATCAACACCCGAAACGAACCACTCGCCGAAATGTCGGGACAAGCTTCGACTTCTACAAACACCCCTTCCGCAACAGTACAACCCGGAAGAGGAAAAGTCAAACTCCCAGACAATTACACAGGCGACCGCATTGAATCCCAGAAATTCATGCTCCAATGCCTCCTTCTTTTCGCAGCAGAATCCGATCGGTACAAGACCGATCAAGACAAGATATCCCTTGTGCTCTCATGCATGAGATATGGCACGGCAGGAGCTTGGGCGGAGAACTTTCTCCTCAAATCAGTAGGAGCGGACCCACCTACCGATCTAGGCACCTGGAAGGACTTTTTAGCCAAGTTCAAATTACAGTTCAGGGAGACGGGCAAGACCGACAAGGCGCGAAGCGCACTTATGGCCTTCTCCCAAGGACGAATGACGGTTGATGAATACTCCAACCAATTCATTCTCATCGCCGCCGATGCCGACATCTCCGATAAAGAGCAAGTCCCTTACTTCCAACGCGGGCTAGACCCGCGCGTCATGGACAAAATATACGACAAGGAAGTTCAGCCAAAGGATACGATTCAGGACTGGATCAATACAGCCTGCGAAATAGATGGACGACTTCGAGCCAGAACAGCTCAAAAAGCCATCCTCGCCAACTCCACCTCCTTTCGAAGCGATTATCTGAATCGTTTTCATAACCAAGTCTCTCCCCGCTACAACTCCACAAACGCCCCTCGCAGAATGAACAACCAAGTTGTTGACATGGACATTGACGCAACACGCAAGCGCAATGCCCTTAGCCAAAAGCGGAAATATGATGGCAAGCGAGCCACCTCTTGTTCAAATTGCGGAAAGACAGGACATTCTAGCGCTAACTGCTGGTCGGCCCGCAGAGGCGTTCCACCAGTTCGAGGAAACTCGAAGAGACGCTTGGGTACGACAGGGAGAGGAAACCGCGCGGTCGATCTTGAAGGAGAAGACGACGCATCCGCTATGGGAGACCAAGCGGGAATATATCGAGGAATGGAGACAGAGGATGTTCATCGCAACAACCAGCGGGTACCACAACCTGGTCCTTCGATGGAACGTCCTCACTCTACCCCATCCGGACGACCCCAGACGAACCATGGGCAGCGCGCTATGCTACCTAACGGACGACGGGGAGACGGAGGCGTCAGTCATTCTGCTCGAATCGGAGCAGTGCTCGGAGAATTAGGAGAAGATGAAGCCAGAGAAGTAATCTTGGGACACGCGGAGCGTTTTTCCTGACCTCTCCCTCACCAGCGAAGGAGAGAGGTCAAGGACGACCCGAGTTTGATGCCCGCACTTGTATTTGTATCGGAGCAATGAACGACCGTATCATCACCCCCATACGCCTGAACGTGAAAGTATCAAACAGGAGTCAAAACGCTGGAGCAAAGGCAACCATCGACTCGGCATGCGAAGGGGTCATAGTAAACGAAACCTGGGTCAAAAGACATCGTTTCCCCACCTATACACTCAACAACCCCATTCGCGTCCGGAACGTCGATGACACCATTAATAAAGCAGGTCTCATCCGATCCGCCTTGGATGTGAACCTCACCATTCGGGACATCAGAGGACGAACGCACACTGAGCGCGTCCAGATGTTTATCTCCAATCTAGGGAAAGACGACCTTATCCTAGGAACAGATTGGCTGAAATACCACGATCCCTCCATCGAATGGAGGCGACGTGAAGTGCACTTTGATCGGTGCCCCCAGAAATGCCAGCAACCATATGGGTTCACTAGGGCAAGGGAAGAACCGCCATACAGTAGGCGGTTATCAGACGTGGAGCCACGGCACAAACCACGCATCAATGAGCGCGAAAAACAGCGCCTCGAACATCTCCGAAGACTATCGGAAGATGTAGGACTCCGCGACCACAGCGGAACGTTTGGCGTCCGACTACGAGCATACCTCAAAAGGAAATGGCTCCTAAAGGACATAAGGAAATACGCAGAAGAGAAATGAAAGGCTCAAGACAAGCCATCTCTTTCACCAAACGGGGGAGAACCTGATCTCCCAGACAAACCCTCAGGAAAACAGGCCACCCGGGACCCAGTTATTCGGAAACTGGCCCCCGAACCGTCAGGATTTGCCAGTTTCGACCAAGACCTGGAAGACGAAATTATCGTCACCAATCTAAAGGAAAGAGTTCCCAAGGCGCATCACGAATTTTTGGACATCTTTAGCGAACGAAAGTCGCAGCGACTCCCAGAACACACTTACTGGGACCATGCCATCGACTTGAAACCAACCTTCAAACCTCAAGTGCCCAAAATCTACGCCCTGAGCCCAGAGAAACACGACGAATTAGGAAAATTCATCAAGGAACATCTGGAGAGAGGAACCATCCGTCGATCCACCTCGCAAACAGCAGCCCCATTTTTCTTTATAGGAAAAAAGGATGGAAAACTACGCCCGGTACAGGACTATCGCCACTTAAATTCGCACACCATCCCGAATGTGTGCCCCCTTCCACTAATCCAGGAACTACTGGATGTGATAAAAGGGGCCATCATTTTTAGCAAATTGGACGTGCGATGGGGATACAACAATATACGCATCAAAGAAGGAGATGAGTGGAAGGCGAGCTTCATCACCCCGTTAGGTTCTTACGAACCTACGGTGATGTTCTTCGGCCTAACCAACTCGCCAGCCACCTTCCAAGCTATGATGAACATGATCTTCAGGGAGCTCATCACAGCCCGGAAGATAACCGTATATATGGACGACATCCTCGTCTTCTCCAAAACCATGGCGGAACATGTTAAAATCCTAAACCAAGTTTTCCAAATCCTACGCGACAACGATCTATATTTGAAACCCGAAAAATGTGAGTTTTACAAGGAAAAGCTCCAATATCTGGGATATACAATTTCAAAAGACCATGTCGCCATGGAGGACTCAAAGGTGGACGCAATAAAAGATTGGCCAACCCCACGCACAGTCCGCGACATTCGCTCCTTCTTGGGCCTAGGGAATTTTTACAGGCGCTTCATTGACAAATTCTCACTCATCGCGCGCCCCCTACACGACCTTACCAAAAAGGACGAGAAATGGAACTGGACTGCAAAATGCCAAGAAGCTTTCGAACGGTTAAAGAAAGCTTTTATCAGTAAACCCGTCTTGAACTATCCAGATCCCATGCATCCATATCGATTAGTAACGGACGCATCGCTAATCGCCTATGGAGCTACCCTTCTACAAGAAGGAAAAGATGGCGACTGGCACCCAGTCGCTTTCCTCTCTGGATCGTTTTCACCAGCAGAGCGGAATTACGATGTTCACGACCGGGAACTCTTGGCTATAATAAAAGCGTTGGAACACTGGAATCACTACCTCGAAGGAGCACGACATCCCTTCGAGATTTGGACAGATCACAAAAACCTGGAACATTTCCAAACGGCGCGAGACCTATCACGACGACACGCCCGTTGGAGCCTTTATTTGAGCAGATTCGACTTTACACTCAGCTATAAAGCAGGATCAACAAATCACTCCGATGCTCTGTCCAGGCGTCCAGACCTAAGTGAGGGGGTAGAATCTGACAACAAATCTCAAATTTTACTCCCGGCCAAGCTTTTCAACAAATCCGACGAAACATTGGTAGAACCGTCCCCGACACGGCATATAAAGTCCACGGAAATCGCCTCCTCAAACCTCATTTCCCTCATCCGACACTCGAAATCGGAACATGATGCCTTAACAAGGGTAGCCCTCGCAAAGCTCTTACGAGTAGGACCACAAGGGATGAGAGGATTATTGGGACATTGGACACATGAAGACGGAATCACCAGACGCAACGGCCACATATGCGTCCCCAAAGACGACGTCATCCGAAGACTCATCGTCAAAACACATCACGACGCACCCGCGGTAGGACACCCGGGTAGAGCAAAAACATTGGAAATGGTACAACGACACTACTGGTGGCAAAACATGACTAAATTCGTCCACGAATATGTGGATGGATGTGCCATATGCCAGTCTACGAAGAACTTGACACACAAGACACACCCACCGATCCACCCTCTGGAAACCACCAACGTTCCTTGGCGATTCATCTCGACAGATTTCGTCACGGACCTACCCGAAAGCAAAGGTTTCGACTCAATTAACGTGGTAGTGGATCAAGGTCTGTCGAAAGGCATAGTCATCACCCCATGCAAGAAAACGATCACGGCAGAAGAAACAACCGTGCTTTTCCAAAATAACGTTTTCAATCGACATGGACTGCCGACCAAAATAGTGTCCGATCGGGGCCCTCAATTTGCGGCCAAATTCACCCGAGAACTCTGGAAACGGCTAGGAATCACCGCCGCTCTCAGCACGGCGTATCATCCCCAAACAGATGGAGAGACGGAACGGGTAAACCAGGAGATCGAGCAATTCCTGAGAACGTTCTGCAACTACCATCAGGACAATTGGGTAGACCTTTTGCCGTTCGCTGAATTCTCACACAACACACGGAAACACTCGGCCACCGGGAAATCCCCTTTCGAAGTGCTATACGGTTTCAATCCCCCCTATTCAGCTGACACGGCGCTGGAGACAAAGGTACCTGCGGTAGCTGAACGCATTAGGACGATCACAGAAGTTCAGGAAGAAGCCGCTGCCAGCTTACAAATAGCCAGCAATTACGCCAAAGACCGGGATCTTCACAGGAAACTTCCCCAATGGGAGGAAGGAGACCAAGTATGGTTAGAAGGAACCCATATTCGGACAACCCATCCTAAATTCAAGCTCGCCCCTAGGCGATATGGCCCCTTCAAGATACTGGGAAAAGTAGGAACCCTGGCGTACAAGCTCCAAATTCCTCCGCATTGGAAAATCCATCCGGTGTTCCACGCCGCCGTGCTCACTAAATATAGAGAAACCGAAGCCCACGGAGAAAACTTCGCGCGACCAATACCGGAGGTATTGAATGATGAAGAACATTACGAAGTAGAAATGATCGTGGATTCAAAACGACAAGGACGGGGAACCAAGTACTTGGTCAAATGGATGGGATATCCCGAAGCAGACAACACCTGGGAGCCCTACACTCTCCTAAAGGGAACGGCGGAAGAAGCCATGAAAGATTTCCATGACCAATACCCTGACAAACCTCGTCCGGGAACAGCCTGAGAGGAGAGACGAAAGATTATAAAAGGAGCGACAAGAGGACTCCAACAAGAACATCTTCTCACCTTCTTTCCCTCTCAAACACTTTCCCCATTCGAATGCTCCTCCACGACGACCACGATGCTTCGTCTCCATCCAGAAACTCCTCCCCCGATGTCGTCCTTATGGTCGCCAATCCAGATGTCGAACGAGTGGAAAGAGGAACAAGTCCTCACCGACCAGATGCTGGACGAATTGATAGAGGAACAAGTCCTCAACAACCAGGATCTACCGGGGTCCTCCTCACCCCTCATACCAACAACTTCTCCGACGACGACACCGAAGACTATGCCAAGTTCAAGGAAAGGGAAAGAACCCGAAGACCCTCACCGGAGAGGGCCTCACGAGGTGCACCACGGCATGAAAGTTCTGATGACCGAAACCAGTCGAGCCTTGGCCCATTACCAGTGGGAGTTCCACCTCCTAGTGAAGGCACGCGTCCTAGTGGAGTTGCAGGTCCCTCGGGATTTCGAGCAAGAACGGCAGCTCAACTCCCAGGCCATGGAGAAGCTGAACCAATACCAGTTCTATCAGAAACTGCACCTCCGCCAGTACCAACTAGTGAACCGATTCCCAGCTCCATGGGAGGACCTCCCCCTCGTACAGATCCTCACGCCGGAGAACTGGAGCGACACGCGGACGCGCTCCTCCAGCGGAACACCATCTCCGCGGTAATACAAATGGCCACAGCCATGGCCCTCCAAAGACTCGCTAACTTCTCGGCAGGACAACCCGGGAATGAACATAGCGACGTACCTCGACGACTGGCTAGTGCCAGCCTCCAGATCAGGGCGCTCGCCCTCCAAACCGACCCGGACACAGCCTCCTGGTACGCCCACAATGACGGGCGACCCCGAGCCCTCCTCATCCACCCTGACGAGTTCTCCCAATACGTCAACCGAGAGCTCCTTCCAGCTCTCCTCTTTGGAGGAGAACTGGGAAACGTCCAGCCAAGCAGGACCGACCCTTTCCGAGTTGTCACTTGGAACGTACCACGTCCCGGAGAACATCCCACGCCTGCACCAAATCCAAGGAGGGTTCCGCGTACGGTCGTGGAGCGCCCTCCACCGAGACAACGAGAGGTTCCTACAGCGTATAACCATACCGCGACTCCCCCCTCTCACCGGATACGAGGTCTTCCCCTATCCCAAGGAAATACCGACGAGGAGGAACCGCCCGTCTATCGAAGAAATGAGGGAAGGCGGAGTCGGGGAAACCAGGCAACCCTCGGACGCGGAACAACTGCTGGCCGGAGTGTTCGACACCGGCCTAGATCGCCTCCTCCTAGTGCTCGACTTCGTACGAACGAAAGAGAGGATAACCGAAGTAGCCGCAGAACTCGCCGCATTGATTCGGAGGCTCGAAGAAATAGCTCTTGGACTAGATCCGAGCTCGATGCATGGGATGCTCTAGATGATCCAGGAAACTACGACGAGGCGGACCCCTACTATCGCCCTGACGAAGGGGGCGGGGATTATCAAGGACCTTTCGATTATTAAACGGACTAATAACAGGGCACAAGGGAAAGAAAGGGGGTAAGGAAGTTGAGGAACTCTTTCCCCCGACACAAAATAGCATCCGAAACGATGTAAAACTACAATCGTCCGCAACGACGTAAAACTAGGATCGTCCCTCAAGACGTTAAACTGTACGACCTCGTCCGAAAGAGACGTTAAACTACCGCGCGTCCGGAATGACGTCTAAACTATCGGACCTGCATGTCTTAAAACTGTGAAAAGATAAGAAGGCAGGGGAAGTACCTGACCAATTAGTTCTTAGGTTCCAATGATGGTAGGAATCAAGGGACAACAGCGGGTATAATTCCACGTACGACCTACGGCGGAATCCTTTCACATCCTCGCTGTCAAGGAGTTAATCTGACAGATGCAACGAGCGTCCCATTTGGATCCTCAGTTTTACAGGGTTTTTTTCCGCATTAGGGAACCCTCTACATGACATATATCTACTTGAAGGTGTCAACAAGCCGGCTCTTCGCCTTGGTACAGCGAAGGACCCATACATAACGGTCTGCAATCCGTGGTCGAGAAAATTATGATGCATAACTCGTCAAGTGACCCTCACAGTCAAGGTCTGACTGGTGTTTTGGGACGTCCCACTTTGGATCTCCCGTTTTACAGGATCGTTTCCGCATTAGGGGATCCTACAGCTGGCGCATGAGATGATGTAGAGAGCGGGCCGCCTCTACCTCACAAGTCTTCCTAAATGATGCGAGGCCACAAATAACATCCGGAACGATGTAAAACTACCAAAGGCTTGGTCCGCAATGACTATAAACTACTAGGGTCCGCAATGACGTTAAACTAGTCTTCGTCCGAAACGACGGAAAACTATCCCTCGTCCGAGATGACGTTAAACTACCATTGACCAAAGGAGCGTGGTTGCATTCTGGCGAAGCGCGGAAGGACTCGCGTCACAGAACCCTGCCTATAAAAGGTCGAAGCGCTTCCGATATTCACTCGCTTTTCGGTAAAAGAATATCGGGTCGACTTGGTTCAAATCCAAGCGAGGGGTCTGGGGACATGGAAGAGCAAGCATCTCTTCATGGAGCGCTCAGTCTAGTCCTGGAGTCGAAGTACAAGAAATTCCGCTCCAAGACCTAGTCAGGAGGCAACTAGGACACGTGCCTCGAGTCAAAGATCTAGTGGGAAGGGACTAGATCACGCGACTCTCGTCTGGCCCACATAGCGGAAGAACGACAAGAGCGGGCCACTCATCCAAAGTCTATTCCGCCACTCGTCCGCGACGACGTAAAACTAGGTCTCGTCCGCAACGACGATAAACTACGAAGTGTCCGGGATGACGTTAAACTAAGCATTGTTTTTCCACAATATTTGTGGCGAAACAACGTCCGCGATGACGTTAAACTATTGTCCCTTTTCCACATAGGGATTGTTCGAGGCCAATGGCATCGACGTCCGCAATGACGGTAAACTACGGGCGTCCGAAATGACGATAAAACTACCGTCCCTTCAAGTATAGGGATTGTGCGTGGCGATCTTGACAAGATACCGCGCGTCCGAAACGACGTTAAACTAGTGCCCCTGAACCTAGGGGTTGTCATTGACGTCCAACCCCCTGGACACCAATGCGTCCGCAATGACGTTAAACTACTTGCTCCCGATCGCATGGGAGTTGTGATTCATCACTCTGGTGCTGAATCGTCCGCAATGACACAAAACTATTTGCTCCTTACCGTATAGGAGTTGTGGATTGACCGCCATGGTGTCAATCGGTCCGCAATGACATTAAACTACGTGCTCCTTACCGAATAGGAGTTGTGGTTGTTGACCAAGACCGTGGTCACCAATCGTCCGCAACGACGTTAAACTACTCGTCCCTTTTAGCACAGGGATCATCATCAACGTCGTCCTTGACGAGAACGACGCTGATAACGTCCGAGACGACGTTAAACTACCCTCATCCTCGGAGGAAAAGCCTATCGTGACTCGAGGGACATAGTCAGACGATAGTCCGCCTAATGCACGGCGTTAAACTGCAGGTCCGCCTACCTCACGGCGTTAAACTGAGCGGCCTCATAACCTTGAGGCGTTACAAGTTATCCGGTTTGATATAGTATAAACCGTCCATCATGCCTCAGTGGAATCTGGAGCGGGTAAAGTCTGGTCTATGGCCCTATGCACATCACCGATGGAAATTCCGGCGTGCAGAAACATCTTTCCCCACAGATATTCCATGATGATGATGAAGGGCGTCCGCAAAGACGTTAAACTACGGATCGTCCGAAACGACGATAAACTACGGACCGTCCCGCATGACGTTAAACTGCCAGTCGTGGATATATCTCGCAACCCGACAAATATATCAGCTGTGGTCTTAATGTCCATTTCGTGCAAGCGAACGGGCCGATCTGGGGAAGGAGTCAGACTCCTCCTTGCCCCTCGCGGCACCCTTCAAGTCTAATTCTCTTCACATCCTTGCCTCAAACCCAATACGCATAGTGAATCAAACAAACTCTGGACGTCGAACTAACTCACCGGAGATGAGCCCACCGTATGGGGGCGATACTGCTTGGGATTTATGGCTGCAACCTCACCGGAGATGAGCTCACCGTATGGGAGCGATACTGCTTGGGACGTTAAGATGGTAGTCTGGGGGAGTAGGCCTAAGCCTTTGTAAAGCGATCAACCTACTTGCCCGTGGACGCCATCCTCTGAACGCCAAGAGGAACAACATTTATCACGAGGATAACGACTATCCTGGAAACACTGAGGTTTGGCCCTCGGAGAAGGAAGAAGAAGAACCTGATGACACGAATCGGAACCCACACGCTCGAATTTCTACACATCCACACACCACTCGCAATGGAGCGGCGATGGAGCGCACAGCGCTGTCCTACCAGGCGAATAGGACGTAGAAAGGGGGTATTGTTATGATCACGTTCTATCGGGCCTATACGGCGGTCTATACCGATACGATCATCACAAATATCACGCGGCCTCACAGGTTGAGGCGTACTCCAAGGTACAGATATTAACCTTGGTCATCCACTCCCAATGGATCATCAATCATTGGTCGAGTATCACGGGCCTTTGTATTAGCGGGCATGGAACGCCGCCTTATAAATTACTCACACGCAGGGCATGAACCTCCTAATCTCTCCTGGCCGGAAGGAGACCAACGGAGAAGCACAAGAGTAGTCGTTATTGAGAGAGACGACTTAGAGAATACCTACAGATATATATTCGGTATTCTCACGCCCTACTTCCCAAAGTAGTATAAAAGGCCCATAGAATAGGCTGACGATCTTCAGTCTATTCTCTTCGTTCCCCTGTATCTTCACATACAGGGATCTTCGTTCAGTACTGTCTTCCTACAGTATTCCTTCGCTCACTGCAGTCTACCTACTGCAGCCTTCATTGCTACCTCGCAATACACTTCTGGCTCCTGTGCTACACGTACAGTCGAGACCACCGTTCCACACACCCTCCACGAGTGACCTAGGGAAGAACCTCCTACTCTTGGGGTTACCGACGAGCAGTCGTAACACTTTCTCTATGTAGCAGAAAACAGACCCTCCTGGAAAGAGTGGTCAACCAAAGATGATTCTGAATAACTAAAAATCTAAGAATATTTGACAGGCTTCTCCATATATGTTTTTTATTATGCATAGAATATGAAGCCAGGAGAAGCTGATTATGTTGATTGTTTTCTCCAAGAACATATACAACAATATAATAATCAGGGCCTTGAATGATTACAGACCACCACTGCTATGAATGTCACTAGAAATCATGGATATTGTTCCATGATGACTCTATTGGTATAGATGGTATGTATTCAAATATTACTGACCCTCAACAGGTCTGCTCTGCACTGACTGATCAGATGGTAAACTTGTCATGGGTATATATCAAGATACTATTTGTTGATACAGCATTCTCTCACTTTCTTATGAGATATGTAGCTGAGATGTTATACAGATAAGTCTCTCAAATATCCTTCAATTTTTGGTAATCCAGAATCTTCTTTGGTTGACCACTCTTTCCAGGAGGGTCTGTTTGCTGCTACATAGAGAAAGATCTCACCACAAAAGCTTTAAACTGACTCATTTTTTCAAATACTTTGACAAATGGAATGTTGATATCATACATTATACACCAGTATATTTTCAAAATTTGTCATATTTTTGTTAGACATACAGCTAACATACAGCCATGCTCAAAAATGCCATTGTAGCAGCTCGGCAATTGCCGTTCAGACACTTTTCGCGGGCACGAGTACATCCGGATTTCAGAAGCAGTTCAACTGTCAACGTTCTACTACGATTTGATATCATCATCAACAGGGTCATCAGCGAGTCGGTGGGATACTTCATTGCGCCGTGGGAGGTAGCGTTGAGCTGGATCGGTTATGTCGTGGAGAAGTCGAAGCGATCTCAGACTCAGTGGCATCTAATCTTATCAAGTCTTATCTTGACCCATTTTTCACTCGCCAGGGTCCATGATCTGCTCTGCTCAAAGTTACTTCCTTCATACCACAGCCTGGCCGGCAGATTGCATAAGGCCACCTTTATTTTACGGGGCTTATAGAACAGTACATGAATACCCAAAGAATATACCAGCAACGACCAGAATTCAGATGGCGAGTCCGTCACACGTAGTATGTGTCCAACACCCAATTTCCTTCAAAGCTACATCTCACTGCGATGTAGCACACGATCAACGAAACGAAAGTAAACTCTCCTAACTCACCATTAGATCCTCGAAAGCTTCTTCAATCATTGGCTAACAACGACCTTGCATTCAGTATCTTGCCGATGTGCGTGGTAAGATACTCCATTCCTTTCCGCCGCAACCCTGTGAGCTCTTTCAGATTCCTCAGCGTGCTCTCTTCGAGGCAAAGATCGAGAATTGCGCTATGTCGGTCCTCTGGCTTGATGAATCCGTCAATCTCAATCTGACCCTCACTGACTAGCTCCTCTGTGCAGACACCCAGAGATGCGCACAAGTGCGGGTAGGTCTCATGAGTGTCTATGAATAACTGCCCTGCCCATAGATTGATCATTGATTGAATGATAAGCGGTGGCGGAGTCCAAGAATCTGGAAGAGCAGGAATGCAATGAAATTTGGGGTTTGCGAAGCCCTTCATCGCTTGTGTGAGTTGAATCATTATCCATTTTGATCTAGATCTCATACTGATCATGGATAGCATGCCGACGTGGATCTCAAGTGAACCAGTGTATCTCACGAGTAGAGGCTCTCTTGATCATTGGTGCACAGGTATTAGTCAGTATTGTTTCAAAATCGACGGATGTGGAGCATGCATAACTTCCTGATTCTATACTTGTTAGAATCATGCTTGTTCATGATCTGGGTTATTAAAATGACTGAGAAAAAGACCTTGCCGGCAGATTCACTTATAGCCAGATCATTTGGCTGATGGCACACCATCTCAACTCGCCATATCTCCTGCTTCATTCCGTCAGCACTTGTGGTGCAAGCCATCGTACCAGTTCTACGTTCGTTCAAATGAATGGTCCCTGTGGTGCATGGTATTTTACGCTAACAGCATTTGGATCAAGTCTTCAAGTCAACTTTTGAATCAGCATTTTATATGTTAATGTGATAGATACGCGCATGTCTGCTATCTATCATCAAATTCGAAGTTGCAGAGTAGTGAGGTTTGCCCTATGTGCATTTTGGGCGACCGGATACAGTGCGCTCGGACGAAAGCTATTTTTTGATGCCCTATTGCCTGCATCTCTCATCAAAGTCGAGGTTGTAGAGTACTAAGGTCTATCCGATGTGTATTCTCGAAGCACGGCCTTACGATGTTATCTTCAGGTCAACTCTCATCGTCTTTCCGTCTTACTCCACCAATTATGGCTCTTCTGCCTGCCTCGATTTTGTCTGTCAATCCGCGATGAACAATCTTCCCAATGGTCTCCCTGATGAGTATGTACCAGTCCTATTTGCTGCCCATCACGTGGACACACTCCATTTATTCGAACTTGAGATCTCGTACGTTCGTCCAGGACCACCGGAGCTCATCCCAGACAAAACATCAGGCTTAATACAATTGGTGAATCCAATTCTATCGGGATACAGGTACTATATATGTCATACACCCTTGTATTGTGAGTGGCCAGCAATGGATCGTCATGCTGATCAAAAAGTTTGTTTCATCGCGTGCACAGATGCGACCTGGCCAAGCAGTCAGCTTGATGCATAGATGATTTATTCGAAAATACCTGAATTAACCAATCCGGGATGGTAGTCTGCATTTGTTCGCGTCGCGATACGCTCGCATATAGACCCACCCGATTCCCTGCATGGACCAACGTCTCGTGGACTGGGTCATAGACGTCGTCAACTCCTTTGTCGGAGTCCTCTCCGTCAGCGTTGTTATTGTATTCTCGGTTGTCAATATCGCCCTTTTGATGATCGTCTTGATGATCGTCTCCAATTTCATCGCCATCGTCTCGTCGGTCTCTGGGCCGGGTCTCACTGTCATGTTGTGCGTGTGTATCACTTGCCCTTTTGCTTCTACCCTCGTCGTTGCCAACATAGTCGTTGCGGGCCCCGCCTTTGTTACTCTCGCTACTGTTCTCACTGGAATCGCCATCGTCATGATCATGATCGTGGTCGCGATTGTGGTCGACACCCGCCTTGTTGCGCGATTTGTCGTCTTCTTCTTCCTCATCGTTGCTACCGTCAGTGCTATTTCCGTGATCTTCATCGTAACCATAGTCCTGGCTTCCACCCCCGTCTTCGCTTTCTCTGCTTCCATCTCCGTCGCCTACATAGTCGTTGCGGGTCCTGCCTTTGTTACTCTTGCTATTGTTCTCGCTGGAATCGCCATCGTCATGATCACCATGGTCGTGGTCGCAGTCGTGGTCGATATCCGCATTGTTGCGTGATTTGTCGTCTTCTTCTTCCTCATCGTTGCTGCTGTCAGTACTGCTTCCGAGATCTTCATCGTAACCATAGTCCTGGCTTCCACCCCCGTCTTCGCTTTCTCTACTCCCGCGAGAGGCAGTGAGAAAATCGACGATAGCGGTGGGCCATTCAACCCTTTCCCATAGCGTAAGCATCATGAAGGCATGTCTTTGTAGTGAGAAGAGGGCCAAAGCAGCCCTAAAATTGCTAAGGATCGGAGACTCTCCGCTTGGATCCAGTGAGCTAGGTCGATCCGCGCCGGTCATAGGTATGCGATCTACTATACATGAAAGATACGCATAGGACGGGGTGCAATCGGACGTAGTCGCCATAGCTGGAGACGCAGTTGGATATGGAATGTGAGCAACGATGACCAGACCATCGGCATCGTACAGTATTCCAAATATCATGAAGCATGGGGGTAGGGAGGAAGAAGAAACAAACGGGAGAGGAACCTTAGTTTGAACATTTTGCTCGCAACGAAGACACCAGTTCAAAAGATGCGTGTCCAAGCTCGATTGTATGATCTGAGAGAGATGACGAATTTTCTGATCCATCGATGTCGGAGGGATTGTGGAAGATGTTGGACGAGAAGATATGTGCGAAGGCCACAGAGAAGGCCCCTTCATTCCTACGAGAAGTGCAGGCTCGAAAAGGTTCGCCTTCATGAGTTCTACAGGAGAGGGCGTTGGATTGAAAGAGTCCATCAGAAGCCCAAATGCGTCCGATGAAGATTCACTGGTTCCTTGGAGCGGCGGTGGGAAGTCCAGTCGAAGCTTACTGTACATGATGAGTTGAGATCAATCTTGCATGAGAAAGAACTCACGGAACTAGCACGCAGCCTGGGGTTGTTAGAAAAAAACTTGTGATCGCAAATGCAGCATTATCCTCGTCTCCTGGGTATGTAACGATCTCGAGGAAGAATGGAAAAGCGTACAAAGAATTCTTGGATAATGGTGAGTCTCCTTCACCTCGACGAATGGCCGATAGAGGGGCACGGAGCAGAAAGTCGGGAGCAAATGACGAAAGATCGTCGTGAGTAGACGCAATTTGGCCTTCTGAAAGCCAGGTTATGTGTGTATCGATGGATTCCAACCAAGGCATCAAGGCGGTTGAGTGCAGCCATTCCTGCAGGTTCCACGCTGTGCGCTTTCCAATTGGCTTCCAAAAAACGTCACTTTATTCGTAAAACACTTCGACATCGCGACATACCTTCCATTTCTCCGGTATGCCTAGCGAGTGGAGCGAGGCAGATACCCATTGCCTTTTGAATTTTGAGATGAATTCGAGTTGATTCGAGCATGCAGCCGCAATGTCCGGGTCCACAAGGTCAGGTCCTTCAACATATGTCCACCCTCTATTCAGAAAACAAGGATATTGTATCATTAGTTCACAAGAGGTGGGCCACCGGGGAAAAGGAATACGATTCGTTAGTGCCGAACCGAGCTGCCCCAGCTCGAAAACACAGCTCTTCTAAGCTGAGTTGATACGGTGCGTCGATATCTGAAAAAGCAGCCGCCATGCTCGACGCTCGTCAAGAGGAGGAAGATGATGTGATTCTGGTTTCAGCCGCGGTCTCACTGCTGACGATCAGTCATATGTGACTCTGGGTGACTCTAGGGTCACGGTCACGGAGTGGCCCAACCCGTTCACTTTACTCTCATCCTCATCAGCCGTGATGCCTGCCCCGATCATCCAACATCTAACTGATAACCACCGCGTAATTTGTTTGACTATCGAAGACTGGCGTAATATCTATGGAATGAGTCCCATCAAGCCGGATAGCGTCCGTGCTCTGGATAAAGTGCCACCAACACTTCAGTACGTAACGACTTTCCGTCTTTGTCTATTCGCGAAAAGCAAACACACAGACGCTTTAGGCCCCTGGCAGATGGTCCCCACCGCTGGCTGTTTGAAAGAAAACTCCAGGTTGGGTATGATGGAAGAGCTGGGCTAAGTATCGACAGCGTGGTCGATGTTATACAATCACATGACATACACGAAATGCAGCCTCTTGAGATCCCGGTGGATTGGAAGGCAAGTATACATGAATCATCCCAGATTAGAGATTTTAAAAGTTATTCTCGAGACAGGACAGCGTCTCAGATGAGAGTATAAACACTACGATTACGCTGTTACAGACGTCGCTGTGCCAATTCGTGGACAATGTGCACAATGCATGGTCCAGCATTCCTGTACTATTGTATAGGCCGAGGTCGCATTTTGCGACCATACCTTATCCAAAGCCAAATGTAACTCTACACGAGTTGCGGGATCCGCGCATGACTTTGTACAGCGTCGAGTGGACCATCTTCAAGATTTTGTGCAAGGGAAATAGTCGCGTGACTGGATATAGCGTGCTCGATCCACCACTTTTTTACGATACTCTATTGCCAGCTATCTGTCATCAAATTCGAGGCTGCAACGTACTGAGGTCTGTCTTACGAGCATTCTCGTTTGTAAACAAGACCTTACTGAGCTAGTTCTAGATCAATTCCTATCACCTTTCCAACATACTCTGCCGATCATGGCTCGTCGACATGCCTAGATTTTGTTTGTCAACCGTCCACCAATAACCTTCCCAATGGCCTGCCTGGTGAATATATACCGGCCCTATTTGCTGCCCATCATGTAGACATTCTCCACGCATTCGAACTATCAGAGATCTCGTACGTTCGTCCAGGACCATCGGAGCTTATGCCAGACAGAAACCCGGGCCTCGTAAAGCTAGTCAAGGTTTTCCAGCCTTCGTTGCAGCTGCTTGTCATGTATCTGACGAAAAAATATCGAATCGATAATTATCGATGGCATCCTGAGTGGAATGTAAGTGGCCCCCTTGCCATTCGAAGAAGCAATCGACTGACGCGCCGACTCAGCCAATCATTGGCAAGAAAGATCCTGCATGGTCGAGGCCTCATGTGCCGGAGAAATATTTTTTCTTTGGCATGAATTACTCCCAAACCGAATGCATCATCTACACATTCTTTCCGCGCTATGAAGTCACATCCTCCGGACGAGTGGAGTGGGGATTCTGCTGCTACGAGGCATATCATCCGTGGCCCATTGGCAGCACCAATCCATTGCATCGCGTTCATCTAATCAACACTTTTCTTAGAATTCAACGCCATACCGCCGAGCTTGCCGAGATTTTCAAGGATGTCTCCCGTTCATTAGGGACTACAAGATGTGTCTGATGCCAGCTAGTTATTGCATGCCTCATCCGTCGGAAGTATCACAAGAACCTGTCTTTGCTATGACGCGAGAATCTGATTCTCAGCTACTTGTTTCCCTTTCAACTATCATTCTTCCAAGGCCATACGGCACTTTTGAAAATAGATGGACCAGGAATCAATCTTGAGTTTGAGCAGGCACGTTGACGCTTCACCGGCTGAGTTAAGTATGATGGATCGATAGGAACGTGGGCTTTCATAGATCCTCAAGATAGCGATGGGCCATACCACATGCAACGACTCTGTCCTCGTTGCTCTCATTCTCCATCCCTAAGTTGTTTCAGAGATATCCGCCGATGCTTTCAATATCTGAGCTAGAAGAGTGAGTAATCTCACATGAGTCATCTAGGAAATGCGCTGAACTCTTGATTCTTAGTGAAAATCTTCGCATAACAAACCCGCGCCCACCAAACATCCCAGACCAAGACAATAAACCAAGCGCAGACTTTGCTACTAGGGAAAAGCTTTATGAAAATCCCGAAAAATACGGCTACACACGTAAAGAGAGATTGGATAAGGCGGTGGATGAGTATTGGGAGAATATCAACGTCCATTCTGGAGCAATTGAGTGGCAAAGGACCCACGGAGTTTTATGGCGCGTTTCACGTGCACCTACTTCTGAAGGGAACAAGTCAGTTATAACCGCCAGGTATGTAGCTCTGAGCTATTCAAGAACGTCATTTCTGAGAGTTTTTCGCGATTCAGCAACGTGCAGCAGTCAGACCTCACCAGCCAATATGGCTGGAAATTCATCAACCTCAAAGATACAGTCTCCGCAGTGGCATAGGATGAAGATGCACCTGAACGTATCACGTCTTACACGTCTGTTCGTGATCGATCGCAGCGGATTTTGAAGGATGTGAATGAAAAGGCATTGGTAATTTCTGAGTCTTGGCCAGTGTGCAATACGATCTCTCCCGCCTGATAGTACGCTAAATCCTCCCCTAGAATATGACGGACGCCGATTTAGACGTTATGGAGATCCAAAATGTCACACGAGCCGTACTCAAGGCCCACATCGCGATGCTGGAAACGAAACTCGGCAGGAATCTCATTCGCATTGACACAATCGACGAAACCCATAATCCAGTGACCGAAGAGGATGCTATGGGTCTGGACGTGATCACGCTCGAATTGTGGGATAACGCAATGCCAAAGGAAGACGCCAAAGAGCCGCAGCTATATATCGAGTTCAACATGCTCTATACCCTGCTGTGGCCCGGGGGGTTTCGATCTGCTTCGGAGCTTGCTGTTGAACGTGTCATTGGCGTAATCATTGCGCCCTATCTCGAGCTCAAAGATTGTGAAACTTTATCGTGCGTGCGACAGTGCCATTTTCATTTGTCGACACTGACAAGAGGTGATATTAGAGGACAATCTGTCAGGTTGTCTCTGATCCTTGGGTGTTTTGGCTATTTTACTTCTGCCGATATATGCACAAAGATGCTTTTCAAGCCTCCTGTTGGCGCCGATGGCAAAGCCCTTCAAGAATACGACGATTTGAGCGTTTTGCAACCTGTTATACTTGGTGCCGAAGCAAAGCGGACGCTCGGAAACCACGCCACGGAAGAAGAGAAACTCAATTCAACCCAACCCAATGTCAAAGCGAATTCAAAAAGGAAGATAAAAAACACACCAATGCATCGCGCCTCGGCTCAGCTGGCGTTCTTATTCCAACCGACCCTCAAAATTTTCATAGGCCATCTCTGCGAGCTAGCAGAGTCGGGTTCAGAAGATTATTTGAGAGAGAAGATAGAGGGCTGGGACTCGTTGCCTCTCGAGGCGAGGCTGAGGGAGAAAGTGGGATGGGCCGAATGGACCAAGGTGACGGTACGTGTCAGACGCTTATCAAAAACTGCGTCCTATTCTGAGTGCGATCACAAGATCCCGGAATGGATGTTCTGTTATGGGATCGGATACGACTTCGCTGGCTTTACGGTTTACAGCTTCCACCCTGCACTCTTCGTAGAGAACGGTAAGCCTCATTGGGAATTTCACTGTTGCGAGATGGTAACTGGCTTCGAGGAAGTGTTTCTGCATTTTGATGCAAAGCGCCGTGTTCATGCTGTGAAGACCTTGCTGGCCATGCGAAGGCATTCTCACTTCCTTGCTCAAACCCTCAGAGGTCCTAATCAATTGCTTTTCCCGGAGGAATTTATAAAGGTAGCGAAGGAAATGAGCATGGAGGACGAAGCAAAGAAGTGGACACAGGCGGAGACAAGGAAACAGAACCGAGAGAAGAAATCTCAGAGTGAGGGCAAAAGCCCGTCAACGAAAGCTGCGTCTTCAAAGGCCGAGGAAGTCATTTTAAATGAGGAGGGGAAGGGAGGTTCTTCACGATCAAAGGGAAAGCAGACTTCAGGATCGCGCTCCTCGAGAGAGAACGCGAAGCTCGGAACTATTCAAGAAGACGAAGAGGAGGCGAAAAAGGATGTGAACAGAAAAGCACCCAAGCGAGATGGGGGGGGGGGGATCTGCGGAGGTCCCTACGGGCCAAGGAGTGGGAAGGAGCAGGGGATCTACCTCGAAGGCCAAAAAGGCCAAAAAGCTGGACGAACACGGCGACTACATCTCCACGAGCAAGGACAACGTGCCGGAGGGGTATGAGTCCCCGAAACCAGGAAAGTCAGTAAAAGTTATAAAGAGGACAGCGAAGGAGAGTCAGGGAGCGGTGACACATCTAAGTGAAGGAAAGGAAGAAGGCGATCCTAGCAGAGAGTTGAGCGTTGAAGCGTAAAAATCGTATACATACTTGTCTTTAGACAGATCATATCGATCCATATGCATGCAGACCCAAAGACGAGATGGCGACTAACAACGATTTCTTGAAATGAAGGCATCTGTGTCGAGAGTATTCACCGCGCCTTTGTCCACTGCTGGTCGTCGCGAAAATCTGTGATTGAAGGAAAAGCGATGCGCCTATCATAGAGGACCTTTTCTGCGCGTCATCACTGTCGTGCTTTGGAGGAGTCTCTGGTAGGTCGTTGCGCCGCGGTCGGTCGGTCGCCTTCAACAGCGCGGAACGGAAGAAAATGATTGTAACCAGCTTCGGAGTCACTCTGCTTTCCGATGCTCTCACATTCTGACTCTCAACAGAAATCTCATATATGTACCTGAGCTTGACATCTACGAAAAAATCCACAAAATCTTCCGTGTACGATTCACAAGGCACTCGTCTGACAACTGTCACACGCTGTCCCTGCTACAGAATTCGAAATTGTTCGAACCTGTCTTACGCTCAACAGCGCGTCAGGACCACACTGCCAGCTGAGATGAGCATCGAGTTCGATTTACCCACCGTGGATGCATTCCTTATTCCTCCTTCAAAAAGCTCTCACTCGCGGACCGATCGAGGTTTCTCGTATTGGCTCGTGTCCCTTACTCTCTTCCAACCGACCCTCACCATGCTTTCCTGCACGCTCCTTCCCCACCTCATGGATATGGTCCAGCCTCACTCGCCGCAGCTTGCACACGCTGTAGAAGAACGTCAGAATGCCGCAAACCACAGTGCATACGCCCGTCACGATGAGCGTCGCCTGACTAGTGTCCGTGAAACGTTCACCTTGCGCCCCGATCACATTCGCCAGCGTTGTGATCACTCCTGCAAGTCCGTGTAGAAATTCCGGCCTATTTTGCAAAAGTAGACGCGTGCTCAGTGACCATGTGGCAGGCACATCGAAGCTTACTGACAGGAATATGCTGTTGAGGAGCCAAATTTAATTTGCGCTCCACTTCCACCACAGCCAAACCGTCCCGAATACACCAGCTCCGCAGCATATCCATGCTAAAATATACCTGCGTAATCGCCATCGAAGCGCTCAGCCTTACGTCAGCTAAAGAACTCGAGCTAACTCACAGAGATAGGTTGTGCACAGCGTGTGACACGTAGGCCTCGATCTGTTGATGCCGTCGACCCCGTCATCCACTTTGATACTCTGCAAGCTCGCAAAGGTTCCTTGAAAAAGGACGAATTCGGCGAGGAGTAAACAGGTGAAGAAACACTCCAGCAGGTTGTCGACGCGCGGGATGGCATCAAGTGCGAGGAGCATCCTCATATATTGCGTCTGGACTGGCGCCGGATGTGGTGATGGCATCCGGACGTATGGAGAGCTATCGGGCGCGTCCTGTTGTATATGGTGGTGAATTATTGTCATGATAGACTTGAAATGCTGGAGAGAATGAGAGTGGCCATGACCGAGAGCTAATATCAATGAGAGGTGAGTGGATGAGTGCTTTAGGATGAAAGTCAATACTGTGAGGGATGCGTCCGCACATGTAGGCGTTGACATTTATCCGCACCAGGGGTAGGCAGAAGCGAAACTTCGTGTACCTTGATCCATATTGGCATCCTGAGTATCCGTCGCCGTAGCCATTGGGGCAGTGGAAACGCCAGACTGCCGAAAATAAAGCGAATACAGTGCAAGACGACAGAGGTCAGGAAGAGGAGCATGTACCGAAGCACTCCGACTTTCGCTTAAGTTTCAGGCTTCTAGCACGGCTCGACTTCAAAGAGTATAAAGCCGCCTTGGCACGAGAGAAGCTTGCGGAGACATATTCTTCCAATGTCTCTTTCAGCGTCATGAACAACGGACAAACAGAAGGACGCCAAAACCTCAGGCTTGAGAGTCCGGAACATGAAATTTCTCATCCCAGAATGATTATATGATTGAGAACGAAAGAAAGTGAGATCAATGTCACCATCGTCCATACGCAATCTTGTAAGACGAAGCTCGCCGACGTACGACAGGCAGAGCGGGGAGTAAGCTCTCAGAAAGCCCATGTGGGGAAGGAGGGAAATTTGGATCGTGAGAGTATGCTTATATCAGACTATGGTAAGAGAGAAATACTAAATGTCGTACTGGAATTTGGCAACAGGGGACTGTCTAGTCTAGGATAGAGGAACCAGTGACACGGATTCGCGCTCATCATCATACGGCTCGCATATCATGGAGAGCATTCTTTGCTTCTGCACTATTGATGCAGCTCCCAGCGCGGACAGCAGAGGTGCGTGAATACTCAGGCCTCAGGGTGAGGGCCAAAACGAAGCCGAAGGAGTGAAACAGCCCCCAGATGCGATGGAACCGAGCGATAGAAGCAACGAACAAGATGTGCAGGCTTGATACAATCTGTTGGACACGACGAACATGGAAGCTCACCAGATCCATTTGAGGTGCGCATTTCAGCCATTCGAGTTCGGCCATCTGAGCTCGACAGACCTCTCATACGCGGCCTCCTTCGTCTCATGCAGTTACTTGACTGTGCTTGAGGTTTCAGGGGATACAGAGTGAAGCAAGTGATGGCAAGATATTGTTTTCTCGAGGCTAGCCAGTCAGGGGCGGGCGATGACAGACAAAAGCAAGAAGGCAGAACACGGTAGAGATGGAGAGATCAGAACTGGATTCAGCATTGAGGCGTCGCCGCGAAAAGCCGGGGAAAGAACGGCCAAGCGTCAATCGGCGCGGGCGTTAAGTCGGCAATGTCCGAAACCTCCGGCTCCAACATCGAGTTCACATTCCGCGGGCTGAGGCAATGGTCCCATCATCTTCAGACTTCAAAGACTATGGTAGGCTTTCTCTTTCGAGCTGTCACAATTCATATGCGACATCTGACTCACTAGTCCCAGAAGGTTTATCAGGCTCCACCACTCGTTTTTATTGCCTTCTGACGAAATGATGATCTCCGTGGATATGAACTCGGTTGGGCTGACTGGGCGGGATTTATTTGTGGGATAGATGTCTGGTGTATCCATGTTAGGCCTCGGCTGGCCTTGAGTATGGATACACATAAGCTAGCGACGCCACTCGCATTCCGACGAAGCCTTTGAGTCTTGTTCCCAGTGAGCAATCTACTTCGTCTGCTTCCTTCGTTTTCTGACGTCGATCTTGATGACATGGATTGTCTTCTCGGCTGTACAGGGTATCGCTGGATATGGTACGCCACGAGGATGCTTTTGAAAATCTGCCTCGACCTTGTTTAGTGCTTCCAGGATGCCGCTCCGAGCACCTTTTGTTCACACTTCAGAGGTGCGATGTTTGTGCCGCCCTGGTCTCCTTTCATATCTTTGCTTCTGACTTCACGGATAAACAGCAGTCAATTACGACACTTCCTTAAAGTTACGTTACGAAACATCTTTCCAATCGCCCATGTGCGCATCTGAGTGTGCGCCTTGTCTGCTTTTGTTAATATGATTGTAAGCCGATTCGCCGTATTCTGTTCAATTTACATCAGATAAGGCAAAGAACCACGTGGGTCTTTGATTACAGCCAACCGCCCATGTTGCGGACATATCGTCATTCGACACCTATATACCATGGGACATACAACCCACTCTAATCTTTCGTACACACCTAGATATTATCTCTGCAAGACGCTTCAACTAGACTTCTCCCCGCATTCGTCACTGTCGCCGCCTTCCTCGTTCTTGTTAACAGTCTCTTTAGCATTCAATAGGTCCATCAGGGCCTTTTGAAATGAATACTGCTGGGACTCTCCGTGATACGGTGGAATCCGGGCCTGGTTTATCTTTCCAGGACTTCCTTGACTTCTACCATTCGACAAATTTCCTTCCTTGTTCATGCCACTAGTTTTGTTTCGGCTCTCATTTACTCCTCTTGCGACTTTCTTCGACTTCTTTTCACTGATTGCCGTGTTGTTGGTGGTGTTTGGAGCGGGAGACGCAGCAGGAGATGGTGTGGCATTGTTTGTCATTTCCACTATACGGTATAGTGAGGGCTGTCGCGTCAAAGGTTTGGGCGGTCGTCTCTGCTGGGAAGCCTGAGTGGGCTCTGGTGCTTGATTTGGTGAATCGGTAAAAACGTTAGCCATAGAGGTCTGGCGTGTGAGGGCTGCGGCCGCGTTTTTTAAAGTCAGGGGACTTGGTTAGCATGAGGATCCGACTGGCGTACCTCGGCGCTGATTTGTGTTGGAAGCGGAGGGTTGCGGCTGCATGTTTATTGCTACGATGTTGACAGTGTATAGATGCCGGTTCAGTGGACGCGTAGAAGCGGATTGTAAGCCGGCGTAGAAGCGGATTGTAAGCCGGCGTTTTATGCTTTGGTGGTGCAGAAGAGAGACGTGCTGAACAATTGTCAGGATCCTGCAAACTCCGTCTGTGTCGATGCCGCGCAAGGCAAAAAGGGCGCCACTATACGGAACTGCCACCACGACCACTTTTGTCAAGGGCTGGGAATTATCGAAAACGCTTGTCAGCTTTGGAGTCACTTAGAAACTCAGATGAGTCTTGCCAGTCTATATCTTGCTCATGTCTCTTTTTGATGATAGTATAACGCCGCACTATGAGTTTGGACTGAGGAGAAAATGGTCAACGTCCAAACGTTCAGGGCTTCTAAAGATAAGTAATCGGTGATCGATTGCTGCCCAACTCCATATGATTTCTAGGCACTTAGGCGCCCCATTTTCCACATATCGAGCCATCATCTTTCCAACCTGGCTCTTCTATTCGAACTCTGGGTGCATGGCAAATTATGTGCATCACTTTTGAACGTCATTAGCGCGTGGCATCATCATGGTCCTACGGTAAATGGCCATGTGTCTATATTCAGAGAAGTATTGATTTAAAGACTCTACGCTACAATTCTCTCAGTATACTTCTCTTTTGAAGGACGTACATGCACACACACTCAGATACTATAATCAAACAGCCACCAAGCAATAAAAAAGTTCAGGACCACAGCTGTATCACCTACCTCACGAACGTCCGTTATAAGCTTCTCCGCCTTCGCCTTCATGCTTCATTCCAGAATGCATGGGATCATAGCCTCGTCTACGTTCGGCTGAGGGTCTCAGTATGGAATCGGGGTCGACCAAATTCTGTTCGAAGTTTGCCGAGCGCCATTCTGATTCTATCCTTTAAGATCTGTGCGTGTGAACCAACATCGGCTGGTTTGGTGCGCCATACACAGCTCAGACAAGATGCCGCGCTCCGTCGTCTCTCGCATAGAAGACCCATCGAGTCCGTCATATCCACTATTTTGAGCATAACCACGTACCCTAATCGTTCACGTTAGATGATAATCTGGAAGAAATCGTGGATCTGTTAGCATACACTAACACAGACCAGTGGGTCAATTCGATGGTGGGAGGAGATCAGACCCTACTACCGGAAATGTTTCGTGCCATGGTGCGAGCGGCGCTGCTCGACGGTGAGGTGCACGTCGTTGAGGATGGTATAGATGAAACTGGTAGAGCAGAGGTTTGTTCAGTTGGAAGATGGTTCGGGACGTACAGGAAATGCTGGGATACGTCAGTCTTCTCATGCCCTGATTTTACAAGTGTGTTACCGTCAGCTGAAGATCTGGGTCTGTGCTCACATTTTTTTCGTGCAGGGAAGCACAGCGTGCCTTGGGATTTGACAAGTTCCTAGGCCACGTATCGCCCAGGAGCAAGAAATCGCTGAAAGAAGTCGTAAGGAATCGTACCAAACGATTGATCATTACTGACCTTCCTGTGCAGTACTCGTTCTCATACAACGAGTTGTTTTATCAAGTCCTGAGAAAAGAGGTACATCTCTCGAATGAGAGTCTTCAGCAGTGTTTATCCTTCGCAAGATTTCAGCATCACCTCTCATGTCCAACTTGGAAGAAGGAAGGAAGTTGCTGGGCCATGGCGATGGACGCCATACACGGACAAAAAGGATTCGGAAGAGCAATCGTCGATACCATGTACCAGAAGGTAGATGCTCGGCGTGCATGGGAGACCTGACGTCACTGACGCAGATCGTGGTAACTACAGGCCATCGCTGATAACATGGTCATCACAGGGGGAACATCCGGCCAAGAATACGTACGTCTGCGGATAGGCCTGACGGATACGCAGCCTGCTAACTCGTTGTGATAGTAAAGATATACCAGAAGATGAGATTCAGGATGCGAGGAAGCCAAGAACTAGAATCTCCTACAGAAGGTTTCATGATCGAATGTCTATCGCGCGGTCTTAGGTCCTCCGAGACATAGACAGAGCGACGATTATGAAAGCCTGAATCAGGGATATTGAGAGAATCAGAAGCAGAAAAAGGAAGGATCCGTCGACAATTGGCATATTATTGTGAAACACGAACAGTGTCGTACTTGACCAAGGGAAATGAGGTCGGCTATTGAGAATTGCCTTTGAGGAATGAGATACATTCTCCGAGAGTGGACTGCCAAACGCTGTAGGCTCACGATGTGCAGTCGTAAAAGATGGCGAACGAAATTGACACATCCCCAGCATCTCAATCATCTTGGACACGTTGATGATTTGACGCACCTTTCTTTGAACAGTTTGCATCTGTTACCAACACCATCACAAGTGTCTTTGGGTTGAATGGAAGGCGATTTACTGCCAGTAGCAAGGTCGTGGTTAGCGTGACAGGCGTGTGCACTTGATGTGCGAGGTACCACCTCTTAGGCGGGTGAAACAAGACGAAATAGAATCTCCGGCAGGATACATTCCGCACTATGATATTGTCTTGACCTACCTCATGACACCTCAAGCCCATTTGATGAAGCGCATTTTCTGTTCAAGTGCAGATGAATTATTCCGGGTCGAAGAGGCTAGTAAAAATCACTTACAGTAGATTCAGAATCAATAGATTAGAGATGGATATTCCTGAAGGTCTGCTTCGAACTGCAATGGGTAATGGTTCCGAGGATTCCTCGTACACTAGAAGCTATTGTTGAGAAAGAACGCATGGTTATCGATGTAGAGTAAGTGTTACGGACCTAATAGAAAGTAAAGCGAGCCTAAAATCGTGTGTGCGCATGATGGACTTCAGAAAGAACGGGGTTAATTCCTGTAGCAAGCCGACAATCAAGTTTTACAATCAGTTTCGGACATCATAGCCATAATTTAGTGGATTCAACCTACCTGCTTTACCTAAACATCCTCGCCAGCTGCTTTGGTTATGGATTCGACGACAGCCCTTGCCTCTGCAACCCAAGCACCGAATATACCCCCTTCAATCGCGAGGCATCCTATCCCAAAACCACCCTTCTCGCTCGCTCCAACCGCATTCTTCACCACCAGACAGTCGTACCCTCTCTCAGTCGCTTCACGAACCGTACTGCCAACACATACCTCCTCCGTGACCCCACAGATAATCAAATGATTTATTCCCTTGACTTTGAGCAAAAGCTCGAAATCCGTGTACGCAAATGCAGACTTGCCGGGCTTGTCGATGATGGGCTCTCCTTCCAGCGGGTAGAGCTCTGGAATGATATCATGCCCAGGTTCACCCCGGATGAGAAGACGACCCATAGGGCCTGGATCACCGATTCCGGAACCTGAAGGGTTGTTGCGAGAACGAGCAAGCTCGCGCGGTAGGAGGGACGAGAGATCAGGGCGGTGGCCTTCGCGGGTATGGAAGATCGGGTACTTGTGCTGGCGGAAGGAGGCAAGGAGAGAAGCGATGTTCTGAATCGGAGCACGCATAGATGCGATGTCATACCCTTGGTGAGAAAGATATCCGCCTTCTGTGCAGACTATCTCGAATGGACGAGAGAGAAAGAGAGATTGATCAAGCATAGATGTGCAAAGTTGAGAGCGGCTTGCTTACAGTCATTCTGCATGTCAATAACCACGAGGGCCGTTGTCTCAGGCGAAAATGATCCGGCAAATGGCCATTCGTAGGGATGTGCTAGGATTGTGTTTCTGATCATCGTGGATACGAAAGGGTGGAAGGCGGTCGCGGCAGGTCGCGGCTCGCGGCTCGTGGCAAGAGGAAAGATAAGATAAGATTTATTGTCGTCCGCCTTCAGCGCTTCAGCAGGCTCGTCCGACTTTTCGCTTGTGACCGTTACAGCCTACATATCTCTAGATTGTTCAAACACTCTTGAATGCATGGTCGTACCTATATCTCTTAAGCCTTTGTCGTGTCTTCGCATGGAAGATCTTCTCTCGGACTCTGAGCCAAGTGGTTGTCGAGCACACGGACTGAGAGGTGCGGAAGAACTTACCTTATCCCTTTCTTACATTGCAACTCACTTTCACGCTACTGGGTACGCTTTCGGGACCGCTAAATTTCCCAAAGAAATTCTTCTCATACAAATATGACCAAAACATGATCTATCGATTTTGTACCAAGTCTCCCACTCTGGTTCAACCAATCTTAGACATCCGAGTCGGTAGCTCTCTTGTTTCTGCATCATCGACATCTATTCATGTGGAGCTGGTGGGTCAATCTTCTAGGAGCTAGCACCCAATCGTCGATGCTTCCGTTGCCCCGTCTCTCAGTTCTAAGCGCCCCCTCTACCAAATCTCATCGAGAACGTGCAATATCTCTATAGTGTTCTAACGGCAAGGTTCTGAGCTATTTGCCTGTTCGGATCAAGTTTGCCATTTAATTCATCATGGAGATGCAAGATCATCCATGCTCAATACGCCTTAACGGTCAGTCTTTGCTACTTTTACGCTCGTAAGGCAGTCGTTGACGCTCTTTCATATTCATAATCATCTTGCGCTTCAAATATCATCCTTCTCTTGACATTTATGTATTTCTCCAAATCTCGCCCTCAATATTCCATGATTCGCGTCTTGTGCGGGTAATTGGAAGTACCAAGCGTAATTGCCTTGCGAGGGTACGATCTCTCTGTCAAACTCGATTCTGGGTATTGTCCTTGGGTCCACTCATCGCTCCACAGGGCCTCCCAAACTTTATTGAAACACTCCTCGATTGTGCCACGGATGATCTTCTTTGTGGGGGTTCCCTGTTTCACAACCTACATGGCATGTTGGCTATCGGTGGTAGGAGGCACAGAAACTATGTGGGCCTGCGACCTGCCTCTCATGTGCGTGTCTCGGAGGACTGAACCTTTCGGGAAAGGCAAGGCTGCGTCCCCCCTAAAATCATACCGATTTCCACGCTCTCGCATCCGGCTTGCAGACCCGTGCTATCGCGCATGAAGTCGCATAGATCACGATGCCAATTTCTCTTCTATAAATCAGAGTTAGGGGTTTTCAGTTATGCCATCCCATCACTTGAGCGTGTCTACGATGATTATTGCCACTTCTCCTTTGCTCAAAATCGCCCTCTTGCTTGCGACGGCGGTCGCAGTCCATGTATCTGTGTCACCGCCTCAGCCCCCGGCGCCAATCAAACGACGGACTGGTCAAGACCTCTTCAACAACATCATCCGATCTGTTGCTCTTGTGACAAAGGTGAGTCTGCCTTCGATCCTGTCTTGTTGCACGCAATTATTTTGACACATTCCACCATCTGAATAGAACATTACATGGGTGTTGACTCTCATTGATGCTATTGCCACCATTTCAGCTGCCTATGCTCATGTCTCCCGCGTCGCTCACCTCTGCCCTTACCCTTCCAAGTCCACGACTTTCTCTCTCTCCTCGATCGACCTTCTTTTCCTTCTGGGAACCCTCCTCGCCGTCTCCGGCGCTGCTCTCCGCAAATGGTGCTACATCACTCTCGGGAGCCACTTCACTTTTAAAGTGTGCCTCCTCCTGCATCACGAGTTAGTGACCTTGGGTCCATATGCGTGGATTCGTCACCCGAGTTATACCGGCGTGCACATGGTGCTGTTTGGCGCTACCGCTGTGATCGGATCGCAGGGAGCATGGGCCAGTGAATGTGGGGTGCTTACCACCTTGGGACGAGGCAGTTTGAACAGGAGCGCTATCACAATATGGGCATGGCTGATCGTGGTATTTTGGGTTATTAAGTGCTCCTATGCCGTGGGTAGCGCCCTGAGGAGGGTTGAAGTCGAGGATCACGAGCTGAAGCGGAAGTTCGGGCAGGTTTGGGAGGAGTATGCACGCAGGGTCAAGTGGGCACTCATCTCGGGCGTTTATTAGTTAGATTGTTCATATTCAAAGCCCAGCGATATGAACCAAATTTATCTGTGTACAAGGTCCACTTCGTTTCAGACATCACACTGTACAGCTTTCCCTCTTGCTCTTCTTTACCTCTTGCTCTTGCGCCGGAGCAATACAATTTCTGGTAGCGTATGTACTTGTACACAATTTGGCGGTAAAGGTGCCGTATACAAGAACAATACAATCTGCTTTATGCAGAACCCAACCCTCATCATACAAGGGAAAGGAGCATAGCTTGGGTACCACAGATATCCTACAACCTTCGTCAAGAACAATGCGAACGAATGAAACCGAACTGAGGCTGCCGATGAGGGCATGTCATAAGGAGAGTGGGTAGGCCGAAAAATCAAAACTACATATATTGCGGAAAGCACCTCAACACTCCGATCGGTACCTGCCAGAACGAGCAAGTACGATCTGGATCGACTGAATACCTGCACCGCTTGAACGATCCCATGGCACAACGAAACTCCTCGTAATATTAGGAGAATGTACAGTGTCGGGGAAGCTTGGGACCCTCTGTGAATCCGAAAGAAGTAAGATGTTGTCGCGAACCGGAGAGGAAGATAGGATGGCGCACGAATTCAAGTGTTCGTGGAGAGCTGAGTCCATGCAGAGGTTTGCTACTGCTGAAGATCTGTTATATTCTTCGCGTAGAGTTCGACGCAAGAGCAATCTAAAACAAGTGGCTGTCGGGACTTCATCAGGCCTTGAATTAAGCGTGAAGTGCTCACGTCGAAACGACGGAAATTGTATAAACTGGAAGATCCGTAAGTCTGTGTATGATTGGCATGAAGTACAAGACGGTGTACGTTTCCCAATCAGGAGATGTGTTCCTAGAAAAATCAAGGTTCCCCTGAACACGAACCACTGGTAAAACATCAGAAGAGCCGCCGTTCAGATTACTTAAGAAGCTCACGCTGATGACAGACATAGCGGCGGCAGCGCTGTGCGGACCGACTCCTGTGAGTCTTGCATGCTGCATGGGGGTAGAAATTATTTGGGATGCTTGCCATGTAGCAGTCCCGTTGTTGACTGTATTGATCATGATTCTGTCAAGAAGCTTGTTCGTCCTGCTCTCCGCAGAGTCGTGTCAACGGAATGGGCACAAGCAAGAGGAAGACAATAGGAGATGCCCACGAATTCATGCCAATGCACTTGCGGTGTACACGCAAGAAGTAGCAGAGGGTCATGGAAAGATAGATGTCGATCGCAGCGGAAAGACAATAAGCGGTGGTAATGGACCACTATAGAGTGAAAGTATCTATATCATGATCAATCAGAGCCGGACGAGCAACATGCTACGAATCGAGTCATGAAATGTTCCCAGCTTCGGAGCTCGATGCTGAACAACATCAGAATTGAGTTCATGCACAGTCTTAAGGGACTCTGCGCTCACGTCCTAGGAGTAGAATCTGTCGGGGCGAATATCATTCATCGTGATCATCAAAGTGAATGATGGGGTCAACGTACTGATTCCAAGGGCTAAGGGGCGTCTAAATCAGCAGATATCCGCTCACAAAGTTGGTCCGCCCATCACATACCCAGGCGCAGCGTGGCCATGAACATCTATATGGAATGAGAATAAGTAAGCACATGCTTAAGACATCAGCCTTGACTGATAAACTACTGACCAGGGGCGCTGATATATACCATTTTCTGCTAACTATATAGAATCAAATCAATCACTGGAAGACGGGAAACAGACGGGAAATGTCCTACTCTTCCGCATTGCGTAGGCATAGAGGCTATGGTGCGATAAGCACAGATTAACATCCTATGTGATTGAGGAAACTAAATAACAATGGGCAGTATAGCTTGAGAAGCACTGCAAAGATCATTCGATAAGTGTGATGAAGGGGATACAGCATCAGTCGTACCGTGAATAGAATTGTTAGCTGGTCATCATTGGCCTTCAGGATAATAATAAGTATGGGGATGTGATTTACGCACCGCTGTCAATCTGATTTCGACTGTGTGTCAATGACCGCATCGCATTCATTTGTTGACTTACGCTCACGTGGGGATGAAGTCTCCCATATCTCTGTCGCCAAAATGTACCATGAGACTTTCCCAGTTCGAGGTATTTATCAAACACGTATGCGCAGCATCGATTACCCTGTGCGGGTTATCCCGTTCCCATAATTCAGTAATAAGCCTCGTAAACAATGTCGCTCTGAGCGCACCAAAGCCAGAATACCTGAGACACACGCTGTCAGTAGGCAAGAGAGCTTCAAATGTAAAACGTACCAATGCTTTGGTCTTCAGAGCGTCGGTCGAGTACATGCGGAAGTAAAGGAACACCAACGCCGCTACGGCACCGGACAATCTGATAGAAAGCCACATGAGGGGTTATTTTATGATGCGCAGATTTTCAAAGGTACAGCTCACGCGGTGGCACCCATACCGCCAAGTATAACAACGCCAAGAGAACCGCGGATGTCCGTGTCCGTAGGTGACGCCATTACAATCGCACAGGACCCAGAAGTCAGTACAATGTGCCAAGCGGATATCGGGGGATAAGATCAGATCAAGGGTCTGCCAAGGGAACTAATATTCCTATATACACGGTCGAGAGGGGAAATGGTCAAATGCCTGAAGGTCACAAGCAATGAGCACATACCCGGGTTTACTTCGTTCAATAGAAACAGGAGAAATCCGGCAACTCGACGTGGTTCTATCGGAGGGCGACTATAGTCCTTTGGGACTTTGGTCCAAGGATTCTGAGTGTCCCCGAAGAAGCGAGGGAGAAAGAGGTAAAACTGCTGATTGTCGGGTGGAGGAACATGTGCTACAACGTTGCACGGTGGCCGCACGTCACGAACATCCTCAAAAGGGCTAGACAGCTGCAATCATAGTCCTCTGCTCTCGGTGCAATGCGGAAGGTAGTACATCTGATTGATGCAGGATGGGCCCTTCCTTCTGTGGTACTCTGGGAGGATTCGGGCTCGGGGAGGAGCGGGATCACTTCTTCCTTCCAAGCCGTCGCGGATGAGTTGTCAGTTGCAAAGCTCGACTAGGGAGCTCGTCAGTACACGAACAATGTGATATGGAACTGAAGAGAAGCTGGCTGGCCGAATGTACCATTGTAAATACATAACCGGCGACAATGCGCTGGAGGTCTCGCAATATGGAGTGTGGCTGCATCGCGAGAACTTGACATATGGCGAATGGAGGGCTTCGGAGATGGGTGCAGTGGATGCTATACTGGCCTTGTACTCGGTCCCGACGTGTCCCTTTTTGCTCCTCGAAGTCACTCTGTATAGGCTAGCGATTTTACTTATATAGATATTCTCAAGAACGTATCAGTGGAGTCTCCTTCCAAACAAAGACGCGTACCGAGTCTGTCCGATTCAATTTCACTACTCTGGGAAGATGGGTTTTCCTCCCCTGTTAATTTCCTGGTCACTTGAAATTATATTGTAGCTGTCACAAGTGCATGTTCTGTCACTAGCCTAAGACTTCGAGGGCCGACGAGGACCTTGAGTGTTTGGGAGAAGTTTTATTCATCATTATCAAATCAAAAGAGTGAAATGCACCTACTCAACCAAATAAAATAGGGACCGAAGGTTGACCTATTCATTATTGATGAGAGATCTGTATCATCGCATGGATGGTCAATATATCTATGTTTTAGAGGAGGAGAGACTCGGAGATCGAACATCGCGGAGTTGCGTCTGTTGTTTGTCCTTGTATCTGCTCAATCCATGGATGCCATCATCGTCGGCCGCCACAGACTCGCCACAGCCATTATACAAGAACACGGCGAAGATTGCTTTGTGGGGATGCGTCCTTTGGGAATGGATGATGCTATCTACGGATGGGTGCCTGTGCTCACGTAATGCCACATCAGCGCTCGGGGAAGGTTCGTCCATCATCTTTTGCTCGAGCTCCATCGTGTTTGAACTACTTTTATCTCCTTATCATGGCATGCAGTCGAACCGGTTATAGTCAGAAATGCGCGGCAGGTGAAAAGAGGTGTCTTACCCACAACTATGAATGAAGCTTATGCTGGTATACTCCAAACGCTTCGAAAATTGGCCTACCATGTCTCTAGGCACCTAGTAAGTGGTTTCTCAGTGTTTTGTCCAATAAGCAACGCAATCGAAAATCACCTTGCGGTAGCTTGCAGTGCGGATAGTATGCAGTCCCTAGAAAGTCAAGGTCATGGGACCTATTTTGTTGCTATCATACAGCTAAGTGAGACACGAGTTCCGCGCCGCCATCACTTGTTTTCCTCTCGGGGTTGATTATCTGATGACATCTTTTCTCATGAGCGTCCTTTTCAGGAACTCTGGAATCGCCCTGAGTCCAAATCCCAATTTGTCGGCTGTCTCCCAGCCGGTTGATATCAATTGTCCGGTTTCTCTTGGAGCACATTGAGTCTCACTTCGTTGGGCGGCATCCTGAGCGCGCGTCGTGTTCTTTTGGGCTCTGGGATAACCATGTCCCATTGGAGCTCACAGGGGCACAAAGAATGGGCTAAGCCACGTATGGTACATATGAAGTTCCTGGGTAAGCTTTGTCCGTTGGTGTACTTTTCTTCCTCGCTATCATCCCTGCAAACAGTTTGTGCGTCGCAGGATGTCAAATCTCGACATCGATGTACGTGGCTCGCTGGGTGTCATCCTTATTGGAGGGTTAGGAGCTACGGCGTGCGTATTACCCCCTGATCTATCTCCCCGACACACCTCACTGAGAATATCCATGGCTGTGCAGTCTATCGGGGGCAATCGCCGTATTGACATTTCTGTATTTTAGAACGTATCCAGACGATCGCTTTCACACAAAAGCATTGGTGAGATATTACGGCCATCTTCTATGTAAACTCATGCCCTAACGAGTAGGATGCAGGTAATATGGCTTTGGTAGAGTTCATTCTACTCTTCGTTTTCTTCACCACAAGATCTTTGCTAACCGTCGCGGTTCTCGTAGGGCGATTGACGCGGTACATACTTGCTTGATAAATGTTTCGAGCTGGCATGGCCTCGTCTCCCATTTTGGCGACCCGAACATGAAAGATTTTATCCCAACGTACGTTCTCTCTTGAAGTCCTACTTTTTATCTTCTCAATAATGTTATTTGAACGGTATAGGACCACAGCGGTAAGTCACCTTGATTCCAAACCTCAGATTTTGAACTCTTCTGAACACTGAATCAACATAGCTTTCAATTCTATTTACGGTGACACTTCATCTCGACATCATCTGCCGCCTTTTTCTGACCCTGAGTTAGTGCTTCGCCAGCTATTCAGTTCATTGGTGCGTAGCAATGATATGTCTTGCCGTGACGTCCGACCGCTCAACATATCACTGCAGTTTTTATTCCTACGCGATGTGGAAGAGTGCGTAGATTATGAGGCTTTATGCTTATGCATGGTCACTGATCGGTCTATCTAGTCAGTGAAAAGTGGTATTTGACTGCGCCCTTGGTTTGTGCCTTCAAAGCCCTTTGTCCGACGAGATGCTGACCCCTTACCCTCGCTGATTGACATAGATGTTCATGGCTACGCTGCGTCTTGGTGAGCATCATTTGGCCTATAGGACTGGCTTCATATTTCCTAATCAATCTCTTCTTCAGCTTTGGGTTTTAGTAAGCCAGCACCGCACTCCATTATCCTGAATGATACAAGCAGAAATTCACGAATCCATGGTCGGTCAGACTCCACAATCAGAACGTACGTAGTGTGAAGTCACCTCATTAATCGGGGCCCTCACCATTTCTCTTTAAGTATCCAGCTGAACAGCTGGCACCTGTTCATTACTCGTTATGTTGTGCGTCGTGCCCTCCCTATTATCAGGCCAGCATACACTGAGACCTCGACAAGTGGTCGATCACTTCGGCATATTCTCTTTCTGCTGCCATAGACATCTACCTCTCAATAACGCTCACGTACTTCTTGCGCGTACACCGAAAGCGCATTGGCATGCTTGGGTGAGTATGTTCTTCCATCGGTGCGCGAGTATATCCTCAAGGTTTCTTAGGACGAACAAGATTTTGGATAGAATCATGCTCAATACCCTGAACAATGGGGTGATCACTTGGTACGTTGTCGTCCTCTCACAATTTTACATTCTCATACAAGTCCCCTACCGAATAGCACCGCTGCTCTGATGTCGCTGATTAGTGTGAGTGATTGGTTTCTTCAAATGATAATTTCCATCCCACTTTAATTCATCTCTAGTGGTTCGCGTTTAGAGGGACATTGATCTTCCTTGGGACCCACTTCCTCATAGGCAAATGTAGGTCGCTTTCCAAATCTATGCAATTTAGTAATACTGATCCTCAGCTCGCCGACAGTCTACACAATATCCGTAATCTCTACGTTTGTGACTATTTACAAGACCTCCGTCTTCAGTGCTCATTGAGTCTTGACAATAACAGGCTTGTCATGCGCCGCTTCCTGCGCGAGAAGTACAACCGACACACCTTCGTCAGCGGTGCGAATCGCTTACAATATGGCCCCGGTTCTCCGCGTTTATTCGAATATGTGCGTTATGGCATGCAATCAACCTCCATGACCTGGCCGTTGAAGGCCTATTTTTATCCAGACTGTAGCGAGCTCGGTTGATGCTGTACAAACTCCAGACAGCGCGAGGACATTTGTTATCACTGCTCCGGTTCGTCTCAGTCCTTATCTGGCCATCTGGCCGCTGAGTCTCAGCTCATCCAATTGTCCAGCCCAAAGCCAGCGTGGAGAAAATTCAATATGATGAACTTGGAAGGCCAATCGTGGGTGCAAGGAACGACAACGTTTTTCAACCGCTCGAAATTGCTTGAAATTTCTCAAGCTGACTTGCGACTCCAGTATTTCCGCCCCGGATGATTTCCATTTTCAGCCACACGAGATCTCTTCTCGATGGATCTAAGTAGTAGTTCAAGCGTGTTAATTCCGCCCTGCTGTGTTTCTGTACGCTTTCGTTCAGTTCTCTTTTGATATACAAGACAGACCCGTCTTGAACAGCTCTTTTTCGCCTCTTGGTATCGGGCATACAGTAACCACCCAGCCAGTCCTTCGACGAACATTCCACTGTACCTGTTTATGTTTTTTTACAGTTAGTATAGTAGCACGGTGTACTGGGCCGTGCAAAGTAAAATGTGAATTATAGTTTCGATCGGGAGTCTTCACAGTGTCGAGGGGCAGGGACCTGTCGACAGGCCGCCGGAGACCCCGTAACTCCAAGTACTCTCAGGTCCGCCGACAGCCGCCTGTACGCCTGAGACACTCTCAGCAGTCTCTCAGCTAGCTTGCAGGGCCTCAAGTAGCAGATGGTAGGTACTCTACTGTTCACGGTCATTAAAAATGCCATCTGGCACTCAGAGATTAAACCTGCAGAAGAACGATGACTGGTCCCAACAATGTTCAAGACAAGGCTGATAAAGCCTTCGCGGACAACATCTCTGTAGACACAAGTCTCGCTCTTGACTATCCCGACGACGATACCGATCTCGCCTCAGACGAACACCATGAGAATGATCACATCTTGGAAGTGAGTGAATTGCTTGATGAATGAAAGATCCCAATTGAATTCCTACGAAAGTCAGATCCAGAGGACTTGAGCTTGAGTCCTGATTCCACTCAACTCGCAATAGCTCATTATTCTTCATCCATATCATCCCCAGGTTTGTCATCGCCGCTTTGAACCATTCCTTGGAAGCTCAAAACCCTATTCTATTCCTCTAGCGTGTACTACCGCAAATCTTAACGAAGATCAAGCCGAAGGCACTTCAGCTATCAATGTATTAGTATCCAGTCAATCTGTTCTCTCCGGTACTGCTATCAATTATCTTGTTTTGTCGCATACCTCAGACAATTCTACCCAAGCTATCCAAATTGTCGATCACATTGTTGTGCCACCCAAACATCACTCGCTGTCTCCTTCGTCTCCGCACTCCGTGCAAGTCGATGCCGTAGATATTTTTCATGACCCTATCATGCCTACTGATAGTCGCTCTCAGCACCCCTATGTATTATCTGCTCCGCCCCGACTCAATCGTCTTCGCTCTCCTGGCTCAATCTCTCGCATCAGATCTGTATCTGTTGACCCCCATGCTGTGACAGCTACTTCGCCCTCTTCTTCTCACAAGATTAACCCTACTGCAGAGGTCGTGCAACCACCTTCCTCCGCAATCTACCCCTTATCTCCGTCTCCCTTACCTTCTACATCTCAGACAGCTCGTAGATCAACACGCACACCGAAGCCGAAGGATATGGCACTAAGGATGAAGTACTGGGAGCCCACGCCTACCCAGCCGCCTCCATGGAAACGATCCAGAATAAATGCGCATCCCTCCGCCCTTCAACGCAGGCGAACGGCCCCATTTCCCCGGTCGAGGGAGGGCAATGACTTCACTCGCCCTCGCGCTCAGCAGAACCCCAATGCACAAATGATTCGCACCGGAGCATACGGCAGGGCCGGTGCTGTACGAGTGGGCGAAATAATATATATCGGGGTAAGTCCGGTATGGTCACACCCAGCGGAGAAACACTCAGAATTGGCATGACTATCAGGAAACTGCTCTTATCATGCATGACCCCTGTGGACGCTGTGCTGCAGCTCCTGGCGCCCATTGTTCTGGACTCGTGGGAGAGCGATGTGGCCGGTGTCGCAATATGAAGCAGAGATGTTCAAATCTAGACATAAAGGGAGCTGGTAAACCTGGCACGTTGCGAGTAGTTAATCGGGAGAGAGTAGAAAAAGTCGAGCGCTTTTCGAGAGAAGACGAGAAAGTGTTGATCGACGGGGACGACGACGAAGGACTAAGTTCTGATCAAGGCGAGGGCATCTATACAGGTAAACGCACTTTACTATGACCCTCGATCTTTAGTTGATGCTCAAACGATACTTTAGAAGATCATGTGCAACAGCGCATCGTGCTTCGGATGTCTAAACGAAACCGTGGCGAAGTGTTCATATCCGCATCCAATGCCAAAATTGGCAATGCTGGAAGCAGCAAGAGGAAGCGTCAAACTACTAGAGAGAGGAGCAGGAAGCGGAAAAAGAAGAGTCCTGAGGATGGCTCTTCCAATATTTCCGACAACTCACATGTCGAGCCGATCCGACCCCTGCACAAAGACACCAATCCAGTTCCTATCTCTGCTGCGAGCACAAAAGGCACGTCTGCTCAGCTTCCTAGTACAGATCCGCAGAATCCGGAAAGCGAAGAGCCTGCGCCTGGTGACCGTACGAAAGAAGCAACCGCTGCAAAAGCGTCAACACTGGTAAAAGGAAAGTCAAAGCCAGCGGAGAAAGGTGAGTGGGGATGGTTTCTACCTCATTTCTCACCAAGTCCCTGTTCATCTTTGTCTAGACCTGGCGCGTGGGTCTGAGAAAATTGTTCAGAACGCCGAACAGCGACTTCCGTCACAAAGTGAAACAATGCCTGAGGCAGAATTGCTAGACAGTGACCCATCGATGGCCGGTCAGGATGTAGATTCACAAATTGTTGGTGAACAAGGTGGGACGAGGAAGGAAGATGGCCAAGATCAGGAAGCGACGAGAGATGGTCAAAGGCGGAAGAAGAGAAAAGCTCGAGCAACTCGGCGCTCAACTTGGATTGATGGAGCAGGTGAGTGAAGAAGGATGCTACGAGCATTTCAATCAAACGTTCACACGATACCCTATTGCAGGATCGGTGCAGACCTCTGATTCTCAGGTGTCAAATTTGGAGGGCGACCGTGATGAACAAATTGCACGACTGCGCGACTCAGTGACTGAGATGCAGGCTGAATTGGGGAAGCTCCGGAATATGCGAGAGACGATCGATAGATTGTATTCGATTGCAGAGAACGTGAGTAGAGGGCTGGAGCTCTTAGAATCTCAGCCTCAAGCTTCCAGATCATGGACAGTGGCCTGAAGATGTATCATTAGCTATTGTGCTGAAGTACATGTATAAGCTTGATGACCTGTGCGTAGCGTGTTTCTTTTCGGGGAAGTTCGAGCCAAGGTGGCCTGTCAAAAGTCGCCGCTGGGTTGAAAACAACACGACCCCATCGACTTGAGGAGGTCGCCGTTTATCGATTCATCGTCTTTAAATCACTCAAACACCACGAACAGCTCACGCTATCCTGAATTCCTACTATTCTGCGCTGGTCCCACTCAGCTTTTCTACGCATTGTTCCACGAAGGCGCTTTCACGTTGGCAACCATGGCTCGTAGAACGTCCGCAGCTATCACACGATCTACTACACGATCAACGAGTAGCGCGCGATTTTCATTCGCGAAAACGATCAGAGTCACCAGTAGAACCAGAGCACAGAAAGACGACATTTTCTTGCAAAAGGGCATATACGCCGGCGCCGTACTCCGTAAACACACAATCTATATGAAAGTGAGTGCTACTTGGATTTTGTCGGAACGTCCTTCCTCATATTTTCATTCCTACATTGTGCTTCTCTATATCCGCCTTGAGAGCTGACGCGACCGCTTTCCGGGCCTATAGGGGCGTCCGATATATGCGCCATATGATTGCCAGCGCTGTATAGCAGCTGGCGCTAGATGCTCAGGTCTTGCAGGCCAGCGCTGCGGAAGGTGCAAATATATGAGACAAATGTGCACGAACTTTCCTGTGAAGAAGAAGAAGTTAGCGGACAAGACAACCCGTAGGACGGATGTCATAGGAGGAAGCGAAGGCGATCACGCAGAGTTGGAGGGACAGGTCGCTGCTGAGGCCGATGGCTCAAGAAAACGAATATCTTCGGTGGAAGGAATGGCCTCGGAGAAGGTGAAAGGGAGGAAGCGGATGCTTGTACGTGTGGTCATCAGTAAGCGACCGAAAAGCGAAGTTCAGCCAGGTGAGTACTATGTGATGTCATTATACTCGCGAATAACAGTTCTCTGTAATGACAGACCTCCCAACCCCGAAAGTGTCGACTCCTGGACGTATCATGGATAATCAACAATCACAAGAATTGCCGAATATCGAGGAAACATCTTCACGTGGACTTATCTCTCAGAGAGATGATGAAGACGAAGCAGTCAAGCGACTGATCTTAGACTCTGTCGAAACCAGTAGCAGCGCTCCCGAGGACGAATCCACAGTCGCAATGGAAGAGGAAAACAACGAGAGCGAGGATGACAGTTTCAAGCACGGGTTCATTCCTAGCGATTTCGTGGAAGATGAATATGAGAGCATTGCTGGGGATCTAGAGCCAGGCAACTCACAGGATGATTTTTCAACTGAGGGCGAGATTAAGCGCAAGCAAGGGGTCCTAGATGCCTTAGAGGCAGCCGCCGCCGAAATAAGGTCAGAATTGGTACGCTTGAGGGCCTCGACCGTGAGCGTTGGTGAATAGATCTGTAACAAGGCATGAGTCCTAGCTTTCTTTTTTCAACCTGATGTATCGGCCCACAATGTACAACCAACTGTAACCACTGCGTGCATCGCAGGGTTTTTCCTGGGATAAACCGTGGATAAAACCCTGCGATGCACACAGTGAACGTTTCACATTTTGTTTCATGTCACCCACCTGTTGAAGTAGATTGCAAGCAAAATCGAATCCATTCCTAGAAAATACATGACATAAATTTAGAATCAAAGACAGACACCAAGTACATGTTGTGACTGAAGACCACGCAATGATATAGACAGCCTTTAAATCTGTGGAAATGGCATACATAGATTATTTTCAGTATCTGAAGGATAACACAGGGGAGTTAGTGTAGGAGAGCAATCAGAAGAATAAAAGTTCAGTGTGGGCGGTTACTATCTGGTTCAGGATCGTAATGCAGTCCTGCTGAGTAGGCTGGCAGAGATATTCATGTAGCCTGAGTACCGCAGCACCACATCTGCCTATTATGGATTGAATGCGGTGGAGCGATCACAAAATTTGTGTACACTTTCCATCAAGATTTCATGGTGAGTCGATGAAATCGAAGAAACAACATACGCAGCTCAATTGTCGATATCACTGGCACTTGCTAGATATAACTGTGCCTTCAATCAATTTGCGCGATACCTGCTCAGACGAGACAGGACAATGCCATAGTGACGCCAAAGGTGACGATGAGAATCTTTTGTATATCAATGAAAAAGGTGATAACATACTAGACTTCGGAGCATCGTGTTGTCGGAGGAGATATGGGTGTCTCACTTAACCATCAAAAAGCTCCTGTTGACCTGGTGGATTCGTTCATCGAGCCGAATGATTCATTTCATTTTTGTCCATTTAGAGTTGCGCCGAGCCAAGGCAACTAAGGGCTTGGGGTGTATGCCTCGATTAGATGAAGGGACGATACATTTTAGTTGGATGCCTGAGGATGCCTGTTGGCCAGGACAAGAAGCTGGGCGAAGACAAGCGCTTTGCAGCGGGCCGGGAGAAGCCGGTCCTCTAAAAACATCTCATCTGATTCGGACGCGACGATATGGACTCTCCAGAGTCCGTACACTAGATTCATCTGTCCTATGCTTGTAATGATATCGGTGCCCTTCAAGAGGCTCTGAAGACACACATGACAGGGTGCATTGGGCTATTTGAAGAGCAGAGTTGATTCTGTACTGACCCTCCTCGATGTCCTTAACTTCAAAAAATATGCACTTAGGCACTGCTGTATGTTGATCGTAATTCCGGTCAGGTGAATGATGGGTTTCTCACTGTCCACGCTTCGCCTTCTGCCCACTGACTCTCTTATGATGCTTCCAAGACCACTACAAGGGACAGCACACTTGACCCCGTCGCCCAGAAGACTTGACATACGCGGCGTCCGATCGCAAGAATGGCTTCCGACATCAAAAATGATATAAAAGCCCCTGCGGATGTGACGCTTGTCGAATCCCAGCCCATTTCTGCCATGACGTGGATATCGATTTCTGCCCTCGCAGTTGCAGCCGTTGCTTTCACGTACTCGAAACTTGGCTATGTGGCCGCCCAAAACTTGAGCCTCCCCTTGCCCATTCAAGGAGTGGTATGCTTATATTAATCGTCAGGGCTCATGGATGAGGTTCACTGACAGGCTGGCCAGTTTGTAGACCCACTATCGTTCGCGGTTCAGGGTAACAGCGGCAGCTTTCGCAACAGCTCCTTCAAACAGGTCTTCAACCCGACTTCCTCCTCACCTCCCTTCTTCCAAGTATTCGACCCGGCTTTCCTGTCAATTCTTGGGCCGAACGCGAGCATCCGCGCGATCGCGTCGAACCCTAGTTTTGCTTTCGCTCACGAGGCGCCGATTTGGAACCCGAGCACCGACGAAATCTTCTTCGCAAGCAACGACGGCGGCGCCTTGGGCAACAGCGACATCGATCACAACAATGTAGTGGGGAAAATCAACCTTGCGGATGCCTTGCAAGCGTTGAGTGCTTCTGGGAACCAGACGAGTCCCGTGAACGTCACCGTGACTGAGGTATTTCATTTTTCCGAAGCGGGACTATTATTGATTTGATGAACTGACTCCGTGTGTGACATGGTTCTTAGCTCAGTCTTTCCGATACAATTCAGATGACGAACGGCGGCACAGGACCACACCGCGGAAATTTGGTACTCATCAACTCGGGGCGTGGCGAGCTTCCACCATCCATCGCGCTTGTCAACCCGCAAGAACCCCACAATTCCACGATCCTGCTGGACAACTTCTTCGGCAGGCAATTTAACTCTTTGAACGACGCTAAGGTACATCCGATCAGCGGAAAGTTGTTCTTCACCGATGTAACGTGAGTACGCATCTGCACTGGAAGAGTCGAAATATGTTTCACTCACCTGTGAGAATGCCTTGATCTGCATGGCGAAACGTTAGGTACGGCTTTTTGAACCATTTCCGGCCAGCACCGCTATTGCCAAGCCAAGTCTATCGCTATGATTTCGACACGGGCGCCGTGCGCGTCGTCGCGGACGGATTTGATAGGCCCAACGGACTCGCGTTCACAAAAGATGGGAAGACAGCGTACATGTGAGTGCATCGCTCAACCAATAGGCTGCAATGCACTGCTCGGAAGTCCTGCTACGCGCGCTTGTTCTCATCTCTTCTATCGTTCAGCACAGATACGGGTGCTTCCGGCGGCTTTCTCGGATTGAACCAGACACAGCCTGCGACGATGTGAGTGTCTTCATATAAATCTCTCAGCATCAATTCGCCAACGCCGGCCGCAGTTATCAATTCGACGTCGATGCGAAGACCGAAGCGTTTACGAATCGTCGCGTGTTCGCGTACGTCGACACCGGCGTGCCCGATGGCATCCAAGTCGACATCAATGGCAATGTCTATTCAGGGTGCGGAGACGGAGTGCAGGTGCGTCCGGGTCTGCGTTCTCATTCTGCGCGAGATCCTGATCATTTGAATGCCTCTATTTCTGTCTATATCAAGGTTTGGAACGATGCGGGCACGCTGCTCGGGAAGTTTTTCTTGGGAACAACATCTGCCAATATGGCCTTTGCAGGGAAGGGACGGCTAGTGATCATGGCGGAAACAGCGGTATACTTGGCGCAGATCGCTGCGGAGGGCCTCGATCTGGCCAGCTTTTCCTGAATAGTGCATCATGCGAGACATCTCAAAATAAAGCAGTGGCAGCATCGATTTTCTTGAAGGTTATGTCCTATAGGATATTTGCTGCATCGTGTTCATGGATATAATGAAAATGTCACAGCACATCTCGCCCGTCATTGCGATGAATTAGGGAAGAATGTGACCAGGGTCATGGTAGTCGCCCGCTAAGTCTGCAGCTCTTAGTGAAGAACTTCCCATACACGGCCAGCTCTATTATAGTCCAGATCTCCAGAAATACCGATGATTCTCCATCAGAGTAGCTCACATTTATGCTCGGCAGGTATACAGACTACTTGCACCTACCACGATGTCGACTGTGATCCATGAACAATTCCGGCCCACCCGACCCTCGAAATCGGTCAGGACAATGACTCACGATACACAGCACAGCACACCAGCTACATCATCGACAGAGCAAAGGCCATCTCCTCATCGGGCTAAGTCTAGCCAGATGTCCGTTCAGACGGATTACATGAACATGTTACTTGCACTCGATGCGGTTCCACGTTTGGATAATCTTCTGGCCAGCTTCTTTACCTGGATATTACTCGCCGGCTTTGTGCTCTTTCCCGGAACATTTACAAGCTTGCAGAGCTTCAACATTGACAATGGTAACGGGGGGCTTCAGCAGGTAGAAGGCCGAGTACTGGATGTGGTACAGAATGTATCTCTGTGAGGCGCTATCTCTGGACTTGATGAACAGCGATGCTGACGCCAACAATGGTTTCAAAGATTCGTGATAGCGTGGATATGCTGCGGAGTCGGGGCCGTGGGGATGATCTGGTTGTGGTGGAAGTGGAATGCCAATTACATCTGGCTCCTGGACAGCATCTTCCTGTAAGTCTCAACGGATCTCTCAACTCACCACCAAACAGACCCGCTCGCGGTATGATCCAGACCTGGCTGTCTCAACGGACTTGCGGGGGTAATCACAACGATCGCGAACGTGTTCGGGGCGCAAGGCGGGCGATTCACGGTAAACAGCGAAGCTACGCTCGCGGTGACAGGCGCATGCACCGTGATCTGTGGTGCATTGACCGTGTTCTATAGCGCGTGGTTGCTTAGGCGGGTGAAGCTGAGGCACGAAATGGAAGTCGGGAGGGAGAGAGCAGGAAAACACGGAGAGGGTTTACTGGAAGAAGTCAAGAGGCACGCGCAAGAGCCAGAGCCTCAAGCCAGGATCTTTTGAGGAAAAAAGGTTCTGCATTTTATATGCGAACGCGTGAAGGTTCTTTCTTGTTACTGCCTCACCGCTGTAGTTGTTTATAGAATTTGGGACTTTTTGTGAGAATAGTAGAAACATAGGCTTCAAGCTTCATAAAGGTCTGGTCACAGAAAATCCCGAGGATATCGTGCTGGCCTACGCAATGGCCGGAAACTGCGGCCCGGACGGCCCGACTCCTCAACCGAACCAGATTTGAACTCTTTTGAGCTCCGTTCTTCCTCATCCAAGTCATCGTTGACGTGTGACGGTTGGAACTTGGCAATAGGCATACACAGGCCCAAAAAATTCCTGTGGTGCATCAATATGGGTGGCAACTGAACATCAACTACAAGCAGGTAACAGACTGGTAACAGCCATCTTCAGCATCACCGGCCATCGAATCACCGGTGACTCACGAGATCTGGCCTATCCTGGTGAATTTCACTGGCTTGTTCGTGTGCCTTGCTTCTTGCGTTTGTTCGCACAACTTCACGAGAAATGCGATGCTGGAGTGCTCGTGAGAAGCATCGTGAGAAGCAATGCAGGAAATGGTTTCTGTTCAAATGATGCTATCGCAGCATAGATTTTCAAAGGCACGAGGTACGCATCCGGAAATGAAGTTGCCGCCGCTACTGAAAGGCGCCGCTCTGCTTAGATTTATTCTTGTAAACAAAATCTGACAGCCATTAGCGCTAAAGAACGATGTAGGCTAAGGTCTAAGGTCTCTTGAGATCCCATTTGCTGCAAGTTGCACCTCTAGTTAGTCTGCCATGCGGAAGTATACAGCCCCAAGGCTTCCAATGCATCGCGGGTCCCTCAGTTTCCATTTCCGAGTGCTTGCATCTCACTTAGGCTGTATGGAGGTGAATACCATCTCTGATGCAGTTTCATGCACCATCAATCTACCTCTGTCAATTCATAACCTCACAAGCTCCGACCTTGAAGATTGAAGAGGCGAGCCTTGTTCTTGTATTCGGAAGTAGGGTCTTCGGATATTCACGAATTTCCGGGCTTCATAAGCAGCTCTGAGCGGCACTCATGACCTCATTAAATCTACTATTACCCTTGCATTCTCTAGTCCTCTCTCTCTCTGCCAGCCGCTCAATAATCCTCCGCGATGTTAGCTAATCTGACAGCGAGTGATATAAAAGCTCTCCATGACATTCAGGATTTTTTTACCGCAGACTTCACTACCTTTGCTTGCGAATCAGTGATTTACGGTGAAAGCAGTCAAATGAGCTCGTCTTGCCCGATTCGACTCATCCAATCTCTAGGTATATACATCGTTATATTCGGGTTTTGCATCTGGAACCTCCTGTGAGAATTCTGGTTCATAATTGGTACATCTTACTGATTCCCTTCATAGTCGCAGGGGGTTGAAATCGACAATGAACATGGTCATGCTCCCAGCGTGCATCATTATGTTCATCATGGCAACTATATCATGGGCAATACATTTTGCAATAATTCAGCGATGGGACCGTCTCTTCGTCGCTCATCTACGTCATGATACAAACTTAGTCAACATACAATCGGAAATAATCGCCTCCACATTTCGGCTGCGAATCATTCCCTTGCTTCTAACAATGGTCAACGTGCGCCCTCCAATTCTTAGATCCTCATAGCTGCCTATATGACTCCTATAGTTCACTCTCAGCGATGCTATTGTCGTATGGAGAGCGTGGGCCGTGCGGATTGCCAGCCGCAAGCTGGTTCTGATGCCAATTCTACTTTGGTTCGGCTCGCTGGGTACGTAGCGATGATTAATACTGTCCCCAACGCCCAAACAAAAATTTCGATATAGTTGCCATCTTACTCAATGTAGGGTGCGCAGTCGCGTTTCTGTGGAAAGGGGAATCGCCAAAGCTTCAGGAGACTATGAATAATGCACAATTCGCAGGCTTTATCCTCTCCTTTGCAACCAACGCGACGGCTACTTCGCTTATTGGTTACACAGCATGGTTTATACTGCCTTTCATTCTTGTTTTCACGGGCTGATTACATCTCAACAGGGGAAATCGCCAGCTTCTGAACCTCAACCTCCGTCGCTCAAGTGTGGTAGCCAAAACCCAGAATATCCTTGTCCTTTTGATTGAGTCAGGGATCTTATATGGTGTCTTCTGGGTGTGTTGAAAAGATCTCCTACTGAATCAACATTTCTAACCGCCTCAACTCTTCTTAGATAATGCTCATCGTCTCTGGTTTTGTGCAAGTAACAGGCTCCGAGGAGTACGCTGGAACATTCCTTATGGATGTTGGGATTCATATAGCGGTGAGCATATTTCTACTGATGCCTCATCTGCCTGATGACGAAAAATATCTCAGGGTGTATACCCAACTATTATCATGGTGCTTGTAAGCCTTAAAAAGACGATATGGGACTTGTCGACTCTCTCTTTGGACAGCAAGAGGACCGTCCTAGAACTGGCGACTGTACGAGAAGGCTCCGTTGGCAGCGTGACTGTGGAGAAAAGTACTGCTTCCGCAACGCTTGTGGATGGGACGACCGGGAGACAAGACAGTGGATCGGCGGTGTATGCTACAGCATGATTTTTCAAAGAGTTACTAGGCTCTGTTGAGGCAGGGTTATGTATGTTGATTTCCTTTACCGATTGCCCTAGATGACAGTGTAGTTACGAAGTAATAGACTACAGTCTTGATCACATCGAGTACGAGTTCCAGGCGCCGTCGTACTTCGTCCTCTTTCCCACTACATATTTATATTCGTACACCTTATCATGATGCTCATGTCTTTGTCGTTTCTCTCATGCATGTTTTTGCTGAGAGCACATTGGGCTGATGTAGTACTGACAGTGATAATGCTAAGTTCTCCCGCATATGCAGTGCTTGTGACCGTCTCACTGTTATTCTTGATATTGTAGCATAGCTTTCATAGCATTTCGTTGGTGAGTGCATACAGGATATTATAATACGAAGCTACACCGGTCAGCGTTTACATGTGATGTCGTCAAGATAAAGAATAAGTAGCTTCAAATGTGATCGCCCACCCCACCTTTATATACACCTGCCAGAAATGGCAACCAACTCACGATACACTCATACTAGACTCGCTTGTTCGACTCATCACGGGGAGGTTCCAACCCCCGTCATCGTCCTCGTTCAGTCTACCCATCCGCTTCGTCTGCTTCCCCGAGCCCCGGCTGCGTCCGTTGCTCGAGATATGATGCGTCTGCGTCGCGCGTTTCTGGCCGAAAAGGAGCAGCTGTGGACGCGTGAGGAGGACGAGGCCGACGTTCATCGCGCCCGAGAGGCTGAAGACGGTGATGACGAGGAAGGACCAGACGGAGGGCACGTCGTTCCCGTGCTTTTCCAGACCGAAGTTGATCCAGCGGACGACGGAGAGCGGGAGAACGAGTACGGAGTATACAAGCGGATACCTATATCATAGTTTTATATGGAGGAAGGCGGCTGTGTGAGCATGTGTGGTAAAAAAAAACTAGCGCGAAACAGGACTAACGCTAGCATCAGCATCGCCCGCTTCGACTCGCCCGCTTCTACGCCCTCGGCATTGCGCGGGTGAACGCGGAACCGCCACCAGGTCTCGGGGTCGACAGAGAGGTTTCCTTTGCTCCAGTAATACAGCGGGATGTAGACGAGGAAGGAGGTGAACAGAGCGAGCCAGATCCAGAAGTACTCGCCCCAGAGTCGCTCACTTGTATACTTCCCACCTATCCAGCACCAGAACTGTCACCCAGATGTATCAGTTTTGGTGGTCCATGTAAGTGCGGAACATGATTATTCACGGGGGTGGGAGCCTCATAGTTATCATTTTTGTGTATGCCGGCACCAATGGAAACGAATAGGATTGTGAAGATCCAAATGAGCCCAGTGACAAAAAAGGCGACATAGCGAGAATGGATGCCCTTTCTCCACATGACTCCAATGAACGTGTGCAGTGCGATAGCCTGCCTCGGTTTGACAAAGTTAGTAGCTGTCCATTCCAGACGTTAATCCCTTCACGCACCAATGTGATCATTGCGACCCCTGTCTCGCCTAACTGTTGAACAATGCCTGGACAGACGAGGGGCATGAGCCGGCGCTTGCCAAGAATCGAACACCACGTACCTTGTGCTGTGCAGAATCCTCCCGTCTCTACCTTCCCTTGGTGCACCCACTTGATATTGAGCACGTATCCTATGGCTTGCAGTAGATCCGAGCAAAATAGAGACATCTGGTGGAAATCGCCTGATCGTATCAATGTAACGAAGAACCTCGGCTGCGATGATAAGTTTGGACGCTCTACACACCATGTAGATGTCCATGGGTCCATTCAGCAGACGCCAGTTGCCAGAGGGATCGTGAACGAAAGATCGGAAGACATTTCTCTAGGAGTGAAAGCATCCGACGTGATAAGACTTCCCTGGAACACAGATGCAGACGACGGAAGACGCACGACGATGAGAAGGAACAGGAACGAAACCGCGAGCAGTGAAATCAGCGCCGACTCTACAGTGAGCTGCGTGCACCGGCAGGGAGAAAATCAGGGGTCAAAGTGAGAACATGACAGTGAGCGCAAACGCCATGTCGAAAACGGCACGCACTGCTGCGCCTATGCTTTGCCCACGGGTCAAACAGGTGATGGAAGGGTATGGGTTCTGATCCGAGACTCTCGATCGGAGATACTCTTCGAGCGTGCACACGATGCCGTTCGGAAGGTTCGAATCGGACATCGCTGGGGGTCGTGAGGGGGTGCGCAAGTGGACGAGTCAGGATAGAGCTAGAACGTCGAGGTTGGGGCTAAAGGAGCGATCTGGGCGTTTATTGCGCCGTTTTTAAAAGACCGGAGGTGCCTGGGATGGCAGTGCATGATCATTTTGCGCAAGCCACAATAAATAGGCACTCACGAGCGTCTGCTGCCTGTCAGAGCTCAAAAAAGGTTGCTGGATATCGACGTGCAGCAATCGCTTTATATTCTGAGCGAATGGCGCTTTGCGGACTCAGTAATTGGGTTTATCGGCTCGGAGCTCGTCGTTCATCCTACATCAGCTGACTCACCGTCTACTTCCTCCGCCAGCTAATTCCAGAAAATAATTTCAGCTTGGCGGAAGGCTTGTACATCACGGACGAGTACTTGAGTGGTGATATGCAAGGCTCTGGGACTCAGCTGTGGTGTTGATCAAGAGAGAAGCAATCATCAATGCATTAACGCTTGTACGACAGCAGTGCAAATTCAGAAATGTTCCTCGCTGATTGACAAATTGGGACGAGATCTCATTCAAATGAAAAGATCCTTGGTCGTTATTGTCTACTCCCCAGTCGTTCCCGCGATGACACTCCCATGCACGCCCCAGCCCGCTCCGAGCCCGAACATGACCCATCCCAAAATGATGATGACAAGCGCGATGAGAGGGTAGACAAACGAGACGAGCAATGTCGAACGTTCCGAAGGTGATTTCAGGATCTTCTCCTTCTCTTGCCAGCTCAGCTCTTCTTCTCCAGAGATACCACGGACCTGTGCCCTCCATATCGCCTCCAACTCCCCCTTCTTGTCCGTCGGACGCACCTGGCTGAGGCGGGCGGCAGGCAAGGTGGTCTTTCCAAAAGAAAGGACGAGGAGAAGTCCAGATACTGCTACTGAAACGAAGGCGTATGAAAGCCAAAGGGAAACGGCGGGGTCTAGAGAGTCCGTCGGAGACAGATCCTGGAGTCTCCCAGCAGCGGTAGTGATGATCACGATGGAGGCTTGTACCACTGACTCTGTGAAATATTACTAGATCGCATCTTCGAACTTTGAGAGGCACTGCATACTTTTAATAGCAAACCTGCGTGAAGGTTCGTTATGCATAGTCAATATGGTAGAAAGTTTGTCTACTCACCCTGTGGCGAAGTAAGAAGGATCGGGTATGATGCTTCGGACTATCTCAACTTGCGGCGCCGGTGTCACTGCCTAACATTCTCGGTCAGAAAAAAAATCATTGTTGATCTTCGAAACGAGACTTGCCTGAGACAGCGCATAGAACACATATGCAGCAACTTCACAAAGGATTCACCCTCAACGCTTCATTCTAGACACAGTTCTGTATCTACCCACCAAATGAGGGAACTGTGTGCGAGAACTTGAGAAGTAGCATAGAGATCAGGAAGGTGAGTCCCGATACAAACACTTGCCGTGAATCAATCATCAGCGTATAGTTCAATTCAAGACAGAAATAAGCGTACGGAACGACACACGGTGGCCGAAGACATCGATGAAGATGCCGAGGAACGGAGTCAGACCTGCAGGCAACAGCAAGTAGAAGCTTGAAACCCATCCCCCAATCACAGCGTCCTTTTGCAATCTCTGCTGCGCAAATTGTCTACAAAAAAGGTTCAGCAACAACGCTGCAGATCGCATCATTCACGTTCACGTTCGATGAGACAAAGCAACGCGTACGTGGAGATCGAGACAAAGGATTGCACTCCAGCATTCTCGAACACGGCAAAAAGGACGATGAGCCAAAAGGTAATGGGTAGATGTCTTATAGCCGAGAGATTGAACGTGCCGGTCTTGATGCGGCCTACGTGACGCTCCCCGCTGGTCTGATCTGTGACATCATACTTGACACGGAGGTAGCGGTCCAAGAAGACCAAGGCGATCGCGCATAGCAGAGAGAACAACGCAATGATGGAGCTGATCCATAAGGTCCAGGCGAACGTGTGTGTGTTAGTCGATATGATGTTGGCAGTTGACTGTCCGGTGAATTGCGCTAGATTGGCCACCGACCTTTTCTCAACGATATAAGAAGGCTGCAGACGTATCGCAAAGCCCACGTACCATATTGCTCCTACGGCAGTCCGTGAATATTGCCAAAAGCAGCAAGAACTTCTGAGACATACCGATGGAGAACGCAAAGCCTTTCCCTGGCGCAAAGTACGTTGAGAATATGCGATGCTGCGCATTGTCCAACGACCCATCTCCGATAGCAGCTAGGACTTTGCCAAAAATCAGCAGTGGATAGCTATTCAGGTGGTTCGTGGCCGAGCCAGACATAACCACGGAGCCGCAGAGGTGAAAAAATGCAAGGACCACTGAAAGGGGTGCTCCGCCCCATCTGTCTATGCAAAAGCCAATTCCGATGCACAGGAAGGTATTAACCTGTCAAAGCGGCGTTAGAGCGGCATAATTGAGAGTGAAGTACGAGAACTTCGTACGAGATTGGTGACGGCAACCTGGACATCGTGGGAAGTCATTGACGAACCTCCAAACGACAGTTCAAGAGAGACAGACCAATGTTGCGAATTGCGAATTATTTATATGGAGATTCTTGATTATCGTCGTCTTGAGAGCACTAGAGGATCATCGAAGGTCTTGGTCCAATGACGATTGGAAAACTTACACAATGAGGGCCTGTACGTGTTTACATGAGAAATCTCAACAGCACCGACTGAATCGCTTCACTCACATTCGACCAGTGGTTCCCGACTGAAGATTTTAGATGAGAAGTTTCTGGATATCATAAAAAATCAGGGCGTACATGTGCAGAGGCAGGTCAAGACGATCATGAGGATCTTCCAGCCTAATGGCAGCTTGCGCTTTCCTGCTGGCCCATGGTTTGAATGATCATCTGCATTCGATGAATGGCGATCTAAAGACTGTTTTTCGTCGACAGATATGCTTGGCTTGGGAATTGGACTGTCCATATCTTGTGCACAATCAATAGGAAGCTGTGAGAGCGATGAAAGAGAACCAGAGGGAACGGGGCTCCAGGTCGTATTGACTTTTATCAGATTCCTCGTTGTGACACCTAAAGGGAAGAATGATGCTGCCGGAAGACCCGTGGTGCTGAGCAGCTCGACGCTCACATGCAGTCAGCATTCAGCGTCTTGCGACCTCAGAGAAGAAGGAAATTGACCACCGCCAAGCAAGCACACGACGCGACAGAAGTGTGTCAATGTGAATGGACCCCCTTTCGCGCGCCTCGGGCATACAAGCTGACCGCGAGCGCGGCAAGTCTTCCGAAATCTGTGGCACCAGTCCTCAACAGAGGTGATTATGCTCACACCGTGTTGCCGTCGTCACCCGGTCAAGACCTGAGTTTAGGCTTCGCTACACACATGGGGACTCAGCTGTCGCATAATCTGATCATCTAGGCGATTCTTGTCTGATAAGCAAGAGAAGACGGACACTGAGCGTGAGATTTTTACCTATTGAGCCTTACATCGCTATCCGATGTCTAGGGTTCCGTGAGTAATTCACGGACAGTTGTTAACAAATGTTAATAACATTTGCCTCTCCGAGGAATTTCTAACATGAGTTAATAACAGATTAATAACAATTGTATATAAAGTGTTATTAACATGTTAAAAACCGATTTATTTACATGTTAATAAAGAAAGTGGTGTTAATAACAAGAAGTCACATCAGCAAACTCATAACTGGTCCCAGCCAGCCCCAGAGCCCCAGATGCTCCCAGATGCTTAGGTCATCTGGGGATATCTGGCTAGATGTCTGTGTATGCCCAGATCTGGACAGATAAGGTGCTCTATCAAGAAGCTGACTAGGAGGACATTTTTGGAAGGCTGTGTATGTAATGCCAGTGCTGCTTCGATACAGCCTTAGATAAGAGCTAAGAAGGAAATCCCCTAGTAATGTATCAGACTGTCATTAGTATTATCTGTTAGATATCAGCTTGTTAGTGGTATTGGGATACTTCCCTGCATCATAGCTTTCAAATGATGTGTTATATGCCATAATTCTTCCATGAATGGGTGCTAAAAATGCGAAAATAGATGACACCTCACTGAGTTTAGGCATTCCAAGATTATTACTAAGTCTCAAAAAGCTCAATATATACTGGTTGTTGATATAGTATATTATGGCTATATAGTGGAGTGGATAATTCTTGTCTTAACATTGCTTTCAGCTGGTGGATGATTCAAGAGGTTCTGGGTTCAATTCCTGTCTGGTGCAGATTGATTTTTGCAGTTGTTCTATTAATGACAATTATCTAATCATTTCCATATGTGGTGTATCTGGACATAGCTGTCCAGACACCGGTGTGTCTGTCTAATCAGGCACTCACTAAAGGCATCTGGGGGCCTAGGAGTGTCTGTCCAGGTTGGTACAGACGCCTCCCAGTTTGCTGATGCACCAGCTCCAGTCAATCTCGGAGCTGGGAATGAAAGGGGGAGCTTCAGGGGGGGGGCTCATGGCAGTATACCTAGGAGTATTAGATAGCAGATCTATGAAGGCCTCCTCGCAGATTGCGAACTCCTGCACGATATTGAGTGTAGAAGCCTGGCATGGGGGTCCTCTCTGTTGGCCATCCATATCATCATTTGAGTTGTCCGAGTTGTCATCAGAACCAGAGCCCTCCAAGGTGAAGGTGGCAGTGTCCGCCATGTCAGTGGTGCCCTTGGGTGATGAATGAGAGACGGCAGCCTTGAGATTGTCTTCAAGATCACAGAACTTGATGGTTAGGTGCTTTTTTGGCACTTTGTCTTCAGTCTATAGAACAGATGAGCCACAGCATGGGAAAGAGAGGGATGTACATACCACATGGGTACTATACCACTGTCCAATGACAGTCATATCCACAAACAACTGTGCATTCTGGCATCCCCGCAGCACTAAATTGAACCAAGTAAATCTTGAACTGGGCTGCTCATTTAGCATTGAGTTCATGAGAATAGAGAAGACTTTCTCAGCAAGCATCTAAAAATGAATAGGAAAGGTTAGTTGTAGGCAGAAGGAAGTGCAATTTTGAACATTATTAATATTATTAACATTGACATTGTGTCCCCCTGGAGGGGGCCTGTTAATAACATAAGTTATTAACATGTTAGCAATTCAGGGATTACTCACAGAACCCTACCGATGTCATGATGTGAGGGCTGGCAGTCAAGACATAAAAAGGTCCTTTGGGCACACAGCTTTAATCATGAGAAACCCTGATGCTTGAAGGATATTCATAGCATAAAACCTGACTCCTAAAGGTGAAAATGAAATCAAAATATGGCTTATCATGTGCAAAGGTTGACCTTGCCAGCATCCAGAAAACTACCCCCTTGTATTAGCTCTGAATCATATCTAATAGTGTCTAAAAGTATCTAAAAGTGTTAATAGCATCTAAAAGTGTCCAATTTCCCAATTGGGAGCAACACATTGTGAGCATTGGATTAGTTTCTGATTTTATGATATTAGCACTAATTCCATACCAAGAAGTCTTTAATTAGCAGCAGGAAATAGTAAGTACTACCGCTCTATTAGTGAGAAGGTAAAGATGTGGCACATTCTATACTATTTCAGCATATTACTCTCCTTCATATATGCCTGCACTATTAAAACTGCATTCTAACACATGGTTCACACATGACCCAAAAGTACAGTTAGGTGATACATGCATGTGCTGTATCCAGACCATGGCTGAAATCCTATTTATATGCTGACACATAAACACTTACATACTTATTACTCATTCACAAGTTTTGGCTTGAATGCTTATGACTCTTATGATTAGTCCCTGATGTCACAAACAGCTGTTTGGGACAAGAGATTCCTAATCCACGGATCAATACAGACACAAGAAGGATGATGGCAAGGTTGATAGATGTGAAGGAGTGAAGCTGATCAGACCAATGCTTGAGAATCAGGGAAGACCAATAAATAGCAGTTCCTAGATTGGACAGAGGTGGATAGCCTAAGGCTTCCCTACTGCGCTGCAGCTGCTATAAATATGTACAAGCAAGAGCACAGACCAACTAGCAGTGGATCAGGAACACGAGGTGTAGTTGGGAGAAAGGTCCTATGTGTCCTTATATGGATTGTGGGAATCATAAGAAAGGTATAGTAGGCAGTTCGTAACATTACCCCCCCCCCCTCTAGGCCGTCAGTGCCAGAGATGGTAAGTAAAAGAGTTCAAGAAAAACATAAGCAATGCACATAGAGTCTGTTACAATCATATAAAAATAATACTTAGGGCACTAATTCTTGCTGCCCACTGTCAAGCCATGATGCAATAGCCCTTGAGTATGGACGCCATGATACCTCACCTTATTAGAACCATGCGGGGACTGCATCTCAGAACTGAGTCCCTCTTCTCATCGTGGCAGTGAGTATCGGCCCAACAGATTCAAATTGTTGTCTGCCCCGGCAGTTTAATATCGTACTGGATGATTGTTCATGCGCCTTTAGAGAGTGCAGCGGTGATTAAACAGGGGGGGGTGCGTCAGAGTCGCTAGAATCATATTTGATGACGGGGGGTCGAGTGCAAGAGGGTGGGTGGCGGAGTCCGAAGGTTAGGGGTACGGCCTGAAAATGAGGGGAAGGATGTGTGAACCTATAGACCCCTCAGTTGGGGCTGGTGGGATAAGTCCCCGGCATCAGGTAAAGTGGACCTCCATTTGAAGCCAAAGATGAGGCACAAGATAACACAGCCGTGGACAGCATGTAGTACCTGTTGATGAGCATGGGTATGCTCTAGGCACCAATACCCCACTTTTTGCAGCTTTTCAGTATTCTTTGACCGTTTGGCATACTTAGAACCGACCAATCCCGATCTATTCGATGATTTTAGCCATTTGTCAGGTGCCGACTTTCCATTTAGACCTCTGCACAGTTGTTTGGAGCTGTTCACAGTAATCTTATCCATCTATCATCACTCTCAGCAGTAGGGGCTCTCCACAGACTGTCACGGCCGATCACCGATCGGTTCGGTATGCTTCACATGGTCGGCACATTTGGTTGGCTTCGGTGTCCTGAATTGGAGGAAGTCGAACACTTTGTTGACTCAGAATGGATCTGTCTTTCTATCTCTTATTGTCCTTATGACTTCTGTTGACTTATCCTTTGTTATCCTCAGAGCTCCCAAGTTTCTAAATGGTTTACCCATGTGGCATGTGGTTCTTATCTCCAGGTCCATGTGCACTCGCCTTGGCAATCTCTCCACTTATTTAGATTTTAGAGTTATTGCTTCTTATCTTATAGTGTTTGCAACATCACTCCCTTATCTTCTTTACCTTTGATCACTTTTGGCACGCATTTCCGATTGCTCTATGCCTCTGCCGATCTCCTTATCTTGTACCTGGTTGGACTTACTATAAAAGAGCACCTATGGCCTTGCAATACATCAGCTTTGGCTCCCTCTTGTTCCAATTCCATTTGTGCGCTTGTGTCTATAAGACTTTGAGCCATTGCCTTCCGATCCTTGTTCGCATTTTGCCCTTTTGTTTGTGTTGTTGCATTCAATCGCAGCCCTTTGTCAGAGCCCTTGTTGTCTTGCTCCCTTCCTCTCATCTAGTTTGTCATCCTCTGCCAGTGTCCAGTGTGGCCTTGCACCTATTCCCTTCCCTTTGTGTCCCAATCAAATCCCGATCAAACACCAACCAACCAACCAACCAACCAACCTACCAACCAACCAACCAACCTACTGACCGACTAACCAACCAACCAACCTACCGACCAACCAACCAACCTACCGACCTACTGACCAACTGACCAACTGACCAAATATTTTGATTTTTGTTACGAAACGCTTCACCTATGCTTACCTATCTTTCTCACCTTCTTGATAAGGACTCGTAGGACCTTTCTCTCGACCATACCTCGCGTTCCTGCTCCATTGATACTTGGTCCGTGCGTCTGCTTGTACATATTTATAGATACTGCGGCACAGTATGGAAGCCTCAGGCTATCCACTTCTGTCCAATCTAAGAACTGCTGTTCATACAGTCTTCTCTGATTGTAAAACACTAGTCTGATCAGCCCCGATCATCCTCTCCAAACCTCCCTTGTTGTTTGTGGCCTAGGATCCTCTCGTCCCAAACAGCCGTTTGTGACATCTGGATAGCCTCTCCATACACAATCCTACTCCACCTTTTTCTTTGCAGCAGAACACCGGCTAGATACATACGGCGCTAGGCAGTCCCAAAAGACAAGCGTCCGTCGACCATAGTAGTTACTATACACTTCGAGCGAACGATTGGGCGATTCCACTTCAGTGTGGGTCATTTCAGGTTGTAGAATACTTCTATCTGGTAATCAACCCAGTGGAGGTACGACCGAAACAATTGCACTCGACGTTACGTACGGTACTATACCAGAAATACTGTACCCGGCCAGAAGGAGCTGCTGTTGCCTTGACCCTCGAACCTTGATCAGGTCGAGACTAGCGCAGGCTCTTTGATCCAACAAGACGACTTCCCAAGGCTCAGGAAGACGCGTAGGACGAGTTCCACACGGAACCGACTACCTGAAACACTCGGACACATTCGTCCATTTCGGACAACCTATCAGAAGAACATCCAAGGGAAACTGGGTTTACGTAGGAGGACAGAATAGCAGAAAAACAGTCGATGCCCCGCTAGTACCCTGGGAAGACAGGAAGGCACCCCTCAGAACCGTAGATTCCCCCACCCAGACGAGACCCGCCCTATCACCAGTCGATATCCCTAAAGAGGACATCAAAGAAACCCCAATTCCTGTAGGAGTATTGACCCCGGTTGACGAAGAAGACCCGGAACCTATAGCAGGACCGAGTCAACCAAACCCCAATCCGAACCCACAACCAGATCCTTTACCAACCACAGGAATTACAGACAACGAAGACGAAATGGCGGACAAGGGAAACAAACCAAAAGACTTCGATGGCACAAGGTCAAAATACAGAGAATGGATCTATGAATGCCACATGTACATTCTCTCCAACCCGACCAAATATGACACCGACAAGGACAAAACCCTGATGGTGCTATCATACATGAGGGAGGGAACAGCGTCACTCTTCGCCCAAAAATATTACTTCGACAGGGAACTACGAGAGTATAAAGCAACGGAAACAAGAAAAACATGGGGAACGTTCAAGGACTTCTTGAACGAACTGGCCGCCGCATTCAAGGATGAAAGTCTCGAACAGAAGGCGAGACAAAAACTGTTCACGATGAGAATGGGAAAGCGGTCAGCAGACGAATTTGTCACGGACTACCTCATGACGGCAGGAGAAAGCGGATTCGACCTCGAATCCACCGTCGACTATTTCCGTCGCACCATACACCCGGAAATCCTCAAACAGATTTACAGACTTCCCGACATGCCGACAACCATGGACGATTGGGTAAAATACACCCGAAGGTTCGATAACCAGTGGAGAGAGCTGCAAAGCATAAAAAGCTCAGTACCTTCCGCTGCCGTCCGATCTAACAACCCCTTCCGCTACAACTCCTCCAACGCCCCTTCCTCCATGAACAATTCAGTCGTCCCTATGGCCGTGGATTCCATCCGAACAACCCTCACGGACGAAGAGCGTAACCGCCTTAGAATGGAGGGTGGGTGCTTCTACTGTCGTCAAAAAGGGCATATAGCAAATCAATGCCCTGTCAGGGGTTCGTCTAGGATACATGAAGGGTCAGCTAGATATGTTCAACCGAGTAGTGGAACGATGGGGAACTGCTCGGCTCAGACCGGCGGAAGGATGGGAGGCGGAGGAGGCAGCTATGGCCGAACATTCTCGGCAGGAACTTCAGGCGGTGTTCAGGGAAGCGCTGCGGCGCAAGGTCGAGGCATGGCGACGACTAATCCGTTCAGAGCCCAACTCACAGCTCGCCAGGCCCACGCACCCGGACAAGATGCGCCTATACGTGAGACGGAGCATGAGATTAGCCGAGAAGAGATCCAAAGGGTTATTGGGAAGATGAGGTGGGATGAACAGGAGGCATTCCTTCAGGAGTTAAGCGAAATGAGCAAGAAGAAGGAATCGGATTTTTAAATAGGCCTACGGCTCCAGTGTACCGTAGACCTACCTCAGACCCTCCTGTAAAAACATTCATACGGCTCACGAAATCCAATCAGAAGTCATCTATGAGGATAAACGTGCATCTAAAACACAGAGAAGGAACTACCGAAGCTCGGGTATTGATTGATTCGGGAGCAGAAGGGCTCCTCATCGACAAACAATTCTGCCTAAATAACAACATACCAATGCAGAAAATCGATAGACCTATCCCTGTGTTTAACATGGATGGAACAGCCAATGACGGAGGAAAAATCACCGACAAAGCCTGCGTGCTCATGAGGATAACAAACGAAGACGGCGACTACCACGACGAACAATGCAAGCTACTAGCCGCTAACTTAGGAGGCGAAAACGTAATCCTGGGAACGGACTGGCTGCATGAACATAACCCACAAATCAACTGGGTAAAAAACAGCCTTACATTTTCAAACTGCACCACCACGTGTCTAGTCAGCCGACCCAAGTTTACCATACAGGCGTTAATACCTACCCAGCGAAGAAAAAACAGAACAATCGGATATTCCAGAATAGAAGACGACTTAGAAGAAGACGAAGTCGAAAATACCTTCTTCTCCGAATTCTACGAGGAATGGTATTACCAAAACCCACTGGAAGTACATCCCCTCGAAGCAATTCATATCGGTTCCATCGGAAACAAGTCACAACAACTGGCAGAAGAAGCGAACAAGACAAAAATGGAACGACCTATCGAAGAAATAGTTCCGGCATACATTCTTAAACGGTTCGCCAAAATCTTTAGCCAAGAAGCCTCACAGCGACTCCCCGAACACTCACAATGGGACCATAAAATCGATATGAAACCAGGATGGGAACCAACGGGATGTAAACTATACCCGTTAACGGAGGAAGAAGAAGACCAGCTACACGAGATGCTCCAAGAGCATCTAAAGCGAGGAACCATTAGGATATCTAAATCCCCGCAAGCGTCGCCCTTTTTCTTCGTAAAAAAGAAGGAAGGAAGTTTACGACCAGTCCAAGATTATCGAAGACTGAACGAATGGACCGTAAAAAACAAGTACCCACTACCCCTAATCGATGACGTGATAAGAACCATCGCCAAGTCAAAGGCAAGGATCTTTTCCAAGTTTGACATAAAATGGGGGTACAACAACATCCGCATAGCGGAAGGTGACGAATGGAAAACGGCCTTCATGACCAAATTCGGCTTATTCGAATGCCTCGTGATGTTTTTCGGTCTCTGTAATTCGCCCGCCACGTTCCAAACAATGATGAACATCATCTTCCATGACCTCATTGTGGCACAGGTCCTGGCAGTCTACATGGATGACATTTTGGTATTCACGAAGACCGTCGAAGAACACCGACGTGTAACAACCCAGGTCATGCAGATACTCTTAGATAACGACCTATTTTTGAAACCTTCCAAATGCACTTTCGAAACGGACACAGTTGAATACCTCGGATTCATTATCTCTGCGGACAACATATCTATGGACCCCGTCAAGGTTGATGGAATCGCCGCCTGGCCAACTCCAAAGAACCTAAAGGAAGTACAATCCTTCCTAGGCTTTGGAAACTTCTATCGCAGATTCATCAAGGACTTTGCCGCCATAGCCCGGCCCCTCAACGACCTTACAAAGAAAGACGTCCCATTCGAATGGACTCCCGAAAGGAACGCAGCATTTGAGCAACTGAAGCACTGTTTCACAACAACTCCCATCCTTGTCTACCCGGACGGTAATCGCCCCTTCCGTCTTGAAACTGACGCATCAGACTTCACTTCGGGAGCCATCCTATCTCAAGAAACGCCAAATGACGGATGGCACCCCGTCACTTACTTATCCAAATCGTTCACTGCGGCTGAGCGGAATTACGACATCTTCGATAAGGAGCTACTCGCCGTCATACACGCCCTTGACCACTGGCGCGTATACCTTGAAGGCGCACGACACCCATTCGAGATCTGGTCCGATCACAAGAATCTCCTGTACTTCTCTACCGCACAGACTCTCTCCCGCCGCCAGGCACATTGGTCACTATTCCTTTCCCGCTTCGATTTCACCCTCGTCCATAAGCCAGGCATTACCCACCAACCCGATGCTCTGTCCAGGCGTCCAGACCTAAAGGAGGGGGTGAAATCCGACAATGAAAACCGGGTACTACTACAACCCCAAATATTCGTCAAACATGCAACAGGACGAGGAACAGTCGAGATGCTTGATAGCCAACTGAGACAAAAGTTAAAAGAAGTCACAGCCAAAGATAAAGAAGTATCAGACGCAATGGAACTCATCAAAGCATCAGGACCCAGAGCACTTTCAAAAGGCCTACAAGAATGGAATTATGAAGATGATCTCATTTGGCACAGAGGAAAAATATATGTTCCACCAGATGATGAACTTAAGAGACAAATCACAAAAATGTACCATGATTCACCAGCCACAGGGCACCCAGGAAGATGGAAGACCTATGTCCTGGTGTCAGACAACTTCTGGTGGCCAGGAATGTCCACGTTCATAAGAGAATACGTAACGGGATGTGCAACGTGTCAATATACCAAAAATATCACACATCCCACACGTACTCCACTCATTCCCAACGAAATACCAGAAGGACCCTGGCAGACGGTCACAATGGACTTCATCACGGATCTCCCACAAGTCAGATCATATAACGCAATACACGTAACAGTCGACAGAAGCACCAAAGAAGTCGTCTACACCCCATGCAACAAAACCATAGATGCCGAAGGAACGGCCGACCTCTACATGAAAAACGTCTGGAGACAATTTGGACTCCCACAAAAGATCATCTCCGACAGAGGTCCACAATTCGCCGCCCGATTCACAAGAGAACTATGGAAAAAACTGGGAGTTACGACAGCGTTATCAACCGCTTATCATCCCGAAACAGATGGTGAAACGGAAAGGGTAAATCAAGAACTGGAACAATATTTACGAGTGTTCTGCAACTACGAACAGACAAACTGGCCTGAACTACTACCATATGCCAAATTCGCACACAATATAAGGGAACATTCAGCCACACATCAATCACCGTTCGAACTCATGTACGGCTATAACCCGACCTTCGTACCCCAAATCACACCAAGGTCCGACATCCCCGGAGTGGAACTAAGGCTGGAAAGGCTAGAGCAGCTTCGAAAAGAAACGAAAGCCAGTTTGGAAGTTGTGGCAGAACTAATGAAAAGAAAAACCACCGAGAACGAAGTCAAACTAGAAGTAGGACAGAAAGTTTGGCTCTTGGGAAAAAACGTCACCACTACACATCCAAAGGACAAATTAGCCCCTAAATTACACGGACCATTCCAAATAGAAGAGAAACTAGGGCCAGTTACGTATCGACTAAAACTCCCGCCAACATGGAAGATACACCCCGTGTTCCATGCCTCTCTACTTACACCATACAAAGAAACAATAGCCCATGGCCCCAACTTCGAACAACCACCACCTGACCTGATCGAAGGACAAGAAGAATACAAAGTGGAAGACATTCTCGATAAGAGGAAACGAGGACGAGGGTACCAATACCTGGTACACTGGAAAGGGTACCCGAGTTCGGCGGACGAATGGATCACAAGGGCAAACTTAGGGAATGCCAAAGAACTTTTGGAAGCGTTTGACCAAAGACGCAACGCTTTACCTTTACGAGAGGCTCTCGTAAACACGGAACCACAAAGACACCAAGCGCATAAAAACCCAAATTCGATCCTTGCAATTCCCCCATCACTTCAACCACTCCTTTCCAACCCACCCTCGATAAGACATGTCCTCCGACGAATCCCTCTACCTCTCGTCTACTGATAACACCCTCGTCGACGAACGACCGTCGCTTCCCAGTTACCTCCGCTCCCCCACTGTGTCAGAAGCAGGAGACTTTGAAGCCCGATTCGTCAATGAAGAGATTCGTATGCTCAGCATGCTAGAGCAGGAGGATCAGATGGAAGAAGTAGCTAGGAGGTATCAGGCTCGAGTCGACGCTAATGCAGCAGAAGAAGCGGCCGCGGCACAGACTCCTGGGTCCCCCGTCATAGACATATCCACATCCTCTTCGTCCTCCCCCTCGCCACCCCCTTTGATCCGTGAAGCCAATGAAAGCATCGTCTTCCCGGACAGGGAAACCTACCTCACGACCCCCGTCGCGTACATGATGGGACTTATTGAGGGGACACCTAACACAGAGTTCGTGTCAGGACCGACTAGACCGGAGATTCAGAGGGCATTGGAGATCCTGAAAGAGGAAAGGAGTTTTGTTCGACACGCACAGAGAGCCTTGCAGATCCGAGAAGGCACAATCATCGCCCGTATCAATGCAGGAGAGCGAAAACTCATGGGCTTACAAAACCTACGAGATTCATTTCACCCCGCCGACGACCCTACTCCCGCCACCGAATATCACATGCCTACCACAGCTGTGGTATCTCGTGCCTCGTCTTCGGCCTCAAATGGCGCTCCGTTTCGCCCAATGCTGGGGACTTACCCTACAAGGACTGACAGAGAACGAGACGTATACCGGTTCGCACAAGTCTCCCCCCGTTATCACATCATCCCCGCGCGTCTCGGCCTCATCCGCTCCTCCACACGAACCCGACCTCCTCTCCCTTTCGTTGAATACGACTCTAGCGAGTCCAACACCGCACCCGTTGTACTTCGCCCTCATGGAGCTTAGAGAGCGATAGAGACCCTCGTCCGGTATGACGTAAAACTGCCGGGGCATACGGCGGTTCGAATCCATTGGGCCAGTACCCACTGCCATGATGAGAAGAGGGACTCGGCTCTAAAACACAGTCCCGCATGGTTGGTAACGAGGTGGGGTATCATGATGTCCGTACTCAAGGGCTATCGCGTCATGACTCGACTGTGGGCAGCGAGAATTTGTGCCCTAAATATTATTTTGTATGACATGACTCATGTGCATTGCTTATGTTTTTCTTGGACTACTACTTACCATCTCTGGCACTGACGGCCTAGAGGGGGGGGTAATGTTACGAAACGCTTCACCTATGCTTACCTATCTTTCTCACCTTCTTGATAAGGACTCGTAGGACCTTTCTCTCGACCATACCTCGCGTTCCTGCTCCATTGATACTTGGTCCGTGCGTCTGCTTGTACATATTTATAGATACTGCAGCACAGTATGGAAGCCTCAGGCTATCCACTTCTGTCCAATCTAAGAACTGCTGATCATACAGTCTTCTCTGATTGTAAAACACTAGTCTGATCAGCCCCAATCATCCTCTCCAAACCTCCCTTGTTGTTTGTGGCCTAGGATCCTCTCGTCCCGAACAGCCGTTCATGACAATTTTGGGGTTGTTTGTTCATTACATTCCGAACACTTTTAGTATGCTCCCTTGTTTGTTGCACAGCTTATAGTTCCTTGCACACTAGAACCAGCTCCTGCCTACCTGCACTTGTAGGGGTGTTTCTTGGGTGTGTTTTGCACTCAGAGGCATCACTAGCATATCACCGTTGGCAGGAACAGGGTCATCAGTAGGGTGAAACATGTCATGGACATCTGGAAAACTATCCCCTTGTATTAAGCTCTAATTAGCTATAATTGATGCCTTATTATACTAAATTATGAAAGATTAGGATTAGACATTTTTAGCTTACCCCCCCTCTAAACCTGTTCTAATTAGACATAATTTTCCTAAATTAGGAATTATTAGGATTGATTATAACTTGAAATTTCGGAATAATAATAATAAATCAAGCATCATAGTTCACATAGCCTTCTTATAGAGTCATGTCTATTAGAGCACTAGTTGAATACCTAAACACAGAATATACCTTATAACAAACTTGCCTTTTGCCAGAGTTGAACCAACAACCTCATGTATACAAGCACCCGGAACAAATACTCTAAGCCACTAAGCCACAAGGTCTAATATATAAACTTGGTAATCTAAATAAGTAGACATAATATAGGCAACCTCAACATCTCAAATTTTATTCAACATTTATCTTTCCTCTATCTAATAAATAAACAGGTTAATAGATACCCAAAAAGTCAGGTCTTTCAGGATTTAGTTTAAACACTAGCTAAGAAGATGATAAACTAATGGAAAATAAATAATACACTTTATATAGGGTAAAAACAAATTGTGGCACTTACACAATTTGGATTGAGAATGTGTAAAACTATGATTGAGTATAATATTCAATGGGACTCTACTAGTATAGACAATGCTACCTTAATTTGCAAATTTGATCAAAAACATGATTATGAATAATTAGCCATAATTAACTCAAATTAGTATCATTAATGATTATCAATAATTAAGATCCAATAAGAGAGAGGGGTTTTCCAAATAGCCACTAGTGAGATGGAGGGTGGGGACAAGGGTATATATATGGCATGCCTATGTATAAATAAGCACAAGATTATTAGAAATGATCTTGATATGCTTAGTGCACATATTTCCTACATAGCAGGCAAACATATTATTCTGGCACTGCATACCAACATGACTGTCTTTTCCATAGCCCAATAGCTAGAGAAAAACACCAAGTTTGAGCATCTTCAATATAACAAGGCAATGGACAATATGGATGGCACTGAGAATTGTAATATCAATAGTGGTGATGATTATATGCTGCACAAGACAGTATTAACCACTGTACTAATAGACAAGGTCTATAAGGCTGCATGTAGCACATCCCTAAGCCCAACCTGCATGTTGTGTCCTGTAATGACTAGTAGCAGGCATTGGCTAACAATGATAACTTTAATGATCTTGTATGCAAGGCCAAGGTACTGAGGTCTTTATAGTCTCTTGTGGCAGCTGCCAAGCTGCCAATAAAGTGGCTGAGGGCATCAATGCACATTTCTCTCTTTCTATGTCCCTTTTAAAGGCAGCTAGAAAGTCAGCAAAAGAGCTACAAAATCATGGTGCAGGCATATGTGAAGGAGAGTAATGTGCTAAAATAGCATAGAATGTGCCGCATCTTTATTTTTTCACTGATAGAGCAGTTGTACTTATTATTTCCTACTGCTAATTAAAGACTTCTTAGTATAGAATTAGTGCTAATATCATGAAATTAGAAACCAATCCAATGCTCACAATGTGTTGCTCCCAATTAGGAAATTAGACACTTTTAGATACTATTAACACTTTTAGATACTTTTAGACACTATTAGATATAATCCGGAGCTAATATAAGAGGGTGGTTTTCTAGATGTAGGTGGGTTGTTCTTGGGCCTGCAGGCCATTGGTATAAGTAAGTACATTGTACATACAAGGTTACTTAGTGTGTTATCTTGCTAATAGATCAATTCCTGCATAGGGCTCTGACAGAGTTAGAGTTGTGCCTTACAGGATCCGCAAATCAAACATCCTATCAAAAAACTGGGATCATCTGTTTAGAGTATAATCCAAAAAGTACTTGTGCTAAAGTATACTGTGGAAAGCTGTTTGAGATTCTCCTTCTATACTAAAATGTGAAAGAAGATAGAAGATAGAAGCTCTTAGAGGTCAATCCTCTGTGAGCATGGTGCCCAACCTTACAAAGCAGATCAATGGCTGCAAACCCAACTGCCTAAGGCTGCCATATTTAAGTCTTCTTCACTTTTGCTCATGCCTAGGGATAACAGTCATGCACCTCCAGGAGCCTCCATGTCCTCACTGTCAGTCAAAGAATAGTGGTGTGGCTATAGAGAAATAATTTAAAGTGAGATCAACAGTACTGTTGCTGATGGCCTTTGCCTATTGGTATATGATGACCTGGAGATGCACAGAAAAGCACTGAAGAAGTGGTCAACATGCAATATGATGAATGCTTGGATGGTCAGGCAAACAAAAATTTGGCTCTACAGTAACCTGCGCGATATTGCTGGCAAGGATGCGGGAGACATTATTTTTTAAATGAAAAATGCGGGGATGGGGCGGGGTGGTGCGGGGTAACACGACCATACTTGCCATATCGAGACATGTTTGAACCGCCTGACCAGGACGGTTGCGGGGCGGGCCGCAGGCCCGGGACCATGTTTGAGGACTGTTTGAGGTTATATCAGGCACATTCATTGCACAAATGTCATTGACCACGCGCTAGTTGTCTTCCATGCCTGTATATAAAGGCGCTCCGGGCTTCGCTGACTTTCTTCCTCCTCCTCCTCCATCATCCAGGATTGAGCCATGTCCACCGAGCTCTTTAAGAACATCCGCGTGTACTGTGCGTTATAAACGACTAGGTCCATTCGCTTGTTGTAGCGCTTACGCCAACGCTTATTCGCAGGGACGGCTTTCGTCGCCTACTGGGGCATCTTCCTGTTCGGATATGACACGTATGTCCGCTTCTGCTTGCTGGATCATCGAGATCTTCATTCTGTCTTGCAGCGGTATAGCGGGAGGAGTCGTAAAATCATTGTATTTTCAGGTCGAATTTGGCATGCGGCCTGCAACAGGTCCGAGCGATCCAGTCAGAATCAACAATATCTCGCAAAATGTTGTGTCTGTCCTTATGGCGGGAGCATTCTTTGGCGCCCTTGGCAGCGCACCAATCTCCTGTACGTTCTTTCGATTGATGCATCACAAATTGTTCAACTGTTCCATCTTTGCACGAGTGCAAACTCAGTTCCCTTGTCATTCACTTCAATTTGGCCGTATCAAGCTGATATATTTGCTCCGCATCGTTCAACACAGCCACCATAGGAAGACGATATACTCTACTTGGGTTCTCCTTGATATTTACGGTCGGTGCTGTAAGCAATTTCACCTCCATCTCTCCGTGGACTATGAGTTCGATGATTATTTCCTTCCAGATTCTCACCACGGTCGCTGGCGGCAGCCGCGGATTAGGGTATATCTACGGCGGACGTGTTGTTTCTGGATTCGGGATCGGTGGTATCTCAGCTGTTGCCCCAGCCTATGTATCCGAATGTTGTCCCAAAAACGTTCGTGGTCGTATCACTGGTATGTTCCAGATCATGGTGGCCTTGGGTGTCATGATCTCCTACTTTGTCAACTGTATGTTCCCCAGTTCTTCTCCCTTATCGCTCCAATCTCATAGTGCGTCTATTTGATAGTTGGAATCAGTGAGCATGTCGCAAATAGCTCGAAAGTATGGAGGGTACCATTCGGGTTCCAACTCGTGCCGGCTGGTATGATGGCCCTCGGCCTGCTGACCACCAAGGTAAGCGGCGCATCAGATAGCGGACAAGAAGTATCCGTTTGACATACAGAGCGTTATAGGAGTCTCCCCGTTGGCTAGCTACCAAGGGCCGTACGGCAGATGCTATCAAAAATCTTGCCTACCTCCGGAGAGCAGATCCAGACTCAGATGAAATTCGCACAGAGTATGTTGAGATTGAGGCGGCTATTAATGAGGAACGCGAGGCGCGACGTGATCTAGGGTTCAAGGAGGCGTTTCTTGGCAAAGGAAACTGGATCAGGTTCTTGATCGCGTTCTCCATCTTCTTCCTCCAGCAATGGAGCGGACAGAATTCAGTCGGCTATTACGCACCACAGATTTTTGAATCGGTGAGATTGGAGACATATCGGCTTATGAACTGCACTCACAGTCGTATAGATCGGATACGAAGGCAATACAAACTCGCTCCTAGCTTCTGGCATTTACGGTATCGTAAAGGTCGTGGCCACCGCGATCTTTGTGTTCTACTTGGCGGACTCCCTCGGTCGTAAGATGTCGCTTTTCATCTCCGCTATGGGCATGGGTATTCTGTTCTTCATTGTCGGTGCAATCTTGAAGACACACCCACCTGATGCCACGGCAGGCTCTGGTACGCCAGCGCCGGCGTCAAGGGCCATGGCAGCGATGATCTATATATACGTTTGTTTTTACTCCATGGGCTGGGGGCCATTGCCATGGGTTTACGTTTCCGATATCTTTCCAACACGGACACGGCATTACGGGTTGTCTGTGGCGTCAGCATCGCAATGGCTCTGGAGTGAGTTGAGCTTCAGTCTGGTATTATAGCATCATCTGACAGGTACCCTTAGATTTTGTTGTGTCCAGAGTGACGCTCACCATTATCAATAACATCGGGTACAAGGTCTTTCTTATGTTCGCCACACTCAACATCGGCGCCATGGCCACCTTTTCCTTGTACGTTCCCTTACCTTCTCTGGTCTGGGCTGCCTGATTGACCATCTGCTGGATGGACAGAGCAATTCCAGAAACAAAGGGACGCTCCCTCGAGGAGATGGATATCATCTTCGGCACCGTATCTCTGGAACAGCGTCGTGCTGACATCGCACAGCAAGAACGTGGTATGTTCACTGCGTTCATTCTCTGCTCGCATGATACTCACTTGCATGCCAACGTCTCCAGGACTGGAGCACGACAAGAACGAGACCACGTCAGAGCAGTCCATCGATCGCAAAGTTTGATTGAAGCCTCGTGAGGACCTTCCTTGGAGCAACATGTACTACTTACGTTACTTCGCGTTTGTGCTGCTGCTGACTATGGCGCACAATTTCCCCTTGTCTTTCTGATCACGGCATTTACTGCTGATCTACTGTGATGAGTAGACGACTTCTGTACACACATCTGTATTTTACGAAACGGTTGCCATGCTTTTGGGATTCCAAGTATATTTACTGGCCATAATTTCTAAGTCATTCGTCAAAGTTGAAGATCGACGGTGCTGAACTTTGGGACCTGAATGCACAATGAGTGTATGGGAGCTGATACGGCAAGAACGAGCAAAAATGGAAAGGCTTGATTATGTAATATTTCGGTTCCGAGCCTCCGATGGCCTCCGACCCTCTCCGACCGTGTTCCGCCCGAGCCAAGTTGGTGGGATTGACGTGGCACCAACATCGATCCAGTAATACTGATCCAGTCTCCAACTCGAACTTGCTATTGTAGCCAAGGCCTTGCAAGGTTCTTCGGAGAAGAGTTGAATGATGTCAGTGATCCACTTTCATTACCACTGGTTGATACCTTGACCATCTAGTGCCTAGTCCCCAGATGTAAATCAGCATTGCAGAGTCCGAGATCGCGATAGCACCATTTCCCAACCTCAGTGCTTCCAGCTTGAAGAGACCCTCGAGGCCAATTTTTGATTCGTGATATTTTATGATCAATTCCAGCCATATCATACTTCGGATGGTCTAATGTTAATATCGGGACTGGACAACTTCCAACTCAAACGTGTCCTTCGCGGGGTTTAACCCATCCTGTCTTAGCACTCCCTTGGGCCTTGGCCATACACTTATGTCTCAACGTCAGTAAGTCTGAATGTGACACTTGCACTAGCTCAGGTGAGTGTACCATTTTGGCCGTCCATAGCACTCTGCTTTTTCATGCTGACTTTACGAACTTTGATCTTCTAAAATCACTAGCTTTCTTTGAACATATCGTCCTTTCTCGCTCCTTGCTTTCCTAGGATCTCTCATGAGGGTTGAATGGTCTCAAAAGGAGGACCGATGCGCATGACTGAATAGGTTTCCTCCCCTCGAACCCCTGCGGGCTGATTTTGGGTCGGTCTTAGGTCGGTCTCTCAGATAAGGTGACCGATGACGAGCGTCGACTATTATAAAGAACTGAGATTATTGGTGCACACAAAATTTGTATCATGTAGGATGACTATGCCTTTGCTGGACAACACATCTTCGATCTCAATCGACGGTGCTATTTTGGGACCAATAACTCAGGGGTTCTTCTTACCTTCGCCCACGGCGGTATCGGATGCCAATGCCGCGACGGCATAATCCTATTAGATCTGCAAATTTTATCTATAGCCACGACCTTTCCTAACATACTTTTTTAATCACTGCTCGAGCGATCTCTGAAGACTAATGCCGTATCACAAAGCGACTAAGTTTGCGTCAAAGGTACCGTTTGTTGGGATTGAATAGAGTTACTAAAATTGTTCCACGAATTTTTAGATCGTGGTGTTGTCTCGTGTTTTTTTTTTCTCTGCATGATCACATAGCATATGTAGGTCGTGATGTTGTCTCAGGATTTGCTTTGTGCTAAACTATTCAACAGCTGCGGCCGCTTTGCGCAATATTCTCTTTTTGTGTTTAGAGTGTTCTATCCGACCACACTACGTCAAGACTGAATGTCTGGAATTCTTCTGAGACTCGCTAACCTGCATTGTTCTGGGTGTTTCTGGATGCTAGACCAGTGTTCATGTCCAGACGATCGAACACGCAGAGAGCAAAGTCGTTATAAGACTGTCTGGAGACATAAGAAAAGTCGAGTCCACCGACTTCCTCACATTCAGCGGCATCTTCTGCATTCAGCGCGCCTACCTCTATGAAGCTTTCCTCTGCCTACGCCACGCTCCCTGTCCCGGACCTCAGCAGTTCATTCTGGACTAGGATGACGAACCTCGGTGAGCATATCGTACCGCATCCTCCGCTTTGTTCACATGTGCTGAGTATCTTTCGACTTTCCAAGCCCGCTCTAGTGTAAAGTATGCGCTCGAGAAAGGCATCAAGAAGGGACGTTTGGAGATCCACGACAACACTGGACTCACGTCCTACGGAGTCGACGGTGTTGGGGAGGATGGAGTCCCCCCGGCGGCTTCGATCCGTGTTCTCAATGAAGACTTCTGGCTTCGTCTTTTCCTGTCATATGATATCGGATGTGGGTATTTTATCATTCATATTACCAGTACTGAGTAATGGATCACAGTTGGCGAAGCCTACTTGGCGGGAGATTTCAAGTCCCCCGACGTAAAGGCAGTTTTGAATGTACATGTATCCATCTATGGCTTGGTTCTATCGATGCTGACCGGTATATCCACCCACAGCTATATGTAGATAACCTAGACACTCTTCGCGCCCTCGAGTCACCAGTCTATAAGCTCAGTGCTTATATCAATATGTTTATGATGAGATTCTTCAACCATGGACTCTCAAAGGCGATTGAGAACGTATGTGGCCTTCACCGCCTTGTCTCATTCCGCTGCTCATAGTGATAGCAAAATAGGCTGCCGGTTACGAAGCTTCGAATGATCTCTACATGGTTCGTACTAGTTATGTTGAATTTTGCTATCGCATTGACATTCAGCCGTAGGCATTTCTGAGCAAGGAGATGCAGTACTCTGTACCTATCTGGACTGACGCCGAGGGCGGTCCTCGTGGCGATCTCGAGGGAAAACGCGTCTCTGGGGACCTTGAGACGGCGCAGGCACGCAAGATCCAGCACATTCTGACCAAGGCGCGACTTCGTCCAGGGGACAGACTGCTAGAGGTGGGATCTGGGTGGGGTGGCGTTGCCATCGCGGTATGCGTCTTCATTTCCTTGGCGCGACGTACAGCGAAAGCTGACAGTGTTGGGTGCAGGCAGCTAAGATGGGATGCACAGTTGACACTTTGACGCTTGCTACGGAGCAGAAGAAGTACATTGAGCAAAAGATAAAGGGTACGGATCTGGAAAGCAGGATCCACGTTCATCTTCTAGATTATCGCAACATGCCACGCGAGTGGGAAGGTAAATTTGACGCATTCTGTAGTCTGGAAATGCTTGAGGTCAGTAGCGTTACAAACTTTCATAATTTGTCGGACAACGCTTTGACGGATGTGTGTCTCGAAGGTGGTAGGACGGACGTATATGCCGGTCTATCTCCGTCAGATCGACCGGGCGTTAAAAAAAGAGCGTTCAGCCGTCGTTTTGACTGGTGCTACATACCCTGAGGCCGCGTACACCCCCTACCAGTCAGTCGTACCCAATGTTAGTAGCCAGATTGAATGATGCTGACATGGGCCTTGCAGGAAAAACGATTTCATCCGCAAGTATCACTGGCCCAACGGCGTCTCTCCCAGTGCCACTTCTCTGGTCAAGGACTTTGAACATGCTTGGGGCCGAAGCTTCTGCCTCGAGAGCGTTGAAGACTTCGGACCTAGTGAGCCATTTCTTTTCTTTCTGCGCGTCGGGTTATGTGCTTATTGTATGATTGCGTCAGATTATCCGCGCTGTCTTCGGGAATGGGCGAGGTACGCGTATACTCTGATTCTTGTGGCATAGCTGCCTAATTGGCTTCACCATCATTTAGACGGCTCAGAGAGAACTGGAACGAAGACCTCGAGAGGTCTCTGAGCGACAAGTATCCTGAACTATCGGATAAAGCTAACATGGATGTATTCCGTCGAAAGTGGGAGTACATGTTCGTGTACATGGAGGTTGGATACGCCCGGGTCTGGGTCTCTAGCCATTGCTGGACTCTTGTTCGGCCGGTAAGCAACTACCGTGTGGATATTAGCTCGTCAAGATCCTGACATTATTTTTCAGGGCCAAACGCCTGCCCCGACCTACTAAACACTCGGTTGACCCTCCATCGATGACCCTCTGCAACTGTAGCTTTGAATATCTTCATCTTATATATGCTGTGTACGTTAAAATATATTTGGTGGCTTTCGGAATGCCCTTCCGTGAACCTCTGGGCCTAGTATGTTGATGTCTTCGATAGGACTATTAAGCGCGGATGTGGCCGGGTGTGTGTACAGTATGTAAGGCTGTGTGGAACATGAGGAACGTGGTTAGCCAAGGTCTCCGACTCGTGGATGGTCGAGTTATGAAGGATTACGCTACTTTGGAATCCGTAAGAACTATACATGAGTACATTTTTTTGCCAGTGTCTTATGGTGGCTAGTCGAACGCACCCTTCTCCATATAATGCCGCCAGCTCTTTTAAAGAATCATGACTGTGCTACCGAAGGGAGTCTCGGTTTTTGAGAGCAGTATTCATTAAGACTTCAGATCAAAGGTGCACTCGCCAGCAGAAAGGGCTGCTGATCATGCCCAGTTATATCCGACTCGCGGTTAGTCGATAACTTGTGCAAATGTCCTATTTATGGGCGGCTATTAAGATAAAGCTAGATCATAACGCCGAAGGTCAATAAAAGACCGGTCAATAAAACCGAACGAGCCAAGTCGGTACTTACACACCTTGCCGTGCGACCCTGTGCGACCCCATCACCATCCGGGACAACTTAGTAAGGCGCTATACTGAGGAATAATCCCTCATCTATCAGCGATGAACATACCTGTTTCAGTCAGAGCTGCATCGCCTTGGCCACAGTATGCACGGCTTCATTCAAATCGTGCTCACGAACACGGCGCCGAAGGGACCGAGAATCTTGAGAATCAAGATAGCCGTGACCGCCTCTTCCTCGAGGCAGTTCTTCATGCCATGAGCAAGGCTGCGGCCTGCGCCAGCTCCCCAGCAGTGCACAGGCAGCATAGGACAGGTACATAGGACCTATAGCTGAGGTGTCAACCTATCCGACAGACATTCACTCAAAATCGCTGTCAAGCAGTGCAGCATTTAGCGTTCCATACAACGAGGAAGGATTGCATTGCCCATGAGCATGCAAAGCCTCGCTATTTGGGTTTCCCCACCAGCGCCTGATGGTTCGAGACTCGATGCTGAGCTTCCGGGTTGACAAGACCCTTAACACAGGATTATGTAAGCAAGCGGTTAACGTCGCTTTGCACTGGCCAGCCACTTAAGTCACCCCGCTCCTTTGTTCTCATCCCTTTACGCGTTTTTTCTCTGGAAGAAGTCATCACATTACAGCTGTATATTCAGCTCTCCGGACGTCCCATCGATTCTCTGTATCTTAGACGACTCAACTATGCCTGTTTGCACTGCGGAGAACACCCAGGCCGTGGATCAATCGGGTTTCTGGGATGAAAACGGGATAGATTGGGATAGCCACCGGATAGGATGGGCCATTGCTGGAGGGTGCTCTATTCTAGTATGTCCATTCTTCACCCATGAAAGCCGATGTTGACTCGCCCAGACTGTAATTATCTCATTCGTTAGTGTAATGATGCACTGTCGGTGAGTGCAGAATCCACCGATATTCGTGGTGATGGCCTCTCACGCTGCATCCAGGAATTACAACAATCCAGCAGAGCAGCGGCAGATGTGACTAGACCCTTCTCCCATTATTGAAAGTCAAATGGCTAACGGTCTTCCAGCATCCGAATTTTGTACATGCCACCGGTTTACGCCATCATCTCATTCTTTTCCTATCGTTACTTCCGGGATTACACTTATTACTCTCTCATCGAAGTTGGTGCGTGGCATGCTCTCTTCTTGATCCCACTCGTCGCTGACTCGTGAACAACGATATCTTTCCAGTCTACGAGGTCATTTTCAGTGTTCATATACTCGTGAAATTGACTGACATGTTCTCTTGAAAGGCTGTCACGATTAGCGCTTTCCTGTATGCTTGTTTCCCTTGTTCCTAGTGTGTTGTACCGACCTGCATCTTTACCAGCCTACTCCTCATCGAATACGTAGCTTCCACAGCCGTAGGCCATTCTGCTGAGAATGCGATTGCTCGTAAAGACAAATCCCCCCTACCTCTGCCGGTGCGTAATTTTGCATTCGGCCTCGCTCAATTCTAACGACCCCCTACTTGATCTAGTTCTGCTGCTGGAGGTATAGACCGACAAAGGTGCGAGCTGCAATTACAAGGCCTCCTGTGATCTTGCTCACTTAGAAATAGGCATACTTCATGTATACTGTCAAAGTGCGTTCGAGCCACTATGCGCTCCCCCTTTTGTGACCTAGTTCATATTTCTGTTCAGTGGTCGGTCCTCCAGTATGTCATCGTGCGGCCTGGTGAGTTTTTGTGTGGAATGATGTATCTCGTGCCACACTGAACTCTTCGGTGAAGCGGTCTCCATCGCCGGAATCATCTGCGAAAAATACAAAGTTCTATGCGAATCTGGCTCCTATAACGTGCACTTCGCAAAAGTTTATCTGGATGCCATAGACTTCGTCAGCATCAGGTGGGAGCGTCGTATTCTTCACAGCATGCTTGTCCCTCAACATTCGCAGTGTTGCTTTGTATGGGCTTATCCTCTTCTACGGGCTCACGAAAGAGGAGCTGAAAGGTCGTCGTCCGCTGTCCAAATTCTTGTCCATCAAGTTGATCGTGATGTTCACGTTTTACCAATCCTTCGTGGTAAGTCTGTTTCTTTTTCTACCTATTCAGGTACCTGACGTCTTTGCGCAGTTCAGCGCCTTGGAGGGCCGCGTGATTCACGGCACGTTGAAACAGCATGCCCTCGATCTTAGTCGGCTTCTCATCTGCTCTGTATACAGGCACACAGTACTGGACTGCGACCAATATCTCCGACGGCCTTAATGCCCTCGCCACGTGCATAGAGGTCAGTATACTACCGCAGCGTTCTCGCCTCATCTTTTTAACCAACGGACAGATGATTTTCTTCGCGGCTTTCATGATGTGGGCATACACGTGGAACGAGTACACCACCAAGGGTGGTGCTCACACTGGCATTTTCAGGCCACTATGGGACAGGTGCGCCGTGTATACTATGTGTCACATCACATCTAACTCAGAGTGCTGCAGTATCAATTATAGTGCGTGTCTCAAAGCTTATGATGGGCGTTTAGTGGCTGACCCGTCACGCAGTTGACTTTGCGCGCGAGATCCTTTCCTCGTTATCGTTCTATGCTACAACCGTGACCCATCAACCGAGGAATCGCTCACATGGCCCAGAAATCGAGGAGCCAAAACGCGATTTTGGGCAGGCTTTTGGCGTGGAAGGGTATCGAATTACCCGTCGCAAGTCTCTCGGCGAGTATGATGACGCCATCGGTCTTGCCCCGAGGACAACTGCGTTGCGTGGCTCGCACGGACGTGGGAGCAATAACGGGAGCCCAGCTGGGAGTGCAGGCACGTTGTCTTACGAGGAGCCACACGCGGTTTGAGTGACGTGTTGGCCATTGATGGTTAGGGGTTAGTGGCTGCTCAGGCCTCAGGAGGGTGAGGGATGTATCTACTTACTTTGGTACGCGAGTCCGAGCAACTCGATGGACTGACATTCAGTTTGGTTCTGGGAACGCGATGACTCTTCATATGCCTGCTTGTATTATTCTATCTATGATACCCTCCTTGTGCCCTCCTTGTGCTCCAGGCCGAAGGCCACCGACCGACATCTTCCACTGCCTCCTTCTGTCAAGCCATTCCTGATGCTGTGCTCTTTGGGTCCTCGGTGGCGAGCATTTCTTGTATAGCTTCGAAGGACGATATGGAGCGTGTCACGGTGGCTTGCTCCTACTCGTGTCCTCTGGTGCCTACATGTAGACCCTGCATGTATCGAAGCTCGTGTATGATTTTGCCTATTTATACGCGTGCTAATTTCAGCACCCGATGTCTTATTATAAGCCCCCTCATGCCATCTCCCCAAGCTTGACCATTGGTGTGCAATAGCTTGTCTATCTCGGGGAAGCTGTACGCGTGCTTTGCAAACCATAGTTCATTCATAGACGAGGCTATGAGACCTGCGGATGACAAGGCTGAGATGAGACGATAAGCATGACATCGTCCCGATAAGCCCTAGATGGCAACCGGCAGCAAGATTCAGCTTGCGCGCCAAGTGTCTCAAGCGATCATGGACACAGCTAACAAAAAAGGGGAATGATGACCACACTTTTCCCTTGCTCACGACCACCATGGCTTTCCTCTCCAACCTCATCGAGCGCATTCCCGAGGGGATTAAACGCACTGAAGATACCATCATCGGTACGTCTTCGCGTCTTGCATTGTTTCAGGGCGCGCGGGCTTATATTTCGCTTGACAGGCCTGGTCAATCCCAATCGTATGGCACAGTTCGCACGCGAATCGTTGGCCTCTTTGTCTGATTTGATATCTAGGCCGCCATAATGATCCCCATGAGAAAATGCACGACGAGATCAGAGCCGAAATCAACGCTTCTCATCGTTTCGACAGCTTCGCCGACGAGCGAGCTCAGAACTTTGTCAAATGGTCCGTCTACAGGGATTTATATACTTTTTCTCCATTCACGAGTTGTTCGAAAGGCACATCGATGGGCATGATTATTTCTACGCACTTTCGGAGATGCTTGAGAGCGCGAGGGAGTGTATCTTCATCCTAGTACGTCCCTGATTATTGTTGCGTTGCGCGAGAAACTGATCGTGCTTGTTAGGATTGGTGGCTTACTCCAGAACTGTACCTCCGCCGCCCCCCGGCGTACAATGAGAAATGGCGATTGGATCGAATTTTGAAACGCAAAGCCGAGCAAGGCGTTAAGGTTTATTGTGTGGTCTATAAGGAGGTACACTGAGTCTGTTCGCATCGCACCCAAATTCTCATAGGCACCAGGTTACCCAAACCATGAGCATGAGCTCCTCTCACACCAAGGTAAGCTACTCACGATTTCTATTTGAATGTTGACTGAAAGAAGAATCCGCGTCTGCAGAAAGCTTTAGAGGCTCTTCATCCCAACATTGCTTGCATGCGGCACCCTGATCACATCGGGTCCAAAGGTTTGATGGTCCCACTATAGCCCCATGCCCCAGATCCATAAACTCATGTTTCACCCCAGATAATGTCGAGTTCTGGTCTCACCACGAAAAGGTCAACTTCATTCCGTTGCCGATGCCACACCATATTTAACCACTGCTATAGGTCGTGGTCGTAGATAACCATCGGGCTTGCATTGGCGGCCTTGACATATGTTTCGGGCGCTGGGACACTAACTACCACCCGCTGGCGGACGCTCACCCGACCAATTTCTCCAAGACGCTATTCCCTGGCCAGGACTACAACAATGCGCGCATCTCGGATTTCCAGGACGTGTACAACTACGTGAGCGGCACTATCTCGGTCGCTGAAAGCCCGAGGATGCCCTGGCACGATGTAGGTGTTCATGACTTCTAGTAGTTTGCTTTTGTCGATCTCAGTCTTGCGCAGGTTCATATGACTCTTGCGGGGCCTGTTGTTTTGGATATTGTACAACACTTCGTAGAACGTTGGAACGAGGTTAAGACTAGGAAGGTCAGTGCATCACCTATTCATGCCACTGACTCTTGATCATTCTAATATTTTGTTTTAGTACAAGGATGATGTGTAAGTGACGTTCAAGACGGTTGAGGCTTCCAGTACCAACATGTGTTACAGTCGCTATGACTGGCTCGCTCTCCCTCACAATGTGGAAGTGTCTCCGAACGAAGCTGTCGTCCGTGCGTCAATCAACCTCATTTATTCGGGCCACATCATGAACATCTCACTTCTATACAGGTCACCCTCACCGTGAACGATGGCATCAAATGGGCAAACACTTCAAGCAACGCTTCCACCTACCTGAAGGGGAAGATTACGAGGACCACAACTACGCCCGCCCGCCCCACGGCAACTGCCGCGTGCAGGTCGTGCGGAGTGTCTCCGACTGGAGCCACGGCGTGCTCACGGAGCACAGCATCCAGAATGCTTGTAGGTCCCCTCTATAAGCTATGTGAGTATACCTGATATTCTATAGACATTCAACTCATCCGCGAGGCAAACCACTTCATCTACATCGGTATGTTTACCGCTTTCTCTTGGGAGAATGTAATTGAGATGACTTGACAATGTCTTAGAAAACCAATTCTTGTCAGACTTACATCTGGTATAATGATAGCGTTTAGCTGACGTTCTGCATAGCATCTCCAACACGAAGGAAGAGGGCCCTGTCAAGAACCAAATTGCCGCGGCTCTCGTGGAACGTATTGTCAGAGCTGCTCGCGATGGCAGGAAATTCAAGGCAGGTTTGATTGGTACACCTGTTTCTGCATTTGCTCATATATGCGGCTGCAAGGTGGTCGTGGTTATCCCTGAGGTTCCCGCATTCTCTGGCGACGTGAAGTCCGAGACATCACTCAAGACAATCATGGCGGCCCAGTACCGCACGATCAACCGCGGCGGAAACAGCATCTACGAAGAGATCCGCAAGGCAGGATACGAACCGTGCGTGTTTCCATCTGGTCAGCCTACACCATGTCGACTCGAGCATCGCACAGGATGGATTACATCCGATTCTACCACCTTCGCGTCTATGATCGCATCAACGCGCCGGCGGGTGGGTCTTGCCTCGTTCTTATCCGCCATTGCTTCGGACTAAGCTCGCACAGGATACATCGAGAGAATGGAAGAAATCAGCGGTGTCAAGTTCAACGCTGCGCAAGTGGCACTCGCCCGCCAGTGGGTTGGTGACTCGGCGGACGCTGATGTCCCCAAGGAAGTGACCATCAAGATGCCCGAGGCCACCTCTGAGGGGATCGTTGTAAGCGACAAAACCCCTGTCAAGACGGAGAAGTTCCCCTTGCCCGAGTCGAAATCGGAGGCGGTCGAGATCATCGAGCGGTTCGAACGTGCATCAGAGCAGATCCGCGGCGACGAGGACGTTTCCGATACCGTCGTCCAGCATGCACTTCAAGACAACACGGGTCTGCGCGACGAGAAATGGCTCGGAACAGAAGAAGAGGAGCTCAACGCGTAAGCAGTCCCCTCCCCTTGCGATAAGGCAGATGAACTGTGGAGCTGATGGCCGTCTAGTTACGTCTCAGAGCTGTCGTACATCCACACGAAGCTGATGATTGTAGACGACCGGCGCGTTATCGTGAGATCTCATTAGTTGCCACCCATGTGCACGGTCGGTCCTGACACGTTTTGGGCCGCTACTAGATGGGTTCCGCGAACCTCAACGACCGCAGTCAAAGGGCACGTACCGCTCCGGCGACCCTTTTTCTGTTATCTGTTAACCAGTCCCCCGGGTTTTTAGGGCGATGGCGACTCTGAGATCGCGCTCGTCGTGGAAGACGACGATACCATCGAGACCACGATGGATGGAGAGCCTTACGTCGCAAGCCGCTTTGCCGCCTCCCTCCGGCGAAAGCTCTACCGCCGTGAGTCGCCCCCTTTCCCGCATGTCCAAACGCGTGCCTTAATTCATATCGCGCAGAGCATCTCGGGCTTATCCGCGCGGAGCTCTGCGAGCACCGGGAGCCCCAGGTCACCTCGTTCATGCGCGCGGCGCCGCACCCGAACGACGACGAGCTCGACACCGACGAGGACCGGACGGTCGCGGACCCGCTCGCCCAGGAGACGATCGACCTGTGGTGCACCACCGCGCGTCAGAACAGGGAGATCTTCACCGAGATCTTCCGCCCGGTGCCCACCAACCTGGTCCGCGACTGGAACGCGTACGACGTACGTGATCTCGCACCCGTTGGAAAACACGCGGAATCGATCTGATGGTGCTCTCGCAAACGCAGAACTACGTGCCCAAGGTCAAGACCGGCCACGTCGCGCCCGGCGTCCCTCTGGACCGGGTCAAGGACGGACTCGCGCGCGTGCGCGGCTCGCTGGTGGAAGCGCCTCTGGTGCGTTGCAGTATCTACTCACTCGCGGACCGCGCAGATCCTGACCGACACGCTCTTTCCTTCCGTTCCAGGACTTCCTCATCGATGAGAAGGGCTTCGTCGAGGGCCCCGACTGGAAGGGCCTCAACCCTACCCTGCCGATCTATATTTGATCCACGTGCATGAAGGGACGGATTAGGCGAAGCCGAATGAACGAATGAACGAACGAATGAATGAACATTAACCGAGTCAGTCGAGGAATCTAAGCGCAAACGCGGTCGTTTGCATGTTGTCTAGCGTGTTTTAAATACGAAAGATACGATGTAACAATAAAGCGTTATTCACAAGCCACGTACGAATCGAACGGGTTCGCGTATATATATCATCCCGCCGAACAGACGAACAGGTGCGCGAGGTAGCCGATTACCGTAACCGGCGATCGCGAAGCTGGAAAACGAGCGAGATCTATCTAAGCAAATGATGTCTATGTGGAGGGCGCGGGCGTCAGATCGTGACAGTGAGAAGGCGTAGGCGTCAAGGCGGGGCTGGGGGCGTGGCGTGGTGCGGCGGAGCGAGATGGGGGGTGTGTACAAGTGGGGAGAGTTAAATTGATCATAATGTCCATGATGTTCCCAAAACGAATGAAGCCAAAAAACAAGCAAGCAAGCAAACAAACAACTAAACAAGCACAAGGACGGGACGCAAGCATATAAGGACATGATACATGGAAGCAAGAGATAAGCGTCTAGAGGTGTAAATGTAGGGGATGAGATGACGGCGCGCATAGGTCAGAGACTGAAGACGCCGCCGCGCCGCCTGCGCGACTGGATGGGGTGCACGAGGACGAGAGAGATGCCGAGGCCGACGGTGAGCCCGATGGACACCGAGATGAGCTGCAGCGCGGTCTGGAAGCCGGACACGTAGGACGTGGACACGCCCGACGTCTGCTGCGACGCGAACGTGAGCAGGCCGCCGTTGCCGAGGCCGGACGGCAGCTGGAACAGGATGCCGGTGATCTGCAGGGGGGAAAAAGCGAGTGTCTTATCAGTCGATCGCGCACGCCACGGGGGAGGATCAGCGCGAGCGCGACGCACCATGACCACGAACGCGTTCCCGCGAAACAGCCTGCCATACACGTTCGCCACCACGCCGACCGCGAACGCGCTATAAATTAACGAGACCGAGGCCGCGGCCGAGAGATGAGCCAACTCGGAAAGCGGGAGTAAAGCGGGGCGAGGCAGACGTACCCGACGGCGGCGCTGATGTCGTTCTGCCCACTGAACTTCGTCCCGGTAAAGTGGTTCGTGACCCAGCCGACGCACGAGATGATGACGAGCATGAACAGCTCTTTTCGATTCCACGGCGCCTGGTTCCGCAGGCTCAGGAATAGCGAGAACATCGGCACCGTGAGGAACGCTGCCAAATCAAAATCAAAATTAAAAAACGAGAACAAAGCCGGACATATCAGCCTCGTGTCGCGCAGAAACGCCGCAAGGGCAAGCAAAAACACGCACTCCACCAGAGCGAGGGCGTGCTCTGATACCAGATATCGCTCGAGTGGCTCTGCACGCAATTATAGTCCTCCGGCCCGACGATCGATTTTTTCGTTATCTTCTGGTATACTTCGGCGCCGATGGCGAGGCCGAATCCGAGGAAGAGCGAATAGACACAGGCGAAGCACAGTCTGACGGCGCCGGAGACGATGTTGCGCGACATGAGCTCGAGGCTGCCGCAGAGCACGATGAAACCCTGTAGATCCACGTGGTCAGGTTAAAGGCTCTCGGACGAAGTGAAATGGCGGCGCACGGGAAGGATGAGCACGACGGAGCTAGAAGCGATGGCAGAGTAGCAGAAATGGTGTGTGGACGCGAGCGCGGCCGACAAGAAGCTGAGCAGAGTGGCAACGGTGATTCTAAACGAACGAGCACGTCAGCCCAAAGCACGCAACACGCATCGGTCCAGATGTCAAAGGCGGGACGCACTCGAATACGTTAGAATACAGTTCGTTACGGACGGAGAGAAGCTGGATGGACACGAGGAGGGCGCCGAGGGGGAACGAGGCGAGGCAGTCGATGAACGAGCCCTTGAAGCTGACGCTGCAGATGGAGGCGGAGGCCATACCGCCGAAGAAGATGATCTGCCACACGTTGTACAGCGGCTTGCGGCGCATGAGCTCGTCCAGCGCCGCAGACGCGTCTTTCACCGATATATCGTCGTGAATGACCTACCCACAAAAACAAACAAAACGAACGATCCAAGTCAGCACCCCGTCGCTCCCAGCGCTCGCTCGCGCGCACCTTCCAGTACAGCTTGTGCGCCTCCTGCAGCTTGCCGATGTCGAGCGCGGAGCTCTGGCGGATGAACTTGATGTTGGACGTGCTCGTCGCCGCGTCGTCGAACGAGATGAGCATCACGTCCGGGAGGTACATGCACGAGAGCTCGATGTCGAGCACGCGCGCCGTCGACTGCATCTGCGCCTGCAGCCTATGCGTCGGCCCCCCGAACATCATCATCGCGCGCGCGAGCTTGAGGATGAACTCCTGCCGCTGGATGATCTCCGCCACATGGCGCGTGATCTGCACCACGACGAAAAAGGGCGAGCAAGTGGGTGAGCGAACACGCGCGACGGGCCCGGCAGCGAAACCGCGACGCACGTAGATCTCCGCCTTCTTCCGCTTCCGCTTCCGCTCCCTCTTCCTCTCGTCCATCTTCTCGCTCCAATAATCCTCCGCCTCCGTCTCCGTGCCCGGCGTCGACGGCGTGCCCGCGCGCGACGCCGTCCAGCCGCGCTTCGGCAGGTCCTTCAGCACGTCCGTCCACTTCTGGCGGCCCGTCGCGCTCGGGAACACAGACGACCCGCCGCCGCCCGGGTGCGCGTGGTGGTAGTGGTGCCCCATCAGCGGCGTCGCGGTGCCCGCGGACGCCGTCTCGAACGAGGACGGCTGCGAGTCCGTCCCCGCCGCCTGGGCCTGCGCGAGCGTCTCAAAGTGCATGCTGCGCGGGCGCGGGAGCGCCTTTGCCGGCGTGCGCGCGCGCGACGGCATGTTGCTCTCGAGCGAGTACCTGGCGATGCGCGGCGCGGGCGTTAGCGGCCGCGAATGAGGAGCGGGAGGGAGACTCGCCTGGAGAGATGGTACCCGGGCCGCTTCACGTTGGGCGCGATCATCGTCGCGCCGGGCGCGGCGACGCCCGCGATGTTCCCCGTCGACGCGATCAGCGGGCCAAACACGCCCGCCGCGCTCCGCGTCTGCGCGGGCCGCGAGTCGCCGAGCCCGAATCCGCGATAGATCGACGACCCGCTCCCGCGCCCTCCACCACCACCTCCACCTCCGCCGCCGCCGCCGCCGCCGCCACCGCCCTCGGGCCCGCCGCCCACGCCGCCCGGCGAGCGCGCCGTCGACGCGAGCGAGCCAAGGCTCGAGGAGGTGAACGAGCGGCCGAGCGTCTCGAACGAAAACCCGCGCGAGAACGTCGGCCGCTCGCGGCTGCGCCCGCGGTCCCGATCGCGCTCGCGCTCGCGCTCCTCGAACGAGCGGCGCACGGGGGACGACGCCTCGGAGTTCGCGTCCGCGTGCGGGCTGTCGTACAGCGTGAGCAGCGCCGAGAGCACGCCGGACCCCAGCGGGCGCCGCGGGGCCGCATTCGGCGTCTCCGCGCCCGCCTCGACGTCGCTCGACGCGTCCCGCGAGCGCGCGCGCCTGTGCTTCCTGCGGCCCTGCGCGCCGAACCTGAGCGCGCCGAAGCCGAACAGGCCGCTCTTGTGTGCGCCGACGACCTTGGCTGCGCGCGCGTGGGAGTAGCGCTCTGCGTTGCGGCCGGGGAGCCCCGCGCGCTCGTCGCGGTCGATGTAGTTCTCGCCTGGGACGTCGTATTGCGGGGACGAGCCGCCGGGGGTGGAGGCGGCGCTGATGTTCGTGGAGGAGGGGGAGGCGATGTGTAAGGGGGGCAGTGGGGGGACGGCGTGGTGGTGGTGGCCGTGGTGGCCGTGGCCATGGCTCTGGCTGTGGTGGTGGCTTTGGTGGGGGTGGGGGTTGCTGTTGAAGTAGCCGCCGGTGCCGGTGTTGGAGAGAGGGTTGGGGGAGACGGAGGTGAAGCGGTGTTGTTCGAGGGCATGCGTGAGGCTTTGAAATGCGGCGGGCTGCACAACAGAACCGGGGCGAGTACAAAGGGAGGGTCGTCAGGGGCCGGGTAAAAAAAAAAGGGGGCGCGACGCGGAAAACAAAAAAAAAACACGCACGTCGAGGCCGTGCTCGTCGAGCTCGTGGATGGAGGAGCTCGAGGGCTGGGCGGTCAGGGTTTGCTGGGTATCGGCGGCCCATTGGACCTTGCGGGGAGTTTTGATGCCCGAGGCGCGGGCGGTGCCGCCTGCGGGGCGGTTTGCGCCTGCGGCGGAGAGAGCGGTCGCGCTAGGGGGCGGTGGCGTGAGCGTGTCGGCTGGGTTGAGCGACGCGGGAGGTGGCAGGGAGTCCATGGCGCGGGCTACAGGGGAGATGGCGGCATCAAGAGGGTGAGTCTGAGCGGACATTCACAGGGGATATTTGAGTGGCAGAAGAGGTATAGAAAGAAGCCGGAAAAGGGGGCGGACGATATAAAAGAAGGACAGAAGAGAGAGAGAGAGACAAAAGGGAGGAAGGGGACGACGTGGAGGTGGTATGGAGGAGAAGGTGCGTACGGCGGGATGGGCCCGGTTATATAATGCGAGATGGAAGCTGTAAAATTTAGAGAGATAGGCGGGTGGGAGGACGCGATAAGGGGCGCGTCGCCGTCGAAGGGTGCAGAAGACTCGGGAGGCCGCTGCAGGGCGCTGCGGGCGGGTCTGCAGCGCTGTGAGATGTTGGGGCCTGGAGAGAGGACGACGGGCGGTGTGTCGGACGAGGTGGTGGTGGGGATGCGGGGTGTGTTCTCGAGAACGGGGGGCTGTCGTGGAGCGAACGGGTGCGCGTGGAGCGACGGCTTTTGAGGGAGAGAGTGGCTGGCGCGTTCGACCTGTTGTTCGCCAGTTCGGATGTCCGGTTCGCCATGTCGATCGCTCTGCCATTGCCGCCTCTGCCATTGCCGCCATCCCGTATCCGCTCCCCGTCTCTCCCTCCTGCTGCCCCCGCTCACGCCCGTGCGACGCCCTGCGAGTGGGAGCCCGCGTCTGGCGTCCCCTCGTCGTCATCCGCGTGCACGGTCGCTCGCCAGAATCCCATGCTAGAACAGCGTCGTCCAAATTTAGCACTCACTTCTGACCCTGCTCCACCGCCCCTTCTCGTCCGTCCGTGCTTAGCCTCCTGGAGACTCTCGTCGTCCGAACCACCGTGCATCCCCGGACTCTTCTGCTGGCATCCGACTCACAGCCGCGTCGACGACGTCGACGCACACGTGAAGGCTTGATCTCGGCGCCTGCGATGATCACAGCGCGCAGGGACGTGCCGTCAGATCGTCACGCATGCCGCTCGCAAACTCAGAAGGCTAAATCCTGATAAGCAAATGAACTGCTGCTTTACGACCCCCACCCGCGGTCACACGTCCGCCCAGGCTCATCCGCTGGCGATCCGCTGTTTTATCCGCGGCGAGACCAGTCTCGTCCAGGTTGAACAGCTGCTTCGATGCTGAGACATATCCGGCTCGCGACGCCGTTGCCATCGACCTATGACCCTCCTCTGGCGGTCTTGACGCCTTTCGTTCGTGCCTTTCTCTGTCATTTGGCCCAGGCCCAGGCCGTATCGTCCGGATGGCAAACCGCACGTCCCCAGTACCCCATCCGACCAGGCGTGAGCGGCAACTTCGCCTCCAAGGACCCAGGTCCACAGGCCTCAAGCCCGCCGCAGCGTCCATCCACAGCCCACGCAGCAAGCGCCACAGACACCCCCGCGCGCAAAAATAAACTCGCGCCGTGCGACCGGAGCTCCCTCTTTCCCTCTTCCTATATTCTCAGACCCGTGCACGACCGCGTCGTAGTAGCGTCGCGGCCTACACTCCCGCCCGGCTCCGTGCCCGCTCTGTGCTTGCCCCATCGCAGCGCAGCTCGCGGCTCGCGGCCCGCGGCCCGCGGCTCGCGCCCGTTCGTAGGGTGCGCGGTGTGCGCCGTTCTAGTTGCAGGACTTGCCCGCCCCGCACCGTCGCCGCACAGCTCCACCCACGAATCGCGAATCGCGAATCGCGAATCCGAGCCATCCTGGCCGCACGCACGCACGCACGCACGGCGTCGCGCCCCGAGACCTTGCGTCGCGAGCCTGCGCGTCGACGAGTCGGGAGCGCCGCGACGCATCGGCGCGCTGTGTCGCTGTACACGTAGCCGGCGGGCGCGTAGAGCAGAGCTTGCCGACGCCGCCTGCTTTACGCGCCACCAGCACGCGAAGACGCTCTCGCCGCCGTCGCCGTCGCCGCCGCCGTCGCCGCCGCCGCCACCGTCACCGCTCGCTCGCCTCGCTCGCCTGTGCGCGCGTATCGATCGATCGAGCGCGGCGCGGCGCGGCGCTTTGATTCGCTTGGCCTCGTTGACACGTTGAGGCGGCGCGCGACGCCTCCAGGACTCGCTACGCGATGTCACTGTACTGGCGCGCTTTTGCACGACGCGTATCATATCGATCGAATGGGGCGTGGCGCGGCGCCACGATGATAGTGGTGATGGTGGTGGCCGCGTGCCGATCATCCAATCTCGGAGCATCTGTACCGAGAGCCCCCGCGGCGTCTATATATCTGGACAGCGACCCCGAGCCCAGCTCCTGTGGGGCACCGCCTGCGCGATCGACCTGAAGCTTGGAGCCCAGCAGCCGCCGGCGGCGTCGACGGATCGCTGTTGCCCCGTGATGTTGCGCCTCTCGATATATCGCAGGGGACGCGTATGTATGTGCGACGGATGCACAAGCTCGGGGCGTATCTCGAATTACTACCGACTCTGCTGCTGACTGTTTTTGGTCCATTCGTCTGTCGCATGGCATGGCCACGGTGCGCGAGAGGTTTCGAACGCGACCCTCGTCTGCTGTCCCGGTCTCTTCCATTCAGCCGCGCGCAGAAAGGCTCCTGAGAGCGCGAGGGCCTGTTGCGAGCTCGTGCGGCATGTGCGTGTGGAGCTGGCTTCGCGCACCCTTCGACTTACAGCTTTTGGTTTTGGCGTCGACGACTCTTATTGGACAGCTCAAAAACGGCACTCGATCCGTCGGTCGCTGAGCTGGTCTTACACGCGCTCTGTGGGGCTCCACGGGCGTCCCCGCGACCGCACATGTAAAGGAGACGCAAGGCGGGCGTTGTCTGCTTGCGACGACCGCCATCCCAGCCATGCCATCACAACCACCACACCCACTCTGCACTTTCCACGAGCAAGAAGCCGCCGTCTGCGTCAGGCCCGACCGTGTTTCGAATCTCGCCAAGGCTGCGCTCGTCGCGCGAGATCGCGGGATCGTGGCTTCATCCACGCGTCGGCTTCGAACGTCGAACTTCGACTCTCACAGAGCTTGATTCCGTCTCTCGATCTCGGGCGGTCGGACGCGTACCCCGCGGGGAACTGAATGGGCTCCACAAGCGATGTACGAGCGCGGGCGCGGACGCACGGATTCAGACAAGATGTCCCCGAGTGGACACGTACGATGATTCAAAAGAGACGAGCAGGAAGCACATTGCCTGTTCAGCTTCCGGTCGTGCATCGAATGTTCGTGGTGGGGCGGGGCACGAACGCGACGCCGCAGAAGCAGAAGCGTCCGAAGTCAGGCGCGTCAATGGCCCTACTTCGACAGCTCAGTGCGAGATGCCGCCGGCGTGGACTGCATCGGTGCGTGTGAGCGTTCTGTCTCTCTCTTTTGCGACCGCGCGAGTTGTCGGTGTTTATGTACGCCCGACTGGCACGCCGCCGTGCGCCCAGCACGACTGGGTATATTGTGCGACTGGTGCGCGATGACGAGCGCCGATCTCTCAGCGATCGGCGCGCGGGTCCTCGCGCGCATTCACTTCGCAGTATGTGCTGTACATACAGATCGCTGCGCGGGCCGGCAATTTGACGGCAATACGTTGGCATTCGCGACCTAAATCGGGTGTGACAGTGGCAGAATCCGTACATGTGTCTGCGAGTCTCTTTGACAGGGAATCAACCAGCTATTTGTACGTAGCTCATGCATGTCTCGCACGCGATGGGCAAGCATCTCTTTCTTGGTTCATTTCTGATCGAACAGGCTGAGGCGCCGGTAAGTAGGAGTGCTAGCGCGATGACGCTCGGACGACAAAGCGTTTCCGTGAATTGGTGCAAGAACTTGGAGGAAACCCTGTTTTGCACACAGCGGTATTTAGACTTCCTCCACCACACGCGTTGCTTTGCTCATTTCGCAACGGGCGCATCCGGGACCTTGTCAAGCAGGAATCGGTGTATGTCTACTTTTTCTATACATGACCATTGAACTTTTGGCTGTTCTCTCCCGCTGTGATGATGGTTTCAGGCCCCCCGATCTTCGATACGGAGCCCTGCGTACGGGACCACGAGTCCTAGTCTCGACGGTCCATTTCTGGGATCTGGCAGACGGGCTCAGAATCCGCAGCCAGCCCTGTCGGTTTCAGCTACTAGACGATTGCATTCCCTGGCGTCACGTGTCATTTGGAATCGTAGCTGCGCGGCGCGGCCGCAGTGCGCCACTATCGATGTTTGTACAGGTGTCTTGGTGTCGACGCTCGCGGGCGTCGTATGCTAGAAACCTACGGGAGGCCATAATTTGCTGGATCGCGAGGAGACACGGTAACACAGGATCTTGCTACCATAGAACTCGCAGTCCTAGCAACGCGATGCAATCGCTTCGTCGTCGTGAAAACGGCTAATGTATCGTGGACGGTGGTCGACGACAGTCCGATAATGAGCGAGCGCGCTTCAATCTAACACTTCGGCTCTTTAGGCACCGAGTAGTGAGATCATAGACAAATGTAGGTCCACAGATCTGAAGGTCCAGTGGAGACGTCGGACGTCACGATCCGGATGTCGCAACTCAACTCAACTCAACTCGGCGTCGGTTGAAACAGTACGTCAGATTGCTCCATACCGAGCTGCTCGCTAAGCTGTATATTACAAGACCGGACTGTCGCATACCACTTAGACGTGCTCCAGGCATGGTCGATGACATCGCGTTGTAAGGCTGAGACTCTGTGTTATGTCAATTGGCATGTATTCTACCGGATTATGCCGCCTTGTCAAGACAAACGTGAGACACGTCATTGAGCAAGTCGTGACGGCAAAGGTGCCCTCTGGTCCGCAGCACGTGTTAATGATATAGGGGACACTAACGGTGTCCAGCGTACGCTGTTTTGGAGCTAGGTGGCTTGGCGATAGTCGAACGACGATATCGCCATGAGATGGTGAAAACGTCCGTCAGGCTGTTCAAAATCGCAATGGTGGATGTGGAGGTCCATGGTGATCCGAAATGCGTGCTATGGAACTTGCGATTTGTGTGGACAACTATGGCGTACAGTGTACGAGTTTTGTCTTCTGTGTCGATTTCCCAGTCTGATCGCCAGCATATAGAATTAGCTATAACCGTAAAAGGATGATTTTCAGTACTGAAGTACTCACGTACGAGGAGTCGGACACCGATGTTGAATAAAAGAAGCACAGCGCGAGCGACGCCTTCGTCGACCACTTCCAGATCGCCCACAACGAACTGCAAAGAATGCCAGAGGCCATATCCCCGTTGTGCGAGAGGCGATCTAATGGGCGATATTCGCACGACTGTCGAGAAGAACCTCCCAGCGCAAGGAAACGTTCATGATCTGTGCAAAACATTGAAATCGAAAAGTAGGAACGAAATCCCATGACTCATGCCCTCTGTCATCCATGCTGTACATGTATTCAGTGGGTCGCTATCTTTGGAGAGGTATTTATACATCCATCACACGTGAACTTTCTACTTATTTCGCCCTCTTTCCCTTTCGTGTAGCACTATATTCGTCATCGACCCCCAACTCGCCTTCGCTATCCTCTTTGAAGTTGAAATTGATTTTCCTGGTTGTCGGGAACTCGTATTGCGCGCGCGCCTTGACCCTACTCGTCGAGATATAGTCGCTATCGTCGTCCGGCTTTTTGCCTTTCTTCGCCTTCGAGATAGTCGCCTTTTCTCCTGCTGCTCCGCCCTCCTTGTCCTGCGAAGATCCTGCCACATCTGGCTTGAGCTTCTTCCTGCCCATGCTCGTCTTCGCCTCTTCTTCATCTTGTATTATAATCTCCAACTTGACAGGCTCGCCTGGCAAGCGGGATCGTGAAACCTTCTTCCCCGTCGATCGCGATAAACTTCCCTTCCTCTCCTTGTCAGGGACGATCTTCTCTTGATCGACCTTCGAGGGCAGAGCTTCCGTGGGCGAGCTTTCGGCGTCTTTATGAGATTCGTTCTCTTTATTATGTTTCCTAGCCTTTGCTTGGCGGCGCTTCTTCGCTCTCTCTTCCTCATCCGTCTTTCTGGCCACCATGATGAACTCCTTCGGGAAGCGCAGCTGATTTGGACCTCTGAGGGTTTCAGCAAGGAAGTGTGAGTGCCTTCGCATCGCAAACAAAGTCTTCAAAGCCCGGACACGGTGATAGGCATTATAATACTCAAACACATCGTCGAATTCAGCCGTCATCTCGCAACAGTGAAACTCCCACCTAGGCCTCCCGGCATTTGTGAACAGAACAGGGTAATAGCTCTAAATCGTGAAGCTAGCGTAGTCGTATCCAATCCTATAGCAGAACATTCATTCAGGTATCTTGGCATTACAGTCAGCCTAAAGTGCGATGGTCGTACCGCGGCCTTGTCTCAATTGGCCATCGCAACTTTCTTCTCCAGCTGCTCCCCTAGAGGTAATGAATCCTAGTCCTGTATGGAGTTCCGCAAGTGATCTTCAATACCAGACTCTACTATCTCGCACAGACGGCCTATAAAATCTTTAGCGTTCCCTGAAATAAGAAGGCAAGCTGCGCCGATGCTCGATGCATCGGTCTGTTTTTCGCATGAGCATGGGATTGGGGCAGATCTGACCTCCCTTCGTCGGTCACATCATGTTTACTGAGACTCTGCTTTGCTTCGGCACCGAATACGACAGGTTGGAGGACAGTTAAATCATCATATTTCGGAAGCGGGTTACCATTGGCGTCAACTGGAGGCTTGAAGACCGTTTTCGTGCAGATATCGGCTGAGGCAAAAGAACCAAAACGTCCAAAGATCAAAGACAGTCTTACGGATTGTCCTCTGATGGTTTTCTTGTCAGCATTAACGAATGCAAAAAGGTAGTGCACCACGCGCGATAAGGTTTCACAGCCCTTGGGCTCAAAATTTGGTGCAATCATTACGCCAATGATGCGCCCGACAGCGAGCTCTGAGCCAGCTATGAATTTTCCAGGCCACAACATAATATAAAGCGCATTGAAGGCTATATCTAATTGCGAGTCTTTATCGCCTCCCTGACTGGGGGTCGCATTGCCGCCCATCTCGAGCGAGATCACATCCAAATCTAGAGCGTCCTCTTCAGTCGTTGGATGAGGGGATTTGTCGACGCTTTCAATGCGAATAATATGACGACCGAGCTTTGCGTGTAACTTCGTAATTTGGGCCTTCAGTAAGGCTCGTGTAACGTCGTGTGCCTAATTCGTGTCGAGGTCACTGTTCATGATGTTCTATGAGCAAGTTTGGCGCTACGCTAGTAGATACGATAGATTGTGGTACATAATGGCTATGACTCCGGTATGAGCAGCGCCTTGTTTTCCGCACCTGTTATGATGGACTGAGCGCGATCACGAACTGCTATAAAAATCGGATTGGGTGCTTGCTTGATGTCGAGCAGTGACCATGTTGGTCTTTGATTATCGTCACGCTTGATAGATTGCCACCCATACTGTTTGATGAGGTCTGACTGGCGCACGTTGCTAGATTATGATAAATGATAAGACACATTCTCAGAGAGTCCACCACATCTTACCTGGTGGTTATCGCTGACTTGCTCCCTTCAGAAACAGCTGCACGTACAATGCGCCATAACATGCCATAGGTCTTCTGCCAAGCTTTAGCCACAGAATTAGTGTTTATACAGTCCCAATATTCGTCCACACCCTTATCCGCTCTCTCTATAGGCAGGAGTCCAGATGCGCTGGGATCATCAATGATGCGCAGACAATGCTCTATTGGTGATTTTTTGGTTTCTTCATTCTCGCCGTGGACAATATGAGATTCGATCACACGACCATTCTTCCTACAACACATTCGAGGTCAACGCATGGTAATTTCCTCGTAGGGTAGAGCTTCATGTCAAATTGGTCACTGCTCTAATTTTTCCAAGGCGGGTAGCATTGGTGACCATCTTCAGGTTTCTTGGGGTGATGAAGGATGGGCGCAAGAGAGACGTAGGATGGGCGCAAGAGAGACGTAGGACGTGGCCCACAATCCCATCGCGATCAGGACCTCCTGCGTGCCACTTAGCGCTTATCGATTGACCAAGCATCACTGAGCCATACAGACGTAGCGTCGAAAGCTCCTTACCGGCTCCCATCTGTTCACATTTGTTCGCAGTCTAGGGCGTCTTCCCTGGGCCTCAAGGTTATTCTGGTGCCAGGTACATTCAGATATGAGATATGATTGGTTTCATTGAATGCTGCGATAACGAGCGTGATAGGTCATGATCGTGCGGTCATGCATGCTTGGGTGTCCCTAATGAACCCCAGTGAGAACCGCGGCTAGTCAGATCTAGTCAGAGCTAGCATGCTCACAGTGAGGCATCGGAGATAGATCCTGCTATCCAATGATAGCAAAATGGCTCTTTACTAGATACATATTCTATTGTGTTATATTGCTATGTATTGCAGTCTGATACCATTGCAACATGTACTGTCTCGATGGTGGTGCTATATGTTGCTATATCACCGGATCACCAATGGTATTGTCGACGATCTTTCCTATCACTATATAGCAGGACGAATGAATATTATTGGCCGCCCTATTGTCTCCTAGCACACGACACATCGGGTATAGCAATGTCTACATAATCTTGCTTGTAATGTATATTACCACCTAGCCCAGCCATTTAGAATACCCGATTAGAACTGATTGTGACTACACCACGGTAAATACAGGACCACTTGAAAAGCTTGAAAATAGATCAATGGACCGCTGCCTACGCGATTCGCGTGGCTTTCTGTCAACAAGACATATAAATGAAGAAGTTCATATGTGTAACGTCGAGCGCACATACCAGTCCTTTTGCTTCATCGTTATACACCTATTTGATAAGGAAAAGATGTTAATACACAACAGTGGTTCCCATATGTCCTACTGTGCGCACCTTCTTTTCCGGCTTGGGTAACATCTTCCAATACAAGTCAAACTCTTGCTTGCTCGCGTTGGGCGTCTTCTCCTTCCATCGAAACCCACAGATGTTTCTATGTGACTAGAAGTCAGGATCAAGTCGCACTCGCACAAGGACATATAAACTCGTAGGAATATACCTTCCAGTGACCGTTCGTAGTGGCCACAAGCGATCGCTTGTAGCCGGTGTTCCCGCAGGAGGAGTAGTGGGTGGAGCTGGCCCTGTTGTACCCGATTCCTCTCCCGGTTGCAGAATTGCAGTTGCAGGACCAGGGATCATGGTGGCTGGCAATGGGCAGGCTGTTAGATTAAGTGATGTGTCAGTCGTAGGAGCGGTGGTGTGTGCACGAGCGATGGCGCTCATCTCCGTGTGCGTGCTGCGTGCCGCAATGATATTGGTGCTGAGTCCATCTGATGCGGCGTTGTGTGTGTTGTTGGGAACCCCTGCATGATCGAGGGCGACAGTGCGCTCGGTGATTTCCTAAAGGAATGTCAGTGCATTTTCTCAATGACTCAATGGGTTATAAATCCGACCTGCTCGTTAGTGGTAGGAGCCATGGCGTGCCGGGGTAATGATTCTGCTGGTACGCTCTTGCGAGTGCTCTGGTTGACGGCAGGCTCCAAAATCTGCGTCAGCGGTATTCCCATAAGGTGCTCGTTGTGTGGCAATGGATTTGCTGGTACTGGAATGTTCTCGTGTGACAAAACTGGAGTGCCCATATTGCTGCCTGCTGCAACGTCTGTGTGAGGGGTCACGAGAGTCTGAGAAGGTGACGTTGGCAGAAATAGGTTGGCCCTAATAGAGAAAAATGTCAAACAAGGATTGGCGAGGAAGAGAGCACGCACAACGGATCTTGTATAATTGTGGTTATTGTGGGGGCCGTCGTGGTGTCAGGTGCAGGCAGGCGTCTTTGTCGTTTGGCCGCATTTGGTGTTGTTGTAGATGACACAGCGTTCTTTGGTGGATAGCGCTTCCCGTGCAATGGTGTCGGGAGGTCTGATATCAACACCATCTCCGCCTCGCTTTCCTGCTCTTGTGATGGATCTCCTTCGGCGGTAATCGATGGTCCAATGGCACCATATGGTAGAGGCCGCAGCAGGTGCGTCATATTCTTTCTTGAGAGACCCTGCACGAAAGCGGGAAAGTTGTCCCTGGCGATATGGCGTGACTTCCAGTGTGCCGGTGGTCCACCGCAGAAACGCAGCTCGGGGAATCTATACTCCATTTCCTGGTAGTAAAAGTCGGAGGCGCCAAGAGACACTTGCGACCACTTGGGAGGGGCTATGCCCCGGAGCAAGAGCTCGTACCAGATTTGGTAGGCAGCGTCACGAATTGCGGAGGCATAATAGCCATCGATAACCTTACCTTGCTGATCCTGGACGTACTTCATTGTCATGTTGTGACCGAGGTAAGCATTCGTCTTGCCCTTCTTCTTCTTGACCTGATTGGGATCGGTCGCGTCATCGTCCTTTGGCGTGTCGGCCCAGTCTTGTGTGGTCCATATAGTAACTAAAGGGACGTCCGTGCGGTGGATAGCAGGCAATGGATCACGCACACGCAGGGGTCCGTTCGCAACAGTGTTGCTGCTCGGGTAAAGTCGTTTCGCATTGGGGGCCGGATCGGGCACTGTGAAGTTGTCGGGCAACTGAGCATTGCTCATTGCAAGCACATCCGGGATAGCGGAGAGAATTCCCTTCAGCGCTACACTGTGAGAGAGAAATTAACATCGTTCATGTAGTGCTTGGAGAATTGGAAAACTCACTGCAGGACTTTAATTTCTGTTTGAAGTGCAAGCAACTCTGTGCCAGATGATCCTGTGGGGATCTGGGAAGACTCGGGGGTGTTTGTCATGCGAGGGGTCGGCATATTTGGTAGGAAGCGTTGAAGCGGTCCAGATCTACCGAACGAGGTTGTCGACGCATATCCGCTTGGAGGGCCCGCGTAGCTGTACATAGAGGTGCTGTCCGCAGAGAGGTCGAAGGGTGTTCCTCCACGACTGGACTGAAAATCCTGAGCATAGTTGCCAGATGATCTAAAGGGCGAGCTTGTGCCATGGTCTTGGGGACCGTGGGAGGGCCCTACGGATCCGGATCGGCTGGGTGTTTGTCGAAATGAGTAGTCAGATGGCATCGAAGGGATCCCCAAAGCGGTCGGTATCGACATCCCTGTCAGATACACCATCTTGCCGTCAGAATGGCAGAGATGTGTGAGAGTGAGGGCAGCGTGCTCGAAAAAAATCAACTGCCTGATATGTAAAGTAGAATTTGATAAAGTCACGCACCCATTGGCAGCCGCTAGTACTGTCTAGCACTTTCACCACACATTCTCGTCCAACAGCACCCCCCCGTTCCTGCACGTCTTGTCTGGCCATGTTGTCCAGTGACTACGAACCTTCACAAGATCCAGAAGACTTACTGAGTCCACCCCGTACTCGTCCGCGGCCGACTGCGGAACAAGATTGTATCTCATTGTGTGTTCTCGACATAGCCTGTCGGGTTTTTGATAAGTTCACAGTGTACTGACTTACTTTGTAGTTTGCTTGGCCCTGGTGGGTATCTGGACACCCAAACCACGGACACACAGTACTTTGGTGCTTTGATGAGGGACGATCCTGGAAGTGGCGAGACAGCCGAAAGTAGCGGTGATGGAAGCAAATGGGGAGTGTACCATGCAGAAAGTGATGGCATGGAACTGCCCGAGAGTGGTTGTAAGTCTTCTCTAGCATCTGTTATCATCAAATGACCATTACCGGGAGATGTAGGGCACGACATTGACCACAAAAACTCAGCCTGTGAGGGTTGCATGGAACTGAGGACGATGCGCGCATACGTGTACAATTTGGAAAAGGAATACCACAACAGTACACGCGCGCTGATTAAACTCCAGCGGTGGATGGAAGACATACGAGACCAGTTGTGTCGACTCACCGCAACAGTTCCGGAGACGATTCTCACTTTCAACGACATCCGAGACCGGGCATTGGAAGTGCGCATGGCCGCAAACCATGATTCATATGGAGTGAAAGAGGAAGTCACTGAGGAGTCTCAGCTTGCATTTGAATCACGTAGCAATAATTATAACAAAGATCACTTGCACAAGGTTATCCACTCAGGTTTCCCATCGAAACGGCACCGCACGAGTCCATAGGATGTAAAAGACGTCGCTACATGAATGTACTCTAATCATCTGCTGCATCTTCGGCTACTCCATCCATAGACGCAATTTCGAGTCCCATCTTCTCCACTACGAAAAAACGCGAGCCCAGGTTTGGGAGACCATCTCCGTGCGGGATCATTGCTACGCCTGCTACAATGGTCTTCACATTGATGACAGCCAGTGCAGAATCCCCTCGATGCTCGCAAGAAAGGACCGTGTTCGAGGAAGCCTTCATGAGCTCAGTGTCGGGCTGCGAGAACAAACTGACGAGCGCTAGTGCAACAACCTCGCCTTGAATGCGCATGGTAAAATAGTACCGCACTTCTGCAAATTGAATGAGACCTGCAGAGATGATCTGCAGGATTATCATGGTCAGTACTATCCGAGGCCATACAGATGCAAAAACCAGCAATGAGGAATTCACCTTAACGTTGCGGGCCATTCTGACCTTGTTAACAGGCTTGCGGGATTCCTTCCACAAGGACCGTGTAACCTGTCCATTTGGCAGTCGCAGGCGAGCCCAACGCCGCACCTTTGGAACCCAGTCTCGTTCGAGACTACCCACATCATCATATACTCCGCCGGCCTCTCGAAAGAAAGTCTTTATCACCATTGCCTCAGCAGGTAGTACCGAGCGTGCACAAGAATCTTGGGCTCGTAAAAGAAGGTAGTGGTCTCCTAAGTCTTTGGAGCCACGCGGCAGGTGTTTTGTGCTGTTATCAAGATTGGGTACCATGGCCTTCAGTGCATTCACCTGTGCTCGACGAACCCCACGCTGTGAAAGATTGGCATATGGATTCGAGTGTTGTTTTATCTCCCCCCCAAGGTCACCGATCATTCGCTCCATAGTGAACTGCGTAGTATAACCGGGGGGGCCACACCGTGTGACCTGTCGAGCGAGATGTGAAAGTGCGTGGACACTCTGTCGGCAAAAGTGTAGACGACTAGATTTCCGCTGATAGTACAGCTGCTCGAACTCTTCCGAGAACTCAATCAGGAGCCGATGAGCAAGTTTGAGTTCAGTCTGTCTAATATTGCGCTGATGCACAAGACGGATACCTGCAACCAACTTGCAGAAGTTTCTCCAGTACTGATCAGGAAGTACACCATGAAGAAGGGCTGGTGCGAGACCATAGATCCATGTAAGGAACTCAACCGCTTTGTACCCACTGTTGATTTTTTCGGCAGGGTTACGGGGAGGACGATCAAAAATACCAGGGAGATATGGAGTTGCTGCGGCGACTGCCTTGCCGTGGATTTGCCAAACTACTGGATCTCGAAAGACTGCAAAAGACCAGGACGAACGATTGTCCGAAGCACTGCAATCAAGTGTCCCACGAAACAACCCCACAAAGAGATCGGTGAGGTTCAAGGATGTGAGATGCATAAGGTCGGCAGGAAATAATGCAGGAATGCGAAGACGTCGGGTTGGGTCTAGACCACTGAATATCGAAGGTTTACAGACTCCTGTCTGCAGTCGGCGAGCACGATACTCTGCAGGCGTGCATGCTTGTGAAACAAACTTCAAGTTGGATAAATATCTGTGCAAGGATTGAGATTCATTGAGTGTTCCTATTAAATAGATGCATGTACCTTGCCTCCGTCTCTTGTGCGGAAGGAATCTTGATCGTCCGAAGATCATAATCTGGAGGCTCCTCAGGAACACCCTCACAATCACAGGGCCTCAAGCATGCAGGATAATATTGTGCCCCGCCTCGCTTGTGACATCCTTTTTGAGGGCAGTATAAACGACATCCATAGGCGCCGTGATGGCCGACACCCCCAAAGATCATTGCCATGGCAGGGCTGTCGGCGGTCCCCAGAGCAAGAAAGGGATTCGAATCCGTAACGGCCTCATCAATGGCATCCCAGTGGCACATTCCCTCACGCTGTAGTGCCGATAAGTGATACATTCCTGGAAATATAAATGAATCTAGGTTTTTGGGCTTCGATGGCCCCGGGACAAATCCACCAGGCAAGACAAACTTCTTCTTGTAGCGCATGTCTGGAGAGCGGTCCAATAAGATCCAGATGTATATCCAGCAATCTGAAGATTTGTTGCGATAGAGCTGTGCGCCATCAACCGAGAACATGAGAACCGGATCGTGGGGCTTGATATGCCCTGTTTGAACGGCGTCGAGGAAGTCCGTCCCATGCCAGACGTCACAGAACTCTGCCAGAGAATGGTTCGCGTAGATCTCCTTGATGGCCTTCTCATAGCATGCATGTCGATATCGCATGGCCTGGGATCCCTCGACGGAACGGCGAACTGCTTGTAGCTGCGGCCCTAGAGGGATTGTATGGAATTCCTGCCGCGGCACATTTGAGCCTGGTTTGAGAGGGTCGTACCGGAGCTCGTAGCACACCGGACACTTGGTCAGATCCCGGAAAGGTCCTGTGAAGGCGACACAGGTGTTGACACACATATGATGGATGATCGGAACCACACCACTCAATTCGGCAACGCGGCGTTGTATCTGATCGAATGACAAGATTTTCAGGGCGGGCTGGTATCGCATGAGCGCAGCCCCGATATCTGTATAAGTCTGCTGAGATGCATTGCTAACCGCAAGGAAGAGATCGAGGGAGAGTCGGAGGATGGGATCGTTGAGTTCTACCAGTGGCCCTTGGGGACAGTGATCCGGGTCTTGCAAGGTTTGAACCAGGCTCAATGGAAGATCTCCATTTTTCAACGTGGCGGTCTGGAGTTCTGAGATGAAACGCTCCGTGATGCGGATGTCTTCTATCAGGGAGGGAGAGTTTTCCGCGGTGATGTCCACGTCGTCGTCGTCTTCATTGTCGTCGTCATTATTGAGTGCACCCGCAGCACCACAGGGTCCCGCATTGAGGAGTTCGTCTTCCACTGTGTCTAGCAAGATGCCGCCATCAGGGAAACCGCCGTCGAGCCATTCCTCGGGTGTGTGCACCAACGTGCCAGCGGGCTGCGTCATGTTTGCGGATATGTCAATGAGTGACTCGTCTTGTCTGCCGGGTGGGGGTGTGTGATCTGAATCAGGTGGAGACTCAGTGGTCTCACGAGGGCACATGGCCTCATTGGGATGCGGTGTAGCAAGAGTAATCTGTGGAGGGCGGCTCGTTTGACTAGCGTCCCCCTCCAGTTCGGTCAATGGGCTAGATGGGCCCGAGAAAGAGACCGCGGCCACAGCGAGAGGGGCAGTAGTGGGATGGACCATTGGCGCTGTCCCGTCCCGCACTGGAACGGCACCATGGCCGTCGATTGGTGGGGTAGCAGTTAGAGCTGTGTTTTGGGCAAAGCCACCGTCCGCGCGGGAGTTCCTCGCAGGCTGAAGGATCCCTAGGTTATGTGCCTGTGTTCAGAAGAGTGATTAGCACCAAACATAGTGTTTTATACGAGGTAGACCATACCTGTGCGGCTATCTCGACGTTTGAGCTATGTCCCCTTTGGGACACTGGTGCGGATTCGCCATTGTGGTCTGAGCCCAACGTCCTAATGAAATCTGTAAAAGAGGAGGATGTGGTAGGATGGCCGACGTGTCGAGACGTGACGTGTCGATACGGTGCATGTCGAGTGTGCGTTCTGCGACTCCGTTCTTGCCAGGTGCCCCCGCAGTGCTGGATACAGTTACAGTAGTACCGCCCATTCGGAGCTCGGGGCATCCTAACTGCGTTCAGGTATGATTCAAGAGGGTCAATAAACAGCTGAAGCACTTACGAGGATGCAAAGGGAAGAGCGGGAAGCGTCCCAGAGTCCGGACGCGACCAATACTACGCGCGCCCCGCCCGCGCGCTGTTGATCATGTCACGTGCCCAACCTGGCAGGAATCTCGTCAAGCTCTCGCCCGCTGGGGTTTGTTTCGAGAGGACAGGTGGAATATGCTGATTGTACCTTGTTTTGTGACAGATTTTGGCTTTCTCAAGGATGTTTCTGTAGTGTTTTACAATAGTACTAGGTGCTAATAGGTGGGCCGATCACGACATAGATGTGGCTGGTTATGTCTAGATTACAATAGCGGGGGTTCTCACTGGGAATGAACCTGAGATGTCTCTGAAAATCTCAGCCAGCTCAGCGGTGTGGCGTTGAATTCTGAGAAACGTGTTGATCAAGTGAACGCGATGCAATGTTTTGATGCCACCGATGGGCCACGGACGATACGCTTCAAAGCAGCAAAATCCCCACTCTACCCGCCCAGAGGTCGTGACTTTATAGCGCGGGAAGAAGGTGTAGATGATGCACTCAATTTCGGAGTAGTTCATGCCGAAGAAGAAATACTTCTCTGGCACATCAGGCATCGACCATTCTGGATCTTTCTCGCCAAGGATTGGCTGATACAGCTTATCAGTCGTCTGCCCTCCTCAAATGGCAAAGAGGTCGCTTACATTCCACTCAGGGCGCCACTGATGATCGTCGATTCGATATTTCTTCGTCAGGTGCATGACTAGTAGTTGCAGAGAAGGTTGGAAAATCTCCGCCAGCTTGACGAGGCCCGGCCTTCTGTCTGGCATGAGCTCTGACGACCCTGAATGAACAGACGAAACCTCTGTAGGGGCGAATGAATAGAGGGTATCCACATGGTGGGCGGCAAATAGGACTGGTATATATCCAGCAGGAAGGTCATTCGGAAGATTGTCGATAGAAGGTTGACAGACGAAGTCTAGACATGTTGAAGACCCATAGTCTGCAGAGTACGATGGAAAGGCGATCGGAATTGACCTGACGACAACGGTGTAAGATTATGTTGGCAGAGATCATATGTGACAGACCTCAGTACTCTGCAACCTGGAATTTGATGGCAAATGCCAGGTAAGATGGCATCATAATATGACCTCGGACCGAGCTCGCCGTACACAGTCAGGCCAGAATTTCCCTTGCACAAAATCTTGAAGATAGTCCACTCGACGCTGTAGAAAGGCATACCCGGATCTCGTAACTCATGCAGAGTGATATTTGGCTTTGGGTAGGGTATGTTTGAGAAATATGACCTTGGCCTATACACCAGCACAGAAACGCTGGGCCACACCCTATGCATATTGTCTACATATTGGCATAACGACCTCCGTAGGATTACAGTCGTAGTGTTGAAAGTCTCGCTTGAGACAGCTTCCTGTGCGGTTGATGAATTACTAATCTCCTATTTGTGGAACGTCGTGTATACTTGCCTTCCAATCCTCCGGAACGTCAAGAGGTTGCATTTGATGACCGTCGTGTGATTGGATCACGTTGACTATGCTGCGAATGCTCAGACCAGTTCTTCCGTCGTAGCCTATGAGACGTGTCTGCTGAAACAGCCAGCGGTAAGGGCCATCGGCAAGGGGCCTGCAGAGTCTGTGTAAGTACTGTTCACCAAAGAACATTGCATCGCTGCGCACTGAAGTGTTGGTGGTACTTTACCCAGAGCATGAACACGCTTCGGGGGGCTCATCCCATACAGATCGATCCACTCTTCAATGGTTCGACAGATGAAGCCACGTTCATTAGGTGGATTTTCGTTGTTCAGCGCAGGCATTGCAGCTGATGGATGTAAGCAGATTCGTCATAACCAGAGTGAGAGATGGAACGAGTCACACAGCGTGACATGCTGTCACATTCTGACCTCTTTCAACGACTCGACACATTACTGTACCGCGATCGTCCTCTAGTCTCCTCAGCAGACTAATAAATAGTCGATGACGAATCGATTGGGTGGGTTTCTCCTATATACAAATCATCCTTTGACATGACAATTCCCTTTTCAAACATTGATCAACTCGATCAAGTCAGCTTCGAGGAGCTCTGTGCTCGAGCTGGGGTATCTCGGCTTGGTGATCACAAATCGTAGCTTTTTGTGCCCGGTAGCCCCTTCGTTGTGATTAACATGTCTTTTTTCTTTTTCAATAGGGAATGGTCGTACGTTGAAGGCGCTGACCAACTGGATTCGATTATCGCCGCTGCCTGTTCATCCCAACTTGAATTCATTGCAAATTTCAAAGTTCATTGGACGTCTACCCCGCTAGGCATACCGGAGGAGTGGAAAGTGAGTCGCGCCGTCCAGAATATCTTTTTCTAAACAAACTTGCAAATTAAAAGCCAATGGGAAGTCCTAATACGTGGAATTTTCAAGAATGGCTGCACTCAGCCGCTCTAATGCCATGGTTGCAGCCTATCAATCCACATATAGCCTGGCTTTCAAAAGAGCAGGTCGAGATCACTCACGACGACCTTTCATCATTTGCCCCCGACTTTCTGCTCCGTGCGCCTCACTCGGCCATTCGTCGAAATGAAGGTGACTCACCATTATCCAAGAATCCTTTGTATGCCTTTCCATTCTTCCTTGAGATCATCACATATCCAGGAGACGAGGATAATGCTGCATTTGCGATCCCAAGCTTTTTTCTAACAACCCCAGGCTGCGTGCTAACTCCGTGAGTTCTTTCCCATTTAATATGTTATCCTACCTGAGTGTGCACAGTAAACTCCAATTGGACTTTCCATCGTCGCTTCAGGGATCAAGTGCACCCTTATTCGAAGCATTTGGTCTCCTGATGGATTCTTTCAACCCTTCTCCCTCTCCTGTGGCAGGAATGAAGGCGAACCTTCTTGAGCCTGCACTTCTTGTCGGAATGAAGGGGCCTTCTCCGTGGACATCGTCCAAATCCTCGGGCTTATCCTCTTCAGCATGTCCTCTGATGTCTATGGATCAGAAAGTCCGTGATCTCTTCCAAATGATACAACCGAGCTTGGACGCGCATCTATTGAATTGGTGTCTTCGTTGCGAGCAAGATGTTCAGGCCAAGGTTCCTCTCCCGTTTGTTTCCTCTTCCTCCTTACCCCCATGTTTCATACTATTTGGAATACTGTACGATGCAGACGGTCTGGTTATTGTCGCTCACATCCCTTATCCTAATCCGCCTCAAGCTACAGCGGCTACAACCGATCACACTCTGTCCTATGCATACCTTTCGTGTGTTGTCGATCGTATACCAATGACTGGTGTCGAGCGACCTAATTCACTGGGTGCAGATAGCGAGTCACCGATCCTTAGCAACTTCAAGGCTGCGTTGGCCCTCTTCGCACTTCAAAGACATGCCTTCATGATGCTTACCCTATGGGAAGGTGTTGCTATACCTGCCTCCATTATGGATTTTATTGCTGCTTCTCGCTGGAGCGGAGAAGAAGCAGACGACGCTCATGAAGAAGACGAAGACGATGATGATGGTCATGATAGCTATGGCGATGAAGATCACAGCGATGACGACGACGACGATAAAAGCAACAATAATTCTCACACTGACGACAACGACAACGTCGATGGTTCTGCCGTTCCCAGTGACAATATCAACGAGTGCAGCGAGGACGAGACGGATGATGATGTTAACAATGATGAGGGTAGAGGTAAACGTGCAAGTGATAAGCACACGCAACAGAGCAAGGATATCTGGTCTAGAGATCGAGGTGGCGAAGACGAAGACAACGAGAGTAATGGGGACGTGGACAAAGATGATGGGGACGATGGCCTTGAAGACAATGATAATGCTGACGGAGATGGTGTTTCCCATGACGAGACATGTGTGGATGAAGGAATTCGGGTGGGTCTCCTCGCAAGCGTATCGCGACGAGAGCAGATGCAGACTACCATTCCTGATTGGCTGAACCAGGTATTTCCGACCAAACCATCTAAGTAGCAAGCTGACCACTTGGCTAGGTTGCATTGGAGCACTAGTAATGCGATATCAGGACCGATCATAACAGACTTTCTGATTAGCATGACGATCCATTGCTGGCCACTCACAATTCAAGGAGTGTGTAGCATATATAGTACCTGTATCCCGATGGAATTGGATTCGTCATTAAGACTCTTATGCGCCGCTATCATCGTCGAAACGACCCTGCATATGGTGGGTCAGCACTCGTAAGATCTCCTGTGTGGTCGGATTGATGACGATGGAGATGGGAAAATAATATCGAAGGTTTGAAGATGATGGGTCATCGACCACCGAGTCCCATGAACCAAGTAATTCAAGATGCAAGTTGGTGGTGTGTACATGACTTGTGCTCAGAACGGCGCAGTCAATCATCTACGATGCGCACGAGGTGGTGCAAAAGGGCAATTATTTTTGGTCAGTCGAGGAACACGTCCTTGGCACAGAAATGGTTATTGCTTATAGTCAGCATAAAGCATATGGTGCGAGCGCAGCCGACAAGAAGCTGAGCAGAGTAGCGACGGCGATTTTAATCAAATGAGCACGTCAGCCCAAAGCACGCAACACGCATCGGTCCAGATGCCAAAGGCAGAACCCACTCGAATACGTTAGAATACAGTTCGCTACGGACGTAAACAAGCTGGATGGACACGAGGAGGGCGCCGAGGAGGAACGAGGCGAGGCAGTCGATGAACGAGCCCTTGAAGCTTACGCTGCAGATGGAGGCGGAGGCCATGCCGCCGAAGAAGATGATCTGCCATACGTTGTACAGCGGCTTGCGGCGCATGAGCTCGTCCAGCGCCGCAGACGTGTCTTTTACCGATATATCGTCGTGAATGACCTGCCCCATAAAACAAACAAAGTCAGCACCCCGTCAATCGCAGCGCCACACTCTCGGTGGGGACACACCTTCCAGTAGCTTGCCGATGTCAAGTGCGGAGCTCTGGTGGATGAAGTTCATCTGATGAACTTGATATTGGACGTGCTGGTGGCCGCGTCGTCGAACGAGATGACCGTGCGACTCCGTGCGACTCCGTGCGAGTGGGAACTCGCGCCCGGCGCGACATGCGCTCGCATCCCGTCGTCACCTGCGCACGGTGGCTCGCCACAACCCCAGTGTCATGCAAGTTGGGCACTCACTTCCGACCCCGCTCCACCTCCCTTCTTCTCGTCGTCCGAACTACATCCTCGCATTCTTCTGCTGGCATCCGACTCACCCCCGTGTCAATGACGTCGACGCACACGTGAAGGCTTGATTTCTGCGCCTGGGATGACCACAGCGCGCAGGGATGTGTCGTCAGCTCATCACGAATACCGTTCGCAAACTCAGAAGGTTCAATCCTAATGAGCAAATGACTGCTGCTTCACGACCCCGCGGGTGGCTACCTGCGGTCACATGTCCGCGGGGCGTCATTCGCTGGCGATTTGGTGTTTTATCTGCGGCGAGATCAGCCTCGTCCAGAGCGGACAGGTGTTTTGATGCTGAGATGTATCGGTTTTATGCAGGTTTTTTTGGCCCATTTCATTCGTGCCTTTCTCTGTCATTTGGCCTAGGTCTAGGCCATATCATTCGCATCGTATGGCCAGTCGCATGGCCACGTCTCGCGTTTTCGGTACCCCATCCAGCCAGGTATGAGCGGCACCAACAACTTCGAGAATCCAGTTCCACAATCCAAGCGCGCTGCTCATCGCTCGCCGCCGATTCTATCCATAGATCACACAGCACGCACACACGGCAGACAGACGCGCACGCGCACACAAAAATAACCCGCGCTTTGCCTTGCGACGCGCCAGACTGCAAGCGGAGCGCCCTCTTTCTTCATCTCGACGCGTCCGCGACCACGTGGTCGTCTATACTCTCACTCGGCTCTGTGCTTGCGCCATGTCGTGCGGCCCGAGCCCGTCTACGCGGTGTACAATGTGCGTGCTTCCAGTTACTTACCTACCCCCGCCGTACAGCTCCACCTGCGAATCACGAATCGAAGCCATCCTGGGCGCATGTCATCGCGCCTCGGGATCTCTTCTCAGCTCCGCGCCGCGCCGACGATGCGACGCTGGTATCGTGCATGGCAAGCGCAGGCATCGTGCATGGCAAGCGCGGGTATTATGCATAGCAAGCACGAGCATCGTGCATGGCGAGCGCGGGCGCTCGTCTGCTCGTCTGCTCGTCTGCTCGTCTGCCCGTCTGCCCGTCTGCCCGTCTACGACTTTAGAGCAATGCGCGTGAGCCGCGATCGTCCGCTCGGCTGCGTCGCGGCGACATGCCGAGGGCGCGCGTGCGGCCTGCAGGACTCGTCGCGCTGTACCACTCTGCACATAGCGGCAGGCGTGTGAAATTTGCCGACGCCGCCTGCTTTACACACCACCGGGACGCAAAGATGCTCTCGCCGCTCGCTGCCCCCCTCGTTTGTCTGTGCGCGCGTATCGCTCGAACGAGGCGCGGCGCGGCGCAACGACTCGACTCGATGCGGTCTGACGCGACGCATCGTGCTGTGTCGTGCTAGTGCCGCGGCTTACAGATCCCAGCCTCGGTGCGTTTGGTACTCTTGTGAAATGCAGTGCTTTGACTCGCTTAGCCTTGATGACACGCCGAGGCGGCGCGCGACGCGTGACGCCTCAAGACTCGCTACGCGATGCCATTGTGCATCCAGTGACAGGCGTGTAAAACTCGCTAACGTCTCTTGTACGTACGGCGTGAGGGGACTCTCGTTTCGTTGTCGCTCAGTGGCGCGTCTATGCACGTATCACATCAATCGAATGAGGCGTGGCGCGGTGCCACGATGACGACGATGATGATGGCAGTGGCTGCGTACCGACCGTACCATTCTCTGGCATGTGTGGTGAGAGCCCCACAGCGTCTAGACAGCAACCCCGAGCTCAGCTCCTGTAGGGCACCGCCCGCGCGATCGACCTGAAGCTTGGAGCCCCGCAGCAGCCGGCGGCGTCGACAGATCGCTGCTGCGCCGTGATGCTGCGCTTCTTTAACGACCGCAGGGACGCGCTCTTCCGAAGATAAGACACGTATGTATGTGCGACGGACCCACCAGCTCGGGGCATATCTCGAACTACTACCGATTCTGCTGCTGAGTGTTTTCGGCCTATTCGTCTGTGGCATGGCATGGCCATAGTGCGCGAGAGGCTTTTAGCGCGACCTTCGTCTGCCACCACGGTCTCTTCCATTCAGCCGTACGCAGAAATGCTCCTGAGAGCGCGAGGGCCTGTTGCGAGCTCGTGCGGTATGTGCGTGTGGAACTGGCTTCGCGCGCACTCTTCGACTTACAGCTTTGGCTTTGGCTTCGATGACTCTTAATGGACAGCTCAAAAACGGCACTCGATCCCTCGGTCGTCGGGCTGCTCTCATACGCGCTGTGTGGGGCCATGCGCGCTCCTGCAATTGCAAATCTTGCAAAGCAGAGGATCAGGACGAGTATTGTCTGCTTGCGGTGACCGCCATCCCAGCCATGCCATTACAACCACTACAACCACTCTGCACTTTCCACGAGCAAGAAGCCGCCATCTGCGCTCGACCGCAGCCCATCTGCGTCAGGTCCGACCGTGTTTCGAATCTTGCTAAGGCTGTGCTCGTCGCGCGAGACCGCGAGATCGTGGCTTCGCCCGTGCGTCGGCTTCGAACGTCGAACTTCGACTCTCACAGAGCTTGATTCCGTCTCTCGATCCCGGTCGGTTGGACGCGTACCCCGTGGGGAACTGAATGGGCTCCACAAGCGATATATAGACAACAACCTATATGTACGAGCGCGGACGCGGACGCACGGATTCAGACAAGATGTCCCCGAGTGGACACGTACAATGATTCAAAAGAGACGAGCGGGAAGTGCATTGTCTGTTCAGCTTCCGGTCGTGCATCGAATGTTCGTGATGGGGTGGGGCATGAACGTGACGCCGCAGAAGCAGAAGCGTCCGAAGCTAGGCGAGTGAACGACCTTGCCTCGATAGCTCAGTGCGAGATGCCACCGGCGTGGACTGCATCGGTGCGTGTGAGCATTCTGTCTCTCTCTTTTGCGAGCGCGCGAGTTGTTGGTGTCTATGTACGCCCGACTGGCACGCCGCCGTGCGCACAGTACGACTGGGTATATTGTGCGACTGGTGCGCGATGACGAGCGCCGATCTCTCAGCGATCGGTGCGCGGGTCCTCGCACGAATTCATTTTGCTGAGATGGAACCCAGCGGTACAGTACTTGCTGTGCGTGCATATCGATGCGCGGGCTGGTAACTCGACGGCAATACATTGGAATTTTGCAATCCAAATCGGGCATGACAGTGGCAGAATCCGTACATGTGTCTGGGAGCCTGTTTGACGGGGAATCAACCAACTATTTGTACGTAGCTCATGCATGTCTCGCACGCGTTGGGCAAGCATCTCTTTCTTGGCTCATTTCTAATCGAACAGGCTGGCGCGCCGGTAAGTAGGAGTGCTAGCGCGATGACGCTCGGACGACAAAGCGTTTCCGTGAATTGCCGCAAGAACTTGGAGGAAACCCTGTTTTTCACACAGCGATATCTAGGATTTCTCCACCACACGCGCTACTCTGTTCATCTCGTAACGGACGCATCTGGAACCTTGTCGGGCGTGAATCGGTGTATGTCTACTTTTTCTATACATGACCATTGAACTTTTGACTGTTCTCTCCCGCTGTGATGATGGTTTCAGGCCCCTTCGATCTTGGGTACGGAGCCCTGCGTACGGGACCGCGAGTCCCAGTCTCGACGGTCCATTTCTGGGATCTGGTAGACGGGCTCAGAATCCGCAGCCAGCCCTGTCGGTTTCAGCTACTGGACGATTGCATTCCCTGGCGTCACTCGTGTCATTTGGAATCGTGGCTGCGCGGCGCGGCCGCAGTGCGCCACTATTGATGTTTGTACAGGTGTCCTGGTGTTGACGCTCGCGGGCGTCGTATGCTAGGAACCTACGGAGGCCATGATTTGCTGGATCGTAAAGAGACACGTAATAGTTTGACGTCATTTGTGGACCCATACGCGCAACATATATATTTCTTTGCTGCGTGCATGGTGACATAGGTCCTTGCTATCATAGAACTCGCAGTCCCGGCAACGCGATGCAATCGCTTCATCGTCATGAAAACGGCTAGTATATCGTGGACGATGGTCAACGACAGTACGATAATGAGCGAGCGCGCTTCAATCCGACGCCATGGCTCTTTGGGAACCGAATAGTGAGATCATAGACGGAAGTGGGTCCGCCGTTTTGACAACAAGGGCTACAGTGAACGCAGATCTGAAGGTCCAGTAGAGGTGTCGGAGACGTTACGATCCGGATGTCGCAACTCAACTCAACTTAACTCAACTCGGCGTCGGTTGAAACAGTACGTCAGATTGCTCCATACTAAGCTTCTCGCTTAACCGTATATTACAAGACCGGATTGTCGTACACCACTTGGACGTGCACCAGGCATGGTCGATGACATCGCGTTGTAAGGCTGACACTCGATGTCATGTTAATTGGCATGTATTTTGCCAGATTATGCCGCCTTGTCAAGACAAATATGGGATACGTCATTGAGCAAGTGGTCACGGCAGATTTTCCCCTTGGTCCACGGTATAGATAACCCTTACGGTGTCCAGCGCATACTTTTGATTGACTTGGTGGTGGCCGATGGCAATATTGCCACAAGATGGTGGACACGTTCATCAGGCTATACAGACTCGCAATGGTGGATTCCCAATGGGGCATGGATGTAATGGTGTGAAGGTCCACGGTGATCTAAAATGGATCCTTTGGAGCTTACTATTTGTGCGGATAGCTATGACTTACGATGCACAATTTGGATTTCAATCAATGTGACTGTCCAGTCTGATCCCCAACCTACAGAGTCATCTGGAGCTGTAACAGGGTGAAATTGGGGGCTGAACTACTCACGTATGAACAGCTCTTCTGGGAGTCGAACGCCGATGTAGAATCAGAGAAGCACAGTGTTAGCGATGCCATCGTCGACCACAACAAACTCCAAACAATAACACAGACCGCGTCGCTGTACGATGGGGCTAAAAAAGCGGTCTAACGGGTGTTGACTGCATCAGTGAGCAGATTGCATTGCTGTCAAGGAGAGCCTCACAGTGTAAGGTAGCGCTAACGACCCGTGCAAAACACTCAATCGAGGAAGTAGGAACGTATTCCCACATCCTCCACTTGTGGTGGAGCAGGTAGGCTGTTGCCCTCAAAATCAACACTCAGTCAATGCACGTTCTTGGTCGTTACCCTTTCAAAGGCGCATCACCTGAGGCTTCAGCATTGAGTAGAAATCTTTGCCAATGTAAGTACAACGTAGGGTCAGCGCAAGCACCATTTTCCTCCTACGTTATTCGATCCCCCTAAAGACTAATTGAGGGGTCAAACGGTCCTGGGTGCATGACGGCTCCAAGTTCCTAGACTGATGTTTGTGTGTCCATGTGTATCCAGCTACTCCGATGTTCACCTTGCAGCGCCACGCCACCCGCGAAGACGATTTGAAAAGATCGGGCGCCCGTGTGTCGCATCGCCATTCAGGACACCAGGTAATATCACTCTAGAAGACAGTTTATAACGCCGAGCAGTAAAATGCGCCCCCCAAGCATCGCGCTTGTGCCGATTGTGGGGCAGGTCACGAGATTATGATATTCAAAGCGAGATAAATCGGCAAGAGAGCACCCGATCAGAGGCTCGGATCTCAAGGGCGCAAGGTTCCGCTTGACGTGTATGCCGTTATAATACATTGTCACTTTTTGGCAGATTGCGGAGAGTGCGGCTTGCCAGAGGCGAAGTGGGTTTGGTCAAGTGAGGTACATCGAATGAGACCGAACTACCAGATCAAGAGTAGGTGGTTCTTGTCAGGTCCGATGAACGGCAAATACGGCTCCGCGAACAGCGCAGGGGATCGGTGAGACTTCGAAGAAATATTGTGACATTTTCGAGGGAAAACGCGTATATTGACTGATGCAAGCCACATTGCAGGGAACAAGTATTTTCTTCGGCATTATGGGCACAACATCCCTTGACCGGCCTGCTGGGGCATGCAAGAAAAGCATGAATCCGCGTAGTGCACTTGATAATCTATGAAGGAATCGCATCGCAGTCACGAGGCTCGACGAGAATGTTGTATTAAACATGGGTCGAAGGATAGTGATCGCTTTAATCAAGTGTCGTACACAAAGGGAAAGACTGGCATTAGCATGAATCTATAACAAAGGCATATCTTCAGATGAGGTAGCCACCTTCTCTACTCCCCTTGACCAGGACCTAGGTATAACTCAAGCCATTCAGCAATGACGGGGTGCTCATGTCTCTACGTGGGGTGGTGGCACTGGCCAAGATGCTTGACATTTGGAGTCTTCATATTCCGGCCGTTAGAAACCCCGCAGTGGCTTCGGCCCCGGCAACCGCTTTCCTTCACGGCTCCGGCCGAGCCCTCATCTTCCGTCTTGCCAGCTGCACAGTGTATTATTCTAAATCGCTTTCCCTCGAAAATTGAATGTGGCAGTCTGAGAATGGCTTGGAACTTGACTGGAACGTCCCGGACAGACGACAGCCTCGAAAGACCCTTATCACGTATCTTGACTCTTCGACTCGACCTTCGCCGACATGACAAGAGTGCACGTCGATTCAAAAATTGAGGTATCAAGGTAGTACACAGTCAGAGCATCCATACTGATCTGTCACGGATATGCAAGCGCTATACTCTAGGTGCGTATTACGTGAACGCTCTTGACGATGTGTCGCACCGTGGCATTATGTAGTTGACGAGCCATCTCATAAGCTCCAGCCGTTTACGAGTATGCTAGCCACGGAACCTTGCTTCATTCCAGGTACACTGCGCTTCGGTATCTTTACTCAATCGGTCTCAATAGAGGTAAGCACTTCTCAATACCACCATTGAAGGCCATGACGGACACCTCCAATCACCCACTCGATCCTGTGGTGCAGGACGTCAGTTTGACAAACGCGTGTTCCTTTGATCGCTCAATTTTGAAAATTTGCTCCTTCGGTCTCTAGGACTGCTTGGACCCGAATTTCTGCCTTTTCCGCGCTGGTGAAGCGGCTTGATTGTGCGAGCCCAGACTGAAGTGACGAGAGGGCTGCCATGGTTTAAATAGCCAGTCTTTCCTGCACCTCTTTCGACATCATCACCTTTCTATGACCATGGTTCACTTCGATAGCACCACTGGCGCACTGTACATTGGAGGACTCCTGACGGCCATGTGAGCTTCATTGTCTCATGGACTTCACGGGTGCTCACTGTCCCCTCTGTGCTAGACTGTATGGTATTACATGTGTTCAGAGTTTCATTTTCTTCCAGAGATCCAAATATGACAGTAGGACGTTGCAGGGCACTGTAGGTTCTCCTTGGAATTCATGCTGGAGCACCGCTGATTCTTGGAATTGAGTAGGTGTGGATGCTCTGGTGAAATCTTTTGTTACATGGCGCGTTGTGTAGACTAACAGGATGCCGACTCAGGTTCCTTGACACGCTCCATCTCGCATTTTTAAGCCACGCTTTATATTGGTGAGAAAGTGCTTTGCGTAATGCTACGGGACGTTCTCAACAAAACGTACAATCAGGTACCTTGTGACCAATTACACCAATCCTGCCGCTTTAGGCCTCATTCCGTGGTGAGTTCGACGCAATCTTACGGACCAGTTGGACACTGATGACGTCTTGGGCGAATTCTCAGGACTGTTATGGTCTGTTGCTGTATTTTGGTACCTTGGGCCGTGTATTGACCGCACCGCTGAGCAGGCCGGGATAGTAGTCGCTGTGCGTATCCTTGTTTCTGACTCTGTCTGCCCATCTCACGCATTTGTGCGCAGAACATCAGCGACTGCATCGTACGCGAGTGAGCTGAACTTCCGCTGTCGTCGTTTCAATCTGTCTGACAACGTTTCCTAGCATGTTTGTGTGGCGGGTATGGCGACGTATGTGATGCATCGGAAGCCAACCCGTCCCATGTACTGACCCTATCTTTAGTCAGTGGGAAGATCATATGGCCATGTATTCTCGTGAGCTCGATTATCCCTGGCATCTTTGCTTCGTACTCAAGAATTCCAGCTTGTGCTCGTCATTTTGGTCTTTGGTTCGTCGTCTTTTGATATATTATTCCAAATGACACACACTCATTTCGACACAGTGGCTGGATTCGGTATGACCTCTCGTGTTCTCGCTTCGTACCATGTGCTGATGGCATGGCTCAGGTTTCGGTATCAAGGGGTGAGTCGAAGTCGAAGTCTGACTTGAAAAACATCTCACGCCCTCCTTAGATTCTTCGTCAAGTCCTTCAAGGAGTTCGCACATATAACCGTCAGTCAACTCGCGCATCGTCGCTCTCGCCTGCCTGACGACAGAAACTTAGTGGTTGATGTATGTTGGCTTCGCGTTCTCCGTCAGCACGGACACCCTCATCGCGGGCACGCTGTGCTATACGCTGGCCAAGGCGCGAACCGGGTTCAAGAGGTGCGGTACCCACTTCTAGCCTGACGTGCTTTGGGTTCTGAGCGTCCTCATCCTGAAGGACGGATTCACTCATCAACGTGCTCATGATATACTCCATCAACACGAACGTCGTCACCAGGTGTGCCGTCCGATCTCTGAGGGTTCCTAGCACCGTGACCTGACCACAACTCGCAGCGCTTTCTCGCTCTTATGCTTCATCACCGTACGTTCCGCCCTCTCTGCGTGCTCCGCTCTGCTCACACACGGCGTAGTACACGGCCATCCCACGAAATTTCGTCTTCCTCACCTTCTATTTCCCCTTGAGCAAAAGTACGCCCATTTTCTTTATGCAATCTCTCCCGACATCCGACTGACCCGCGGTGCGCGCGTGCTGCGCAGTGTACATCAACGCCATGCTCGCCTCGCTCAATGCGCGAGAGTCTCTCAGAGGCCAGGGCGTCTCCACCGTCCCCTTCTCCACGCTCTCCTTCATGACGCCGCCGCCGCCCGCCAGTAACACCAAAGACTCGATGTCCTCCACCGTAAGCCTCCACCTTCACCCCCGCCTCCGCATGCAGACCACACGCTGACGTCGGACGTGACGCACCAGGGGGAAGGCAGCGTGAGCGCGATCCACGTCAAGACCGTCGTGCACCAGTCGACGGAGAACGTGGTCCCCGGGAACACTGAGGTACGCCACCGCCCCTCGAGTGCCGCCGTTCCGACGATTCGCTCGCTGACCCCTCGCCCGCGAACCCAGTCCCTCGACAGCGCTCCGCTGAACGACCCGTCAGACCGCGTATAACCACGTGTAACCTCCATCAAACAACCTTCAGTCGGTGAGCGAGATTCCATCTCGCTCTTCCCCACGCCGCCTGTTTCGGTCTACTCCCCTTCCATTATTCAACTTTTTCTATATATGCTCTGTAACATCGTAAATCTGTACATCGTGTCAACATGTAACTTCCCGAGCACTGCGATCCGTCAATCTAATCTAGGTCATAATTCGGCCATCTCACATAACTTAATATATCCTCGAGCGCCCCAGCTGTTTGTCTAGCGTTTCCGCCACTACCAGATCAACCCGAACACACTATCAGGCCTTCAAGCCTTCAAGCCTTTCCAAGCCTCAGGCCCTCAAGCCTTCAGGCACATAACGCATCATCATGAACATCACCCATTCGAACAAAACAACTGATGGCGCAGTGTATACAATCACAATATCGACCGACGAACAAAAAGGCCACAAAGCCACAAAGCCACAAAACAGCCAGAACCAGAACACACACCGTCAAAAAAACAAGACAAAATCGTGGTGGGAGATGATGGGTAGGGTATATAAGGCGACGAACCTGTCGTAGCGCTAGCGAGCTCAGCGAAACGGGAGACGGGGGCACGGACACGCGGACGGTCGACGCGCTACGGGGACGATCGGACGGCGGGGGCAGAGCTCCGTCTTGGCCTGCTCCGCCCAGCCCGCCCAGCCCAATCCAACGCGATGCAGTCCAATGCAATCTTGTCCAAGTCCTGTCCAATCGGCAAGAGTCGGAGATTCGTGAAGGTATAGATAAGAAAGTATAGCTACTTCCTGTCATGGGCGACATGACGAGGCGAACAAGATCAAATAATAGGCAGCGCGGGAACGAGGGAACAAACAGAGGAAAAGGACGCTGACGCCCGGGTGAGGCTACTAGGGAAAACGGGACCAAAGGACGCAGGGACGACGGAACGAGGATCACGAAACCGGTGAAAGCGGCCATCAAGAAAGCACTATTGGTATATATCCAATAAGATAATAGCAAGAAGAAGAAGAAGAATAAATATCGGCACCACAACAACGACGGGAAAAAGGACCGGAAGACCGAGGAAGATACGAGACGTTTTGACAGCTCATGGCTATACGGGAGGACGACGACAGGTAGCGACGGACGGCGGGGAAGGAAGCCAGCGAGTGCGCCGAGGCGTCACTCAGGCCGTGCCGCCGTACGCGTCCTCCTCCGCAAACGTGCTGTAGCGGCTCCCCATGGTCGGCGCCATGCTCTTCCTGTTGTCCTGCGTGTGCGTCATGAACGGCGCGGCGCTCGTCGGCGTGGTGGGCGAGTACAGCGTGCGCATCCCGCTGCCGTAGCTCGCGGCGGGCATCGCGGGCGCGTTGGCGACGGTCGGCGAGGCGACGCGGCGCTCGGCGTAGGCGCGCATCATCTCGTCGGGGGACATGACGCTCGCGGGCAAGGGTTGCATCGGCATGAACGACTGGCTCGCGGGAGAGGTGAGCGGGGGGTGGGTTGGGGTAGGCGGCGCGGGGAAGTTGAGCGCGGTGGTGGACTGCGGGGAGAGAAGGTACTCGGGCTCGTTCGCGCCGTTGGCACCGGACTGCATCACTGTGGCGGATAGTGGTCAGCAGAGGCAGGGATAAAGGTGCGAAGGCTGCATACTCCTCAGGGCAGGAAGCATCTCGTCCATGCTGGGCCTCGGCGGGCCCGACTCCCCAGTGAGGCGCGACTGGATATCCTCCACGCTCAGAGAGAGCGGGCCGTGTGTTTGCGTGGGCGACAGGATGCCGTCGGGCGAGGACACGGTCGTGTCCGAGTCTTGGCGTTCGGGAAGGGGGGGCACGAACCCGGTGTGGAAGGCCCGGCTCGTCACGGTCCGGCGGGACTCAATCGAGGGGCGGACGTCGGCCGCAAACGAAACGCGAGAGACGCGGGAGGCGGCGGGGGCGGCGGTGCGCGCGCCGGAGCGGAGCTGCGACATCGGGGGCGCCGCGTCGTCCCCGTCCTGCACGGCGTGCGAGCCGATGCCTGCCTGGCCGCCGTCCGCGGCGAACGTGCTGTTAGGGCGGATCGCGCCGAACGAGAAGGACGAGGCGCGGTTGCCCGGGATGGCCATGCTGTTGCGGATCGCAGCAGAAGCACCTGCGGCGGAGATGGAGCGCCAGTCGGTGGAGATGGTGGACATGCGCTTATCGACGGCCTCGGACCAGCGCTTGCGCTTCTCCCTGCCGCGCTCGCGCGATATTTTGAAGTACGCGGCGACGATGAGGGCGACGATGAACATCAGGGGGATGATGACGGCGACGGCGATCTTGCCGGTGGACAGGCCGTGTGATGTGGTCGGCATGTTGTTGACGACGGTCACGCCGCTATCGGCCTTGGTGACGTCGGCGACGGCCGGGGTGCCAGAGCTGGGAGCAGTATATGTAGCGGTGAACATGGGACCGGCCGGAAGAGTAGCGAGATAAGGGGCCGTGCCATGGTCGACGATGGCAAGCTGAAGGCTGATAGAGCTGCTGGAGTTCCACCATCTGGGTTCGAGCTCGGTCTCGTATGAACCGGGAGAGAAGTAGACTTTTTCCCAGACGTGGATGCGAGGCGTGTTAGAGCCAGGGGAGTAGAGGTAGATGTCCACGGCGTCGGCTGTGAGGCAGGAGGTGTCCCAAGAAATGTTGAGCGGGGTTGTGTATTCGATGGATTGGCCCGCAGAGGGGGATTTGTAGAATCCGCCAGTGTTACACGCTGCGAGGAAAAGTTAGAATCGATTCGGCAAGACGGTGAAAGAAAAGGAGACGGACAAGCACTTGCTCTCTTGACATTGTGATTGAAAGGAGAGCCAGCTTTTCCGATACGGAGATGGTTGAAGTCGAGAGACATGATGAAGGCTATTTTCTGAGGTTTTGGTCGTACAGATAGTAAAGAATGTGTTCGCGAGAGACGCGAGGGCAAGAGAAGGAACGGAGGCGGAGGAGGGAGGAGAGGAGAGGAGGCGAGGGCGGGGCACCGACAAGGAGGACGCGGCGGAGGATGAGTCGGAACAACTCGCCGCCCCCGTCCTCGTCCCCACCGTCCATCACGTAACAACTTCGCGCGCTCGCTCTTGCAAATTCCCCCCGTTGCCGTCCTCGTCTCCCCCAGTTACCACAACCGCCACTCCCGAGCATTGCGGCCAGTTCGCGTTCCAGAGATCCCTCTTGCCTTGTGCGCCGCAAAGCATCTGCACCGCAGCATCATGATCACCAAACCACGGTCATCCATCATCGGATATGGTGTAACGGCTAACATTGCCGCCTCTCATGCAGTTCGCGGCAGCTCGGGGTTCGATTCCCCGTATCCGAATATCCGTGGGTCATCCAGGTCTTTTGCCATCCAACACAAGCTTTCAGTCCTTGCAGGTTGCAGGGCTATATTGCATCGACTGAATCTCACACCAAATTTCTTCTATACAGCAATTTCGGCGCACTCGTACAACACGCAAACACGTTCACCCGTGAATTCTACACTTGGTCCGCCGCAACGCTCATTTCTTCGAACCGCGGGTAACGGGGGGAGCGGGCGCGCCGTTCGCGGCGGCCGGCGTCGTGCGTGCGGCCCCGCCTGACGTGCGAGCTGCGGGCGCCTCCTTGGCCTGAGTTTGCGCGGCCTTACCCTGCAATAAGAAATGCGCGGTGAGTGCCTCCGTTCGGCACGGGGAGATCCAAGAGCGTACCGGAGCAGACTGGGCGCGCGCCGAGTTGGGTGGGGAGACTTTGGCTCCGGCGGTGCTGCCTAGTGAATCGAAAACAAAACGGGATCAACATTTAGAGAGGAGACTAAGGTGGGGGGAGATTGGCGAGGGCGACTCACGTCCTTTGGTAGGCATGGTGGATGGGGATGAGGTGGATGGTAAAAATCGAAACTTTCGAGTGAGTAATGCGGGTGTGTAGACGACTCGCACTGCAGAAACGAGAGCGACCGACGAGGCTTATATACCTCTCCAGAGATGCCCCCGTCGGCCTCTCGCACCGCGCTCCCGCGCGTGTCTCCCCGACCACGAGAGCATGCATCGCAGCCCTCTTCGCTCAATGGTGAGGTGAAATTGCGAAGTCGGCTCTCACAGCGCCGTCCGCCCACTCTGGCATTCTCATCCCCAGCTAAAACGCGCACTGAGCCGCGCGCTATTTTGGGTATCCTCGGGACGAGTGAACGGGCGGGAGCGCCCGGGATGAGCGCGCATTGCTACAGGCTAGGCGTTGCACTCGCCCGCTGGGCTGTTGAACCTTGACACGGGAGATGAACGTGTTCCTCGAGATGCGGTTCATGGATCAGAAGAGACGCACACCGACCGCGATTCTCGTGTGTGCGGAACGTCAGCAGCCGAAATGCCGACGTTCATCGATGCTGCTTTGTATGTCGGTGCAGGAGGGCGTGCTATGTTTAGCGGCGGTATTCGCCCGAGATTGTTGCCGTTTCTCCTGGTTCTGTCGGACCGCAGGTGAAAGTCAGCCCACCAGTTCACGGATGCATATTGCTTGACGAAGGAAGAGTCTTGCGAGGACACCCCTTCTTGGGTTTCACGAGTTTGAAGACGAAGGCGTCTGGCTAGATGCTCGTGCTCGCACCTTAGTCCGGGTAAGAAGGGCGCTCTCATGGACTCCCACGAGCGCGAGATGCGTCGGTATGCGCGGCGGCCATAGCCGAAGCCACAGCGATTCCCAACAGATACAAAATATACGGAAGGATGCGGGTCGAGGATACCTACCCTGACGGAGAGCAATTTCAACGTGGAAGCTGAAGTTCAGAAAGACACGGAGAATGCCTGTGCTTCCCATTATTGGTCTACATGAAGAAGAGTCTGCTAGAGCCTGCCCTCCTCACAGGCCGACAACACTGTAGCCGTGGAAGAAAGATGCGTCGAGAAACTGCAGTATATCGCTAGACAGCGTGTACCTTCTTTGAGGGTATCGTCGACAGCCATGACATTCGTTCAGAGCGCGGAGCCGAGACGCATTCCTCCTCGACAATCTGTCGACCCACTATCGGAAAGACGCGGCTGCCGAAGCGCATCTATACACGTACTCAATTGTCTTCGTGGCGCAAGTGCGCGCTCGACTCTATAGATACAGAGCCCGCGCTATATCCAGCGCGAGCGGGGTTCGCCCGAGGTTGTTGCTCGCTCCTTGGTTCGGCGACTCTTTCGGGCCGCGAGAGTCAGAAACCCTGTTCGAGAATACGACGCGCGCATTGGCCGGCAGCCGTGTTGGCGATTGGGGGTGCTTCGCCTGTTTCGATCGGGGCTGGAGTTCCTTGCATGAGATAATTGGAAGGCGCGAGCAAGACGAGGGTAGTGGGGGAGTCACAGCTAGAAGGAGAGATGGGGAAGGCGCGTTGCGGCCAGTATGGTCCAGATGTTCGTCTTTCGACACACATTCATGTGGAATCGCACAAACGCACGATGGGCCGGCATGCGCGCCGAATAAACCTGTAGAGCGAGTTGAGCAGGGGTGTGCGAGACGCACCGGATATCCGGTGAGGGATGGCAGATGCATGGATGGGTGTCAGCGGAACGTGTCTGGGTTCGCTGTGTGTATGGATGGATGGAAGGGCCCGGAACGTGCAGAGAGCGGGCTTTCTGGACTTCTGCATGCGTATAGATGCCTGCGTCCAGGCCATACAAGTGTACTTTCAGCAGCTACAACGCGTTAGTTCGATAGGAGATGGACTTTGTATTCTCACACCGCATTCATCCATGAACGATGTCGATGGAGGTGACGAAGGGTTGTTCGTCCACCGGAGTAGAGATTTGAGATTCAATCTCCGAAAGCGCCGTCTTCCGGACCAATCAAACTCTTGCGTTTCGAACTACATCAGCTGCAGAAGGGGCAAATTCGTCCCTAGGTTTGTAGAACCTATCCAGAGACCTCGAGAGACGCAACCTGCATGGCATAAGTGAGACCTCGACTCCTCGCCCGGCGCGGAATACTGACCTGCCAAACGCCCTAGCAACAGTGGCTCTCGACAGCGCAGAATTCCACGCAGCTGTAATGCCATTCGCTCTTACATGTCCGACGACGCGCGGATGTGCGAGGTAGTTGTCTGACGCTTACATGGACAGGTGTATCAGATTGTACGACAGATTCCTGCTCAGAAGGTCACAACATACGGTGCGCCTTATAATGTTCTTGGAATCAACGCTTTGGAATCCTCGATTTGGCTGACTCAGGACACAGGCTATGTAGCAAAAATCATCGGGATGCCTTCTTACTCGCGGCATGTAGGACAAGGTATGTTTGGTATTTGCATCGATGCGATTAGCTCAGTGACCGTTTTTGCGCTATGTCTCCTTAGCGCTGAAATTCCTCTCACCCGACGTCGAGCCGCCCGTTCCATGGTACCGCGTCGTTTCGTCGTCCGGCGCTATCTCTTCGCGAGGGCCTGGGACGGAGGGAGCTCAGCGGCAGCGAGACGCGCTAGAGGCAGAGGGGGTGGAAGTTCGTGTGGGAAGGACGGGAGAGTTTCTGGTTGACCTTAAGACGTGGGGGTGGTTTCCTGATCCCGCACAAGTCGATCTTGAAGATGGGCCTGCGTGAATAGCCTCTCCACAGAATCAAAGCCGCTGTTTTGCTTTCTTGAATATCTACAATCGCGCTTGGGTCGGGATTTCACCGTATGATATACGAGCATGCTACGATCGAGCGGCTACGTCGTTGGAGCGAATCAGATAAGATAAGATTGAGGCGCTTGTCGGACTGTTCGTCATCCACGCGACGCAGCCAGTCAGCGCTCGAGAGCCGCCCTCACGCAACGTTGCCTTGATCCATCAACTACCCCCTCACAACTCTTGGAGAACATTACTTTCTACGAGTGGCTGACTCGAGTGATTCAAAGGTGTGTCGCCCTCGGTTTCGCCAGTAAACGTGTACGCAATCCTATTACTGACAAAAGTCCTCCAAGATCCAGTGAAGCTGGTCGTTCATTGACATGCCCACCGATTCTACAAGGTGAGTATGCTATGTTGCGCCCTTCTACGCCAGTCCTCTCACGCATAGATCTATTGGGTCAGCGAAAGGACGATCAGGGTCACCGGTGAGTCAGCGTGCATTTTACGTCTTGTGATTGTCTGGCAACTGGCCTCTCGTTCCTAGTTGTCGCGGCCAACAGTCTCGTGAAGCGTGATCTATTCTCCCTCCCAAACCCCTTTGCCGTCATATCCGTCGATGCCGGACAAACGCAGCAGACCACCGTTCTCAAGAAGACATTGACCCCGTACTGGAACGAATCTTTTGACATGTCAGTCCTCGTCTTGGCTTTACGTCGGGCACAGAACGGCCGACTCGGCCTTCAGCGTCGTCCAGAGGCTAATCTAGGCTAACTTGCTCACTCCTCTTGTTCTCTGTCTAGCGCCGTGAATGCCTCCTCTCGCTTGTCTATCCAGCTCTTCGACCACCGCAAATATAAGCGCTTCGACCAAGGCTCGCTCGGCTGCCTCGACGTCGGCCTCAGCGACGTCCTCGACTTTGCTAATGGCGGAAACGGTACGCCGCGCTCGCGCACACGTGCCGCGGCCGTGCGACGCTGATCTCTCGCAGTGATCCAGAACATGGACCTGCGCCCTGGCCCCGACGGCCAGTCCGTGCACGGCAAACTCATGTTCTCCCTCAACACCGAGAGCGCCGCAGGCGCGTCGACGATCAGCACATCGCGCTCGCACTCGGAGCTCCGCGCCGCGGCCTCGTCCTCGGCGCGGACGTCCGTGTCAAGCTCGACCGCTTCGCGCCCCGTCGTCCGTCGCGAGAGCAGCCTGGACATTCGGCCTGACGAGTCTTTCATCCCAAGGTTGTCGGAGGACGGGTTGGAGAGGCCGCGTGCGGAGGTGGCGCGGCCGGCGTCCGTCGTTACCGCTGCTACCAACACACCTGCAATCGCGGAGGAGGAGGCGCTCCCGCCGGGATGGGAGCGCCGGACTGACGGGCGTGGGCGCGGGTACTACGTCGACCACAACACGCGGACGACCTCATGGCACCGGCCGAGCGCATCAGGATCGGTGACGGCGGCGGCGGCGGCGGCGGTGGCGGAGCAGAGCGCCGCTCCCGAGACGCCGGTGCTCCCGAACCAGACGAATCCGGACGGGACGTACGCGGACGTGCCGCTGCCGCTCGGGTGGGAGGAGCGGCGGGCGGCAGACGGGCGGCCGTACTTCGTGGACCACCACACGCGCACGACGACGTGGCACGATCCGCGGCGGACGGGCGTCGAGGGCGTGCTCGCGACATCGTCGCGGATGCAGACGCGCGCGGCGCAGGTGGGCCCGTTGCCGTCCGGCTGGGAGATGCGCATGACGTCGACGCGGCGGGTGTACTTCGTCGACCACACCACGCGCACGACGACGTGGGACGACCCGCGCTTCCCGACGGCGGTGGACGCGGACGCGCCGCAGTACAAGCGCGACTATAGGCGAAAGGTGGTGTATTTCCGGAGCCAACCGGCGATGCGGGTCGTGGCGGACGGCAAGTGCGACGTGCGGGTAAGGAGGGGGTGGGTGTTTGAGGACAGCTTTGCGGCGATTATGAGGTTGAAGGCGGATGATCTGCGGAAGAGGTTGATGGTCAAGTTTGAGGGTGAGGATGGGCTGGACTACGGTGGCGTGTCGAGGTGCGAGCGTTCGTTGCAAATCCGGGGCGCATGGTAAGATTGACTCGGGTCGTTGCACAGGGAATGGTTCTTCCTCTTGTCGCACGAGATGTTCAACCCCTCGTACGGCCTCTTCGAGTACTCGGCGCACGACAACTACACTCTGCAGATCAACTCGGCCTCTGGCATCAACCCCGAACATCTCGAGTACTTCAAGTTCATCGGGAGATGTCTCGGGCTGTCCATCTTCCACCATCGCTTCCTAGACGCGTACTTCGTCCCCAGCCTGTACAAGATGATTTTGGGTAAAAAGGTGACGCTGAAGGACTTAGAGGCGGTCGATGCGGAACTCCACAGAGGCCTGACATGGATGCTGTTAGTAACTTTCTTCACTTATGAATTTCAGCTCGATGCGATAAACATATCAGGGAAAACAACATCACCGACATCCTCGATGAGACGTTCACCACCACCGAAGACCGCTTCGGCGAGTTGGTCACGATCGACCTGAAGCCCGACGGCTCGAACATCGCCGTCACCGAGGCCAACAAGGCCGAGTACGTCGACCTCGTCGTCGAGTACCGCATCCACAAGCGCGTCGGCGACCAGTTCCGCGCGTTCATGGGCGGCTTCTCAGAAGTGATCCCGCAGGAACTGATCACCGTGTTCGACGAGACGGAGCTCGAGCTCCTGATCGGCGGGATGTCCGAGATCGACATGTACGTACACGCTCTCGCGCGTCAGACGGCTTTGCTGACGCGGATCCGGCGCCGCCAGGGACGACTGGACAAAGTTCACCGACTACCGCGGGTACGAGAAGACGGACCAGGTGATCGAGTGGTTCTGGCAGTGCCTCCGGTCGTGGCCGACGGAGCGCAAGGCGCGCCTGCTGCAGTTCACGACGGGCACGTCGCGCGTGCCCGTGAATGGCTTCAAGGACCTGCAGGGCTCCGACGGGCCGCGGCGGTTCACGATCGAGAAGAGCGGGGACCCCAACGGCCTCCCGCGCAGCCATACGTGCTTCAACCGCCTCGATCTGCCGCCGTATCAGGACTACGAGAGCCTGGAGCGGAAGCTGCGCTATGCGATCGAGTGCGTGCCTGCCTTTCCTGACCTTTTTTCGTTTTTGAGAGTGGGATCCCTGACATCGTGTTCTTGTTTAGCGAGACGGAGGGATTCGGACAGGAGTGAAGACGCTCGCTGCTCCGTGTCGTTTAAGTTTTCTTTTTGCTGTCCTTCGGACCGTTGTGGAATCTATGTATGTTGCAATTTGTGTTCGATCTTCTGTATTTTGTCGTGTCTTTTCTGCTATCACGTCGTGTGCTTACTCCACCACGACACTATACATTAATTCGCTCGTTTTTGGTACTCGTGTTTTTCTGTAACGCTTGATTTCCTAGACTGTAGTGCTGCGATATGATTATAATCCCATTGACTGGTTGTCCAACACATGCTCGAGGTGATGCGCCATGGGGCGGTGTCCCTATTCACGCCGGGACTATTACCTTTATTTTCGAGAATCGAGTTGGAAGGGCGTGTTATAGCGGTACTGCCCGTCGAGACACGCCAATTTTCGTTCCACCCGGTACTGTCCTCCCCTCTGAGAATTTGGGAGCCGAAAGGGATCGCAGAGGCAGTTCAGCTCTCTTAAAATTTTACGAGACTTCATAGCGAGGTATGGAAATTAATCAACTCGGGAGCTGTCAGAGTGACTTGAAAGACGGCCGGATGATGCCCGCGCGCATTGCGCCGCGCTCCGTTATCATCTCCGATTGCAGCATCCCACTCGTCCGAGATCCTGATCCCGCCCACCGGTCTTCATACTCAACTCGACCACCCCTGCTCATGCCTTTCGAGCAATGACCACCAATGCCACGTCCAGCCAAGCCGGCAGCGGCAGAATAGCCCTCCAGGCGCACGGAAAGGAGGCCGCGTTCGCAGAGCTTTCGTGCACGTACCCGCTCAAGCTCTTATCGCCCCGCACGCCGCAGGACGGCGTCGCGGTCGTCTACATGCTCACCTACGGCGGCGGCCTCGTCGGTGGAGACCGCATCGCGCTCTCTGTGGACGTCGGTGCGCGCACAACGCTGATGCTGCTTTCTCAGGTGGGTGTCTTTTCTCTCTTCCTTTTTTTCTGTTTTTTCTCCGACGCGATTTCTCTGAACGCAGACGCTATTGTAGGGATCGACCAAGGTGTTCAAGACGCGCCGCGGCGGGAGGGCGTCCGTCCAGCACATCACCACGTCGCCCGCAGGAGCGATGGCCTCTTCGACCCAGCGAATGGACGTGCACGTCGCGGACGGCGCACTGCTCGCCCTCCTCCCCGACCCGGTGACGTGCTTCCGCGCGGCGTCGTACCACCAAGCGCAGACATTCCACCTCCACGGCCGCGCGTCCGCCGTGCTCCTCGACTGGCTCACGTCCGGCCGCCGCGCGCTCGGCGAGGAATGGGCATTCGCGCGCTACTTTAGCGTCAACGAGGTCTTCATCGACGGGAAGCGCGTCGCGAGGGACGCGATGCTGCTCGAGGAGGAAGAGGGGGAGGAGGGGGAGGCCGACGCCGCGCGGTCTGCCGCGCTGCCGCGGCGCGTGCTAGGCGACCGGCTCGCGCCATATTCGTGCTACGCGACGCTAATTCTGTGCGGGCCAGCGATGGCGGACGTCGTGCGGGTTCTGGACGATCGGTACCGCGAGATCAGCGTGTACAAGCACCGCTCCGCGCCAGAGCTGCTGTGGTCGCTCAGCGCCGCGGCGGGTGACGGCGGGCGGATCGTGAGGGTCGCGGGGAGAGAGACGGAGGACGTGAGGACGTGGCTGAGGGAGTCTCTGAGCGGACTCGAGGGCCTCCTCGGGGCCGATACGCTTCGGCGGGCGTTCGTGTAAGACCATTCTGGCCTCGGCAGGCGGTGACTATGTGACCCGCCAATCCATGCAACCCCCCTCCCAGACCGTACTACCGCTGCGCTATGGAATCTTTCACGAGTGTCAACGCGTTTGCTGAGCTTGCTGAGGATATCTATGTTCGATGGTATCGACAAGCGTCCGACCGTCCGGCTCTTGCAGACGAACTCAGGGAGAGAATCATCCACGTCGCTAACCAGGGCCGCGTGTTGGCAGGAATGCCCCACGGACAGACGTGGTTCATGGTGCGATCGATCGACGCCTGATGGGCTTCCACAGGCAATTCTCATGGACTCAAATATCCTACACAAAGTATATAATTGGATGTCATATCGTCGGGCGAGGGAGAACCGCCGACGTCGCGTTCAGGGAATCCCACCCTTGCCTGATCTTCGTGCAGAGCCCCGGACCTGGACCGCCAACCGCGCTAGCAATCTTCCGCTGCCGCCGCCGCCAACCGGTGACAAACGCGCGCCCCGACGGCTCGACGTAGATTCTGATGGATATCCTATCATGCCCGAACTACAGCATTGGAAGTTAGGGATCCGCAGGGCGATCCCTCGTTCTCATATATGCTTAATATGGAGTGAGTGCACTTGGCCACACGACGACGTCGCCGGTTTGCTCTTTTCTTGACGGACATGTCATCGCTCACACAGGGAAACGAGAACCCGCGAACGGCGGCGCGGGCGTGCCCTGGCGCAGACTGGAGCGATCGATCAGAGACTCCGTCCAGAGGAGCACCCCGAATCCCTACTTCAGTCGGCGCCACATGCTCCGCAAGGTCGTTCTGCGGAACACGACGCACATGCGTGCGTACGAGGTCCGCGCGCACTGGGCGTTCATTCTGAGGCTGCAGAACAAGCGGGACAAGCTCGTGTTCAAGAGTCCCAGTTCGGAGCACGCGAAGTGGTGGGAGTCGGATGCGGCCGAGTGGGGCGATTCGAGCGACGGCACGGAGGGGTTGGGTGTGCTGGGGGAGGCCAGTGGCTCGATTGAGGGCAGAGCTAGTGAGGATGATGAGGACGTTGAGTCTATGGACTCTGAGAGCGACCCGGACGTCGAGCTTGTGGGTCAGAGGACGAGAAAGGCGACGTGAAGATAGCCTCGCAGGCAAATTGCTATGTAGGTGAGCGGCGACTAGGACATTGGTCGATATTGTTGACGATACTTTAGCAACCAAAATAGAGGGACCGAGCCAGGAGGTCAACGACATCGTGCTAGACTTGGGAAGTGCAGGCATAGCACACGGTGCAAATCTGGATCAGGTAGAAGAGCGTGCAGCGATTGAGGATATCCAGAACATGTGGAACAGAACTGACGACTTCGAAGCCTCCACACATCCGGAGACGTTTGAGCTCGGGCACGTTCAGCAGGATTGTGTGACGCCAATGGTATGTACTGCTGCCTCATAGATCAACAAACCCTACCATTCACTGCCAAACCATTTTCTTCACAGAAACGCACATCGGAAGGCCTGCCTGCCAACCGTCCCACGAAGAATGTCCCAGCAGATCCGAGTGGAGAAGATGAAACTGAAGTCGAATCACTGTCGTACGTATCCACCACCTTCGCCGATGTCTGAGCTGAGTCGGATAATCAGGTTCGAGCGTCATCCGTTCGCAACCTCCATGATTGAGGTGATTGACCTCACGGTCGATGGAGACGAGTCTTAAGAGAATAAGTAGGAATGACGGCAAGTATATAGAATATTCTATCCTGAGTGCTCGACGCAAAGAACTCGGTTGGCGCCTGGATGACGCAGGAATGTTGAAATCTATACAAATGATTAATACGTCGTGAACAGTGTACCTTGATTTTCTCTTGACTCAACGAGAGCCATTCGCCCGCGCTATTGAGTCCGATATATTGGCCAGTCTGAGCTGCATCTCATACCCTTGTCCGTACAAGGCTTGTGACCCGAGACAACGTACGTCCCACTGAAACGTTGACAGAAAGAGGCATCGGATGGCTGGAAGAGACCGTCAACGACGAGTGCGCTATGTCGGACGCTTCCACCACTCACCACCGTAGCCGATGCAATTGCAAGCTAGAGACAGAACTCTCGACACGTGCAGCAGTGTGGAGGCCGCGTGTTTCTCTATGCCACCCGCGGTGAACATCCGATCCGAACAAGCAAAGGAGCAGACACACACCGTCTCCAGATATCATACCTGTTCCTGGGAAATGGCTTCCTCGCCTCGGTCTGGCGTCTGGTGTTCCCGTGCAATCAAAGGTCAAGGATGCCGCCTAAGATGAGGGCCCACGTACCCGATGCGCTCGAGCACGGCTCTCCGAGCCCGGACCTCCTCGACCCAGCTGTCATACTTGCCCCTGACCTTCGCCTCGTACCAGTGCCTATTTTCCGGCCTGAGGCTCGCGAGCACAGACGCATGCTCTGGCTCCAGATCGCCGTTCGGGAGGACACGCGGGCGCGCGCGCAGTGTGTAGGTGTTGATGTAGCTGACGTAGCTCCCCAGCCTGAGCCCCAGCTTGCCGTGGCGGAAGCCGAGAGGCGGGTCGAGGACGGTCGCAATGACCGCATCGAGGAACGCCGTCCGTGTGGGAAAGCGCAGGGCAGAGTTGGCAGGCGAGAGCGGAGGCACGAGGGAGAGGGAGTGGGAAGGGTCGCGGACTTCGAAGGAGAAGTAGGAGGAGGGATGGAGGTAGATGTCGACGGGGTCGTCTTCACTTCGCAATAGCTGTGGCGTTGTCAGCTCGAGCCGGACAGCACGGGGGAAACAGCTAGACTGGTCGGGATCAATGTACTTGTGGTCGAGCCAGTCCGGGTGTGGCGCTGCCAATCGTTTGTAAGGCAAGTCGGAGGTGATGGCACGCGCGGCCTCCTCGACATCCTCGTCAGGAACGAGCAGTTGTAATGCGAACAGCTCGGTGGGTACGAAGAGCGCAAAGCTGAGCGCGTCCTCCGCCCAAACTAAGCATGGAATGCCTGCGCTCGCGACTGCTCGAGCTGGCTTCAGACGGGTCTCCATTGTCAGCGCTGGGAAGGGGCTGGAATCATAATAGTGTATGCCCATGGTTGCTGGTGCTTAGTTCGCGTTTGTTGTCGCACAAGCACAAGCCGCCGGTTGCGCACCATAAGGAGTGGAGGAGAGTCACGGAGGCGGAGGCAATTGACCAGGCAGCGGCAACAGCCGAATCCATCAGAGCCCTCCTTTCGGATTTTTGTTCAAACCACGACTCGTTCGTAGCAGAGAAGAGGGATTGGGCGAGTGCAATTCAACTAAATACAGATAGATAGATCGAGCGAGTCATAGAAATTCGGGGCCATGTTTCGCCCAGGGACATCGTGTCCCTTCAGCTCATTATCTACTTAGGCCCACTCAGTCCCGGTAAGAGTTGGACTCAATTAGCTGCTCGAGCAAGTGGACGCAATGAAAGGCACACCTCATCAGGTATAACGATACCCACATCTGTCAAGAAATCGCGATACACGGCGTGCTCCTCACCCGGCAGGACCGTCCAAAATGCCTTCAGCGTCATTTCGTCGAGAATGGCCTTCATGACCTCGCTTGGCACCTTCCCATTCTTGTCTAGCAAAACTCCAAGGAGGTGCCCAATGTCCTCTAGGTCAGAGTCGCGCTTCGGGTTCTGCGCATGGCGCTGCCCGAAGGTGCGGATTTTGTCCGCCAGGAGCATGTCGGCCGAGGCGTAGCGCACCCCGTCCTCCGTCACTTCGCTGTACCTCTCTAAAAAGCCGTCCACGAGGTACGTGCTGTTGATGGCCAGGTCGCACTTGATGGCATCCGTGGGGTGATAATACGTGAGCCGCCGACGGGTGGGAGCCGACCCGGGTCGATGGTCAAACGGAGGGGCCGGAAGCCTGTCCAGAAATTTAAAGGATGTGACATTGATGTCGATATCCTGGGATGCGCATGACGGGGTAGATCGTGAGCGCGAGACAGTGCCCCGTGGCGACGTGTAGGCAGCGCACTTTTGTTTCGCGTTTGGCCCCATGGAGGTTGACGGCGGCACCGCCAAAGAGAACGGCCCTGACGTTGGCCTTGCTGGCCGCCTCGAAGATGAGTTTCGCAGGAATGAGGAGGCGTGTAGGCAAGGTCATATTGAGCGAGTGATGGCAAGGCCGCGGTCACTGGGCGTCCAGATACGATTCGATGTCTGAAACGTCAGAATCCGAGCTGTAGCTGTGGGTGGCGATGACAGCACCATGAGGTCGTGGGAGGCGGCTATCTGCAGCATTGTTCGTGCAAAACTTCAAAACATGAGAGCATCCCCCAGAAGTCATTGATCGCAGAGCAAGTTCACAATCTTCAGTGTAATGAGCGCTTTGACTCAAACGCATGCCCGGCATCCTACTTCCCACGACGGAGTCCATGGACGACACGTCTGTGAACATCACAAAGGTCTCCCCATCCTTTCCTCCTTCAATAGGCTCAGTTCCCATCAGGTCTATTGATGCCAGTCAAGCCTCCTTTGTACACGAGAGCGTAAATTTCTTGATTATTGACACATACTTGATCGGCGACAGAACGAGAACAGAATACGCGAATGGGAAAGAAGAGAGCGAGACGAGACGAGACAGGACGAAAAGAGATGAGAAGAGAAGAGAAGAGAGGAGGAGAGAGGAGAGGAAAAGAGAGGAGAGAGGACAGACACAGACACAGACACATAGGCGTGGCTTGGCGTGGTATACGAGCTGGATATACGTAGATCGATAATAGAGCGAGCGAGAAATACATGGGGCACTGCGCTGCGCAGCATGGCATATGCGATCAAGAGGGGTACGGGGTAAATACGAGAGGAAGAGAGGAAAGGGAGAGCGAAGAAGACTAGTAAGCGTAATAGGTACACGATCAATACAGCATCATCGTTCATTATGCAAAGCGTGGGATGGCGTGGGGGGCACATGGGAAAGAGAAGCGGGAGGGCGCGAGGTGAGACGAGAGAGGACAACATTGAACACAACAAGGGAAAAGAGAGAGAGTGAGTAAACGGAGGACGAACCGCCCGCAGCCGCGCGGCTATCTGAACTCCTGCGGGAAATTGTGCTGATTCCGTCGTTGCTTCACGCGCTCGCCGGCCAGCTTCGTGATCGAGTTGAGCAGGTCGCCCCGCCGCAGTGGTTCTGCCGCAAAGCGCATTAGCATCAGCGCGCACAAGATACGATCGCAAAGGGGGAAGAAATGAAACCCACTCGTTATATGGTCGTCCTGCATAACAACGCAGCACTCAGCACACACAGTTAGAATATCAACGACGACAGTGCTACTCACCATGCCTGCATCCAAACACCGTTCGCGATCGCCGATCACTATGAGGGAAAACACAAGCGTTGAGAACAAAAGGCACACGTCTAAAAACAGGCAACGGCAAGAATATGACGTACTGGCATGGGCCGTTAGGGCGATGATGGGCGTCGCCGCCAGGTTGTTGTGGACCTCGTACGCGCGAATGAGTTCCGTCGCTTCCATGCCACCCATAAACGGCATCGACACGTCCATCTGCATCAAGCTTTCAGCAAACGCCCAAGACGAGCAAAACACAGACAGGGGCACACTCACGAGGATGATGTCAAACGGCCTGTTGCGCTGCACCCGCGCCTTGAACGCGTCCACCGCCAGCGAGCCGTTCTCCGAGATCTCGACCGAATGCCCGTACTTCTCGAGGATCTTGACCGCCAGCTTCTGGTTCACGAGGTTGTCCTCCGCGAGGAGGATGTCGAACGTCACGTCGTTCGTCGCCGCTGCGGGGCTCACTGTGCTCGACTCCAGCGCCGAGATCAGCGCCGATGCGAGGTCCTGCGCCGTCACGGGCGTCGTCACCTCGGAGCTGATGCTATTGTCCAGGCACCACTTCACTGCGGTGGGGGAAGCGAGACAAATGGCGCGTGAGCGGGGATCTGGACGGCGATAAAAGATCGGACGTACGGTTCAGACGCGGCAGGTTCTGGGAGGGGCGAGGAGCGGTGCGCGGTCAACAGATCGCAGGCAGACGATGAGCCGAAAAAAACACGCACCGGAGCGAGCAGCACGATGGGGATGTACCGCAGATGCTCGTACTCGCGGATCGTCTCCGTCTGTCGGCCCAAAGTATACACACACAAATAAAAAAGCAAATCACAAGTCAACGGCCGGACCAGAGAACCGAGTGGGGACGCACCACGCTCAAGGAATCCACCACAATGGTGTCAATGTGCGGGCATGAGCCCTTGTCAGCGACCTCCATTGCGTCGTGCACGACGTACGGCCGCAGCCCGAGCTCCTGAATGCGATCGACGACGCCCGTGCGGTCGTGCAGCGTGTCGACGAAGAGAATATTCCGGTTCGCAAACGGCGCCATCTTCGTCGCCGTCGCGTCCATCGACAGTTGGCCGATTTGCGACGTGATCGTGAAGAAGAACTTGGAGCCCTTGCCCACCTCGCTCTCTACCCACATGTTGCCCTGCATCAGGAACACGAGCCGCTTCGAGATGGATAGCCCAAGGCCCGTCCCTCCGTATTCCTGATAAGGAAAGCCAAAGGGGAAAATAGAATCAGAACGCGAGTGTCAGGTGAACAGGCATCTGAGGTGCCCCACAGCGCGGGAAAAAAGGTAGAGGGATTTACGCACTCGCGTCGTCGACCCGTCCGCCTGCGCGAACGTGTCGAAGATCAAGTTAAGCTTGTCCTTCGCGATGCCGATGCCCGTGTCCGTCACGCAGAACTCAAGCGTCACGCTCGAGTCGTCCAGCGCGAGCAGGCGGCAGCTGAGCGCGACGTGGCCCTTCTTCGACACCTTGGACGGCGTAAACTTGATCGCGTTGCCGACCAGGTTCGTGATGACCTGCCGCAGACGGAGCGAGTCGCCGATGAGCTGGTCCGGGATGTCCGGGTCGACGTCGTAGGTAAGATCGAGGTTGTTCTGCGAGGCGCGCACGACGAGCGTCTTGAGGATACCGAAGACCGTCTGCCGGAACGAGAATGAGACTTGCTCCATGGTCATTCGACCGGCCTCGACTGTGCCCCAGTAAAAACCGAGGAAGACAAGGAACAGCGGCAGTGAGGCGTAGAGAAGGTGTCATGGTTAGTAGGAGAAGGGAAAACGAGGACAAAGGCGAGGACCGCAAGCAAAGGGAGACGCACTCTTGGAGATGTCCAGAATATCATCAATAATCAATAGTAGGGAGCGTGCCAAGCTGTGCACTAGGAGCAGACTCTCGCGTTGCGATCGATTGAGGTCGCTATCGAGTGTCAGTTCCGTCATTCCAATGATCCCGTTCATCGGCGTCCTGTCAAAACTCAAATCAGCCCTACACTCCGACAGCTCGAAGACTCGACCCGGCAGACAAACAGACAAAAGAAAAAAATAGAAAAAAAATAGAAAAATGTCAGCGAGCAAAGCGCAACGCACCGAATCTCATGCGACATGTTCGCCAAAAACTCTGACTTGCTCCTATTCGCGAGCTCCGCCGCCTCGCGCGCAGCCGTGTTCTTCTGGATACTGTCCCGCAAGTTGAACACCATCTGGTTGATCTGCGTCTTGAGCGAGTCCATCTCCCCGCTCGCCTCGACCGTGATGAAGCGCGTAAAGTCCCCGTCCATCGCCGCCGCGGAGATCTGGGCGAACCCGCGCACCTGCGTCGTCAGGTTCCCGGCCATCGTGTTCACCGACATCCTAGCAAGCCGCGCGGCGGACCCACACACAGGACGCCAGTCAGCGTGGAAAAGGCAGATACAGAAAAAATGCCGACGAAGGACGACGAGGCGACGACGCACGTAATTTCCTGCCACACACCCTGCACGTTCCCCACCTCCGCCTGCACCCCTAGTTTCCCCTCCGTCCCCACCTCACGCGCAACTTTCTTCACCTCGGACGCAAATATCGCGAGCTGGTCTATCATGTCGTTGATCGTCTTCACCAGCTCCAACATCTCTCCCGAGACCGACACGCCTGTCACCTTCTGCGTCAGGTCGCCCCGCGCGACCGCCGTCTTCATGCACACACAACCACGGCAAGTCAGCAACAAAGTGGAGGTGCCCCGGCGAGGGCAAAAGTGACGCACCGTGGCCACCGCAATCGTGCGCACTTGCAGTGTCAACTATAAGAAAAGTCAATAAAAAATTCAGACCTCGCTCGCAGACTCCAAACCACGCACATTCGTAGCCATGACGTTCACGTTGTCCGTCAGATCCTACCCCGCCATCGTAACCCAATGTCAGCCCCGTGTATGCATATCAAAGCCAGGCGCTATGACGCACCTTCCACGTTCCGCCGACGTTCGTCACATTGGCCTGCCCACCAAGCCGCCCCTCCGTCCCGACCTCCCTCGCGACGCGCGTCACCTCGTCCGCAAACACGCTCAAACTCTCCGTCATTCCATTCACCGTCTCCTTCAAATCAAGCATCTCCCCGCGCACATCCACCTCGATCTTCTTCGTCAGGTCCCCGTTCGCGACCGCCTTGGTCACCTCCGCGATCGAGCGCACCTGGTTCGTCAGGTTCATCGCCATCAAGTTCACGTTGTCCGCCAGCACCTAGTGCGCGCGATCGCGCGCGATCAGCGATCACACCCTGAAAAATGGACGCATCGGCGCTAGGGAGGGAGGGCAGCTCACCTTCCACATCCCCTGCACGTCCGGCACGTACGCCTGCCCGCCCAGGATACCCTCCGTGCCGACCTCGAGCGACACGCGCGTGACCTCGTTCGCGAGCGTCGACAGCTGCGCCACCATCTGGTTCACGGTCATCTTCAGGTCCAGCATCTCGCCCTGCACGTCGACGTTCACCGTGCGCGAGAGGTCGCCGAGCGCCACCGCCTTGGTCACCTCCGAAATGGAGCGCACCTGGTCGGTCAGGTTGCTGGCCATTTTCTGCGTGAGAAAGGGAAGAGTTGCGTTAATTCGTGTACAAAAAGTAGAAATGATGAGGGAACAATTACACACGTTCACGTTCCGCGTGAGGTCCGCCCACGTCCCTTGCACGCCCTCGACCGTCGCCTGCCCGCCGAGTATGCCCTGTGTACCGACCTCGAGCGCGACGCGTGTCACCTCGCTCGCGAACGCGCTCAGCTGGTCCACCATCGAGTTCACCGTCGTCTTCAGCGTCGCCATCTCGCCCTCCACCTGTATCTCGATCTTGCGCGTGAGGTCGCCCTTGGCGACCGCCGTCGTCACCGTCGCGATCGAGCGCACCTGGTCGGTCAGCGAAGAACACATCCGATTCACCTGCGGGCGCAGTGCGCGCCGATCAGCACAAATCACATGAAAAAGAGAGCGCACGGGACGCACGTTGCGCGTAAGCTCTAGCCATACGCCTTCCACGTCCGGGACGTGCGCCTGCCCACCCAAAATACCCTGCGACCCGACCTCGAGAGTGACGCGCGTGACTTCGGCCGCAAGCGCGCGCAGGCGCACGACCATCCCGTTGACTGTGTTCTTGAGATCAAGGATCTCTCCGCTAGCATCGACGTCGATCTGCTTGGACAGGTCGCCGAGCGCGACGGCCTTGGTGACGCGCGCGATCGAGCGCACCTGCGAGGTGAGGTTTGCGGCGAGCTTGTTGACGACGCCGGTAAGCTCGCGCCAGGTGCCCTCGACGTCGAGCACGAGCGCCTGGCCACCGAGTTTCCTGATGCATATGGAGGGAGTGTGCCATCAGCATTCGGGTCGCTAAATGCGCAGACGCAGGACGCACCCTTCGGTGCCGACTTCCTGTGAGACGCGTGTGACCTCGCGCGCAAATAGGCCAAGTTTGTCGACCATAGTGTTAATGACGTCCTTCAGCTGGACCATGACGACGCCCTGCACCGGCACGGTTATCTTCTGCGACAGATCGCCGCGGGCCACGGCGTTGCAGACTCGCGCGACGTCCTGGACCTGCGCCTTGAGCAGTTTGAGCTCCTCGACGGCGCTCATCCCGCTCTCGTACGCGGCGGCGGCCAGAGGACCAGGGGGCACGACGAGCGGGGAGGTGGCGGGGGTGTCTTCTGGGCGCGGTATGCGACTCAGAGTGAGGGCGTCGGTGATGGTTTTGCCACAAGTGGGGCAGGTGACATGGTCAGCATGAGAGGTAGGCGGTGCGGAGGCGGAGGGCCCGGGTTTGACTTGGCGATTGAACATGGCCATCTTGGAGGGGTTGAGGGAGGCGGCGACGCCGTCGAGGGATATAGACATGACGGAGGGCGTGCGACCGACGCCGGCTGCACGATAGAAGGGGCGGCCGTCAGATTCGGGGTCTGCCATGATGATGTCTGTGTCTGTGTCTTGGAGGGCGACGGGGAAGCGTGAGAGGGTGTCGAAAGGGGGGAAGAAGGAAGGAGCGGAATTACTGTGTACGACGAGGGCGGCGTGGTGATTGTGGTTGTGGTTGAGCGGGTGGGTGTGGTTGTGGTTGTGGTTGATATGGGTGCTGTGGTTGGCGCCGTAGGCGTGCGGGGCGGATGTGCGTGCGCCGAGGTCAGGCGAGTCGCCCACGGAGCGGCGCTTCTTTGTGTCGGGCGCGCCGTCGACGTACTGCCAGTTCTCGGAGGCCTTAAGCGCTGCGATCCCCTCCTCCGCGGTGCACATCCTGCGGGCCATGGCGCCCAGCGCGCGGAGGATGTTCTCTGTCTGCCAGTCGGCGGGGCCATCGTAGCGGGGGACGGGGGCGGGGAAGGGCCCGAGCTCGTAGATGGAAAGGATGGCGACGAGGTGGTTGAGGAAGGCATCTGATTTTGCGGCGATGGCGGACATCGTCGTCGTCGTCGGCGACGATGGGCAGGGGCGGCGGTGTCTTTGCTGTGTCTTGTCTTGCGGCGACTCCAAGGCCAAGGGCTCCTCCCCTCCCCCATCCGGTCATTTGTTCCCACGCCCCCGCCCCGCCACAACGCCAGCGGACATCGGCCCGCGCCTCTTCCTCCGCTCCTCGACTGCCGTCACCAGCATCCTGTCCGTTTCCATTGCGACTTCGTCTGTTCGCCCTCAGCTGGGCGAGCTGGACATCCACCGCCACAAGCCTCGGTGATGCCCAGGAAGGAAACCTTGTTTGCCTAAACGGTCCGCCGTTCCCATTGCGACAGAGCTTGCTTCATCCTTCAGGCAAAGTAGCGGATGGTCGCGGTGTTTATGATCACATCGATGCTCCACAGATTGGCAATGTTGTGTCTTCACTGGGCCCGGAATAACCTCATCTCTAGGTGAGCCTACTAACCTAGCCTACTCTACTCGCTGTAGTGAGTCGAGTCTCCTGCCCGCACTGCCAACTGATCCTCTCTAGAAACAAACCCCTCCAGTGCTTTGATGTGACCATCCCTCTTGGAGCAGCGTAAGAATCCTATATTGGTATTCCCCCTCGTGTCTTCGCCGTGTAAGTAGCTGCCTGTACTTCGTAGGAGATGAATTCGGCACGTACTATGACATACATCCCGGCCACTCCTTACGCATGGCATCCGCAATTCTGCAGCCCTGCAATTTAAGCGGTCGTTTCCAACGCGACCGAGCTCGACCGCCTCTACTGACTTTACAGAGCACGGCCCCGCTTTCGGGGTTCATTCTCGCCGAGGGATCTCATTGCATCACCTCGAAGCTTTCAGACGGACGCAAGCATGCGCGCAACCACACTAGGCCCCGTTTTATACTTTCATATATGACCTCACCTCGCGCAATTGATCGGTTGAGCTCCGTCTGCTACTATCACCGTCGCAGTGAAAGATGGATGTGATCCCTCCCAAGCACACTTTTGTCGGAGAGGCAGGCATATGCCCTTTGCGGGATGCCCGTGGACCCCGTTTGACGTTTCGCGTGATTCAACTCAACAGCATTCGACCCTCATCATGCGCCACAGCTCGGTGTGGATTTTATCATGTGCATCGCACCGTGTTCAATAAGCAAAGCCAGGGAGCCTGGAGGCTACGCGGTCGTTTCCATTGCGACTGGCATGACCGTGTAGCAAGGCAAGATGCACGAGCGGCTTCATCCTCACCTCCGAGCATCCGATGCCTGACTGGGACCGGTCAGCGTCTCTTGGCACACCATCACCATCGTCCATTAAGCACTGATGTTGATATCCCCTAGGATTTCCTGCTCGTCCGCATCATGATGCTGAGGTGCCGCCAACCACCAGCCCCTGGATGATCGGCTATGTGTTACCGCCGCCTGCCGCCTGTGCGTGAACCGCAGCGCCACACCACAACCGCGCAAGCCGCAGCTACGCTCGCCGCTCAGCTGCGCACAACGCTGCCGTCGCACGTCTGAGTGTTGACCATCGCGGGATCGCCGCAACGCGCAGAGCTGGCCGAGCTGTGCTGAGCTCGCGTCGCACGCACCGCACCGCATCAACATCACATCATATTTATTGTGGATGGGTCGCATAGTGCTCGGCCTGATAGCATCACAGCTTGCCCAGTGGGGTTTTCGAGTGCCCGTTTATAGACCCTGCAGTCGCAAGGGTCGTAGTATAAAGGCCTCGACCATCGCTGCAGGAATAGTAGTTCTCCACTCAACCCTCACCTTCACCACCCGCTTTCGTTTCGGCTTCTTTTTCTTTCTAGAGCCCGGCGCTCTCTTCCACTTGCACGCTTCTTGTTCATTGTCTTTGCTTCGCTCTTTGTACGACCCCAGCCGCCCCCATCTTGCCTTCTTCGACGCGCCCGCACCTAACCGACCGACTCAGCTCCCCCACCATGGTCCAGCTCTCCTCCGTCCTCGTCTCGTGCCTCCTCGCCTCTGCCGCGTCCGCCCGGCCCTTCCAAAAGCGCATCTCGCAGACCATCTCAGACTCCACCGCCGCGTGGGTCCAAGCCTGCGTGAGTCCAGTCCCCCTCGCGCCCACCCTGCACATCCACCCTCAACGAACTAACACGCACGACCCGCCACACACGCAGACTGCAGCCGGCGGCGCAGCGCAGTGCGGCACGATCTCCCAGACCGCGTTCACCTCGCTCCTTGCCGCGGGCAAGAACTGCGACCAGCAGGATGCGGCCGACAGCATGATCGACCTCGCCAAGCAGCTCAACAACAACGCCGAGATGATCCGCCTCGCACAGATCTTCGTGCAGCAGCCCCGCAACGCCGTGCGTACCCCTCCCCCTCCCACTCACACCCACTCGCCCGCTCACACGAACCCCCTTCGCCTCGACAGCCCGACAGCCTCCAAGTCCCCTACTGCCAAACCGCCCCGCGCAACGTCGAGCTCGATGGGCTCTTCCATTGCCAATTCGCATCCTCCGACTTTACCAAGTTCAGCGGTGACCAGACCGGCAACGTCCCGCTCGGCCTCGCCGCCGCTGTCTCCCCGCCCGGCTCGTGCCCCGCAAAGCCAGACGGCCCCGTCCCCGACGGCGTGCAGCTCAACACGCTCGTGCAGAGCCCCGGCACGCCCGCTACAGCCGCCGCCGCATCGTGAGTTCCTTTGCGCGACGTTGTTTTCGGGAAGAGCACGCGGCTGACAGGGTACTGTTGGCGCGATGATGTACAGTGGCGCGGCGAGCGGAGCGGCTGTCGATCCTACCACGGCCGCGGACCCCGCGTCCGGGAGTGCCGCCACCAGCACCGCGGCCGCAGATCCCGCTGACAGCACCACGGCCGCAGACCCCGCTGACAGCACCGATGCTGCTGATCCTACCACAGCAGACGCCCCCGCCGACAACGCCGCTGCCGGCGGCGCAGCAGCCGCAGCCACCCCCGCCTCCACCCCCGCCACCACCAGCGCGTCCTCCAGCTCCTTCACGCTCCGTACGTCCCTCCCTCCCCTTTCCGCCCCCTCACCACGGCCACGGCCAGACGCGCTGACCGCTCCCTTTCCCCCGCTCAGAAAACGGGCTCGACGCCCAGGCGCTGAATGCACAGTTCGCAACTCTGACGGCCGCCTCGCCGTGCCAGGACGGCGCGCAGGCGTGCGTTGGGGGCGCATTCGCGCAGTGCGTTGGCGGGAAGTTCGTGACGACGTCGTGCGCGGGCGGCGCACAGTGCTTCGCGCTGCCGCTCGTGAACAAGGCTGGCACGGTGAGTGCGATCTGTGTTTTCCTTTTTGTTTTTTGTTTTTGTTTTTGCCTTGTTTTTGTTCACTGTCGCTCATCGGTAGTTCACAGTCCATTACGTGCTCGACCGAGGCGGACGCGGCGCAGCGCATCGCCGCCACTGGCGCTACAGGCGGCGTGACTGGGGCCTGAGCGCGCTCGAACGCACGTCCAGTTATGGGATCGAGGGTCTGGGTCTGGTTGTGCTATGGTTTCGAGGCTCCGTGCATCATTTCTTGATACCTCCGGTCGAGATGCATCATCTGGCCACATTGCATGTATTTGTATATACGCTACGTGCGAGCCCTGTACAACCTGTATTTTTGTGTCTGGTTTGTTCTCAGACAAGCAGAGCACAACATCTGCTTCGGGACGCGAGAGCGAGGTTGAGGCCTTGAGTCTGGTCTTAACTGCTTTGAGAACCGTGGGCAGGAGCAGCGCTCTGAGTTGGAAACAAAGGTGGGGTGCTATAAACGGGGCTCCGAACTTGGCTCCGACGAGGTGCTCTCTCGAAACGAGCTCCGGCGCCTAGAAGCTGGACACGCGCGCAGAAGCCCATCAGCCTACCGCGTTCCAAGTGGGAGTCGAAACCAAGAGGCCTTGTCTCTCACGCCTGGACTAGGCAATGTAAAGCCGCGTAAGAATGATACGTTCGTTCGTACGACCCCGAGCGTCGACACGCCCAGCGTGCGCCGCGTACCCATCCCGAGGGCGCTGCCCCGCACAGCATGCACGTGCGCCGGGTCCGCGCCGATCCTGCTCTCCAATCGCGGTGAGAACCAGCGGAAATTGCGCGCACTGTGAATATCCTCTATCCTTCGCCTCATTCTATATATTTCTTTGTGAGTGCTGGAGACTTGAAAGCACTTACAGAACGCGTGCAGTCTCGCCGCGTGCGTCGCACCGCTGTCGCGGTATACCACAGTACGGTCACAGCAAGTTACTCCGACGTGCCATTCAAAAACCTGGCGGGCGCACTTTCAAGATGCCACAAATGAATTCCTTACCCTACGAACTGCTTGAGGCTGCCGTCGACGAAGTTTGTGATCTGGAGGACCTGAAGACCGTGCGGCTGCTGAACCGGACCTTCTGCGCTCGGCTCGTCCCGGCTATTCCGACGCGTCGAGACTGCAGCGCGGCCCGGTTCGGCGAGCTGGTTCGGAGCGGGAGCGCGGCGCCGTTTGTCGCGCACATCAGCTTCCAGGAATGCCACTTCACCGAGCCACGAATAACACGTCCGCACACTAGGGTTCCGTGAGTAATCCCTGAATCGCTAACATTGTTATTAACACTGCTATTAACAAGCCCCCTCCAGGGGCACAATGTCGATGTTAATAATGTTGATAATATTCGAAATTGTATATAACGATCAGCATTTGAATTTACATTGAAATGTACATATTTGGGCAAGGGCCAGGTGGAAATATTGAAGGTTGTGGCTGTACAATTATGCCTTCCCTGCAAAATAATAATTTTGTCCGGGAGTGCAGAGTCGGACGACGCGGATGGCCGACAGAAAAGACCCCCATGCCGGGCTTCTGCGCTCAATATCGTGCAGGAGTTCGCAATCCGTGAGGAGGCCTTCGCGGATCTGCTATCTGATACTCCTAGGTACACTGCCACGAGCCCCCCCCCCCCCCCCCCCCCAAGCTTCCCCTTCCATTCCCAGCTCCGAGATTGACTGGAGCTGGTGACTTCTTGTTATTAACACCACTTTCTTTATTAACATGTGAATAAATCGGTTTTTAACATGTTAATAGCGCTTTATATACAATTGTTATTAATCTGTTATTAACTCATGTTAGAAATTCCCCGGAGAGGCAAATGTTATTAGCATTTGTTGACAACTGTCCGTGAATTACTCACGGAACCCTACCGCACACCACGCTCGATGTCGAAGGGAGATCGTGTACGCTGTTGTATTGGAGACACCGACTTGAGCGAGACCGCGAGTCGTCACCGATCCCCTCCGCGAACGCGTACATGAGCCTGACCACTTGAATCCCCCGTGCGTCCAGCAGACGAAGAGGAGCCAGACGTCGCGGCCCCAGCTGAGAGCCTGCGTGCGTCTTTTGCGCTGCTGCACACTCTCCCAGCGCTGCGCTCCCTCACGCTCGACTTCCTCGGCCGCAAGCTGACGCCGACATCCCTACACGGCTCCGCGGACTCGGTCCCTCTACAGTCGGCAATCCTCTCTGCGCTCCTAGACCAGCCGCGCTTGCCACCGTATCTGACGTCGCTCCACCTCCGCGGTCTCGCCGCGTGCAACAACCCGCTCTACGATCTGCCCTCCTTCCGGGCCCTCTTCGGCCCGCTGACCGCGCTCTCCATCGGGGCTTCTTCCCTGCAAGTCTGCCCGACCCACAGATTCAAGGACGGAGCTTTTGCGTTCTGGGAGCACACGATCCAGCGCCGGGCCTCCAGCACGCTCTCGCTCTCGCGCGCCCTCACGCGCCTCAGCCTCCACAGCGACCACGACGTCGGCGTTGTCCCCGCGCTCGACTTTGCCTCGCTGCACCTCCTTGCGCTCGCCCGCCTCTCGCTCTAGGGCATCCTCTTCGCCGAAGCCAGCCACCTTGGGGACTGGATCGCGCAGCATAGCGCCCCGCTCCGCGCGCTCCACCTCGACGAGTGCCGCATTGCGCTCGTAGAGCCGCCGTCACGGCCGCCGCGCCGCGTGTGGGCACAGGTCTGGGACCGCCTCTCGTAAGCCCTGCACGCCCTCACGGAGCTCACTGCGCAGAGCGAGTCCGGGCTCGCGCCCGCGCCGGGTCGCGCGGTCGGCTTGAACTACGTAACCCTGCGCGCGGAGGCGGGGTTCACGTACGAGCTCGTGCACGTTGAGGTCTGCGGTGCGGAGGGCGACGGGCCCGCGCTGGCAACGTTCTACGGCGTGATGAGCGTGAGGCGCCACGCGGTGAGGACGGGTGCGGAGCATCGTGGACTTGGCTGCTAGCTACTACTTAGTAACTCGTTTGCATCTATGTGCGTAGGTTTCGTTCCCAGCTGTAAGGATATGAGCGGCGATAATCGTGACCGGTCGAGGGATACATCTTACTATGCATGTCGCAGGTAGAGAATTTTGTTGTCGACTACCAGTAGGGCACACGTAATGCACACGAATGGCGACGTATTGGATTTGACTCTGAAAGGACAGGAGACCATGGGAGCCGGAGATCAACCCGGAATAGGTTGACCCTGACATGATCTGAAAGGAAGTAGGGAGGGTTAGATTGAAATTTTGCTGGTCAGATGGGCAGCGAGACAGCGCGCGCAGCAAACCCGTCTCGTCGAGATTGTTGATATTTTTGCATGTAAATACATGATGGACATCCAACGCACTTCTGACATTGTAAATCAAGCATGTATGCTTATGACTGTGATGAAACCTGCGGTTTGATCACCAACCAGCGTCATGTCATATGAAGAAGCATTCAGATGATGAAAGACAGACCTTGTTCAACCATTCCGGGATTGTGATTTGCATTTTCTCTCGCTGTGACACCCTTGCAAGTAGGCCCACCTGTTCCTCTTTACGCACTATAACGCAGTGCACCGGGTCGTAGAAACCGTCGTCGTCTTCGTCGTCACTAGCTTCATCGCCACTGCCGTGTTCTATATTTCCGGCTGGGTTGTCACTTATGGCCCCACCTACGCTATGCGAGCGTGATGCATCTTTCTCACTTACGTCCTCGTTTGTGCCATGCCCTCCATGTGAGTACACTTCGCCCTCCTTGCCATCTTCATCGTTCTCGTGGGTATCATTGCCGTCGTACTCCTCGTCACATCTGTTTGTCCTCTCCTGGGCTTCGTTCTCGCTGTTGATATTGTCGTCATGATCGTGCTGGTTACGACTGTCGCTCCCCGTGTCCCCTTCTCCAAGCTCTTGGCCTTCGCCATCGCTTTCGTCTGACTCATCTGTGTTTGATGTCTCGTGAGCGTAGGTATCTTGAAATAACTTGGTGATGGAAGTGGGCCACGAAACACTTTCCCACAGCGCAGACATCATGAATGCGTGCCTTTGAAGTGCCAGGAGTGCCAGTGCTACCCTAAAATTACTGATAATCGGGGATTCTCCGTTCGCAGCTGGTGAGGTAGGTCGAGCGGCACCAGTCATTGGTATGCGATCGATTATGCACGATAGGTATGCATATGGTGCAATCTGATCGTGCGCTATTGATGTAGACGAGGGAGCGGGGCGATATGGAATGTGAGCGACAATCACCAGACCATCCGCGTCGTATAAAACTCCAAATAGCATAAACCACGGTGGCAGACAGGAGGAAGAGACAAGCGGGAGAGAAAATTGAGCTTGAACATCCTGTTGGCAGCGCAGGCGCCAATTTAAAAGATGTGCAGCCAAATTTGGTTGCAAGATCTGCGTGAGGTCACGTATTTTCTGATCTAGAGACATCAACGTTGTCGAAGGCATTGTCCGTGAGGGCCAAGGCGAGGGGCCTTTCATTCCAACGAGAAGCGCAGGCTGGAGAAGATTTGCCTTCATTTCGTCAACATTGGGAAACGAGACGAAAGGCTTCATCAGAAGCCCGAATGCTTCGGGTAGGTGCGGTTCGGGTCCTTGGAGCGGCGGAGGGAAATCTGATTCAAGCTTACTATGGACAGTCAGTCAAACGGAGCTACGTCCCAAATTCAACAACGCACGAGACCAGGTTGCAGCCTGGAGTAATCAGGAAGATGCCTGGGATCGCAAGGGCAGCGTTGCCTTCATCTCCTGGATATGTAAGTACTTCCATGAAGAATGGCAAGGTGTAAAACGGATTAAGCGATAAGGGCGAATCATTTTCAGATCGTAGGATGGCACAACGAGGTGAGCGGAGGAGGAAATCGGGAGCGAACGATGAGAGATTATTATGCCTAGATTCTACTTCACTTGGTACGAGCCAGGCTCGATAATCCTTGACGTCGCGTAGCCAAGTCATCAAGGCGGCCGACTGCATCCATTCTTGAAGATTCCACTCCGTTGGTCCTTTTGCTGGCTATTGACATGAGGTCATCATTTCCTATCGCTTTCTCCATGGACCACAACGTTGCCACTCACTTGCCACTCCTGCGGTATGCCCAGCGAATGAGGCTCAGTAGAGGCCCAATGAGCTCTGAATTCTTGAATGAATTTGAGTTGTGTGGAGCAAGCCGCCTTGATCTCAAAATCCAATCTATCAACGTCTTCGATGTAGTGCCAATTCCTGTCAGACAATATAAGATCATGTCCGTCTCAACGAAGGGAAATCACACGAGTACGGTTGGCTGGCCTCGACCCCGCTGTCAATGCACAACTCTGTCAAGCTGGGCTGATATTGCATGCCGTTCTTTTTAGGGATGGACTCCATGACAGATAGATATCTCCTAGAAAGAGAAAGGAAAAACTGGCCATGGACCTCCCACTGCCAATTTTACCTCCGAACGCAGTCATGTGATGAGAATATATTAAGGAATATCGGGTTCGAACCGGAAGGCTGGAAATGAATGAGGTTAAGACCACCCCTTGAGCTTGGGCTTGAGAGCTTGAGCAGCTAGGCCCTTCTCCTTGGAGAGGGAAATCATCATGCCTGTTCTAATCACCTCGAATACCCTGCAACGCACCATCTCTCGCACCATCAATGAATGGACGGACACTTATGGAATGAGTCCAATTCAGCCGAGCAGCATTCGTTTCTATGATCAGACACCACCGTCGCTGAAGTACATGCCAATCATCGAGACATTTACAAGACTCGCCTGACAAATGAATTATTGTGATCGACGTAGGCCTCTCGCAGATGGCCCACATCGCTGGTTGTTTGAGGCAAAACAATCTGTCGGCTATGACGGACGTGCGGGCTTGAATATCAGAAGCATCGTCAAGTTGCTACAATCACACAGGGCATACAATAGACAACCACTTCTGATTCCAGAGGATTGGAAGGTGTGTATGTACTATGTGCACCTTCCGTCGCTGCGCAGAAATGCCAGAAAGATAATCTGACGTTCAACTGCTCAGAACGCCGACTCCAACACCGACGTTGACTCTGTTATCACCATCTTGCAGAATTCGGTGTGCCACTACATCGACCATTTGCACACCATATGGCCCAGCACAGCTCCTGTAGAATTCTACAAGCCAAGGTCATACTTCTCGACCGTACCCTATCCATTCCCAAACGTCACTTTGCATGAATTGCGAGACCCACAGGACGTTCAATACAGCGTCGAGTGGACGATCCTCAAAATTTTGTCGAAAGCGCATATGGGAGTGGTACAATACAGCACCCTTGGTGTAACAACCTTCTATGACGCGCTTCTTCCCGCCATCTGCTATCAAATTCGAGGATGTGAAGTCCTCAGGTCGGCCATCTATATATGTTGTGGCCAGAATGAAATTTGACTGAATCATCGTCAAGGTCGACTCCCATTACATTTCCGCCATACTCTGCCGAATATGGATCTTCGACGTGCTTGGATTTTGTATGTCGACCGTCCAGCGACAATCTCCCGAATGGTTTGCCTAGTGGATTTATACCGGTTCTATTTGCCGCCCATCATCTAGACGCTCTACATACCTTCACAGAAGACGAATTGTCATGGAGTAGACCAGGGCCACCAGAGAAGATGCCGGACCGATCGCAAGAGCTCGTGAAGCTTGCCCAAGTCTTTCAGCCTTCGTTGCAGCTTCTTGTCATGTACTTGACGAAGAAATATCGTGTTGGCGACCAACAGTGGAAGCCGGAGTGGAATGTAATCAGTAATTTCATTTGCTGCAAAAGTTGTTGTTTCTTACACACCATCTTTGCAGCCGATCATTGCTCAAGAAGAATGTTTTTATCTCAGGCCGCAAATACCAGAGAATTTTTTCTTCTACGGAATGAATTATTCCCAAGTCGAATGCATCATCTACGCGTTCTTCCCGCGCTATGAGGTGACGTCTTCCGGGCGTGTTGAATGGGGATTCTGCTGTTACGAAGCATACACCCCTTGGCCCACTGGTGGCGGTAACTTGACGCATCGCATCCATTTCATTAACACAATTCTTAGGATTCAACGCCACACTGCCGAGCTTGCTGAGCTCTTTAGAGAGATTTCTTTGTCTTTGGGCACTAATGATATATGTAGAAGTTGATACCAAGACTGTCGTTGATCCAAGGCTTTGTATGAGCAGATCGACTTCATTGGCACATCAGTAATTTGGCATACTCCCTGAAGTACCTGAAGTCTGTGCCACTGGCATTTTTAACTTAACGACGCTACCTCTGAGACTGAGCGACGAGTCTGTTCGAGCGCGAAGTTCAGTTAACATACAGTCTTTGTCCACACATTAATCATATAACTGGGCCCACGACGCAGTCTCCGAAGCCGAGAAGAAATGTCATCTTTACCCGCCCAGCTGCCTTCCGCCCGCGCGCCACTACGCTCAGACCTCGTCGTAGCCGCCCAAGCGCCCCGCGTGGCCACGCACCCTTCCCACCGCGCCCCAAGCCGACTTGTCCACGCCCGCCGCCGCCGCCCGCCTCTCCTCTAGCAGCGCGTTCAGCGCCGCAAGCGCGCGGGTGTCGGGCTCGTCGCGCACCGGGTCTTCCTGGAACGAGAGGTACGCGCAGCCCTCGACCAGCGCGACGTACCAGGACGTGTGGCCCCACCGGTCCGCGTGCACGACGACGAGCGTCGTGAGCACGCGCATCTCCGCCGCGAGGCGGCCCCAGACCTGCGCCCAGACGTGTGCGGGGCCCGCGCGCCGATCGTGCACGACGCTGCGGCACTTGCGGAGCTCGAGCGCGGCGAGCGTGCGTGCGTGCATGCCGGGCGACGAAATCTTCGGCGCTGCGGGTGTCCTCGTCAAAGACGATCTTCATGAGCGTGAGGCGCGCGAGGCGCGGGAAGGCGAGGTGGGACCAGTCGAGAGCGGGGACGACGCCGACGGCCTGGTCGCTGTGGAGCGTGAGCGCAGTGAGGGACTGCGTGAGGGCGGGGCGGGGCTCGAGGATGCGCTGCTGGACGGTGGTTTCCCAGAACTCGACGAGGTGGTCGAGCGCGTACCCGCCGCGGTATGTCCAGTCGGAGACGACGGCGACGCGCAGGTATGTGAGGCCCTCGAAGAGCGCGCGGAAGCCGCGCGTGTCGAAGATGGGGTTGTGGTACGCGATGAAGCCGGTGATGGTCAGGGACGTGGGCGAGAGGAGCGGGAAGTACGTGAGCGCGTCGAGGACGGCGAGCTGGAAGCGGAAGGCGGCGGAGGGCTGGTCGTCCTCCTCGTAGAGCTCTTCCCCGAAGTACGGGAGGAAGAAGAGGGACAAAGTCTTGAGCGCCGGGAGCGTGTGGAGAAGCGAGAAGCAGAAGAAGAGCGACAGGCGGATCTCCCGGTCGTAGCAGACAGTCTCCATCTCGACGCTCGGCCAGTCTACGCGGCGGATAGGATTATTGAACAGTCAGACCTTAGCCTCTTGAAACAAGACACGCAACCCTGCATTGTGTTGCCGTCTGCATCTGAAAAGATGTCGCGGAAGACGATTTCCTGGATATGGGGGATCACGGCCGAGCCGAGCAGGATGTTTTCGAACGCCTGCGTGCGCGCGAGGGTATTTGAGACTTGGAACGTTTGGAAGACGCGAGGGGTCGCGAGCGCGCAGAAGGTGCTGTTCAAGGCCTGGACGGTCCCCAGATCTGCGCCCACGGGCACCTCGTCCACGATCAACTTGAGCAGCTCGTTGGGCAGGCCGTCCATCGCGCTCGCCGCTCGTTATCCACGGGAGTTCTTGCTCCAAATTTTATCGCCGGCGGATATGTGTGATCCCCAGAGATGCTAAGACCACAACAAACGATCGGTTCTGAGATCATTCCATACCGCCCTACCTCGGCATCATTTCAAGTCTACCATTTGGTTTGAAGCTGAGATGGCCCATCTCAGCATCACGCCAACTAATCGCAGTAGATAGCTCCCAACTGGGCCTTATCATTTCCCTATCAGACCGAAGAGCAAATCAATCATAATTTGTAAAGTACCCACTCTGCAGTCCTCCCAAGTGTCTTAAAGTAGTGGCTCGCGTCCGCTCGCATCTCCCTGTACGGCTTGTGCACCCCAGTATACAAGTTAGAAGCAAAGCCCGATTACATAGAACATTAAATACGCCATCCTGTGTAAAACATATAACTCATGATAATTCAGACTACCGCGCGGCGGGCGTCTTCGTCCATCCTCTCCAAGATCCCAGCGGTAGGAGTATCATGTCCACGCAGAGCCTCGTTCAGGACGCGCAACGGCCGCTTAGTAGGATTATGCGCCTGCCGCGCGTCCTTCGCGACCTCGATCAAGTCGAGCGCGTGCCGCAAGTTATCCAAGCACACCGCGCGGATGTTCCTCGCGACGTTCTCTTGCTCAGATACGATGGGGCGACTGGGAGAGAGAGAGTCCCGGCGCCGATTGCGGCGGTGCCGCGCGCGGGAAGGAGAGGCTACGCCGGAGTCGTCCAAGGCGCAGAAGTGGAGGAGGACCGAGAGGTCGAGGATGTGCGGGTCTTCGAGCGCTGGATGGAGCCCGGGGCGGTCGCTCTTGGCCCCTAGGATGCAGTCGAGCGACTGCGCGAGGTTCTGGTGGTGGCGCACGTTGAAGCGCTCCAATCCGTTCTTGTACGCGCGCGTGAAGGCCCGGCGGAGGTCAGAGAGGCTGGCGGTCCCGTCGCGCGCGCCCTTCAGGGGCGACTGCGCGTCGAGCAGAGCGTGGTGCAGTTGGTTGATGGACGCGTGGGTGGACAGAGCGAGCACGTCCTTCAGGTGGGAGCGCTTCAGGTGAGCATACACGTGCTCGATCGCGTACTTTGCAAACCGGATGCTGTGGAAATCCGCCGCCGCCGAGGCGGGACGTTCGGTGCTCTGCGCGAGCTGGATCGAGCGAAAGCAATGGCGCCCGAGTTCCCAGTGCATCCTCTGCGCCGAGATATGATACGCCGGAAACGAGCGCGTGAACGTCGCCGCGTCCGCGAGCAGAAAATCCTGCACCGACGCGTGCACGAGCTGCACGACGGGGCGCGCGCCGCCGGACGCGCGCGCGAGCGTGCACAGGTTCGCGCAGTCGTCGACCAGCGTCCTCGGCTCTGTCGCGACGACCGACGCGTCCCAGAACCCGTGGACCATGTCCGCGACCGCGACGGCCTCGGCGAGCTCGTCGAGCGCGAGCGGGCGCATCGCGCCGACGAGCCACCACAGCGTCAGCCGCACGCGCCGCGACTGGCGCGGGCCGAGCTTGTCGATGGCGTCGAGCGCGCGGACGTACGTCTCGTCGAGGTTCTTCGGGAGGTCGAGAAGGGCCGCGCGGATGTCGCTGTCTGTTCTTTCGCGGCAGATCGCCTTCATCTGCAGCGCGACCCACAGGAACCTGCGGCCGTGTCGGTCAGGGCTTTTATCGAGCGCGAGGGGTGAATGGGGTAGCGGGGACTCACATTCCGTCCGCCTTGGAGCACAGCGTTTCGCTGATCTCGGAGATCAGGGCGGGGTCTCGGACGACCAGCCGTTTCGAGGTTTGGTAGTCCTCGAGCGTCTGCCTGACGAACTTCTGTATTTCTTTGTCGATGACGGCGGGGAGCAACGGGATGGCGTGCATGAATCTCTGCGCAAGCTCGTGGTTCTCTCGACTGAGCACTAGGAGCTTGAGCGTGCCGCCGAGGCTCGCCAACGTCGACGTCAGCTTGCCGAACGATTGGCACTCGTCCAGAGCATCGATGACCAGGAAGGTGTGCCGAAAGTGCTTCGAGGCGGCCTCGATGATCTGAGCATAGTTCAACCTGGGCACACGTTCGCCGTATTCTCTTGCGAGCGACAAAAGGTGGTCTTTGCTGTGCCTTGGCAATTGGCTCAGCATCTGGTGGAGGATCGTGCGCAGGGCCGCCGTCGGCTGGCTCCGTTCTGGGATGTCCGAGGCGAAGTAGAAGAACGGTGTGGCGATGTCCTGAGCATCGCCGTACCTCCGCCGGAGTTCGCTGATGATGATCGACCTGAAAATTTCATCAGTCAATGTCCAGAACTCGTATGCAATCTTTTACTGACGCCAGCACGGTCTTTCCAGCGCCGGCTGTTCGAGTTCAGAGGTCAATGGATCGACGCGACGGCTTTCGGGACTCACGTTTACCGTGGCACCATAAAATTCCGCTCGACTCGCCATCTACAGAAACCCATCTAACGAACCTGTCATCGTGCAGGAGCCAATCGCCCGATCCAGGTAGAGCCACTTTTTCCAACTGCTCGTGAGTGTATGCGACATCGGAGGGCTTGAGTCTCCGCAGGAATTCATCTTCATATGTGAAGAAACAAGATGGGGTTTCAGATACTCGATGATGAGACTGTGAAACGCGCATGGGCCCACCAATCATTCTCTGTTCTTTCTCCTCTTCGACGCGCTTCCTGCTCTCGTCCTGCTTCTGCCTCTCCACCTGCGCCGCCTCCCTCTCCGCCAACTGCGCCCTCCGCTCCTCCTCGTCGCGCTCCCGAGTCTCGCGCGCGCGCGCGCGCTCCGCCAGCGCCTCCTCCCGCTCTTTCTTCGCCTCCACGCGACCGACGTGTACGACCTCGCGTTCGATCTTGTCCCGGCAGACCCGAAAGTCTCTCGCGATGCGGTCCAACGGCCCGGCGCTGACCACCCCTTTTACAGCACTCAACACGATGCGCCATCTCTCTGCCCCGAGTCCCCGGTCACGGTTTGTGCGCCTGAGCAGGGACGGGAAGGCACTCACTGCGGTCCCTGCCCTCGCTGTCTTTGAAGATCCGGCGAACCGCGGTACAGAGCGCCAAGAGGTTCGTGTAGACCTCGACAAGAAGCTGGGAGACCGTCAGCGAGCGCTGGAACCCTCGATCACGACGAGACGCTGATGATGAAGGCGCACTGTCTGGACCTTGTCCCACTTGGCGTACAGCACGGTCGCGTAGTCCTTGTAAAAATGCAGGTCCTCGGCGACGGCGTCGATGGTGCCAGAGATCACCTCAAAATATACGAAGAATCTGCCGACGGACTAGAGGACGACATGTTGTCACCGCTACCGCGGCCGCCGTGCGAGAACGCGACGCACCTCGATGATGAAGCGCACACCCGCCCACGCACACGCCGCGACTTCAGGATGCGACGACACCACGGTATCGATAACAGAAAAGTACCCCCGCAGGCCATCGACCATACGCAGATAGCGCGTCCCGAACGCGCGAACGGAGCTCTTTTCCTGGTGTGAGCGATCGAAGCGCGTCGCTTCCGCGAGCACGTCTTCGGCGCTGTGGGCCGCTTGGAAGGGCGCGCGTTCGGTGTCGGGCAGGGAGGAGATGTAGGTCGTGAGAGCGGTCGAGAAGGCGAGGTTGGCCTCGGGGGCCGGGGATGGCTGGGTCGGTGGGTCCATACGCACCGCGAGGGGAGGTCGAGGGGACGACCAAGGCTAGGGTGAGCATAAATACAGGCGCTGAGGAGCGTTCGGCGTGCTGGCACACCGCCGGCACTGCCTGCTGCGGGCAGCCGCGAACAAGCGCCGACCGTTGCTGATTGGGGCGCTCTCTTCTCTTGCCTTCATGAGCCTTTGATGGATTTCTGTCCACCGGACCCCTGGCCTTGTGGTCTTCTCAAGGAGAGCGTAGGCAAGGTGTCCGATCGGGAGGACCCGCAGACCTTCGAGACAGAACGGACGTGCTGGATCGCTGCTCGCTGGCCTCCCGAGCCACGTCTATACGGTCCAAGAGCTCAGATGGGGCGTATATCGACGACCAAAGCACCGTTGGGGCGAGAGCACTAGTGGGCGGATCAAGACCGCGGGGCTGCGGTGTAGTCAGGCGCTTCGTCCTCCGAGAGTCCTGCGGCGGTGCGTGCAAGGGTGAGCGCGCGCGTGGTTGTCTCTGTCGACGCGACGCTCCATGACGGCGCTGAGCAACGTCGATCGGGTTTCGGGTTTGCTCGAGCTCAGTCGTCTGCATTGCATGTGCGGAAGTGGCGGTAGATGACAGAAAGTTCTGCACGATACATTTCGGTCTCGGAGTGGGCACTGTAAAGTACCGACATCAGAACTCCCGCAACACGACACGACTTGTGAGATGTGGGCGACGAGTCGGTTCGAGCGCGATGATCATTCGTCGTTCGCCGAGCGTGCAGTCGTCGTCCATCGCGAGCCGGACGCCTCGCTATCAGTCGGTGAAATTGTGTGCAGGAAAAGACCGTGAAAAGTGGAGCGACGCGTGTGTGGCGTCGGTCGCAGCGCCACCTTGTCTCGCCCTCGCCGCCCGACCCGCTCTCCACACAAACAACCACCGTTCGACGACGCACAACACAGCCATCACGAAAATATACGAACGACGCCGCCGCAGCCAGCCACGATGTCCGAAACGCTGTACACGCGCTGCGCCGAGGTGCTCGCCCACTGCCAGGCGCAGCTCAAGGACGACCTCCCCGCGCTCCTCGACCCCGCCTCGGGCTTTGCGCCCCAGCTCAGGCAGATATGCACCCAGTGGTCCGTCCCCGTCACCGTCCTCGTCCTCGTCGCTCGTGCGCCTTGCCACTCGCGCGCTGCTGACCCCGTCCCCGCGCACAGCGTCGCAGATCTAGAAGACAGCGGCGAGGCCACCCTCGACGAGCTCAACGCCCTCAAACTCGAAAGCAACACCTGGGGCCTCCTCCAAGCCCTAATCCCGTACGCCCCCCCTCTCCCCATCTCACCCACCCCACCCCTCACCCGTGCCCAGCCTCCGCAAAACCGACCCCCCCGCCCACCCCACCGCCCGCGCCCTCCTCGCCGAAAACCCATACACGCCCCCCGCCGCCCTCGCACACGCCACGATGGCCGCCTCCCGCGCCCTCGCAGAGCTCGTCGTCGTCCGCGAGTGGCTCCACGACACCGCGCCCCAGCCCCTCCGCCCCGACGTCCCCACCGGCTACTGGAAGTTCACGAAGCACCGCGCCACCCACGCCCTCCGCACCGCCGGCGCCGCGCACGCAACTGGCGCGCCGGGCATCGTCGTCAAGCTCGATCCCGACGCCGTTGTGAGAGAGGACGGCCGCGCGCTCGCGGCGGACGATGCGGTGAGTTTCTGCTCCTGTTGTATGCGCGCGCGCGCGTTGTTGACGACGGACGCGCAACGTGGCGCGTGATGTGGGATAGAACCACGAGAAAATGCTCGCGCAAGCGCTCTTCGCGTACGTGCGCGCGGGCAGGCTCGACGACGCCGTCGAGCTCTGCAGGAAGATGCACCAGCCGTGGCGCGCGGCGAGCCTCCGCGGCGCGCAGCTCTTCCAGTGGAAGGCCATCTGTGCGTCCCTCCCCCCCTCTCTCCCTTCCCCATCCCACTCCCACCCCCTCTCTGCTCCTTGTCCGGCTGACAGGCAGCACAGCGACAGAACCGCGCGACGACGACGACGGCGACGACGCGGACGATGCGGTGCAGGACGGAGAGCGGGAGGACGCCGCGTTCGACGCGTGGCACGGCAACAGGCGCCGCAGGCTGTGGAAGGCGGCCTGCACGCGCGCCGCGCTCGACGTACGTCCCTCCTCTCGCTCGCCACGACGAACGGGACGCTGATTGGCTGCTCGCGCTCTCCTCCTAACCGTCCCTTGCTCTCTCTCTCTCTCTCTACCTTGCTCTTTCTCCCCCTGCCCGGCCCACGCACCCGCTCTTACCCACTGGATATGACCCCTCCCTCCCCCTCCCCCTCCCTCCCCGACCCCAGCCCCGCCTCCCTGACACCGAGCGTGCGCTCTACGCCTCCCTCGCACCGTCCCCGCGCACCGCCACCATCTTACAGTCCGCGTGCCGCACATGGGAGGACACGCTGTGGGCGCGCATCGGGGTCCTGTGCGAGGAGCGCGCGAGCGCGGCGATGGAGCGCCTTAGGGGCGCGTTTTGGGAGGGCGGGGCGGCGGCGGTGGGGCGTGCAGTGCGAGGGCGGCGGCGGCGGCGGGTAAGTGGGGAGGCGATGAGTGAGGATGGGGAGGAGAGTGGTGAGGATGGGGAGGATGGGGAGGATGGGGAGGAGGAAGAGGAGGAAGAGGAGGAAGAGGAGGAGGAGTGGAGGGAGGAGGTGAAGAGGACGCTGCAGGCGCTCGCGAGCGTCCAGGTCGAAGACGGGTGAGCCTCGCCGCTGTCCATCGCGCCGCATCGCCATCTGACTCTTTCCGCGTGTATGTGTGCGCGCGCAGGCTCCCTGCGGACAACGCGTTCCACATGTCGCAGCTGCACATCATCCTCGACAGCACGGAGCACCTCCTCGACGACTTTGCGAGCCGCCTCCAGAACGGGCTCTACGACCGCTCCGCGTCCGAGTAAGCACGCCCGCCTGTCTCCCCTTCGCTTCTCCGCGTTACGCTCCACGTCTCCCCTCTCCTCCGTGCACCGCGCCTGACCGCGCGCGCGACCCCGCAGGTACCCGACCATGACGCGCTTCTTCGCGCACCTGTGTCTCTTCCTGCAGATGATCGATCTCCCCGCGTCCCCGCTTGCGACGCAGGTCATCCTCGAAGCCTATCTGCGCGTGCTCGAGGTACGCCCTCCGCCGCCCTTCCCTCCCTCTACCCCGCTCACCCCTCTGACCCGCCCGCAAACGCACGCACGCACGCAGGACGCCGGCCAGCGGCACCTCATCGCAATGTACGCCGGCGCGCTGGGCGACAACGCCGTCGAGCGCTACGCGCTCTTCCTCACCTCCCTCGGGCTGAGCGCCGCGCCCGCCGAGCGGCGCCTCGCACTAACGCGCGCACGCGCACACGGGCTCGACCCCGCGCGTGTCGCGATCGCCACCGCGGAGCGCACGATCGAGCGCGCGTTCGACGTGCTCCCGAACGTGCTCCGCGGCCCGCTGCCCGCGCTCGCGGGCGGCGGGCTGCGGCCGGAGAAGGGCGCGGAGGGCGGGGAGGACGCGGAGGCGCTGTTGGTGCGGTCGATCGAGTGGACGGTGTTGATGGAGGCGACGTATGACACGGCGCTGGAGCAGGCGAACGTGATCCTGCGCTATCTCCTCGGTGCGTCGCTCGCTCCCCTCCCTCCTTCTTTTTACTCGGCGCGGTGCTCACGCGTGCTGCGTTGCGTGTGGTTGGTCGGTCGCGAGCAGCGGCGGGGCGCGTGCAGGTCGCGGCGGAGCTGCTGGAGGTGTTGCCCCCGGAGCTCGCGTCGCTTGGCGCGCCCGAGGAGCGCGCGACGGAGTACGCGCACTATAGGCAGTTCTTCGCCATCTGGGCCGCGTTCGAGCGCGTGCTCGCGTGCCAGGCGCGCGAGGGCGCGCAGGCGACGCGCGACGCGCGCGCGGAGTGGCTCTCGGAGTACGCGGTGAGTACCCCGCCCCGCGTAAACGCCGGTTGATCGCAGATTTGCTGATTGCGTTGCGGGGTGACGATTGTGGTTCGTGGTTCGCGCGCGCAGGGCCTGGTCGACGAGACGCGGGAGCGCGTCGTGAAGCTGCTCACGACGGACTGGCTGGTCCCCGAGCCGGACGCGGGCGGTGCGACAGGCGACCGCCGCCTGCGCGAGCTCACGCGCATCCGGCAGATCTACGTCCCGGAGCTCGTCCTCCGGCTGCACGTCCTCCTCCTCGAGTCGCGCGCCCAGATCCCGCAGTGCGTCGCGCCCCCCTCTCCTCTTTTCTCTCCACGGCTGACGCGCTGCCCCCCTCGCGTCGCGGCGTGCAGGAATGTCACGCGCGCGCTCGCGCTCGCGACCCTCGTCGCGGACTCGCGATACAGGCTCTACGAGGACTTTGCGCTCAACGGGCACAGTTTGGCGGTGTACCTCGGCGCGGTGCGCACCGCGGTGCTCGCGGCGCTCGAGCACGGCGGATCGGACCCGTTCATGGCGGTCGCCGCGTGAACCCGCGCGCGTCCGTGTGGTGGAGGGTTCGTGAACGCGCCAGTGGGCGACGCGCTGTCGTGTATCTTATCTTACTTGTTGCTCGTGGGCGTGCGCCGTTTGCTGCTGTACGTGAAAATTGCGGGCCACCGTACGTGCGGCCGTTATATATTGTGTTGTTCGACGCTCGATGGCAGATACATGGGCTTCAGATACTCGTACACTCGCCGGTCTGTATTCCCCACGCCTCACACCTCACCCAGACGCAGGCTGCTGCTGCTTCCCCTCCCCCTCCGTCGGCTCGCCAAACAGCTCGAGCAGCTCCGCCCTGCCAAAGATGCGCGCGCTGTCGACCGCGCTGGGCGTCCCGCGGCGCGGGTCGGCGCCGGCGGCGAGCAGCGCGCGCACGACGGCGTCCTCGCCCTTGAAGACGGCGCCTGCGAGCGGGGACTGCGCGCGGTCGTTTAGGCGGTCGGGGTCGGCGCCGCGCGCGAGGAGGCCGGCGACGAGCGGGGCGTGGCCGGAGTAGGCGGCGAGCATGAGGAGCGTGTTGCCTGTGGGGAGGGTGGGGCGATCGGGCGGCGATCGCGTGGAGGATGGGGAGGGGGTCAGGGACGGTGTGGTGTAGGGAGACGCTCGGACGGTGGGCGCGCACCCTTTTCGTTAGTGAGGTTCGGCGGGAGCCCGGCGTCGACGGCTTGCAGCAGGAGGTCTGCGTCGCCGTTGCGCGCAGCGTCGAACATCCTGTGCGCAAACTCGAGCGTCGCGGACGGCAGCGTCGCGGGTGCTGGATCTGGCGGTGCGGCGTCGGGCGTGATCTTGCCGCGCCCCAGATACCCGTCAGCGCGTGCGTCGGCTGCGCCGTGCATGCGTGCGGCGGGCACTTACTGTCGTCATGGTGGTTGGGGGAGAGGGTGTTGAGGGCTTGGGTTGCGTGGGGATGGAGTTTGGAGTGGGGCGGAGGAGGAAGAGGCTGAGAGCGAGGATGGCGAGGGCCGCGAGGGTTCGTAAAGACGACGACGGCATGCTCATTAGAAAGAAACAGTCTGCCGGCATCGTATTGCAGTGTTATATAGTACAGTCAGACCGACACCGCCTCCCGACCGGCGCTCGCGACGCAAGTTGTGCAGTATGTAGACGAACATGAATCCGGCGCTCTCGTTCCAATGCACTGTGCTTTCCCTACAGCAGTCGATCGACCAAGGACGGGGCTGCGGTTGTGCGACGGTTGAGACGACATCGTGGGCGTGTGATCTTAGCCGACGAAACCCTCAAGAGACGACGGATATGCAGCTGCGACGACGACGCTGAGATCTGCCAGTGGGTCGCGCCCAAGCTACGCCTTGCACGCAAACGCCCCCACCGGCGACCCATCACACTCCGCAATCTTCAGCAGCACGAGGCTCACCATCAGCCGCTTCCCCTCCTCCAGACCCTCCTGCACCTCCATCAGCGCCTCCAGATTCGCCAGGCTCTCCGCGATGACGAGAAAGGTGGAGAGGGAGAGGGCGGAGATGGTGGGCGCGGCGGGGAAGAGGTGGGAGGGCGCGTCGACGTGCGCGCCGGCGTGGGAGGAGAGGGAGAGCGCGTGGATGGAGAGGCCGGTGGTGGGGTCGCGATGGGGGTGTGCGTGGAAGGGGGGGTTGCCTGGGTAGACGGGCGTCGTGGCGTCGAGCGTGTGCGAGAGGTCGATGAAGGTTGGGTCGGCGGCGGGGCTCATCGCGCGCGGGGGAGGAAGCTGGGAGACGCGGGTCGGGCGACGAGTGGGTTGGATCTGACCGTTCCTTCCCACCACCACCACCACCACCACCACCGCCGCCGCCGCCGCCGCCGTGCGCCAAATGCCAATCCATATTACCGACTTTCTCAACTCGAGAACCTCTTCAACGAAGCCTAGTCATCTGGCTATGCGAGCAACGTGCTCTGCCCCGCGTCTGTGGGAAAGTAGGGGCTATGATCTCCCCAGACGGCACGACTCTGAGGACGACTCTGCAATGCAATGTTGGCACGTCGCGTTTGAGGAACGTCTCGATATCATCGCGCTCCTGAGTGACTTGGACTGGCCGGCTCTACGCTCGCGCGTAGCACACCTGCGATCGCCGATTCTAGGTCAACCGTCTTGATTTTCTACACGTCTCATGGCGCACTGCAACTCGATATGCGCTCCCCTCGTGCATCGCATGCGGCATCCCCGTGCTGGCCACGGTTCAATTACCTCGTGCAACGTCAGCGTACTAGGTCCCCTCGATATTATAGCATCTATCTCCAGAGTCGACCATCGAACTCGCATTCGTTATTGCCGGTGGTAGTTGTTGTCTGCCCTCGAGCCAGACTCTCTTACGATCGATAGCGCAACAGGATCATTCAACCCCGGACCAACGTATGTCGTTCATCCTCGACCTCCGCAGATTATGAGATGCCTCAGACCCTTGATCATCCACGGCCCGGGTGGGTCCCAGCCCACGAGTACCGTTTGTGCAGAGCACGACGTCTCGCACATGGGCCGATATTGATATCTGCAGAAGCATCGAAAGATCACCGCGATCGGTCGTTCTTCCTGCGATTCGCCGATAGTCTGTGGGTCCACGCTTCTGCGGGCCACAGAATCCGAGACTGCATGTGCGGGAGCGACAGCAATGGCGGTCATAGGGTCGCGCACCACGCCGTCCTTATCGCGTGTCCGCTGTCGCAAGAGCCTCTCTCGCATACCAGTCAATCGTGCCATAAAGCTGCGGCTACCTACCGCCAGCCTCCCTCACCACCGCCTCCCTTCCACCCGATGCGCCTCACCCCAGTCCTGCGCTCCCTCGCCCTTGCCCCCGCCCTCCTCGCCTCGCCGCTCTTCCTCCTCGCAGCGCGCGCACAGAACTGGCACACCGTCGAGTGGGACGCAACGGAGTTCACCGCCCTATCGGGGGACATGCTGGTCCCGAGCCTCCCTCCTCCCGGCGGCACACCCTACGTGTGGCCCGGCCTCCAGCCCGGCACCGCGGGCGTCCTCCAGGCCGTGCTCGACGGCCGCTCCGGGTCCTGGTGGATCGGCGACGGGTGAGACGTCCGCGCGCGGGGCGATCGATCGGCCGTCGTGCACAGAGCTCACGCGGCCGCCCCCTCTCTCCGTTCGGCAGGTACTACGGCACGCCGAGCCTCCCGTGGGGTGCCGGGTTCAACGCCGCGCCCGGGGAGACTGTCCACTTCACGTTCGCACTGGTATGGCGTGGTACCCCCGCGCGAACGCCGCTCACGGCGCACGCAGGGATCTAACGATACCTGGACCTGCACTCTCTCCAGCTCGAGCGGCGCCTCGGCGTCGACGACGCTCGCGATCGCGGGGCAGACGATGAACAGGCGAGTCCCGCACACCGCGTGCATACCTCGCATCCCACGCGCAGGCTTACCCCCTCGCCGCTGACGCGGCGCATCGCGCCCGCCCAGAGCCATCCTCGCCGTCGAGCTGTACGACATCGCGTACACGTTCGGCCCCACCATCGTCAGCGCCCCTCTCCCCCCCCCTCCGCGCTCCCGCACTGACCCCTTACCCGGACGCCTGACATGCTGCGACGCGACGCGACGTGCCGTCGGCCGCTCGACGATCTGTGTCTAGTACCGCAACCTCGTGCTGACGGCCACCACCGCTGCGAGCGGCTGGTGCGGCAAGACCGTTTCCTCGGGCTACACCTCGGGGGTGAGCTGCTCGTGCTGGTCACAGTCGTGGCCCTAGATCCGTCGCTGACGCGGAGTTCCTTCACGTCGCTTCGTAGCAATACACTGTCACCGGTGCCACCGCGAGTGGCAACACGTGTCGGGTCGCCGAGGTCATAATGCCAAGCGCTTCTTGAGCTTGAGGACCTGGGCGAGGGAGTATAGGAACCATACCCCGTGTCTCTCGATCACAACAATGTACAGTGTACGGTGCACCGGAAAGCGGCGATTGAGATGAAGCAGTTCCATTATACAACTAGACAAAAAATAAGCACAGCAAAGCAAAGCAAAGCAAAAAAAAAAAAACTAAGCAAGAACAGAACAGAACAGAACGCAAGACGCCGCCACGCCCCCTATATCCGAGGTCTATACACCGCCCAATCCGTCTTGCGCGCCGCGTCCCACCGCCCGAAAGCCATGAGATCCGACAAGTGCCGCATAGTCGGCCGCCCGTGCGGGCAGTTCCACGGCTGCTCCATGGTGCCCATGTGCCGCACGACCTGCCATTCGACCCGCAGAGCCGAAGCGATCAGCGAACAGTTCGTCGTCAATTGAGTATTTGGGACGCACCGCGGTCATCTGCTTCGCGTCCAGGGCCTTGCCGACCATGATGCTCTTCCTGCACGCGCGCATCGCGAACATCGCGCGGGCCTTCGAGCAGCGCACCATCGTCCCCGGGGGCAGATCCCGCATCAGATGCAGCAACTCCTCCAGATCTGTACGTTCAAAGTTCAGAGGTCAAAGGTCAACGAGGCCCGCTCGACGAACGCCAGTAAACAAAACCCGAACCCTTCATGTCAAAGACCGTGCTCTTGCTGAAAGGCTGTGCGACCAACTTGACTTCCCTCTTCTCTCCCGAGTCGTTCTCCTCGCCCGGGTCGAGCTCGAACCCGTTCTGCTTCAGCACGTCCAGGTTCTCCGTCGCCACGAGCTTGTCGGCCGCGGTGATCTCGAGCTGTCGCGGCCTGCACGAGACACGTTCAGCAAACCGCACACGATCTCCTCGACCAATAACAGAAAACGCACTTGAACAACCTCTGCGACTCGATCCTAGTCGTCTGCTGCAGCGTCTCAAAATTATACTTCTCGTCCGCGGCGTGCTGGTCCACGATGAACAGATCGTCCATCGCGCCCCCCGCCTCGCCCCCCGCGGCCCCCTGCCGCCGGCGCGCGACGATGAAGCCCAAATTAAACTGCCCCACGACGCTCATCGTGCGGAAGTCCTCCTTCCGCAGAACCCGCGCCAGCGCCTCGCCCGCACCCGCGTCGTCCGTGCTCTGCAGGCCCGCCTTGCTCTGCAGCACCCGCTCTTCGGTCGGCGGCGACGCAGACGCGCTGTCGGCGTGCGGCGCGCGGGCCCTCTCCTGGGAAAGTCTCTCGTGCAGACCGTGCCACGCGCCCGACACATGGGCAAGATCGAACGCGAGCGACACGTCGTCCTGTGCGGGCGACCGTACGCGCTCCACCTCCGTTCTGAGCGCTGCATTGGCCTGCGCGGAGGACGCTTCGGTGGACGTTTCTGAAACGAGGCTGGAGGATTTGTCCGTGGGCTCTTTAGGATCTGCAGAAGGCTCGTGTGAGAGGTCGATGACCGGGCGCCTCGCGAGGTCGTCGCCAGAGGCCCCATCACGAGGAGACTCCTGCCGCTCGTCCACGTCCATGGCCGCGTCAGCATCAGGCGCGGCGCCCGTCTCGGGGGTATCGACGTCCATACTCGCTTCGTTCCTGCCCTCCGAATGAGGGCTCGCACCCGCATTGGAACCTCCGACCTCGCCTTCGCCCTCGTCCTCGAGATCTTCAAAGACAACCTGCGACCCCGTCCTCGCAAAGCCCCTCAACCGCGCCCTCAAACTGCCCCTCGCGCTCAGCCCCTTTTCAGCCGTCACGCCCTCACCCCCGGCGCCGCCCCCCGCGCCGTCCCCTCTCCGTCTCTTCGCCGGCGGCGCGCCGCCCACCCGCGCGCCCGGCTTCAAATTCCACGACGCGCCGCTCGTGTCCAGCACCATCTGCACCTCCCGCGCCCTGCGCCGATCCCGTCTCGATTCCGCGACGTCCGCTCCGCCGCCCGTCTTGCCCTCGTTCATGATACGTTCCACGCACGCGGCGCCACGCTCCCTGTGCGCGGCGGCGCTAGAACCCTCCGCATCGGCATCGGCATCGGCATCGGCATCAACATCAACATCGACATCGACATCGACATCGACATCGACATCGACATCAGCATCAAGGTCGGCATCAGCGTTGGCATCGGCGGTTGGGGAGGCCCGTTTCTCAGGGATGGCAGGCACCGCGCGCGTCACATCGTCGCATGTCACCGCCCGCACACTGCCAGGGTCGCGCTCGTCGCCAGACCCGGCTCCATCGCGAGCCGGGAAAGAATTACGGGCCGCGTCCTCCGCCTCGTTGTCGACGTCGCCGTCGTCGATGGACGACGCAGGTGGCTGCCGCTGTCCTCCAGACCCGCTCTCCGCGCCGTCCCGCATCCGCGCGTCCGCGCGCAGGTCTCCAGCAGGGACGGCAGGGACGGGAGACTCGGGCGGCGACGCCTCGGCCCCACCGGCCTCTGCCTGCGCCTCCGTCTCCGTCTCAATTACCGTTCCCGTTCCCGTTTCCATTTCCACCGCGTCCCCGAACCCACCCGCGCGACGAGACGTCCTCCGCACAGGTGCGTGCACAGGCGCAGGCGCGGCATCCTTCTGCGTCTCCGCTGGCGCGCGGAGCGCGAACGTCGATCGGGACTCGGCGAACGCGTCGTTGAGCGCCGCCTGTGAACGGCGCCGCGCGTTCGTAAAACACCAATCAACACAAACAAACAAACGAACGAATGAATGGATGGATGGATGGGAGTGGGGAAGAGAGGGGAGGGAGGAAAGAGGAAGGAAAGAGGCGTACTTTGAGCGCCTCGATGAGGTTCGCCTCGCTGTGGAGCAGGATCGTGCGCTTATCGGGGCTGACGTTGACGTCGCACGAGTCTAGCCGTGCCGATCCGTGCGTGCGCGCGTGAGCGTGAGCAGCCTAGACAGAGACAGAGGCAGGGACAGGGACGGGGATGGGGACAGGACGGGACGGGACGGGGTCGGGGGAAACGAGTGCGGCGCGCATAATCTCACCTGTAGGCAAAATAAAATCCGCCACCACGAACGGCGCCTGTCCCGCGTTAAACCCCCTATACACCTCGTTGAACGCCCTCTGGACCTAGTCCCGGGAGTCCCGGAAGTACAGGGCACCGGCGCGGAGGGGCGGAGGGGCGGAGAGTCAAGTCAGCCGCGCGTTCCCCGAGCCCCAGATCGCGAAACGCTCTCGCCTTGGTCGGACTGCACGGCCGCCCGTTAATAAAGAAGAACTGGCGATCCGCGCCCGCTCTCCCGCATCCCGCAGAGAACCTAGACACGAGCCCGCGCACGCGCACCGCGTTGGACGACGCGCTGCGCCGAACCGCGTCAGCCGCCGCTCTCTCTCTCTCGAAAAAAAAAAGAAACCCAGACGCGAAGGTTGCTCACCCGCTCGCGTCGGCGCCCCGCCGGCGCAGCACCGCCTTCTCCGTCTCGACCTCAAACGCGATATCGAGCTCGACGACGCCCTCGAGCGCCTTGGGGCCCCACAGCGCGCACACGGCAGCCTTGAGCGACGGCGTCCCGTCCGTGCGCATCTGCACGGTCTTCCGCCTGCCAAAACCGACATTTACCCCCGCATCGCCGTGAGACGGACGGACGGACGGACGAAAGGGAGAGGAAGGGGGGGGGGGGGGGGGGGGGGGGGGGGGGAGACTCACCCGCCGTCAGGGTGGTTCGACACGCTCAGGCGCACGCCCCGGTCCGCGCGCGTGCACGGCACGAGCGCGTACGCGGTGAGCAGGTGCAGCGCCTTGCCGAACTCGCGCTTCGCGTTCCGCTCGAGCTCCCTGCGGCGCACGGGGAGCGGCGCGAAGAGCCCCGCCACGGCCACCGTCGTCCCGCGCTACGCGTCGTCGCGTCGTGAGCCCATGATGGACGCGAGGGGACCGGACCGGGACCGCACGTACCTGCCGCGCGGCCTTCCCGCTCTTGCTCGCGACGCGCCCGTGCGCGTCGATCTCGAGCACGGTGCCCATTGGCGCCTCGGCGGCCGTCGCGGTGGTGACGGCGACGTGCGCGCTGAGCCCGCAGAGCGAGGACAGCGCCTCGCCTCTGAACCCGAAGGAGCGCACGGTCGACAGGTCCGCGAACGCGGCGAGCTTTGAGGTGTGGTGCTTCAGCGCTGCGCGGGGCGACGATCGACACACGAACAAGAGGGCCTGCGGGGGTGGGAGAAAGGCGCACCGATGCTGTCGTAGTCGGCGGGCGCGATGCCGCAGCCGTTGTCGATGACCTCTATGGACTTGAGGCCGTAGTCCTTGAAGCGAACCTCTGCAACGGAACAACAACAACGTCTCGCAGTCAGCACGCGCGGGCATCGCCACGTCTTCGCAGGGCCCACGAGTCCCCCGAAGCGCGGGGACGCACCGATGCTCGAGGCGCCGGCGTCCAAGCTGTTCTCGACGAGCTCTTTGACGGCCGTCTGGAGGTCGACGACGACCTGGCCCGAGGTGAGGCGGTGGACGGAGGTGGGGTCTATGGGTTTGATGGCGTGCTCGGGGGCCTCTTGAGACATCATGATCTGATGGCAGGAAGTCGCGAAGTCGCGAGCGAGGCGCGGTCGGGGTCTTCACTATGACGGGAAGCCAAGTAGAGAGCCTCGCGTGGTTGGTTCGCTTGGCGAAACGGCCAGGGGGAGCCCTTCGATGGACGTGGGATTCCGTCGAGGACGTCGTTGCGAGCGGTGCCCACGACAGCTGGTGGACGGAGGGGAGAGAGGCTGGTCAGCGCACGGGCGAACGCCACTGTGGCGCGAACGTCCAGACTCCGATCGAATTGCGGCTGCGGCAGGGCGGCACAGGCCCGGAGTCCGAGCTGTGCGGCGAAATCGCATCCTCCCGACATTTGTCTGTTTGACGTCCGCCATCCATCCAGGACATCGTGTCGACCCCGCCCGTTCACACGTCGGCGCTCGCGGGCACGAGAGGCATCCGGTAAAGCGAACGGAACGCACTCCCAGCTGCTGACCGGTGTGTCGTGTCCAGCCAGCTCCACGGTTCATTGTTGACAAGTGCGGGGGGACGCTGGACACTGGCCGTCGACCGCAGTGCCCCCGCTGTGGTGGTGTTCCGTGTGCCGACGCACGCTGCAAACGCGTTCTTGGGCAGAAGTCACCCGCTTACGGGGAGTCGCCCAATCGGGGCAGGGACTGATCCCGGTTGTCATCCATGACACAACCAAGCACGCCCTTTATATACATCACTCCGCCCGTCCCACCCGTCCCACCCGCCATGGCCTCCCTCAGACCCCACAACGACGTCCTCATGCACAAGCCCGCCCTCCTCGCCATCCTCCACGACCTCTCCGCCCGCCTCTTCGCCGCCTTCGCCCACCAGGTCCGCCTCGTCGTCCACGGCGGCGCCGTCATGGTCCTCCACCCCTTCCTCCACAACCGCAGCGCAACCCGCGACGTCGACTACCTCCACCGCGCATTCCTCGCAGAGTACCAGCGCTACGGCGTCCGCGACGCAGAGGCCCGCCTCGCGTCCTGCATCGCCGCCACGGCCCGCGCCCACAACCTCGGCGCAGACTGGATGAACGCACACGCCGACGTCGCCCTCCCCATGGCCCGCGAGTGAGTCCCCGTCCATCCGCCCGCCCGCCTGCTTGCTATCTCACACACGCCTCCTCCCCGCGCCCAGCGGCCAAGGCCAGCCCTTCGACCCCATCTTCCACGCCGCCACCACCCCCACCAACATCTCCCACAACACCCTCTTCTCCGCCCCCGGCCTCCTCCTCCTCGCCGTCAGCTGGCCCTGGGCCATCGCCCTCAAATTCGTGCGCTACCAAAAACACGACCCCGCAGACATCGCCGCCATGCTCCGCCTCGGCCACAAGCAGGCCCGCGTCCGCTGGAGCCGCCAGGTCCTCGAGAGCTGGATCATGCAGTGGTGCTGGCCCATGGGATACTCGCAGTACCCCCCGCCCCACCTCGAGTCGCTCCGCGAACGCATGCGCCACGCGATTGACCTCGCGTACGGGCAGACTCGGCCGTGAGCCCGACGCCGTGTCCCCAACCTCCTCCATCCCCTCATTCCTCGCTTGTGCTGGTCACTTCTTCTTGCTGCTTCATCGTCGTGAGCTCGCTTCCTCACGCCACTATACCGCTTCACATAACCGGACTCGTTCCCGCGCTTACTGACGACAAAAAGGACCCTCCCTGCCGGTCCTCCACGATACGTACGCTATACGCACGCACGACAACCCACTGTATATCCACCTGTATTTCTTTTGCTCCCGTCACCACCATTAGACAGACGACCGGCTACGTACGACATCGCACCACGCTTATATTCAATATATACTCCTTTATTGCTCGCTCATTGCTCGCATCGCATCAACTCAGTACACTCGACACACTCAACACCCGCCAGTACCCGTCAGTACCCGATCGTGGGCACCACGCGCCGCAAGTGCGCAGGCACCAGCTCCGCCGGCATCCGCGCGATCTGGTCCAGCGGCGCCCGCTTCGCAAGCGCAAGCAGCACGAGCCGCAGCGCGTCCTCCTCCTGCGCGTCCCGCGCACCCCGCGCCCCGCGCGCCAGCGCCCCCTCTAGCATGTCGGCCGCCCGCCGCAGCGCGCGCTCCAGCACCACCGGGTCGTCGTCGTCCGCCGCCCCCGCCGCCCCCGCCGCCCCCGCCTCTGCCCCCGCCTCTGCCCCCGCCCCTGCCTCTGCCGCAGAGTCGCCGTCGCCGTCGCCGTCGCCGCGCACGACAGCCGCCAGCGCGCCCTCCGCCGCATAAAGCTCCTCCGGCGCACGTATCAACGTCGCGAGGTCAATCGGCTGCGCCCCGAGCTGCCGCAGCAGCGCGAGCGCGTGCGTCGCCGGCGGCCGCACGTGCAGCGCCGCGTGCAGCGCCCGCGCGAGCTCCGGCGGCGGCGGCGCCGCACCCGCGCGGGCGTGCGGGTGCGCGAGGTGCGCGGCGGCGGCGCGAAGGACGCGGTGGCGGCCGGCTGTGAGCGCGTCGATGAGCGTGCGCTCGACGTAGCGCGCTAGGGACGTGCCCAGCGGCGCACCCGCCCCGCGCGGCGGCGCCTGCGCGCGTCAGCCAAACAGACCACGATCAGTCAGTCGCGCTTCGGTGGGCAAGTGTCAGAGGCGCGCACCGTTCCGTTCGGGGGCGCGACGAACTCGGCGATGCTGCGCACGTACGCGAGGCCGTCCGCGCCGCCAAAGACCACCTCCCGCAGGTGCTCCTGCGCCTCGCCCGCGCGGCCCGCCGTCCAGTAATCCGCGCCGTTGAGCGCCAGCTGGTCCGCCGTGCTCGCCGGCGCGCGCCCCCCCGCCGTGCCGCTCGCGATGCTCGCGCGGAGCGCGTCGAACAGCTCCTGCTGCGAGCGGAGCGCCGCGCCCCCCGCGCCCGTCTCCCGCGCGAGGCGCCCCTCGAGCATCGCGAACGCGCCGTAGTCGGCCGCGTGCGCCTCGCGCGGGGCTGCGGGGGCGAGCGGCGCGGGTGGCTCCTCGTCCTCCTTTTCTTTTGGCTTGGCGCGCGCGGACGCGTTCCGGCTGACGGTCCAGTAGCGGTACTTGGGCGCGCCGGGTTTGGGGACTGGGACTGGGATATGTGGCTGGGCGGGCGGGCGCTCGTCGGGCACGAGGACGTGGATCGGGGCCGGGAGCGGTAGGTGGGACGGGTCCGGGGGAGCGGAGGGCGGGTAGAGAGGCGTTAATTGCGGCCGCGGGTCTGACTCGGACACGAGGACAGAGAGTATCGAGAATGGATCCTCCACTGTTTTGGGCGGATCAGTACTAATGACGTGACTTTAAAAAGCGATGCGATGTATCCTACTTTCGGCATAATCGATGCTCCCGTCGGCGGCCAGTGGCGGGCCTCCTTTCTCCATTCGCATCCTCTCTTTCTTTGTTCGATATCGCTTACCTGTGAACAAGATATGCTGGGTAAGCGAGGTGTTACATGTGGACGAAAGACAAAGGGCATCTGGTTTGGTGAAATTCTAGCGCAGATACTGTTGCGAGAGCAAGCGCGAATGACGGGGGGAGAAATCTCTTCAACGGTCTCCCAATTCGGTCGTAAACCATCGAACGTGGTATAAAGGAGCATTCTCCACGAGAGACCGTGTCAGTTCCTCACCTTTGAGCTTCAGAACGACCATGAGCTCGGCCCAGTCCGAGAGAGGAGGAAACGCAGCCAGGCCGTCCTTGAACCCAGGCAAATGTCCATCAGGCTCGAGGGTCTCCGACAGCATGCCCGGCCCCCCTTTCTTGGCCGCGCCTCGCGAGCGCTTCATGGGTGGCACAGCGGCGGAGCTGACAGACGGCGAGCGTCGCGCTGGTGTTCCCGACTCTATACTCCCCCCTGCGCCCGCGCCCGCGCCGTCACCGTCGTCTGCCTCCATATTGACCTCCTCGTCCCGCTCTATCTCTATGTTCCAGTCCGTCTCGTATTCGATGACGTGCGCGGCCGCCTTTGCGATGTGTTCTGCGCCGAACGCCTCTATGCGCTCCGCCTCCGCGTGGTAGATCGTGCCAGGCGGGTTGAAGCTTTTCGCGTTGGAAATGACGAGGTGAAAGTCCGCCTGTTGGAGATGTGAGGCGACTTCACGGAGAGGAAAGCGACGTGCGCACCGCGAATTCTTCGAGAGAACGGTACTTCCCCTTTGCCACTTTTGTCGTGATCGTACCGAAATCCATGGGTCGTTTGATAGCCTCCGCGTACCCTGCTACCTTTGAGGGGTCCACGGGCTCCAGAAAAAACCCATAGACGTCTTTCCTGCGCTTTGTTAGACTCTGAGGAAAGGTTTCGGAGCAAACAGACTCACTTTTTGACTTTGTTGATGAGCATCGACAAAACGTCCTTCAACGGCTTCAGCTTGATCGGACGCGGCGCTTTCTTGACACCCGCATCTTCGAGGGTCTTACCCTTCTTGCTCTTTAGCTGTTTGATCATCTTCAACGAGGGAAGGATGAGCGTTATCCCGGACGAGCTGGGCCCGGCATGGTTCTGGCCAGGCGAGTAGGGATGGGGAGACTTGTGCTCCATGGGCTCGGAACGTCTGTCTGCTGCATCGCGGACGCGTCTTGTTAGCTCTATCGTAGATGCTGAGGGACAGGAAAGAAGCTTGCCTTGCGGCCCAAGATTCAAGGTTGCTGAAGCTGGGAGGACAGTTCGGGAGTTCCCGGTGGCGGGGTAGGTCCACGTGTTTGTTTCAGTGAGTCGGTTTTCAAAGGCTTTCGCCACTTTCGAGCCCGTTATTTCTTTTGACTCGTTCACTCACGATGCAACGCCAGACGAATCGCTCATAAAGTGCGAGATACCGGCATGACCCAACCTTATTGACAGAGATCACTTGATCGTTGTTTACTCAGTCAGCTTGCTGGCGAGGCAGATGATGGCAGGTAGCCGCCCTCATAATCTGCAACGAATCCTTCACAGCCGAAGCAACCCTTGTTCCTGAATGGCGACGTTCGTCAATTCCTTCATTCCACAGGTATTTCATATTGTGCCCTCGCAGGCCGGTATATGTTGCAATTTTGGTCAAGTTCTTCGTGACACCTAACCCTAGCTTTCCTTCTGCAGAACTTGTTAATAACAGCATTCATCTTGAGTGAAAATAGCATTGGTATCTTACCGCACGGCAAGTCTTATCAAGGCCTGTAAGTGCATCTGACTCTTGGGAATTGTTTAGTGCGATTGCTGAGATTCTCATTATAGATCAACGCGTGGACGTTTTACTTCACGATGTATGAATCTTTCACTCAGCTCACAAATAAGTATCACACATTTTCAAAACACTATCGACGGCGAAAGTCATGAATGCTCAGACATGCGTTCTGATCTATGCGATAGGACACCACGAGAGCTGCTTCTGTTCCTGTGGATGCATCATGATTGCTCGTCATCGCCAATGTCTGCAACTCGCGTTCAACTTGATCCCCGACGCCTCGTGGTGGTCGCATATCCTAAGCTTTAGTGGACGCGTTTTTTGTACGGCTACTGGTCCAGGAACTCGCCGTGTCTTGTGAGAGCTGTCGCCGGCTCGTTTTGTATGGTATACTGCTTCTGATGGCAGCCGTTCTTACCGATAGTTTGCGCATAATAGATCCTGCCGTCTTCCATTTCCGCTGCGACGCTTCCTTCAGCGTTCGGTCGGGCTCCCTTGTTCCGTAACGCTGTGAGCGGTAAGCCCTGCATGATCACAGTTCTTCAATTTCTGATCACCACGAGCCCGAACCTTGCTCCTTTATGGAGGTCCGATTGCCTCTTGATCTTCTTTGGGGTCGCCCCTGGCTCTCAATTTCCCTCTCCGCTTACGATATGTCTATCCTTATTTACCAGGCGCACCCTTGAACTGATAGGAAACCATATCATGTGGGATTCGGACAAGTTCGGACGTCATCGATGACCCAGCTAAGGTATAGCACACAAAGTCTGCCCCTTGAGGCCATTTCGGTTCCTTTGACTGCATCTGATGACCATACGGACTTCGTCGACCCCACCTTGCCGTGGCATGGCGTCCTTGATTCAGGAGCCTCTGGCGATTTCTCGAAATCATCAAACCATCACCATGGCCGGATAGGAGGTGGTGGCGCCGCGTCTGGACCGCCCAAGTGCTCCTAAGTTCGCGCTCGCGCGCCGGCCAACGCCGCTCGACATCACACTTCGGTGAGAACGTTTTGATCACTCTTGCGGAGCATATGACCAACTGGAACAGTTCTTTCGCACCATACTGGCGAAGGTTTGCCTTTGGCGTGCGCATTGCCATTGTCGATGGGTTTACAGCGTCCGGCATGCGCCACCTTTCCTTTCATATCGGGGGAACAGCCTCACGGCAAGAAATATGTCGCGGAACCGCTACCCTATTACTCGAACAGTATACTAGTTCGGATGCGCTCTGCAGAAGCCAGAAATTGGCGGGTGCTAAGGACGAACGCCTGAGCATACTCACAGCGCCCAGGGCTGGGACCACAACCTCGGAGTGCATACGTGTGTCGTATTTCTATAATCATCAGACCGAAGGCCAACGGGACGAATGGCTGTCGAAGGGTGACCACGTTGTCCGGTCATCGTGCGAGTCGGTGCAACTCTCGGCCTGGAACCCAATCGCCTATATATGCAGATCTCTTCTTCGTATGGGATCAAACGGGGAGGTTAGAAGATCCGCGGTATGTCGCAAATCCTGTTCATCTCTTTTTGAACATGCTTTCGTATCAATCGCCACAGTCATGTATCCAAACCTTGGCGCCGAATGCATCATTAAGATTTGGAACCCTGCCGAAGGAACGACGACTCCCTTTTGCGTGTTATTGTTTTGCGAGAGCTGGCTGACACACTCCTATGCACAGGATAGCTTACTCATTATACACCCGCTGACTCGCGCAGCCATGAACAGCATGGCGTGGCTCTGTCCCGCTGCGCTCAGGAAGCATCCCAACGAAATCGTCGGATGCACTGACTCAATGTGACTTGGTCCTTACCCTCGAGCAGTGGCCTTTATCAGCGCTCCAGAAGGCGTCAATTTCATGCGGGGACCGGTTGCAATTGCCTCGCAGCATCGGGCGGTGGACGACGCAACGCTTCCCGATAGATTGCGAGAGCGGCTTGGCTGTTGGTATGAGCAGTAGGGTTGTATCATTACGGCACAGCCGAGTGAATACAGCCTTCACCTACATGCTGTACCGATGCGTGCAAATTTACTCCCGCGGTTAGAAAGGGTCTATCTGGCTTTTCTCGGTATCGGGGTTCTGAACAGCACGCAGCTGCGTGTCCACCCAAATTGGATCGCGATCTAGCACCAGCGTCTCGACCGTGGTTGCAATAGAAAACTCTCCGGTATCGACTACATATGACTGTCAGGACCGGGTTGGTCTCCTCGACGGGTCGTTTTCTTAAGCGTTGAACGTTCGGCGTCCTCGGCTTCATGGTTGTCTCGTAGAACGCGCTTCTGAATCGATCGGCAGATCCTTCCCCGTGCACGCGCAGGCGCCCGCTGACGTCACAATAGCGCTGGATACCGCTCCTCAAGGCACTTCGTTCCCCTCTCCATCCTCCGAGATTCACAGTCTTTCCGTCAATGAATTCCTTAATTCTCAATGAAAATCTTCATTATGGCGTTGGGCCATCGTCCGTTCTGAATCAGACTTTTCTGTCTGGCATCGCGAAGTCGCTGGTGCTCTCAGCTGCCCTGGTAACACGTTGCCTTAGCGGGTCTTCGGGACAATCATGTCTGTTTTCGGAAGGAATCGTAAGTTCTGCACGATACATAACGAAAGGCGCTCAGTCAGAGTCAGCCGGTCGTCCTGTTGCCGCCATATCGTGAAGCCAAGTCCCCCAGCTATCGCATGTCCTACAAGTCGATCGAGTCCGACAAGTGCAGATTACGATTTCAAACTCGCATCGGGCGATTCTCCAAGGGAACGATACGAGTGGAATTGTGGGTCCGCAGGCATCTGGCCCAGACGCCTCCTGTACAGCGTGAATATGCTATTCAGTTACCGCCGCTTGTGCTCCATCGATAAACATAAGTCTCCATTCAAACTGAAATAACACGGAACTGTAGCGGTGGTCACTGGTCATGATGCAGCATGTACGTGAGTGCTTGCTTCGTTGATGTCTTCGTTGAAGCACATGTGAATTGTATCTCGGGGAGCCCATCAATGTGAAGTAATCGGTGAAGTCGGTGTGCATTAAGCGGAAGGAGGTGGGCAGGAGCTGACATAGACGTGGTTGGTGTCATGAACGCGGAGATTCGACGCTGCTCGGTGATGGAGGTTCCTTAATTTGGTCCTGTTCGTTGCCACTACCAACGGTTGCCTTTCTACAACATAGGATCGCAAAATTTGCGCCCACAAACATGCCTGCCTATCTTTGCTATTGGCCTTCGCTCTACAAGGCCCATGAGTGCTCCATTTGGGTCAATTCGATGCGCAGATTCGTGCGGCCGAAGAGAGATCTATGAATCGGTCCGTGGGTGTTAGCGCCTCTCGAAATCTGCACTGTTGCCATTCCCAATTTCTCGCCAATTGTCGGTTGCACAACATGCGAGCCAGTATGGAAGAATTGGGTAATAGTTACCCGTCGAGTCGGTCCTGGGAGCTCTCATATTTCCTTTCCTTTCTTCATCGACCCCTCTTCTCCTCCTCCCCTCATCGCCTCTAGGCGTTGGGCTCCATCCACGATCCTCACGCTTGCTGACTCCTTCTTTTCCGGGCTGGCGTAAACCTCACCTTTTGGATGTCCCGACCTCCGAACCCTACCGCTACCTCGACTATTACTACTCTATAATCCGACATTCTCCACTTTCCTTGGTAACACAGCAGCAGCCGCATTCACGATCCCTAACAGACGAATTTATCTGATACTCCTTATCACTTGTGCCCGTTATACACTACCCAACCTGTTTGTCCACTCGACCCACAACCATCATTGCCTCACTCGTCCTCACCTTGCTAATACATCTCAACGCACCCTGGCATCCTCCCCGCGCGCAATCTCGCCGACACACACGACCCACTTCCACGATGAAAAGACGATTCTCAGAGGAGAAGTACGAGCACGAGTCGCGTTCAAGTCCCTCGGTATCGTCCTCGCATGGCGAAGGTGGACTAGCAGACACGGAGACGGACGCGAACCCTAGCCATTCAGATGCAGGTCCCAGTCAACTCTCGGGGATCCCCTCTCGTAGCCAGCTTCAAGAGACTGGCATTCAAGCCCAGCAAGCCGCCCCTCCACCCCAAAAGAAGAAGAGAACGCGCACCCTAACTACCCCACACCAGTCTGCCGTGCTGCACGCATTGCTTGCTCAGGTGACTAGATCTCATTTGTTTCAGGGTGTAAATTTCAATTAACTGAATTGATAGTCCCGATTCCCGACGACTGCTATGCGTGAAGAAGTCGGCCGCTCTATCGGATTGAGTGCTCGGAAAGTCCAAGTGCGTTGTTTGTATGCCTTTTGCTGCAACTTCCAAGATCGCTAATCATATGGCTGCGTACAGGTCTGGTTTCAGGCGAGTATTACAGCTCGTCCTCTCGCAGCGCAGCTTATCGATTCATCTCACAGAATCAGCGTCAAAAGGCTCGCCGTCCGCGCAGTCAGAGCGCAGTCCCACCTCTGACACGCCCGCCGCAATATGGCCCATTTGCTAATTCCCCTTCATCCGCGCCAGCGATGACACAGACTCCCTATACGTCTGCGCCACTGGGCAGCGCGTCTTCATATAGCACATTCTCTGGCCACTCAGGCCAGCATAGCGCGGGCCACGATCATTATCACCCTGAAGGATATACACACCATCGTACTGGCGCTAGCTCAAGTCCGACCACACGCCTCTCTGGGCCAGGCGTGCCGGGGCCCAGCACGCCATTTGCTCCACGCCTGCACCCTGCTCCGCAGCCATTGGGCCCTCCTCCCCCGGGTTATATTCCTTCATCTGGCTATGCAGAGCACTGGTCGCCTCATGAACCGCCTTTCGGTCATGCACATGGGGCTAGCTTGAGCGTTGATCCTCGCCAGACGCCTCCTGTACAGCGTGAATATGCTATTCAGTTACCGCCGCTTGTGCTCGATGAACGACAGCACACAGGCACGAGTCGGAGTAGTTTTCCACCCTTGGCGCCGCCTCCTTTTCCATCAGCTCCGCCGCACCTCGATGCATTCCAACCCTCGTCATTGCGGTCACCCTTTAATGCTACGCCCAACTCTCCTTTCTCACCTTACCCGCCCCGCGGCCTATCTCATGAGCCTGGCTCGTCATCGCGCATCCTCCCTCGTCTGCACATTCCCACGCCATATGCCCAGTCATCACCACGACGGAATCCCACGTCCCTCTCCCCTTACGCCCTTGCGGGACCGTCTGCTTCTAGCTCGACTTCCGGCGGAGCGTTCATACGCAACACCATGACTTCGATCGGTCGGCCAGAACCGCCCACCCTCTCCTTGGCGCCCGTCGCTCCATCATGGCGTATTTCTAGTCCTCGTCCTCCTAGTCCCAGTCCTCGTCTCTCATCCTCCAGAACCGCCACCCCGCCTCCTCGCCCAGCACGCTTCGATCCTGTGCGTGCGGCCCAAAACGAGAACAACGGTGGAGGCTTCCAAAATACTGGCCCGCCCGCGAGACGCACGCCCCCGGACCACACAGCCCCCTGAATGAGACATTCACGCCTTCTGATGCGATACGACGCCGCTGCAGCATTATCAAGCTCACGACGCCACTCACGCCCCCAATGAAAAAAACGTCTATAGACGATATTTCTCGACCACGCATTCGTTTCTTCCTACTCCTACCTCTTTCGTTCTTTGACTTCGTAATCCGTCCCCTTTTTTCGTTCTATCACTGACATCTAACGGGACATTCCTATACGCGTTCTTTGATATCTGTGCTCGCTTAATTCTGGCCGCGAAATGGCCCAGTTGTTCATTATGTTTCCATCGTTCACACTGCCGCATCGTTAATTTACGACGTAATTCTAGTAGTCACCACTTACTCTAACGACTTCTCTTTAATCCCTACTATATTGTCGCGTCGTCGTCGATGCGTTTTTTCCGCTTACATTTCCTGTATCGTTGCTACATGATATATCAATCACCTTCCTTTACCTGTTTGTATTCACCATAGACTTATACGCGCCCTTATAATATGCCGGCATCCCATCGGCGTAGCGAACCATCTTGATCGGGCATGCCTGTTGCTCACAAAACTCCGAGTGGGTACGCGACGTGGGGGAATTCGGGACGAGCTCTTGGCTACGATCATGAGAAGCCTGACCCTGACAGGTGTAGATTCCCTCGGCGAAGCATGTCTTAGGACAAATCCGCTCTCTGAGTGCACAATCACCAGATCTCTGAGAGGGGACACCGATAGCCGGTTGGTCTCCAGTGTCTACAAGGCCTTTACATTGCTATCTAGCTCGTAATTGTGAGCGCAGCTGCTCCTCGCGCTCAAACTCGTCGGACGACCTTGAACCCAAATCCCTGCTTATACGTGGGTCCGCATCAACTCCGCTAGGGACGATATTACCTTTGTCGTCGCATGAAATGAGTGCGCTCGTGCGCTGACCCGCAGCACGTCGTGCAGCAACAAGTCTGACGTGCTGTTGTGCCTGCATCCGGAGTCTGGCCTCCGCCAGTGCAGAGCCCGAAGAAGGCGCACCCGTCATAGAAACAGGCGAGGTCGAGCGCCTATATAACGTGGTGTCACCGTCGGGAATGCTAGGCCCAAGGTCTAACTGTTTATGCGTAAGGCGTCGTTCAGACGCCAGTTTGTCGACAAGGCGCAGACGGCGATCGACTATTACGTCAGTTGCCGGCGGCGATCTCGGAGACAAAGTGGGAGTTATCGACTTTGAAAGAGCCGATCTTGAACTCGAAGGCGGTGCTCGAGGAGAAATTCCTGCGGACGCTGCGGACGGTACGGGTCAGAATTAGAATTGAACATCGTCGCTGCGCCCAAAAAGGCCTGATTAAGAAGCCCGACATACTTTTAGAACTTTCAGGCGACATCTCATCAGAGTTGAGTTGTTGGCTGCGCTGCGCTGTTGCGGATAATGGCAACGGCATGTTAATATTGGATTGAGTGGAATCCTCCGATGCGGATGACTTCATTTTGGCCAAACGAGCCCTTGTGCGAGCCATGATCTCCGGCGCCGACAATTGCACTGCGGGATGGGACGACTCGCCAAGATCGGGAGGCTCGTCAGCATTGCAGCCTAGCGACGAGGTGGAGTTGGCAGGTGTACCACCCGACACCCGGATCAGGAGGGAGCTGCGTGTGCTCTGCGAAAACTCGGCGGCAGAAGACATAATATGCCCACTACTAGTGTTCTTGACATCTCCAGCATTTGTTGACAGCTCGACGACGTCCTGAGGCCCTGGGCCATGGCGGACTCGCGCTGAGGACAGAAGATGGGCGTGTGCAGTGTACAGCGCTGTGCGAGGGATATGCGGCCGTGAGGACGAATTCGGCATCCCGGATGGGGCTTCGTTATCGATCAATGAAAGTCTCGGTATATGAACGGGATCACGATATGCCTTCCCCGGAACTGTACCTTGCTTAATTGCATCGCGATTTCCTCGGTCAATATTGCGCCCGACATGATCTGGCGCGTTCTGGTCTTCTATGTCAGCCTCGACATCCCCGCGTTCGGTTGCTGAACCACGTTCTGCAGTGCGGCGTGGGGTTCTTGGGGTGCTAGCATGTCCCGACGTGGACTCGTGCATTCGCCGCTTTCCCTTGCTATTGATATCATCAGTTCGTGACCTTCGGGAGCGCCAGTGGTCGTCCTTCTCATTGTCAGAGTCCCCACGTCGACTACGTTCTTCGAATCGAGAAGCTTCGCCAGTTCTCTTGCTCGAGTGAGTGTGGCCACGTGTTGGGCTACGAGATCCTTCCTGGGAATAGCCTCGAGTAGACCGAAACGGCGTTCCTCGACGCCATGATCCTGATGAAAGGGAACGTCGGCGAGAAGACGATGGTGAAGGCGAGTTGGAGCTCGAGTTTGAGTCAGAATGAGAAGTGGGTCTCCACCGGTTGCTGCGCTCGTGGTCGGGAGGGGAAGATATATTCGAAGGGACATCGTACTGGCGAAAAAAAACTATATCAGTCAAAATAGGTATGGCTAGAACCTTGGGAAGCATACTTGAACGACAGTGTCGTACACTGCAAGGTCTCTATATGGCGATCGGACGTAAGAGTATATTTCTAGTGAATCACGTCAATGACATCTTCATTCGCAGGACTTGACAGAACGCGTATCTCACTCACCATGTGCGAAATGCTCTGCATTAACGTGGCGGCCACCGTCTACATAGCCATCATCCATGTCTAAGAATTCTGCCAAAAGCTTGACAGCAGATTCCGCGCGTATGTCTATAGCTTTCATAAGAGAGATCACGAATGTTGTGAGAAACTGCACGGCGTTGAGTCATCAATCAACCAGACGTGATAAAGCAAAATACCCACTTCTACATCCATATTCGGCCACACCTGCAACTCTCGCCGCAAGAAAATAGTGATCTTCCTTATGAGATCCGGAGATGCTGCGAACTGGGCCGGCGTGGGGTATGGCCGATACCGCGTGAAAGAATTTGACGCAACATGCTGCGTGGTATATTCTCATCAGAGATGTCAGCAACACTCATCGAAGCAAGACATACCTTCGCGTAAAGATGATGTTCGTATATCCATCTTCGCCTGCGAATCGCTCGCTCGAGCGCATCCGTCTCTTCCTGTGCCTCCCTCTCACGCCTACCCCACTCGCGTTCTCTACGCGTGGGACGTCTGCTGAAATTTGCGTGCGTTGTACGTGGCCTAGATGGAGGTTGAAGCGGACGAGGGGACGTACGAAGTGGTGGGAGATAATGCTTTTGGTAGTCATAGTTGGAGCGTATGTGGTGTATCAAGTAGTCTCCGATGTTTCGAGAGCATAACGGGCACCTGCGGGATTGCTCTGAGCCACATAAGTGATATTTATTTGGGAGACCAGAGGCCTAAACATACCTGACCACACCATCAGACACTCAAAGCAGAATTCATGCGAGCAAAGGGGTATCACTGTACGATCCACGGTGGGTTGAAGACATATGGTACAGTGATCCTCGCCCCTTTCGGCCTCAGTAGCATCGGTTTCTTCAAAGTTTATGTCGGGGGGCGACGAGTCCTCCAGTTTTATGCGCTTCGCAGGACGTGTAGCAGATTCAGAGACCATGAAATGTTAGCGACAATTCGGAGAGCGAGTTGGCGGCACTATCATGGAACGCTGCCGTAATGCCGATACTGTAATTGTGGCTCCGACGAAACATCCATCATACTCCGACGGCCTATGTTTCTTTCTTTGACGACCTTCTTCAATGTGCTTCACAGGATGGTGCGAAGGTTCACTGTAATTCTTTAGAACACCAAGCATAAAATATCAGAGCATTGTAGACCGGTGAATATTTCCTTGTACGTCTTGAGCTCACCTGCTATCTGATGCCACTGATATATCAGTTCACCCTGTAGTCATTTCTGGATAATGTAGGATATGAAATTAAATCTTGAGATCATCTCTCTCGCAAATTCAGGGAACATAGCACCCTCGATAATATCTGTATGGGGGGTTGTATATCTGACAACAATCAAGCGCCACCAGTATCTATGACCAAGTGTGGCCCAGGACCATCGGCTATGTCATCCGAGGAGCAAGTTTGCACGAAATTCTCAATTCGCATCTAGGGCTATCATACTTCCCTCTCTCTGGGATCTCAGTCGTACGCACTTTCTCTTTATAAGTGGCATTGTCAATGTTGTCATCCATAAGCTCCTGAGAACGAGCGCTCGCTCAATCGCCAACATGCTGCTGACAGATGATGGATGATGATCTAAATGTCGAAGGCATCTCTGACACTTCTAGGACATGGGTCGCCTCGACGATTCAACAGATCTACCAATATGCCATCTCGTTCAAATAGCAAACCATCGCCATGCGATCCCGGACGGTTCGCTACTTTGCTTGAGACGTCATTGATTTGGACCTGCCGTTCTCAAGCCCTACGTACTCGGCGCTTCAATCGGTGCGTCTTTTCTCATACCCCAATGGACATCGTGCTCTTCGTGGCCTCCGAAAACACCTCTCATTATGTAACTCCGTCACCTACGGTTTTGCAACTGACAGTACTTAAAGCAGAGTGAATCTTGGCATCGGGGGCGATATAATCCCCTCGTCGATTTGAAGGTAGGTAAGGTTGCTAATGATGTCTGCATCGAAAAGCTGACCCAATCATCGAGTTGCTAGCTAGGCATATCTCATTGGCGAAATACACTATGAATCTTTTGCCAGCAGAGTTGCTGCAAGCAGTTATCAATGAAATATCATCTCCTGGCGATATTCTCAATGTCCGTTTGGTGAACAAGACTTTGTGCGTTCTTGCAACGCCCCGAGCATTCCAACGAGCCCCAGTCAAAAATACAATGAGGAGTGCACAAGGTTTCCATGCGCTTCTTTCATCGCAGAAAATAGCTCGACATATCACAGAAGTTGCCTTTCGAGATGTTCGGGAGAGTGCGAGAGAAACTGGTGCGTGTGTTCTCGTTCGAAATGTGATGCACAACTGAATAGTATGTTGAAATCAGGTGTGCGCGAGCTTGGTCCATCGAAGCTCAAGCCTGACGGAGAGAGGGCTATAAGGGACACATTGGCATCAGCATTCTCAAAATTACACGAGTTGCCTAAGCTCGAGACTCTCACCATCACATTTTCTCCCCATGTTAGAAGCTCCTTGAGTTCAACCTTTCTAGAGCGCCCTTTATCATCGTTGACACAAATGGCTATTCTCCGCGCCTTCACTAGTCTGGCACATCCATTGTCCCTAAAATCATTGACGATCGACAACCTTATAGCTTCACACAGCGATATCCACGACCATCCTGCATTTATCGCCACGTTCAATAAACTGGCCTACCTTAGAATTACCATACTCTCCGATATAGGCACCTATGTCGGCACGCTCTATCAAGAAACGCTGAGCAATTTTTGGTCTACGACAATGCAGCGCCGGATTCTCGCTCCTAGCTCAGCATCGTATCTTACGTGCCTTTCTCTGCACAGTGACCACGAATTCGGCATCCTTCCTCAATTCACATTCTCGGAGCTCTATTACCCGTTACTAGACACGCTTTCCGTCCGAGGGGCGTTCTTCGCAAACAGTGTCGGGATCGAAGATTTCATCGTCAGGCACAGAGGGACCCTCCGTAGTCTCGAACTGCGATTCTGTAAGATCTACTGCGACGACGACGTTCCAGATAGATTTTGGTCGCAGGTATGGAACCGCTTTGCGAAGGAGCTTGACAGATTAACCGTGTTCAAAGCCGAGGAAGAAATGGATATGGTCGAAATGCCCGGTTACATGATCCGATATGCTTACTTTGATGCTGGAGTCGGGTACATACCCATTTTCAACATCGTCCCAGCCGACGACGTCGCACTAGTTACGTTGAAGGTAGTGGTGGCTTCACGATCTAATACGTACAGGCAGCCAGCTATGTTCGGATGATGTGTAGAAAAGCCTTAAGAACAGGTGGTACAAATATTACATTCTACTCATTACAAGGCATTGCTCATTCAATTTCGTTCAGTTCGTGGGCGAGCTTGACAACATCATTCTAGGAGGGAAGAATTCGATGTCAATACCATAGGAATGTGTTGAGGGATAAAGCCTGAGGCCCTCGACGAGGCGCACCCACCCCTTTACGTGTGATCTTGACCGCAGGATCACCCTCCCTTGCGGTTCGCGTGATCGTATTGCCCTGTTCACGCCGAAATGAGGTCAATACCAGAAACGAGTGGAACAATTTCAACGCGTCATATGGACCTTGTTACTTTTGACCTGTGCCTTCCCCTCTTCGACGATTTCGTCGACTTTTCCTGAAGGGTTTGCTCCACCCCACTTCCAGCTTCACCGGCATAAGATCGTTAGTCAACATGATAATCTAATTTGCCTGTCCAACTCACGAAACATCATCTCCTTCTTTAATCTGATCGGTCATGGTGGATGTAAGAGTTGATATATAGAAGGGATCGCATTCGACGGCGTTGTTTCTGCTAGTTTATATATTTCCGTGGTGCACGACGTCATGACTGTTCAGTCCCGATCGTGATGGTCCAGTTGGCGAACAAAACGTCACCTCTCAGGATGAAACGCGTCATCGAGCGATCCTTCTACCGCCATCTGCATTGCAGTGCACAAACGTCTCACGAAGAAATTCCGGGGTATTGAAATTTGAGCAAGAATCAGAAATATAATATACACGCTCCTGCAAGACCATCATTGACAGATGCCGATCAGCCAGTCCGTACATTCATCTGAGGACCGCTATTGTCTCTATTAGAAAGCACACACGCAGAGGAGCGAATGTACCTACCATAGAAACCCTCAATAATTCACGCAGATCAGTTAAAATATCACGTGCGGCCTCGTATGCTTTGGTCTGAGCCGATAATGGAAGGGTAGATGGTGACGGCGTGTTTTCAGCCTGAACCCGCGAGACACACAAGGAACAAGATTTTTGCATCTCGGTTTCAAATCGCCAAATGAGCGATTGGATTATACTTTGCTTTAGTGCAGTGGCTGTCAGAACGGAGATAGGAAACCGAGCCATGTCGGGCTCTGCGTTTCCACAGAAAAAGACAGATCGTCAGTTTATCATGACGCCAGCAATGTCCATACAGCGTACCGCGCACTGCCTTGAACAAACAGTTCCATGTCTCGTTTTCGATTATTTTCCAACTTTCCTTACAGCCTACAAGGAGGCGAAGGGTCGGCATCGCGAGATAGATCTCGTCCAGGAAGGCTTGAGGGGAACCGAAACCCAACTTATACTGGAAGACTTCCAGTATATCACGTTGAGCAAGCTGAAAAGACGGTGAGACAATAAGTTAGCTGTTCAAGCACTGTAACTAAACATCAAACCTCAAGGTCCTCGTAGCACATGTCATGCGGCGCTAGAACCAGATAATGCCGCGTATATATAGGCAGAAGAGGCGGGAGAGTGTCTCGATTGATCTGAAGAGGGTACCATTGAGTGTGAACAGGACTGACGCATGAAGAATCGAGAATTTGACCTTAATGCTTAACGCGATGGAAGCAACAGCATGATCCCAAACAATTCTCCGCTGGCCCTCTTCTAGATCTACTTGACATAAAGCAGAGGACTTCATGTCTGATTCAGGACTGGCGGACATGTCCGAAGCATGGATGTCCTCTGCCTCCATCAAGGCTGAGAAGCACCGAACGAACATGTAGACAGCGAGGAACCGAGTGTTGGGATCATTCATGAACTGGTCATGTAGATCTCTTGAAAACAACCTTGGCTTTCGCAGCATGGCTGAATCTTCATCCAAGGGAGGAACCATCTATAACCGGGTTAGCATGAGCTAGCGTGAAACATGACAAAAAATTACTGTTAGGATCCACTCAATGGCCTTCTTCCTCATGTCGTTGCGAAAATCGACATTAATCTGCATATCTCCGCTGACAATGAGAGTCCCAGCCTTCGAAGCAGTTCCATCCTCAGTACTTTGCGAGCAAGAGCCACCTTCGCTCTCCTCGTAAGACAGAGAATGGTTCTCACTGTCCTCGTCGACATCCTGAGACAATGGGCAGGTCGCGTCTGCAGAAACGAAGACCAATTTGACATCCGTAGGCTTCCGACCATCCGGCTGAAGTTCTCTTTCAAGTAACATCTTGATTCTCCTTTCCGCAGCCTCTTCTTCGCACAGCGGCTCCCGAGGGATAAGCGCAGCAACAGGGACTTGGATGGTTGGGAGGTGAATAGTTGAATTCCGGATAGGCGAAGACGGGTTAGTTAGGGCCTCGACAGGCGAAGGAGAACGGTCTTGTGTGTATGGAGGGCACGCCTTGCTTGCAGGAGGAGGTATGTTCTACCGATGGCAGTACAATGAGTACGGCGCGGTAAGCAAGAGTAGAAAGAGCACATACTTCTTTAGCCTCACCGTGTTTACTTCCTACTTCACTTGGAATAGACGTTTCAGTCCTGAGGGATCTAGCTTTTCGGAGAGTGGCTGGCTCATTTGCAAAATAACAACTCTTCCCGGTGGTTCGGATAGGTCCTAGCCTCCGTTTCTTATGTTTTGGCTCTTTCGACTGAGAGAATTCTGATTCGGAGACAGATGATTCGCAGGCGGAGATGTCCGCATCATTCCCTGTTCCAGACATGACAGATGCTAGAGAGGCAGTACGACTAGGAAGACTGTTGCCAGGTAAATCGCACAGAGGAGCAGCTAAGCTGACAGAGGAACGAGATCCTGTAAGCCTACGTTTCGGAGCGCGGCCAATTGTAGCAGGATTTGGAAGAGCATCCACGTCTGAGGAGCTAGGACGAGGACGGATTTTGTCCGGAGGAACGGCAGTGTCATAACCAGGGGCGTTTTTAAGTGTTTCTTGCGACGAAAAAGAGTATACCGGAAATCGCTCGCCATTGTGGGTCACAGAAGCGGGGAAATGTGTGGTATCAGCATCTTCAGCGAGTGATTCGAAGGCGTTCGCGGTAAGACTAGGGGAACACGTCTCAGTTGCACGTTCAGAGAAGTGGTCCAGTGATTGGCTGAGAGGAGTCATCACAGATGGATGGTCAACGTTGCGATCCAAGGCAGGACTAGATGAAGCATAGTGGGTCAAATCAGGAGTGCTTGAGAGCGGGACGACGCCAGGAGAAGAGTGTTCGTTATCAATGCCTCGCAGAAACGATTGGCTTCCAGATGATACACTGCCTAGAGAATTGTTTCGTTGTTGCAGAGGTTGGCCGCAGGCAGTATCCAGGCTCGTTACGAGATTAAGACGATTCTCAGAGCACTCTGAAGCAGCCAGTGAGTCAGGCGAGCGCATATATGCGGATGGTTCTTGTCCGATACCTCCAGGATACATTTTGCAGATGTGGATTCAGGTACGAAGTAGACGAAGAAAGTCCATAGGTCGATGCTCCAGTCAATCTGTGAAGGCAAAGGCGAAGAGATAGCTAAACTTGGAGTGTGGTCACTGGAGGCTCAGATGACAATCACAATGCTGATGTGATGAAACCTAGGATTGCAGAGCATCTGACGGCAATCTAAAACCAGTGGATGGTGGCTGGCCACTGTTCTACGGGTGAAAGATTTCTCGTGCTGGTGGGTGTCGAATTCCAAGATCGGCGCGGGCAGCGCATTCGGCATCGGCCCGGAAAGGCGCGGAGTAACTGGAAGTTCTCGGAAAGGACTCGGATGCATTCGGAACAAGACCCTAGTCTTGTCAAACAACATATTGATGATATGAACGACTTGTTACACATACAAATATATCCTGGGTGTACATAGAAAGAATAGATCCGATCAACTACCGAGGCACCCCCATTTCGCTCCCAACTTCTTGTAAGCACTCTCTCGCCAATGCCCTTGCATCCAGCGCAGTGATCTTACTGCTGCGAAGCCCACTGGCTGCGACTCTGCTCCCAGTGTCTACAGGAAGATCCAGGGTTTGCTTCCCAGGGGGTGTTACGGGCGGTGAGAGCAAGTGGTCAGACATCACCCATGCTGATGGCGCCTTACGCGCGATGGAGGCGATCTGACAGAGCACAGTATAGAAATGGAAAAGGTGCGCCTTGGCAGAACGCTTAACCGAATCAGCTATGAGTTGAGATGGTGATAGGCTGGTATCAATATCTAATGACGCGAGGTTGAGTTGGAAGCATAAATCATGAACGGCGAGGAAAACGAACCTGGTTGGTAGGTCGCATACTTTGACGGGCTATCAGATAAAGCAGCCCACAGACTTCCGGGCCATAGTCGAAGCTCTTGAAGTTTGTGCAAAACATACAGCAACTCTTCTTCCCGTACCCTGAGTCATTGGATTGAGTGCAAATGACGATGCTCACAGAACTGAATATACCTTGGGAAGGGGATACTGCCTCGGAGGCTCTCGTCGGCTGCGTAACCCGCGAGAGTAGTTCTACATCGACCAAGCAACGATGACAGACTCAAGGCTGCCACTCGTTTGCGGGACTCTTCGTGGTCTGCTGGTAGCGTCAGAGAGAATGACTGGGATAATCTCATAAGAGTGAACACAGACCTTTGGAGACATCTGAACAGATGAGGAAGAGCAAATCGAAACACCAGTAGGAAAAGCGCTCCCTTGAAACGAAGACTGTAGGATTTATTGTCGCGGGGTATTCGTCGCCGTCATGAGTCCAATTACCTTTGCCAGAAGCAGGCGCCGTCATAGGCGTAATCGGGGTGAACATGTAGTCCTCTTCGGGGTCATACTCCCGCAGCTGACTCCCTTGTTGTAGGATTTTCGCAAGATGAGTGATAAGATAGTCGGGGACACGACTGTCTCCTAGGTGCGGAACGACGTCGATTTCTAATGATGCGATGAGAGCAAGGTCGAAATTTTCTTCCTCCTCTTGCACGTCAAACGTGAAACTGTCCGCCACGGAGCTGTAGGGAGATTTAATAACTCCATCTGCTTTGACCAAAAGGAACACTGTACCAGTCAGCCAAGATACCACCACGGAAGACATCGATTGTTTGCCTCCAGATACCCTCGACGCGATCATCCGGTAGGTCTATGATACTGTTTTAGTTCCTATTAGATATTCTGATGAAGCGTCTAGCTGACCTGAACCGAAGCTCTGGACCTGGGATGCAATTTCACGGACGATCCGCAGGAAGCTTGTAGTCGCGGTCTTCCACAAGGGGGGATCCTTTCCGAACTTTGACGGAGGCGGACAGTCATACTTAAGTTTGATAGGGATAGAATATGCAGACAGCACAGCCTCCAAAGTGCCATCGACGTATACTTCGACCTTATCCTTGAACCGAAGGAATAGTTCGACCAACATGGGCATGCATTTCTTTGACAGGCTGATGTATGTGATGCGCTTTTGCTTCGAAGTGGCCGCTGTTGGTTTCTTTGTAGCAGATGCTAATAATGATGGGTCTGGGATGTCAAAGGCAGCAAGGAAGGGTAACGTCGCATATTCAGACAAATCTCGCAATATGACGGATGGAACGCCGGGAGTCTCGAGCCCAATGCTGCCCACAGCCTCCATGACGATAGTCTAGCGAACATAGACATTTGATATTCTCACTGTCATCACAGGTGTTGCTGTGACTCACCTGAACTGGTGTGAGCCCGTCGACGTCTGGTCTGTAATCTGGAGAATTAGGATAGGTCAAGACACCTGGAATAAATGTGTCAGCCAGTTGCGCTCGGGTTCATGGATATACTTGAATCAGCTACCCTTTAGAATGGCCATCAGTCTGACGATACGATTGAGAGGCCACTCGACATCCTCCAGCGTTCGACTGACGCTTCTTGTGCTAAGAATGACGTCCACAAACGCGACGAGACTCTCCTGCGTGAAAGGTTTGTGTGCCTGAGCTCTCTCACTCGCAACACTCGCCCTCTTGACCACCGATTCTCCCATCTCATCGCATACAACCCATGCCTTCTCCCAAGCTTCAATCACTCGTGGCCTGAGTTCCGCGTCCGAAGCGCCTGCCGCCGAAGCCTTCAATGTCTTCTCAAGACAGCGCAGCGCAGGTGCGCTGATGATTCGATTATCAAGCAAGAATGAATCACGGATGTGCATCACGAAGACTTCCCAAGCTTTGCTGAAAGAGGACAGATGCATGACCTTTGAGACGAGAAAATCATGGAAAATCGACCCTATGGATTGTAGGGCGACCACTTTGGATTCGTCCCAAGCCTGCTCCGGAGTAGAGACATCGAATTGAGACGTCTCAAATGATGAAGAGGATGGTGATGGCGAGATAGTCGAGCTCTGTCGAATGGAGGCTGTGAGTGAATCGAGTAGCGGGAAGGTGACCTTCCAGATGCATTCCTCCCACGTATCGAGGCTGAGTGTAGCGCCATATAGCTGTAGTGTCCTGAACAGCGTCTGGATAGCACCCATCCTTACTTCCGGACGAGCATCTGCACACAGCCTCAGAATCTCGAGCAAGAGGAACATCCACAAGGCGCTGTACTCGGGCTCCTTCTCTGCATCTTTGCGCTTGGCCTGGATTGAATCGGAAACACCCCAGAAAAGGCTCTCAGCAGCAGTCAGCGCGATATTCGTGTCCGCCTGCCTGCCGAAGTGGCCTAGCGTACTAATGCACATACGCAGATGTTCTGGAGACAGAGCCGAAAGTGAATCGCAAACTAGAGTCAATGACTGGAACGCGATCTTGATCAAGGTCGTGTAGCCCCTCTCATTCACATAGCCAAGCGGAAGAGGCTTTGTTCGAGGAGTGGTGGGGGAGGATCCTGCAGAAGATACTGAGTCGCTAGATAACGATGGAACCGGCTGTGCGGGTTTGCACACGCTGTTCAGGACTTCGAAGATTGTCTCCCAACCTACCACCAGCGTGTGACCTGATGACTGCAAGATCTGGTGAAGAGTTTCCAAGCCCATGCGGCGGAGCTCAACATTGATACCGGACTGGCTAGCACCAGTAGGCCCATCTAGCTTTATTTGCTGAGCGAGGACGTCGAGTACACGACGCTGGACAGCGGATTGGAGGTCCCCCGTAGTACTCAAGTTTCGAGGTACAACGATCAAAATGTCATCTAGGATTTGTGCGGCTTGAAGTCGTATCGGCTGTGGGGCGGTCGAATGCCGAATGACTGACAGCAGATGAGAAGTGATCGTATCCCACGCAATATCTGGGGAACGATAAATAAGCCTGTGGATGTTGAGGACCGCCACACCACCAAGCTTATTGATTCCAAAGTCTCCAGAACGCTGCAAATATATAAGCTCAAGAATCCAGGAGATAACTGATGCAAACTCACCAACGTTCGGGGCAGATGAATACCGCTCACTCGCCGCCTGCTAGCGCGTTCTGACCGAGCCGTCAACATTGAGTTCAAGCTGGTCGTGCTACCTGTCATAGTGGAATCGTCTGCCGACTCTGATTCCAATATGATGCTCGAGTCTGCCTGAGATTGCATCCCAACCATCTCCGAGCTCAGCCTGCACAACGCGTTCACGAAATCCTTGAACGCAGCATCCTCCAGGTTCTTGGATGCGTCGAAAAGTCGCTGAATCGCCAGTTGCACGCTCTCGACATCCAAGTCAGAGAGCAACGGATGGCGAATAGCCTGCTGTGGTGGATGGGCAGGTGCTGCTGGAGCCGAGCCGGAAACAGAGATAGATCGCTGTGGAGTTCCAAGGACAGAAGAGCGCTTGGAAGGAGTCGAAGGAACAGTCCTCTGCCCTTTACTTGTAAGCACATAGTCCGCGTTCTGAAGCGCTTCAAGCACGTCGAACCAATTCTCGCCTAGACTACCAGCCAGGAAGAGTGCGCTGGTAATCAGGACTTTCAAACAGGCCATGTTGCGCTCTGACAGACCTGGCGACTGGGTAGGTCCTGTCAAACCAAGGTTCTCCGAGAAAGAGGCAGCAGAGCGGGGAGTTGGGGGCTCGACATAAGAATCAAGGCTAGACACCACGCGCGAAGGAATAGCGGACTTCGAGAGGCTAGTGAGGAAAGCATCGCGGGGAGTTGGTAACGCCAGCATGCCTGTCACGTTCGTTAAAGCCTGGTGCGCAGCGAGCACATCGACAAAGAGCTCGTCGGAGAGATTTGTAGAGATGAGGAAGGACAGAGCGGCCAATAGAGCAGGCCACCCGGCAGCGAGCATATCGCGGACCGCTATTAGGCCAGCGCGCGCAGGCTCGGATGCAGGAAGTGTGGTTGGGTCGAGAGCCGCGGGTGCACGGACAATAGCATCTCCTGCTGCACGAGGCTTCTGGACCATGATGCTCGTGTACAGAGGCGCAGTGAAGGATGCAAATCCTTCACAAAGGGATACGATGCACTGCACACCCAGCAGATAGATGTAAGCTTCGGGTATAGGTGGAGCATCAGCTTTATCGAGCTGGTCGATGCTAATTTTATGTTAATACACGCTAGACTGGAAACAACCAAATCTCACCATTGTAGCTTCATAGTAGACGCGTGAAGGCTCAATCCCGCCTCTGAACCGATCATACCTACCATCCCTGACATTGTTGCACTAGCTGCTGTAGCGACCATTCCCGCAACCCCACCAACGTCTCGCCCGTACCCTGCACCCCCTGCGCTTTCACCTGCACTTCCTCCAACACCCAACATCTGATGGCTGACCCCAAGCACAGCAGGCTTCTCCGTGACCAGCCGCTTGAGAGCAGTGATGAGAGCAGTGAATACCATAGATCCTGTGTCGAGATGCTGAGCGTCGTACCGCTCCCATGCATTTCGCATGAACTCAGCATCACCGCAGAGACTACGGAGAAACGTAAATATGTGCGATGCCGCGATCACGCTGCCACTCACCCACGCATAATTTCCATCGCAAGCACTCGCATCCACTGGGGACGAGCTGACATACTCTCAACATGACTGTTATTGCTGTCGGTATCACCCCCGATGATCTTAATCAAAAGCGCGAGGAAAACCTCGGCCTCCGTCTGGAGTTCAAGTGAGAATTGCTTGAGGAGCAAGAACACCACGCGGGTGGATCGCAATGTCAGAGGAAATACGGGTCGATCAGACAGTGATTTGAGGAGAAGCGGACAGAGATGATGTTGAAGGAGGAGCAGCAACTCTGTATGCTGACAATCGATGGTTAAAATATGTCTCACGTAGGGCGAACAATGAACTTACTCGGCGAAAAAGTTCATGATAGTTCGTGAGGACACTCTCGATCAGCTCTAGAGCGAAAGTCTTGTGCAAGAAATCAAGCTTCAGAAAATGGGGTCGCTCCGAGTTGGCGAGCAGGCACAGATCCTCGAAAATCGCAAACGCGTCATGTGCAGCTGGTCCGAGCGCTTTGATATCTCCGTCAGGCAACTGGGTCTCGACCATCTGATCTAGCGGGACATTGTCTCTTCGGTCTTCATCGACAACTTTATCAACCACGAACATGACAAGCTGACGAAGCGTAGCAGCGGCAGTCGAGGAGACTACACCTATTCGAGATTCCTGAAGCTTAAAACACAAGAGAAGAGCCTGCACAGATATTAATGGATATACCCTGCCCGTGACGAGAGCGACGTACGTCTCCTAGAAGCTTTCCGTGTATTGGCGGGAAGTTCGTAATGAGAGATAGTAGCGTCTGCAGGATCTTAAGCTGGATATCGACACCTTGGCTGATACAGTCGCTCATTGTTGTGATGATGACTGGAACGGCGGATAACGGGACTGCTTTGAGCGAGATGAGGCGCTGGAGGGAACCGAGGGAGATCCCGACAACCTTGGCATTCTTCGTCGCGCAACCCATGAAGACAGGTCGCAGTAAATCGTCAGAGTGCGGCCCATCTGTGCACACAGGTTAGCTATAGGGGCCAGACATACCAGACACCCAATTCCGAACAGTTTATGCTGTCTCGGAAGGAGTATCACATCCTTTCCCTTCTCTCTGGCCAGAAGCTAGGCACGTCTCGCCCGTGCCCGACGAAAGAAAGAACGCTTGACATAGTTGCGGATATAAACTTGCTCACCAGAGGCCAAATTCGCAGTTGCCTGCTCCGGCGAAGACCTCAATATAGCCAACGACTTCTCAGCCGCCTACGACAAACCAAGCATGAACGATGAACACGACCTTCCAAGCTGCAGGAAAGACAGTCATATGCTCACCTCTCGTACATCAGGATGCTTCCTCCTCGTTTCACTTGCCAACGACTAGGCCGAATATCCAGTTCACGTCAAGTCCCGCAACGAGTTGCACATATTGAGCGTCCGACACGTACCTGCAACTCTGTGACCAAGAATGCCAAAGAACTCATAGCAACGCTGGGCCCTGATAATAAACTCTCCGACTCGTTTGTAGCTCGTACTTGCTGAAGATTGGCGGATGCGATGAATGTTTCGCACGTTCGGAGTTATCGGCTGTGCGCTGTGGAATGGTGCGCTGGATGCCGTCAAGGGGATTGTGGTCGTCGTACAAGGCCTGCAGGGCTACGATGTACAACTGAACGAAGAGGAACGCGTTCGCGCAAGTTCGCGTACGTGTTCAGAAATGGTACCGAGCTATGGCAGTCACGAAAGCGCTTCTACTTAGGGCCTTGCTATCAATTAAGCCCTCGCGAACCGACCGCTTTCGGAGTCTGTAAATAATGTAGTGCGCCTACGACAGATATTTCAGAACATCACTTTCGCGTGAGTCCCCGCGATACAAACACTCTTTTCTTAAATCTTGTCATATCTTTTCTCCCTGTGTTCGCGGCGCTTTTCATGCACAAAGATCAGCTCCCCTTCTTTCGCGAGATCGGGTACGAGCACAACTCCTACTGTACTCTGATACTGTCCGACGAAGAAGGACAGACTGCCGCCGGCTCTTCTCACACTCGTTGGCAGGGACCCTTTTCAGTACAGATGTCGAGGACTCCATCGACCGCCATAAACGCACACTGAAAGCGCTACATCTGCCAGAAGGCGGAATAGCAGTCGACGAAGAAGAACTGCCTCCGCGTCTGTGGCTGGACTCTGGAGATCTGTGCTCGGTTTGCTCACGAACTAGAGGCGCTGGCCAGATGCGGATATCCGGAGACTACGTCAGAGGTTGAAGGAGAATCGTCAACGTTGCTGTCTTCGGGACACTAGGCGCTGGTGTATCTTGAAGTGGTACAGTGCGTGTCGTGGTACAAATTTTCGAGTCACCAGCTTCTCCGATACTGGTTTAAGCTCAGATATTACACAAGGCTCTCGTCTTCTTGGATTAATATTCATATAGATCAGTTCACACGTCGGTGCCAGGAGAGGAGGGCGATAGCCAGACTCTACTGGAGCATGAGAGCTTGGTGGCGAGACGTCGTGCTGTTCTAGAGTGGCCTAGGGATGCAGCCATAGACCTCCTTGTTGGTTGGCTTTAGCTTGGACCATCTCGCGCGTCAGGTAATTTGGACCTTACACCATGGATTTATGACTAACTCACGATGACGACGAAACGTTGTTGCTGGAATGGTACAGAGACCGCTCAGAATGTATGGAGACAGTGAGTTTCCGCTTAGATATTCTTTAGGAACACGATGCCGGTGTCAGTCGGTATATGCTTCTGCTCATGCCACATATTCAAGTGTTGCCATTCTCGCAACGTGCTTCCTTTCTATAGACGCAATGTCTGACCTTTATAAGGTTTATATCATGCTCGAGATCGGCACGAGATGTTATGGGGCGCGGGAGAGACTGTCGCGTTTACTGTGTATGGACCTGCAGGATTCTGCGGCTTGACTGGGGAGCAGACGTTTATCTCCAAACCAACCATGGGGCATCTGTCAAGTATAGCGTATGTGTACGTTGAAGGGGAACAATCGAAGGGGAAACAGAAGGTATGTACATGTATACCCTCGGCTGTGTATTTTGTGATGTGATCTCACTGCCTTCAGGGTCGTCTCTGTGTCACGGACTCTCTACCAGGTAGATGACGAACGAGCGATATTCGATCATCTACACTGCCTTGGCTGTGTGCCCTATCCCCTGATGCAGAGTGTGCACTCTCTGGAAATACCATCTCGCCGAATATGGATCCTTGGACGGCTGACTTGGTATCTATGTTGGGAGGTGATGCGGCTCGCAAACAAAGACTTGGGGCTCCTGCACTAAGTTTCCGTCAGGCTTTGGATTCCTTGCGGAATGGTTTTGTACATCCTACTTGCACCATGCCCTTGCACCCACGTTGAATGTATTCCGGAGCGCAATTCTGGTGCTTGCATCTCGTGATTCCGTGGTTCCTCGGATCGGCACACGCTGCGTTAAGGTGGGCCGTGTCGAAGTATGCCGCGGTATCGGCATGTTGTACACTAACTTTTGACCGTCATTGCTTGAGCTCGGCACTCCTCACTCACCGTCTTCTGCCCGACCATATATACCCCTAAGGGCAACTCTGTGTGAATTACAAAGTAAGTTTCCTTGGTCAATCACTCCTGGTTAATGTCCTAGGCGCTAATTTGTGATAGCGCTTCCAGGAATCTATCTGCATCCGAGTAGAATTGACACAATGGCTGACGAACATGTCCGCTTAGAAGTGAAATTAAGTACATGAACGGGCTTGCTACGCCGCTGCCGCTAGATGATCACTCACACAGTGCCTCGAGTACACAGGGAAAGAGGAGATAACGCATTGCATCTCTTCATCATCTCGGCTGAGCGGTCGCAGGACGGCTTCAACATGCAGCACATGCACTGCTTCCTGCATCTTCAGACTCAGAGTCCACAATATAAAAACCCTCACGACGGAATCGAGGTTGAACCACCATCTGCCTTACTTTCGCTCTTCAGCCAAAGTCATAACTGCGTTCTCATTCCCTAAGTCCTCGTCATGCAGAACTTCATCTCCCTGGCACTTGCCTTCTCTGCGTTTTCGAGTGGAGGTGCGTCTGCTCCCAACCTACGTTTGACATTTATTCATGAACTGTGGTCCATTACAGCTATCGCTGCTCCCAACCTTGCACATCGTCAAATCTTCTCGGTTTGTTGTCTCTCCAGTCTTTTTGAATTAACACCATGGAGCTCAAATTTGCCTTCCTTTCTCACTGCTCTTCCCACCTCAGTCATTTGAAGCGACTGCGCCGGCGACCACTGAGCTCTTCCCCACCGTGAGCTCCGGCATCTCTTTGGGTGCGCCGATGACGAGCCCCATCGCGCCTGTCGGGATCACGTCTGCCTCCGTGGTGACGATCCAATCCTCCGCTGGACCCATCGAAAGCTCTGCCACGGCCGTGACATTCAGCTCCGTCGCCACCATCGAGAGCTCGGCCTCGGCCTCGGTCGTGTCGGCTAGCACCTCCGCCCATGGCGTGACCCTCACCTCCGCAGCCACCAGCGCTTCGCCTATCGAGAGCTCCTCGGTAGTCACAGTCGCCACCTCTTCCCCGGGCGTAACGTTTACTTCCGTCGCGAGCGGGCCCACCTCATGCGTCGCATACACCACCATAACGGTAGTCGTGACCTCAACCACGGCAGTGACAATCACCGCTTCCGCTCCGAGTGCAACGTTCACCACTGTGCCCGTGGCGAGCTCGTCCTCGGCAGTCACAAGCGGCTCCTCCTCTCGACGGGTAACGCGTACCACCGTCACCTCCGTCGAGAGCTCCTCCGCGGGCACCACGTCCCCCACCAGCGCACCCACCGAGAGCTCTTCGGCCTCGGCCGTCACGATCAGGTCCTCCGCCCCCGGCGTGACATTCACCTCCGTCGTGACCGTCGAGAGCGCGTCCACTGCCCATATCCACAGCGGAACGACCAAGGCGATCACCAGCCCCATCGAAAGCTCCGATGCCCCCGTTTTCACCTCGACCTTGGCGTACTAAAGGGGTGGCGTGACCCGAGCTTTCTTGAGCGGGGGGTGTTAGTGGACGCACGGACTGAGACGCTGAGTAATATTTGGAGAGTTTCTTGGTGAGCTAGGCATATGTCGTAGTAGCAGCGGGAGCGGTGCAACGTGATTCGGTACTAAAACGGACAGCATGTCGGAGCGATTGAAGGGCTTCACGATGGCAGACATGACAAAGTTGTATATATTAGCGCGCATGTATTCACGCGTTGGGCAGTCCAGTGTGCCTGGCTGGCCCTGCACTAGGACGAAAATCCGTATTCGCCGTCGCCCGTCGCCCACCTCCTCCAGACATAACTTAGATTTTATACCCAGCTATTAACAGCGACCAAGACAAAAAAGCACCAATCAGTCGATTCATACAGGCTTCTCGTGACTTTTGCCGGAGAGAGCCGTGTATGTGTACGTGTACGCATGATACGCAGAAGCAGCAGCACCGAGCAACACATGCACGGCGAAGGGGGGGGGGAAGAGCAAGAGGGGGGTAAGGAAAGTGGGCAGTCTAATAGATGAGGCAGACGGGCGTGAGATGAAAGACGGCGCGAGGCCGGTGGACGAGGTTTATATAAGCAGCAACCAACCGGACGAAAAAAAAAAGGAGAGGGAGGGGGAGGAACGTTAGACGCTGACCAGACCAGACGACGAAAGGGGGAGACGACAAAAAAAAAAAAAAGAACATATACACATTGCATACTAGAAGAAAAACAGTAGTAGGGATCCTATGGTTGGTATGTCTGTCGTGAGCACGTACGTGATAGCGGGTCAGCAGAAAAGAGGGCAAGGAGCGGACGGTGGCGGAGAAAGGGGGGATCGAAAGGAGTGGGGGAGCAACCGCGCGCGCCATCCGCGCACACAAAACGCGACGAGGCCGCCATCAGAGCTTCAACTCGGTCAGCACTCTCCGCGCCAGCATCTGGTACTGCCATCCGTCGCCGCTCGCCCTGCGGAACTGGATCCCGTGCAACGGCAACCAAGGCACCTTGACGATATTGATCTCGAACCTCACGGACAGCGTATTCTGGCCGATGCTCTCGAAGACATCGCGGTCGATCTCCCCGGTCGGGAGAGGCGACACGCGCCCCGGCTGCGGCGTCGCAGCAAAGTCGCGCGGTATCGGCGGCAAATTCTTGCCCTTGGGCGGCGACGGCGTCCGCGGCGGGTCTTCAGGCTGGTTCGCCGCCGGCACCGCCGCGTCGCCGCCTTGCTGCCACTGCTGCTGGCGCTTCTCCTCGCCCGTGACGGTATTCGAGTTCGACACGTTAAAGAAGGACGACGACCCGCTGCTGGGCGTCGCCGCAAAGACGGTACCACCCGACGGGCGGCTGGGCAGCTCCTTCTCCTTCACGGTCCCCGCCCCGCCCCCGTTCCCGTTCTCGCGCTCCTTACGGCCCATGCTGAACGACAGCTTCGACGTCTTCCTCGCGACCGTGCGCGCGCCCGAGTCGTTCGAGCCCGTCGAGCCCTCCTTGCGGTGCCGGCCCGTGCGCACCGTCGGCGTCGGCGTCGCGCTCGCGCTCGGCGGCGGGGGCGGATGCTGCACGGACGTGAGGTCGATCGACGGCATGTGGATGCAGTCGAACCCGGTCTTGGTCTCGCGGTACTGCACCTGCATGCGGTCCAGCACGCGCCGAATGTCCGTCTTGATCGCGGACGGCGACTTTGTCGACGTCGTCGCGACGCTGCAGCGCGGACGCCGTCGTCAGCATTCCGCTCGACGAGTCCCGACGAACGACGTACCTGAACAAACCCTTCAAGAAGAGCGGCTTGAAATCCTTATCCGCCCCATTCCGCTCGTCCTCCTGATCCCGCCCCTCACGCCCCTCTCCACCCTCACCACCCCGCCCACGCCCGCCCCCCCTCTGCTCATCCCCCTCATCCCCCTCCTCCTCCTCATCATCCGGACCCTCCTCCTCGTCCGTCCTCCCAAACCGCCGATCCATCACCGGCCGCCCCCCCGCCATGCTATTCCCCGTCGACGGCCGCCGATGCCGCCCAATCGTGCCCCCGGCGCTCGACAGCAGCGCCGCGCCCATGCTACTCCGACGCTCGTGCCGCAGGTTACGCGCCTGCGGGTCGAGGATCGTCGCCGCGCGGCGGTGGTGCGCCGGCATCGTCTGGCTGTGCGAGATCCCCGCCGCCGACGCCGTGCCCGCGTTCTTCCGCGGCTCCGCGTCCTCCTTCGGCTTCTCGCCCTCGCTCGCCGCCAGCCCATGCACGTCGCCCTCCCGGCGCTCCCCCTCCCCAGACGGCCTCGGCGACGAAAACCCACCAAGAATACTCGTGCGCCTCGCCGGATGCCTCCGCCCCTCCTCGCCCCGCCCGCTGCCGCCCCCAAGCAAGCTCCCAAACTTGCGCGCGAGCGTCGCGCCCGCGGACATCGGCGGCGTCGCCGGCGAGAACGAGATATCGGGCTGCGGCGGCGGCGTGCGCTGGCGCTGCCGGCGCTCTGCTTCTTCTTCTTCCTGCTGCTGCTGCTGCTCCGCCTCCTCGATCTTCTCCGCAAACGTCATGAGCTCCGGACCCGCCGTATGCGGCGCCTCGCGCCCGTTCGCCAACTCCCCGTGCTCACCGATCCCACCCCCGTGCCCGACCCCGCCCGCGCCGCCAAACATGCCCGCCCACCCGCGCGCGATCGTCGGGCGCTGGCTCAAGCTATGGCTCCTGCGATGCGTCGACGCCGGCGGCGCGCGCGGCATCGTCGGCTTCGCAGGCGACCCGGGCGCACTGGGCGCACCGCCAGGCGCGAGGTCCTCGCGCGCGTGCGCAGCGGGCGGCGGCGGCGGCGCCACGTGGCCCTGGTGGCTCTGCATCGTCGGGGACAGCGCTCCGCCGGTGCTAGGCAGCCCCGGGTCGCGCGCGCGCGGCTGGTGGTGGAAGGTCGCGGCGGTCGGCGAGGGCGTGACGGGCGCGAGGTCGTACGACATGCCCGAGTAGTGCGAGGTCGCGGGCGCCGGGAGACGGGGGAGCTGCATCGCGTAGTCCGCGCGCGCGGGCGGGAGCGGGAGCTGCTGGTTCTGCTGCGGGTCTCTGCGCGGAGCGGTGACCTGTATCGCGGGCTTCGACGCGGACGCGGGCACGGGCACGGGCACGGGCGTCGCGGGGCCCTGCGCGTTGTCGTCTGGAGCCGTGGCGCCCGGGCCGGCGAGGGCCTGGAGGGACAGCTGCGAGCTGGCGAAGTGTCCGGGGCCGTAGACCTGGTCGCGCTCGAGCTTCTCGCGTGCGAGGTAGTATATGGAGAGCAGCGGGTGGAAGCCGCGCGTGGGGTCGGGGGGCTCGCGCGCGTCGGCGAGCGACGCGTGCGAGAGGTGCGACTGCGAGTTGGAGGGCGACTGCGCGAAGGGCGTCTGTGGCGGGGACGACGTCGGCGAGAAGAGCTTGCGGCGATAAAAGTCGAACCCGGAGAAACGCTTGTTCTTCTTGCTCGTCGGGGACATCGGCGGGTCGTGCTTCCCCCCTGCCCCCCCTCCGCCGCTGCCGATGCCGTTGTTGTTGTGCTGGCCCTCCCACGAGAGCGCGAGCGACGAGTTGGAGAGCGACTCGCCCCAGTGGCGGCCGTTGCGGCCGTCGCGCCTGCGCTCCCAGTGCTGCAGCGCGCGGAGGTACGCCTCGGACTCGAGGATCTCGCGCAGCCGGCGCTCGATCTCGGCCTCCGTGCCGAACTCGAAGCCCGCCATGCCGAGGATGACGCGCGGGTCGAGCTCGTCCGCGCGCAGCGGCTCGCGGCGCAGCAGGTGCGCGTCGGGCGCGCCGCCGAAGCCGCGCACCATCCACGGGTGCGCGAGCACCTCGGGCAGCGGCGCGCGGGCGGCGGGGTTCGTGACGAGCATGCGCGCGAGCACCTGTTTGCACTCTGTGCGCGTGCGCGGGGTGGGTGGGCGAATGAGTGAGCGGGTCTGCGGCGCGGGGGGCGCGGAAGCGGACGGGGTACGCACCTGCGCTAAGCCAAACGGGGTACTCGACGAGCCCGCGCTTAATTTTCGCGTGGAGCGCGGGCATGCTCTGGTCGTCGAACGGGACCTTGCCGCAAACGAGGACGTAGAGCACGACGCCGAAGCTCCAGACGTCGACCTCCGGGCCGGTGTACACGCGCGCGTTGAGCAGCTCCGGCGCGGCAAAGTAGAGCGAGCCGCAGAAGGTGGACAGGTGCGACGCGGGGTCGTACAGGTTCGACAAGCCAAAGTCGATGATTTTGATATTCCCCGTCTGGGAGATCAGGATGTTCTCGATCTTGAGATCTGTGGGCGCGCTCCGTCAGCGATCCGACCGGCCACGCGCGCAGCCAGCCGCCCAACGCGCATCCATCCGTCGACCGCCGAATGACAGATGGCAACGGACGAAGTGAAACAAAAAAGCGCGACGCACCTCGGTGGACAACGTTGTTCCGATGGCAGTACTCGAGCGCGCTCCCGATCTGGCGTGCAAACTTGCGCGCGACGCGCTCGCGCAGCTTCCCGTGGCTGATGATATAGTCGAGCATCTGCCCGCCGTTGATGTATTCAAACACCATATAGTAATGGTGCTGGTGGATGATCATCTCGCGCATGCCGCAGATGTACGGGTGGTAGAGCAGCTGGGACAGCGCGGCCTCGCGGATGGTGCGGACCTCCTTGGAATGGTCGCGCGCGGCCTGCTTGATGGCGGCCTCCGAGTTGGGGTGCGCCTGGCTCGGCGGGAGGGGCTGTGCCCGGGACAGGATTTTGACCGCGAGCTGGGAACAAGAAACAGATTTGGTCAGCGCGCACGTCCCGAAAGAGCAGCCTCTGCACGGTCAAATCCGGGATATATGCGCGCACGCCGGCCGACACACGGCCCCGCGCAAAGCCCGCAAGCCAAGGCTTTCCGGCGCGCACCTCCTCCCCTGTCCCGATCCGGGCTCGAATCTGCCCAATCCAGTGACGTCCACTGTCCACGCGCCGCATACCGCCTGCGCGATGCCACTGCATCCAGCGTGGAAGAACACAGAGGAATTAGAGATAGAAAGACGCCGTTTCTGGCTCGATTGTGCCGCAGATCGTCTTCTGAACCACCGCAGAACCTCGACTTTGCGACCCGCACAGCGCGGCGCGAAATGCCCGGAAAACGAGATTCGCCCCGTTAAGCGAGCCTTCGTCGTCGTCGTCGTCGTCGGGAACGGGGCGACGCCGCCCCATGATCGGGGAACAGGCGAGCGCCGACGCAAAGATCACAACACAGCACACAATGAAAACCAAGAAAAAAAATCAAAGGAAAAAAAGGCCCAAACACCAACAGCACCAACACCCAGCGACACGGGCGGACGGCGAAAACGACGACGCCGAGGCCCCAGAGAGACAGACAGCACAGAAAGAAAGAAGAGCGCGCGCACGCACCTTCTCGCCCGTCTGGCTGTGGTGCGCGAGCTTCACCTTGCCCATGCTCCCCGCGCCCAGCGTCTTACTCAGCGTGTACTCGCCCAGCGTCCTGTGGGTCGTGCGCGCGCGCGCGGGGTCGCCCGCGCCCGACGGCGGTGTGGCCGACGCGCGGCGGGCGGCGCGGTCGTCGGTGCGGGGGGGCTGCGTGCGCATGCGGTCGGCGGAGGTGGCGGAGGCGGAGGCGGAGGCGGCGGGGGTGTACGCGGGCGGGGGCATCGAGACGGGGCGGGGGCGGGTCGCGACGGTGCGCGGGGTCGGGAGGGGGAGGGGGTGCGTGGGTGCGGGCGGGGTGTGCTCTGCGGGGGTGGGAGCGCGCTGGGAGGGTGCGGCGCTGCTGTTGTTGGATGCGGGGGGGTGCGGGTGGGTGCCCGCCGTGGTTGTGGCCGTGGTCGTCGTCGTGGGGGTGGTGCTGATGATGGCGTCGCCGGTGCGGGGTGCGAAGAAGGGGGGATGGGGAGGGGAGGGCGGGGTGGGGGACGGTGGGGCACCGGGGGCGGAGAGGGAGGGCGGGGGGTTGTGTGAGGGCTGTGCGATGGAGAGATCGAAGATGTGGCCGTGGACGACGGGACCGTGGGAGGGCGCGTGCGGGCTGGTGGCGCTGGTGCTGGTGCCGGTGCCGGTGCTGGTGCTGCGAGGCTGGTGCTGGTGCTGTGGACTGTGGGGAGCGAGAGCTGAGGGGTAGTATTCGGCCATGCGGCGGCTCGTGGTCGCTGGGCCTGGCTGCTGTGCTGTGTCTACTGCAGTGGTCGAGCGAGGGTGCCAAAGGGTGCGTGAGTCGGTCCAGCGCCCGGTCCGGTCCTGATCACGAAACGAGCGCCCCAAATCGGAGCGCCCGACTGCTCACAGCCCCTTACGTGTCCGATGCAATGCCCGCGGCCTCCCTCGCTCATAATCAACATTCAATTGTCTCCGTCCTCTTTCTCACACGAATGTTTTGGATATGAGTGGCGCAGCTTACAGTCTGTTGCATATCGGCGCTGACAGCGACAGGCGGAAAACACCATCGGACGGAAAACATTCCAATCACAACTGAGGGACACTCAGGGCCGAGGCTCAGCCACAGACACCGACCAACATCGAGCGGGCCTGAGCGCTTGAGCGCTCGACGTCGACGAGGCGATTTTGTGTGCGCGCTCGCAGTGTGAGACCCAATCACGCGCATGGCGCCCGCCGTCCGACGCACTGCGAGCACACTGTCTCCAGACGAGACGCTCGTGACGCATGACTTATGATGATGGAGCAGGGCCGAACGCGCCGCAACCCGCGGGACATCACAACGAGCGGCCGCAGACCGGTCGCGCTCGCGAACGGCAGAAACGAGATACCGTGAAGCGCCCCATACTGTACGAGTCCGTGTAACAGTAGGCGTCCGCCCGTCGCGCCTAGCACCTTCCTCGCATAGACACTGCGCACGCACGCGTCGAGTAGCGCGCCTTGAGCATGAGCATGAGCCCGCACGCCCGTGAACTCACCGACCGCGGCGGGTCCCCACCACAGCGCGCATACATCCGCATCCACAATTACACACGCCGGACACCGGACATCGAACATCGAACACCGGACACTGAGCCCACAGTCCCCCGCCCGACCGCCCACACGCGCACGCACGCACGCCGAGACGACAACGACAGCGAGCACGCCGGTCAACGCGTCTTCTTCGCCTCCACCTTCGGCAACCACCGCACGGGGTGCTTATTATACGCCGGCCACTGCGGCACCGCGACCTGCCGCCCCCGCCCGCACGCGCCATGCCGGATCGCGGTCACGCAAAACGCAGGTAGCCGGAGAGAGGAAAAGGGAGATAATACGTCAGTCTCGAGACGCAGCGATGGCTGATGGCGATGGGAGGGAGAGGCGGCACGCACGAGGAGCAGGACCGCGATGCCGAGCCCGAACACGCCGAACGTGACGCGCAGGGACTGCAGCGCGAGCCCTAGGACGTACGACACGGCCTGCGCACCGCACACGTCGCACCGCACCGCACGCACCGCACGCACCGCACCGCACCGCACCGCACCGCACGCACCGCACCAAGAAGCGATCCGTCAGCGACGAGCCGCGCGGCGGAGAAAGAGGGAGAGGGACGCACCGTGAGCGCGAGCAGCCCGTTGCGCGAGATCCGCTCGACGGCCCTCTGGCCCTCGAAGTCCTGCAAACAACGAAAAGACAGGCTCAGCATCAGCGTCGGCGTCGGCGTCAATGTCAGCATCGACGCCAGCATCGGCATCGGCGGCAGCGCCGCCTGCGTTAGCCCTGCCGTCGTCCGTCGTAGGACAGGCGCGCGCGACGCACGCATATGTGCACGTGAAGATTGGGGTCGAGACGCGAGACGCGACGCACGATTTTCCCCTCTACGAGGTCTTGCAGGAATGACATTATGCGCCTGGGTAAGCTGGTGCTCGCGTAGTCGTTGAGCGTTGAAACGTTGATATGTGAGGCCTTGAGCTGCGGTGCGGAGGAGGTGCAAGTGCAAGGAGTGTGGGAACGTCAGCTGGATGACGGGTTCGTGACGTGTTGCAATCATGAAGGACACGTGCCGAGGCGCGTCGCATCTGTGCGTTCGTCGAGCTCTTCCAGTCGGTAAGTCAGTCAGTCATTTTATATGCTGCAGTCAGATGTGTGGTTACGACGCCGCCAGCAAGTAAAACGAATTAAGAGACCCGCACAGCAGATCCCCGAAACAAGCTACTATCTACGCACGCATATCAAGCCTCTATTCACTGCCATTTGCCATCCATCCAGCGATACAAGCGCAGCCGATGGGGAGCACTACGTGCCCATGCCCATTCGAGAACGCATACCTCATCTAACTTTCACCTGTCCCCCGCTCGCTCGGCCAAAATGCGGCCTAGCGCCCGAGGGGGGCTCGTCGGGGGCAGTCGGCAAGGTATAGCGCGAGCCGCTGGCTTCTGCCCCGCTCTTCAACGAGCGCGCGATCCGCGCGAGGGCGTCGTACCGCGCTAGCGGTGCGCGTCGCGCGCGCTGGCGTCCGCGTCGCCGTCGGCCGTCGTCGTCCTTTGGAGCGCGGCTGATCTCCTGCCTCGAACGCGACGAGGGCGACCCGCAGTCTCTCTCTCCCTTCCCGAAGGACTCCACGCCCACGCCCACGCCCACGCCCACGCCCACGCCCACATTCACGCTCGCGGACCCGTCCAGCGGGATGGCGCGCGAAAAGGCGACGAGTTGGGCGGCGGTGCTCGGGGCGGAGAGGAGACCCTCGTCCAGGCCCGCCCCGAGCTCAGCCGCGCCGCGCGCGTCGGAGCGCTGCGTACACAGAGAGGGCGCCGCCACCGGGGGGCCGCAATGGCGCGCACAACGGGGGTGGAGCGAGCGCGCCCGTGCGGAGTCCCGTCTCGATAGCTGGATCTGGGTCCGGGTCGGGGTGGGAATTGCTGACGCTGTCGATATGGCTAGTAGAGCCACCAAGAACACCGGAAAGGGTATCATCGCGGAGAAGGAAGAAAGAGTGGACGGTGTTGAGAAGAGAGAGGGGAGGAATCGAGATGAGAGTCGGGTCCGTGACACGCTCGGGGGGATGAACTTGGGAACAGGCGAGCGAGAGTCGACGACTTTATATGGGAGACTGTTGCTGGCGCAGAGCCGCAGGAGTCGGGGCGTGGAGGATACCCGCCCATGCGCGGCGAGTCACGCTCACGCAGGATTCGAGGCGTGCCCTGCCCAAGAGGCGGCCGACTCGACGTTTCGAAGATGTATGGTGTGGCCTTTCCAGGTAGAATGTCCGCATCTTGGTCGCGTTGGAGTAAGAATAGATTCGCACATACCGGTAGTTGTATACAGACGCGTGTAGCATACACTCCGCGATCCCGGCTCACATGAGAAATCCAAGAGCCTGATAGTATCTGTACTCGCTATGCATAGACCTGGAGACGAGTAGAGGTCAGCGTGGCTCTCGATCGACCATAGTGACGAAATTGGGCTAGAGCCTAATTTGGCGCCCGAGGAAGAGAATCAGGATACACACAAGCAACGTGTGTGGTTGTGAACTGCCTAACTGATGGTATCAACGTGTAATCCCGGATCCCGTACTGTGACAGGACATCGGTGCTTTCCAGAGTGCGAGAAGCACACGAGGACAAGTCAAAAACCATACTGCGTCTTCGCACAACTCGACAGGGCAGTTGCTGGTCGCTAAATTTGATAGAGCAAAGTGTGGATGAGTTGAATGTCGTCGATCACTGCCAAGGGCGTCATGAGTCAAGGCGGGCTCTCCTGGATTGTATTTGTTAACCTCAAGAGCGAAATCAAACGAACCGAAGGCCTCAATGGTTGTGTGAGCCGTTTGCGAAGGCGGTTAACAGTCAGCCTGCAAGAGCCGAAACACCGTATTGATGGGGCCCGTAGTCTTCGGATTGACCGCAGCCTACAATGTATCAGGTGAAGAGAAAATGTTCCTGGCATGAAATCCGTGCAAGCCGTTCGACAGTCTGTGGCCATGATACGAGGCGCAGCGAGGGCAGACAGAGACAACTGAGATGGATAAACTTTAGGGTTAAGTATACGTAATAAGTAACCCGATGAAAATTCGAAATGGCATGGATACGCAGCCAAATTTGGACAAAATTCCCACCTGCGCTCGCTCTGTTGTCTCGTTTCCTACGAGAGTCGTAGAGCGCTCTCTTCCTGGACCGACACCTGCAACCGCTGACTGGCATCTATCCAGCCGGTCGAGCGCCCTGGACAATTTGACGACGCACTAACGACGTTCGCAAGCATACCCTACATCTTATACCAGCCACCTAGTCCCCACGCGCGCTTCGCTTCGCTTCTCTTCTCTTTGACTTGAGGATACCATCATCAGAGCTTGCCTTTGTCTCTTGGTTTTGCTGGCCAGCCTCCTCAGCCCTACCTCACATATCAAGTATCTACACCCCCACCCATCGTAATGCCCGCACCAGCCAAGAGCGGTCAGGCGCTCTTCCTCGGGCTCGAACTCGCTACAGACCAGTTGCGTGCGTCCATAGTGGACGAGAACTTAGAGTTGGTCGGCGTAGAGGCGGTTGATTTCGATGTAGAGTTACCGGAGTACCAGTGAGTAGTCTTATGCTATATCTCCTGCTTGGCAGTGTTCCCCTTGCCCCATCCTGCCAGCTGGCATATCAATGGCGTGTATCGCGTCCGAAGCGCGTGCTGACGTTTCTTCAGGACTCAGGGTGGGATATTTACGACGCCCGGCGATGCCTATACCACACCTGTGGATATGTGGGTCAAGGCCCTAGGTGAGCACCTTTGCACGGAACCAATTTTTTTTCGATTATCCCGGCGGTAAACAGTTACTAATTTTGTCCGCCTTTTTTTGATCGCCAATCTTGATTCCACTTCCTTGTCACGTCGTCCTGGTCTCATTCGCCCCTCCCACCATCCCATTCTTCGTCTGCGATGACACAGACTTTTTACTCGAGAAAGTGAGCAGGAATTACGAAGTCGGTCGCATCAAGTCAATAGGCGGGGCTGCTCAGGTGAGATTTACTTCCGTTTCTGCGCCACTCCTTTGGGCTCTATGTCACGCTTGTCACGGGTGTCATCCTAGTGGTGACCAGCTGCGTGGCGTGCACTGCCTCCTACTTGGGCTTTGGCCATCACATCTCCAACACGCTGTACTGGCTCTGCTACCATGAGTAGCAGAAATAGCCTAAAGACTTGCATTCGAGCCGGTTCAAATATTGTCAGGGCTGAGCGCGCTTGATGGATCGTATCGCAGTTTTCTCGTTTCTCAATACCTCAAGCGTAGTAAACATACTCACTTTTCCTTTGTTTGTCCAAGACTGCCTTAGTTTGGTGGAAATCGGCCCCAATACCGTCTTTCCCGCCATTGAACTCGCGGCTTCCTCTCCATTCACAACTATCCCCTAGTGCATTTTCTCTACCTAATACTCCTGTCGCCCAAGACACTTTTTCACACTCACATGCGTTGAACCTTGAAGCAGCGCTTGGCGGGCCGGACCATATGGCGGCTCGTGTAGGGACCAGCGCACACGCGTCGCTTGTTGCCGCACAACTGCTTCGTGTGCGCGAGACATCGCCGGAGGTATGGGCACGTACGGGACGGGTCCAGGCGGCCTCTGCTTTCCTTGCCAGCTTGATCACAGGCTCCTGGGTCGGCATGAGCGAAGCGGAAGCTTGCGGGACCGGCATGTGGCGGTATGCCATGGGCGGACAGGGCCAGTGGGACGATGAGGTCCTTGAGTACATTGCAGGCGGAGGCAGAGATGAGGGGCTTCGCCTCCGCAGCTGGCTCGGAGACGTCGACACTTCGGGCGGTGGCCGCCGTATTGCGAATATCTCCAGGTACCTCGCTGAGCGATACGGGTTTGAGCCTGGTGAGCACCATCGAAGTTGACCGACCTTCAAATCTAATCGAATTCCGTAGACACGATGGTTGCTTCATTCACGTCAGACTATTTGTCGACCTATCTTTCTCTTTGCCCTTCACCCTCGGATGCCGTGCTCTCATTTGGCCCTATGGATTTCTTGCTTACAAGTGCACCGCACTATCTCCCCACGCGCCTTTACAGCGTATACCCACACCCTGCACAGGACCCGAGCGAAAAACGGAAATATATTGTCATGCTGACTAGTCGGTGAGTCGGGCCTAGATGTTATGTGATCGATGCGAGGCTCAGACATCGCACAGAAACGCAGACGTTCCCCGGGCGCTCGTACGTGATATGTATACCAAAAGTTGGAGTGCTTTTGACCGCTTGGTCTCGGTTGTACCTCCGGGAGGTTCCATTGGGTTGGTGCTGCATCACGTTGACTTCGGGCGATCCATGTTCTGACATCCAGCTAGTCTCGATGACAAGCTGTTCAGCTTCTGGCTCCTTCAAGGAGACAGCTATCCCCTGTCCCACGTCAAAGGCATCTTCCGTTTCGAGACAGGCATCAAGGTCAACGAATTCCGCGATCTGCGCGCCAACCCTCGCTGCCTTGTTGAAAGTCAGGTGCTTTCCTTCCGTGTTCGGTGGTCAAGAATGGTCGCGACCGGTGTCCTTGGAGCTGCTGCTGGCCGCTCTCGAGGCAGCAATTTCATGGCTGCCGCGGCCAGTTCCACCGCTTCTCCTGGACCAGGCAGCAGTCAGACCGGACGCACAGCCGCTCCCGTCGCTCCCGCAGCGGCTACGGCGATCGGCCTTTCGTTCGACCCATACGATTATCAAACACTTCCAGGACGGATTCTCACCACAGGCGCCGCCATCAACTTCCCTTCTGTCGCAGCTCTGGTGGGCGATGTCTTCAACGCGCCGGTGTTCATCCCGACGACCCAGCTGGACTCTGCGCAGGTAGTCCCGCATCGCAACGCTCCGGCTGCTGGCTTCCCGGGCCGTGCTGCGTTAGGAGGCGCATACGTTGCTCGGTGGGTATGGGGAAAGGAGAGGGGTGCCGGCACAGGGAGAGGCAGCTTCGAAGAGGAGGTGAGGCGGCTCATGGGCAAGAGATGGGTTGCAAGCGGTGGTGTGCCTCTGAGGACGAGCGTAAATGCTCCCGTAGTTGGCCCCGCCCCTGCCGCGGGCACCGCAGGCTCGGGTACAAGCACGCCCTACGGACATGGTCATGCCCTGCGAGCGGGATTCGGATCTACGGTGTTTGCGGAAGAAGATGAAGACGCGCTCGAGGAGCTTGAGAGGATGGGCATGGCGGAGGGCGCCATCTTCGGGGTGCAGGGAGGACAGTTTGACGAGGCGGGCAGGACGAGGACAATCACGGGGAGCACGAACACGACCGCGACGAGCAGCACCGGTTCGGTCCAGCAGCCCTCTACAGCGTTTACCACGCCCGATCTCGGCACGACTGTCCCTGGCACCCCGGGCGAAAACGGGTCGGCTCCTGCGGCTCCAACGGGGGCAACCGTACTGGCCCCCGTAGTGGCGCTGCCGACGAGTGAGGCGGAGATGCAGCTGGGGTTGGGCAAGGTCGCCGAGGCGGATGTGGACGCGTTCATGGGCTACGCAGCCATCGTGCCAGAGTACTGCCGCCTTGAGGGAATGCTAGTCAAGGCGCTCGTGTGAGCGGGATAGTTTGTGTCCTCGACTCTGCCTCTGTCGATCTCAGTCTGTGGTTTGCTTTGCGGTGCGCTGGATCTTAGTTTGTCTCTTTCTCTCGTCTATTGCGTTGCAGCATTATCTTGCACTCGATATTTATGGATTTGCTCTCGAAAAGCAATAAAAGGTGAAGGGTTTGCGGAGGATAAAAAATGTGGTCGGATGTCATGCCATGTATCTGTACCATATGCCATATAGTAGGGGTCGTGATGGTAGGGTCCATCTCAGGTTTCTTGCACGGTATGTTACTGTGATATACAATGCGCATGTGGATACCATTTCCGTGCACGACGTCAAACCTCCTCCATCCGGAAGCCGGCCCGTGTCTTCACCATGTCCAAACCTTCACCAGACCCGCATCGAGCATCACTCCTTCGCTAAATACATCGATAGTCCTCCTGACAAAATGCTGACGGGGTTTGAGGCTAGATCTCTTCTCACCTCGGTAGCGGTATGACACTATCGTACATCCGACCGACCATCACCTTTCACCTTCGGCATACGTAGAGCGTTGGCACTTCGGTCAGTAGATATGAAAATGCTAGCGTCCAGTCGCCAGCTTCGACGTAAACACGTCTTCTGTACCTGCTACTTACAAACAGGACAAGCCCCACTATGGGGACAGAGGTTCCTAGGCATTGGAGCAGGTGCGTCACTCTACGCCCAAATCTCAAGCACTCCCTCCTAAACTTGACTCCTTGGCATATCCATATCCAGTGGTTCTTGGCGACGCTTGCCAGTCGCTTGCTCCGACACCTCGCTAGCAGCTGAGCTCCTAAATGAGCTCATTCGATGACGAAGGGCTCCTCACTGGGTCTCGAAAGTCCTCGGCTTCTACCGTCCTACCGATCGATTCTGGATTACGGGAACTATATAAACCTAGCGCTCCTGGTGGACAGTTCGTCATCTATTCGTTATGTCTATCCAAGAAGGAGCCACTTACACCCTCATCAATGTCAAGAGTCAAACCGCTCTTGACCTCTCTGGTGGTGACGGCAAATCTATCATCGGCTTTGGATTTCATGGACAAGGCAACCAGCAGGTCAGCACCCAATCCCATCGCCATCGTCGACGACACGTTGGTCTTGACTGCGAGCTGACTATTGTTCGGCAGTGGGTTCTCTCCAAAGGTAGCTCTGGAGGTTGGGTCTTCCGCTCGGTAGCCACAGGAAAGTACCTCGACATCGAGGGGGCTGCTGGAGACGGCACCCCTGTTATCGCCTCCAACTGCTCTCGAGAATGGGACATCTGGCCTGATGAGGAGAACAGCAATGCTTTCAGGTCAGCCATCGATCCTCCTTTTGACACTCAGCGTCGTCTCCACTGATATTGTACTCACGCACGCCCTTTCGCTTTCAGGGTGTTCATCCCAGGCACTTCCTTTAACGTCGACATGTCCGACCACGGGAACTCAACTCCCGGCACGCCCGTCACCCTGTGGGGAAAGTGGAAGGGCATCAATCAAACTTGGGAGTTCAAGCGTGGTAAGTACTCCGCTCGAACCGATCGTCTATCTGCCCCATGAACGAGACTGATTCGATCACTCCAACAGTATAAATCAGTCGCGGATCGATGCGTGATGTCGAAATGAGATAAATGGGGTGAAGCTCGAGATCCGTCTGTACTTGGTATACGCGCGTTTGACGTGTTGGAATGTACATTGTTTTGACGTATCTGAACCTGATGCGAGCCGATGCAGTCATCGAGAAATTATAGACATGCGGAGTAGGCCACTGCATGTGGATATTTGGACTTTTGGGGAGGAGATATTTGGGGCTGATGCGGGTGTTGTAGCAAAAGATAGTTTACTGCATCAGCAATGAGGTTGTCAGCACTGCCCGCGGGTGCCACTGTTCGTCCCGCTGCTTCATGGTCAACCTCGAGGCAACGAAGTCCGTGAATAGAACCTTCATCAAACCCTAGCCGATCACAGAACGTGAGCAAGATGACGCTACGCAGAGCACAGTCGCAGCCCGGCATCGTGTTAATGGTATGTATACGCACCAAAAACAGGCTGCGTAACATCCACTACCGCACACAAGCAGCAGCATCAGCACCATAAGCCCACGCTCAACACTCGCGGCGCACAGCCATGAGTATGGATACAAAATAAGCACACCAGCACACCAGCACCCTCGCCTCGTTCTTAGAACCTTCATCACCTCTTGTTACCCAACACTTCGTCCTCACACACCTATCGTCTCATATCATGGGAAATACTCCAAGTCAGAGACGCGAATCTCCTTTCGGGTCCAAGCCCTCAAGTACGCGCAGCCTACCGCCTCAGCCGGGCGATTTAATGCCGGGCGAGTTGGCGCAGACACCGAGGGAGGAGATGGAAGGTATTCTGGCGGCGAAAGGGCTCTTGGGGATATTAGGAATAGAGACACCAAGAGCAGACATGAGGTTTACAGGGCACGTGAACAGAGAAGGGAGCGCAGTGGATCAGAGGGAGGGCGAGAGAAGGACCGGGGGTATCGCCAGCAGTGCTAACGAGAATCCGGTCGAGCCAGAGCGACAAGAGGAGCACCATACGGAGACGCACACTGGAGACGCCAAGGCGGAGGCACAGACAGAGGAAAATGGACATCAGGCAGAGCAGGAGCGGGACGTCATATCAGGGAAGAGTGAGGCCAGATCACATGAGACACATGTCGAAGCCATCCAGCTCAATCCAGAGAGGGCACCCCAAAAGCTGGAGGCCATCGAGGAGGAAAAGGAGTTCGGAAGAGTGCGTACAGAAGAATTGAAAGCCGAGGAAGACTGGAGGCAGTCCGGAGCACTCGATGATGAGACGCCGCTCAAGACGCTTATCAACGAGATAGTCCAAGCTAGGCAAGAGGAGACTAACAAGTCTGTCATCGGTGAGCCTGAAAATGCCCTCGTGCGATGAGAGTGCTGAATATCGTTCTCGAGACAGAAGGACACGAGAATTGGTTAGAAGACATCGCCAGCAACCTCCCAAGTCGCGCAATGGAACAGCTGAATCGCGTCAGAGAACGTTACTCTGCGCACTTTACGATGTCTTCTCCTATACAGGACGCTTCGGTTCTGCCAGCCCAGGATGAGGCGCAAGGCGGGGAGCAAGAATCGCCGATCACTCATGGTGAGAGCCTGGTTCTAATCCGAGTCGTAGCTTGCATGCTCACGCTTTGCGATAGAACGACCTGAGAGCCGCTTGGATGATGAGGACTACTCCCGAAGGCGCTTTGAGGAGCAGTTGACGCCTGTCAACGAAAGGGCTATTGTCGAGTACCGAATGCCGTCCCCCATACCTGACGCTTCCCCCAAGCGCCAGGAATATCCCCTGCAGATCCAAAGCAATGTGTACGACGGCGAGCAAGAATCGCCGTACTATCGAGATGTCGAAGAGGGGTCGCAGCTCTCATTTCCGCTCTTAAAACCCATCGCTATTCCATCCGCTCCAGACTATCAATCGCTGCCGACACCGAAATCAAATCACACGCCTCCTAGGTTGATGTCGGGCGTGTACATCATGACGGACGCAATTTGGGGTACGGCACTGGACCTCCATGGAGGTGACAACACCTCGGCCATTGCGTATGATATGCATGGCGGGGAGAACCAGCAGGTGCGCGACCTTTCCGTTTTATCGACAGTATTGTCCTCGTCACTGACTGCGACCATAGTGGGAATTTTCGTCTCTTGGTTCTGGATATGCCATCAGAAACATGCGCAGTGGATCATATTTGAGCATCGATGGGAGACTGGAGGCAGGCGTCCCGATCGTTGCGATCCCTTATCGGGTCAGTTGGGATGTCGAAATCGTCGAGATCCCGGGCACGGAGAACGAAGATGAAGACGAGGCCCTTGTGAGGTAAGAGATAGATCCGGGGTCCCTGCCCGAAGCATGAGCTCGTCCTGATCAGTACCTTTCTTTCACAGAATCCGCTGGCCGTACACAGATCTGGTATTCTCGTTCCAAAACGCAGCAGCAGGAACGCAGGTCAGTCCAACCCCTTCGTTCCAGTCCAATCCAGACAATGCTCACCTTGATTTCCAGGCCATACTTGCTGAACAAGGATCGGCTAGTAGCTGGCACTGGCGGCTACGTCCGTACGCTGGCACGCCCCCTGCAGCATCACATCAAAAAATCAAGACCTTTGACAGCAGAGAAGAAACTGACGGTAAATTCAAGACAGTAACGATGACCACGACTACGACGACCACGACTGTTACGACGGTGACGAGAGTGACATCAATGAGGAGCGAAATATAATCTCGAAAATGACAAGAGCGAACTCACATTCATGGCTGGCTTCATGGACGTAATATCTCTAATTATTGGCTTCTTAATGTTCGGAGCGAGCGATGCGATAGGCGTCGTGATATGCAATAGTTTGTCGATGTCTAACATAGGAGTTCAATCAGTGAACGATAGACTTATTTATGCTTTCAAGTACCACGGTGACTCGATGGCGCAGACGAAGTCGTGTAGTAGACTAGTGGTAACTTGCAAAATAGTCATGCATGTGTCACTCTATTGACTCGTAGGGAACATGGAAGAAGTTCTAATGACCCTGAGCGTAGGGCTTACCATAGATAACTTGGAGACCCTTTGAGATGTGAATGGTGCGGCATTCTAGAGAAGAGGCTGCGCAGGGTGTGCTGTTGCCTGCGGCAATGAACTGGCAATGATCAAGAGGCGTGGATGACAATTCATCGTGACAGATCGTGACAGACATATAGAATAATTCTAGAAAGTTAGTATCAGAGTGTGACGCATCTGTGTCACATGCGCACGAAATCTGCACACTCTGCACACTGGTACAGTAATGTGGTAGGTTGTGATGCATCCGTGTGTAATAGGTAACAGTCTAGGGGAGACGAGTCTATGTAATAAAACAGAGTACATGTGCGCACTGTGCGGGTAAAATGAAAAAAATAAGTTATCGTGACCACGGGTCCGCGCCTCTACGACATACACTCGCTATTCTAGCAAAAGCCTACACGCACAGAGAGGGTAGGCAGGAATAAGCTGCTTATGCGCCCATAAACCCGTCCCACTTGCTCAAGCACGAGTAGCCGTCGTAATCTGCGACCGCACGAACAACGGTCAGAACGGGAGTCGAGCAGGGAGAAGGAAGATGACGTACCGAAACTTTTGCCTGGATCACACGTGCATCGCCCTCGTTGCCAGAGGTCCTTCTCCTTCGGACAGTGCGTGTACGGGCTGTGTTCGTATCCGATCTCTCGGAAGAAGTGGAGCTGGTCTTTGTGCGCGAACAGAGCCACGGCGATCGAGTGTACTGGGGCATCGCCCCACCGCTACAAGTTCATCAAGTTCATCAGCATTCGCATTCACCCATCGAAGCGAGAATGAACATGGACAACGTCTCACCTCGTAGTAGAATCCACCCTTGGAATCCAGAAACTCGAAGAACTTAGTGTATGCCTCTCCTCGCCAGAAGTCCATGTCGGCGATCTCGAAGTTACTCCAGACTGCGTATCATTTTTTTGGATTAGCAAGTGCGCATGATAGCTCGGAGAGGGCCATATATGAACGTACAATGACATAGGTTGTAACTGTTACCGTGGTTGTCAGACACGAAACTCATTGCGTTGTCGGGGGATAGGTATTGTGGATGTTGATAGATAAATTCTATATTGATTTAGTCGAGTTACTAAAAAAAAAGGTCAAGATAGGCGTAAGGTAGTTTACCCTTGACGGTTGCCCATAGTGTGGAAATTGTGGCCTCGAATTCGTACATTGTGATCGTAAAGCCTATTCCAAGGTAAGTGCAAGGTAGGCAGATGGGCATCAAGCTTGAGTACCATAAGTTTTGTTGTTGCTTTGCATGTATAAGAATGGGTCGAAGTTCACATCGCAATGAAAATGAACATCTGGCCTGAAATCCGCCAATGTCAGCATATACCGAGTACATGCAAAAATAAACGTACTCGACGCGCCAATAGTAGCGGTACTGCTGGAGTAGTTCGTGACGATAGAAGAACTATATGACAGAAATACCACGCTTGTTCAATTTTTCGGCCATGTTAAGAAATTTCAGTGAAAGAGATGCGTACACCGGAGTTAAAGCGGCACATGTTGCGGTATCTGTGATGGGTCAGCTCCACAATGTGTTTCCGTCTGATACCAGACGTATGACTCACGAGACACTGCCTCCATAGATGATGTTATCTTCGACCATCTTGTTCCGCGCGTTGGTAGCTCTTGTTTCATCTATCCAGTTTGGCTGATGCCAGTGCTCCTGTGGGATCTGACCGAAATGAACGGCAGCGCCAATGAGGTTGCCCACTCGTCTGGCAGGGGCAATTTTATTTGATGCTAGACACTACAAACCAAATCACGGCGCACCTCTTGAACTCATCCGAGAACGGCTCCTCATTCAAAAACACCCATGGGTAGTTGAACTTTTTGTTGAACTTGTCCTCCACTTCTCGCACACTGCGGATTACGCCGTCCAAGTCCGAGTTCCTCGCGAGCATAACTAGCGTTGCGTTGGCCTTGCGTAACAAAAAGGGATTTGCTTGAGATATACCGGGGGCGGGGGAATGGGGACGGCTGATTTTGTTCTCTTGGAGATAGAACGAATCCGGAACACCATTGAGTGCATTTTCCGATCCGGTGAGGCCATAAATGGACTTAATGTGCGCGAAGGGTTCTGTGAAAAGGCGAAGGAGAGAAAAGACGAGGATCTGCGATTGAAAGTCAGATATATCCAACGAAAGATGCTCAGTATACGCACGACAACTACCGCCACTGCGCCCATGGACCGCACAGACTTGTTCATCGCGCTACCTAGCCAGGCCCGCGAATAGAAGGGGGAAATAGATGCCAATTTATGAGAATAGGGTGTTAATTTATGGCAGGGACGCCCACCAAAGCGATGCTGCGGAATAAGACTGAGGAAGGCGCCAGGAGAAAGCGCAGCGGCTGTATAGATTGCCCTCCGTCGGATCCAAGAGTCGGCAGCTCTAGGTCCTGGGGAGAAGTCTTCCGCCGGGGCAGTGATGTGTGTAGAGAGGTAGTAGAGAGGTGTGAGCTAGAAGGAAACCCTGAGGGCACCATTATGCTAGATTTTGCATGTTCGACGGAAAGAGGGTGAGCTGTGACGGATATCCGACATTTTTGAACCCAGCGGCCTTGGATGCCCTTTCGTTGCTCCACCGCTATCATTGCGCCGATCTTCACCAACCTCCCTCTTTTTCTTTCCACTTTCCCTAGCGCTCAGAAGATGCGCGTCGTGTTCTTTCCCTTTTGATAGTGAGAATCCTCTTTGAACCGATTAAGGTCAAAATTACATCCACAGGTTTTCCCCCGCGGCGGTATCACTAGCGGGAAAAGATCTCCAGGGGTCGACATCGCAGTTGGCGTTGGTAATGTGACGATAAGATCTCCAAAGGAAACTGTGTGCTGAACAAGCGATTTGACCACGTCTGTAACTCTTATCTAGACGCGTTGGCCAGCCTGTGCACTGTCAATGTTGTTGCCGGCCTCATCAGTCTTTGTATACTATTCGCGTCATAATCCCACATATGCCCCGCCGATTCCTGTGTCACTATTGTGAGAAGATGCTGTCAACGCGATGGAGATTCAGTTCAGTCCAGCTCAGCTCACGCCTACATCTCAACTTGATATATCAGTTACGACGCCCCACTGGATCTTTGGATCCTTCTACAGCGCGAAGATGCTTTATCTGATAGATACCGAGTAGTAAGCCCGGAGATGTACGCAGGTTCATACACGCAGCGGTCTGAGTTGTTGGACACCTCACTTAACGTCGTGCCGGCCCCGAGCACAAAGCGGCCTTATGAAGATCAGATATCAGGTATACGATAGAAAAGCGCGTATCACATACGATCAATAGCTATGCAGCAGAAGTAGAAGCATATCCTGATAGATGCTGGCATTGGATTCCTAAGAGACATCTAAGCTCAAAGACTCACTGTCTCCATTCTTTTCGGACAGTCGTAAGTATATCATATATTCATGGGGTGAGGACCAAGTCGAATCGTCTGGCGCGCGAGATGATTTATGCTGAAGCTAACCAACACGGAGGTCTATGGTGGCATCCCCAGAAAAGCACGACGTCTCGCCACTAAGCTCTCAAGCTCGAGCAGAGCCTCATCATCGCCTTCCTCTCCTGGAATCAACGTATGGATGACTCTGTATGAATGATACTCCATGAAGACGTCTAGTCTCGTGTAATGCCTTGGCCTATACCGGGGAACCCGGTGGGCCCTAGCACTGTACGGCGACACGCACTGTACTACTTCAAGTTCCACCAACGCGTCTAGTTCGTCAGCAAAACGAGTCCAGATCTCCCGCCACGGATGCGGAGGCAGTTCTTCTTCGTTGATTGCTATTTTGCACTCTGTCAGATGTAGCGCCTTCAGCGTGCATTTGTGACGGACGATGAAGTCCTCGACTTGGGTATCCTCGTTGAAAAGAATCCCTTCCAAAGAGAGGTTTGCGAGTGAGGGAAGGGTCAACTGCGAGAAGTCCACCCTAGGAATAATGCCGACGTCCTCACTGCTTTGAAGACTGAGCGACGTGAGGGATTGGGAGAGAGAGCTGAGTGGGTTCAGGACTTGATATTGCATTGTCCGCTCCCAGAAATCCCTAAAAGGAAACTGGGAGATACGATTGCGATTGGGGCCAATCGTGATACGCAGACTGTTTAGCGAGTCCACGAGATTCTGAAATGATGGACTTGTATAGGTCGGGTCGGGAATGGGAGCAAGATGAAGAATAGTAAGAGAAGTCAAGAAGAGAGGCCGTGTTTGACCGGTGATAGCAGCCAGGATCGCGCATTGGAGTTGTGCTGTAGGGAGATGGTGCTGGAGATCGAACCACAATGACAGAGCTCTGAGTACAGGAAGTTTGTGGAGTTGTGAGAACGAATACGCGAGGGAGTCCAGCATGCGCCCCTCTTCCTTCGAACCTGATATCAAGTTTGAACGTAGCCATTGAAGTCATGCAAACAGAGCTTACCGAGATCGATCACAGGGAACTCTTGGAACGAGATTGCTTCAATATACTTGGCTAAGTACCCGTGCCGCAAGACTTCACTGAATCTCATAGCACTTGTGAGGGTATTCCTGATCCTAATGTGCTGAAATGCGCGTGGCGTGGCCAAAGTACAGAGATCTCTGTTTGATGATCGAATCCGTAGTTGGTCCGAGCGTCGAGATACTCTGTCAACGATGGCCTTGAGAAGATCGTAAGGCAAAGGATCCATGCGGCTTGGGTCACTGAGGAGATGATCAAAGTGGTCCTGGCTGAAAATCAATATCGAGCTATGTCATGCTCTTATATGCGGCGGTGGCTGTGTGTGACGCACTGCATCCCGAGGACATCGATATATGTAAATAAGTGTACTTCCCAACCGATAAGCCCACCAGGGAACACTCGATTCTAAACATGTTTCTGTCCCTGTTGGGGCACTCAATGAGAGAGTAGAAGAGAAAGAGATGCTGATGTTGCAGACCAGACGTGTTGTTATTAACTTCCAACATGACATAGAGCCCGCCTGTCATGGCGAGCAATGCCTAGTCAGTGATCTACATTTCGGCCCATGCAGGTTGGCAGAGATCGAGATCGTCATGTGTACCCCAGTATCGAATGTGTTACTATCCCCCGTCGCAACCAATGCCATTCATACCCTCGAGTAAGAAAGAGTTGAAGGGGCTGTGGCGAGGAAGTGGGACCTTCAACAAACTTGCAGCTGTGTTACATGGATCGAGCAGGAGACGGCGGCAAACAAAGGGCTGTGCGCACGGGAGATATGGGGCCTGTCGATGAGTTCTGATCAGGCGCCTTCCAAGTTCCCACAAGTAGACATCTAGCAAAACATTCGGGAATCCAGACAGAAATGAAAGCGTGCATCCAGGATGGTTGGCCTTGACAATGAACAAGCTACTGAACAACAAGTCGGAAAACATCCGTTGCCATCCCCGCACACCCTCCAAACATCGATTCCGCCGAACACAAGCAGGCTGGATTTGGAGAGTTGGGCTATATATCCTCCTGAGCTGAATTGCTTGCAAGGCTTGGAAGTGGACGAAACGAGAGTTGATGGCCGGAGATACTAGATGAGAGGCAAGGCTAGATATTGTGAGCAGCAAAGTCGGCCTAGACTGCGGCAGAATCCTGCCATGGGGTATAAGTGATTTGGGACGAACAAAGAGTATGATCGATGTTGCGCCATGCGCCATGAAAAGGCCAGGACGAAAATGAACACGTCATTAAAGACTGTAAGCAGTCTGTAAGCCCCAACCTGCACACTACCGACCCGCACCCGCTCGCAATGATGTAGAACAGTTTATAGAACTTCCCAATATTTCGCCGCACTGATACTACGCCAAGCGAGCTGCCTCAAAACATTCAATGATAGGTAGTGCATGGCTAAGAGCAAAAAAACTATCTCGTATTATATGCCAACCCGCCTGATACCACTCAACCGCCTTACGAGTTAGTACTCGTACAACCCGGCTCTCTTCCAAGCTGGCTCCTATCCAAGGCCACAGCTACCAGAGTACCAGTCAAAGGAGGCAAAAAAAGATACACACGGCGTTAATCGTGAATGTGCATTCAGACTAATCACTGCACATCGAGCGTGCCGTTCTTGAACTCGAGCAACGGGTACGGCCCGACTTGTCACGAGAAAATAACTCGTTAACATCTATCTATCGCATAATGGCGCCTCAAACAAAACGAAGATGCAAGGTGAAAGTGGGGATGAGGAAAAGAGCTTTTTTTGATAAAAACTCACCCCGACGAGACTCATATGCGTAACAGTCAGCACTGCTGTGCCGCTCTGCATCGTCGCAGGTACGGTCACCGTGAAATTCTGCTGCGGCACATCTTGCAGTGTGCGGGACAGTCAAGTCCGCCAAGGTCTTTTCGCGCCATTCACTTCAAGGACGGTGGGTTCTAGTATGATGTCGTTCAAGTCCTGCTTGTATTCTGTTACCAGAGGTATTTAGCCTTGAACACATAGTCCCCCACTCGCTTCAATGTGATTGAACAAACTTACCCTCATCATGTCTCCAGGCCTCCAGAAATGTGATTGCTTCGATTGATCGAGCGATCGTATCATGCCCTAGGATCTCATCAAATCCTCTGGCACTCTTGACTGTGCTCTGTACCATGACATGTCGGAAGATGCGCCGCGTGACCAGCGTACACAACGTCTTGCTTAGCGTCCTAATCCCTAATACATCCTTGCGGCGCGAGACTCTGTCGACGATGGCTTTGAGGAACTCGTAGGGTAAGGAATCCATAAGCTCGGTCGATTGTAAAGGTGATCGATGATATTTGGATTAGGGATGGTGATTGTTATGGAGTAGGTCCCACAAAACAGCCCTACAAGACGTCCGATCGGTGATAACCAGTACAGGTGCAAAGCTAGAACCCGTGACTTGAGTACGTACTTCTCGAGAACGCGAAACGGGTGCACGCAACAGAGTACGAGAGGACGTATACTACCTACAAGTCCAAGAGTAAGCTTCCGATACGAAACAGAGTCTGTATCTGTCCCTGTCTCTGTCCAAAGTACGCGTCAAACAGGAATGCGAAAGTCAATATCATTTTTGGCATGAGCGTGCTTTCGGGCGATCACTGCTGCGGCTGCACATCGAGCGTGACATTCTTGAACTCAAACAACGGGTACGGTCCAGCCTATCGTGAACGAACAGCCCGTCAACATCTTTCGCGCGAACGCAAACCGAAAGGATGCACAACGGAGAATATGGCGAAAAAAACGAGCACTCACTCCGACGAGACTGAGGTGCGTGACAGTCAGCACCGCTGTGCCATTTTGCAACGCCGCGGGCACGGTCACCGTGAAATTCTGCTGCGGCACGTCCTGCGGCGTGCGGAAGCTAGGGTACTGCGGATCGAAAGGACCGTAGTAAAGCGTGGGTCCGAGGAGCTGCGTCGGGTCGAGACAGTGGGGCACGTTCGACGATGGGCAGTGCGCGAGGGAGATGATGATGGCGACCTCTTGTGAGCCGGTGAGGGAGTTCTGCGGAAAGGTAGGAGTGAGCGTCGACTACAGGTGAGAAGAGGCAAGGGGGAGAAGGCGTGCGTACCGGGCGGTCGACCTGGACGGTCAGCGAGCTGTTCGGTGAGACACTGAACCCCTCGGGCGGATATCCGATCGCAATAGTTTGTGCAGAGGCCCCGCCGACGAGGCATGTGACAAGGGCGGTGAGTGGTGCGAAGTGAGCAAAGAGCTTCATGGCAATGGAAGGTGGTTGTTAAATGCGATGAACAAGTGGTAAACGAAAGTCGAGACACTAAATCGTTAGATAGGGGGTATCGAAGGCAAAGAAGGATCGAGAAACTCGCACTCTAGGGGGCCCTGCTCTTATATATGAAGCCAGCATGCACTCAGGCGATCGCAGACCGCAGACCGCGGCGCTAAGCATGAAAGGAGACGCCATTCTCCCACCCATTCCGTCAGCGGAAGTGTGAAACGCGACGCCTTCACAGCCCCAAAGGTGTGTATGACGTCGAGTGATGCCCCGAAGCGCCCTAGTCCGAGCTAGGCAGTGTCGAGGGCCGTCGGCCGCTATGAGGACTTTCACGAGACCGTGCACACATGGAAGCGGGATGCTCGCATAGAGAGGGCCAGCGAGTTGCTCAGAACGTGCCATGGGCCATACTTCGCACTCGGAAGAGAATCGGACACGCTGACTAGACTGGGCGGAGAATGCACGAAGCGAAGTGGATCGTCCCTTCGACAGGGCCGGAACGGATCATCAGCCTCGATGTTCCGTTGGAGTGGATGATGAGACAGGGTAAAAATGAGCATTCAGGGCCGAGCACATACGAGCGAAGAGATGTCGGCCGATTGTCGTCTCAAGGACGATGCCGAAAGAACCTGGAATATGGAGCGGCTGTTGCGCGGGCATGCAAGCATAGTTTCTCGTCCGGAAGTAGGCAAGCATGGGCGGTCCATGCAGAAGGGAAGTTGATGCAGCAGAGAAAAGAAAGAGAAGGACAACGGAATAGGCCGACGCGTGCTGGCACGTGGGGCGACCGACCCGACGGCACACTTTCCTTCAAACAACTTCCACAGCTCGACGGCAACCGCAGACATGCAAGAAAATCAACCCAACGTTCGCTCCCAAAATAAAAATCAAAAATCAAAGCGTCACTCGACTCAAACAGATCGTCACAATGTACAGATAGCAAAAATAAGAAAAAACAGGCAGAAAAGGAAGCATGACCCGCACTGCCCGACGAGCCTCATCTCTTCCCTCCAGCGCTAGTGGCAGCGGCAGCCAATCTCTGTTCAATCCCGCTCGCCCACCGCGATCCCCTGCCCTCCTGCTCTGGTGCGTGGGCTTCGTCTAGCAGCACCGGGCTGCCCGCACCGAACATACCCGGACTCGCCGGGGCGCGCTCCCCGTGCACGTCGCGCGCGCTCCAGCTCTGCGCGACGACGGCATCGACGCGGTCGAGCGCGGTGCGGCGCGCGGCGTGCCGAGCCGCGGGGGATGTGCTACGTGTGCCTGCGCTGGGGCCTGTGCGGGGCTGGGATCTGGGGGGCGAGGCGGGCGCGGGCGGCGGGGACGAGGGGAAGGGGTAGTGCGACGCGGCGGAAGTGGTGGTGGCGGAGGGCGGGCTGGACAAGGGGCTGGAGCGCGCCCCCGCGCGGGGCTTCGTGAGCCTGTTCTGAAACGCGGGAGATGCGGGGAACGGGAGCAGCGGGGGCTCGCGCGCGGTGTGCAGTTTCCGGCCGGGGCTCGGGCTCGCGGCGGGTGGGAGCTTGGTTGCGCGCGGCGCGCGCGGAGTCGAACACGCGGACGCAGACGCGGACGTGAGGAGCGGGCTGAAGAGCAGGCGTGCGTCGAGCGGGTCGGACGTGATGAGCTTCGGGCTGAGCGGGAGCACCGACGCGTCGACGCGCGCGCCCCGCGCGGCCCTGCGCGCCGTCGCGTGCCGACTCGGCACGGGCGTGTACCGGTCCCCCGCCCCCTTCTGCTGCACACCGCCTTCACCGCCGCCGTCGCCGAGGTTCTCGTCGTGACCGCGCTCGTCGTCGGCGATCGTGGGCGGGTACGACGATGCGGGCGACCAGCTGCGCGTCCACGCCATCCAGTGCGCGCGCGGCTCGCGGTCGACGGCCGCGCGCACCTCCGAGTCCGTGCGCCACTGCGTGCTGCGGTGCGTCGTCTGGCGGCGCGGCGGCGCGCGCTGCGGCCTTTGCGCCTGCAGCGGGACGCGCTCCGGCGCCTCCGTGTCCTCCTCGACGATGCGGAACCCGCGCCCAGGCGCCCACGCCCCCTCCTCCTCTCCGAACCCGTCGTCCTCGCCGCGCGGCGGCCCCGGATCGTACGCTCCAGCGCCCAGCACCCCCTCTTCCTCGCTCCCGCTCAACATGGCCCCCGCGCGCCTGCCCGGCCGGCTGTAGCGGCTGTAGCGGCTGCTCTCCCGGCTCACGCCAGCGCTGTCGCCGCCGCTGCCCGCACTGTCGAGCCCAGACCCGATCCCGAGGCGCTCCATGATCGCGCGCCGAATCGACCGCTGGACGAACCGCGCGCCCCCGCGCGCGCGGTCGTCCCCGTCCCCGGCCTCGGCCTCGTCTTCGGAGGGATACGCGCTGCTGCCGAGGAGCCCGAGCGAGCCCGGCGTCGCGGGGCGCGAGCTGATGAACGTCGGGTGGCGCGAGATCGCACGCGCAGCGGGGGCGGGAGCATGCGGCGGCGGAGACGCCGCCAGCGAGACAGACTCCAAAGGGCGTCCGCCCAGCGTCGTCGGTGGCAGCAGGTGCCGCCCGCCCGCGCCCGAGACGAGCGACCACTCCGAGCGCGCAGAGTACATAGATCCGCGGCGCGCGCCGACCGCGTGCAGGCTCGCCTCCTGCATCTGTGTCTGCGCGTCGCTCTCGGCGTCTTGGGACGAGCCCGCGGCATCGTACGGCGGGCCGAACAGCAGCGACCCCTCCCTCCCTCCGCTTCCCATGCCGCGCACGCGCGCGCGCCTGCGTCTGCGGCACCGCACCGCAAACCATACGACTGCGATGCCGAGCAGGAGCCCCAGGACGCCAAATACGGGCGCGAGCCAGAGTATGTTGAAAGCGGGGTGCTGCGCGTGCGCAGGGCGGAGGCGCGGGTCGGGGGAGGGCGCGCTGGACGGTGGGAGGGCGGGGATGCGGACGAGGGAGGCCGTGGAAGATGCGGACGGGTCGAAGGAGGTCGTTAAAGAGGAGGTGGGAGAGGCCGTGGAGGCGGCAGATACGGGAGGAGTGGTGGTGTCGGACATGAGCGCGCTGGAGAGCGCCGTGGCCGCCCCCTGCGCGGCGCCGGCGCTGGTGAGCGTCGCGCCCCACGGCGGGTAGGGCCACCAATTGATGCTCGTGTCCGCCGCGCCGGCAGCGGCTGTGGCCGTGGGGCCGACGAGGACCGGCGACGCCTGCTGGCGCGCACTCAGATGAAAATTAACATTTAGATGGGTTAGGGTAGTCCTGGGCTCGGCCTCGGGGGCACGGCCGTTGAGATAATTAGGTTCGTGCGCAGGCAGCGCGTCCAGCGCGCCGTGAAGCTCCGCGTTGCGAGGGTGCGCGCGCGCGAGGGGGGTATGTAGCGTACGTGAATATCGTGATGCGGGTATAGATGCAGGAGGGCGCGATGGGTCGGTGGACGAGGCCGGGGAAGACGGTGAGGTTGGTGGAACGGCCATCCGAGTAAGCGCGGCGTGAGATATTTATGAATGAGTATGCGACAGATGTACACGACCGGCGCCGCAGGCTTTGGCTAGAGTGCCGCAACTAGATGCAGCCTAGGGCGGGAGAAGGCCTGGCTACGAGAAGGCGGCGAGGGGCGGGAGGGGCGGGAGGAGGACGACGCTGATGCGGGCCGCGAGGCAGAGGGCGGAGAGGTCTGCGGTCGCGGGGGGCTTGTCGGAAGCGACGTCGCGGTCGCGGCCTGCTGCGACGAAGGTGGCGCGGCGGACGAGGTGGGAGGAGGGGGAGTAGGCGGATGCGGTGACGCCGGAGCGGGAGGTGTGTCGCCAGAAGGTTTTGGGACGGCCTGCGGGTGATGGGGCGGTGATCAGCGAATTGGAGTGCGCAGAGAGCGGGAGAGGAGTGGGACGTACAAAGAGGTGGGGCAGGACGAACAAGCTCTGATGGAGCGCGCTCGCGATAGGGCGAGGGTGGAATGCGGCGAGGGGTAGGGTGCTCAAAGACACCGATGCCTCCGCTGGCGTCGAACGAGAATCGGGTGGTCGTACTCGGGGTCAAGGGCGCGCTGCGCGGCGGGGGTAGGGGCGGTGCCGAGGCAGGGCGCGGGGGCACAGAACGGTCAGAGGTAGGATGTGGACGTCGCCTCGGCCTGGAGGTGAACGAGTTGGGAGGGGGCGAGAGGAGGGAGTGGTCGCGGGTGCGGACGGGGGAGATGGGCTGGCGGTAGAGGACGTGTTGGTCGGAGGTGGGCGTGGGCAGGTCGACCATTTCGAGGGTGACCATCGGGGTAGACGCGAACGGCAGACGTGGGGGCGTGCGACGGGCGCGGGGAAAGGCAAGACTGAGACCCAGCCCGGTTTGCGTGGGCGGTGTCGCGGGCAGCGCGTTGGGGATGTAGAGCACGGTGAGGTCGGTCATGGTCCGTGCGACGATGTGTGGGTATGGTACGTGGATGAACGAGCGACTGTGAGCAAGCGAGCGACGAGAGCGAGGGACGGTACAGAGCAAGACAGAGCCGCTCATCTGCCCGCCTGCTCTCTCGAGGACATCCCCGCCCTCCATCTTACGTCACACACTCGGCTTATCCTCTTCCTCCTGCGACGGTCATGGCTGGCCATGGCCTATTGTCCTAGACGACTTCGCTGGGCTTCCGACACACGCTTGTCCCACACAGAGTTCTCTTGTGCACAGAACCTGTGGTAAGGTCAGCCACGGAGGCTAACCGAACTCCAGGATCTATTTTGGGCCAGCTTACCTCAAGACAGTTCGCTAGCTCTACGTCACATCGATTGCCGCGACAACCCACAAGGACAACGTTGGAGTATGAACACCTTACCATACGAGCTGCTCGATGCCATCGTCGATGAAGTTCCCAACCGTACGGACTTGGCGCAGATTCGCACGGTGAATAAGGTGTTCTGCGCCCTGGTCACAAGGCGTTTCTTCCGACACGTCAAGGTAAAGACTGCATTGAAGAGTGCCTCTGAATTTGGCGAGGTATTAGGACGCGACAGGGTCGCTGAATGTATTGAAGCCATTACATTTCAGGGCGTCTGGACAAATTATCATGTCAAGTCCGTTCGCTCACACGGAAGCGAGTGAAGACTGCGTGTTAACGGCCATAAACCTTTGTTAGCAGACAAGCCTATCTTGGACCTTATAGTGGACGCCCTCGCATCCTCATTTACCCGCATCCATGAGCTTCCGAGACTCAAAACCCTCGAGTTGTCATTTTATGCGACACACGATACATCGTACGGGGATTTTCTAATTATTCAGTGGACCATCCTCTCTGCAATATTAAGCCAATCGCCCTCACCTTCTCTGACCTCTCTCACCATCAACAGATTAGCGCCGTTGTACCACCCCATCTATGATTCCCCATCATCTGGCGGTCTTCTCCGCTCGCTGACCAGTCTTTCCGTCCTGACTGCTTATCACGATATCTACACCGCAGAGGACCATACTCGAAATTCCTATGTCAAATTTTGGAATGAAGCCATCCAGGATCATATGCTTGGGTCTCTTTCACACAACCTCGCCACGCTAAGGCTTCAAGGCCAGACTTTCGTCGGTCACATCCCTGGGCCCGACCTTTCACGGGTCAATTTTCCTGCGCTCGAGACCCTCTCATTGCAAAAATTCTTGTTCTACGAGGGGACGGGTGTCGAAGAGTTCATCGTACGCCGCCGGAAAACCCTGCGGGGACTGTGGCTCGCCGATTGCGCCATCGCGATAGAAAACCTGGGTGAAGGAGTCCCGTGCCAGTGGTCACGCATCTGAAAGCACTTTGCGCGGGAACTGAAGGCACTGGTGTTGCTCATCGTTCAGTCCGATTGCCTCGACGACGATGGCTCCACCACCGACTCTTTCGGAGAGGATGACTCGTTGAAGTATCCACAGCCGAATTGGGAAGATTGGCTCTCGTATGACCCATGGGATGGGCCCGTGTGGTTTGGGGATGGCGATCTTCTGGCGCTCAGAGAACTTCGGCGGTTGGTTCGGTCGCAAGCGGCAGAACGGTAGAAAAGCGAGGAATGAGGTAGAGAGTCGCGTGCATGTTGACTAAGTTAGGAGCAGCTGTGTGCGCGAAGCAGAGGAGTGGATACGTGAGACGCGCGCGACAAGGCCACCGGCGGGGGCAAGAGTAATATGGTCAAGTCCTCTCGCTCCTCTCGCGCTATTCACTAGTGGGTTTCGGTGGAGTCGTTCGCGCGTATGGTACTGGGGTGGAGAGAGTGGCAGAAAGAGGAGAGAGGGATGGTACACACCCACGAGAAAACATAAAGCATTACAACCAAGTTGCTTGGTACTCTCTGCGCTAACTCCCCGAGGACATCTCGCCCTAAAATTTAGCTCTCGCACTGTACTTGTCTTCCCCTCACTCTCATCTTCGAGTCGGTGCAGCTAAGACTATCCTCCTTGCAACTGCCCGGATGACCTTGGTCTTATTTTCACAGTCTCAGATGATGAAGCTACATCATCTCAAGGTGCTGCGATGATCAGAAAGCAGCACTGTCTGGCTTCTGAGTTCTCGTTGTCCGCGACGAGCTGTGACGATCTGGGCTCACGACGCTTTCTCGCTACCAAACCTACCGAAACGGCGTCACTCCGGCCAATGCCGACAAGGCAATTACAGTGTCGGCGTGTTCGTTCAAGTTCAATTATTGATCTATGCCGTATATATATAGCTGGCTTGATTTTCACCGCGTGCGAAAAGCACTGCCTAAGGATGGTGACATATCAGCCGATTTCGAGCGCTGTGATATATCAAGGAGATGTTGGGACATGTGGACTTCGGCGTCTACACATACTGAACGCCGCTGTAAGCGGGAACCTCGAGGTGTCGGACCGACGATACACCCATTGCACATAGCCTGGTATGTGACTCTCAGAAATCCACTTTCATCTATTCGATAGTCTGATCGTCCGTCATAATCAGTTAAGGAAACACCATACTTGGACTGCGGGTAGTCAACAGAGGACATCGTGATCAGCATGGTAAGTCTTCATCGGCTGTGGTCAAGCATTTTCCAGAGATTCTAACCACTCTGGATGTCACGGATGGATCATAACTTGACATTGATCAGACTGAGCCAACGCACGATCTCGATGAAGCCATCCATCTCGATCGCGAAGCGCTCGCTCTCCATCCCCCTGGCCATGCTGATCGCTCTGACTCCCTCAACAAACTCGCCATTCATCTGTGGTCTCGTTTCGAAGGGACAAGACAGATGCAGGACCTAGAGGAAGCAATAGAAATAGATCGCGAAGCACTGTCTCTCCGACCCTTTGGTCATTCTGGTCGCTCCAACTCTCTTTTTAACCTAGCAATCGACTTGCGGTCTCGTTTCAAGCAGACAGGGCAGCTGCAGGACCTGGAGGCAGCGATAGAGTTGGATCGTGAATCACTGTCTCTCCGACCCCCTGGACATTCTGTTCGCTTCAACTCTCTCAGCAACGTCGCCATTGACTTGCGGTTTCGTTTCGAGCAGACAGGGCATCTGCAGGACCTGGACGAAGCGATAGAACTGGATCGCGAAGCGCTGTCTCTCCGACCCCCTGGCGATCCAAATCGCTTCTTCTCTTTGAACAACCTCGCACAGGGCTTGTGGTCTCGCTTCGAGCAGACGGGACAGTTGCAGGACCTGGCGGCATCGGTCGAATTATATCGCGAAGCGCTGTCTCTCCAGCCTCCTGGCCATGCAAATCGCTCAGACGCCCTCAACAACCTCGCACGGGGCTTGCGGTCTCGTTTCGAGCAGACAGGGCAGCTGCAATACCTGGAGGAAGCGATCAGACTGAATCGCGAAGCGCTGTCTCTCCGACCCCCTGGCCATCCTGTTCGCCTCCACTCTCTCAGTAACGTCGCCATCAACTTGCGGTCTCGTTTTGAGCAGACGGGGCGGCTGCAGGACCTGGAGGAAGCGATAGAACTGCATCGCGAAGCGCTGTCTCTCCAACCCCCTGGTCGTTCAGATCGCTCCTTGTATTTGAACAACCTCGCAAATTGCTTGCTTTCTCGTTTCGAGCAGACGGGGCTTCAGGACCTAGAGGAAGCGATAGAATTGAATCGCGAAGCGCTGTCTCTCCGACCCCCTGGTCAACCCAATCGCTTCTTGTATTTGAACAACCTTGCATATGGCTTGCATTTTCATTTCAAGCAGACGGGGCAGCTGCAGAACCTGGAGGAAGCGATAGAATTAAATTACGAAGCTCTGTCTCTCCGACCCTTGGATCATCCACGTCGCCCCGCCTCCCTCATTAACCTGGGAGAAACCTTGTATTCACGTTTCAAACGGACAGAACAGCGGCATAATCTGGAGGAAGCGATAGAATTGTATCGCGAAGCGCTGTCTCTCCTACCCTTTGGTCATCCACATTGCCCTGATTCACTCAGCAACCTGGGAGAAAGCTTGCATTCTCGATTCATGCAGACAGGGCAGCTGCAAGACATCGACAAGGCCATAGAATATTACCGGGAAGCACTTGCAATATGCCGTGCCGGATCCCCCCTATATATACCTTGCCTCGCTGGTCTTTCTCGCGCTTTATTGGCTCGCTTTCGAGCAATACCCAGAGAAGATGATCTTAACGAGGCCTTCTATATGTTTAGCACTGCGACTGAAAGCCGATTTACTGATGTAGGGCAGCAGCTCTTGGGTGCGCAATCATGGGTACAGTCGGCTCGCGAGTTCCAGCACAGTTCCCTTCTTTCGGCATACGTACAATGCTTGGCCCTCCTCCAGCGCGGCCTCGCCATCAGTCCCAGCTTGGAGTTGCAATGGAAATCCCTCACTAGGAACTCTTCTTCGCTTGCAGTCGATGCTGCGTCGTCTGCTATTGACAAGGGCCAGCTGAACGTCGCTGTCGAGATGCTAGAGCAAGGACGAGCCCTGCTTTGGTCCAGAATGAAGGGTTACAGACAGCCCGTCCTAGAGCTTCGAGCCATTAACCCAGCACTTGCCGACAAATTTGAGACCGTCAGCAATGAGTTGGAGCACCTTGCTACCTCACGACTGCGTTTGGAAGATGATGTGTCCGGACGTGTTCCACGATTCACGACTGCGTGGGATGATCAATGGAAGAAACAGCGTGTACTGTCGGATGAATGGAACGAAATTGTGGGACGCATTCGCCAGATCGAAGGATTTTCAGATTTTTTGCAGCCAGTGCCATTCGGACGTCTCAAGCAGGCCGCTGCGGAAGGCCCCGTGATCATAGTCAATGTGTCTTCGTACCGATCGGATGCTTTGGTCCTTCGAGACGACACCTCTGATCCTACCCTTGTTCCCCTTGCAAACTCAGTTTTTGACGAAGTCGGAAAATTGTCCGAAGTGCTCGGCCAAGCTCGAAGACGCGGTGAGGACACTCTTGCTGCGGTGATACATGACGTCTTGTGCGCGCTGTGGAAACTCGTTGCTCAGCCAGTGGTGGATCAACTTCAAAGTCTCGGAGTTGCTGAGAGGTCCAGGATCTGGTGGTGTCCAACTGGAAAGCTATGTTCACTCCCGCTGCATGCTGCTCATCCTCTAATTACAGGCGAACGTGGTCTTCCGGATCTGTTTGTATCTTCTTACACTCCCACGCTCTCTTCGCTCATTTCAGCGAGGGAAAATATACCTGCGATGCGCTCTAAGTACCCCCAGCTCCTGACTGTCGGTCGAGCAGACGACTCTCTACGATGTGTGGACGCGGAGTTGGACGGCATACAGGAACTTGGGGACTTTGTGGACACCATTGTTGAGAAACAGGCAACGCCCGATGCAGTGCTCGATAATCTTCAAACTCACCCATGGGCCCACTTTGCTTGTCACGGTCATCTGGACGACGAGCAACCGTTCAAGTCGTCGTTCAAGCTCTATGGAGGCTCCCGGTTGACTGTGATGGATATCCTGCAGTCCCGCCTTCCCAATGCAGAGTTTGCCTTCCTGTCTGCTTGCCACAGTGCGGCGGGCGACTATGTCCACACCCCTGATGAAGTCCTGCACATAGCCGCGGCGATGCAATTCTGCGGGTTTCGGGGTGTTGTCGGGACCCTGTGGGGAATGGCGGACGACGATGGGCCGGTCTTGTCTCAGGAGTTCTACAAGCATATGTTCCGTCACGACGATCCAACGAAGGTGGATTACAAGGATTCTGCGGTTGCATTGAGATCTGGAATCAAAGCGTTGAGGAAGTCGGGGGTTCCGCTTCATCGATGGGCTGCGTTTGTGCACATAGGTGCATGACGGGAGTCGGGGGGATGATGGTTGGTATATTCCATTGTATCTCCATGACGACGTTTTACGGACGAGCATGCCACGAACCGTTCTCAACAGGAGTGTTCGTGCTTGAAGATTGTTGTGCTGTGAAGTGTTTCGGAGTCGTATCATTCCTCGTATTCCGCTTTCTGAACTCCGTTGCTTTTTCTTGGTCAATTCGACTATCACTTTCTCTTGATGCGAGACCTGGCATCAACCATGTTTATCCTGTGATTGCTCTATCCACTCGTCCGGGTGCTCTGCACTCGCTGACAGGTCCTACTGTTTTGCTTTTTATTTGATTATTTCTCGCTTTGCTTGCTACTACCAACTCGATGTTTTCCTTTTCAGGTTGTCGATGTTCTTTGTTTTACACGCTTCTCGTCTATAGGTTTGCACGTCAATGCCCTCGATGGATGGCAGCGCTATCTATGGTGGCTGATCTTTCGTATTTCTAAAAAATTCATCTCGAATATATATTATGAACGAAAAAGGGAAGCATGGGATCGTACCAGTCATATGGCAGATCAACGGTGCATCATATCATTGGCTACTCAAGACGTATCCATGTACATAGCGGCTCGTTTAGGTAGTATGATCCGTAGGGTTGAAGCTCAATACTTGAGAGTATCTCCGATAGTATTCAAGCGGGGATAGATTGAAGGTCAGAGAACTCGGAGAGGCATACATGCTGATATACATATCTTGCGCCCACCGACAAGGCCTGATTTTGTTGGCAAGCGCATCGCTCCTCCGTCAAAGATGTTCATGCCTCATAAGAGATATCAGGAAAGTATCGGGAAATCCTGGAGGACTGTGAAAAGGAAAAGATGGAAACCTGAGCCATGCCTGTCAGCTTCGAGGCGAGCTTTGGGAAAGGATCAAGAGTGTATCTTGTGTTGGGCAAGACTTCCGTTGGGCGACAATCCGATGTGGTCTCTATCCCGGAGTGTGAGCAGTGCTTCCGAATGCGACAGTAGAAGTATTGCGTTGAAGTTCGGCCCGAGGGGTGATAGCGGTTAGTGTTCTCAAGACATTCAAATCAAGCAAGTTCGACACAAGATCTTGATTGGGACCAGCTGGGACCAGCTGGGACCATGATGGCGAGGAGCACAGAAGTTCTTGGGATAACGAAGGGTTAACGAAGGAGTTGAGGATTCGGATATTGCCTGCAGTGCGGCACGACGGCTGGTAGAGTACAAGCAGGAGCAGAAAAGAATTCGTCAAACCTAAGTCTGTCGGAGGCTGATTATGCAATCGAAAACTAAACGCGACTTGTGCGCTAGGCTCCCGTGACGTAGTGTGAGCAGTCGTCTCAATTGCTCGATCTAGTAGCTACTCCCTATCGTCGTTTGGACATCCCACGTGGATGTATATCGCTATCTCCCGTCCAAACCCCATTGATCACCCCTAACTATGACCCACGTTGACGACACTAAAGGTCTATGAAATCCCTCCCCCACAACTCCTCAATGCCATCGTCGACAGAGTTTCACGTCGCAAGGACTTATCACGGATTCGAATGCTAAGCAAGACATTTTGTGTGGTAGCCACGCCACACATCTTTCGACAAGTCACGGCCAAGAGTACGCTCACAAGCGCTGTAGGATTCGGCGAGATCTTAAAGCACGACATGGTTGCTCAGTGTATAGAGGAAATTGAATTTCAGGAGGTCTATAAGGTCATATATTTCATCGACGGTAAGCTTGTTCGATCATATCGGTGCGATTGGGGAATGAATACCAAGCGTTGAAAAACAAATGCCTCTAGTGATAGCGCAACAGGCGAATGCGATGGCTATTGAGAAATCCCTCGCCTCTTCATTTACACGCATGCACGAACTTACGAGGCTCGAAACCCTGAAGCTGTCGTTTCCTACGATGCACCATCCGTTTTTAGATCCTCTACGTTTCCAGTGGATCATCCTCTCTGCAACATCAACCCAATTACCTCTCCCTTCTCTTCCCTCATTCGACATTGACGGTCTGATGGCATTTTACAACCCCTTTTATGATCTCCCTTTGTTTGGGAGCCTCCTCAGCTCACTCACTAGCCTCTCTATCGGAGCTGCTTTTGAACACTACCTCCGGCAGTACCGCTTTCGAGATCCGTTCGTCAACTTCTGGGAGCAGGTGATCCAGCACTGCGTGCTGCGCTCTCTCTCGTCCTTCATGTCGTTCACGCTTCACAGCGACGAAGATGTTGGCGTTGTACCTAGGCTCGATTTTTCGCAGGTGAATCTCCCCGCACTCATTACAAAGGATCATATTCAACGAGGAAACGCATACCGAGGACTTCATTATACGCCACAAGGGAACCCTGCGGAGATTGCGGCGAACGGAGTGCAGAATTGCGATAGACGACTGGATCTAAGAAGCACCTCGTCAGTGGGCGCAGGTTTGGAAGCGTTTCGTCGGGGGAACTAAGAGCATTGATTCTGCTCGTCATGCGCCCCCAACTGCAGTTTTATGAATTTGATGAATTTGGTGGCCCTGACACTGTCGGCTCTGACGACTCTGAAGACCCTGACGACCTTGACATGGAATTAGTCACCTTGGGGGAGCCCATGAACTATATGGCATCGCATGTGGATGCTGGGTACTCGTATGAGCCCATTGCCACGCCGCTGCCGTACGACGTTGGTGATAAGCAGGCTCTTGAGAACCTACTGCTTATAGTTGGTTTACAGGCAGCAGAATTGGAGGACAAGCTCCGAGGTAGAGAGTTACGGGCATGAATACTTGAATAGGAGCAGTTGTGCAAGTGAAGCGACGGTGTGGACCGAACAGGTGCGAGCAACGTATCATGACCTATATGTTTGCCGATGATCTTGAGGTCGATTGCTTGATACAGTTGTTCTACTGAATAGTGTGAAACTCAAACCCACACACCGCCTTTATTTCAAAATCTGAACCCGGTGCGATTCACGTATCAGCGTGGTGGAGAACATAGGAATGTTCCAAGTTCAAGGCGCTGAACGAGAGGACACTGTAGTCTCCACGAGATGACGCTTTATGTTATATCCTGGCTACCTCGGAGTACGACATGCCCAATACCTTGCACGGACTCGTAACACTCAGTGGCCATCGATTGTCCACGACCCCCTCAATCACGCCACAGATCAGGCCGGCTCTGCTGTTGAAATTGTCTATCTGTGCTTATCGCTGCTGTACTCACTATCTAGCTCTCGCGTCGTTCATCTCAACCCACCATGTCTTTTATTTCTGCCTGTCTTCCTGTCCGTCTTGTCCGTCTATGTCATGGTGCTTCCAGAACTCATTGACGGAATTGCGAGACATTGTCATTGACACCCCCGCCTTCCTCGTCTAGCTCCTCGTTCCCTGCTCCCTTCTCGGATCTTGCGGATGTGACATAGCTTGAAGATGACATTCGGTGTCGCCGCGCCTTCAATGTTCTGTACTCAACAACATGAAAATCTGTTGCAGAACGGAAAGACCCTTCTTAATATCTAGTCTCCTGACAAACCATTACGTGGTATGATAGATGGGCCATTCGCTATGTCGGAGGTCAAGAACACTATGCTCGATGGCCGTGATGATGGATGCTTGATCTCGAATTTGTAGCTAGTGTGCTATTGTACGAGTCTGCTGCATACCGTCATTCGAATACCTTGGAAATACTCAAGTACTGCGTCAGGTCACGGAACTCATGTTCTGTACTCGTTTGCCGATCGGACTTGAGAAGGCCTCACTATCGGGTTCCGTTTGTCAAATTTTGGGAGCAGGCGATTCAGCACCGCATGCTGAGCTCTCTCACCCTCCCTCACATCGCTCACACTCCACAGCGACATAGACGTTGGCGTTATACCTAGACTCGATTTTTCACAGGCAAATTTCCTCGCGCTCGAATGCCTCTCTTTGAAACGGATCTTGTTCAATGAAGACACCCACGTCGAAGATTTCATTGTACGCCACAAAGGAACTTTGCGGAAAATGTGGCTCACGGAGTGCAGAATTGTAATTGAAGACTTGGAGCAAGGAGCACCACGCCAATGGTCGCATATTTGGACCCGCTTTACCAGGGAACTAAGGGCATTGGGACTGCTCTTTGTTCTGCCTGAAGTATGATACGAGGAACCCATGAACTACGTACAACCGACCTTTGAAGATGGGGATTGGTATAAGCTAATTCGGATGACGCTGTCATATGATATTGGCGATAATCAAGCTCTCGAAGTGCTGCAGTGTTTGGTTGATTCGCAGAACGACAATATGGGAGACTGAGGTAGGGGAGTTATCACTTAGATACTAAGAGTAGGCTATGCAAGCGAAGGTATGGACGTATGGGAGGGCGGCGTGAACAGGCGGTTGACGTACTCCTACCTATACGTGTTGGTCTATTTTGTTGAAGCTTCGCTATGTATGGACAGTCGTTTTGTATTGTGTACCACTAAATTGGTATCGAGTAGGGTCCGCTTGAGTCGATGATTGGTAGGAGTTCATAAATAACGCAGACCAATAGTCACAGTCTACCTTTGATTCACATTCTGACTCAGAACGATACGCGTAGTAGCGCGGCGGAGATCATAGGAAGTTCTGAAGTCATGCGAGCAGGGTTAAGGTCAAGTTGCCTGATGAGAAAATGCATTCGCACCGATGCTCCTAAGAGATGCTGCCTCCTGATCAACAACGGCAACCTTACAGGTCCAATAACAAAACTGCGAAGCATCCACCTTGAGTGGATTATGCCTGTGAGTTCTATGTATCACCTAACATGCTACCCTAAAGCTTGCCTTGAACAGCGACTGCGAGCCAGAATTCTCCGTCGTGTGCTTACATCACTTCTATCGCTTGTTATCAAATGTGTTCCAAGACATAATTCTCTTACATTATTCGAAGACGCACCTGTCCAGACGTCCATCACCTTATGTAGTTATCAGACTCGCGCATTATGACGAAACTATCGGAACACTACCGTAATCACAGGATTCCATTGAACTTGGTTCATGAGGTCAGATCCTCCGTGATTCGCCCTATAAGCAACTAGCTCGTTACTCACCGGACTCGTAGAACTTCTTCATCTCGAAGGTGTGCACAGTCTCGAAGTGTCCACACCTGATCTCGGTCCGGGTAGACTGTTATATATATCCTCAGTGATGCTACCGCCTATTCAATCAGGCTTTCCTCGAAGTAAGGCAGTCTTCTTCTGAGTGATATGTTCTCACCGGATTATCTTTGCCACCCTCGCCGAGGCAGGGGGTGAGGGGGTCAAGAATGGAATGCGAAGACACCGACCTTGATCGGTCTTCTGACCTTGAGCACCAGCTGGGGTGATAGCACCCACAGCAAGTGACACAAAGACCGAGAAACAAGCGATACCTATATAAACACGCTTGAGATCCAATTCAGGTGAAACAGGCATTGTTCAGACTTACAAGTCCTCCTACGAGCACTATGTCCTTAGCAAAGATTCCGCTACTGATCGGTGCGAGCCTCTGTGTCCACCGTGCCATCACGGCGCCGAACCCCCCGCCTCCCGTCGAGGAGACGTCGAAGTATCGCGATCTGTGGCCGCGCTCGTATATGGTTTGGGGAACGGGCCTGTCCAAAGTGTGTATGATCCCACTTTTGTTGCGTCGCGCGGGACTTATCCAGGACGATGCGAGGGATAGGTTGCAATGTACACTCACTCTGTCCTCGAGGTGCTCGCCATCGTTTGCGTCAACACTTCCACATCACCGCATGCCAGCACTGAGGTCAAAGCGCTCGCACAGCGCGTGCTATCCCTCCTCTGTGCCATTCCTGCACGCTCAGCGCACTCCGCCTCTGCGCTCCAAATTACGCCATCCTTTCTGCTCGGCTTCGCACTTGTCGCGCTCTCCGCGTACATCCGCACGCTGTGCTACCGCACACTTGGGCGTCTTTTCACTTTCGAAATATCCATCCAGCCGAAGCACAAGCTCGTGACGAGTGGGCCATACAGCATTGTACGTCATCCGTCATACACCGGCAGTATAATCGGGTTCGCAGGCAGCCTCGTATGCGCGTTTTGTGCAGGCGGGTGGTTTTGTGAATGCGGATGGTTAGATACGGCGGTGGGTAAATTGTTTGTAGTTGCGTATGTGTTGTGGAACGTGCAATTCGCGAGCGTGATGCTGTGGAGGACAGGTCAGGAGGATCAGATGATGCACGGGAAGTTCGGCAAGGAATGGGAAGGGTGGCGGGAGAAGGTCAGGTATAAAATCATACCTGGGATCTTTTGAAGCTGATAATTTTGATCTATGTCTGCCATGGTGGCTGGATGCGGTACTTACAGTTGGTGTATGCGCTTGCTGTAGCTGGGAGAGCTCGCGAGTGTGAGCCAGTGCACTTTCGTAGAGCTGCTACAACTGATTTACTGGGCACTTCTTTCCGACCTAGTGACCAGTGGGGTGCACAGGATAAAATGATGCAGCCACAATATTGTAAGTGGTCGGCATACAAAGGACTCAATTGATAAGAAGGCTGTTCATTCAATGAAGCACGTAATCGGTAACGCCACAGCTGTTGCAAGAATCGACAGCGTACCTTCGCCGCTGTGAGCTTTCCTTTACACGACCTTCGTGCCGTGATCCCGACTGCCAAAACCTATAACCACGAGTGGTGTCTCATATACATCCTCATAGATTTCTGAGGGCCTGTGCCGCGAATCAGGCTGGGATGACGCTGCTTTGATTCCCATTAGAGGACAGCAGGCGGTTGGTCTGGATAGTAGATACTAGATCTGTAAAAAGTACGTCACGCGTCATCCTCCTCGTGGACAAAATCGAGTTCATCTCCGGAGCTCTACCGACTTCAGCTTGAGGGGTCTGTTTCTGAGATCGTCGATACATCGTGGCTCATGAGACTCTTCGCCAGTGAGACCGCAGGTATAAGCTTGATACTGACGACAAAAACGGTAAGTAATCCCTTTATTAACCGTGACTGTGTTTTTAATCATACAAATGACTTAAGTGCCAAGCGCGTTATGTGTGGCTGTCGTCACTGTACCGGGGGCTAACGACAGAAATCTGCATCACATTCACGCCGGGTCTTCTCTCCACTTAGAGCTCGTGTGAATGCATTGTATTATTACTGTGTCCTTGGGATCGACGACGACGACTGGGGCAAATCAGAAGTGCAGCAGTTTGGGCACCTTGCTGCGTCATTAGCAACAGCTGTATAGTGTGGCGTAGGACGATGTTGGCGAGCAGTTGAAGCAAGGTGTATACAAAATTCACAAATGTGTGTATGATTTTGTGCATGTGCCCTATAATATTTCGCGAGTATGTATTGTCAGTCGGTATCTCAACAAGGTACGCAGCAAATCTTAGACGGGCCGCACCTACAATTCCGAGCCAATGTATGATCTTGAGCACTCGAACCACTTTAGGTGTTTCATGGCACCGTCCCGTTTGAGTGCCCATTAGGATGAACATCGGGTTGGATTTGTCCAAACCCGAAGATGAAGGTGTCCCAGTCTTCCAATCTGTTGAAAGGTGATCAGCTATATTGGTAGCGGGAGAGTACATGAAGTCAATTACTCAAAGCCTGACGGTAGATTGGACCACAAGGAGTCATGCGTCATCTCGTAATCTGATCCGAGCTGCCCGTTTGTGGGCGAAGTCAATCCGAATATTTCGGTTGCATACGTCGAAGTGCTCGGCAGTAGCAATTGTGAGGCTTCGCTGCTAGTTGCGATACTTGGGCTCGCACCGTCGTGTGTGAATCCTTGGGCTGGAAACGAGCCATCCATGAATGGCGTATGTGAAACAACGACCTGCGCTTCTTCTCCGGAGTAGGCAGGCATTGTTCTCAATATAGCTCCCACCGGTGCACTGTATTGCGTGATTCCTGATTTTTCGAGAGGAGGTAAGGCTTGTCCTGTTGTGAATGGGTTGACAAGGACATTGGATAGATTGTCGGGTGGATTGAGAGGCAAACGACCGAGCTCGTAGCTATGCATGGGGAGAGCAGGATAAGAATAAGGATCGACGAAGGTGGTAATTAGCTGAGACTCAGAGGTAGATGAAGAAGGACGGCGATGTCGAGTTGTCGTTGATGATTCCCGTGAGATGCGACTGGAGCCAGCGATAGGCATTGAATCGTCATGCAGACTTGAGGTTGAGGTTGCTGCGGGAATAAAAGTGCTGGGGGTATCCGATTCCGAAGTGTGCGAGTCTCGTTCGCGTCTCAAAGACGATACAGTGGACTGGGGTAGCGGCAATTCACCTGCAGAGACAAGCTCGTACAACACATCCCTTGATGGACATTTGTTTGAGAAGATTACGACCGATGAGATCTTATGATATCGCCTACCAAAGTCGGCCAGCTGTGTGCCATCTAAATACAAACCAAACATTGAACCGACAACGAATTGGTTGGAGAGTCCACACTCACCTCTTTTCTGCTTCCGCGAGAACATGCATACAGTTGTGTACATCCTTTACCTCTTTCGCTGGGTCAATCGATACTCCGGAACGTTTGACGTCCCAGATGTTGAGCAGAAGCACAGTTGCTGCCATAAAGGCTGGAGGCTAAACAACGATTAAAGACGAGGTGCATTAGTATATGATATTCTGTGACAGAAAATTATACAACCTGGAAGTGAGGAATCGGCGCTTCTGGAGATCGGCGATATAGAACATCGGCAACATGGCTACACGAACGTGCAGCATTGATACAGATGGCGAGGGACGGGAATGAGAGAGGTGACGGTTTGCGAGGGGAAGGGATGAATGGACGGTGGATGAGTATTTGGAGATGGTAGTAGGCGCCGTAAAGACTAGCAGATTGCATGAAGAAGACATGATGTTCGCGGGTAGGATCCCACCGTACTACAGCGCACTCAGTATCCATCAAAGTAATGAAAGCAGTCAAGGAATAACGGACAATGATCGGGGATAGAGTCAACCCATTTATTGAGGGAGGAGTCCAGCTCAGCGACGATACGCTGTTCCCAATATTGTCCAACAAAACCTAGCGAAACTTTCGACTTGTTAAGTGAATACTGAATATGGAAAAAATAGTGAGAAGTAAGGTGTTTCTTCAATAGAATGCATGCTCACAATTGTCCGTAAAGCAAAGGCAAGAATCTGATCGAGCTTGATGAGACATATAAAGTGAGACATGACTGATGGTTTTCCTGCTGGCTGCTTGAAGGCTTGTTCGGGATCAGGATGCGTGAAGTGTTCATCGTCACACTCCGCCGGGAGATCCAAGTCAAAACTAGAGATGTTAGGCACTCGTAAAATTTTCAATCAGCAGGGATATACTTACTCTTCTTCTTGAATCGCGCAGGGGCGACCGAGTGATGCATTCAATGTCCGGTCCAAGACGACGAGAAGCCTGCAACGAAGGTTGAGTGAGAGGATATCAGAATCCTTGTATACAAGATGTACCAGAATGCACGTTTCCAAAGTTCGTCCTCAATAGTAAGCTTGTTGCCGTACACCTTCCGCCGATGAGCTCCGACATCTTGGGCCAAGTTTATGCCAACTCCGATCAGCGTCCTGCAGGCTTGGGGGGACGAGCAGCCTTGCAAGAACATGGCCGATAGCTAGAAGCACAGGCAGACGTCATTGGTGAGATGGCGACGATGAAACAACAAGACGCTACGCACAGAATATACCTGTATATCATACAGGCATGGCGACATGAGAAGTGACTTGCGAAGTATTTGTACCTGCATAAACCACTTCCAGCCGCAGGAGTGCCAAGAATCTGTGCCCTCGAGGCGCACACGTGGGTCGAAAGAATATCGGGAGGCATTGGCACAGACCAGCAAGACAAGACCACCAAAAGCGTTATCACGATGATGTAGACCATCCTGAATACCCTGCTCAAAGAGGGGACGATGAAGAAGTCCAAAAAAAATGTTGATATACTGAAAGAAGAGGTCCACGAGATCATTCAGAAGATCTGGTTCGGGAAAATCGAAGACTCGCTGTTCAGTAGCGAGGATGGATCGCTCCCACTATAATAAAAGTAAATGGGCGTCAGCCAGACAGGAGGCGCAGTGGCATCGTACAGGAAGCAGATTCCAGTATTCAGGCCTTTTCCTTCCTAAAACATGAACAGTGTTCTCGTCCGGCATTTTCCCCGCGTACTCGAATTTAAGGTCTATTGCAGTTTTCACAAGCTTCACACCGCTCGACTTACCAAAAAAGCGATTGTGTACAGGGTTGATAAACAGATCTTTGAGATGTTCTCGCACCAGATTGGTCTGGGCGCCTTCATCGTCGCTTGATTCAGGATCGGCGTCGAGGGAATCGAAATCGGTGACCATTGTACTAGGAGAGAGTATTCGAATGGGGGTCAAAGATGTTGTCACAGAACTCTCGTTGACTTCCGAGCGCTCTGCTTCTATTCTGACAGCTGCTTGAAGTTCTTGTGACAAGTTAGTATCAGGACAGAGCTGAAAGTCCATAAGCAATCGCTGTGGTGATGTCGTTAGCGAAAAATAACCTTCTGTAGGAGTTCTTCCATCTTCTCGAGACGCGCCTCAAGGCTTTCCACGTATCTGAAATGAACTTTTGAGCAAAGAAAGATATATATGAAAGGATTCATTAACCCTTTCGGAGGCCTTCGTCTCTGAACGAGGAGTGAATTCATAAATGGTACCAATGACTCATAAAGGTGACATTACCTTCAGAACATCGTTATATGTACACTCAAAGTCGTAGGCTACACAGTTTGAGCACCGAAAGCCAGGCATCTGCCCCTCACTGCCTGATCCAAGGGTTGAAGTCAACTTCGCGAAGGAGTCATAGCAAGAGTAACCTACATCGAACTGCACTCGAAATTAGAATCGTGATGGCAGAGGTATGAAAGGTGTAACAGACTTTTTCTTCGCCGACAGACATCGCATGCTCTCTGATTTCTCGTCTTCTTGAAACCATGCGATCTAGTGTTATCCTCGTCTTCGCCTGCAGAAGACATTGACAACGGTTCGGGGGCAGGTCCTTCGAGGGTGACGATGCTGGAGATGCTTTCTGAGATGTTCAAAGCAGCCCCGACGACATGTGCTAAAGTGCTGGGTACTGGATGGTTCAATCGAAACAAGCTCGCAGATAGTCCGAACGATGAGGTAGTCACTGTTAGTCATTGCTCTCGAACCAGGCAAATTTGAGGAAATAATTTAATGGCAACTAAGTAGGTTATCGACCGAGCGAGGTATGAGTTGTATAACAAACACACTTCTATCCTCTCAACTGTTCCATATTCACCACTATCGCATTAGCTTGTAGCACAAATTCTCCCTTCTCAACTCGCGGTCAGCCATCTATCTCATAAGATTAGCCCAAAAGATGCCGAGGAAAGAGTCGTCGAATGTTCCAGCGTCAGCGCAAGCTCAGCAAGAGGCTGTCTCTGAGGGCATCGAGAACTTCGAGCTCCCTCGCGCACTAGTCACGAAAATCGCAAAGTCGGCGGTGCGTAAATCAACCTTTCCGTCTCATCTGAAGTCTGGACATACATTCACGTGAGCTGACGCGTCTGACACGACCAAACCAGATCCCAGAAAACACGAAGCTGCAGAAAGACACCGTCCTCTCGCTGGTGAAGGGCTCAACAGTTTTCATCAACTATCTTGGTGCGCATGTTTCCTTTCGTGACCGATCACACTGGCGTTAATCACGTGTTCAGCTGCAACGTAGGACATACCATATTTTCGCTCTACATTCTTCCCCGCTAATTCTTCTGTGCTCAGCGCGCATGATGTCGCCCACTCCAAACAGCACAAAAGCATATCGGCCTCTGATGTCCTCAAAGCATTGGAGATAATTGAGTTTGCTGACCTCGTCCCGCCGTTGCAGGCTGAGCTTCAATGTGTGTTCCATTTATACATCGCCCTCACCTCAGACATAGAGATTTAAATTCGTGCCAGTGTATCGCGACAACTTGAAAGGGAAGAAAGGAAACGCAGGCACTGCATCCGCACCCGCCACTATCTCTATTCCTCCATTCGTGCCTAATGGTGGCTCGGTCGTGAGCAAGGCTAGACCAACAGCACGCAAAGGAAAAGAACGTGCTGAAACTGTAGTAGAGGATACTAGGATACCTTCAGGAGCCGCATCGATCAGCGCGCCGCCAGCCATGGAATACGAGGACGCCAATGGCACAAGTCAACCACCTTTTACCGTGCCCTACACACGCATATTGACACTGTCTTCGCCAACGGACCAAGAGATGCCTGAAACCGAGGCGCTTGCGGCCGGAGTTGGCGAAGAAGAAGCGGAGGTAGACTACAATACCGAAGACGAAGAAAATGATATTATTGATGGGGACGACGAGGATGACGCAGGAGAAGAAGATTTGGTAGATGAAGACATCGAGATGGATCGATTAGAGGATGACCCCGTGAACGATGTGAATGAATAGTTTGTGCTGCCTGTGTAAGTTCTTTCCGCTGTATTCTGCTGTGCAATGCGCTATAAGGATTTGATATTGTCACAATAAAACATCCAAAGCGTTTCAATGTCATGTAGGTACAATATCCGATCAGTGCAATATTGGGCTCGCCAACGCCATGCGTACAAATACCAACGAATGTCAGAATTCAACATAGCTTAGACTCCACATCTCTCCTTTACTTTTCTGCGCGATCCCATTCCCGACGACCTTCGCCCCTAGTCTCATCAAAACATTCACAGCATCTCGAACGGCCAGTTTCTCTCTCGCACTCACAGGCCTCACAACACGCAAATCTAGTCCCTGAAACGCTGGTGTGTATGGTATGCAAGCGCGGCGCGCGCCAAGAGCGAGAAACACGGGCGGAACTTTGCTCGTGGTCTCAACGGGCTTGGTTGACAACGCTGGCAGCCAAAACTGGATTGGTGGGAGCGGGGGATGAGACGGGAAGGAATGTGAGGAGGAAGGCAGGTCAAGAGAAGGGATCATGGGTATATTGAAGGGGAGCTGCGTGGCATGCGGAGTCGGGGAACATGGTGGAGGGCCAGGCGCCAGGTCAACAGAAAGGGAGGGGGAAGGCGTGCGTGTAGGAGATGGGGATTGTGGACGGCTCGTTATTTCAGAATCGGACCCAGCACCACCATAGAGACGTAACGGGGAGCGGACCGGCACGGGGAGAGGAGTTGTAGTACGCGCGGGCGATGGAGACGGGGATCGGGCGGGAGTCGTCAGACCCGAGGAAATGTAGCGGTTGCGCCTGAGCCTCCTCGAAGGTGACCCCACACGCGAATGGCTAGGCGTCGTCAGACCCCCATCGGAGCCCTCAAAATCAGAAGAAATGGGAATATCTTCAATATCAGAGGAGACGAAGGCGCGATCAGCGCGCGCATTCTGTGGTGTAGGCGACATAATAGGCTCGTTGCTGTAGTTGTAGCTATAGCGCGAGAGGTTATCCGTAGTTGGTGTAAATGCGGTGGGCTGCGTGCGCGCGCGACTTTGTATTTGAGAAACGGAAGACATAGTGTAGGTGAGAAGCTCGGGACTTGGGGCCTCATCCGGGCTACGTGGCTGTTCCATGATAGTGGGAGTCCTGTTAGCTTTGACAGTGTCGCCACCAGTTGAGTTAGGTCGAGGCTGAGGCAAAGGGACAAGGATAGGCGCGGGGGATTGCTCTACTAATGAGGGGTATACGTCGGGAAATGCCCTGCCCTTGCCCTTGAGATCATGACCAAGTAAAGCCTCGTCAATGTTCGCCTGGGGTATTGGCTCATCTGCAACATCCGAACTTGGCTCTCGGAATACAGACGGCGTCATCTGCCACTCTCCGTCTCTCCAGGCAAGGTTCCATTCCTCCTGGGCTTGTAACAGACGATTCAAAATTGCTGCAGCATTCTGATAGATGTCTTCCACTTTTCCTTCCTTGAACCTTTCGGCAGCCCACTCCCGCTCTCTCTCTTCCTCCTCTACTTCTTCTCGGCTCCGACTGTCCTCTGGTCGAAGATCGACTTCGAACACGCCTTCTCGGACTAGCCGCCGACCGGCCTGCCCGAGCTTGACGTACTCTTCCATGGCCCAATCTTTTTGCGCTGGGTCATCTGCGTCGAGAGCTACCGCAAGACGTCGAGCACGCTTCTCTGTCGGAGAGAGCGTAGGGAGTAAATGGAGCGGTAGATGGACAGGTAATATGGGGGAGTTGGGTGATATTGGGGAAGGCGGGGCACCGGTCAGATGAGTCAGTCGGTAAGCGGCCATGAGACTTGAGTGAGGATCGAGTTGTAGGGCAGGCAGCACATCCGTACGGCCGTGTATCTGGTATGGTGAACGTTCTGTGGGGTGTCGCGAGGTCTATGATGTTACTACAGCACCAAGAGAACAGAAAGAGAGACTGACGACAATGTTTGCATAGCCTCGGGGGATCATCATAGAAATTGTTATGCCCAGACCCATGAGGCAAATCGCTCAGGCCCGAAGACCTTCGCCGTCGATGGCTGCGGCTGGAAATATCTTCGTCGTCTCCGTCTGACGATTCGCTGATGGAAGATTGTGAATCTGTGGATGGAGAGGTAGATGAAGAGACCGTGGATTCAGTTGTCAATACTGTACTATACGTCTCGAGATTAGTGCGAATGGTAGGCCTGCTTCGTGAACGCGGGGGAGCAACTGCGCTAACAGGGATCAACGATCCTGCCCCATTTTTGACTCTGCTTCTGGAATCAGTCCTGTGCGACACAGGAACATGACGTCGACTAGGTGAACGCCCACGCGCATGAGTTCGAGTGCGAGAACGAGGTCGATGACGGTCGACGCTGGTTTTCGACCTGTTATCGCGGATCGAGAACAGAGACTCGCTGCTGTAGCTGGACAGTGTGCTCAAGGACGACGATGACATATCCAAGATGCAAGAAAGTTTGAGCAGGCTGCACACAACTGGGATGGATTTTATCTAGACAAGCCGCTGCATCGTGTTTGTCGCAGGATGAATGATCAAATCGATCACGTATGTCGTGTTACGTTATAGCTAACACGTTGTGTATGACTTGGCATCCTGTCCGCTTGAAAAAAATCCAAGCTTGAATATGCTCACCTCAAAGAGCTGGAACATAAATGATCGATTAGTGTCATCAGCTAGACTCAAAGGCGACTCGGAAGGTGACGGCTGTCAGTCGCGCGCATGTACGCGACAAGATCAGGTGGTTCGATGCATCAAACCACGTGTAAGGATCATCCTAGTTTCTCCTCTCGATGTGCACGATAATATAGCAGTTCGCTGCCAAGTCAATTTTGGTGCAGTCGCGATTTTTTCATGCATTCCCGTCTTCATAACGTCTTTCTTGATTCCGACACCCAATAGCGATCATGCCTTGCGTCGTGTTTAGGGCCGGCGGCTACGCGTTCACTGACGTAAGTCGCGATCCAATTACCAACTGCGTCACGTTCATCGTCACAGCGGGAACTTGATCGGCAAGTTCAGTTCGCGACGGTTTTGCTTGCCTCTCTTCCACATCGTCGTCCACAGCAATCTCTTCACAAATAATGACATCCACACCACCCTCACCGACGCCCTTTGCTATGACTTCTCCTCCCGGATCCAGCACCGTGGCATCTTCGCCACCATTCGTCGACTCAGAAGACGTGGATCAGGAAGATACTGAACCTGAGGTCAAGATGGCGCCGGTACGTTCCAGACGCGTCTTTCTCCACAAGACTGCGTGGTTGGCTATCAGGTTCCTTTGTTGATTTCGTACTTATGTTCTTTCAGTCTACAAAAAAACTTCAGCCTGTCGAAGACGATGTATGACCAGCAACTCTATCTTATCTAGCATAGCTTCTTGACATTACAAAATTTCCACAGGACTCTGAGGCACGCTTTGCTCGCCTCTCGTTTCTTCTTCAAAAGTCTTCTCTCTACGCGAACATGTTGAAAGACCAGATGGACCGTGCGCGCGAGAAACAGGCTGCTGTTGCCGCACAGGCAAAATCCAAATCCAAACCGCGTAGTATGGTTCCCGGACGTGGCTCCGCTCGCGGGACGGGCAGACTACGCGTCTACGGGAAGCGTGCGCGTGTTGACAGTGGCGACGAGGAGGAAGACAAAGACAGCGAAGACGCGCCAAACGCGAAGCGCGCCAAGGTTGTGCCCCCTGAAGACACCGCGAAGCCGATATTTGTGCAGCCTGCGTTGTTGACAGGCGCCACATTGAAAGATTACCAGCTTGAGGGCGTGGCGTGGATGGTAAGTCTCTGGGAGAATGGAATCTCGGGGATTTTAGGTGGGCTCTATTGTCCCGTATATAAGAAGCTAGTGCTAACCGCTGTCATAGCCGATGAAATGGGTCTCGGAAAGGTATGTCCCTTTTCATATCTTTCGACGTGAGAGCAATGGCTTAGTAGCTTCAGACCATTCAAACAATTGCATTCATTGCGTATCTTCGCGTCCGTGTCGAATCTCCGTTCTTGATCGTATGTCCCCTAAGCGTGCTTCACAACTGGATGGACGAGTTCAAAAAGTTTGCCCCTGATGTGAGTGGTGACAAGTAACGTTCTACCGCATGTCGCTCATTCGCTATGTAGATCGATGTTTGTATGTATCATGGTACACCCCAAGAACGTGCCCAACTCCGGAGAACAGCCATGGCATTACCCGTCGACCGTGTCGGGGCGACCGCTAATTCAAAGGGCAGAGGCAGACCTTCGAAGACCGGCAAAAGCAAAGTCAAGCACCACAGCCGCAAGGTCAAGAAGCCAGATTCAGATTCAGAACGTGAGGACGATGAAGTGTTTGAAGCGAGCGGAGAGCCGGTACCAGAGTCGGATTTGGTGGATTCGACTGAGCAGAAGTCAACGTTCCCAATTATCGTCACCACATACGAGATGGTCATCAAGGATCGTTTGCATTTGGCCAAGTATAAGTGGGGATATATTGTCGTCGACGAAGGCCATCGCTTGAAGAACATGGATTGCTTATTGATGAGGGAAGTCAAGAAGTATACCAGCGCCGGGCGCATGGTGCTCACAGGAACACCTTTGCACGTAAGTTCATGATATCACTATCTGCTTGCGTACTTTTGACACGCGCACCATTAGAATAATCTAGGGGAGCTTTGGTCACTCCTCAACTTTATACTTCCAGATATTTTTGACGACGTTGACTCCTTTCAAGAATGGTGCGTGTTGCCTAAAATCTATCATGAGGATTCTGTACCGAGCAACTCTGCAGGTTCAACCTTCCGACTCTTTCCAACTCGCTCGGCTCTGATAGGAGCACACAGATCCTCAATACCCTCCATTCGATTCTGAAACCTTTCCTCCTACGGCGGGTTAAAACCGACGTAGAGCGGTCTTTGCCACCTAAGAAGGAATACGTGCTATACGCACCGTTGAGTGAACAACAGCGCGAGCTTTACGACGCAGTCGTGCGTGGCGGACTGCGAAGGCTCCTCATTGGCGATGAACCTCATGACAAAGCTGATGCAGAAGCAACAGATGCACAACCAGAGGAAGAGGAAGGGAAATCCTCGAGAAAGTTGAGGAAGAGAGACAAGAAGAAGTACGATGTCGATGGAAACGATGACAGATCTTTCAAGCGCCTGGAGAAGGGCCAGGCCCATGGGATCGAAGAGCGAGATACAGGGAAGAATACGGCTGCGTTGGGACGAGATCATGCGTACAAGACGAGAGGTTCGATTCTTCTCGTTTTTGCTCGACCATCATTGATAATCTTTTACGTTGTAGTCAAGAATATCAATAACATGCATCTACAGATGCCGATCATGCAATTGCGCAAAGTATGCTCACATCCATTCCTTTTCGATTGGCCTTTAGACAGGAATACGAAACAACCTGTAATCAACGAAGATCTGGTCAATGCGAGTGGCAAGATGATGGTTCTCGAGCGGTTGCTAGACGAGCTTTTCCGACGCGGACACAAAGTGCTCGTCTTCAGTCAATTCAAAACCATGCTGGATGTTATCGAGGTATGTATTGATGTATAATGTGAATGCGACTACTGAACGCTTGCTTTGCTAGGACTGGGCAACAGAATACAAGCACTGGCCACTGTGCCGCATTGACGGGGCGTCTGGGCCATTAGAGCGACGCGAAGAGATGAATAGATTCCAGAATGGGGGTAACAATCCAAATGCCCCCCGTTTATTTTTGCTCAGCACTAGAGCGGGAGGGTTGGGTATCAACTTGACAGCCGCAGACACAGTCATCTTTTATGATCAAGACTGGGTAGGTCACAACTCTTCTCATCCATATGTGTACGCCACTCATCGCAATCGAATGCTTCAGAACCCACAAATGGATCTGCAGGCACAAGATCGTGCGCACAGAATTGGGCAGACGAGACCGGTGCTCATCTTCCGGCTTGTCAGTAAGCACACCATCGAGAATTCGATAATGCAGCGCGCATCCGAGAAACGCCAGCTCGAGGCCCTCGTCATCGCAAAGGGCAAGTTCAAGATGCCTGCGCACGCTGCGGCGAAGGCAGGCAAGCAGGAGACAATCGCGGAGATGGCTACGTCGCTGCTCGCGCTCGAGGGCCAGAAGATAGAGGTCGTGCCGAGCACCGATGCGGGCAAGGCGAACATCATGAGTGACGAGGAGCTGGACGTTTTGCTAGACAGGCGGCCGGGGGTGTTTGAGGGTCGTGGAGTTGGGTGGACAAGTGGGAAGGCCAAGGATGAGGGCATGTTTGCAGTTTATGAGGCTCCTGTGGATGAGGGCAATGATGCGTTAGCGATGATGATGGGAGAGGAGGTTTAGTAGCGAGTGATTCCGGATGCTTTTTACATGTATATTTAAAATATTTGGTTCTTATTTTTACCTGCATAATCATTATGTCGAGGGCTACGTGAGTATTGAAAAACCATACAGTAAAAAGTTGACGTGTACTGATTCGGTATGAAGCTGTTGAAAACTGTACAATTAAAAAGCTCCAGATCACTTCGGGAGTATGAGAAATAATTGATCCCAATGACAGAAACACACAGGGGACCAAATATTGTCTGACTTTACGAACGGGATACATTTTGGTATTGCAGGGACGCTGAGTCATATTTAGTTTGGAATATTTGGTCGCGCTCCTTGATCATGTAACTTCGACGTGTCAAAGATTAAAGTGGGCAACCCGAGAAAGATGAGCACGTACTTCATGAGTTCTGTAACGTAATGACGAACCAAGGCGACACTTTCGGGATCCATCGTTGATCCCGCAACCATTTGCGGTAGGCTCACTGGCGTGGGAAAACATGTTGATATATAGTATTTTTGGGAGATGGAGGCGCAAGGCTCACCGATCATGCGTAACAAATGCTCGGCACCGTAGACGGCGCTCATCTCACGCTCCTGTCCGACTTGAACAGTGGGCCCTGTCACATATCGTTTCCTTATGTCGGCATATTGTGGTCTTTCAAAACAATACAAGAGATTGGCCCCTAAAGCGCGATCGAAGTATGTCTGTAAACCTGCGATGATGGTTGGCAAGACCGTCGTAGGATCACGCAGTCTAAAGAGACTCATAGATGAGCGATAGAGTATATGGCAACAATAGTGAGACTCACTGAGGGGCGGGCGAAGCGAGAACAGAATTCTGAAAGTCAGTCAAGATGTCCTTCACGGAAGGGTTTCGTGGTAAGGTAACAAGCTGTGAACCCAGTTTAGACATCTAAAAGTACAGCTGTCGACCATGCTCCTACCTGATTGTTCTTGGTAACAGCCTCCCAGTCATCGACAAGAAGGACCTTAAGAATCTCAGGTATCACAAGGCGCAGCTCAGGACGTCTTGTGCCATCATCATCATCTCTACCGCGCTTCGTCCCTCGTCCCTCCTTCCGCCGACCTACAGGCTGAGCCTTGGTCGTCGCCGAAGCTTTCGCATTCGTGCTTTGAGCGGCTATTTCCTTTGATGACTGTATGAGAGACTTTTGGAGTGCGATGTTCACCTCGTTGAACTTGAGCAGCCGCTGTGGTGGAACCCATTCGTCCCATCTACACAGACGCGAAAGGATCAGATCGCAGTCGAACCAGACATATAAGGCCATTGCGAGGGGCGTACGTTTGCTTCCAGCCGCGATAATGCACGAGATAGTGCGGACCAACACTGCCTAGCTTTGTCGTGGTTTCATCCCAGTGTTCGACTTTAAGAACTTTTGCCTCATATATGAGGGGCCCATGGTAACACAAGACCTTCTCATTGACGTTGTAAACACTGCTCGAAGGGCCTGCCATTGCCTGCGGGCTGTGTAACGGGAGAGTGGTGCGTCACCTAAGTCACAAAGGTCACCCAAGGTCTGGCACGCTTGAGGAGTCTTCTCTCAGTGCTCACCGTCACATCCCCTCCTTCTCAGCTACGATTTGCAGCATTTACAGCATAAAAACGGTCCATGCCGCGCGTCTCCTCTATCTTACTCCCCAGCGCCTCCGCATAATACCCGCTCTCACGAAACCTAGACTCATACTTGTCAACTTGTCGTGGTAGACCCAGCGCATACTCCAACTGCCGTGATAAAAAAGCGTGCTTGATATTCTACACAAGCTCAACGGCTTTATCTGTCATACAGTTCATTTTTTCGCATCAGTGAAGGGGACATCTTGACCTGCTGGGTTTTCAGTGAGTTGACCCCTATATCGTCCATGTGCACAGAGGCTCGCGGCTTGCTCGGTGACAGCACCTCTGTCTATTTTCAGCTTCATTGGAAGCTGACTCGAGACCACATCCCCCGATCAACAAATAGTTTGAGAATCTGGTCTCATGATTTATTTGTATACAGGTACTGACAGCGCATCATGTCACTGAAAACATCGTCTGTACTCCTCTATCTATTTCTGCTGCATTTGGCAGGAATCTATCTATTTACGCGCGGGTTCCTGCTGACGCGCCTGTCGCTGGCATCCTTCGCGTCCTGCGACGCGTCCTCTCCTTGTACTCTTCGTCCCACCCATAGACGTGCCGTTTTCCTCATCGTCGACGCACTTCGCTTCGATTTTTTATCCCCTAATCCTCCCGAGCCACATTCCCCTTACCATCACAATGTGCTGACGTTGCCTCGCGAACTCACCGCGCGATATCCGCAACACTCATTCTTGTTCAACGCGTATGCTGACCCTCCTACAACTACGCTGCAGAGGATCAAGGGACTTGTCACGGGATCTCTACCGACCTTCGTTGACATGGGCCACAATTTTGGTGGTTCGTCGATTGCCGAAGATTCCATCATACACCAGCTTCGTGTAGCAAACAAGACTGTGTGTGCATTTCTACCTTGACATCTTAAGTATAGTTCACCTTATCGCAGGTGGCTTAGATCGCGTTCATGGGAGACGACACGTGGTTATCCGTTTTTCCCTCTTCATTTCATCCCGAGATGCTGCACGACTTTGATTCGTTCAATGTGGAGGATCTGCACACGGTTGATAATGGCGTCATCGCCAACCTCATCCCTCTTCTTACCAATTCACCGCACGCAAAGTCGTGGGATTTTCTCATCGGCCATTTCCTAGGCGTCGATCACGTCGGGCATCGCGTGGGTCCAGATCACCCTGCAATGAAAAGCAAACAGGAGCAGATGAACGACGTTCTCGGCCGTGTCGTCGACGCCCTCGAGCCCGATACTCTCCTCGTCGTGCTCGGTGACCACGGCATGGATCGGAAAGGCGACCACGGCGGAGATGGCGATCTTGAGGTCTCTTCTGGCATGTGGATCTACTCGAAAGGTCTCCCACTATCTGTTGCAGATGCAACGATTCCCTCGCACCTACAGAAGACTGTCATATTTCCTGGGGCATCTGTTCCGCATCGCCGTGTTCAACAAATCGATTTGGTCTCGTCATTATCGCTCCTCCTCGGCCTACCCATTCCGTTCAATAACCTTGGCACTGTCATACCTGAGTTATTCTGGCGTGGCGAATCGGGTATCGAGTACGAAAATGCACTCAGCTTGAACCTACGGCAGGTCAACGCGTACCTAGCAACGTACCGTGCAAGCTCTGCTGGCGGCGAGCTCGACGGCGTGTGGGATGGCCTGCAAAAGCAGTGGGGTGCAGTCGTCAGTGCTGAACCATCAGAGAGACGGGAGCAATCTGTTGAGTACACGCGGTTGGCATTGGAGACCTGCCGCTCGCTGTGGGCACAATTCAACGTAGGACTAATCGTGTTTGGCCTAATCATACTGGGCCTCAGTTCGGTAGTCGGATGGGGTATGTTCCAACATAGTGGACGCATTGGAGCGGAATGGGAGCCCTGGATCTCGACGTTGACGCGAAAGTCTCTATTAGCAGCGTTGGCGGGTGCCACACTGGGCGCCATTGCTCACATGCCGGTACAAGCAGTGTTTGGTTTCAAAGGAGTCTCTCTAATCCAGTTCCTCATCTTCGGTGCATCTGTGGGCTCAGCTGTTGCTGTAATTGCTACCGCTCCACCTCGTATACATCTTTCCTGGTCGCTCGTGCCACTTGTGCTTCATCCGCTTGCGTTTCTCTCCAACTCGTACACCTTCTGGGAAGACCGCATCATTCCTTTCCTACTCCTCACCACATCAGTTCCCGCATTTTTGACATCATTCTCTGCACCAACCGCGCGCCTGCGCAGACGCATACTCTTCTTCTCCGCAGTCTTCGCAGCGTGCGTACGTCTAATGGCAATAAGCACTGTCTGCAGAGAAGAACAACAACCATGGTGCAGTGTCACTTACTTCGCCGGCGGCACCGTTGCGTCACCACCCACCATTGTCATTGCGATCATCTGCCCAGCTTGTATTTTCCTTCCCTTTGCAATTCGACGGGTGCTCGCGATTTCCAAATCTGACAACGGTGTTGCGTCGATCTTTCTACCTTATATTCTTACACCGACGCTCCTTGGTGGCACGGCGTATTGGATGGTGGAGTGGATCGACAGCGCGCAGGCTCTTGGCGTAAGTGCGGATCTGAGGCTACTGAGGACGATCGTAGGGTGGTGTACGATAGGTGGAATGCTCCTAGCTGGTGGCGCCCTTTGGACCGCCGTCCCTGTCGCGCTACATATCACGACCGAGCGCGCACTACCTGGTTCTAGTCCTAATGCTAAAGCACGCGTCACCATTCTCGGATTTGCCAACGCGTTCGGCGCGCCATACCTCATCTTTTGGTGCATCGCGCTCGGGCTCACTTGGGCGGCCACGCAGCTCTCGGGCCAAGTTGCGCTTGGCTTCGGAACGTTGGCGTTGCTCGCACACCTCGAGGTCGTGGACAGCGTGCGAGATGCCCGCGCGCTGCAGGATGCTTTCATAGCAGATCCCGCGGCCGCTCTAGCACTCCTGCGTGCTCAGTCAGGGCAAGCCATGGCGGAACTGCAGGGCCCAGGAACCACCGGTCTTGAGGCTCAAGTGACATTCGAAGAGATCGTCCCACTGGCGCTACTTGCATTGCTGTCGTTCTTCGCGACAGGACACCAAGCGACTGTGCCGTCGCTGCAATGGAAGTCGGCATTCGTACTGAGCGCAAGCGTGACGTATCCGTGGTCTCCGGCGCTTGTGCTGCTGAACACTGTCGGTCCGGTGGTCCTCTGTGCACTTGCAGTGCCATTGGTCGCGCTGTGGAATGTGGCGCCCCTACCTGTCGTATCGGCGCCTGTGGACCCGAAGGCGGAGGAGGCGAATGATGGAAGAGTCAAAGTGGAAGAACCTGGTGCGCAGGTGCATCGCAACGCGGTGCGGGCTTCCCTCGGCGTGATGGTCTACTTCACTGCGCTGCTGCTCGGCGCAGCAGTGGGCGCGGCAGTGCTTCGCCGTCATCTGATGGTGTGGAAGGTGTTCGCACCGCGATACATGGCAGGTGCCATGCACTTGCTCGCCGTAGATGCTGGAGTTGTACTTGGAGTGCATATCGGGGTGCGGCGAGTCGTGGGGAGAGTGGGAAGAATCTTGAGTGTGAGGAGGTGAGATTGGTAGAGAGGTGCAGACTATCAAGGACTTGTTAAATTTGGTTGGAATACACTGCTAAACTAATGAACTTTCTAGTACAGTAAGGATCGACTCCGTTGCTTAAGCGTTCGTGGGTGTCAAAATTCGCTCCTGGCCATTTTTCTTTTGGAATGTGTTTCTCCTCCATGGACCCTAGCCACGGTCCGATGGGAAGAAATCATTGCCTGGGTTCTACGGAACAGACTGTCGCAGAATTCACCATCGCAAATATTCATTACAGATTCGAACGCTGAGCAGGACGCTTTGCACGTTGGCCACGCAGCGCGTCTTTCGCAAAGTCGCAGTCCACAATTCTTTCACTAGCGCCACAGTATTCGGCAAGATCCTGCAACAGGACGCTATCGCTCAGGCCATCGGGGAAATTCAATTTTGGCAGGGCTATCGTGGTATGGTTCTTTCGATCGCATTGGTGCAGGGGCAATGATTGTACGAACGCCAGGAATGCTATATTCGGATGCAAAGGTCCTGCTGACATCTTTCGCTTCTTCGATCTCCAGGAGGTTACGACATTCATTGGTACCCAAAGCGTCGACGGTAGCCACTTGCGGGATGAATTTTTCGACGATGTGGTCCGCGTAGCAGAATCCAGTGAAGTGATGACAGAAAGCTGACCAGAAAAAGCTGTGAATATCAACAGCAAGATCAGCTACTAACGCATAGGGCGGCTAATGCATCGATGATGGACTTGGTGTCGCCGACAGCACCGAGATTCGGCCTCCATTCTGCCATGACAGGAGGTAAGTAAGGATCCAAGGTGATGAGCACTTCTGGGGTAGCCATAAAACACTTAAAAGTGTGCGGAGTGTGAGAGCACATGAGAATGATGGCAGCAAGTCTTACTGTAAGTGACCAGTCGTATTGCTGACTCTCCACCTGCTGCCCTCCGTCAGTCCTCCGTCGCCCTCCTCGCCACCTTTTTCATCGGTCTGTCCTGCCAAATTGAGCGCCCAAGCGTCTCCGGGTGGCAGCAGAAAACGAGCGAGCTGCCGTCCACGCTGCTCAAGGTGATGGATGAGAGTGGCGTCGTATGAGCTCGTGAAGGAGATAGGGATGAGAAGCGGCTGGTAAGGGTTTCGTTTTCGTCCAAGTATGATACAATTAATACACAGCTGAACTGCAGTTGACTCTGTCCTGGCCCATTCACGGATTCCTGAGTAAACACGATCGACCGGCTCTCTATTTTTCTGGTCGGCTGTGCACTCGTGCACAGATTTCAGATATACAGAGGATTTTGCGCACCGATATAATGTGCGCAGTCGGTTTTCCACATCGCCCTTTCTTCCTGATCTATGCGGCCACTTTGTGCACTGGGGGAAGGACTCTGTGCGCAAGTGCCTTGTAACGCGATGTGGGCGTTTTGACTCCACCTAATGGTACGGAGGGTGTTTGCACCGCAATTATATGGCAGGCGCCATGCACTCGCTCACCGTAGCTGCTGGGGGAGTGCATAGGAGTGCATATTGGGGCGCGACTCGTCGGACGAGTTTTCGGGAGGGTGGGATTTTTTTGGATAGGAGCTGGTGACGGCCAGACTGTCGCATCCTTCAAGTTACATCTCATCCTCCATTGCAGTGGGAGCTTGATCTCTCAAATGCTCTGTCCGGATCGCGTCAAAAACCTCCCCGAGTCCCTGCATTCCCAGCTCTTACTGGCCAAGGGTTCCGATCATCTTCCAGGTGTCAAGGTCGGCCCCTTGCTGCGACGCACTACATGAGCAAGTTGCTGGCCTCCTCTGTGGAAGCACCCGCTCTGATGTGTGCACGGACTTGTGGGATTTTCTAGCTGCCGAGGGCTGAATATCTTGAAGTAGCAATGCACCTGCCATGCTTTGCAGCGGATTTTCGGATTTTCCTTGCACAAGAATTTGAGATATCTTTGTTAGTCTATTTGTGATCTAGATATTCGGGAATTTTCATGAAGTCCTTCACTGATCTGCTAATTTGATTCGCCCAATGCGCATCGACACCGAATGGCGATTGTACCAACTTGAACATAATCTGGGAGAAAGAAGCCTGTACAATGGTGTTCTCAAATTGTCATGATACTATTCACATATGTATACGGTGTTCATAACCCGGAAAATTCAACTGACGACATGATCTATCTAATAGTATCGTTAATTTTGTCACCGTTGTTGTCTGCACTGTCGTCGCCGTACATTGCATCAGCGCCGTCGTATCTATCACCCTCATCATATCTATTGCCGCCTTCGTCACCATCGCCTCCGTGGTAAACCTCTTCATAATCGCCATCTACGCCTTGGAGACAGAGTGTCAAGAGAATATATATCCTCGAATGTTCGTTCGCCAATTGTATGAAATGCTTCATATCTCTCCTGAAAGTCGAATTATCAGATCTCGTGCATCGCTCACATCATCATTAGCGCTGTCCTAGCATACGTCTACATCTTTGCTCGTGATGATAATCGCTCTGACCGGAAGTGATACCGCCCGCGAATCTCCATTTCAGTACTCGTCCTCCGGATGAATCAAACACCAAAACTTTTGAAGTGCCCGAGCATCGCTATCGTCATACGGTGACCCCTCCATTGCCGAATACGCATACCGGGTCCCCTGACGCCCTTCTTTCAGCTGTACGTAGTTCATCGGTTCCCCATCGTCGAGGTCAGAGTCTGAATAGTCCTCAAACCAGTGAGATTCGGACTCCACTTTCAGTGTCCCCAACGCCTTCAGTTCCTCGGCAAAGTAGTCCCATATATGCGACCACTGGCGCGGCTTCGTGCGCCGGGTCTTCAATCGCAATTCTGCACTCCGTGAGCCACAGCTTTCTCAGTGTTCCCTTGTGACGTAAAATAAAATCTTCGACGTGCGTGACCGCATTGAACAAGATCCTCCCCAACCAGAGGAACTCAAGCACGGGGAAAGTCGCCTGCGAGAAATCAAGCCTGGGTACAATGCCCACGTCAACGTCGCTGTGGAGAATGAACGAGGTGAGAGAGTGAGAGAGTGAGCCGAGTACGCTGTGTTGAATCCCTTGTTCCCAAAAACGGATATAAGCATTCCGAGAGTGGGACTTCGGGTCGCCGGTAAACTTAGTCGTGATCATAAGACTGGATAGTGACCCAAAGAGGCCCTTAAATGAAGGGAGATCATAGATGGAGTCGTGAAGTGACATCAAGCCGTCAAGGGCGAGGGAGGAGAGGGAAAGTGGGTGGGGTCGGCTGAGTATTGCAGAGAGAATGGTCGATTGGAGTAGAAGTTTCGGTTCGCGATAAAATGATAAAACCAGGTTTTTGAGTCTCGGAAGATCATGGATACGGGCGAATGAAGAAGTGAGAGATTTCAGCGAGATCTCTAGATTCGATTTCGGCCCCGGCACAGTGTCTAGAGTACAATTAGTGCCCCTGCGGTGATGCGATCGAACAAACCATACCGCGGATTTGAACGTGAGCATATTCGTGGTCACCTCCCTCCCGAAAGGTGATTGTTTCGATACTTTGAGCGATCGCGTCGTTTTGTAGGATCTCGTCAAATACCGCGGCACTAGTGAAATGTTTAGTGACTATGACTTCGCGAAAGACGCGCGGCGTGGCCAACGCGCAAAACGTCTTGTTCAACGTTCGAATCTGCAATAAATCTTTGAAATGGTGCATTTTGCTGACGATGGCGTCGAGGCGCTCATAGGGCAATGAGTCCATGGAGAGCTCTTTGGCGTTGACGAGTTGGGTTGTTGGGGGACCGATAGGGGTTGAATTGGAGATGGCGAACCGTTATGAAGTAGGCCGACCCAAAGCAGAACCACATGAGAAATCCGATCGGCGATAATGAGTACCGAAGCAGGCTATGACTCGAGAGAGCAGAACGTGTTTTCCGCGACTGCACGCGACAGAAGAATTCAATACGTACACTACGGAAAAAATCCGAGATGAAGTATCCGTCATGGCAAACGGTGTCTAGATCTCTCCCTGTCCAGACCGCGAGTCGAAGAGGGGCGGATACACGATGATTTAGTCGTGTGCATGCGTTCGGACCAGTCACTCCTGCTGCTCCACGTTGAGCATGTCATTCTTGAACTCGATCAGATTCAAATTGCCTGTCAACGTGAAAGCCCCGTACAAGGCAAAACGAGGAAAATGTTATCAGAAAATGAGCGCTTGCTCCGACGAGACTCGAGTCCGAGGTGCGTCTGACGATGGGCAATTTACCAGGGGAGATGACGATGTCCACGTCCCTGTTAGTTCCGTAGCGACGCAGTAGCGAGCGTCGACTCCGGGTGAGGATGAGAGCCGGTCTGCATACAGAATGGGCATGTTTATGCGTCGACGAGGCATGAACTGAGTGTATCGAGGGTGGTGAGATTAGCAAAGAGCGTCGTGGGAGGTAGATGCTGGCGCTGACGAGACGCGACGAACCTTGGAACAATAGAAAAACAAGAGAGCGAATCGAGAATGCTCGCGGTCGAGCGGCTAGCTTCGTACGAGTACGAAGCCGGCAGCAGTATGAAACACGATGTCTTGGTGACGTCTCCACAGGCTCCAGAGCTGTGAATGTCGCCGGTCAGCACCTTCTCAAGCGCCAGTCCGTGCTACTATGCAGTGTCGGGGACCGTCAGTCGCTATGAGATCTCCAGCAAATCTAGAGACAAAAAAATTCCCCGCCACGCTGGGATACCTTCACGAATCCAAACCGGTCAGGCATCATTGGTACGGCATCGCCTTCTTAGCGAGTCGGAACCCTCGCCTTGCGTCCCGCACGATTTGTTCGTAAGAAGGAAACGCCCAGTTGACTCGGTATACCTTACAACATCGCCACCTTTACATGATGAAGCACTCGCACTCTGACCATGAAACCTACCACGCTCTACTTCGTCTTCTCGTTCCACCTGTAAACGCACACAAAGGCCACATCAGCACCCCGCTCATCGCAAACCAAGACCAAGCCAAACCGATCAAGAAAAAACGGAAACAACGAGGGAAAAAAAATGAAAGAGACACCCACAGATCCATAAAAAGTCTCCACAGCACCGAAAACATCACCCCCTGCAACCCATTCGCCAATATCCGCGTCCTCAACCCCCTCCCAAGCAATCCTTTGATACCGTCCGTGGCGACGACCGCGCGCGCGGCCGCCACGTACCCGACGCGCGTCTCGTTCACCTGGCGGTACGTTTTGACGACGCGCAGCGAGTTGGAGACCGTGTCGGAGAGCGCGGAGGCGACGAAGCCGATCAGCGCCTGGCGGAGGAGCTTTTGGAGGAGTGTGTGCGGCGCAGGAAGCGTTTCGTCGAGGTAGTTGTACGTGCTGAACCACTGCCGCGCGCGGGGGCGGTGAGCGGCGCGTGGTGGACAGAGGAAGGAAGGAGGGGCGTACGGGGTAGTGTCCGACGAAGGTGGCGGCCGCGGTTGCCCACGCGCCGTAGAACAGCGATCCAAACCCATACACCTCGACCTTCAAAGTGGCTCCCATCAGCACGCACACACTGCACGCACGCACGCACGCGCACCGCGACGCACCCGGCGCTTCAAGATCCCCCACCCGCGCGCGCCCTGCGTCTGCAGCGTCGTCTTGACGGTATCCACCGGCGTCAGGCCCATGCGGAACAGCGCGGCCGCGGCGGACGCGAACACGGTTTTCGCGGCCGCGGGGAGGCGGCTCAGCAGCGGGTTGCTCTGCAGGAGCGCGAGGATGCCCGCGTTCGCGGCGGTGTCGCCGAAGCGCGCGACGGGACCCTGCACGAGCGCGGCGGACAGCCCCGCGTAGAAGCGCGCGGGCCCGCCGGCGGCGTAGAGCGTGCGGAGGGCTTCGGTTGTGGTGGACCCGTAGCGGTATTGGTAGTTCATGACCGTGCGGAGAGGCTAGGGCGGGGTGAGGGAGGCGAAAGGGGGTGGAGAGAGAGGGAGGGAGTGGCGTACCATGAGCGTGAGGACTTGTAGGATCATGGCTGTGGGGGCGCGAGGATGAGGTCGCGGGACGGATATGCGCAAGAGTCGGCCTACATACCCGCAGCGCCGCTGAGCCCGCCGCCAAGCGCTTTCTTCAGGGCCTCGCCGAGGTCAAACTGCCCGTACGGGCGCACGGCTCAGAGAGGAGGACAGGGACAGGGGGGAGAGAAGGCTGGACGGGGCACACCTCGACGTCGTCCGCATCGATGAAGGCCTTGACGAGCAGCACCAGGGTGGCGGTGGCGAGCGAGGCGGTGACGACGTACCACGCGGCGGTCCATGCGGAGACCTTTTCCTTCGGTGCGAGCGCGTCGGCGTCGTCGGAGGCGACGATGACGTCGACGGGCGATGCATGCTCTATCTGTGCGTCGGTGTACGTCTGTGGATTGGCAGCCGGCCCAGCGAGGAGGGGCTGGCGCTCTGGGTCTTCAGAGTGTGCGGACATGGCGGTCTGAGAGAGAACGGTGTGTGCGTGCGTGGGTTCCAAACTTGGCTTATACCGAGGTGACGCCTTTGTATGTGGATATGGCGATTGGGTGTGGGGAATCTCTTGCGCAACGTACGGTTTCCGATACTTATGCTACGTGCCAGGGTTCAATTTGTAAATTACTTGGTTCATTCAAACGTGATCATCTCCTTGCAGGCCTTCCTGCAACAATACAATGATTGCAACAGAGACATCACGAGTGGTACTGCCATATTCAAAACAATCCTTATAATCATTGCTTCAAAACTAATTCTTCACGAGCCTACAAGTGTCCTAATGGCATAGCAGTGACGAAAATGTTGTGAGGCGCATCAGTAGCACGGTGCCTACGAGGGGAGCTCATTACACCATGTATTCTTGACTTGTCAGTTTGTGTCGCCTCGAACGAACCACTTCGTGGAACATGCGCTCGGCCATATCATCTTCCGCCGACGTCTTCTCGTCCACTCGCAGATATGAGTGGCCGGCTCGCTCGTCGAGGTGCACATAAGAGGAATGGTGTGGCCGGACTTGGTTGGCGTTGTGGCCGGGTTCCACCGATAGCTGAACCAATGCCTCAAGCTCGTCTGCGAAATGAGTCCATATCTGAGACCAGACCTGCGGCGGCCCTTCCAAAACGCTATAGGATGCGATGTGGCATTGCGCAAGATGCAGCGACTTCAGCGTGAGTTTGTGTCGCACGATGAAGTCTTCGACGTGAGTTTCCTCGTTGAACAAAATCATCTGCAATGACAAGGACGCGAGCGCAGGAAAGTCCAGCTGAGAAAAATCAACTCGAGGGACAACGCCGACGTCCAGATTACTGTGCAGAGTGAACGACGTGAGAGAGCGAGAGAACGAGGCGAGAGGGCTGAGAACGCGAAGCTGCATTGTGTGCTCCCAAAAAAAAACAAATGAAGGCCGAATGTGTGGCGGTGGAGGCTCCAATCCCCAAGATGGTGAGATACGGATAGCATCGAGTCCGCGGAAGAGGTTCTGAAAATCAGGTGTGTCATACTGTGGGCCGTGATATGCGAACAAGCCATTGATGGTGAGAGAAGTGAGCGTAGCTAAAGGCAATTGGACTGAAATTCCGCGGAGGATGGCCATTTGAAGTGCCCATGGACTCGGCGAGTAAAATTGTCTGCTCCTATGCTAAAATGATAACGACAGACACTTGATCAAGGGAAGGCGGCGAAGGTAGGAGAATGACGAAGTGAGAGAGTTCTCTAAGGCTTCGCTGACTGCGAGCGGTTCGCACCAAGACAATGGACTCCATGCTCGGCGAGAACCTATATCACATCAGCCTCGACAATAAGTGGAATGCATATATCCTGGAACAGATACAGACCTTCTTCTTTTGAAACTGAATAGGCTTCTCGAAAGAAAATTTCTTGAACGAGGCATGCTAGCGTCTTGGATCGTACAATATTACTGAATGCCTCTGCGCTCTCAGGTGTATTGGTGACATTAACCCGTTTAAATGCGAGTGGCGTGACCATCGCACAAAACGTCCTGTTCAACAGTCGAGCCTGTAAGAGGGTGTGGCCAGGAGAGATGTCTTGAACGATAGCTTCGAGGAGCTCAACAGGTAAAGAATCCATGTTCCGATTGTAAACTTTGACAGCGGGAGTGTCGGCTGTGTTCTGGTGGATCGAGTTGAAGACTCGAAAGGAATGGTAGACAAGAGTAAGCTAAGTGGCAGGAAGAGATGCGAGGCGAACACTACCAGGCCGCTAACCCCCTGCGGTCCAAGCTACTTCAAACCACATGAGCCACTGGTCACGAATAACGTGATTCTCACTCGCCACAAATCAGCAACGCATCTCGGAATCTTGTAACTTGTCCGAGTCAGTCACAGTATCAAGGTGTGTTCAAGACATCTTCACGATAACGCCTTCCAATGCCCGCGTGGTTTGCCGCTCGAGTGCCGCTTGTCAAACGTCGCGTGTCAGAGATGCAGCGGCGCGAAGAGAGCTCGATCATTCGTGCATGGAATGTAGATCAGCACAGATCAGCATTCAACAGAAGGAGTGCGAAGGTTTCCAAGTACTAGTTAAATGGTGTGGATATCGTACAAGCATAGGTGTTGTCAGCAAGATACACTGAGAAGCCTGCTAACATCTCTGCAAATGAGTGAGTATTTTTGAGGGCACCTGCGCAGCGGAAACTAAGAACTTGTTGTTTGCTGTTTACATAGCATCTTGCGAGAGTATGCAATGACACTACAGCGACTTGAGTATGCATTCGTGCCAGGTTTACGTGAGTGTTCCTAGACGAGAAAGTGAGCGCAGAGAAGTTGAGCTCTGTCGAGCTATAAAAACCTTACTGCCTGAGAGACAAAGCCAATGTCGATATCACTATGAGAAGTAAGAAACCTGACTGCCTGAGAGACAAAGCCAATGTCGATATCGCTATGGGAAGTAAGAAACCTGTTGATGTTCTCATGGATGCACAGTTCGAATGCAAAGACTGCTCTGGAACGATGCCCAGCCAAAACGACAGCTCTCGAGGATCAAAAGAGCATGAAGAGAAACCGACAAAGCGTAGGATTCTTAAGATCGCTACCTCTGCATCTGAGTGGTCAACAGACAACGATTTCAATTAAGCTGGCTCTTGAAGAGAGCTACACCGTGCAGTCTCCATCAGCCCGTCAGATGGCCAGAGACCACGCAGATTGTCCAGCGCACAAGATATTCCTGTTCAAAACCTGGCCAGTAGGGACTCCGTCGAAGTGGTGCTGAAAAGGTCATGAGGCAAGGGTGTTTTGAACACTACGGCACCTCGGTCGTAGGGTTTGCAGAGAGAGTGCCGCTTGTCACGTGAGTCACACCAATGCTGGTCGAATCACGAGCTCCCTTCATTCTTGACATTCTACTCTCAGACTGGCCTCATTCGCTCAACAATCGCCCCAAATCCTCCGCCTCTCCACGCCGTCTCTCACCAGCCCACCCACCGTCCCCTCCCACCGCGCGACCATGCCAGCCCACCAGCCCAAACCGAAACGGCCCTCGGTCCGACACCTAGTCTTCCAGAGCCCTCGGGCTACCACTATGAAACCTGGCCTCACCGTCACCAACACCCAGTCCGACACGCAATCCCGCCCATAACACCCCGCATCCACACGCAAGAGCGAGAATCACCCATGTCCGCCTTCGACCCCGCCTCCATCTTCGTCGACGCGCGCCTTGAAATGCCCACCCCCCCGTATATCCCGAGCACAGGCCCAGCGCACGCGCCCCTCCTCGACGCGACGAACACGACCTCAGCCTCACCACCCACGCTCGCCGTCCCCCTTACAGGCCTCAAACCCACCCACCTCGTCAAGCGCGTCCCCGTCCCCCCACTCGCCCCCCCCGCCCCCGTCCCCCCACTCGTTCTCCCCGCCCCCGCCCCCGCCCCCGCCCGTCCACACGCAGCCGCCGCCGACTCCGACCCCCCATTCCGCATCACCTCCTTCCCGCGCATCCCCCCCGCCCGCGCATCGTCCGCCAATCGCGGCACCCACGAGCGCCGCTTCCCCCCCGCGGACCCGCACGCGCTCGTCCGCCTCGCGACCGACAACCTCGCGCGCATCCGCTACGAGCGCGAGCTCGACGCGCTATGGCGCGGCGCGGGCCTCGAGCGCGCGCACGCGTATGCTACCGCGAGCGCGGTCGAGGACTCCGGCGCGAGTGACTTTCACGATGCCGAGGACGAGGACGAGGACGAAGACGAAGACGAAAACGAAAACGATGACGGCGAAGACGAAGACGAGGTCGAGTTCAGCATAACGCCCCTCCCGCGCACGCTCCTCCCCTGCCGCCCGCGCGCGTCTCCCAACCCCACAGACCCCACAAACCCCTATTCCCACACGCGGCGCTTCCCGACGCTCGACGCGCACGCCCTCCGCCGCATGGCGATCGAGAACTTCGCGATGCAGCGCGACTGGGAGCTCGAGCGCTGGGGCGCCGACGCCGACGCCGACGCGGTCGGCGCCGTGTACGAGGATGAGGACGCGTACGGCGACGCGCACGGCGACGGCGGCGACGGCGGTGATGCGCGCGACGCGCCGCCGCATATGCCCGTGCGCGCCGCGACGCCCAACAACCGCGCGCCCTCGTCCGCGTCCGCGTCCGCATCCTCCTGCTCCTCCTCGTCCTGCTACGACACCGACTCGTCCGCCTCCGCCTCGCCCTCCCTATCCGCCTCTGAATACGACTCCGACGGCGACGGCGACTCGGACGCGGACGCGCACGCGCCGCAAAAGCCGCTCCCTGCCTCGCCGTCACAGTCGCGTATCGCGGTGCGGGGCCACGCGGCGGCGCTGTTCGGCCGCCTCTTGGGCACGTCGGCGCGTAAGGGCGGGGCGTGCGCCGCGCCCGCGCATGTGCCTGTAAAGAGCGCGCGCCGCACGAGCGTGTGCGCGCAAAACGGTGCGCGGGCTTTGCTCTTCCGCGTCCTCGAATAGATGCTGATCTTTTGTGTGTGTGTACTTGTAGGCGTTGGGCGCTCGGGGAGCGCGGGCGGAGATAGCGTTGGGAGTGGTAGGCAGCGGGACAGGGGCAAGGACAGGGACAGGGGCCGCTCGTGGATCGCGGCGGGGCTCGCGTCGGTGCGCAATATGTGGACGCTCGGCGTCTGAGGGGGCGTGCGATGCGGCGCCGCCCGCGAATCGTGGATCGAACTCGACTCGAGAAGGTCGGAGGTTGGAGGCTGTGTGCGGCCGGGGCTGGCGCTCGCCGCTCTCTGGACTCTGTGACTCTGTGACTCCGTGCGTTGCGCTGTGGATGTGGATGTGCCTTGTTGGTCGAGACGTACGGGGCGCGTGCGTTATGCTTTGCGTTGCTTTGCTCTGCTATCGAGCGCAGTGGTCGCTCGCTCGCTTGCTAGCTGTCGATGCCGGTCGGTCGGATCTGCCGTCCGCCGGCTGTCTGCTGTTTGCTGTCTGCTCTTTATCTGCTGTGTCGTCGTCGTGTCTTCGTGACAAGGAAAAAAACACCCCAATACTTCGCATTTATTTATCGCCTACCCAGACTTCCTTGTATGTACCATATAAACTACGCCACACAAAAATCAAACTCTGCCAGTCCCCCGCTGACCGTCTCACTTCCCCTCCGCCTCCGCCTCCGCCTCCGCCTCCCTGGCTACCATCTCCTCCCAGTCGTCCCACCCCATCCCCAACACAGCCGTATCCCGACTCGGCCCCTCGCCCTCCGCCCCTGCAGGTACCCCGCGCCCATCCCCAACCTTCCCTTGCGGCAGCACGCGCTCGCACCTCGCCACGCCCTCCCACCGGAACCCCGCGCGGCGCGCGGCGCGCACAGAGCGCGCATTGAGCACGTGCGCGCGCCACTGCACGCGGCGGAGGCGCAGCGCGCTGAACGCGTGGCGCAGGAGGAGACGCACGGCGCGCGGCGTGATGCCTGGGGCGCCCTGGAAGCGCGGGAGGGTGAGGAGGAAGCCGAGCTCGGTGGAGAGGTTGGATGGGGATGTGCCGAGGAAGCCGATCATGCCTGCGAGCGTCGCGCGGCCGTCGGCGTCGGCGTCGGCGTCGGCGTCGGCGGAAGGAGGCTTGGCAAAGACAGCGAAGAGGACGGAGTAGGGGTCTGGCTGGATGCGTGCGGCGATGAGGTCGGAGACGAAGGCGGCGGCGGAGGGGAATGGGCCGAAGGGAAGGTAGGTGTAGAGCTCTGGGTGGGGCGCGGTCGCGGCGAAGAAGGGCTCGGCATGGACGGCGGGCTGTTTTGGGCGTGGGGCGGGTCAGGGTTGTGGTTATGATAGCGGGGAAGGGGAGGGAGGACGGACGAGGAAGGGCGTGAGCAGGACGCGGTCGTCCTCGAGCTCGCAGACGGGGAAGCAGAAGTTGACGTCGTACGGCGCGTCCGTGCGCTCTGTGCTTTGGGCCATCGTTGCTGCTGCTGTGTTATTCTGGGCGTCCATGTGGATGTTTCGGAAGTGCGCCCGACTCACCTCGAGTCATATTCTGCCTGAGGACTCAGTATTCAGCCACCAACGCGACGCGATTTTCGCAGCACGTGCGCGCGCGGCATCTGACGCACGATGACGTCGTGACCTCCCTGACACTGACAAGCAGCCGACAGCGGCCCCACGAGCGTCCCACGACGCGCCCGCAGACGGATGCGGACGGCCCTCGTTGTGGTGGTCTCATCATACCCATCGTCATCCACCCATGACGTATCTGCACGTGCAGGTCCCTGTGGGGCTCCGCGCGGCTCATCCAGTGCGCAGCCGTCCTGCATCTCCCGTCCGGAGCTTCAGCGCAGGGCATATAAAGCTCGGTCGATGGGGGTAGCATCTAGGATATCCCATCCCAAGTCATCACATCTTACACGCCTGTCTATAACCACTTCGCGAATTCACACATCCCTCCGAAATAAACATATCCATCATGGTACGTTCGCTCTTGCCTCCTCGCATGGATGGGTATTGACCGACTCGGCTTTTCAGGGCTCCATCTTTTCTGCCATCGGCGGCGCCATTAACTCCATCATCTCCGCCATTGCGGGCATCCTCGAGACCATCGTGTCCGTCATCGTCACCGTACGTCTTCTCTCCGTCCCTCGCTCTATGCGCCGCTGAGTCCCTCGACCTGCAGATCATCGTGACGATATTTGACGTCATCTTTGACATCCTCTGCTGCCGCTGCTTCTCCAGCAACCGGCGTGCGGGTCGTCGCAGTGGTCGTTCCGGCTTCGGTCGTAGTCGGAGAGGAATGGGCTCTGGTACTTACTGAGCGCGCGCATCCTTTCGCCTCCGTTTTCCTTTTCGACGATGTGAAGTTTGAGCGATACCCAACTGTATATCACACACGAGTCCGGCCTTCGAGTTTGCTGTCATTGTAGATTCCTGGGGAGAGGGAGTTTATGTATCACTAAAATCTGTCTAATGACTTGACAATTTAACGTTGCCATATTCCTCCAACTCATTCTCGTTGATTGCACATTCCCAATTATTGAAAGTAACCATTGCACTCATCGGATTCATGCATCCTACACGATATTGGTACACTTCGCCACAACGCACACTTACACAAATCACCACGTTTCGTGCGCAGGGCGGACTGCAAAAAAAAACCCCGACACATGATCTTCAGCAGCGCGACACAATCAACACAGAAAGCGAGCACTCAGCACTCACGATCGAGCTCCCACGTCCACGCAGACCTGTCTTGCTCCGCGAGATAGAGGTAGGACTGTAACGACCGGCGGCGGCGGCGGCGGGCCCGGTCAGCGGACGCTCCTCGTCGCACACGCAACTGGAGCAGACACGCACTTTCGCGATGCTCTCGGGGTCGAGCCTGATGTCGGGGTTGCTTTCCCATTCGGGGCCGCGGCCGCGCGAGCGGTCGGTCAGGATGCCTAGGATCCGTTCGAGACGCGCTCGTGATCAGGCGGGCGTTCTGCAGATAATGGCCGAGAAGACGCACCTCCATCGATGATCGCCTGCGCGCACAGCCGAACCCGTCAGTCCACGCCGAGCACCCAATACATCTCAAGCCAGGCGTTTGCACTCACGTGTGCGACCTGCCAGACCGACCGATGGTCAGCAGCGAGACCCACGGGAGAGACCGGCGCGCGCACGTGTATGTTCTGCTTCCCAAACTCCTTGCTCAGGCTCTGCGACAGCGCGCGCAGGCCGAACTTGCCCGCCGCGAACGCCGCCGTCGTCGTGTTCCCACGCCACGACGCCGTCGCGCCCGTGAGCAGCAGCGTCCCGCGCTTCCCGCGCGCGTCGAGCGCCTGCGCCTGGAACGCGAGCAGCGCCGAACGCGCGAACCCGAACGCAGCCGTCACCTGCGTCTCGACGCTCTCCGCGACCTCCGCCTCGGTGAGCTCGAGGAACGGCTTGCGCACGCCGTACCCCGCGTTGTACAGCGCGACGCGCACCTCCGCGTCTGGCCAGTGCGCGCGGACCGCGGCGAACGCGGTCTGCACTTCCTTGTAGGTGTATGCGCCGATTGGGAACGTGGCGGCCTGCGACGGCGGCGGCGGCGGCGACGGCGACGGCGAGAGGTAAGTGGGGATCGGGAGACTGGAGGTCTTGCGCTCGGGGCGAACGCACCTCACCACCGTCTTGGCTGAGCTCGGCCGCGAGCTTGTTCAGCTTGTCAGAGCCGCGCGCGATGAGCGCGATGCGGTACCCCGCCTTGGAGAAGACGCGCCTGCAAAATCAAAGGGTCAAGCGGCTCTTCAGTCTCGGCTCGAAAGGTGCGACCGCGGAGAGTGTGCCCTACGCCGATGCACCCCCGGTACCTTCATCGCGCCAGAGCCAGGTTGGTCGGTCGGTCGGTCGGTCATCGAGCTTCGCGTCGACACAGAGGGAACGCAGACGCACCGGTGCCGTTGCCCACGCCTGCGACGACAAAAATAGGACGAGACGACATTGCGGCTGTTACTTGTTACCTTCGATGATTCGCTGAGATGCGTTTGCAAGCAGACGCAGTGCGCTTTTTGACTGTATCGTCGGGCTGGCTTTTATATCGAGCGGCTCAGGCGCACGCAGCGCGACGCTATATACGCAGAGATGTAGCAAGCTCGCGTCATGCACCTCGCGCGCCCAGCCCACGCTGGAAGGTGCTGAGTGAGCCGTGCGAGTTGCGCCCGCGCGCGGACGGCCCGAGCCGGGAAACTGATTACCAACGCGTCAGGCTGATGTTCTGACCGAGGCAGGCGTCAGTCATCCGATTCATCATGGCGTGCGTGGCCCTATAAGTATCGGTCGGCGCACAGTTCTTATCCTATTTATACGTCCACGAGGAGGAACGTACAGGGAGACGGCGAATGGGGTCCGAGAAAGGAGTGTCATGTACAAAGCGGAGCCCTCCGCTGCAAAATATGAACAGCAGAATAAAGAGCGACACATCCATCCAATAATACAGTTCGGAAGGTCGACGATAGTGTCCAGTGTCCAATGTCCAGCCAATGAAAAGAAATTCAGAAAAAAAAGAGTGGAAGTATCTAGAGAACGCTGGGAAGCTGTGTGTAGTCGCTGGGCAGATCTTTTATGTCCGGGGGTTTAGTCCATTTATCTGAACCCCTGCAAGTCAGCGGCCTGCGCCAGCGAGTCCAGCAGAGTCCGCGCACCTGGGCATGCAATGAAATAATCGTCCATCGCGCGCACGAATCGCTTCTGATATTCGTGCGGCGGTATGACGGTCGTCTCCCTTCCCGAGTTGAAGCCTTGCTTGGCCTTGTATTCTAGCGTCTTGGCGAACGTGTAGCTGCCGATGGTGTCTACCAGCCCACAGAATATTTGGCCCTTCTCTTCGTTTATACCTAAGAGCAAGCTGCAGGATGATCAGACACATGCGATTGTTGAATGCGCGGGTAGCCTACGAGTAGTCCATGATATTGCTTCTAGCGAGGAATTCGCAATCCGATCTGATCCCTTCTTGAAGGATAGCCTTCGAATGTGGACGAACGAGGGTCAACGCTCGCGATTGGCCTGTACAACCTTAGTGCACACGTTTGACGGGAAAGGTGACCATACCCTACCTTCTATCCACTCCCCATCGAAGAGCGTCTTCTTGGACCCGCCGGAGCTCGCTTTGACCTTTCGGCCTTGAATGCCTTTCAGGTCGAACGTCTTGGCGATCTTTTGATCACAAAACAGGTTCTCCATGACCAAGAGGTCTGCCTTCGCCTGTATGGTTCCGTTTTCTAAATTTCGAATCTCCACGGTATAGAAACCCAGAAGCTTAGCAAGGAGCGAGGCCTTGCTGGCCGTAGACTCCATATGACGAAAATACGATGGCGCGAGGTCAATCAAAACCTGCCTTCACCGTCCGTCAGCGCTCGACTCAAACAAAAATAGATAGGTCAAACATACAGGTCCGCGACATTCCACGCGTTGACCAAAGTCTTCACGATGAACCGGTCATCTGACGTCTTCCAAAAGTTCGACCGGCTCTTCCCGCCCTCGGCCCGCCAGTTCTCGCACTTGGCCATGCTCTTCAAAAAGACATCACCGATCCCACAGCGACTCCGCAAGGCGTCGAACTGCTTCGCGTAATATGCGGTGCAGCTAAACTTGAGCCGCTTGCCAATCGTCCAATCGTACTTGATGTGCGGCCGCTCGTCGATGTATAGAGGGTCGGCGGACGTGGACCCGCGCTGGTTTTGGAAAGCAGGGGATGTAGGGCGAGAGGGCTCCGGCGATTTCAGCATGTATCGCATAGCGTTGGAGAGGCTGCTTGTCCATGATAGGATGCTCCCAGGTACCAACTGAGGGTACTGTTCATTGCTCCACGCGGTTGGTCCGCCATCCGGGTGTGTGCTCGACGCATCGGTGTCTTTAGGAGGAAGGGGAGGAGGAGGGAAAAGAACCAGGTCGGTGCCTGATTCCGGACCAAGGCCATTGGCGTTATCCACGGATAAGATAGAAGACGTTTTTCCCCTTCGAATATGAGTCTCCAAGAACCCGGAGTTGCCAAATTCACTACCATCCTTAGAGGCAAGTGACGCCGCATCCAAATCGCTCAGTATTCTCCCAGCTGTTTCGCCCGCGTCTGGCATACTGGACACGTACCCCTCAGCCGCCTGTTGGCTGAGCTCGACTGCTGGATTCGCCCATGCAGATGGAGGCGCGACGCCGGTAGCCATCCGTGAGGCGGTCGAGCCAAGGTTCATGAAGGTAGATGGCGTGAGCCCCGACGGTCCATCTACCGAAGCCTTGTTCCGCAGGACATCGCGCAAAGAAAGCAGCAAAGTCGGATCACGAGGATGTTCCTTCCGACTGATGACTGCAGAATGCGTTTCGGGTTCATGCCAGACGATGTCCTCTTTGTCTGGATCAGGTTTGGGAGCAGACGAGAAGAACTTGAACGAAGAGGTGCTGCTGGTGGCTATAGAAGGGGTTGAAACCGCACTCGATTGGATTGAAGGTGTCGGTGGAGGAGCGGACGCCTTGGAAGTATCAGGATGTTTCATGCTTGTGAGTTCGCGCTGATAGTCTAACGAGCTGGTAGTTCTCGGTCAATCACGACAGCCCGATAAGATCACAGTCGATCGGGCGGCACACTAACCTGAGGGTGAAGGCGATGATACTTCCCCAGTCTTCTTCTTGCACAACAACCTTGCCGCCGGGGATGGCATGGAAGCCGTGATGCCACCACTGTGGCTCCTGGATGGCTTGTCTCTTGTTTGCAAACGTTACTCTAGATTCCTTCGGAAGATGTTTGGTCTCCCAGGCAGACAGCCGTTTGCTTGCTCCAACCGCAGCAGAATAGAACGACCGACGCACATCGTTGAGGGTTGATACGGGGGTCTGTAGTAGCTGTGAATACAATGCCTGTTCCGTTCGCTGAAAAGTTTGGCGCATGCTGTCTAGTAGGGACACTGAATCGACCATATCAACTGTCTTGATAGATCCTTCAAAATCAGAGTTGGCTGAATCGGTGCGTGCTGATGGGGAGGGCCGGATTGTTGATATGGTTGAATGGGACTCTTCTCTCAGATGAGGGGAGAGATTGGGAGATGCAGTAGGTTCCAAAGAGATGAGACCTGCTTTCGGGGTCGCAGCCGGAGAGGTTGACTCGTACGCCTCGTCCGCAGATGGCAAGCGAGGTAGCGACTTGTGGTAGGATGAGGCATCATCGCCTGACAGCTGCACTTCCTAGAGTCAACGTCAGCTTTGAGTTTAGAAATGTGATTCACATTCTACAACTACTTACTAGTTCGTCCAGATGGTCCGCAACCCGTTGCCACCAGGTTTTGATTTCCCTGCGAAGTACGCGTTTCTCTTCTCCACCGTCGTACTCCTTCTCGTCTCCGATGACAACTCCATCGGTGTCTTTGGGTGTTTCGACGGCCGCGCCTGGTGTAATCTGTAGTCTGGGAACACATAACTCAAACACATCGTTGATGGTAGAAACCGTGAAGGATACGGCGTGCGACTGGAAGGCGAAGTGACGGACGATATTCAAACGGGATTGCGGCAGAGGAGAATCCGAACCGGTCCATGGCTGAGGAGGGGGTGTGGTATGCGAACAAAGCGAAGGTGTCAAAGTACAGATAGCTGGCGAATACACTAAAAGTTCGAGAAATTTGGCAAACGAAAATAAACTATGCGCCGACGGTCAGATCTCGCGCAAGCAAATATGAGATCAATACCCACTAAGTTCCATCTTGCATCTTACATCGCGGTGTCGTCTCATAACACACATTACAACTTTGCCACATCTCAATCGTGTCCTTGACGATACTTTGGATGGGGTTTGTCTTCGCGACGATCCGTACTCCGTTGTGTATCCATTGCAGCCTGTGGTGTCCGCGCACATACTCGCAGCCAGGACGATCACACATCTCTTCTGCGCGCATACATGCGTCGCCTACCATCTCCCCGAGCGAACATTGACCTTCCGAATAAAATCCAATCGTCTGCCATCGCGCGCGAGGACCGCAAGGCGTGAGAGTCAGGAGATCGCTCGCCTTCAAAGAATTTGACAATTTCTCGGATGAGGCCGGAAGGGCCTCACGAGGCACAGGGACATGCTGAGAATATAGCACGGAGAGGCTTTGCTGAAGAACGAACCCGGCGGTTCCCGACATGCCATTTCCGCACACCTCCTTGCAATTCCAGCCCAAGATGCTCGACAAAGCCGTACGCTCTTCTCCTGTGAGTCCAAATGTCGGAAGCCGCTTCTCCTTCTCTGCCAGGCCAACAAGTAACACCGGAGGAGAAAAGACCACGCCAGTAGACGTGGACAAGAGTGCCTTGCTCTCCTCAATGCGTTGCAAAGCAGATTGGAATGGATGATTTGAGAGCGGACTTCGTTCTTTGGCAGGCACTGGGGGAGGACGGGTCTCGCCGAAAATCGAAAATCGACGGATACGCCGGTATGGTGATTCTTCAGACGATCTAGGAGACGATGGTGAGACGGGCTGCCGTGGGAGATCAAGTGAACTGCCTCGTGGCACGGACGGAGACCCAGTAGCGGTGGCTAGATGAAGGAGATCGGAGCCTTTCTTGGAAAAGAAATTCCAAAGCGGCAAGGGTATGAGGGAATCGCGCGGCTTGCGCTTTGAATCAAATGACACGCTACTTTGGAGTGGAGGTGCTATCGGCGGAGAAGGTTTAATCAGGTGCGAGGGTTGGGGAAAGCGTAATTTGACGTGGCAGTCAGAGAGGAAGTGTTGTTCAAGCAAAAGAGAAAGATGCGTATAGATTGCCAGACGAAGAACTTTCACGAGTGATTCAAATTGTGCTAGAGATGATGCACCCTTGATTATGAAAGTTCCGCCCACGAGAGCGATTTCCCGGTCGTTTACGACAAGAGAATTGTCTAGACGAGATAGCGTGAGTCAATAGTTCAAGAGGTAGTTTGGAGTACGGCACCAAGTCAACTACTCGTCGGGGACAATTGCCAGCTTCGCAGCAATGGTGCGAATGGACGAGACCTCTGAAGCAATGAATGCCTACTGATGAGGCGAAGACGATGACAGTCCCCGCAGAGCATATTTCTGATGCAGATGGTCTAAGACAGATGGGTAGACGTACCACGCCATTCTTTGAGCCCGAACAGAATCAAATTCGAGGCAGCTTCTTCTTCCACTCCATCAGGACTAGGAAGGGTGTAGATACCTGGGCTGAAGACGCAGCTTGGGGTCATAGGGTCATTCTTGTAATCTGAAGGAACACGGACATGACCCCTCTGATCTTTGTAAGAATCTACGACCAGCAAAAGATGATTGCGTGCCGAGTCGAACGTCGTCGGACTTTTGGGCACGAGCTCAAGGAGTTGCTGGAGTGCTTGTTTGATCGACAGAGTGCTGTCAGTCACTTGATTGCTCTGTTCTTCCACCAAAGAATGAAACGATTCTTCCTTGGTCTTACCAGACATCGGCGAGATTCTGGATTTGGACCTCAGGCGAGTCTCGTTGGTCTCGTTGTTCGCCTCTAGCATCGCCTCTCGCCTCAGCCTTTCTGCTCCAAGCTGCTCCTCTCGCGTTTGCTTCCTAATTGCCCTAGCATGCTTAATCCCTCCTAACCAGCTGCCTCTCGAGATAGCGTCTGCCAATTCATTCAACGCACCTTCCAAGTCTCTTGCCCAGTTTCCCTTCTCTATACCAACCTCTTCTACGAAAGTGTGCTCGATGAAGTTTCGAAGATGGGAGCCGGCTTCGACAGCTAAACGTCGATGGCGAGGTTCTTCATGAGAAGGGATCGGGGGAAGAGGCTTCGGAGAGGGTCGGGAAGCCTGGACGGATGGAAATTCAAGAGTGCTGTTTGAAGATGTCATTTCATGAGATTTGTTTGAAGAACTGCCATGAAGAATGGCGCGACCGTTACAGAACTCCCTCATCAGCCTGAATGTCCTGCCGTCAGTGGCGACCTGTCCATAACAGGCTCGATTTACTACAGAAACGTTTCAGAAACTGGGTCAAAGCGGATGACGTACGGAAAAGTTCGTCCACGCTAAGTTGGCCCACACGATTGATCACATCTCGTTCTTGGTTGGTTCTATTCGTTCTGGTTTGACCTTGGTTGGTTCTATTCAAACCTCACCATCAATCCATAGAACCCCGTTGCCTTCGCTAATACGTAGGATATTTTAGAAGTCTCGTCACTGGCAGTCTCGTGGGCTCGTCTGACTCCGCGTCGTCATCAGATGACTGCGTCGCATTTAACCCATGACGGATCTTGCGTAGGACGCAAAAGGACTGTCTCACCGTCTTTCACCTGTCACTTGGACTAAATTGAAACTAGAAATCCTACTGGGGCTGTGCTTTGACTGCGTGCTGTGTCGCGTGTTGGCGCATCTCGTTGAACTCATGGAGGTAATGTACAGGCGTTTCTTGCCACTCACGGTCGAAACTTATCTGCCTATCTGACGCTTCAAGATAGCACAGATCATGAGAAATAACGTATGCTGGGACGGGTTCATCACCATCTCAGACATCATGCTTTCTTCTTCCAAGCCGGTCATGGGGTTTCGTTCCTCGAATAGCTTATTACCCCGCATTTTTAGTCGATCCAGGACAGCGATGCGCACAATACATCGTGCGCATCTTTCTAGACTTGAAAGGCAACGGCGCAGGCTATGTGACTTTTTTGGCTCCAACTACTCATGGCTATTGACTCAGTTCACGGACGGCTCTCAGGGTAGCGATGGAAGCTGGCGTAAGCCGGAGAATGAAAGTACAGTATGCGATCTCCCCTATCCCGCATTTCGATGAGAGTAGGACTCGGGGGCCCAGGACTCAATTGCTCTGTCCATAGTGATTTGACGGAGCCTCTGGCACAGTGGTTCTCTTGAATCAATACTTAGCTTAAATCATCGGCATCTCTACCGCGGCTCTGTAGAGGCTAAGTTACGCCGTGTACTCATGTACGCCTCCTTGCATAGAGTGGAGTTTTTCTCATCAGTCTCGTTTACCGAGGGATCATACTACTAAACTATCCTGGGATATCCCCCATGATCTTCTTTGGCCGTCAAGGAGCATGTGTCAATCAATGCGCCCAAGCCGATGCTAGGGATCGCCTCGGGATTGGGCTCGTCACGCTCCCCACATACAATGGCTATCCACTCCTTTTCGTGGACATCTCATGACGAGATGGGATGTCCTTTCTCCCGAAATTTACAATCATTCTCCAAAACCCTCATTCCCGCGGTCCGACGTCGCAGTCTTCTGACCGCATAAAAAGCTATGGAAACTCTCCAAGATTGTTCAGCATACCCCGCTCTGTATCTTCCCAATCCCACTGAGACTATCGAGAGCCATGGTGCACCCACAAGAAGTCGATATCATCGTAGCTGGGTGAGTCCTTATTTTCTTCAATCGAACCTTTTGTCTCATAGTTCTATCTCGCAGAGGTGGCCCTGCAGGTTCGTTGAACCTACGCTAGCCTTCACACCCTCTGAGGGCCTCTTTCCGTAGGATGTGTTGTCGCTGGACGTCTAGCGTTTTCCGACCCCAACCTGAAGGTCATGCTCATCGAAGGTATATCTTTCTTTTAGATTGTTGAATTATCACTCATGGCAGGCGGAACAGGCGGCGCCAATAATCGTGACGACCCTTGGGTGTACAGGCCTGGTATCTATGTGAAGAACATGCAGAGAGATGGCGTGTAAGTTGTTCGTGCCACTATCAATAATGTTCCATTTTTTTACCGCTGCCTTACTCAGAAATGACAAGGCGACGTTCTACACTGACACAATGGCATCTCCCCACATGCGTGGGCGGCAAAGTATTGTTCCGTACGTAGATGTGCATTCGGAGAGTGTACTCTATCCTAACCGTTTACAATGGTTTACTATCGCAGTTGTGCCAACATTCTTGGTGGGGGAAGCAGGTACTCAGCGTCGTTCATCTAGCCACGGCATAAAACTGACATCCCTGCAGCATCAATTTCCAAATGTACACAAGGGTGAGTGTTTTCTTAGTTTAGCGACGCATAAATCGCTCACTGATCTTCGTAGGCGTCTGCGTCTGATTGGGGTCAGTATCTGGCCCAGTGTAATCCGGACTACTTACTGATTGTTTCATTCTGAACGTAGACGACTTTAAGACAGAGGGATGGAAATTTGACGGTAAGCCATTCATGATAATATCTGCTACGAAAAGGCTTAGAAATATTTCTTAGACCTCCTTCCTTTGATGAAACGCGTCCGTTCTATCTTCTTATAATTATCCTCTCGGCCTTTATTGATACCTGGTGGTGAGCGCAGCTTGAGAACTACCAGAAGCCCAGCAATAGCGATTCGCACGGCTACGACGGTCCTATTGCCATCAGCAATGGCGGATCGATCTCCCCTCTCGCGCAAGATTTCTTGCGTGCATCTGACTCCATTGGCATACCGTTTAGCGGTATGTTTTCACCCCGCTGCATCTATCTCAGTTATACTGACATTGCTGCTTCCAGACGATATTCAGGGTAAGCTGTACGCTTCGCACGTCAGACACGTACGTGACTGTGATCCTAGATTGCAAGACTGCACATGCGGCAGAGATATGGGCTAAATACATCAACCGTCACACAGGCCGACGCAGCGATGCTGCCACCGGTGAGTTTCTGTATCTGTTCAAGGAAAGGCTTTTGCTTACTGAGCCATGTGTTTAGCATACGTTCACAGTGTCATGGATGTTCAGAATAACTTGTTCCTGCGCACCAACGCTCGTGTATCTAGGGTCATTTTTGAGGGCGACAAGGCCGTCGGAGTTGCATACGTGCCCTCACGCAACCGAGCCCATCAAGGTCAATTACTTGAGACTATCGTGAGTGATGGGCTCTCGATTTTTGCGTTCCTCTTTAATCATTGTATGCGATCAGGTCAGAGCTCGTCGATGCGTCGTGTTGAGCAGTGGGACTTTGGGCACCCCTCAGGTAGAGCAGCTCAACACGGGCAATCTCCTCCACGATCCTCATCATTCGTCTGCAGATTCTCGAGCGCTCTGGCGTCGGAAATGCCGAGCACTTGAAGAAGATGGATATAAAGGTCGTCAGCGACCTTCCCGGTGTCGGGTAAGTCATTTGTATGTGGCAATATCTTAGCATATTAACACGGTTTACATAGCGAGCAATACCAAGATCACTACACGACCTTGTCGAGTGAGTTATATTTGTGTGATGACGGGCAAGGTTCTAACCTTGATTTACAGTTTACCGTGTATCGGAGGATAGCTTCACGTTGGACGATTTCTTGCGTGGTGACAAGGAGGCACGCAAAGAGGTTTGTTCGAGGTATTTTTGTTGATCTATTTCCACCTCTGACAACACCCAACCCGAAGTTATTCCAAGAGTGGGAGGTCAGCCCCGAAAAGGCTCGTCTATCTTCGAATGCCATTGATGCAGGGTTCAAGGCAAGACTCCAGTCATTTCCTTGAGCAAGTCAGCATCTCACATCGCTCGCTTCAGATTCGGCCCACCGAAGAAGAGCTCAAGGAGATGGGACCCGAGTTCAACGAGCTTTACAACAGGTATTTCAAGGACAAGCCCGACAAGCCGGTCATGTTCGGCTCTATCGTGTCTGGTGCTTATGCGGACCACGCATTGCTTCCTCCGGGCAAATACATCACCATGTTCGCGACCCTTGACTTGCACTTCTGTGTTGAGGCTGACTTGATTCTTTGATCCGTCAGGTTCCAGTACCTGGTCTGTTGCCATGAGTTTGCATATGTTATAACCACGCTTACCAACACCTGCATGTAGGAATACCCTGCCAGCCGTGGCAAGATCCATATCTCTTCTCAGAACCCTTACGTCGAGCCATTCTTCGATAGTGGCTTTTTGAATAACAAAGCTGACTTTGCCCCAATCCGCTGGAGCTACAAGAAGACGCGTGAAATTGCCCGGCGCATGGACGGTACGCCATCTGAATTTATCGTCAGAGGGCTCATGTTCACGCGAACCTTATTTCAGCATTCCGCGGCGAACTCACTTCGCACCACCCCCACTTCCACCCCGCATCCCCGGCCGCGTGCAGGGACATCGACATCCAGACCGCCAAGAAGATCCTACCCGATGGCTTCACTGTCGGCATTCACATGGGGACTTGGCACAAACCAGGCGAGCCTTACGATGCGTCGAAGGTCCATGAGGATATCCAGTATTCCAAGGAAGACGATGAGGCCATTGATAATTGGATCGCTGATCATGTAGAGACAACCTGGCACAGCTTGGGTACTTGCGGCAAGTTTGATTTTCTGATCCACTTTAAGGGTAACGAGCCTGACCTCAGCCCTGTCGCAGCCATGAAGCCGAGGCAGGAGGGTGGTGTCGTTGACGGACGTCTCAACGTACATGGCACAAAGAATCTCAAGGTCGCCGACTTGTCTATCTGCCCCGTAAGAAAAATAATCTTGTTGCCCATTCCTTACTCGCGCTTATGAAACTCGACATGACAGGACAACCTGGGAACAAACACGTATTCTTCTGCGCTTCTCGTTGGCGAGAAGGCGGCTAGTTTGTTGACTGAGGACCTTGGTATGCGTTTCTCTACGCACTCCTGAGTATAATGCTTAGTGGTGGGTACATAGGCCTCAAGATCAAGACCCCTCACGCCCCTGTGCCACATGCACCTGTTCCGAAAGGCGTTCCCGCGACCCAGCAGGTTCGCTAAACCACTCCAGCATCGCCGAACCATCACTCCCTTCCAGAACCTTATCTGCCTGTAACTATATGTAACCTGGATGCACGATGTAAGTGTCCTTGAGATGAGTTGTGTCATGTGAGGATTGCCATGTGTAGGATATTGCTTGTTGCGTATGCTGCTGTTCCATGTATTGTCAATGCCATTTCGTTGCGCGTTTGAATCACAATGGGAACACAGTCCCAAATCATGACCGCATGCATTGATATCTTCGACGTACATGCTTAGTCTAATTTTACACTTTTACATTTCACCGCATTCTACCCAAGCAAAATCCCGTTAGCAACGCAGCTGCATAGAGAGACACTTGTACAGCGTACCGACTATCTTCACCGCCAGCTTGGGTCTGTTATTCGGGCCTGTTGGAACGTTCTCGATCTTTCGCAGTGTAAGCATACCGTCTATCACCTTTCCGAAGACAACGTGCTTTCCATCAAGAAAATCGCATTTCGCTGTCGTGATGAAAAACTGCAGAAGCCGTCATGTGTGTTCATCAACGATTCGACTGCTTGAATTATATACAAGTGTATTGCTTACCTGGCAGCCATTTGTGTTAGAACCGGAGTTTGCCTGAAACAAATATCAGACACTATTACTCGACCACGCGCAGATGAACTACCATCGATAAGAGTCCTGGACCAGTATGTTTTTCCTGGAAATTTTCGTCCTGGAGCACGTCCGGTTAGCTTCATTCGAATCGGTATGCACAGGAAGACAACGACGAACTGGAAACTTGTCCCCGTAGATTGAGAACGATCCTGTGCCATCACCGTTGAGGAAGTCACCACCTGTAGCATGCATGTTAGACAGTGCAGTCGAGAGAATAAGCCGGGGCGTCAATGTGGCCCGTGATGCCTACCTTGACACATGAAGTTTGGCACCCTATGGAAGTTAAATGATATGAACCCGTGGCTCTGAGGGCATGTATTTGTTTGGCTTACACTCTATGAAAAGACGCTTGTCAGCAAGCATGAGATAGATTGTCAGAAGATAAACAAATTGTTGCGTACCGATGGAATGTGGCATTCTTATATCCCTGTGGTCGTGAATTGACTCTGAAGATTCGCGCTCATGTTTTACGTCTCATGTCAATCGAGATTATTTGTCTCACATACCTGTACTCTCCTGTGCACAGTTGGCGAAAGTTTTCTGCAGTCCTACAGACGCAAGAAAACGATCAACTCGACATGAGGATGAAATACTATCACACATGAACGAACTTGGGCACAATGTCGCTGAACAGCTCCATCTTCAGTCTACCGGCAGGGGTTTCGCCGATATTGACATCCATGAACACGACTGGTCTCTGAGATGTTGTCATTCCGGAAGAAAGAAAAGCAAAGAAGTTTCGGTCGTGAAACAGTGACCGAAGGTGAGAACCAGTGAAGTTGGATACAGAACTCCAAACAAACCTAAACACCGTCCTCCTTGTCCTCGCCGCACCTGAAATGTTTGCTGTAGTCTATCTGTGTCTAGGTCGACAACATGTCCTATTTTCTGCCCCACCTTCCTTCTGGCTGGCATGTCGATGAAGCTATCAAATCTGAGGAAGACCGCACTGTGGTGATCCGCTTCGGACACGACTGGGACACGCAGTGCATGACCATGGACGAGACGTTGTACGGCGTTGCAGAGAAAGTGCAGAACTTTGCCGTCATCTACCTGGTTGACATCACCGAAGTCCCAGACTTCAATAAGGTGCGTGAAGAATCCTACGACATGTCACTTGACGTTGATAGTAGCGGATCTCCAGATGTACGAGTTGTATGACCCATGCACGGTCATGTTCTTCTATCGGTACGCTATGTAGCGTTCACAACCGTGACTTGTTCTTGATGAGCTCGCGCCTGTGCATACCAGGAACAAGCACATCATGATCGATTTGGGTACTGGTAACAATAATAAGATGTGAGTATCCGTAGGAAAGCAGGTGGTGTTCACCGGTGTTGACCTGATCCTACTCCCTCTACCAGTAATTGGGCTATGGACAACAAACAAGAGGTAACTGTTATCTTTTTTTCCTTAGAGTGTCGTCAACTCATGTTGTTCTGCTGTATACAGTTGATTGATATCATTGAGACAGTCTATCGTGGCGCTTCGAAGGGACGTGGTCTCGTAGTTTCTCCCAAAGGTTGGATCAATGCCCATCTAACAATGTGCTCGGCTCACGACCTTTGCTCGTAGATTACTCAACTCGCTACCGATACTAAGCCTGCCGACAGTGTGTGTAGTGTCTGTGTACTAGTATTCCCCTTCTATGTTTCGTCTATCATCAACTGCATGAAATGACAATTATTTGTTCTGCTACCACATCCGAAAATCGAGTCAAATACTGTACAGGTAAACGGTGTACAGATGATAGATACAGTACCGGACCAAGTGCTACACCATGCCTTATGCTATCCATGAGATTATCCTCTTCGCACCGCCTTTCAGATCGCACCACAACTCCCTGAGAGCACTTCCCGGAGCGGGTGCTGCGCAACTCCTGCACAAGGCTCTGCGTCAATTATGCTATTGCTGAGACCATTGCTGGCTCCTGCGAGATCGCCAAGTGCTCGAGTGCGTCCACAAACTCCTTGTCCTTCTCGTCGGTATCCTCATCACCATCGTCCGCGCTCTCACTTTCCCCCTCATCCTCATTATCCGGTGGTTCATCCTCATAGTCCAGCTATTCGACATTTGCACAAAAAAACCCGACGCCGAACCTAATCAGCCCAAAGACACATGTTATTCAGGTCGTGAAAACACTCACCGGGTCATATATCACACGAATGACCAGACTGCAGCTCGGACATGTCGCGATGTCCTCGTAGTTTGCAAGCTGCTTGCGGGAGATCTCGAATCGGTCACCACACGGGCATGGGTAGTGGTATACGGCTTTCTCGTCATCCCAAGCCATATCCTCGATCTCAATCTCGTCGTAGTAGGCGCCCATCGCTGGTAGGTTTTGGGTAGATGATTCGAGGCGATTTTTGAGGGAGTGTGATAAAGAAAGGGATAGTCTCAGTGTAGCTAAATTGTCAAGAACTCGAAGAGAACGACAAGGCACGTGCCAGCCGAACATCAGATTCATTGGTGTGACGAGCGTGACGGCGGTAACCCTCCCTCTTGCTATCACTCACTCAGGATATCTTGTGCGTTGGAAACACAGCGTGGTCTCTGACCATCTAGCAGACTGACGGAGACTGCACGGCGTAGGCTCTATTAAAGAGCCAATGGGATTCCTTTTCACTGACCGCTCGGACTCAGAAACAGTGATCTTGACAAAACCTCGCTTTATCCTTCCCCCTTCATTCTCCCTCATACTTCGAGAGCTGTCGCTGTCACTTTGGCTGTGCATTGTTCCAGAGCAGTCTTCGCATTTGAATCCACGAGGACATCAACGGTCCATATTTTCCCAGTCTCTGAGCAACTGATTGCATTGATGCCCTGGTCTTGCTCTTTCTATATGGCTACTTCTTGATCACAACCCTTTGCCAACTCCTTGACAACCTCTCAGAGGACTATTCACCTGGTTTCTCTCACCTTCCCGTGGACACAGAGTTGCGGATTGCTTTTACAGGATTTCGTTTGTCAGATTTTGGAAGCACGCGATACTTCACATCCAAATTATTCTTAAATCATTCACTCCTCACAGCGATATTGACGTTGGCGTCGTCCCCATCTCTTTTACAGCTCTGTAGATCACAATTTCCCTTCGCTCAGTTCCCTGTCTCAAGCAATTTTCTCAACGGAGAGACTCGCGTTGAAACTTGGCATGGATGCACACTCAAGTCGCTGCATGATCTTTCAAGATGTTCCCTAAACCGCAAACTAACAAGTTCGTAGATTCCGCTGCGCATGATATGGATGTAACTCACTGACAACACCCATGTTCGTACCGGTTCGAGGTGAGTTCCAACTTCAAGTACTCTCAGTCACAGTTCCATACCCTTCCAACCAGTGCTTGGAGGTCTTCGCAAGCCTTCTGCTGAATGTGCTGATTTACATTCTCATGCGCGAGTGATCGAGCTCTCTTCGTGCGGTCCCGCCGCATCGCTGACATGTGATAAGCGGCAAGCTACACTGTAGGGCAGTTATAGGGCCCAGGCACCATTGTAAAACCAACCGCCTGTAACATAAGTGTAGCACACCACTAGCGCACCATTAACACACCGTAATACTGCGCGTTACGAGAGTATGCAAAATTCAAAGACTCCGAGATGCGTTGCCGGCTTGTGGCGAGTGAGACCGACGTCATGCTAAAGCTCCGTGGCGCGTGACCGGTGAATATCGTGACTTGGAGTCTCTTGGAGTAGCTTGGAGGGCAAGGCTGGTAGGAGGCGTCCACCACCTCCTTTCTTCCTGCCACTACCTCGTCTCATCCTGCCACTTAGCTTACCCTTGTCTTTTGGGCCTTCAACTCGATCCACCAGAACATATATGACCACTCCCGCTGCCAAGGTTGAAACTTGGAACACCTATGAATTCCTTACCTTACGAGCTCCTCAATGCCATCGTTCACGAAGTCCCTCCTGGCCAGAACCTCTTACAGGTTCGAATGTTGAACCGGACATTCTGTGCGATAACTACGCCGCTCATATTTCGACGAGTCGATGTTACTAATACGCCTGAGAGCGCAAGGACATTCAGTAATATCTTACGATCCAAGGCGCTTGCATGTGTTGTCCAAGAAATTGTCTTCCGAGAAAACTATGCAGTTCTCATGGGCAAAGGTCTCTATTTGTTCCAGGGTAAATGTGCTCAACCTTATTCCGAGGGGTTCGAGGCTGATATGATATAGGTTCTCGTCAAGCATTGAGCCGATTGTCCTTGAACACATCGCACCCAGAAGTTATAGCCTTACAGGAATCCCTCGCTTTGTCATTCTCCTGCCTTCGCGATTTCTCATCTATCAAATGCCTGTCGTTATCATTTTGGTCTGGGAGCAGACACTTTTATTCACAACATCCATGGAATCTTCAAATGGCAATCATCCGCGCGATTTCAGGTCAATTATCCCTAGCTACACTCACTTGTCTCTCCATCAACAACTTGTACACATGTCACGGCCCACAGTTTGATGACCCTGCTTTTCAGAATCTCTTCAGTGGACTCGACACTCTACGTATCTCATCGTCTTGCGGCTTGGACCCCCCAGCCCCGTTATTTCAGCTCCCATTTGCCAAATTTTGGGAGCACACAATGCAGCATTGTGTTCTCGGCCCTCTCGCCTCTCTATCTCGTTCTCTCACGTCCTTGACTCTTCACAGTGATCTGGACGTCGGCGTTGTCCCTCGAGTAGATTTTTCGCAGCTGGACTTTCCTGCGCTCGCGTCCTTGTCATTGCAGATGATTTTGTTCAACGAGGAAACTCACGTCGAAGACTTTATCGTGCGACACAAACTCACGCTGAAGTCTCTGCATCTTGCGGAATGCCATATCACATTCTTTGGCTTGGCGAAAGGCCCGCCACAGGTCTGGTCTCAGATATGGACTCGTTTCGCGGATGAGTTGGAGGCATTGGTCCAGCTCTCGGTGCAACCCGATCACAACGGCAACCAAGTCTGGCCCTACAATGTCTCTTATGTGCATCTCGACGAGCAAATTGGCTATTCGTATATGCGAGTATGGAGATCGGATGGGGAGTCAGTGATCAAGGCGAACGATGATAGGGCCGAGCGGGTGTTCCACGAAGTGGTTCGTTCGAGACGATGCAAACTGACCGAGACGGCAAAGGTTACGCAGAGGTAGCGAGCTTTTTCCCGTGGACGTCGTGCTACTGACGGGTACGCGCTCTTTGACATTTTTGTTTTGCAAGATTGCTGTCAACTTATGAAGTCGTTGCTCTATACAGTTGTTTGATATCATCGAGACAGTCTATCGTGCTGCTTCGAAAGAATATGCCTGGCCAACGTGCTTCGCTCATAGATTACTTAACTACAGACGCTACGTCTGCCGACAGTGTGTGTACTGTCTGTGTACTGTCTGTGTACTGTCTGTGTACTGTCTGTGTACTGTCTGTGTACTGTCTGTGTACTGGTATTTCTCCTCAATGTTTCTTCTATCATCAAACACATGAAATGGCAATTCTTTGTTCTGCTATCACGTTCAAAACTTGTGTCAAACACTGTACAGGTAAACGGTGTACAGACAGTAGATAATTACCGGACCAAGTGCTACACCATGCCATATGATATGCATGAAATTATCCTCTTCGCACCGCCCTTCACATTGCAACATGGCTCTTTGAGAGCCATTCCCGGGGAGACTGCGACAGAAGGCCCTGCGCCAATTATGCTGTTGCCGAGACCATCTTTGGCCCTCGAGATCGCCAAGTGCTCCAGTGCGTCCACAAACTCCTCGACCACTTCGTTGGTATTCTCATCTGCGCTCTCATTTTCCCCCTCATCCTAATTATCTGGTGGTTCATCTCATAGTCCAGCTGTCCAACATTCGCACAGAAACACCCGGCTCCAGACACCATACTCAGGTCGTGAAAACGCTCAACGCGAATCACCCGGCTGTAGCTCGGACGTATCGCGATGTCCTCGTAGTTCGCAAGCTGCTTACGGGAGATCTCGAATCGGTCACCACACGGACATGGGTAGTGGTACACGACCTTCTCGTCACCTTAAGCCATGTCCTCGATCTTGATTTCGTCATAGTATACACACATCGCTGATACGAGTTTGTGAGTAGTGTTTTCGGAGTGTTTTCGGGGCAGTTTTTGAGCGAATGTGATAATGAAAAGAGATGTCAATGTCGAGAATGAAGGGAACCGATCAGTGTGACTCGCGTGGGAAGCGGTACTCTCTCTGCAGCTCTCTGCAGCTCTCTGCGAGTCTGCAGGCCCTACGACCTACAGTAGGTGTCGTATCGTTCAAAACACCCTTGCCTTATGAACGATTTAGCTCCATATTCGAAGAACCCTCTTCGCCAGGACAAGCCCATATCCAAACAGAATGTCTTGTGCGCTGGAAAACTGCTAGAAACGCTGCGTGGTCTCTGACAGATCTGACCACCCAGGCTGACGCAGACTGCGCGGTGTAGGCTCTCTTCAAGAGCCAGCTGAAGTCTATTGGCCGCTCGGATTCAAAAAAATAGCGATTTTCAGAATCCTATGCTTTGTCAGTTTCCTTTCATGCTCCTTCGACCCTCGAGACCTATCGTTTTGGCTGGGTATCCTCCAGAGCAGTCTTTGCATTCAAACCTTGCATCCATGAGAACATCGACAGGTTTCTTACTTCTCATAGCGATGTCGACATTGACTTTGTCTCTCAAGCAGTAAGGTCTTTATAGCTCGACAGAGCTCAACTTCTTTGCGCTCACTTTCTCGTCTAGGAACATATTCATCGAAGAGGCTCTCGTAAACCTGGCACGAATGCATACTCAAGTCGCTGTAGTGTCATTGCATACTCTCGCAAGATGCTATGTAAACAGCAAACGACGAGTTCTTATTTTCCGCTGCGCAGGTGCCCTCGAAAATACTCACTCGTTTTGCAGAGATGTTAGCAGGCTTCTCAGTGTATCTTGCTGACAACACCTATGCTTGTACGATATCCACACCATTTAACTAGTACTTGGAAACCTTCGCACTCCTTCTGTTGAATGCTGGTCTGTGCTGATCTACATTCCATGCACGAATGATCGAGCTCTCTTCGCGCCGCCGCATCTCTGACATGCGACGTTTGACAAGCGACACCCAAGCGGCAAGCTTCACGGGCACTGGAAGGCACCATCGTGAAGATGTCTTGAACACACCTTGATACTGTGACTGACTCGGACAAGTTACAAGATTCCGAGATGCGTTGCTGATTTGTGGCGAGTGAGAATGACGTTATTCGTGACCAGTGGCTCATGTGGTTTGAAGCAGCTTGGACCGCAGGGGGTTAGCGGCCTGGTAGTGTTCGCCTTGCGTCTCTTCCTGTCACTCAGCTTACCCTTGTCTACCGTTCCCTTCAAGCCTTCACCTCAGAACACAGCCGACACTCCCGCTACCAAGGTCGGAAATTGGAACATGAGTTCCTTACCTGTTGAGCTCCTCGAAGCTATCTTTGACGCGGTTCCTCTCGGCCACATCCTCTTACAGGTTCGGCTGTTGAACAGGACATTTTGTGCGATGGTCACGCCACTCGTATTTGAACGGGTTAATGTCACCAATACACCTGAGAGCGCAGAGGCATTCAGTAATATTGCGCGGTCCAAGGCGCTAGCATGCCTCGTTCAAGAAATTTTCTTTCGAGAAGCCTATGTAGTTTCAAAAGGAGAAGATCTGTATCTGTTCTAGGATAGATGCATTCCACTTATTGTCGAGGCTGATGTGATATAGGTTCTCGCCGAGCATGGAGTCCATTGCCTTTGTGCTAACCGCTCGCAGTCAGTGACACCTTAGAGAACTCTCTCATTTCGTCATTCTCTTACCTTCGCCGCCTTCCATCTATCAAGTGTCTGTCGTTATCATTTTGGCATGGGAGCAGACATTTCTACTCGCCAAATCCATGGGCACTTCAAATGGCCATCCTCCGCGGAATTTCAGGCCAATTGCCCATAGCTACACTCACTTCTCTCACCATCAATGGCTTGTACGCATATCACGGCCCACAGTATGATAAACCTGATTTTCAGAACCTCTTCCGTGGACTCGATGCTATCCGTATCTCACCATCTTGGGGATTGGAGCCTCCACCGCCAGACCTTCGGTCTTCATTTGTCCATTTTTGGGAGTACACAATGCAGCTTCGCGTTCTCAGCGCTCTCGCCTCGTTCGCTCTCTCACGTCGTTCACTCTTCACAGTGATCTGGACGTCGGCGTTGTCCATCGGGTCAATTTTTCGGAGCTGGACTTTCCTGCGCTCGCGTTCCTGTCATTGCAGATGATTTTGTTCAACGAGGAAACTCACGTCTCAGACTTCATCGTGCGACACAAACTCACGCTGAAATCGCTGCATCTTACGCAATGCCATATCGCATCCTATAGCGTTTTGGAAGGGCCGCCGCAGGTCTGGTCTCAGATGTGGACTCGTTTCGCAGACGAGCTGGAGGCATTGATCCAGCTCTCGGTGGAGCCGGGTCACAACGTCAACCAAGTCCGGCCACACCATTCCTCTTATGTGCATCTCGACGACAAAAATCGGCTACTCGTGTCTGCCCATGCGGAACTCGCTTGAGCAGACGTGAATCAAGGCGGAAGATGACATGGCTGAGCGCATGTTCCGCGAAGTGGTTCGTTCGAGGCGACGCAAACTGACTGGAACAGCAAAGAATACATGTATTGAACCTCCTCCGCCCCACAACATTCCCGTCACTGCTCCTTCTCCTCCCCTGTTTATCAACAGGTTACACTCTATCGTGCACCGCGTATTTCATCAGGACACTTGTAGTCTCGTGGATAAGTTTTAAAGTAATAACTACAAGGATCATTTTGAATATGGCACTGGCGATGTCTCTGTCGCAAACATCGTATCGTTGCCTGAGAGGAAGGCCTGCAAGGATACGATCATGCCTGAATGAACCAAGTAACGTACAAATTAAATCTCTTTGGTACTTAACCAGTCCATTTGAGCTAAAACATATCGTAAATCGTACGGCTTCACATCCGTTGTGCTCATTTATCGACAGATGGACTCGGAAGAAGCTCCATGAGATTAGGCAGAACCCGGCAAGGTGCAGGTATCCTGTGACGGCACTCGAACTCGTGAGCGTCCGAAAGCGTCCATAAGAGACAAGAGATGTGTGTAGTAGTGATGCGAACGGATCCGAACAAAGGACGCCGTCCGTACGTGATCTGTGGAATGCCCAACGGGATCTTCAATCTGGCGTCTGGTATCGACCTTGCAGATAACTTCGCAGACAGTTGACGTACCTTGGGCTCCGGATTGCCCTCGCAACAATGTTGCGATCGGGAGGACTCGCGCCCCAGCCAGCTTTCCGAAGCTCCTGAAAAATGCATCGTACGAACAAGCGCCGTCGGCCGAGCGGAGAAGGTAGATTAGATTCGGGTTGCCCTAACGAACGTTTGGGGGAGAAGAATGCCGATAAGGCGACGCCGCAGGCAGGATGTGACTGAGATGGCAGCCTGGAAGGAGATAAAGATAAGCGCGCGCCTGCTCCAGACGGCTCGAGAGCGACCCGTGGAGTCGTAACTGTGGACAAGCGCAGCTTGAACGGAGAGCTGCGGACACATCAATCGGGTGCTCACAGCGCTCACATCCCAGCGTCCGCGCCTGTGGTGTTCCACGGCGCAGAGAGGCTGCTGGATTGCGAGCTTTGGAAGGAGCGCGGAGACGAAACAGGAGGCTCACGTGCGAATCGCGTGACTGACGCGTCGAAGCGCCCCTTTGGGATTTGCCGCAGCCTGCCGCCGACCCGCGCAATCTAAGGCTTATCTTATCTTGTTCGGAGAGCCATTAAGGCTCGTCTCCGGGCATTATAAGTAGGCACCCGCTACGCCCTCCATGTACCTTGTTTTCTTCCATCCGCCCTCCGCTGATCCAGGCAGAAAAACCTCTCTGAACTTACTTCGTCAGTAAATTTACACAAGCCTCACCCATCATGGCCGCGAACAATGCTACGCCCGTTGCTCCGAGCACTGCGACCGAAGTCAAGCGGACTCCGGGGAACGATGTTCCCACTCATCCTCTTGATCCGCTGACTGCAGACGAGGTGCGTCTCGTTCCATTTATCTTGCTCTGACACCTTCTCATCATCCGTGGGTTTCGCTGTCCAGATCCTCGCAGTCTCGCTCGCGATCCGCCATCATATCGCCGAGAAGACGTCGATCAAGGCCGTTCGCTTCATCACGAATTACCTCCTTCCTCCTCCTAAACGCGCGGTGCTTGCGCATCTCGGCATCCCGCTCGTCACTGGCGAGAAAGTCCGGGAAGAGGACAAGGTTCCGCTCGTCAGAAAAGCCGAAGTTGATGTAAGTGCTGTACATCTATTTGACTCGTTGAGGCTCTGGAGTAGACCTTGAGCTCGCTCACATCCGATCCGAGATCTTGCGTGTGTGGGGCTCACCATGAATTTCGTCATGACTGTCATGGTCCCCACAAATCATTGCTTGGGGACGATTCATATCCATTTCTTTTTTCATCCTTCATTGTAGAGCTCGGCGTGCTGACCCAATTTTATCCTTCAGTTCTTAGATGTCGTTTCCGGGTGTGTTCCCAAGCGGATTCAGTGCTCTCTCATACCAGGCCACCGCTGAACATATCCATCATAACTCTCGTTATCTGTCCTGGTAACTCACTTACAGTGATGCATACGATGCAATCGTCGCGCTTGACTCGAGCACTGGCAAATGGGCCGTCGAGACCCTCGACAAGCTCCCGGAGGGCACCCAGCCTCAGCTCTCGCCCGGGGAGCTCCTTGCCTGCGAAGAGATCGTCAAGGCCGACGAGCGAGTGCGCGCGCTCGCGAAAGCAGTCGGTGCGTTGTCTTCTTTCCTTGGAATCATCTCTGTTCTTTTGTATTTAAAAGTCCGGATGTTAATATGGATTGTACATACAGGTATCGAGCCGCACCAGATTTTCGCCGACGGCTGGTCTATCGGGTACGACGATCGGTTCCCGATCACGCAGCGCATCCAGCAGGCGCTCATGTTCGCTCGCACATCAGAGCACGACAACTTGTACGGCCATCCTCTGGTAAGATACCCCATTCCCCTCTTTCCTCTTACTCTTGCCTGACAATAACGCACTCAGGACTTCATCCCCATTGTGGACATGAACGCTGGAAAAGTGATCCACATCGACTTCCCCGGCCATTACTTGACGACAGACCCCACGTCGCTGACCGTCCCCTCGACTAAGCCCCCGCCACTCGCTGGCACGGACAACGTCGAATCCGCCAACCGCCCACGCATGCCTCCGCCGATGACCCCGCAGGAGTACCTCCCCGATATCCTTGCGGAGGACGCGAAGAAGGCAGGAAAGGAATTCAAGTTCCGAGATGACATCAAACCGCTGCACGTCGTCCAGCCGGAGGGCGTCAGCTTCAAGATGGACGGAAACGTTTTGGAATGGCAAAAGTGGAAGATGCACATCGGTGAGCACCGTTCACCAAAATCCTAATGCGAGTTGATACTTATACAAATGTGGGGATAGGCTTCAGCCAGCGCGAAGGCATCGCACTGTCTACGATTACGTACAACGACGATGGGACGGTCAGGCCGATCTTCTATCGGCTTTCGATGGCGGAGATGGTCGTTCCCTACGGTGCACCTGAACACCCGCACCCGCGGAAGTTCGCGTTCGACACGTGCGTAATTGTCTTGCTTATTTTCAAACACTATGAATTGATATAGACAACAGTGGTGAATATGGAATGGGCACCATGGCGAATGAGCTCTCACTTGGATGCGATTGCCTTGGGCAAATTCACTACCTGGTAAGTCACCCCATCTCCGAGTCCATCTCCGATGAACTCGAACTTACCTCCGATATCACAGTCTGGCGCGTACACCGGCCACGACGGCTCGGCTGTCGTGATCAAGAACGTCATCTGTATCCATGAGGAGGACGCTGGGTTGCTCTGGAAGCACACAGATTACCGCACCGGTGGACGATCACACTCTGTCCGGAGCAGAAGGCTCGTCGTTAGCATGGTTTGCACGCTCGCAAATTATGGTATGCCCATTTGCTGTTATTGCTGCCGCGCTCCATTAATATCCAATCCACCGCAGAGTACATCTGGAACTATCTGTTCTACCAGGACGGCTCCATCGAGCTCGAGATCCGCCTCACTGGGATACTACAGGCCTATGTCTCTGGGCCAAACGAACAGTCTCCTTATGGGGTCCAGGTCGCACCCGGCATCACCGCACAAAATCACCAGCACATCTTTTCTCTCAGGGTGGACTCCATGATTGATGGCCTGTCAAATTCCATCGTCGAGACCGACGTGCTTCCCATCCCCCATGCAACTGGCTCTGAGCGAAACTACGCTGGAAACGGCTTCCGCACGCACGAGCGGGTCCTCAAAGAGGCGAGCGAGGGCGCGCGCGACTGGGATGCTGCGACGGACCGCAGATGGCGCATCGTCAATTCGGCGCGGAAGCACTACGCGACCGGTCAGCCCGTCGGGTACTCGCTCGGTGTCAAGGGCGGTGTGACGGCATGGCTACCGCGGCCGGACGGCTGGGTGGGCGAGCGAGCGAGGTTCGCAAGCAAGACGATGTGGGTGATGCGGGACGACGAGCAGGTTGGAACAAAGGGGGGCAGGATGTGGCCTGCAGGGAAGTACGTGCCGCAGGCGCGGGGCGAGCCAGAGGATAGCGTTGGCAAGTGGCTCGAGAAGGACGGAAAGGAGGGGAAGACGATCGAGGACGAGGACTTGGTCGTTTTCCTGACCGTGGGCACGACGCACATCCCGCGGCCGGAAGATTGGCCCGTGTAAGTGTCTTCTCCTGCGCGTTCTCGATTTCCTTCGTGGAGCGCAGCGTCAAAACCTTTGCTGACATCGCGTTTTCTTCCAGCATGCCTGTCGACCATCTCCGCGTCACGTTCAAGCCCAGTGGCTTCTTCACTGCCAATCCAGCGCTTGACGTCCCCGGTGGGATCGACCCCAAGAGCGTCAACGCATTCGGAGGCGAGGGCTCGAGTTCGACTTGCTGCTCAAATTGAATGGGGAAGCCCAAGGACAAAAGAAGCGTAGGTTATACGTGCCGGAGTTCAAACAAAATGTACTACGAAGGAAATCTCTCGGAATGTAGCTTAATTATAAGGGGGCTGGATCAGGCTTATCAGCGTAGCTGAAACGGACATGTTACTACAGCGTGTATCACCTATCTATTTCCACAATTCCATCTTCATTTTCATTCCCCTATGCCGTACAGAAATGCTAGCACTCACTCCACTCCGATTAGCAAGTCCTACAACATAGCCGCACCGAGGGCGTCTTCACAGCCTGTCTGATAAGTACGCTCGATTTAGCGCATGTCCCTTCCGCAAAGTATCCTCTCGTTAAATGAACGAAGTAGATGCACGCTGCGCCCATAAGGCCCTACAAGATACCACGAAGCAAGAGAAAGTGGACTAACCGAGGAACCTCCTTCCATACAGCTCCGGTGCCATGGACTAAGATGCAGTAAACGAGCACTTCCATAGAAAAAGTAGACGCAAGAAACGGAAGCCAGTGCCAAACCGGTCATAGCTGCGAACTTCTTACCCCTATCATCCTCCAGCCTCCACGCCCCGTCGTGTCATGCGAGATCAGAGCCTAAATTTGCAGGGACGCGGATTCGAGAATGTGATAAGCATTTCCACACGGAAAGCGCATGGAGCAGTCGCCTGTGCCGCCTGACGACCCAAAAAAACATAACTGGTCCCGTGCTCTCAAACGCAATATAATCGAAGACTATACCTCCTGAGTCCCTGATTAAAAGCTGAGGCCTTGCTCACTCTTGGGGATGGGTGGGCCCTCCACCTTCCATACATTCTTCTTCCTCTTATCTCTATTGGCACCGTCTGCGTCATCCATACGATCATCGTCGACATCCGCAGCGCGCAAGCTGGGGCGGATGCCTAGCGTGGCGCAGAGAAGTTTGTAGCGTGACCGCGTCTGGCGCTGGAGAGCCGAGATATCTACACCGTCGTCGTCGGATCCAGTCAGACTTGTGCTCGGATTTACGCGAGGGAAATGTGACGTGATGTCGAGGAGCTGTCGAGCGTGATGCATTACACGACTGTTGTAAAAGTGAATGAGTAGTGCAAAGTCAGAGTTGAGCACGCCACCCGGGAAAGGCTCGGCGCCGTGACTGGAGACGCAATGAGGCTAATATAATGCGATCTTGCTCATGTACTGTAGCTCCAATCCATGTCATGAGCTCGGTCATAGTGATGAATAGCACCTCGGGAGCAGGGTACCTCCGACAACGGCTAGAAAACGCCCAGTGACGTTTTATTGTCATCGTGACCAGGATCGTGCTGTCAGGACATGGATCCTGCCAGCAACCGAAAAGTGACAGGTGTGGGCAAGGAACCCTGATGAGAAATATAACGGCCTCGGGGAATGTCACGAACGAGCAAAAGCAAGACTCAACTCGTCTGTCCAGCCGGTGAGCGCGTAGAATGCGACCCAAGCCCTTGCAAATCCCTCGTAGAAAGCAATCTCCTCCCACATCTCGAAGCCCTTCTCCTTACCCAAAGCCCGGCCTTCAATCAGTCCATGGATGCGTCCGTGCGCAAAGCCATCTTCATAGCCGCTGTTGTAGAAACTGTGAAACACGCCCTTGTGAGATCACAAGCAAGTGCCATTTGAAAAAATCATCGTACGCACGTTTGTTCGACGTCGACAAGGTCTTCAAGATCGAAATCGGCCATGTCAATAGAAAGACAAGTGTGAAGACTGAAGAAATAGAGGCAACCGAGAGCAGCTACTAGGGATTTATCTCAGATCTGATATATACGGATAATTTTAGTCATCTAAGCCCTTGCCAACATCCGATGGATAATGTAACCAAAACCCATCGACGGCACGGAATTCGGAGCGTAGACACAACCTGACACAACATCTGGATCGAGAAAATGAACAATGCCAAGTCTGCGACAATGATTCAAGTATAACTTATTTGGTGGCTCCGATCTCTCTCACGCAGCTACGATCTCGGGCAGTGGAAGACACTCATGTATCCCACTTCGAACACGCGTAGACCTCGGCACTCCACTCCAATTAGGATCGTGGAAACAAGCGATGACCCCATTGACATCCCGCGTTCTTGGAAATTCGCGAACTATAAACAAAAGCGGCCGGATGCGAGCTGGACATCCGTCTATCTTGCGGTTACGATATGGGGCTGCTTGGGGTAACTCTGATCGATATCATATCGGTGGAACAGACATACGAGCTAGGTACTTCCAGCTGCCATTCTAAACACATCACTGACGAAGCAGCTCAAGAAACAACCACCGATTGGTTGATGCAAGGTTGATTTAGAATTTTCTGCGATAGCTACCCACCCTCATCTGCATCAACGATCTGCGAAGCCAGAAATAGTATATGGTAAGCGCAAGGTCGCGCGGATGCACGCACGAAGCTGAACTTAGATAGCACGGCGTGTTAACACGAAGGCACCCGGCGAAAATAAATTTGCGTCGGTCCTGGCCTGTTCTGCCGTGATAGTTAATCTGCTCATAGTTGGGACAAGGGTGGCCACGCGACCAACGACTGTAATTAGTGCGAGCGACGGGATACAGCGAGACTGGGGACTAAGAAGGCTGAAACACGGAATAAGGAACAGAAGAGACAAACAGTAGAGTGTGATATCGATGCGGGTATCCGACGTCCATAGATGTGCATGCATGCGAAGTAGGGGTGAACCGACGCTGTTGGAATGAGACCGGACAAGAGGAGAAGAAACCGACGGAAGGAACGTGAGCAGTCGGGCGACGAGGGCAACTCGGACGAGGATGCCTGAGCGTGCGGGTGGGTGCTGTCGTAAATGCAGGACCACAAAGCGCGCGAAAATGCGTCCGGATGAAATATTAAGGTTCAGACCTGATAACCGTCATTGACAGCCAAGGGGACTAAAGAAGCAAAAAAGTAAGACGAACCAAGCTGAGCTCCAACGTCCAAACTCTGCGGGCCCACAGCTTCACGCTTCTCGGCTGTTCCCCGTTCGGCGTCAGATCGATTTCGATCCCGTCCCACCAGCATTTCCGCTGAAGCGATGAACGATAAATAGACAGCAGCATGAATGTGCAAGCAATTTAGCCGATCGTGAATCGAGAAGTGAGAGAACGAAAACAGAACGCACGGCAGGTTTCCGCCAGAAGAGCAGTAGTTTCTGCGCCGTACTCATCTGGTTGTAGTCGATCGTGACTTGTCGCTCACCTGCTGGAGACGTCGAGTGCACGATGCCTGTCTTGAGCAGAACCAATGCTATTGACGAAATGCAGCATCGCGAAGGCTCCACCGCGCGATATCCCCATTCGTCGTCGCGGTCAAAACCACTGTGGATGAAAGCAAAGAAGATCAGATCAGATAGTCACATGCGAAAATGTGAAAGACAAGAGATTTCACGTGTACAGCGAAACATACCTCATGCATAGCATATCGATCAGATGCTGTTCCGCAATATTGTTCTCCTTGTTCACATTGCGTTGCAGCGCTGTGAATATGTTGCGCTTGTCAAGCAGATACTCCCCACAATTCCGTTTCAGCTCCAGCAGGCCTTCGTTGGCGATCCCGTTCGAGTCTGTGGCAGCGCCGCTGTTTTTCGGAGGGATAGAGAAATACTCAAGCTCTTCGCGGAGAACAATTATGGCTTGTTTGGTAAGAAGCGGATTCTGAGCTGGAGCGAATTCAGGCGAAGGTGCGTTCTCGATATATGGCTGTTGTGCGGCAAAGAGACCCGGGGTAGTCTCTGTACCGTAGAACGTGTCTGAGGCGTTGCGAAAGAATTGTAGGACGTAAGAGAAACAATCTGGGTCGAACTAAGGGAGACGACGTTGGCGATCGTGATTGACGCAGTGCGGCATCACTTGCAGGTTATGCGAATAACACGTACATCTACACCATAGAGCTCTTCCTCTTCCGAGTTCTCTCCACCATCGGAGAGGGCGATGCTTTGACGGCTGAGAACAAGGCCGTTGGGGAACAGGCACAGGAGGACGGACTCTGGGAGGTTCATGATGGTTTCGCGGTCGACTGAGAAGCGTTTGCCGCGAAGATCAAGAGACAGCCGTGTGAGGAGAGGAGGTTGCAAAGCAGCTTGGGTCGGGACCTGCTGGACCTGCGTTATTGGGGAGGAGGACATTGTGGCTGCCATTGCTGACGACGACGACGACAACCAGCACAGGCGTCTGAGGTTATGTGTTCGAACAGCGCGGGCACAATAGGATAACGGAATGATTAGCTAATTCAGGCCTGTTAACCACCATCCGGGTTGACGGAGTCGGCAGAACCGAGCAACGAATAGTGGTCCGTTAAATTACTGTGTTTATCGAGCAGCAGGGCCATGAGGCGGCCTGAAGGATCAAATGGGGCAGACGGAGAATTCTTGTTTGTGGGTTCTCCTGAACGGATGATGAGTGATCTCGGTGCGCGAACCCTGCAGCCTCTCACTCGTTTTACTTTTTAAGCAAGAGAACCATCCGACCTCCGTTTCGAATCTCCGACAATTACTATCCTCTGGTTATCCTCCACCGCCTCTTCCCAGCTCCTTCCATGCGCGCCCTCCGCCGGCCAATACCCTAACAACCCTCCCTCCCCCATATATTCCAGCATTTTCTCGATTTAGGCCTATTTCATCTGTCTTCTCTCTACCTCTCCTTCCTCTCGCCCGCATACCCAATTTATCGTCTATTTCTCTGAGCATTTCTGCGTATCATGGCCGCACCCCCTCCACCTCCCGGAATCTTCAGGCCTCCCGGCCCACACCACTCTATAGCGACCCTCGTCCTCATCGAGAACTCGGAGGAGATGTACCCGCGCTGGAACGATCTTCGAGATCAATATCTTCCTACTCTACTGGGAACCATGAGAATGATAAACCCCGTCGTCCCAGTGCGTCCCTCAACACTTCCTGGAGTGCCCCGGCTGACAAACCCCACAGATTCAAGTGTTATGGCTGACGAGCTGTCCCGCACCTACTTCCGGCGAAATGTCCTCCACACCTCAGAACAGCTCGAGGCAGTTCAATCAGCTTCCGGAGCTGCGCTTCAACCCGCAGCCGAACAACCGCATATCGCTGGGAACACTGCATCGTGGCATTGACGCAAGTCCATTCATCACCTTTTCATTTTCTTCTAACCTACTCCTCGGTCTGACCACGTTCCCGATAGCTCCTCGCATCGACCTATCAAAAGGTTCCTACCACTCGTCATCTGTTCGTTGTCGCAGCCTCGAGCCCTTCAGATGATGTAGATAGCCCCTCAACCATTTCGGGCACTTCGGAGGCCCGTTCCGCATGGAAGTTTCTCGCGGAGAAATTGCATCGAGTACTTCTCCCCATTCATTACACCTTATTTTTTCTGATTTTGTTTTCACAAAAAAGGAAGACATCCACCTGCACATGATCCTCAACCCCAAGAGCAACACAACCGTGTTCGTTGACTTATTCTACGAAACCGTAAGCATTGGTCCTGTCACGGTATCTGATTTTGATCCGATTCGTATTCCCCATTTAGTTGCGTCTGCAAGAGCGCCAGGAAACGCCTCTTTGGTTCAAGGTCGATCATCAAAAATATTTTTTTTACCTCTCGAGGGATACCGAAGATGATGGTGCGCGCTTCCTTTTTCGTGGATATGAAAGGATTCTCAAACACTAGCTCGTTTCACAGGCGTGATTGGTGTACCTGGGCAGTCAATGGACCTAATCACGAGTCAAAACTTCCAGCCATGTGCAGCGAACCCTGATTACTACTCATCTGCGCCCCCCAGGATTCCTCTCCCACGAAACAACAGCTTCCCCCCAGCAGCACAATCCTTTCGTCATGCCGGCAGACCATACGGATCGCTTCGGCCTGAACCCGAAGAGACAAAGCCAACCCTTGTGAAGCACCTGCAGAAGATCCACGGCCTCACGAAAAAACGCACCTATGGACTCCAGCCAACCCGTCAACCTTTCGTTCGCGACGAAAGTCCAGAAAATCCTTATTCGAAGAACCCTAACCCTAATGGCGATGCCCCAAGCTCTTCCCCGACATACACCTCCCCGCCACGCCCTCTGATGCAATCTCGCCGCAGTAGTGGCGTAACGAAAAGAAAGAACTCGGATGCGCAGCGACGAGCTAAGCAGTCTCCACCGCTTTTCACCACGACTGTTCGTGATCCTCGGGTATCGTCTCCCGACTCCGACTCTTCCACTTCCTCGCCAACATCTGTATCACCGCTAAGCGCTATCTCGCCTGTCATCGCGGTCCCCATGCACGTCGATTACCATTCAGCCATGGCGAGTTTAGGCCTCAAGGGGGGTGTGGACCAACTCCAGGCGTTGCCGCCTTCTTCAGGAGACATGACTCCTGAAGTCGTCTATCCCTCTGCTCCGCTTACGGACACCGTCACTCCGATCTGGCACGATGAAAAGCCTTCACTGACCTCGCTCGGGGTGAACGCTATGGATGTCGGCATACCTCCGGACCCAGTGGTTCTCGGGCATATCAGCCATAACAGAAACTACGACGAAAACTTGACGAGTGCGCCGAACCATGTCAATGATGATGCGCAACGGCACCCAAGACAGGCTACCATGGTGTCGTCTCAAAACTCTCCTGACGAAGTCCCTCTACCGCCGCCAGACTTCCCGCCTCCTAATCGGCCCCCGTATCCGGCGACCGCGTATCCATCTACGAGAGATTCGTTCAGTCGTCCCCAACTGCAACTCGCTCCGAACCTCCTCGCTACCCCCCCTCCCCCGCAGGTCCAGACCTCACCTATGTCCTTGCATTCCAACCCGCATACACAGCCCCTTGATGACGGCGACAAACCGTTCATCTTTTATCCCGAATACGAGCGATCAATGTCGGCTGGTGAATTCCACAGCTCGCCTGCAGTTGACTATCAAGCAGCGCAGCCGTACCCACCTCCGCCTCAACCTCCCCCGTCTCATGATGGCTATCCGGCCTCTTGGTCCGCGCCGCAGTCCACAGACTATTCCCACATACTGAATCCCGCGGTCTCGCCTGGCATGCTAAGGAGTATTCCGCTCTCGCATCCCCCGGCGCAAGTCTATGGATACCAATACGGTGTCGGCGGGCCTTCCGCAGCATATATGAATTTCGGACCTATGCAGCAACCAGCGGTGCAGACCTGGACAGGTTATTCATAGTGGTAGGCCCGCAACGGTTGTACGTTTCCCTTCTTCTTTTCGTTATCAGTTTGCGCTATCGTGCTCTGACAGTTTGCTTCTCCCTGTTATTTTTTTCTTTGCATAAATGCTAACGTGATCTGTCCCTCCGTCGACGTCATGTACTCGCGACTGCTAGACTCTTTTCTTCTCGTTGTCATTTTATGTATTTCGATACTCATCTCTGACTTCACATCTCGCATGCTTAGCGCCCGCGGCGTGAGCACTCACGCCTATTCTTGTTCTGTAGCAAGCGTTCATGGACCCCTGTTAGTTCTTTATCTGTGTATGCTAGGTGCTTTTTGGGTCCATTCTTGGTGTCTTCGCTGTACGGTACGCCTACGTTTGGTTTTGGGACTTTGTAGGCTACTGTATATCCCCAATGTCACATTTGTCGTTTGCTGACGTCGTCGACGGTTCCTTCCTATCTCTCGTTCAAGAGGTTCGCTTCAGCAGTCTCATCGGTTCCGTGGCCCTCGGGAAGTCATTCATACTATCTTTGGTTCTCTCAGTGGAACGAGTTCGACAATGATAAGGACACGTTCTGACGAAATACCATAGATCGTAGTACGAGATATCTAAGCCTTCTGATGAGACAGCGAAGATTGACTACAACCCTACAAAACACATATGCAGACCAATATACTCAGACAGTTTAGATGATGCCCTCGTAGGCGATCACAACCTCACTGTCCCTTCATGATAGACTCAATGCGAGCTGTCTGAATCCGCGAGCGTAGGTCGAGTAAGACCGGATACCCGAAGATGGTAATCGCCGTAATATATGATATCTAAAAACAACGTCACTTTTAGCGAGAACAATCACGTGCATCTGTGGACGAACCGCAGTTGAGAAGGGCATCTGGTGTTTCTTCGCCAGCAGGGTCGCGTAAAGCCCTTCTCCGGCGTGTACCACGCCGAGGAATACCCAAATGAAGGCCATGGTTGTCTGCCCACCAACCAGTGAATGTAGGAATTGTCCAACAGCCCACACCGGTGACGGATCGTTGACTGGAGCATAGGTGGTATACACTAGAAAACTGATAAGAGAGAACGTCTGGAACGTCCTGAGTGGGAGGCGAAACGAGGTGATCGGAGGTGCTTTCGCCTGAAAGCTGGGTGAGGCAATACACTAATGCCAGCGACGAAGATGCCTACAGTTCCTAGCGCCTCATCTGCGTCTGCCTTCATACTGAGAAGACGAGGTTTGACTTCCTCGTAACCTGCGAGCGGGGGATTAAATGGCACATGAACAGATTGTCTAGAAGAATTCGCTTTCGTCTGATATGAAAGCTTCATGCCCTGTAGGATACGATATAAGTGAGCGATGAGGGGAAAAAAAGTGGTCGCACACAAACCTGTGAGTCTATAGACTCCATCTTCGCGCTAGTTATGTGCTCTCGGATCTGGCCATAGTGTTTCGCGTACGAGACGAGTGTGTCTGGGTGGCTAGACATATACATGCACAGGAAGCCAGATTTGTCTGCGACGGGGTCGGTCATAGCTGTGCAGAGATACTGGACTACACGCTTGTTGTATGAAGAGTCGACGAAAGCGAGGGAACAGAACACGCAAGCTCCTTTGAAGTTATCTCAGGCGTACCCAGGAACGCGGAACGCGGGCATTATGAGTCATCACGTGTTTTACCCCACTCCGAGTTAGAAGCCCTCGGATTGGACACCACCCCATTCACCGGTTGTCTCGACTACAACAGTTAGGAACAGTAGATACAAGTTCTCCTGGCTAAGGCAGGTGTCGTCTGTTGTTCGTTGACATGCGATAAAATGCAATTGCTATCAGGAGGCTCTGGCTATGTGCTGACTCAACGTTGTTTGGCAACAGCTTCTGATCCAAACAACCTTCTGGAGTTTTCCGAATTTGGCTAGGAATAGCAGAGGCTAGCATCCGGTACACCGATGCTCCAGCTCACGCGAAGCACCTACAAGCGCAGCCTACAGTCGGGAAGAGTACGAACGTACGCTGCCAAGGCACATACAGGTCGTTATGATGGTATGTTTTTTTTCTTTGACTCGCTACTTAGTGATGCGGCGACTCTCTTTTTGGGTGACTGATCATGGAGCACTTTTGCCTGATGTCCCCAAGAGACGTTTGATGCTCGACCAAAAAGCGACCGCTATTCATTCTCGAGACCTGAACCTTTTTTTGTCTCCATCTCGTGCTTTTCTCGGAAGGGGTGTGCACAGTGCCACGTTCACACAATCATTCTCGCTGGTCTGAGTCCTAGCGGACAGAGGACTGGAGGTGGTTTCACCGGATGCCGCGTGGAACATTGGTTGCTACAGCACGGCACCTGAGTTGCCGTGGAAATTATAGCAGCGGGCATCACAACTGCATCGAGCCACGTACATGCGGGCTTGATGATCCATTGTCTACTGTCACCGCCCCACGATACCCTATTACGGATGCATCTCTAAACGGTGCAATTCTCCGCCCTTGTCTGGCGCTAGATGTGACGAGGCCTCTTACGTCTTGGAGTCTGGCACCTCATCTCGGAATTCCCCTCGGAAGATTCCCATAGCCCCTTTCCCTCGCTGATACACTGGTTGTTCTTGTTTATGCTCTCTTTGCCATGTCATCCATATGTAACCATTCCAGAAGCATGGTTTGGTGCTGATTTCCTCATCGAGTACGAACAGTCGATTTCCCGTCTCTCACATTTTTCCGACCGTCCCTCCACTCCAACAAATTGCTTACCATGTCGTTTCTATAGTCTGTGTCATTGGCGGTGGTCATGCAGGCTGTGAAGCTGCCGCAGGCTCAGCACGCACAGGTGCACGGACCCTTTTACTCACTCAGCGGTTGGACACGATAGGAGAATTGTCCTGTAATCCCTCCATTGGTGGTGTCGGCAAAGGGACCCTCGTCAGAGAAATCGATGCGCTTGATGGCGTTATGGGCAGGGTAGCGGGTAAGTAACATACTGTCTATCTGATTGATCTGGGGCTAATACATCTCGCTCTGGGTTCTAGACAAGGCTGGGATACAGTTCCATATATTGAATCGATCAAAAGGCGCTGCCGTATGGGTATGTTGTCGCTGTGGCCTTCTCCCATTTGATCAGCTATCTGACTGACGTGTCCTCTACTACACAGGGCCCACGAGCTCAGATTGACCGCACACTCTATAAACGGCACATGAAACACACGCTATCCAGTTACCCAAACCTCGATATATGGTCCGGAAGCGTTTTCGATCTTGTCTTTGATAAAAGCCGTTTCAATGACGAGTCGGACGCAAATCAGGAGAGATGGGGCACGGTCAATGGCGTTCGTCTAGGTAATCTCCCTTTCAAGGTAAATATTCGTGTTCTTCCACTTAAATTTGCCGACAGACTCGGGCGAGGTCATTGACTGCTCCCGCGTCATCCTCTGCACGGGCACCTTCCTCTCTGGAGAGATTCACATCGGTATCTTCCAATCACCTTCCTTCGTTCAGCCTGGCCAAATTTAGTGATCCTTTTCCCGAATGCACAGGGATGAAACGCTTCCCCGCTGGGCGTATGAACGAACAACCTACGCATGGCCTGTCTGCTTCCCTCAACGCGGCCGGATTCCAGCTCGGGCGTCTTCAGACTGGCACCCCGGCACGACTTGATGGCAGCACGATCAATTACGATGGCATGGAGCGCCAGGATGGAGATCGAGAGCCTCATCCATTCAGTTTCATCAATCGAACGGTCGACAACAAGGTAAATCGACGATTAGGAAACTACTTCTCTTATAAGTGACGGTGCCTGATAGGATAACCAAGTGGCATGTTTCAAAACCTTCACCACGCCGGCCACGCACAAACTCATCCGGGACAGCATGCATGGTAGCGTTCACATTCAGGAGACCAAGAAGGGTTAGTAGCCTTCACTTGACACGCTTTCATGGAACTCAATCACACTCGGTTCTCAGGCCCAAGATACTGCCCTTCCCTTGAGGCCAAGGTCACCCGATTCGCACAGAAGGAGAATCACACGATCTGGCTTGAGCCCGAAGGATATGAGTCCAGTACGTTAGCGCCAGCATGGATCATATGTTACAAACGTTAATTCTTGTTATAGACCTCGTTTATCCCAATGGCATCTCAAATAGCATGTCAGAGGAGCTGCAAGAGCCTATGTTGCGCACAATACCAGGGCTAGAGAATGTCAAGATGGTGAAGCCGGCGTATGGCGTTGAGTATGACTTCGTAGACCCAAGAGAGTTAACTGGTGCGAAATCAGCTATAGTTTGGTCATGCGAAATCGGCCCTCATTGTCTTCGCCACAACCAGCTACTCTTGAGACAAAACGGATCAAGGTAAGCCGAACTCTGAGGCCTCTTCTTTGTTCTATCTAATTGTTCCACAGGGTCTTTTCCTTGCCGGTCAAATCAACGGCACCACAGGATACGAAGAAGCAGCAGCTCAGGGAGCTATAGCGGGCATAAACGCTGGATTGGAGGCGCAGCAACGTCCCCCCTTGATTGTCACCCGTGCCGATGGATATGTGGGCGTGATGATTGATGATCTGATCACACGGGGTGCGGAAGAACCCTGTGAGTTTGTCTCGTTCCCGGCACTGTCCCGAAATTTGCTGACATGCCATAGACCGCATGTTTACTTCGCGATCTGAATACCGTATGACGCTACGAAGCGACAATGCAGACGCGCGCCTAACCGAGAAAGGTATGAAGTTCCGCCATGCGACTATCTCGCTACTCATCCGTCATCCTATGCACAGGCAGGGTGGCTGGTGTGGTGTCAGACGAGCGATGGGCGATCTTCAATAGAACACGGGACGAGATGGGGCGGGTTATGCAGCTCATGAAGGGGCTAGCCTTGAGTCCTCAAGGGTGGGAGAAACATGGATTTGACGTGCGTCGAGACGGGGTCATGCGAAGGTACATTACTTGACGTTCGCTTGCTCTCAACCGTTTTCGTTGCTTAAATGATCTGCGGCGATACAGCGCTTTTGACATGCTTCGGTACCCCCAGCTGCGAACATCTTCCTTTTTCAAAACCATTCCGGAACTCGCATCCGTGGACCCATATATTCTCTCTCGTATAGATATCGATGGTAGTTCTCGTTGGATCATCTCTCATCATTCATTATTCATCTAGTTTTCATAGGTCGCTACTCCTCACACCTTCGTCGGCAAGAAGCGGATCTACGCGCGTTTATGGAGGACGAAAGCCTTGAATTACAACATGGAATCAACTACTCTGAAGTTGTTGGCTTGAGCTCCGAAGAGAAGGAGCGGCTAGCCCGTGTTCGACCCCGAAGCCTTGTACGTCACAAGTTTTGCAAAATGAACTTTTATGCTGACTATTGGCCGCCGTCTCGTTCTGGCTGTTATATGCGCTAAAGGGGGCTGTCAAGCGAATGGAAGGTATGACGCCTAAGGGCGTCATTGCTCTGCTCAGGCATGCTAAGCGCACCTTCGGACGGGCGCAAGCGGTGCTCCAGCCTGCCGTACTTTAGCTGCAAGTACACTTCTTTCATGAAGAACACCCGAGGGCTTCCCATTCCGTAAATTACATGAGGACCACTAATTCACACTTGCTCGTATTTCACGACCGTCGTGAGTCTCCAGCTGGGTATGGGCATCCCATATCACTAGGCAGGGAGTGGTATCGAAACGACGCCAATTTCCCGGTGCGTCACAGAGCCCTTACATATAATCCTCAAGCGCTTGATACCAGACTGAATTCTGCACGGAAAACATCCCTCCTATTTTGTGAGTCATAATTTACTTTCACCCAGCTTTCGAAACGTCTGCCTCAGCGCCAATGAATCTTGCGATTGAACGTTCAACAACGAGAATTCAAGAGGTCATGAGGTATGCAACATAGGCTTGTACACGGTGATGTTTAACCCAGAAGGGTCAAGAACAAAGGAGCCGTACTCACCGTGATAACCTCATGGCTATAAATCGCGTATGCCTCGACTATCAAACATTTAACTTAGATCTTGAAAATGTCGGTAGCATGAGAGGGCTCTCGCATTTGCTCTTTTGGAGCTAGCTCGTCATCCTGATGCCCAATACTTCGTCGAAAATAGCTAACTCTCACCGTGCTGCGTGTGCGACAAGTGTGTTGAATCACTGGTTATCACTCCGCCGTCGATGTTCGTTGGAGGATGGGACACGTCACTGGCGATGTGTGGTTTTACGCACCTATCGGTGCTGAAATAATACTTTTGATAGCTGTATATCCAAGCATGGCATCCCCCTACCAATTTTGAGTACCGAATCATGATTAAACTCCTAGAAACTCATTCAGGTTGGTCCAGCTTCGACTCGAGGGACACCAGATTATAGGTGAAACCGCCCAAGGGCTTACTGAGGGCTGGAGTTGGGCCCGAGGCGCATTGACCCCTTCTCGTGGGTGAGTGGCAGAAGAGCTAGATCAGGAGGACGTCCACAAATACGTGGGTCTCGGAGGCAGGGGGAGTCTTATCAACTCGCGCTGAACTTGGTCGAAATGAGGTCCTGTCCGTTTTGATTTCAGATCAAAGAGCCCGCCGAGTTCCTGGATCAATATTACGTGATAATTGCCAGGTGTCGCCAGCGCCCTCGCGTCTTCATCAGAGCCTCTGACATGGACAGACACAGACAGTTCGGCCTGAATGTGATGCGGGCTATCAGCTAGGCCCCTACTACTCCAGGCACCGTCGCCATCTGAGACCAGGTGCTCAAGAGGACCACAGCTGCTTCTCGTGAACCTCTTGTTGTCTGTCTGGTCTCGTTCGCATATCTCTTCGCGTGCGTGTCACCGCAATATTCAATCTCATCGTATGTAGATGGCACTGATTAGTTGGGCGACTAACGATTGTCATCCGCATGTTCCTGATCGTTCAGTCTCGTGCCCCACTGTCTTTAGTGTTGCAGTGCAATTTGTTGCTTCTCTCGATCCCGAAAGTTCCACACGGGCGTTCGTGGAACAACACTAGTTATGCCGTCTTACGTCTGTCATACGGAACATCGAGGTATTGTGCCTTTCGATATTTCGTCTCTCACTGTTCTCGATGTAGCTGTTGCGCGTATCCGACAGTTAGCGGAATTCACCGGGATGCACTGGCAACGTTCCTTGAGCGACATTATTTTGCGATGGGCGATGAAAGCAAATGAACATAGCCATAAATTCAGCCCGCCACCCTTAATTTAACGATGAAGTCTTGACAGTGATCTTCTTGGCACCTCTGCACGCGCGTGACTCGTGGATTCCGTCGGACGCTCGTCGCGTCCTGTTGCCGTCAATCCGCTGGTATAAATTGGGGAGGGAAGATGGCAAGATGACATCGACGGTGTTCCCGCTCGTGCAGATACCCCAAATACCCCTTTCCGCCCGCGCTTCTGCTTCCGTTTGGATCGCCCGTTCTCCCGAGATGCGTTCGATTGTACTTGCCACTCTCGCCCTTTCCGTTGTATCAAGTGAGTCAGGGGTAACACTTGATTCCCGCATTGCCATTGAGTAGCGTGTTCTCTGCGCGTTCAGCTTCGGCTGCCGCCGCCGGCTCGTTCGCTGCTTCGACCATCAACGGTCTCCTGGCCCTTGCGCATGAGCCCCAATCCATTTACGCTCGACAGTCACTCGATCCTAGTACCCTTCCTGCTGCGGTCCGTTTGCAGATTTCAATGATGCATTGTCTTGTAGCCGCTCACACGCACTTCTGTCATATAGTGCAAACCAGCTTGCACTCCGATCTATACCACCTTGAATGTGCGTCTCGAGCCAGCTTGTTCTATACTAACGTGCGGTATTCACGATCCGATTATCATATTCCACAGGACTGCACGACTGCTGCATGTACCTGCACCATCACGAATGGCGATGAACTCGAGGGCTGTATCAACTGCCTGGTCTCTCTCTCGCCTACAACGTCTCAGATTCAGCTGGGACAGGAAGTTCTCAACAGTATGCGCATGTCTGTCGTGATCGTCTCGTGAAGTCGACTGATTTTTATTTGAATCAGACTATGATGACTTGTGTTCTGGAAGCGGGATCGCCGTCCCTTCGCTATCTGTACGTAGCCATATAAGATTGCACCTTTTTTTCCCATTTGTTGATGCTCCCTTTCGGCGCACGGTGTAGCTTTCGTATAGCGCCAGCCCATCCGCTTCGGTTGTTACCGCAACCAATACTCGTTCGATCATAACCGCCACAAACGTCGGCTTGAGCACTGTCGCATCTTCTTCGAGAACAATCACGGCGGCTGCGACTACAAGCTCCATCGCTGACTCTTCTAACACCAATGATGCATCTTTGGGCCCACAAGGTGTAAGCAGCAGTAGCAGTGTTCCCAGTGGGATTTTTGGCAACGGCGCGATGTCTATCGAAGTCTCCAAGGCAAGAGTTGCGTGTGGAGGTCTGTTTGCTGGTGTGGCTGTTTTCTTCGGTGTTCTGTGAAGCGTATAGTGCACCTATCTTAATCCTGTCTAACATGTTACTTTACGAAATCCATCATGTTTCTGAGTCTGCAAACCGCCATGCTGGAGCAAAGAAGAACAGGAGACGTGGGGAAATGATCGAGGCGGCAACGGGAAGCGCCGGGTTCGATGCGGAGCGCTAGTGCCGATCTCCGCAACAACTCAACCAGGCTTATGTACTTCTGTTTGAGATCCAGGTGGAGCGCACGGCGCACACAGCCTCCCCAACTTCGTCTTCACCGACGACGACGACGACGACGACGGCGACGGGGCGTGCAATGGTACACCGGCCAACCGACTCTCGCTTGCTGTCCAACCTACTCACACACGAACGAGACTACACGAAACAGCTCCTCTCCTTACTCGACTCGGCTTCACATGCATCTCTATCCTCCTTTGCCGCATATGCCTCGGCATCACCTCCCACTGTCTCGCGCGCCGTAGTGGCCGTCGCGGGATCGCTAGCGGGCGCGGACGACGCGCTGAGGAGATACGCGCAGTCTGTGGACGCATGGCGCGAACACCTCACGAGGCTGAAAGGCCTTGAGGACGATGTCGGAAACATCATGCGCGACCGCGAAATTTTGTGCGTCGCAACGCGTCCCGGACTCTTCTTGAATGCTGATGTCCCTGCCGTCAGAGTCACACGTCTCATCAAGGCCTCGAAACACCAGAAACCGACCCGCGACTCCTTCATAGCCAACATCGGACCCTCCCCCTCTTCCATGTCCCAGTCCTCTCTTAGCTCGTCCAACTCGACCTCTCCCGCTTCGTCTAAACTATCCGCCGCACAGGCCGAACTGCAAGCATGCGAAACACACCTTGCTACTAAAGAGCGCGAGCTCGATGCCATGCGCGTTAGCGCAGTTAGACAGGGTCTCTACGTGCGATGCACGGCCATGGTGGAGTGCGGCTGGACATGGGGAGAGATGGGAAAGGAAGGCCTGCGCGCACTGGAAGGCATGGACATGTCCAATAGCCATGGTGAGCTCTCATCAGCCCTATGTATATATGTGTTTGCCTTGCCCGAATCTGGCCTTCTGTCTCTCGCTGCTCCGGAAATAACCAAAATGAGCAGGCTTGTAGGCAGTGACATCTGATGCGACTAGCACAATAAACTTGCTCTGTGCCGGCCATCACTTACTAACTGTGCTGGTCGACATCTTGCTGATAACTTTGGATTTTACTGACTTGTTCTGTTTCTGTTTAGCGAACGACATACACAAACCATTACCAGACCCAATGCACCATCCACTAGGCTCAGACATGTCCTCACTAGGACCTTCACAGTCTGCGTCTCAAATTGCCCTCCCTCTCGAGAATGGATTTGCAGAGCATGGGTGAGTTGTTCATCATCATCCTTCCTCTGCTTCGTCTGACCCTTTGTATAGATGTATGCGCGCAGCAAGCCCTAATTCACACCGAGCCTCAGAAGAAAACGAAAGATACATGCTTCACATCGAGCCCGCGCACTCGATCTCAGAGTTCGTGCTCCCACAACGTATCGGGATGGAGCGCCGCATTACCGAGGAGGACGAGCCCCCAGACGGCAGCAGCTCCTCGGAAAACGGAGAAGCGGGCCCACTTCAGGTCGTAGAGAACGCCCGATTCGCGCAGGCGGCCCCCGAGGCCTCCGGCCGGACGGCGCTTCCCCGCCGGTTCACGTTACGCTCGCATCAGCGGCGGGGAAGCGGGAGCAGTGTCTCGGAACGCCTGCCGATCCCGCAGAGGGGCGGTTCGAACGGTATGACGTCAAGTGTGTCTGAGCCTCAGGTCGCGATGCCGAGGGAAAGGAAGACGAGCGGAATTTTTGGAAGCATCGCGGGCTTGTTCAGGAGCGGGCAGAAGGGAGATAATGGACGGTGGAAGACGCGGACGGAGAAGAATCTGAAGCAGGCGCGCAAAGGGGAGAGCGACAGCGAGGACGAGGCGCCTCAGCGCAGAATGCCGTTTACACGGAGGGCGTCGGAAGAGGAGACGGTTCGCCGCCGCCCGCAGGCGAACGGAAGTCCTGGTGGGCAGAGGCTGAAAAAACGGAGTTTACGACGAGCGCCTGATGCGGATACCAGCGCAGCGGAGAATGGGTGGGCGAGCGAGGGTGGCTTGGCGATGGGTTCAAGGACTCGGAAAGGGAAGGGAAGGGCAGAAACTTCGCTGGCTCTGGAAGTGCCTGCTCTGCCGTCTGCGACGACGCACAAGGCCAAGGTCGGTCGGACGCAGTCCATGTCTCAGGCGGGCCCATCGACGCTTTCGCACAATAGTTCGTTGTCGAGGACGAGTGGCATGAGCACGAGCTCCGCTCCTCCATTGGTCACGAACGTCTTCCGTAGAGTGTCTCCTGCGTCGGCGCCCCCAGTCGAGCATCCTCCGGGAGGCGGTATCACAGCTTCGCAATCCACGGGCGCAGTGAATCGCAGCACGTCGACAGCGCGCAAACGCGCATCGGCGCCTCCGACGAGTAAGGCGGCGACCTGGACGGGTTCCCATCCCCACCCCCAATCAAGCGCGCACACCCATGCTCGCGCAGCATTGTCTAACGGCCAGCCAGGCCAGCCGTCATTGATGTCGATCGTAGAAGGTGTGACGCGAACAAACAGAGACGGTTGGGCAGCACACACACGGGAAGTGGACCTCAGTCCGGCAAGTAGTCCTGATGCAAGCCCTGGGGGCGGCGGGCTGGTCAGCGTCAAGGCGCCGCCTCCGCTGAAAGACTACAATCTTCGAGGAGAAGGCGGAAAGGGCCTTGCGTTCGAGAGCGTCGTCGCGCCTCCACCTTTGACCGGCCCAGGCTCTGCAGGCACGAACGCGAAGGTGGAGGTTCCAAAGTCGCTCGAATTGGCCAGGCCGATGCCGATTCCTGCGAAGATGCCATTGCGGAGCGCTCTGAAGAGCCCGAGCCGGACGCCTTCCCCGATGCGTGCGCCGCCTGTTCACAGAATGCCTCAGCACTCATCGCCTCAACTACAATCGTCGTCGTCTAAGGCCATCGAGCAAGTTTTGCCCGACAAAGAGGACGACGACACTTCTTCTATATCGTCGTACGAGACAGGTCACGAAGTTTTCGACGATGAGCCAGAGCCAGAGGTTCCCCCTCCCCCACCAGAGAAGTCTGGCCCACGGTCAACAGGGTCAGACGTGTCTTCCTCAACCCTCACCGCGTTTGGGAATGCTAATGGAACTGCCAACGGAACCGCCGACGCGAACGAGGCGATCGCTCCGCCTGTTCGAAGAAAGTCCGTGCGGATGTCTCTCCAGCCTACTTTTTCTCCTACGCCGCCAGCCGTGGAAGACGATGACGATGGTCAGCTATGGAATGGCCCAAGAACCTCGAACGGAAAGGCGCATCTGGAGGTGGACGGCTTGTGGGTCGACTCAAGTGACGAGGATGAGGAGTACTCGAGAGCAAAGGCTGCGTTGCGGAGGGTGTCAAAGAAGAAGTGGTGAGCTCCTCACGTCAGATTTAGCATTCCAGACACGCGCTTGGATCTCTTTCTCCGCTCGTTTGACAAGGACAAGGACATTCACCCGATCAGCCTTTGCACAGCCAATTCGGCGCTCATATATGTATTCATGTGTATTCTGATTTTGATTTATTTTTTATTCCTTCAATTCGTTCTCTGTGATTGGTTCGTGCCCTTCTATACTTCTCATGGTATTTTCCTTGTTCGACTGCGTCCTTTTACTCTTGTAGACCATACTCTACAGCACGATAGTCCTAGTCACGATATCACCATTATTTTGCGACCGGATCGGCCAAGCCCCTCAGTCCCTTCCCCGCCATACGATACTCGACAATCGTCGACGTCATAACCTCGTCCCGAGAATTCAATTACATAATATAGTGACATCAAGCCAAACAAGTGCAAGCACAAATAATAAAGAAACTGGTGAAACGGCGAAGACAAACACATCTTCATCGTCGCGCCTCTTAGTGTCGAAGCCTCAGCATCTGTCTTATTTATCCCTACCGCCATAAGAACGCGCAATTCTGCCTCGCAGCATCCTGACCACGCTTCGCGACAGCACACACGATTAAACGAGCATGTCCGAGGAAGAGCAACACACGCAATCCGAAGTAACGCCAAAAGTTGAGGACGGTAACGCGCCGATCAACGTGAAGGTGCGCGTCTTATGCTCAGGCTGTTACGGCGGGCGTTGTGGGGCTGATTGTGCGAAAATGCTGGGATATCGACCCGCCGCAACGCTTATTGTGCGATGCGCGATCGTTGCGCTCGCGTGCGGCTCGGATGACGGCTTCTTCTGGGTGGCGTTGTTTGTGTAGGTCGTCACGTCCCAGGGGGAGGAAGTTTTCTTCAAGATCAAGCGCAACACGAAGCTGAGCAAACTACAAGGCGCATATGCGAATAAGGTGGGCAAGGACGTGGGCAGCATTCGGTGCGTTTGCATGGATATTTCATGTGGCGGGAGATTCGCTGAACTTTGCACTCTTGCTTCTTGTTTGAACGTGAATCTGGCATCGGGCGTGCAGCTTTTTGTACGACGGGAACAGAATAAACGATGATGACACACCCGCATCGTTGGACATGGAGGACAACGGTATGTGGATTCCTTGCCGCCCTTGATCGGCCGTATCTGATCGTTGGTTCCAGATACGATCGATGTGATGGTGGAGCGTGAGTTTTCACAAAATCAACAACCAACAGCGCTTGCTCACAACCATTGTCTGATATTTATAGAGGTCGGGGGTCAGGGGTCGATGTGATTCCTTTTGTGCATTTATATTGCTTTCTGCCTAGGTTATGTGTGTCTCTCTCCCGACTATTTGCTACCCTTTTTCCTTATTTCTCCTTAGCGCGTCTCTCTACGCTCCCGCCTGTCGTGTCATCGTCGTAATTCCATCGAATCAGCAATGTATCAACTCTTGTGGCATTCATTTGACACTAAGATGTTCCACTGACTTCTGCCAGTTGTCGAAAATCCAATGGAAGAGACCAGGGTCTTCTTGCACCCAAAGAGTTCAAACTTGACCTTCTAAAAGCCACTGATCACTTTGCCTCGCGACTGTAATGCAAATTGCCGTGTACAATATATAGACAAAGCGGGTATCGAGCGAAGGTACTATGACATACAGATGGCACATATATATGTACTTCGATGGTATCAAAAATATGGCTTGAGTGAATAATGGTACGGTGTGGATGGCCGCCCTAGATACGATCACGTCAAGTATAGGGAAGGGCACACGATCAAAGAGGTCCGATTTGTCCCTCACTCCCGCGTCCAGAGAAAAAGTGCAACAAGGGACATCGACACATTTTCTTGATGTCGGCTTAGACGAAGAACATTACTGCAGCGCCGGCGACACCTGCCATCACCATCGCCGCCTTCGATGCCTCCATGTTGATGACACCACTGTTTCTAGCGCTCGTTGCGGAGGTAGATGCAGCGGCCGAAGTTGAAGTGGCTTCTACTGTCGAAGAAGTTGCGGGGGAGCTGGTCACCGGGCTAGTGATAGTGGCTACGCTGCTACTAACGAGCGTGCTCGTCGGGACGGTAAGGGTCGGAGGAGACACCGTCGGAAGAGAAGTCGTCGGGGAAGTGATGGTGGCGGAATCAGTGGACTGGCTGGGCAAGTCGGAGCCTGTGCCAGTGGTAGAGAACAGCACAGAGCTGGCTATCGTGCTCACGCTCAGAGGGAGAGAGGGGCCAGAAATGCTCCCTGTGTCAGTCTCTGTGTGAGTTCCAGTGTGAGTTCCAGTGTGAGTTCCAGTGTGAGTTTCCCAGTGACTTCCGCTATTGGTCCCCGTGTGAGTTGCAGTATGAATTGCGGTTAGGGTTCCGGTATGCGTTCCGGTATGCGTTGTGATGGAGGCACCGGTATGTGATAAAGTGGTGGGCGCGGTGGATGTCGTCCCGTCCGAAACGGAGGGGAGGGACTCGGTAGACGCGACTGACACAGTAGTGAACGCGCTCGTGGCGATAGGTGGGGTCAGAAGGAGCTACAAGTCAAGAGTCAAGGTCAGGTCTTGGGAGACGGGAGGTAGCATACTGAAGAGGAAACTTGTCGACGAGCAACCTCAGGAGCAGCTTTAGCTACAACAATGCAGTGTCAGTGAGTATGCGTTGAATAGACAGGTGCTGAGTGCGGATGCATACCTCCCCTCGCAAGCACAGTCAAAAAGAGCGCGATGACGACGAAGCCTTGCATCATAGACTGTGAAGAAGCTGCAAACGCCTTTTTGGCCGGGTCTCAAGAGTGAATGAAGACGGGATGGGCTAGGAGATGCTGAAATAGAGATGGGGTATTTATATGGACACGGTCAGTCAATCAAGAATGCTGAGGGCGGTGCTTAACTGGCGTTGTTTGAGCCGTGCTGAGAGCGCATGTCACCCGGCAGGGTGCAAGAGGATGCCAATTGAGGACATCATCATGTTCCCTGCATGTGCGCGCGCCTAGATCCAGCGGCATGCCATGCCCGCGAATGGACATGCAGGAACTCAACTGGGTCAGCTGATGGAGGCTGTCTATGTCTGCAACTTCTCCTTGGATGGATTCGCATCATGAGGCCGCGTTCGCATATGATAGACAAGTGATCAAACAGCGTAGGATTCACTGACCGGCTTGGGGTGATTTGCAAGATGAAGCAGTGTGCTTGTGTGCACAGAAAGAGCAAGGACAGAGGTATGAGGGCAAAAATTGGATCATGCAGTGCAGGCGGTATACGTCGGTGACAGACTGTGTTATCACCGCAGCAGTTTTGGTAGTCATAGAGATGTACATCGAAGTTTCAATACGTTCCAGTCAGTGTTGTTCAAGCATCAAGATGTTCAACGCCGAGACACGCCGTGAGAGGTGCTTTGAGATTACGACGAGCGGCAGACGCAGAGACATCACCAGAAGAGACGGAGAGCTATCGTCGTGTTTTGCGTCCGGTCAGAGAGAATATAGGGCAGATCAAGACGCACAGTAAGGTCCCCGACAGGACCCCGACGTCGATGTAGTGAACCTCATAATCTAGCAGTCGAAGATTAACGAGTGGCTTTTTGTGAAAACATAGACATTGTGAACGTACTCGTGAGATAAGCCTGTCGTATATTCTGGTTCATCTGCGTAGGACTAAGCGAGACGACACAGTCGATGCAGGCTCCCAGTTCTCCAGCATTTGTACTCGAGCCACATGCGAGTGGGGTTGTCGTAATACAAAGTTATAAACTGGGATTGGATACGCGCGAGAGACTGTGTCATAGACCTAGTCCTCACATTGAGCGTGTTAATGATTGAAGTGTAGGAAGGTTGATACTTGATAGAATAAGGTGGTCCCAGCGACAATTGAGGTTTGACTCATTAAGCAAGCTGACGCAAAATCCGTGAACTCATTTGAATACGCGCACAGGAGAGAAGTCAAGTTGCTTTCAAGTTGCGGTAATGATTTATCTGTGTATCAGTGGCAGTTAGTGGCAAGCGATAACATACTGTATCCAGGTCTGATTGGTCCGTTTAGCGTCAAGCCCCACCTGGTACCTGAACCTGAAACCTCCTTGACAGATTGACAGTGCCAGCCAATCAAAAGATCTAGAAGCAATAGGAAGTGATCAGCAAGAGATAGAGAACTGGAAGGCTTCGAGATATCCGAATCATCCTCAGGCCTCAGGACGCACAGAAGAACAGTCAAGTTTTTTCTGACAAAACAAAACTAGTTCACTACTTCGCCGCCCGGGTGCTTAGTGAAATGGAGAACATCGAATCCTTGCCCATAGTGATCATCCCAAACAAACGTACTCTCGTGATTCTCTCTCCCAAATGCCGCAAGCAGCTTCTCTGCCTCTTCACCGCCATTCACGACGGGTCGCGCCTCGTTTTTTGTCTTGCTTTTCGCGCCTTGCCCCCAGATTTTCTTCTCGCCTTTCGTCAAGAACGTTCCGATGTGGCGAAACGTCAGGCTGATCCTTTCTCCTCCCTGGAACTGCTCCGCCGGGGACTTCGTCTTCATGGGGCGCTTGTCCGTGTGGATGCTGTGCATCCACTTATTGTTTGTGTCTAGGCCCATGACAAACATGGAGTTATGGGGCAGCGGGATGCGTTGGGTGATCCTCGGTGTGGCAGCTGCAGGATCTTTCTCTTTCTTCGTGCGCAAGAACATCGTGCGCTGCGCACCGAGACTGACGTTTACGATGTTCGACCCGCGGACGACGTCGACAGTCTTGTCAGAGTGCTCAGATATGTAGTCTGCACCCGTACGGTAGTGCTGAATGAGGACATGGTTCACGGGGTGGTTGAGCGCCTTCTCGACGTGCTGTCGGATTAGCGAGACAGTGGAAGAGAATGGCTCGAGCGGAGGGGTGAAATCAGTGGGATGGCGGTAGATTGGGAAGCTGGGCTTGATTTCAGAAGCAGTGTCACGAAACACTGGAGATAACGTACCTGCCATCAATGTCTACTGCTCCTTCTACCGCGACGAGACGTGGTACCTCTCCACCTCCATAACCTGGCCTCAACCTGTTGTTCTTGAACAAGAATGAGATTACGTACCTCGGTGAAGCATGGTGTGCCATTGTACCTCTTTTCTCAGATTCTCGAAGGCTATAGCACACAAATCTTCGGGGAGAATGTCGAGCACCAGAGAAGTATCACCCTCCCCTATCTTACCGATGTCTCCGCTTGAAGTTTGTTGGTCCTTCGACATGCGAGAAAGCTCGGTGACAGCAAAAGTGGTGGCGATATGATATGGCAATAGGACATAGCGAGATAGTTAAATACACAACTTGCGGGAACTGAAACGGCCTGATGACTCGGCGCGACAACTGACTGTCAGCGAATGAGACTCCGCATAAAGAACCAGAACGTTCCAGCCCGTAGTCTCATACGTTGCATGCTCAGAACAAGAGTAGATGTGATAAGCAAACCGAGGAAGGTAGGAAACATGAGGGGTAGAGTGCTGGATTGTGAGGTACATGATGGTGCATTGGTGTTACAGAGAACGAGAATTACAACAACACGATATCCGACTGTTATCCCAGAATGGAAAGCGAATACATCACATCGCAACATCCGCCGACACCCAACTCTAATATGATTGTTCAACACAGATTACGATGAACATCCATCGTCCATATAGATCTAGAAATCAACCCTCTTAAAGTCGCTTCCACACTTCCACAGATCCTTCGTACACCTCTTTATTCAACCAAAAATCGGCCATAATTCATGCTCGAAAACCGCCGCTAGGGTGCCGAATTGTTATGGTATCGGGGCTAGCTAATTGTTGAGGTCAAGTACGACCTCCGTCTTCTGACACTGGAGAGCCGATCCGGCTGGCTGTTTGGCGGTCACATGGGGTTCGGACCCGAAAAACTGGCTGTCAGGCAAGTCGCCCAACGTGGGGGGGTACCGACGCTTCCTCAACCACACACGCTCCTGAGGCGTCGGGATGGTGTCACTTGATGAGCTGTTGACCCATTCTACCGGTATGGGCCCATCTTCTTGGGAGTCGAACTGCAGGACGTTCTGGCGCAGGTCAGTGCTCCAAAATGGTTCAACCTCAGTAAGAGTGATCCAGCCCATGCGCAGGAGGCGCCATAGCCCCTGATAGGAGACTTTGAGTTTGTGCTGCTTGACATTCCGCAGGTGCCAATCGTGATCCACCAACGCACGGACAGGGTTGAAGGGGACAACCACCGCAGGATTGGGCTCCCACGCGAAATCGCGAATTTTGATTTTCTGCTCGATAAGTTCTCGGTGAATGGCTTCCGGGTCCTTCTTGGGAAGTTCCTCTTCGGAGACCACTTCAGTCGGTGCAGGGGATGGCGACCGTGCCTTCGCAGGTGATTTCAGATCTTGTTCCATGTCGATGTCATGATGGAGTGTCACGATAGACAGACTTCGTGTAAGAGGACTTAGTGTCTGGACTTGTGGCACAGCTATGGTGATACTGTGCTGATCAGAGACGAGGGATGGCGAGAGATGGGATACATTCAAAGAGGAAGGAGAAGGTGGTGGCGTCGAGGCGGGGTCAGTGGATTCTGCGAACCGCCGCTTCTTTGGAGAGGGCGGTGAAATAGGAAGAGGAGTTAAGCGCTTCCTAGGCGAGAGCGTTGAAGAATGGAGAGGAGTTGAAGCTGAAGTCGCGGCCATGGGCGTATGATCAAGAATGTCCAATGGTATGGATGCTTTACTCTTCTGGTTGAGATGTAGACTGGTGCGGCCTTGAGTGGAGTTGCGAGTGCGACGAGGAGACATGTTAAGACAGAAGTATGATTCGGGAGAGCAGAGATTGACGAAGTACAAGAGAGCGAGAAAACTGCTATAAACGAGCACGACGCGCGCTTATAAGTCACCGGACCTTCAATTGTTGTTGACTGAACCACGCACCTTCTACAACTGGAATAGTTAGAGCAACGATGCGGCGGAATCTTCTTTCACAGCGTGACAATTAAGTCAAGAACTTCTAAAGCGGGTTCGTTAGTACAACAATTGTCGTGTAAGGTGAGTTATTGTGAGATAGAACAGGGAGACAAAAGATGTCGAACAGAGGAGTGGTCAAACGATGATGGTGGTTCAAGAGAGACAAAGGTGACTGGACCCGCTCGCCATGAGTGCCAGCCGATCGAACTCGGCCCAATAAGGAAATCCATCACAATTAGCCGCGTGTTTTGCGCTTGTGCGCGTCTAGGTTTTCTCATCAGGTGACTCAAATCCGTATCAGATGTTTCACCTGCCGGATGTCTGAAGAAGCGCCTCGGCGAGCGCGCAAAGGGGGCTGCGAACCAACTTCCACATCGTGCTGGATTGCCATATCAGAGCTCGAACCCACATAGGCTGCGTCAGCGTAAACGTGGGTCCGTATAACGTACCTGTGTCCAATCTGGACTAGAACGGATACCACATTGGATGACAAGCCATCTACTCAAAAATCAGAAGAGGGTCGATGAGCAACCATCATTGGAGGAGAGGGTCATTATGAACGAGTCAAACACCGTACCTCAAACTTCGGGAACAGCGACCCATACAGGCGCGATCTCCACTGGAAGTCCAGCTTCCTTCCATGCCTTGTACCCTCCAACGACATCAGTAGCATTCAAGAGCCCAAGATCTTGTAGAGCAGCAGCAGCGAGGGAGCTCGTGTAGCCCTCCTGGCATATAATAATGACTCGCAAATCGTATCGAGTCGCGATCTCCAGCCGTCCGTCTGTACAACGCGGGTCAAAGCGCCATTCCAACACGTTCCGCTCAATGACGAGCGAGCCGCTAATGGCACCGTACTGTTCGCGCTGTGCCTGCGGACGGATGTCGACGAGAAGCACTGGCATGGGGATCGCCGCGTCGTGCAGCTCGTCGAACGCTTGCTGCGGCGACACCCGCTGAAGCCGCGTCCGCGCGCCTTCAAGGACCTGTGCAATCGAGCGGGAGCCCGGCGGCGGGAGCAATGGATCGATGAGGCGCTGCGCGGACTTCTGCATGACATCCCAGAGCGCGGCCTCATCATACGCGGTCCAGCCGATCTTGTGCACGCGCGCGATCCACCGCGTGCCCTCGTCGTACAGCGGCTGGATCCGTCCGACGAACTTGGACGATGCGAGCAGCGCCGCGCGCTGTACGTGCACGGATGCGGACCCGCAAATGAGGAGCGACGTCGGACCAGCGCCCGTCGTGGCGATCGCGAAGAGGTACTCCTTGAGCGCGAGGATGCGATGCAGGTGCTCTGCTACCTGACGCAGAAACTGTGCATCGTCCTTCTTGGAGAAGGTGAGGACGACCGCGACTTTTACCTCGTCAACGAGCCTGACTTTGCGCAGCGCGCGCACGGCGATCTTCTCGGCGACTTGGTCGCGGACATCGTCAAGCGTGCGGAGGGGTGCAGCGTCGTCTTTGGTAGCAGTGGTGGTGGTGGTGGTGGAAGGGGAGAAAACAGGAGTCTCGACGCTCGAGTTGCTAAGTTGTTCGCGGTGATAGACCCTGAAAGCATTATGGAAGGATAAGGGGCGATCTGTGGGAGGTGAGGGAAGACTCTTCGATGTGGATGTTGGGGATTGTTGTTTGGGAGATGGACCCTTTGTTAGCGCGTCCGTATCCATGGGGGATATTCCAAGTCTCAAGAAGGCGTTGTAGCTGCTCAACTAGTCAGTGAATATTCCAATATCGACCAGCTGGATCAAGTTTTCTATTTATCCGCCCACAGTATACAGGAGGTCTTAGTTTGTTGAACAGTCGGAACACTGCAACGGGACTGATATGACATACCTTGGTAACTGCGACTGAGTATAAATGAACGAGATGGCGTATGGCTTGAATTGTTAGTGTAAAGCCCTTTTTTGACCGGAACAAAGTTTGGTTGGGAGTTCGTGTTGAAAGTGTCGAAAGGCCGGATTTCGGTTCATGACCACGTGGTTCTCTCTCTTCCGCTCTTCGTTGCTCAGGCTGGTTCGGTCACGGCTGCAATCTCTGCTTCCTGTCCCAAGGTAAGTCTGTTCCATAGTTTTATCTATATCTATGCGGGTTGCTCACGTTTCTCGTGCTTGCTCCAATGCATTGACTTGACAAACACATACAGAAAATCAACATGTCGTTCATAACCGCCTTCTCAAAACCCTCTACTTCTGCCCTCACTCCCCTGCGCGCGCTGAAAACTCAGACACGCAGTATTTCATCTTCTCCATATGGCCGCACGCATGTCTGGAAGCGCCGTCCAAACAAACTCCCTAACCCTGTCGTTCCACAATTCCCGCAACGCGTGATCCGTTCGGACGGTTCCACGTTCACGCACTGGACGACATCCCCCCGCTCCGTGATACGCCTCACGCGCGACGTCACTAACAACCCTATGTGGAACGTTTCGTCGCTCACAAGCGAGGACGCCGAGGAGGAGAGCTCGACGACAGGTAGATTGGGACGTTTCAACCGCAGATTCGTCGAGGTTGGTGCTCGAGGCTCCGGTGGGCAGGAGGTCGATTGGATTGGCGAGGCAGAGGTTCAGGCACCAGAAGGCTCGGCTGGGAAGGGGAAAAAGGCATAAAGCATACGGCGTATATGCTAAACGCGAAGAGGCTCGTGCGACTCTACCTGTTACTGTGAGTCAACCATGTGATACAATTGCTCAACAGCACGTCGCCAGCTTTGTTAGAGAAACAACTCTTCTCTTCGTTGTGTTTACAGAACCTATATAGACGTGGTTGATCGCGTCCATTCCAGACACTCACACAGCACGCGACTTTCCCTCGATGTATCCTGTTAATCTCTGCATCGTCCCAGCAATCAGTCACAGATAAAAGAGTCCACATTCCCTATACACTCCTCGCGAGAAGAATGTGAGCTGTCATCTCTGCGATGCTGCAGACTCCGATGCAATCCATGGTGGAGACTGACATGTTCTGGTCTCCCTTGACATTGCCTTCGATGCCGTCTTTGAAACCTGTTCTTGCATAACCGATACACCTCAATGACCCTAAATCTCCTTTAAAGGCTGCTTCCAATTCGGTCGAAACAATCGTTGTGTGTGTGTTCGACGGTCGCAAACAGACTATTAGAATATATGCAAAAAATACACCAATTTCTCAAATATGTATCAGAAATCAAGAAATGAGCCTGCGCAATCAAGAAAAAGGGAGTCCTAGAAATGGTATTGTCTTGCACTATCATGATAATATCTAGAGGCCTCAAATGAGTGATATTATATTATAAAAGCATAACAAAGTACTCACCAAGTCAATTCCTACCAAGTTTCTTTAATAATCTCTATATTAGGTATAGTGTTGTGCTCTTAAATAAATTATGAGTGATAAACTTCTGCCTCTGCTAAAATAAAAGCATCTCCTAGCTATAAAGGGTTTTCTCGGAAAAAATCGAACTTTTTAGGGTCTGGTCAGCAATAAATAAGATTTTGTATCAATTGTTAGCAAATCTCATATAAATGCTGCAATTGTTGTCAATTGTGAGAAATTGTCAGCAATTGTCCACAATTGGCAGGTAATCTCTTATCAGCAATTGTCAGCAATTGTTGTCAATTAGACACCATTAGCAAGATACAACAATTGCTGGTAATCTGTCCTTAACCTCATTGCTAACAATTGTCCACAATTGTCCACAACTATAATTGCTTTTTAATCCTGCCCAATCTTAATATCATATCTGCTCTTTAACCTTTCTTGGATCTTGTTGGATCTTGTCCAATACTGTTACACTCTATTACTCTATCTCTAAGTCATATTAGGATGTACTATGGCATGCTGCCCATGGCCTTAGCTAATTGTTAGCAATTGTTGGATATTATTGGATCTAGGGCTAGGTTGTAGACTTGGAGATTATTGGAAAATGTTAACAATTATTGAGTATCTAGGAAGAGTTTTTAATAGGTTGAAATTTTATGAGTTTAGTAGAATAGAATTAGTAAATTAGCAGCCAAATAAGTTAGGCTCAATTACAGCAATTTGTGACAATCTTGTTTGGAAGCTATTGTAAATTGCTGACAAATGCCAGGATTTGCCAGGAATTGCTGCTAATTGTTAGCAATTGTTAACAATGTCCAACAATTAATAGCATTTGGCAGGAATTATTAAGATTTGTTAAAAAATAGGTAATATCAATGTAAAAGTTTTGATTTTTGTCTAGGTTGGTCCCTTATACCTAGCTCTTACTGAATAAATATATAAGAAAGACTATAATATAATAGTTTGCCCATAGTGTTTGAGCCCTCTATACAATAACTATATTTTCTAATAATCCCTAAAAACTTCTTTGAGTTCTCTTTATATATTAATAATAATAAAAAGACAACAAACAATGGCTATTTGTAAAATCCTATATATAATAGTGATGATATCAAATTCTTGATTAAGTTTAGAAAACTTGTTTTCCAATGGCTAATAATCTACTGAAATAAATATATCTTGGATACTTTAAATAACAAAAAGTATATCAAATAACCATATTATAGATGTTAATATGAATATTAGCAAAGTAATGGCAAACATATAATATTTAGCTCTAGATTTGATTGTTCCTTGGCTATATAACTTTAGACAATACTAAAGGTTTGAAAAGATGGCATGAACTTGCTAGAAAAGATATGTCAAATAAAGAACTAAGGCAGAATAAATCCCTAGATATTTGAATTTTTAGATAAGTTTTTTTTATTAAAATAAAGACAATAATAACTTATTATAAAAGAAGGAGTGTATGACTAATCACAAACTAGATCCTAGAAGGACAAGGCTAACATGCTAAATAGTTTTAGGGCTTTCAGATATATTTATTCTATGGCTAAGATTATAGATGTAAATGAGAGGGGTATAAAGTAATCTATACTATAAGTGATGGCAATTTCTATATGACCAATAGATTAGAGAAAGAAGATATTGATTGAAAAAAGTTCCAGCATGACCTATAAATTTATTATATTGATGCCTAATTAGTTGCATAGCTACTAGAGATCACACATACCCATATATTAGAAGAATTATCCTGATCTACCTATCCTACAGCTATTCCCCAGTAAATCCAAGTTCCATAATGTTAGGCTCAAACAAGACATACAAGACATTAAACACTCTGCAAAACTAGCCGCTTAGAATGATTACAGATTACTCTAATAGCTTGAAAACTAAGTAGGCGAAGAAGATCCAATAGTATAGGGCTAAAATATTTGGTATTACAGAGAGATATATCCAGGCTTACAAGACCAGGACTCTATGATCAATATCAGCTAATTGTTGTGCTACATGCTTTGGTATTCTTGGAACACTGCATACTGCTAAGGCTCCACCTTTACATATCAATCCATGCTTGCACCTGAATAGACAACCTAATAGGATAGATTAGTGATAAAGCTTCGGAACTAGAGTCTGCAAGTGGAACTCATCATCAAGAAATCTCTAACCTCCTATGCTCACATTGTGAACAGAAATGTGGGTCTATGTATTACCCATCTTTCCAAGATAGATGAGCAAACCACTGTGCACTGTGTATCTCCTATTCAAGTCTATCATGATGGGATGCCCAAGTTTAGTTTTACACAAGTGCTTAATTATCATATTTGATTACCTTGGTTCTGCCCTTCCTTTATAATGTAGAAAAATCAATGCACATTTATAGAATATTGCTTACAAGATAGCTTGACACTAATTCAATGATCATGTAATGCACCATAAAGAGATGAACACAATACACTTCAAAGCTGTGTCACTTTTCTTTAGAACAACAATTTCAGAGGCTAGCATCAAAGGCAGGGATATGGGCATATAGGTAGTATACAGGCATATAAGCAGTGCAGTGAGAGCTAGTGAGAGTTAGTTGGGATCATGGAATCAGGGATTGAAGGCACTATATCTGCGATGCTAGATGGTAGCCTGATGTAGATGTAAGGGTGCAATGGTCAAGGAGTCAATCAATATCATATAAGCATCTTCCTCATCTATACAACAGTAGCCCTGGAAACACCTGAACAACAACTCCCATCGAGATGGACATCCACAGAGATGGTGTCCTGCACAGCGCTGGATGTCAAAGAGATAAATGACTCAAGAGGGCTGATCCCCAGCAGTGCACATAGCAAGCGCCTCACTCTCTGGGTATCGAAGATGTTCGCAGGCTTGCACTTGCTGCACACACAAGGCTGATGGGAAGCCAGGACAGTACGGTATCCATAGGTACAGCTCTATGATATGGTGGTCTATCCCTTCAGGCTGACGCTCATCCTCGGATGGACTATCAGTGATGGAACGAAGGGGAGAATGCCCTTTCTCTACGTGAATGCGCTGTCAACATGAAGCCTGTTTGTTATGCACACCGTAATTACATACCCGGACATAAACAGTGCAGACACTCAGTGCTCATCTAGCACAATGAATGCGAGCTTGGTCTATGTCTGCCTCAAAAATGCGCATGAAATGCTCACCATCTTCTAATAAAGCTCACCGGTTTCCTATGAGACCTCTGCAAACTCGACCCTCTGTTGTCTTTAAGGGCCTGTGTTCAAAATGGATCTACAACATGACTTGACAATACAGTGCTGCCCTGTACGAAGGAGATTGCAACGGTAGGGTGGAGGGGTGGTTTTCGAGCTTTTGAGATTGTAAGGGTCATCAGGAGGCTGAGTTTATCGAAGGGTGATCAAAATGAATGAGAATTTAACGACACAAGAGAGTGGAAGCAGGGTCACGTACAATGTCCAGCAGTGGATGCTCTCAGCTTTTCTGAGAGATCCTCAGCTTGAAATTCCTCCTCTCTCGACTTTGTTTCCGTTCCGAAGCACCAGCGACCAGCGATACGCATTCACATGGGACTCCAAGATGGTCGGGCCCGGTGGTCAAGGTGGGAACGGACTGAGGTATCGATGGGGATCGGATCGTTCCAATATCTTCGTTTCTCCACTCGTGTCAGAGGGATACATTATAGAGTTATCGCCTGCACACTCCTGCGTGTGATGAAGTCTCTCGTTGGAGTCCAAGATGACGTTCAGGCATTTTATCACTAGCGACGACGGTGTTGTCAGATATGGATATCCGGAGACTATGTCAGAGTGAAGGAGGATAGCCAATGTTGCTGCATTTGGGACACTGGTCAGTGTCAGCGGTTGTCGCCGCAAAGTGCCGCTGTCTTCCACTCTACACTAAACCATGTCCTCCGAGCACAATTTGCTCGCCCCTCTTCACGTAAGATATATCCAAAATCTAGGCAACGTGCGTATCTCCTCCAACCCCAGGTCACACCAGCATGGCTCAGCAACGCATGATTGACGCGCTCCACGGCAGAGCAAAGATGATCTCGCCTACCACCTCACTGCGCACCTGCGCATGAACGCGGTCTACTGGGGCCTCACTGCGCTGTGCGTCATGGGCCGCAAGGACGCGCTCGACCGCGACGAGATGGTCGAGTACGTGATGAGCTGCTGGGACGACGAGGCAGGTCTGTTCGATCTGATCTCTGGGAGAGCGTGAAGAGCTGATCGAGGCGGGTGGGGCACTCGGGGGTGTTGATGGGGTGTTGATTTTGGGTTGCGCGAGCAGGCGCGTTCGGCGCGCACCCGGAACATGACGCGCATATCCTCTCGACGCTGAGCGCTATCCAGATCCTCGTCATGCACGACGCGCTCGATCGCTTGGACGTCCCTCGTGTCGTCCGATGTACGCTCTGCTTCTCTCGCCTTACCTCCCGGGGCTTACGCACTCGACTTCCGCTAGTTATACTCTCCCTCCAGCACCCCTCAGGCGTCTTCGCAGGGGACGCATTCGGCGAACTCGACACGCGCTTCCTCTACTGTGCCGTCTCCGCGCTCTCCCTTCTCGGCGCGCTCGACCAGCTCGACCGTGACAGGACCGTCGCGTACCTCGTGCAGTGCCGGAACTTCGACGGCGGGTTCGGGAGCGTCGCCGGTGCGGAGAGCCACGCTGCGCAAGGTGTGTCGCGGTGCCCGCGTCCCGTCTTTGCCCTCGTTCTGATCGTCTTTGCGTCTGGCAATGCACGGACGACCCGACTCGGCGCGCACAGTGTTCGTGTGCACGGCTGCGCTCGCGATCCTAGACAGGCTCGACGTCGTCGACGTGCCGACGCTGGGGTGGTGGCTCGCTGAGCGACAGATGCCGAGCGGCGGGCTCAACGGGCGCCCCGAGAAGCTCGAAGACGTGCGTGTTCTACCTCCCGCACGCTCGCTTCATGACGTACTGACGTCCACGCACGCTCTGCCAGGTATGTTACAGCTTCTGGGTGCTCTCCTCGATGTCGATCTTGGACAAGATGACCTGGATCGACACCGACAAACTCATCGCGTTCATCCTCTCCGCGCAGGTCTGTCGTCGTCTTTCATTTCCTTTCTTTTGCCTCATCACCTTCGTCGATCCTGACGCCTCTCTTTGCTTGACACAGGATCCCGACGCAGGCGGGATCGCCGACAGACCGGGGAACGTTGCAGACGTGTTCCACACGCTATTTGGGCTCGCGGGGCTCTCGCTGCTCGGTTTTCCGGGTCTGGTCGACATCGACCCCGTGTACTGCATGCCGGCGAGCGTCATCGAAGCGAGGGGGCTGCGCAAGGGCTGGAAGGCGCTGCCGAGGCGCGAGTCGTGAATCTAAAAGACTGGGCGGTTCTGTGTGTAGTATGTCGTGCACCAGGCTTGGATTTGGGCTCGGGCTCGTGCTTTTGAGGTGCGCGTTTCTCCTGTGCGGATAATGCCTAGATCATAGTCCGGACTAACGATGTCGATTTCGCAGGAAGAGACGTGTATTCTAATGTACCAAGTATTTTGTGGAATGCGAATGTTGCGTGTGTTCTTCCATGGTCGTGTCCGCATACTCGCGTGTACATTTTTTCTGTCGTCTTCGGCGCTCGATGGTCACTGGGTTGTCCTCAATGGTGCGCGCGTTCGGTGGTTTGAATTTTGAGTGTTCGGCTGATGTGATCGACCAAGATCGGCGAGATCTAGTGATCGATGTTCATTCAACCAGCTGCATTAGGTATGATAGCACATTGTCGTGATCCTTCATGCTCCTACCGTCCAGTGCAGTTGATGGCTCTGGTTCGCGTACGCTTGAAAGAAGGAGAGATTACACCTTCTGGGGTCGACCCGCTTCGACCCGCCGAGCCCCGAGGGCGAAAGTAGCTCTAACTCCCGCGCCCATTTCAGTTGTATGCGTGACATATATACTTGTTTACGGACAGCATAGCAACGGCGAACGCTTCAAATTCTTCCTTGTATATACACGCCGCACTTTCATCTCTAACACTCACCATCTCTGCTCGTCCTTCGTTTCGCGACACGCACGTCGACCGTGCACTGACCGCAATAAGCCACCTATCACACCCTCGTTTTCCCTCGTTCGTTGACGTGCCCGTCGGTGCGGGCCTTTGTTCCGAGAATAGCGCAAATTATTCTTCCGCGCGTGCGTAGCCAGGGCGGAAGCATATTAGCGGGGGACTTACCGGAATAGGCAAGCGAGGTGCGTGGACGCGGTCTGGTGCCATGTTGGTTGTGTGGTCGCCTCGCGTCGTGCCCGTCTCTGCCTGCGTCTGCTCTCCCCTGTAGGCAAGCCACGAGGCTACTGATCGTCCGTAGTCGCTGCTGCCGCCGCCGCCGCCGCCGAGACCCCTCCTGGTCCATCGTGCCCGCTGCGCCCCCTCCCGCGCTCCAGCCAGACGCACCGTACCTCAGAAAACCCACAAAAAAATTACGTTCACACACCCCACCGCTGCGACACCGTCCCCCTTATCGACTAATCTCCTTCTCCCTTGACGAGCCTCACTATCCTCTTCCTCGTTCTCGTTCTCGTTTCCTCTCTTCTTGCTCGGAACTGTTCGGACTTTTGTATACTTACCAATGCCATCATCACCACAGTACCCTTCGCCTATTCTCCAACCCTCCGCTAACCCGTCGCAGTCACACTCTCAACCCGACTCCCCACTGACCGATCCCGACGCGCGCCGCGCGCCGCACACGCCAGGACCGCCTCAACCGACGTCGAGCCCCTCGCCGCACCCAACGTCCGAAGAGGGCTACCCGTCGTGGCTCCCGAAGCGCCCGTCCGTGCCCGTGCCCGCCTCCACCGTGCAATCGTCGACAATCAACATGCTCGCGAACGAAGCCAGCCCCGGCGCCGGCCCGAGCGAGATGGGCGCGTGGGGCGGGCGCAAGCCGACGCCGCGCTCGGTGCGCATCGTCAGCCTGCAGGACTCGTTTGGCTTCCGCCGCGAGCCGACTGACCAGACTGCGTTCACGGCCGCGCCAGGCGCGCCCCCCGTCGCGCACTCGCGGGTGTGGTCGCGCGCGACCGGCGCCGGGCTGTCGCCGACGGTGTTCTCCCCGACGGTGGACGGGCGACTTGGGCAGGCGCAGGCCCCGCGTTTCCGGGCGTGGGGGCTGAACCTGCGGCTGCTGCGGGACCCGTCGTGGCGGTCGCGGCTGCACTTCTTCCTCTTCCCCCTCCTCGTCTTCTTCCACGTGCCGCTGCAGACCTTTTTCGACTTTAACGCTGTATTTATACTTATCCAGTGAGCCCGTTTCCTCTTCCGTCGAGCGACGCGTCGGCGGGGTTTCGATGCGATCCCATGCGCGGCGGGCTTGCTGACGTGTGACGTGCAGAGTCTCCAAGTTTCCCAATCCGGTCGCGCCTGGCGTGCCCGGCTCCGGTCGGAACTGGGCCCTGGGCGCCGCCGCCTACGTCGCCTGCTGGTCGGTCTGGATCATCGCCGTCTTCGTTGGCTATGAACTCGTCTACTCCTTCTACCGCCGCTGGAGGTTCAGTCAGTCTCCAAAAATCTGAAAAAAAAACATACCCACCCGCTGACACACACACTGCACAGAACGCCCCCTCATCCTCCCGCTCTACCTCTCCACGCCCGCCTTCAACCTCGTCTCCATGACTTCCTACACCCACTTCTGCTTCATGCAGCACATACGCGCCTCCGCCTTCCCGCGCCTCAACCCCGACGCGAAACTCCCCGCAACAAACCCCCACGCCCGCACCCACGAGGGCTCCCTCCGCGACGCCCTCGCCGAGACGTGCTACTTCTACTCCCAGAATCTGCCCACCGTCGCCCTGCTCCTGCCCCGCGCAGGCATCGCCCTCGCGCTGCTGCTCCAGTTTTACAGCCCCAAGCAGCTGCCCGGTGGGCTCACCCTTGCGGACGTCGACGCGAGCATCGCGAGGCGCGACGAGACGTATTTTGACCAGGGGACCGGCACGCTCTCGGGGTACGCCAAGGGTGTGCTGATCGCGAACGCCGCTTGGACCGCGTGGCGCGTCCTCGTCCTCGTCATCAGCTGGTGAGTCACTCGCGCGCTCGCTTGCACCTCGTAGGAAAATCTCACTCCATGGGCACGCGCATCATGTCGCTGCTGCTACAGGACGGGTCTCTGGCTCTTCAGCGGGTATGGATGTGCTGGCATCTGCGGGCCGCGCTCGCGCTGGGAAGAAGAAGAGGCGGAAAAATCGCGCGCGCTGTACTTTGACGAGAAGGGCGCGCACTACGATCCTGCGATGGCCGCGGTGCTGGCCGAGGTGGCCGCGGCCGACGCGCTCCCGTGGAGCTGGAAGGAGTGCACTTACCTGCGTGTGCAGGAGGCGTACGAGTTTTGTCTCACCTTGCAGCCGCCGCTGACCGCGCGCGGAGCGATGACGGGGAAGAAGGCGCACGGGGCAGACGTGCCGGAAATCGAACGCCAGGGCGGATTCGATGGTATGGAGCAGGTGCTCGCCGCTGTCGGTCTCGGTGGTGGCGCAATCCCGCAGCCCGGGCGGCGGGGCATGTTGTCTCAGAATCTGTTCGACACGCCGAAGGAAGGTGGGACGCGTGATAGCAGTCTCGCTGCAGGCGTCATACCCAAGGTGGAACGGCAGGACGACGACGGGACAGGCAAGCTCCCGTACCCGTTCACGGGCTTCGGTGCGAAGCAAGAGAAAGACGGGTCGAGCCAGGAGCAGATCCCGTTCCCGCCCTCGCCCGCGCCCGAAGACGTCGAGACAGACGACTTTATCGAAGACGACGAAGGACTGGATGAGCTGGACGTGGATCCGCTCGACGGGGAGTTTGGTGAGAGCTTTATGGGCGAGGGGCTCGAGTACGTTCAGGAGGAGACGGAGCCGCGCACAAGCGAGGATCCGTCCTCCTTCTCCGGGCGCGCGTCCAACTCGCTTTCCAGCCTCGGCCAGCCGGTGTCCACCCGCTACCCGTTCCAGTTCCGCCATCCCACGCGCGGCGGGAGCCTCTCCTCCGCCTCGCACCACACCCCGCAGTCAAATTCGACGTCCACGCACACGCGCTCGACGCGCAACTCGCGCAGCACGCGCTCCACCGGCAACCGCGAGTCTTCCGACTCGCCCATGTCCCATGGCACGTCGTCCGGCGCGCCCAGCCCCGTCGCCGCGCGCGGCACGGGCCTCATGGGCCTCATCGGGAGCATGCCCATGCCCCCGCGGCACCCTACGACCGCCGGCCAGCGCAGACAACGCTCGGGCACCGTCCCGATCCCGTCCTCGCCGTCCCCCGCGGGCACCAGCAGCGGCCCCGGCCTCGGCCCCATGTCCTTCCCGCCGCGGATGCAGGCACGCACGCGCACGGAGAGCGCAGAGACGGACGTAAGCCCGCAGGTGCTGTACGAGTCGGACGGCGAGCAGGAGGTCGTGGGCGCGATCGATCTGGGGCGCAGCGCGTCGGAGGACGAAGGCCAGGCGCGGACGGGCCAGGCGTCGCCCGAGCCAGAAGGGTCGCAGGAGGCGCTCGAGCAGGAAGACAGCGTCGGCTTGCTGTCACACGCGCCGAGCCCGAAGGGCTCGTTCGGCGGCCTCAGGGCTCGCGCGGGCAGCGCCGTGTCGCTCACGCGGGGCGCGCGCTCGCGCTCGCGGCACACGAGCTCGGGGTCTGGGTCGCGCAGCGGCTCGAACTCGCGGCACAACTCGAACGGCAGCCCTGCCGGGGGGTCCGCGGTGTCGCTCGCCCTCGGCGGGCGCGGCGTCGGCCGCGGGCACGGGCACGGGCACGGGCACGGGCACGGGCACGGGCACGGGCACGGGCACGGGCACGGGCACGGGCACGGGCACGGGCACGGGCACGGGCACGGGCACGGGCACGGGCACGGGATCCGCACGCGGACGCAGTCACTCATCCAGAGCGTGGCGTCCGCGTCGCGCTCGAGCGTCGAGCTCGTCACAGGGCGCCGTGCTCGCGCGCAGTCGGTCGTGCGGCTGGAGGACTACGACGACGGCGATCGAGGCACGATCACGGGCACGGAGAGCTCGCCGTATTACTCCGAGGACGCAGAAGCGCTGAGCAGCCCCGAGAACTACACGTTCGGGCGGCCGATTGCCGGCGGCGCTGGGCTCGCGAGGCGGGCGGGCGGGCGGCAGCAGCGGGAGGCTGAGCGCGAGCGCGAGCGTGAGGTCGAAATTGAGGAGGACAAGACGGATGGTGAGATGGGCTTGGGCATGGAGATAGAGATGGGGATGGAGATGGGGACGGGGATGGAGACGTCGGAGAACGCGCTGCCGAGCTCGGCGTCGAATTCGCCGCCGCACCAGCGCCGCCGCGTGCAGTCAGCCGTGTCTGAGATCGCGCCGTCGGAGCGCACGCTGTTGCCCCCTCTCCCGCAGCCCACCGTGCTGTCCCCGCCGTCCCCACAGCCCATCCCGACGCGCTCCGTCGCGAGCCCGTCGGGCACGCAGTATCTCAGCGCAAACGAGGACGTGAGCACCGCCGCGCCGTCATTCGTCACGGCGCCGCCGACGGTCGAGGGGCACACGGACTCGAGCGGCGCGACGCCGTCGAGCTGGGGCGGACTGGAGCATTACATGGAGGGGAGGGACTGGAAGCCGGTGTAAAAACGTCTGGTCCGCGCGGCTGCAGCCTCTCGCTGCATCTCACGAATGAATGAACATGGCGTGCACGACGCGTGCTTATCTGGCATCGCTCACGACCCTCGCGATGCGTTTCTGCTTTCCGCCTTCCGGCCTTCGCTGTTTTCATTTCATCTCATTGCTTGTGTTTTTTTTGCTTCTTCCTTCGTCTTTGTGTATCCCCTTCGTCCGCATTTCTCGTCTTCTTCACAAGTCACAGCCTGCTTTCATCTTCGTTTGGTTCCACATTCTGGAAACTGCTCTCTTCCACACGTCTGTCGTCGGTCCGCTCTGCACTTCCTCCGCCTTCCGCATGTACTTATTCGTCACTTAGACATCATCGCAGTCGTCGTCGTCGGCCCCGCCGTCGCTCGCTCGTGCGTTCTTCAACGTTTCTAACCTACCTTCAGCAAACAGCAGCCTCCATGCTTGCCTCCTTGCTTACTTGCCACTTCTATCCCTCCCCTTACACACTTGACATCAGTAACTCCGTGTTCTTGTGACCCTCTTGCGATACCTTTCGACCCCGCTTCTTCTTGACGCTTGACGACGGCCCACAGCGATCTCACGCCGGCGCCGTCCACGAGTCTACGACCCCAATCATCCTAATCCTCCGCTTACCTGTTGCCATCCTATAGTTGAAATTCAATAAAATCTGTTATGCTTTTCATTCGCATGAAGGATGTGCGGTGCCCATGTGTGCCTTGCATGATGTGCGGCAGACGGGACGGGATTGTGCATATTGAGGCCTTGAGGAATGATATATTTCCATGTCTGCCTCTAAGCTAAAACAAGATGATCCATAAATTAGGGGAAAAGATGTATTATATGTACTCGAGAAATAGGTAGAGCGCTTGTAGAACAGCAGCGTTTTCGTCAGTAATGCTCCTTCTCAAGCATCGCGGCCGGGTCCGTCACATCGATGCCAGCAGCCTCCGCTACAACAAAAAAAAACATGTAAATAACGATCGACAAAGAAAGAAACAGACTCGTGGCAGCCACGCACCCTCGATCTGCTTCACCGGGCCCGTGAACCACTTGCGCGCGCTGAGGAACCAAAACCCGAGGCTGTACGCGAGCACGATGCCGACCGCGACGATCGCGTAGTTGAGCGTCTGTGAGTTAACCGGGTTGAGCTCGGGCAGGATGAACACGATCGAGATGAACGCGATCCAGGTGACCGCGGTGATCGCGACGGGGAATGAAAACACGCCGAGGTGGAACGGCCCGCGGACGAACTGATCGTGGTAGATGACGCGGAGGGCGATGGGGATCGCTGGGAAGCAAAGAGTTAAGTGCAGTGGTGGGTGAGCCGGTAGAAGAGAGAGAGTTACCGTAGGAGATGTAGAGGCCGATGGTGGCGATACTAGTCGCTGCGGAGAATGCAACGCTGCTGCCAAGACTGGGCAAGCCAAGAAGGAAGCTGAGGGTGCAGGCGAGCCAGACTGCGCAGGAGAGCAGACAAATTTGGTTATCGTGTTGCCGCGCGGGATGGGATGGGCACAAGCTTACCAGTCCGCACAGGCGACCTCCACCGTTTATCAACGGAGTGGAAGAACTTGTGTCCGGGGATACCTCCGTCGCGAGCGAACGCATACATCATGCGCGAGTTTGACGTTACAGAGAATGTACTAGGAAGATCATCAATATCAATGTTACTTTTCAAAAAAACATCGGTCAAGAGAACCCTACCCGCAGAAGAACATAGCGCCAATAACGATGACCTGTTAATTTGACATGAATCTACATTCTTGCCCTGCATAGTCGGTCAGAATGGGAGGGCTCACCATGAGCACGATGGCGCCCTTCTCGCCAACCGTGTCGAGGAATATCTGTGTGACGGGCTGACCAGTGGCCGTCCCGACCGTGGCGTCATAGTCCTGCATGGAAAAGAGCAGGCCGAGGAGGAGGAACCAGCCGAGAACAGCTGAGACGCCGATGGCCATAACAATGCCTATAGAACCAGCCATCGCCGCGTTGTGGGTCTCCTCTGTCATCTAGGTTATCCAAGCGTCAGACGCCGTTCACAGGCACGAACAAAAACAAGTTAGTCAGTGTTTACTCACATGCGCGCTAGCGTCAAACCCTTCAAGTATTCAGAATGCAAAATTCAGCATGCATTCCGATTCGGTGAGGGAAATGGGGAAGTATCCCGAAGCGCCGACGCACCTGTGAGCGTATACTGCGCCATCAAAATGCCGACAACCACGACATACGCAGAGCTCGCGCGCTCTGACCATCCGGGCCCGTCGACGCCCGTGCCATCAATGAATTGTGTGAACACGTAACTGCCGGACTGGTGCGTCGGCGCCTTGACGAGAATCGCAATCACGAGCGAGACAGTGCCCACCGCATGCCACCAGACGGAGATGTTGTTGAGGTATTTGAGGCTGTGCACGCCGAAGGTGTTGATCATGCCTGGGGATCGAGGTGAGCGAGATTGCAAAGTGTGTAGGTGTTCACACGAAATATATGCGCATATGTGCACTCATCATGCGCAAAACTAGGGAAGGTAAAGGGGAGGAGCTTACGCACCTTGAGTGAACAGCACGGCGGCGTAAATCCCGATGGTAGTCTTGCGCGTCGGCTCAAAATTGGTCCCGAGCGTGCATGCCGTGGACAAAAAATTGGCGCACGCGAAGCTGCCCAAATGGTACATAGTCAACATAATGACCTATAAGAGCAGCTACTTGTACTATTTCCTTACGAACCTGATGCCTGTAGTGACCGCAACCTGTCCAAGCAAGCTATACGAGATGTCAGTCATCAAACACTTGCGGAAAGGGAAGTACATACTTGAACCAGCCCGTCACCCAAGATGCGAACGCCGCGTTCTGGGGCCTTGACAACATAGCTGCCCAGAAGTAAGGGCCACCGCTTGTGGGGTGAGCACTGCAGACCTCTAAATGAATCGATGATGGATATTACAGGCATGTATAAGGTTTGAAATACTCACCTGCCATAGCGAGCCCAACCAGCATCGTGAAGAATGCTGTTAAAGGAGTTAGATTCTAAACATTCTCAGCTTCGCTACATGCTGCGCATTCTCACCAACCACAACCCAGCCCCACACCATCACTGCGGGCCCGCCAGTAGTCTATGGTGCATGACGGTTCAGAAACGACGGCAAAAACAAACTCTGCGCACTCACCAAACCATAGGCGAACAGAGAGGGTATTCCGGTTATGACACTGATGATAGAAAACGAGAAGCCGAAATTCTGCGGAATCATTGCTCAGGCGTCAACAACCTACATGGCGGCGTGATATCGCAAACGCTCACCTGCAGCATGCTCAAATCTCGCCTTGATCACGACGAGGTGCGACGAATATCAGTCACAGGACTACATCTCGAAGGAAAAAAGAGAAAAAAGAACATACTTCAGCTCCTGCTTATACCCCATCCTCGCGAGCTCTGCCTCATCGGCCTCTCCGCGAGCAGCGGGCGCGCCCAATCCGACCTCGGCGACAGTTGTGTTGTCCTTCGAGGTGATTGAGGCAGGCATGGTCTATGGTTGAGGGGGAGGGACGGGGGCCATCAAGGAGTGAGTGGAGAATATTTAAACGGGACGGAGCAGATAACTGCAGATAAGGCCTCCGTTTGCGCCAGATAAGATTGGAAAATCACTTGGCCCCTTGATACTCACGTAAGATACCAGACCGATCAGCTACCAGATCCTCTCTCCCCGATCCATCTATTCCGCTGCGCATATTCGCCGGCCTCGATAGGCCCCTGGCCATCATGCACGATGATGGTCTACTAGTGGTCCCTCTTCTCGCCATCGTCGTGCAGACAAATGAACAATCTTGACGTGTTCGCCTTGGGGTACTCGGGAGGGTCTAGGACGTCCATGTCTATGGAGCGAGACTGGCAGCCAAGAAAATTTTGTCGACGTTTTTCATCGCCGGGTATGTACCCGCGGTTGGTACGTCCAGTCAGTCATTTCGATTCGACTACCCGGAGAATGCAACGAACATGCCATTCTCCTCGCACTACGCATTTACTGCTAGAAGAGCCTCTGATCGGTAATCAGTGCATCATTGATGTTGATTCGAGTCGTTGAATGCATCGTATTCCTCTTTCTCGATCAGTTTTCCCATATGCAACTGCTGTCAACAATCCTTCGCTTCTCTCTCCGCATCACTGGTGCTGAAAGCTGTTCAGGCGAGGTCGGGCGCCCCCTCGTTTAGACTGCGCAGGCCTGCCAGCACTGACCAGTGGCAGCGCCGGAGACATACCCGCAGATGCGGCATACACTGACGATGGCCATACCAGAAACTCTCGTCGCCTGTTTCAGCCCATATTTAAGTCCATTCTTGTGCTCCGTTGGGCGCCAAACTTCAGTCATCTCGATCAAAAGATCAAGGATGTCGTCGATGCCTTGGCTGCCCTCTGCATACCAACCCCGGCGATGTCAGTGCTGTTGCCGCAGAGATCCATGCAAAGAGTACTTGCACTATATATCTTGCTCCCAGCGCTATAGTTGATTCCCTGATCCTCACTTCCAAATCCTATGGAACAGCCTTACACAGATAGCACTGTCGACGAGCAGCGCATCTCCTTCACTCGATTCACCAATCTCGCGGTCGAAATCTACAATTTCGCTTGGACGGCATTTTATGAACGTTGATCGCTAGAGCCTGACGTCGAATATTTTGTCAATGAATTCATTCCTACGTCCGAGGCTACCAAGAACGTTGTGATCTACAGGAAATAGGCAATCTCTTCGGTACTCTTCGCAAGGCGATCACTCGCACGAAACCCGCAAATGCTGATACAAAAAGCATCGTTTCAATTCTCGGCCGCCTCAGTCTCATTCTTCACCTTGCCTTCACCACGCTCGTTGTTACATCGGTGCTGTGACGTCGGTCATTTTGATGTCACTTCCCCATTTCCTTCGCTGACCTCGTAACTACTGCGATAGCGATAGCAGACTCTACGCTTCTTCGGCGCTATTTCAAGGGAGTGGTGGGGTTTCATCACCTGATCAAGAACCTCCTCGACACCGCTTATTCTGCTAGGACCCGTTCTTGGTACACACAATCGCTCCGTGTCGTCCAGGCTCCCAACGCTCGCTATCCTTTCGAGGTCAACATGCACGACGATGCGGTGCTCAAACTCTTGAAGAAACACAAAGGAATAGAGGGTCCTCGCGCGGATCTGAATGCCCAGCAGAATAAGCGACTCGTCGAGCCAATGAAGGTGTTGTTTGACAGGCATAACCCAAAGGATGTGTCTATCAAGTCTACGGATGGCCAGACTATCATCTCCGGTTTGGCGCGGCCGCATAGCGCGCGCGCTCTGCTTGCGTTCATCGCGAACTCGGCGGATGCAAGCCCATATTCATACATCGGTTTGAGCTGCAAGCGTACCTGCTATGCGTTCTTCAGGGCGTATAACCGACCCGGCCCCAATCGCCTTTCTACATTCAAGGGATTGAAGTGGAATTTTACATCCTTTTCGTTTTTCCGACAACGAGTTCAGTGATGCAGTCCGACGCCGTATGAGTACCATGGTGGAGAATGATCTATGGGCAGATTGTGGTGCATCTCTCCTCAATTGGGAGATATCCGCTTTCTGGTCAGACAACGATGACGAAGAGAGTGTCTCTTCGGCTTAAACAACACTACGTTCGGCTCTACCTTCGGACACACACTGTATCGTTATAAATACATGAATGGAATCGTTAGCACCACTGCGGTACTCCTTCCAGGCCCCTTGAAAAATATACCACATTCAGAACCCGAGAGATCCTGAATACAGACTCTGCACAAGGATGAGCGAGTTCATCGGAGAGGAGAGAAAGAGGAAAGAGCAGACTCTCAGTCAGTCCGGCTATTACCGCTCGCACCCGCAACTAGTAACTTAATACAAGTCTAAACAACCCGATCGGCGTAGATCGTAGACCTTGACCGGTTGACCGCTTCTTCAAGCATATTTGAACTTCAACTTTTTGTTCTGCCATCTCACTTCTCACTTCTTTAACTCCAATCATAACTGATGAACGGTTTACAAATTGAACTCCCACCTGGCAACGAATTTGTTGCCTCTCCACAACATCAACCATCTCAACCGCCAGACGAAGGCGACATCTGCAGTGCCTACAAGTTCAAGGTCGATAACTGGAATTCGTTCAGTGAGCATCATACAATCATACAATCAGTATTTCAAGAAACGCACTCATCGGCTTTGCGACCGCCCAGCTCAGAAGCAGATATCCGCTGCGCAGTGCGCCACAGCAATCAAGTACGAAGCGCGCATCGTAGCTCAGGCCACTGCATCAGGTGCGTATCATACGGCGGTGCCAGCATGGGCCTTTTCTCCGGATGAACAAGGATACTCAGCTCATCGCCAATTTGAGTGGGCAGTGCGCCACCCTGGCTGGCACAAGTCCTGGCCCAGGCGTTGCAACCCATCCAGAATGAGATCCAAGGTCTTCGAAATGATATGACTACTCTTCGAAATGATATGACTGGCCGCTTTAATACAATCGAGAATAAATTCGCAGACCTGTCACTTCGTCAAGCTGATGTGCAGCGCGTTGCTTCCAAGGTGTGTTGCCTGTATGTCACGCAACACCATGACTCATGTTGCCTCCAGCTTTGGAATCAGAAGATGAACTTAGGCGTTGGGGACACCTTTCAAGAAGTTCCCTTCATTGATGGAACCTCACCTACAGTAAGCTGTATTCACTGCTGAGCCACACGCGGACGTTGTCTCTGATATCAAACTTCCTCAGCGAAATCACGACCTTCCACTCCTCTCCTCCGTGCAAAAGGTTCAGGACTTGAACCGCGATCTCTCCCGCAGATATCACCAGGGATACTTCCCCGGTGAACCTGTGCCCGCGCCCGCGCCCCGTGTGCAAGCAATTCTAGAGGCTATAGGTGTCTTTGAGTACAGCCCTGAGTAGTTTCCTTCCTTCGCTTTGTCGCACATCTGCTACCGCATCTTGTACATACTGCTCTCGATGATGTCTCGTGAATTCCAAAAATCTGTGATCACATCCTTCCAGCTCCTCGAGCGCTTTCACAGACGTGGAGCGCGCTCGAAATCAACAACAGCGGCAAAATTTCGAATGTAATCTTAGATGTTTCCGAGAGCGGAAGATGCTCACAGCAAACTCTACCTATTGCAGTCACAGTTGCTAAGCTATAGAGAATTCGACATCGCGGCCAGCAAAGATTACAGTCAACAATGCTGGATCCATGAGCATACAGTAAATTATATATAAGGAGCCTTCCATGGATCATCGTCATCTGCATCTTCTTCTTCCGAATCCAGATTGAACGATCTCCAATAGTCTTGCCATTCATCCCAAATTGCCCATAAATCATCTTTCACCATAGTGTTCGTTTGAAGTCGGATCACGTTGTGGAGATCGTGATCGGAGAATGCAGGGAAAGCAAAGGGATGTAGAATTGATATCTGGGCGATTGGATATAGAAAGGCAATTTCGGGTCCGCCCGATTGTATGCGCTGAAGAACGCATAGCAAGCATAGCAGGGATGCTCGCAGCTCAAACCGATGTATGGATATGGGCTTGCATCCGCTAAGTTCGCGAGGTACGCAAGAAGAGCGCATGCGCTGTGCGGCCGCGTTAAAGCGGACAGGATCATCCCGCCGTCAGTAGATATGTTAGTGACATCCTTCTTATGCGTGTCGAGCATGCACTGCATATTGTCGATAATGCACTGGTTCCACTGAGCATCCAAATCTTCACGAAAACTCTCCATGCCCTTGTGCTCCTTCCAGAGGCTCATCACGTAATTGTCGCGCATATCGACTCGGAAGGGCAGGCGAGTGCTAGGAATTTGGACAACACGAAGAGGCTGAGTGAACATTGATCGAGTCGCAGTAGAGCGAGCGATGTCGAGGAGAGCCTGGATTGGGCGATGGAAAGCTACAACTCCACTCAGATAGACTCAGATACGCGTCGAGCTGGTCTTCACTGTAAACATAGTGACGAGTCAATGTATGAATCATCTACTGAAGACACCTTCAAAAAGCGGTAAACTCACCAATGTTACAACATTGATGTATCAACGAGTCATCTTCAAAATCGTCGAGGTATGGCTGAAGAGTGGTACTCAGCAGACTGAGAGCCGAAACAATGCTCTTCATATCACCATTGGCGGGCTTCGAACAAGTGATTGCTTTGCGGAGGGTATCAAACAAATTTCCTATCCGTTGAAGGTCACGACGTTCGTCGTCTTTGATGATATCTATGGTCGTGACAGTGACTTGAGGGATGAATCGATCGACAAAATAGTCAGCAAAATCCGGCGCAAATCGTTCATGGAAAATCGCCCAAGAAAAATCGTAGACCGCTGCAGCAAAATCGGTCGCCGGCGACTCGAGCGAGGGAGATGTGCTGCTAGTCACCGGCGCTACTTGTCGGAGACTCCTCCATAGAATTTGAAAGTGGGACTCGAGGGGGCTGGCTATATCACTGGAACTGGCGAGATACAAAATGCAAGGACTCTTTGCGTGCATCTCTATGGCAGCAGCAGCAACGTCGCCGGGTTTGGAAATGCATAGGGCGGCCAAGGCATCGACGAGGTCCTTGATATGAGGATCAACATGATCAAGGTTTGATGACCAGCGTCGCATGTCGGGAGAAATTAAGGGTTGCAAGCAAGACACGAGGGTTTCTGGCGTATGCATCAGTGATATCTGTGTTGTAGCAGTGTCTCGGGCAACGGAGAGTGTTGCTCATATATATATAGTTCTTCGGAGTTTTGAATCAAGGATGGTATCCCAAAAATACAAGCGGCGCAAAAGCGCAGAATAGTGAAGTTTTACAATTTCTGCACTACCTCTGCCCAATCATGATGCATGCATGATCATTCTGTCCCTCATTGTCACTTGGCGTATCCTCTCGTATCCTGATGCAACATGGCGCAACCTAGTGTCCCTATGGTTCAGATCCGCCGCTAGATCTTCCACTTCATCGTAAACTGAGTGCTCTTGACAGCTTCTTCCCCATCCATGATCGATCTATCTTCTGATGTCAACTTCTGTAACATGGCGTATCATCTCGTACCCTGGTGTAACACGGCGCAACATGGCGTATCTGGTAATTCTCTGTTGGGTTTTTGACTCTTCTGACAAGCGCCACGACTGTGTGCGATTATGATCAATGACCGAGTAGCGGACATGATGGCGGACATGTGAGTCTTTAGTGGTGCCACTTGACGTTAGAAACAGCTGCGTCTTCCTGAATTAAACCTAATCCACATCCCGTTAGATCTTGAGAAGTATGGAACATCGATTCGCCTGAATTTGAGGTTTCAGCTTCGAGAAATTTCCGAGGTCATATATATATGGACAGAGGGCTCTCAGGTCCTTGCCTCCCGACATCTGGCAGTATCTGGCAGTATTATGGCAACTCCGGAAAGTCTCCTTACAGCTCTTTATCCATTCGTTCCTCTCCTCTCCTCGCAGAGAAGATTCAACCCCGATGTCAGCAAAAAAGTCCGTAGATATCTCAATGCGCTAGCCCTCATCAGCGTAGCACGCCCAGCAGGGGATGTTATTGCCGTAACTCTGGCTACGCGCAAGGAAGAGACCGCATTATACATTGCGACCAATGGGGGAGTATCTCAATCAGTCGTGGACCATCTTCGAGCTGTGTGGCGCTGCCTTCGACAAATATCTCGAGGTCCCGCTGGTAGTTCTTCAGACTCGAAAGGTTTCTCTCAAGAGTTGCGAATGGAGATTGTCCATCGGATCTATCACTTTACGTGGAAGAAATTTCAGCGTCGTTTCAATAAACGTGCACCTGTATTTCTGGAATCTGTTCGACGCTTGATTGGCGAAATGTCTGATCAGGACCCTGCTCTGCTGAAGAATATCGAGTCTAGTTTCCTGAAAATAGGAGCCCTGACACGGCTTGGCACTCCCGAAGACAGTGATATAGATTCTCTTGTGGAACAGCTCGATGCCATCCAATCGACTATCTCAAATCGTTCAAAGAGATCGAGGATCAAATTGCTATTAGATCTTGTTAGTGCAGACAGTACGTGCGCCGTGCATTTGCTATTCACCCGTCTCCTCGCATATAACGATTTATTCTACAGTGTATGGTACAATCCAATATGACGTTCGGCGGTATCTTAAAAAGGTTCTTGCCCTCCGTAACCATATCAATGACCTACTCTCGGTTGGATGGGACAAAAAATTCCAGTCGATGCTCTCTGCGCCCCTACGCATTGTTCCAATTCCGGCCATGTCTCGCCAATTTATGGTCAATTTAGACGATCCTGCTTTTGTACTCCATTGCTTTGGAAGCCAAGAGGAGGTTCATAAAGCGCGCCCCCGATGGATCAGAGATGTACTCAATAAAGTACGCTTGGAACTCACTAAAAAGAAGCACATCTCGACCTTGGGCGATGACACATACTCTTGTGCTGAGGTTTACACTCATTGCGAGTGCGCTTTGGTCGTATACCTCCAGGATCATTCTGAGGTAAATCCGATTCGTTTCATTGGTGTCTCTAAACTATGTTGCCAGGTCTGCTTCACATTCATCCGTGTCTACAAATTAAAAGGCCGGATCCGTTATCAATACGCGGGCACTCACGGGAAGATATATCTGCCATACGTGTTTCCTGAGCTTCCAGATGGCAACACCCCAAACTTGGATGCTGAGGTCAGAAACGAGATACTCAAGATTCTAACAGAAGATTTTCAAGAAGGCTGGACGCAGAAACATAAAGGCCGACAAGTCTCGGATAGCACAGCTGCATCGTTCATGACATCAGACGACGAGGAGTCTAAGAGGGCTGTTGACGAAAGCGAATCCACTTCATCTTTACGAATGACATTCTAACCTCCAGTTTCATTCCAGGGAGAGTAGAAGCCTCTTCGTACCACGACTGATGCCAGTATCAAATAATCGATCGTATAGTTTTGGGATCTGTGTACTTTTAGGCTAGTTCTGTCACGGGGACAACGAACCGTTGAATCGTGTGCTAATGAACACAGTGCTTGCGTGTCCATTGTACATTGTCTGTAAGAGGGTATATCATTGAGTACCTGGTTGAACATTAGCAAAGACCATTTTCACAGGACACGCTGAAAATTTGAGCTGGAAAGTCATTGATAAGTCCACCTCACTGGACGTTTAGAATCCGTGTAGTTTGCGTCTCCCCGACGGCTGGAGTCACACCATGAGCCAAGTAGCCACAACACCCCTCTTGCGCGAGCTCGACAGATCTCAACGAACTCCATCCACCATCGCACTGCAATGCTCTTCCATGGCTCTCTCGGAGACTTGGAAGCCAGAGTTCACGAGCGTGAGAGCCTGCGGCACGGTGTTGAAGATGAAGAGGAGCAGTCGGTTCCATTCAACGGTGCGGATTTGTATGCGGGAACTCGAGGTGCTGGGTACTGACGAAAAGATAGACTGAACATGACTGAAATGTCAGACGAGGTATTGAGCGGAAGGTTATGGTGTAGCTGACAATGGATTAGCCGACGCAACCACAAATATAGCATCTGAAAGAACACCATAAATGTGTCTGCTACGCCGAAGATATGCTCGATTCATTAGCGCTATCGTCGGCGTCAGCGTCGTCTGTCCAGCGACCGTATTCATACCACTCCGTTAGGCATTCATCCCAGACTATCCATAAATCATCCTCCACCATGAAGTCGTGGTCGGAGAATGCAGGGAGAACGAAAGGGATGAAAACCCCGATTTGGGTCCTAGTGTATAGAAGGGCACTCTCGAGTTCGACTGGTTGTACGCACTCAAAAACATATAGCAAGCGTAGCAAGGGTGATTGAAACTCAGGCCGATGTAAGAAAATGGGCTCGCGTCCGCCGAGTTCGCGAGGTGTACAACCAGAGCGCATACGCTGTGTGGCCGCACTGAAGCAGACAGGATAACCCGGCCACCTGTCGAGACGATGGACACATTCTCCCACTTGCTACTGTCGACCATGTCTAGTATGGGATCGATGATATGGCTGTTCCATTGGGCATCCAGATCTGCATCAGGATTCTCAATACCTTTGTGGTCCTTCCAGAGACGTAGCACGGCATCGTGCATGTCTACTTCGAAAGGGAGGTGCGCGTTAGGGACTTGAATGACACGGAGCGACTGTGTGAACCATGAACGAGTTATGGCAGAACGAGCGGTATCGAGGAGGACTTCAATAGGGGGTTGTAAATCCAGGACGTCATCTAGATAGAGCCAGACAAATGTTGTGCTGACATTTTCTACTGAGAGATCAGGAATCAGAGTCAGCGGAAGACGCGTGATAGATGCAAGCTCAACTTACACGAATCACAGCACCGTCGCACCAGTGCGTTTGGTGGGAGAAAATCGAGATAGGGCTTGAGAGTGGCATTGAGTAAGCCGAGAGTTGCAACTATCTTCTTCATATCAGCATTCGCGGGATTCGTGGGCGTGACTATCTTGCGTAGGGTATCGAAGAGATTCTCTGCTGTCTGCAGATCGCGACGTTCCTTCTCGCTGATTTTAGCACCAAACATAGGGTCAGTGACTTGAGAGATGAAGTCAGTGACAAAAGACTCGGCGTTCTTCGAGAATCGATCATAGAATGCCGTCCAGACGAAATTATAAACTTCGACGCCGACATCGATCGCCGGCGAATCGAGCGAGGGGGATGCACCGCCGGTCGACAGCGCTACGCGTCGCAGACAATCCCATAGGATCTGGAAGTGAGATTCCAGAGAGTTGTCCTTATCGCTAGCAGCGATATAGATAGTGCAGGTACTCTGTGCATGGGTCTCTAAAGCGACTGCAGCAACATCGCCGCGTTTAGATATGCTCAGGGCGGTCAAGGCGTCGACGATGATCTTGACCTGAGGTTCGATATGATCGAGCTTCGGCATCCAGCGGTACATCGTGAGAGGAGAAACGGGCTGGAAGCAAGCAATGAGAGTCTCTGGTGTAGCCATTGCCGATATTCGTGTCTGTGGTGATGTCTCTGTTTGGCAGAGAGGCTGCGGAGTCTGAACAGTGGCGCCACGGAAGATCCGTCAGGTACCACACGCCACGGCACTGCCACGGCGTGGCGTGGCGCAGCCCAAACGTCCCAAACTTCTCAGGCTCCGCCGCTGACCTCCCCAACCTTATCCTCTGTCAGTCCCTGCCAGTCCTCTGCCCTGCGGGACCCTGACCACCACGCCGAATACTTTCTCTCACGGTCCTCATAAGGTTTTGGGTCAGGACTCCTTTCGGGGGTGGATGGTCGGTATCGTGAGGAAGTGGAGGATGGAGGAAACATGTCCTGATGGTTAGACGAGTGTCCGTCATCTAGTCTGATGTGGTGTTTTTATTTGCGAGTTTTCATGAATTTCTTTCAGCGATTTTTCAAAAGGTCTGATAAGTTCTCGGTAGCGAGAGCCCTCCTGAGGTTCTTCGAGACTCGGTGGTCAAACAGTGCCGCAGGCCCCTGGATCATGCAGAAGTCAAACCAGAGTTGACCCCCTTGGTCCGACATACTTCTGCATACTTCTTCGTATTGTGATCGATTCTGATCGATTCGTCTGCTCTTGTCTAGACGTGCGGCGCAACCTGGCGCATTGCGCACCCGCTGATCAGATCCGGTGATGATTAATAACTGTTTGGCGCTTCTTTAGCGTGAACGGCACGTCGAAGGCTGTAGGGAGTCAGAAGCACTACAAAATGGCGGTAGAAGCTCAGTGAGTAGTGGTGAGGCGCCACGATACGTGGTGCCTAATTACAGCTGTTTGCGGTACATAGGGCGCGGCGCGTTTTCTCAGGATTTTGTCGATTTTTGTACTGTAGCACAGAATAGCCATAGCTCTCTAAATACTGACTCAATAATGATGAATCTTAGTTTGTTGGCCTTGCATTGAGTATTTGCAGGGCATGAACTCAGTCTCAGTGTGATTTGGTCTATTTTTGAGGTTGGCGGAAAATGCACCCTATCGGACACTGCGCGCACCGTTGAAGCCTCATTTTGAGCGGTAGAGGTCCAAAATTGATATAAAGGTATCCCGAGGGCACCAGGTGATTTTTTCTCTATGTTTTGAAGGACACCGCTGCTTTGTCTAAAATTTGCAAGTGTCACAACCTAGTTGGCGGTGTGACGTCATCAGGATCTTTGCCTCACCACCACCATCCCTCAACTGCAATCCCTTTTCCCTTTGTCATCATGACCTGATGCCCTTAGGATACCTTTCAAGACCAACATATATCAATTTTGGACCTCTACCGCTCAAAACGAGGCTTCAACAATGCATGCAGTGTCCAACAGGGTGTATTTTCCACCAACTGTTATGATCACGTTCTGTCGGGCCTTAACAGCGGTCTATTCCGACACGATCATCACAAATATCAAGCGGCCTCACAAGTTGAGGTGTACAACAAGGTACAGATAATAACCTTGGTCATCTTCTCCCAACGGATCACCTTATCATTGGTCGAGTATCATGAGCCATATTGCGTGCAGGCATAGAATGCCGCTTTACAAACTACTCACACACGGGCATTGAGCTCCTAGTCTTTCCTGGCCGGAAGGAGACGAACGGAGAAGCATAAGAGTAGTCGTTATTGAGAGAGACGACTTAGAGAATACCTACAGATACATATACAGTATTCTCACACCCTATTTCCTAAAGTAGTATAAAAGGCCCATAGAGTAGGCTGAGGATCTTCAGTCTATTTTCTTCGTTTGCTGTAGTCTTCCCACTACAGCCCTTCGTTCTACTGCAGTCTTCCTACTGCAGTCTTCGTTCACTGTAGTCTTCCTACTACAGCCTTTCATTCTTAGGCAGTCTTTGTACTGTCAACTTCATTGCTACATTGCAATACATCTCTGGCTCCTGTGCTACATGTACAGTCAAGACCATCGTTCCACACATCCTCCTCGAGTGACCTAGGGAAGAACCTCCTACTCTTGGGGTTACCGAACGAGCAGTTCGTAACACCAACCTCAAAAATAGACCAAATCACACCGAGACTGAGTTCATGCCCTGCGGATACTCAATGCAAGGCCAACAAACTAAGATTTACATCATTGAGTCAGTATTTAGAGAGCTATGGCTGTTCTGTGCTCTGGTACAAAAATCGACAAAATCCTGAGAAAACGCGCCGCGCCCCATGTACCGCAAACAGCTGTAAAGTTCTCATGGCGCTTTCTTCGAGAGTCCTTTAGTTTCACCGCGTGCTGGAGCGGGAGGTTGGCTCGTTCTCAGATTGTCCGACATCTACGACGTCCTTGATCTGAGAATCAACATGATCAAGATTTGATGGCCAGTGTCGCAGGGGAATTATGGGTTGCAAGCAAGACAACTGCAAGACACGAGGATTTCTGGTGACCTCATCGTCATCGAGGTTTGTGTCTCTGATGCCAAGAGCCTGGAAGAAGCAAATTTAAACATGCTGCGCCAGTGCGCCTTCTTGCTAGCGGGTTCGACCTGATCCGCCGTGGGTGGCAAACTCGACGTTACTCGTCGCACCTCAAGAGCTACCGTTTGAAATTGGTGCATCTCAAAAATGTCAGGAGGATTGAACGTGAGGAAACTAGTAGGTATGTTTGCATTTGGTTTACAAGTTTACACATCGACTAAAAGCAGTTTCCACAAGCACATTAATGCAACAGTGTCTAAGCCGACGGAGAGTTCGTCTCACTGTCGTCAGCGCCAGCGTCGTCGTCCGTGCCAGCGTCGTCGTCCGTGCCAGCGTCGTCGTCCGTGCCAGCGTCGTCGTCCGTGCCAGCGTCGTCGTCCGTGCCAGCGTCGTCTATCCAGCGACCGTACTCATACCACTCCGCTAGGCATTCATCCCAGGCCATCCATAAATCCTCCTCCACCACAGTACCTAATCGGCGTCTGACCATATCGTTGAAGTCGTGGTCGGAGAATGCCGGGAAAGCGAAAGGGATAAAGAATTTTGATTTGGGTCCTAGTGTATAGAAGGGCACTCTCGGATTCGACTGATTGTATGCGCTCAAAAACATATAGCAGGCGTAGCAAGGGTGATTGCAACTCAGGCCGATGTAAGAAAATGGGCTCGCGTCCGCCGAGTTCGCGAGGTATGCAACCAGAGCGCATACGCTGTGTGGCCGCACTGAAGCAGACAGGATAACCCGGCCACCTGTCGAGACGATGGACACATTCTCCCGCTTGCTACTGTCGACCATGTCTAGTATGGGATCGATGATTCGACGATCCCACTGGGCGTCCAGATCTGCACGAGGACGCTCCACGCCTTTGTGTTCCTTCCAGAGGCTGAGCACGGCATCGTCGTGCAAGTCTACTTCGAAAGGGAGGTGCGCGTTAGGGACTTGAATGACACGGAGCGACTGTGTGAACCATGAACGAGTTATGGCAGAACGAGCAGTATCGAGGAGGACTTCAATAGGGGGTTGTAAATCCAGGACGTCATCTAGATAGAGCCAGACAAATGTTGTGCTAACATCTTCTACTAAGAGATTAGGAATCAGAGTCAGCGGAAGACACATAATAGATGAAAGCTCAACTTACACGAATCACAGCACCGTCGCACCAGTGCGTTTGGTGGGAGAAAATCGAGATAGGGCTTGAGAGTGGCATGAAGTAGGCTCAGTGTTGCAACGATCTTCTTCATATCAGCAATCGCAGGCTTCGTGCGCGTGACTATCTTGCGTAGGGTATCGAAGAGATTCTCTGCTGTCTGCAGATCGCGACGTTCCTCTTCGCTGATTTTAGCACCAAACATAGGGTCAGTGACTTGAGAGATGAAGTCAGTGACAAAAGACTCGGCGTTCTTCGAGAATCGATCATAGAATGCCGTCCAGACGAAATTATAAACTTCGACGCCGACATCGATCGCCGGCGAATCGAGCGAGGGGGATGCACCGCCGGTCGACAGCGCTACGCGTCGCAGACAATCCCATAGGATCTGGAAGTGAGATTCCAGAGAGTTGTCCATATCGCTAGCAGCGATATAGATAGTGCAGGTACTCTGTGCATGGGTCTCTAAAGCGACTGCAGCAACGTCACCGGGTTTAGATATGCACAGGGCGGTCAAGGCATCGACGATAACCTTGATCTGGGGTTCGAGGTCGTCGAGCTTCGGCGTCCATCGGTGCATAGTGCGAGGAGAAACGGGCTGAAAGCAAGCGATGAGAGTCTCTGGTGTAGCCATTGTCGGTATTCGTGTCTGTGGTGATGTCTCTGCTTGGTAGCAGTCAGAGTCTTATAGCACTCTTATACTAGTAGGCTGCGGAGTCTGAACAATGGCATCACGGAAGATCACGGAGTATCAGTTGAAGATCAGCAGGCCTTCTGCAGGGACCACACGCCACGCCGTGGCGTGGCACTGGTATGGCGTGGCGTGGCGCAGCTGAAACTTCCGGAACTTCTCAGCGTCTTCTCAGTCTCCGTTGCAGACCATACGAAGAGTTCTTACGAACTTCTGCAATACCCCTGACAGCCCACGCCGAATGTGTGTTTTACCCGCCCATTATCACAAGACCTTGGATGTTCAGATCAATAGCGGAGCCCTTTCAGGGAGGTGGACGGCCGGTATTGTGAGCCTGTGAGGAGGTGGAGAATGGCGGAAACATGGCCCGGTGCTCAGACGAGTGTCTGTCATTTAGTACGATGAGGTAATTTTGTTCGTAAATTTTCATAGATTTTCAGTAATGTTTCAAAAGGTCTGATAAGCTTTTCGGTAGTATGTAGCGAGAGCTCTCCCGAGGTTCTTTGAACCCAGTGGTCAAACAGTATCGCAGGCCCCTGGATGCGGAAGTTAAACTAGAGCTGGTCCCCTTGATCGGACATACTACTCCTGCATGCTTCTCTATATTGTGATCGATTCTGATCGATTCGTATTCTACTGTATAGATGTGCGTCACAACCTGGCGCAACCTGGCACAATTTCTCGTACCTGGCGTATTGCGCAACTGCTGATCAGATCCGGCGATGATCAATGATTGCCTAGTGATTCTCAAGCGTCAACGGCACTTTCAGAAGCTGTAGGAAGTTGGAAGCACTACGAAACAATAGAAGCTCAGTGAGTAGCGGTGAGGCTAGTCTCCCAAAGGCAGCAACGTTGACGATTCTCCTTCAACCTCCGACGTGGTCTCCGGATATCCGTATCTGAGGTACCACGATACATGGTGCCGATTGCAGTTCTCATGGCGCTTTCTTTGAGAGTCATTCACAGTTTCACCGCGTGCTGGAGCGGGAGGTTGACTGGTTCTCAGATCGTCCGACATGCCGCCCCATGACCCCACCAGAAGCCTCTCTTGCAGCTCTCTATTCTCCCCTCTGCTTTCGACATCTGATGCAAGAAGGTCGGACCCCGGTGATGCCCATGTTGAGGTGAAGTATCTCATTACCGCGCTGGCTGCTATTAGTGTAGCGCGACCTCGCCAAGATGCCATAGTCATTACTCTGGATCCGCGCTCTGATAGGACCGAAATACATCTCGTGACTAACGGAGCTGCGGATGACTCGGTCAAGACACTTCCTCGCGATCCAGCATCATCTCAGAACACTGCGCACAGACGTTTGCACTTGACCGCTGAGTGGCAGATTATCGCTCGAATTTATCGGTTCACTTAGCAGAATTTACAGTAACGTATCAAAAATGGCGCAGACACGTGCACGCTATATTTCCAAGACGCATTGAATCTCAAGGGCTTGTTTACCAAAGATGAACTTGACTCAAAAAAATCGAAGTCACACTGCTCAAAAGCCCCTTTGACCTCTCTCGCAAAGCTAATCGACACATTGAGTAGGAGACTCGGGCCTCTCCTATCGGACGATGGGGAGGAGAAGCTGTCTCCAAAAATTCGGTTGTAAGTGAACTTGCCGGCACCCATTTTCACAAAATTGATGCCATGTGTTCCGGACGCAAGCGGGACTTCCTCGATGTGGAACGGTATATGGTAAAAATTGTATCTCTTCGTAATTCCATCAACGCCCTGTTCCAGATCGCTCCAAACAAGAGATTCCAGGAATGGCTCTCAACACCGTCGAAGAAATCCTTGATCTGGGGTTTGAGATGCTCGAGCTTCGGCATCCAGCGGCACATAATTCGAGGAGGAAGAGGCTGTAAGCAAGCGATCCGAGTTTCTGGTGCAGCCATCGATGGAAGCAGCCACTATGAAGGTAGTGAGAGTTGTTGACCAGATGTTGAACACCGCGCCACGTCGCGTGGGAGCCGTGTTGTCTACACGTGCAAATGATTTACAGATGCCGTTTTTTCTCGTGTGCGCATACGAGGACACTCTTTATTTTTACTATCATAACGAGACCCAGCCTAACGCTGTTTACTCAAGCGCCGAAAAGACACCCTCTTCGTCATCGTCGTCTGACCAGGTCGCGTATGTCTCCCAATCTGTGCGACATTCATCCCAAACTGCCCAAAGATCGTTCTCTACCATAGTACTCATACGATGTCGCACCGCATCATTGAATGTGTTGTCGGAAAATGCTGGAAAAACGAAAGGGATGTAAAATTCCAATTTGATCCCTTTAATATCGAAAGGCAACTTCGGGTCCGACAGGTTGTACGCGCTGAAGAATGCATAGCAAGCGTAGCAGGTATGCTTGCTGCTCAATCCGATGTACAAATAGGGACTTGCATCCGTCAAGTTCGCGATGTGTGCAAGCAGAGCGCACGCGCTGTGCGGCCGCGCCGAACCAGAGATGATAGTCTGACCGTCCGTGGACGTGATAGACACGTCCTTCGGTTTGTACCTATCAAACAACACCTTCATCGGCTCAACAAGTCGCTTGTTCCACTGCGCATCCAGGTCTGCGCGAGGACCCTCAATTCCTCCGTGGTCCTTCCAGAGGTTGAGCACGGCATCGTCGTGCATGTTGACCTCGAAAGGATAGCGAGTGTTGGGAACCTGGACGACACGGAGTGATTGTGTGTACCAAGAACGGGTGTTAGCAGAATGCGCGGTGTCAAGGAGGATCTTGATCAGGCGACTGATATCCACCACTCCCTTTAAATAGTCCCAAAGAGGCTTGGAATCGGCTTCCACTATCATAGTAATTACGAGGTTAGCGAAAGGCGTATGGAAGTCACAATAAACTGACCGATGTCACAGCACCGATATAACAAAGAGCCTGGTGAAGGAAAACCAAGGTAAGGCCGAAGAACAATACTGAGGCGTTCGAGCATTGAAACGATGCTTTTCATATCAGCATTTGCGGGTTTCGTCCGAGTGATCGCCTTGCGAAGAGGGTCAAAGAGGTTGCCTACTTCCTGTAGGTCACGACGTTCTTGGTCGTTTATCGTTGCCTTGGACGTAGGGACAATGACTCTAGGGATGAATTCATTGACAAGATATTCAGCATCAGCATCTGGCGCGAAATGTTCATAAAACGCCGTCCACGCGAAATCGTAGACTTCGACCGCGAGATCGATTGCCGGTGAATCAAGCGAGGGAGAAGCGCCGCTGGTCGACAGCGCTATCTGTTGAAGACTGGCCCATATGATTTGGAAGTGAGACTCCAGAGACTCGGCTGTATCATTGGCGGCGAGATATATGGTGCAAGCACTGTTTGTATGGATTTCTATGGCTGCGGCAGCATGATCGCCGGGCTTTGATATGCAGAGGGCGGCCAAGGCATCAACGACATCCTTGATATTGTGATCGAGATGACTGAGGTCTGGCGTCCAACGACGCATAATCGTAGATTCATATATGGGCTGGAAGCAAGCAACGAGAGATTCCGGGGTAGCCATCTTGTCTATGGGGTGTCTCTGTCAAGTAGTGGTAAGTCCGAGTATATAAAGGCCTGCGGAGTCTGAATGAGGGGACGCAGGGGGTGCCTAATGACCGTAGAAATGACACGCCACTACTACGCCACCGATACGCCACTCCGTGGCCTTCTAGGTCCTTCAAGTTGTGATTATCAACGTGCAGCGTAACCTAGCGTACTCATGGCGTCCGGTGCGTAACCGCGTACCTCGCATCCAGTGCCTAACCTGACGGAATTTGCTGTAATCTGCTCGAATCTCGACAAATCCGGCGACAATCGAATTGTTTAGTGATTCTTCTTAATCACGATTGCGACTTCAAACGATGCTTCAGTGTCAGCTTCTGACAAGTGCCACGACACGTGTATGGAATCAGGCTGAGCACTGACTGAGTTGGCTGGCAGCGCGAACGCATCTGCCGTCTTGATGATCTATTGATCACTTCCCTGACATCTGAGGCTATCTGGTGCTGCGGCTTCTGCTTCTTTCTGAGACTTTCTTCGTGTTTCAAATCATTCAATATCTTGGGAAGTAATACAGAAGCTTGTTCGTGTCTGACATCAGGCCTGGAGGCCTTGAGGCTTGAGGGTCCATGTCGCTATAAATACGACTGGACAGACAGGGATCAACGTATCAACGTCCATCAGCTAGCTCCAATGGCTACTCCAGAGGCTTTCCTGTCAGCTCTCTACCCATTACTTCCCCTGTTTTCCACATCTAAATCGGCACGATCTCTCTCTGGTAAGGTCGACGGCCAGGTCAGGGTAGCTCTCGATGCGCTAGCTGCTATCAGCGTTGCGAATGGGACAGGAGATGTTGTCGCTGTAGCTCTGGATGCGCGCCCTCACGAGACTAAGTTGTACGTTGCGACTAACGGGGACGTGAAGCATGAAGTCGAGGATCATCTTATCTCTGTATGGTCCTGCCTTGGACGCATCGCTAAACTTGCCAATGGTAGACATTCGACTACTTCCTCAAGTGATATTAATGCCCATCGGATGGACCTCACCCTTCAAATCTATCGCTTCTCTCGAAAGAAGTTCCGATCTGAATTTGAGAAGCACTCCGAAGAGTTTTTGAGGGTATTCCCACAGGGTCACACATCATCTGTTTGGAACTCACTGTTTGACCGAGATCAATACGAAGTACTCGGATATATCCAATCCACTTTCAAGTCCATCACGGACTCAGTCAAAGTAGAAAAGCCCACAGACAATCAAGTACACTCTCTTGCGGGCCTTGTCGACAAGCTCGGTGAGAAGCTTAAACGTCATTTAGATGAAAAAGTGGATGACTCGCTCTTAGATCGACTCCATGCCCATGGTGCGTGCATCCGCCACTTGACCATTTCCTTGATGTTGACGCACTTTTACAGTGAACACAAAGATATTTCTTGAGGTCAGGCGTTACCTGCGAAAAGTTCTTTCTCTTCGTAATCACATCGAAGTCTTACTGCAAATTGCATGCACCAAGAAATTTCGGTCGTGGTTTCTACCGGTTATGTCCGTTGTGAAAGTCCCGGGCATGTCTCAGTCTTACGCAGTCGACATGGGCAATCTCTATTTCACACAGCAATGCTTTGGTAGCCGAGGGCAATTCGAGTCAGTACGCCCTCGATGGAACACAGAAGTATTGGAAGTGGTACGCTCGGAGCTCATAAACAGGCACTGCTCAGTCTCAGGCCATGGCCAAAACACGTTTACTTTCGCTCGAGTCTTCATTCATTGCGAGTGTGCATTGGCCGTATACATCGATGATCACCCTGGGGCGAAGCCATTCCGGTTCATCGGTGTCTCTAAGCTATGCTGCCATGGATGCTATACCTTCCTCCGGGCCTATAACAAGAATGTTGGCAGTCCCTTTGAATTCAAGGGCACTCACGGTAAAGTGTATTTACCATACGTGTTTCCCAAGATTCCATCTAGGAGCACGTTAGTCTCGAATGCTGCGATCAGACGCGACATGCTCAAGATTCTCAAAGATGATTTTCATGTTGCTTGGACGCAGCCTCGTAGAGGCCGACGATATTCAGACAGCACAGCTGCGTCACCTCCTCCACCGGACACGGAGCAGGAAGACCAAGGGGACCATTGATTAAAGTAGGTGTGCTTCACTCATATAAATAGCGATTCTTCTAACCCCGATATCGTTTCCAGTAAGAGCAGAAGCCTGCTAACCACATGCGAATGGTTGTTTTTCTGTCACTGACAACTGAATGGCCATATCGCACAAGGCACAAGGATTTGGATTTGTGTACTGTTAGGCTTGGATTTTGTCACGACGATATAGATGCCGCTGAATTGTGTGCTGATGTACTGAAGACGTTGCTTATATGTGTCCGTTACCCATTGTCTGTTTGAGTGTATATCGTGAAATGATTTTGAACAAGGATCACCTTCGAAGGACATGCTGAAGCGCTGAAAGTATGAGGTGAACCACGTAGCTGATATGACCGTCTCATGGATTAAAGGCGCACTGCAACCATCTCGACCCTGCCGCGCGATCAAGTACACGACTATTCTGGCAGTTTACCATTAGCGTTTCATTCTCGAGGACATACTGCATTGGCTTGATGATTCGACGATCCCACTGGGCGTCCAGATCTGCACGAGGACGCTCCACGCCTTTGTGCTCCTTCCAGAGGCTGAGCACGGCGTCGTCGTGCATGTTCACTTCGAAGGGAGGCGCGCGTTGGGGACTTGGACGACGCGGAGGGGCTGTGCGAACCAAGAACGGGTCTTATCAGAACGGGCGGTGTCGAGGAGGACTTTGATAGGACAATGTAGCTTTACAACGGCATTCAAATAGGGAAGAAGAGACGTATAGGCTGTCTTGAATTGGCAGATAATCAACAGTCAGGGTAAGATTCGGCGAAAGAAGGCTTTGACTGGAAGGGGCTTACCTGTTTGAGCGCTCCTGTATATCAACAGTCCGGAGTCGTCGAGGTGCAGCAGGCCGAGAGTCGAAACGATGTTCCTCAACTCAGCGTTCGCGGGCTTCGTGCGCGTGACCGTCTTGCGAAGCACATCAAAAAGATCGCCTATGTTCTGGAGATCGCGCCGCTCTTCGTCGCTGATAGTCTCACTCTCCGAACTGTGACCTGAGGGAAGAACTGCGTGCAATAGTATTCAACCTCGGGCGCGAAGCGGTCATAGAACGCCGCCCAAGCAAAGCCGTACACCTCGACTACGAGATCGACCGCCGGCGAATCGAGCGGGGGAGGTGTGCTGTTCGTCGAGAGCGCCACCCCCTGAAGGCTCCTCCATACTAGGGTCTGAAAGTGGGACTCGAGGGAGCCAACCGCATCGTCAGAAGTGGCGAGATACAAGACGCACGGACTGCCTGAGTGGACCTCTATGGCCGCAGCGGCAAAGGTGCCAGGTTCGGATATGCAAAGAGCGGTCAGTGCATCGACGACGTCCGTCATCTGGCTGTTGATATGCTTGAGGTTGTCCCTCCAGCGGTGAATACCTGCATCAAATGTGGATTGGAAGCAAGCAACGAGTGTTTCTGGGGAAGCCATCGGCATTGGTAACTTAGTGTACGCGGAGGTCAAGATGAAGCTCGCCGAAAAAGAGCTCAGGGGGATTGCCCAGTTCGGCAATGGCCGACGCCACTTTTTCTCACGTTCATTGTGCTCCGGCTCCGGGCATCTTTTTATTTATTTATTTTTAAATCAAGTATTTATATTCCGCGCAGCGTAAGAGGACCCCTGAAAATAGGTGGGGAGGGCACAACCCCCATCCGAACGAAAATTTGGGAAAAAAGGGCGAAAAAGCTCAGTCAAGTCCGGACAAAAGTGCCCATCCGCAGAGGTAGGCCTGAGGGGCTGTCCGGATGTTGGGGGTCAATATTGGTCAAGGCCTGATTTTGAGTCTGACTAGAAAGTTTGTCCGTAGCTTAGTGGTAGAAGCTGCTGGCAGTGGGGTAATAGAATCTTAGGATACAGAGTTCGACTCCGGCAATGAGCATTTTGTTTGAGGTCTTCAAAGACCTTTGAAGGCACATGTGCTGATTGCATCACTTTGCAGCGCCTCGTTCTTATAGCTTCTTACATGTAATAAGTACTTCTTGGTATTCATCTCGAGTGCATCCCTCTCGTTTGATATTCTTTTCCCTTTAAGCTCTTCGCAACCTGCCATCCTTGACTAGCCAGACTCCTTGACCTAGATTACTTGGTAGTCCTCAGTAGTATAGTACAAGCATGCTGATTTGTCAGCTCCTGTTACCATGTCAATAATACTCTGCAGTAATCTGCAAAGACTGTCACACATTGTTCATTTATTTTCCACAATGGCCAACATTGCCATCGATATCTCAGACACTACCTCTGAAACAGAAGCCAATCCTCAACATACTATTCTAGCACAATATGCCCATATTCTCCCTCAACAGCACCTATCAGTAATTGACCTCATCCACTGCACCAATCTCCCTAGCCAATCGTCCGCCATAGTACTTCTACAAGCAGCCAATGCAATTAGCATGGCATCTCCTCGAGGCTACATTGGCATTCTTATAGAAGAATGCTTGATCCCTCCTCCTTCCTGGCTAACCAAGCTCAACAACTGCTATGCATGAGCAGCAGGACAAAATCCCTCCTCGATAATTAACCCCTTTTTCAAAGATGTTCAGTGGCCATTATGGATCCTCCGAATGTGGCAAGAACTCACCAAAGTTCACAAGAACCATGTGCTATGGTTAGCTGCCCAGAAATGGCTTGCACTGTTCAGTATACAGGGAATCGATTCTAAGGCACAGAAGGAAGTACAGATTGCACAAACATTGCTGATGTCGCTTCTGTGGGGATCACCTCTTCGAGCATTGGGAGGTTTGGGATCCATCAGCGATCTTGCGACACTCCTGTCAAACAATTGGTTAGGAGATGAGGTCATCGATATGCTTCTTTTAGATATGCATCTTCGGGTTTGGTCGCATTCAACCAAATCAGCAGCTGATTCTTAAAGAAGTCTTGGGATCAGTCAAACATGTTGCGCCGTTATGCTCAGGAGGTCCATACCAATGGTCGGGAACGTATATATATGGCGGCATTTGTTAGTGGGAACCATTGGATTGCGGTGTGCATTGACTTTAAAGAAAAATGCATTAAATATGGTGCGTTGATGAGCATGGGTATGCTCTAGGCACCAATACCCCACTTTTCGCAGCTTTTCAGTATTCTTTGACCGTTCGGCGTACTTAGGACCGACCGGTCCCGATCTGTTCGGCGATCTCAGCCATTTGTCAGAGCTCCCAAGTTTCTAAATGGTTTACCCATGTGGCATGTGGTTCTTATCTCCAGGTCCATGTGGACTCACCTTGGCAATCTCTCCGCTTATTTAGACTTTAGAGTTATTGCTTCTTATCTTATAGTGTTTGCAACATCACTCCCTTATCTTCTTTACCTTTGATCACTCTTGGCACGCATTTCCGATTGCTCTATGCCTCTGCCGATCTCCTTATCTTGTACCTGTTCGGACTTACTATAAAAGGGCACCTATGGCTTTGCAATACATCAGCTTTGGCTCCCCCCTTGTTCCGATTCCATTTGTGTGCTTGTGTCTATAAGACTTTGAGCCATTGCCTTCCGATCCTTGTTAGCATTTTGCCCTTTTGTTTGTGTTGTTGCGTTCGATTGCAGCCCTCCATCAGAGCCCTCGTTGTTTTGCTCTCTCCCTCTCATCTAGTTTGTCATCCTCTGCCAGTGTCCAGTGTGGCCTTGCACCCATTCCCTTCCCTTTGCGTCCCGATCAAATCCCGATCAAACATCGACCGACCAACCAACCAACCTACCGACCGACCAACCTACTGACCGACCAACCTACCAACCGACCAACCAACCTACCGACTTACCAACCGACCGACTTACCGACCGACCAACCGACCGACTGACCTACCGACCGACTGACCAACCAACCAACCAACCAACCAACTGAATATTTTGATTTTGGAGTTGTTTGTTCACTACACTCCGAACACTTTTAATACGCTCCCTTGTTGGTTGTTGCACAGCTTATAGTTCCTTGCACACAAGAACCAGCTCCTGCCTGTCTGCGCTTGTAGGGGTGTTTCTTGGGTGTGTTTCGCACTCAGAGGCATCACTAGCGTAACAGCGTGAATTCGAGTCTTGATGTGACTTAGCTTGACAATTGTGCTTGCAAGGGACTCGCTGTTGACAGCTAGCGCATGGCGAATTGTCATGAGGAATTTGCAAGGGTGGCTGAAACAAGCCTTTAATATGAAGTTTTGCAACGGAGGGAATTCACTGGCCTGTGGTCAACAGCTGGATAGCAACTCATGTGGTATCTGCACAATCAATGCTATTGAGCATAACCTCTTTGATATGGAAAAATTCACGCATGCAAAGCGGAGGTATTGGCGGATCCATTATTTTATTTGTCTGTCAAAGGCCCATAATGATTATTCAGTGAGTACACCCAAGAGCTTTCAAGGCAAGATCAAACTCACCTATGTTCATCTAGGTCATGCAATCCCAAAACAACCATGGTTTCTTCCCGATGGGTCTGCTAGCTTTGCTGGAGGATATAATCGACTCTCCGCCATTGCCGCTTGATATCACCAATCATGCTGACTTAAAAAGCGTGCTCAATAGTGCAATTGTTGTCATGCCATCTATCTTAAAACCGGTCAGCGTGCTGTCTTCACCCATAGAAGCCCTTGTGCAACTTGGTTCCGAAACCCTTGCTGTTACTTCTCAAGAGACCATGCATAACATACTGATGGATGACGCACCTCTGTCCACATTTGACGTGGGTCTTGACAATTCATCAGGTAGATTACAGGTGAAAGGGGCTGTCGAGATTTTCATGGGGGTTGTGGATGAATCCTTGGAAGAGAGTCCTAGGGTGGACAGCATTGCTGCATCTCAGAAGAGGTCACAATCAAAAGTTGACACCGATCCGCCACAATCTGCCAATACCAATGGCATGTCTGTGGAAACCAAAAGAATGAAGACTGCGTTAGGGGGATCCCTATGCTTGGAGAAGAAGCCTACGGCTCTGAAGACTCCCCGGATGCCCACAAAGACGAAGGCATCATCATCACTCACTCTGGCCTCTGACTCAAGCAACATTGGAATCAGTTGTTCTGCTGTTGAAAGCCATAAACTCCGATTATCTATGGCACAGGGAACTTTCATCATGAATGAAGGAAAACTCAAGAGATGGAAAGAGGAATGCTTATCTTACGACTCAAGAGCGGACTTCCGGCCAACTGGAGAGTCCTGGCAAGTTTTCCACTCACGCTGTGGGAAATGGTACCACACTGGGAAAGCGTACTTGGCCACAAAGTTTGTCCAGCATGTTGCAGGATGTCGAGCAAAAGATTCTGGAGTTTGAGCGACCACTTTGCATGCCTGGTTCAAACCCAACAGCAGAAACTCACCAGGCGACGTGTTAGCACCACAAGCAACTCAGACTCTGTCAGTGGTGGAGTCCTCTCAAGATTCTAAAAAGCTCAAGCACTCACATATGAGTATGGCATGCATTGGAATAACAATTGACATGATCTCAGGTATTTTGAACTTGATGCAACGTGGCGTGAAAAGTGGAGGAGGCATGAGTGTGAACTATCTTGCGCAGGAGAAGTTCAAGCATCCAATCTCCACTCTCACAGCCAAGGAGAAGGCCGAAGTTTACCACCTTCAAGTTCACTCCCACACATGGGAGGTTCGTACCAGTGCACGAGCCGTATTCGCTAAATTGTGCCAGAAAACAGTCAAAAACTCCACAGCATTTCAAGGGCCTGCTATCTGTGCATCTTGCATGGAGATCAGCAGGTCCAAGCAGTTCAAGTTTGCGTGCTCTCAGCCAGTTCCTACAGTGAACAACATGAAATATCTTAATACCTGTTACCATGACAAGGAGGCCGCGCTTATGTATGCCAGAGCACTAGGGCTTTAGGACATCTTTGATGAGGTACAAGAGAGCTTCACAGGTTTTAGTGAGCTTACTAATATGTTTTATCAGGTCCATCAGAACTCTGTGTATATATGCTATGTCAAAGGGGTCCTCAAAGGTGAATATGCTGATTGTCGTGTCTTCAATGGTTTGCTTGCGGCCATTGTCGATGGTCAGGAACGTACTCAGGCTGGGAAGGGACTGCAAAACATGAAATACACACCTAGCCTGGAAGACTTTGCACATATAGCTCTTATCGAGAGCCCGGGAGTTTACAGATTCATGGGACAGCATTTCAATTTGCATAGTCCTCGAAGCTTCAAGTAAGTTTCTCTTTTTTTCATATTTAAGGATGGCTCTGATGGGGTTATTATTATAGGATGAAGTAGGCGGCTATGCCTTGCTTCCCCTCCGTGATTGGACTCTCATCATACAACCGTGTTGCTGAAATCATCAAATCTTTGGATTATCATGGTCATCTTGGGCTGAGCTGTGATGATACAAAGCTGCATGCTATGCTATGTACATACTGGGATGCTGAATTGCAACAACATGTCTTGGTCGGCCATACAGGTGACCCCATACCTATTCCGACTCCACAGGACCTTGAGAAGATTCTATGATCGGGGGAGCTCGAGAAAGCTACAAAGGTAAGCCTTTAATCAACTTCATTTTGGAGCATTTCTTAGTCGTCTTCCAGGTTTGCATGTGGACTGTTCAAGTGCCACTACCCGGGGCACCATCAATCATTGCTGCAGCCAAAGCTATCCCAAACTCCTTGAGTGCCGAAGCTCTCTTCAAAATGAGTGACAAAATCCTCACAGGTTTATCGCAGCATGGGCTTTACATTGCCTCGTATGCTTGTGATGGCACAGAGACGGAGCGCAAACTCCAGCATCTCATAGTTGCGCGTTCTCCATTTCGTGTCACATACATGATCCCTCATCCTTGTCCCTTATCCGCTTTCGATCCTTTGGAAGTCACACTTCCCACCTACAACAACCGGCCTCTCGTCATGATCCAAGACCCAAAGCACGCACTGAAGACCATGCGGAACAACAACTGCGCTGGTGCGAGGTTGTTGGTCCTTGGAAACTCTGTCGCTTCGTATTCTGACGCTTGCATTCTTTTATTTGGGCCTGGAATACCGCCACTATACCATCGTGATGTCGAGAACATGGACCATCAGGATGACAATACAGCCACACAATTTTTCTCTGCATCCGCTCTGGAGTACTTGGTTCAAGAGTTCCCAGATCGAGCTGGGCAGATTGTGTATCTCTTCATCTTTGGTGAGCTTGTTGATACATACCAAAACCAGAAAATTGACCATATTAGTCGCATCAAGATGGTTCTGCGAGCTCGCTACTTTGTAGATCTCTGGGCATGCTTCCTTGACAAGGCTAAATACCCTAAAGCAAAGTATTTCATCTCCAGAGAGGCCACTGACATCATTTGAATTGTCGTTGAGGGCCTCGTAAGCCTCATCATCATCTACTGTGATTATCTAAATGATGACATCTATCCTCTCTTATTCTGGCTTCATTCTAGCGAGCTGTGCAAACACGTCTTTGCCAAAGCTCGCAAGCTCGTCAAAGATTTCACATTCCTCGACTTACTCTATATGATGCCTCGACTGCATGTTAGTATCCATGCCGCAGTACTTTTAGGCCGCTCCAGTGATCCTAAAGCTCACACAGCTGGCTATGCCCATACATATTTTGATTCTCATGGAGCTGATCTCGGACTGTTGTCAGCATTCCTGACTGACACAGAGATTCAGGCAGCAGCTCAAGATGCTTGGGCCAAAGCTGAAAATCTTTTCAGCATTCTAGGGATTTCACCCTCGGACCTACTCTCACAGCTTCCTACTCATCTCATTCTACCCAGTGTCAAATCTTGGTTTCACCCAGAGACTTCAAAGCATGATGAAGAATCCGAAGAGGAGCCAGGCGGATGGTGTACTGATCACGACCACGATGATGATGACGAAGCCAAAGATCTGAAGCACCTTCTTAGGGTCAATAAAACAGCTGTTGGTCACACACACGAGGTTGATGAATGCATGTTCAACCTATCATTGGCAGCCATCACAGCGGATGTCAACAACCTCTACAAAGCGTGAGTACCTATTCCTTGTAATTTTACTGTACTGATAAACAGTTTTTAGGCAGAAACTCACTGTCGAGCCCTCACTCAAGGAACAGGAGAGAGACATACAGGAAGATATAGCTGCAATCTCCCATGTCATGGCTGCTGCTTGGCTTCCTGCCCTGTCTAATCTGCCACCGGAGCCTCAACATATCTTCGACATGCATTTGACATCAGCCATCAAGCTCAACTTGGCAGCTCTTGTGAAAGTCTGGAAAGCACACGAGACACAGCGCGCTGCTAATGGCGTTCGTAAATCACTGCAGGATGTTCAGTCAGCTCCGTTGAAAAAGACCACTAATTATTATGAAACGTCTGGCTTACGTTTACTTACTTTCTCACCATCTTGATAAGGACTCATATGACCTTTCTCCCGACTACACCTCACGTTCCTGTTCTATTGATACTTGGTCCGTGCTCCTGCTTGTACATATTTATAGATACTGCGGCGCAGTATGGAGGCCTTAGGCTATCCACTTCTGTCCAATCTAAGAACTGCTGTTCACACAGTCTTCTCCGATTCTAAGACACTAGTCTGATCAAGTCCCGATTATCCTCTCAAATCTTCTTGTATTGTTTGTGGCCTAGGATCCTCTTGTCTTGAACAGCCGTTCATGACATCTGGATAGCCTCTCTTCACAAATCCTACCCCACACCCCATCTCTATTCTTCTTTTGCAGCAGAACACCGGCTAGTTACATATAGCGCTAGGCAGTCCCAAAAGACAAGCGTCTGTCGACCGTAATAGTTACTATACACTTAGAGCGAACGGTTGGACGATTCCACTTCAGTGTGGGTCGTTTTAGGTTGTAGAATACTTCTATCTGGTAATCAACCCAGTGAAGGTACGACTGAAACAATTGCACTCGACGTTACGTACGGTACTATACCAGAAGCAGAAATTACTGTACCAGGCTAGGAAGAGCTGCTGTTGCCTTGACCCTCAAACCTTGATCAGGTCGAGACTAGCGTGGGCTCTTTGATCTAACAAAACGACTTCCCAAAGCTTAGGAAGACACGTAGGGCGAGTTCCACACAGAACCGACTACTTGCAGCACTTGGACACATTTGTCCACTTCGGACAAACCATCAGAAGAACCTCCAAAGGAAATTGGGTTTATGTAGGAGGACAGAATAGCGGAAAAACAGTTAACGCTCTGCTAGTACCCTGGGAAGACAGGAAAGCACCCCTCAGAACAGTAGACTCCCCTACCCGAACGAAACCCGTCCCACCACTGATCGATATCCCCAAAGGAGACATTGAAGAAATACCAATCCCCGTGGGAGTATTAACCCCAGTTGACGAAGAAGACCCGGAACCTATAGCAGGACCGAGTCAACCGAACCCAAGATGCCCAGACCCAAACCCAAACCCACCAACCAACATAAACACATCTGACAACAAAGATAAAATGTTGGACAAAGGAAATAAACCAAAGGATTTTGACGGAACAAGGTCGAAGTACAGAGAATGGATCTATGAATGTCACATGTACATTCTAGCCAACCCGACCAAATATGATACGGACATGAACAAAACACTGATGGTCCTGTCATACATGAGGGAGGGAACGGCATCACTCTTTGCCCAGAGATACTACTTCGACAGAGAACTCCAGGAGTACAAAGCAACTGAAACCAAGCTAACATGGGGAACATTCAAGGCGTTCTTAGGAGAATTAGTGGAATCATTCAAAGACGAAAGCCTCGAACAAAAGGCGAGGCAGAAACTGTTCACCATGAGAATGGGAAAACGATTAGCCAATGAATTTGTCACAAACTACCTCATGACAGTTGGAGAAAGTGGATTTGATTTAGAATCCACTGTCGACTACTTCTGCTGAGCCATTCACCCGGAGATCCTTAAACAGATTTACCGACTCTCAGAAATGCCGACCACCATAGACAATTGGGTAAAGTACACCCGCAGATTCAATAACCAATGGAGAGAACTACAGAGCATAAAAAGCTCCGTACCCTCGACTCTGGTTCGACAGAACAATCCCTTCCGTTACAACTTGTCGAATGCACCCTCCTCGATGAATAATTCTGTTGTTCCGATGGCTGTCGACTCAGTCCGTACAGCCCTAACCGATGAAGAGCGAAACAAGCTGCAGATGGAGGGTGGGTGTTTTTATTGTCATCAGAAAGGACATATGGCGAATCAATGCCCTGCTAGGGGTTTGTCTAGGATACATGAAGGGACAGTTGGACATGTTCAACAGAGTAGTGGAAAGATGGGGTACCACCCAGCTCAGGCCAGTACCAGGATGGCAGCAGGAGGAGGAAGCTATGGCCGAGCATTCTCAGCAAGAGCTCAGGGCAGTAATGAGAGAAGCACTATGGTCCAAGGTGGAAGCGTGGCGATGACTAACCCATTCCGAGCCTGGCTCGCAATGCGGCAGGCCTACACATCCAGACCGGATGAAGCTGTATGTCAGGAGAAGCCTAAGATTAGCCAAGAAGAGATCGAGAGGTTCATAGGAAAACTGAGATGGGATGAACAAGAAGCACTCCTTCAGGAATTGAGCAAAGGAAGCAAGCGAAAGGAACCGGATTTTTAAATAGGCCTACAGCTCTGGTGTACTGTAGACCTGCTCCAGATCCCCCTGTAAAAACATGTGTACGACTTACCAAATCCAATCAGAAGTCATCTATAAGGATAAACGTGCACTTGAAACACAAAGGGGGAACCACCAAAGCCAGAGTATTGATTGATTCAGGAGCAGAAGGGCTTCTCATTGACAAGCAATTCTGTTTGGACAAAAACATACCGATGCAAAAAATTGACAAACCTATCCCTGTGTTCAACGTGGATGGAACAGCCAATGAGGGAGGAAAGATCACCAACAAAGCCTGCCTGCTTATGAGAATGGCAAATGAAGAAGGAGATTATCACAACGAACGATGCAAATTGTTAGCCGCTAACCTAGGAGGAGAAAACATAATCCTAGGAACAGATTGGCTACACAAGCATAACCCACAGATCAATTGGGTAAAGAACAATCTCACATTCTCAACCTGCGTCATCACATGTCTAGTCAGTCGACCTAAATTCACCATACAAGCACTAGCACCTACGCAGCGAAGGAAGAACAGAACCATCGGGTATTCCAAAATAGAAGACGACCCGGAAGATGATGAAACCCATGACACCTTCTTCTCCGAATTCTATGAAGAATGGTATTACCAAGATCCACTCAAGATACATCCCCTCGAAGCGATTCACATTGGTTCCATTGGAAACAAGTCACAACAACTGGCAGAAAAAGCAAACAAAACAAAAACGGAACAACCCATTGAGAAAATAGTTCCGGCATATGTTCTTAAACGATTCGCCAAAATCTTCAGCCAGGAAGCTTCACAACAACTTCCAGAACATTCACAATGGGACCATAAGATCGATATGAAACTAGGATGGGAACCAACGGGATGTAAGCTGTACCCCTTGACAGAAGAAGAAGAAGACCAGCTACACGAAATGCTTCAAGAACACTTGAAGTGGGGAACCATTAGAATATCCAAATCCCCACAAGCGTCACCCTTCTTCTTCGTAAAAAAGAAGGAAGGAAGCTTACAACCGGTTTAAGATTATTGGAGACTGAATGAGTGGACAATAAAAAATAAATACCCACTACCCCTGATTGACGATGTAATAAGAACCATTGCAAAATCAAAAGCAAGGATCTTCTCCAAATTTGATGTCAAGTAGGGATATAACAACATTCACGTAGCAGAAGGCGACGAATGGAAAACAGCCTTCATGACCAAATTTGGCCTGTTCAAATGTCTTGTGATGTTCTTTGGTCTTTGCAACTCACCCGCCACTTTTCAAACTATGATGAACATCATCTTCCATGACCTCATTGTTGCACAAGTCCTTGCGGTTTACATGGATGACATCTTGGTGTTTACAAAGACCATTAAAGAATATAGGTGCGTGACAACCTAGGTCATGCAAATACTTTTGGACAATGATTTGTTCCTGAAGCCTTCTAAATGCACCTTGGTCAAATACCTCAGGTTCATCATTTCCGCGGATAATATATCCATGGACCCGGTCAAGGTCGATGGTATTGCCACTTGGCCAACCCCAAAGTACTTGAAAGAAGTACAGTCTTTCCTCGGCTTTGGAAACTTCTATCGCAGGTTTATCAAAGACTTTGCTACAACGGCCCGACCTCTCAATGACCTCGGGAAGAAGGACATACCATTTGAGTGGACTCAGAAGAGGAACGACGCCTTTGAAAATTTGAAGCATTGTTTCACCTCCACTCCCGTCCTTATTTACCCAGAAGGTAATTGCTCATTCCGACTTGAGACCGATGCATCGGACTTCGCCTCTGGCACTATCCTATCACAAGAGATGCCTAACAATGGATGGCACCCTGTCGTTTACCTGTGTCTAAATCTTTCAATGCGGCCGAGCGGAATTACAATATCTTCGATAAAGAACTACTTGCCGTTATACACGCTGATACGCTAGAGGTGGCTCTAAGTGCCGAGCACAACACCAAAACAACCTCTAATGCAGGGGGTGCTGGAGCTAGTATCTAATACACAAGGAATTGTTAGTGATGACTTTAGAAATCGATGGCGTACTGAGAAACAACGGGGAGTATGAGATTATAGCACCCGAACGGTTTCGGGACTGCGCCGAACACCGACCGAACGTTCGGTCGGTCGAGTCGGGGATTCGGTCGGTAACGAGAAGGTAGTGTCGCGACCGACAACTACGTGCTTCAAGAGCCACACGGGACTCTGACAATATACGAGGGAGGATGGGGGGTACGAGCGAAGAGACGAGTACGAACGCGAATGAGGCCGAACGACGAGGATGACAAGTTTTCGGGAGTCGATGAAGACGATTTCGATGGTTGAAACGAGTGCGAATGAGCTCTGAACTGTGGGGTGCGAAAGCTGGTTTATTCCAGAGTTGTATGTAGGTTTTTATAGTAAACAGAGCCCCTAAGTAAAATATTAAACAAGAAATGAGAGTAGATGTCGAATGGGCGCCTGTTATGATCACGTTCTGTCGGGCCTTAACGGCGGTCTATACCGACACGATCATCACAAATATCAAGCGGCCTCGCTAGGCGAGGCGTACAAACAAGGTACAGGTATTAACCTTGGTCATCCACTCCCAATGGATCATCAATCATTGGTCGAGTATCACGGGCCTATTGTATTAGCGGGCATGGAACGCCGCCTTATAAATTACTCACACGCAGGGCATGAACCTCCTAGTCTCTCCTGGCCGGAAGGAGACCAACGGAGAAGCACAAGAGTAGTCGTTATTGAGAGAGACGACTTAGAGAATACCTACAGATACATATTCGGTATTCTCACGCCCTACTTCCCAAAGTAGTATAAAAGGCCCATAGAATAGGCTGACGATCTTCAGTCTATTCTCTTCGTTCAGTACTGTCTTCCTACAGTACTCCTTCGTTCCCCTGTATCTTCACATACAGGGATCTTTGTTCTGGTACTGTCTTCCTACAGTACCCTTCATCCACTGTAGTCTTCCCACTACAGTCTTCATTGCTATATCGCAATACACTTCTGGCTCCTGTGCTACACGTACAGTCGAGACCACCGTTCCACACATCCTCCACGAGTGACCTAGGGAAGAACCTCCTACTCTTGGGGTTACCGACGAGCAGTCGTAACACTAGAATAGACTCTTCTGCCCCTACCTTGCTCGCACTAGCTTGCTGCCACACCCTCTCTCATAACCTTGCTCAGTGGGGATATAGACCCCCATTGAGAAAGCGTTACTGCACACACTCTGGAGCAAGACCTAGGCCAGGAATACCCACCCGGCACTAGACGCATCAATAACCAACTCCGTCACAACAATCGCCCTATCCGGCGCGAAGGGGACTTCTGGGTCTACGAAGACAATAACGGAACTGCCCCTCCGAATTACGATAACTGCTCATACCGAAACGGGCGTTATTACTTCACACTTGAAGACGGAACAGAAGAAGAGGATATTTGGAACGAAACAGAAGCTCAGTGGGAACTAGCCCCACAATACAGGGAACCGGCGCCGGTAATCCCCGAAGACTCGGAGCAAGAGGAAACAACCTCGGAATCAGACTCCGACTCACCAAACCAAACACCGATCAACACCCGAAACGAACCACTCGCCAACATGTCGGGACAAGCTTCGACTTCTACAAACACCCCTTCCACGACAGTACAACCCGGAAGAGGAAAAGTCAAACTCCCAGACAATTACACAGGCGACCGCATTGAATCCCAGAAATTCATGCTCCAATGCCTCCTTCTTTTCGCAGCAGAATCCGATCGGTACAAGACCAATCAAGACAAAATATCCCTTGTGCTCTCATGCATGAGATACGGCACGGCGGGAGCCTGGGCGGAGAACTTTCTCCTCAGATCAGTAGGAGCAGATCCACCTACCGACCTAGGCACCTGGAAGGACTTTTTAGCAAAGTTCAAATTACAGTTTAGGGAGACGGGCAAGACCGACAAAGCGCGAAGCGCTCTCATGGCTTTCTCCCAAGGACGAATGACGGTTGATGAATACTCCAACCAATTCATTCTCATTGCCGCCGATGCCGACATCTCCGAAAAAGAGCAAGTCCCTTACTTCCAACGCGGACTAGACCCGCGCGTCATGGACAAAATATATGACAAGGAAGTTCAGCCCAAGGATACCATTCAGGACTGGATCAATACAGCCTGCGAAATAGATGGACGGCTGCGGGCCAGAACAGCTCAAAAAGCCATCCTCGCCAACTCCACCTCCTTTCGAAGCGATTATCTGAGTCGTTTCCATAACCAAATCTCTCCCCGCTACAACTCCACAAACGCCCCTCGCAGAATGAACAACCAAGTCGTTGACATGGACATTGACGCGACACGCAAGCGCAATGCCCTTAGCCAAAAACGGAAACATGACGGCAAGCCTCCTGGCGCCTGTTACCATTGTGGAAAAACAGGACACTGGAATGCTGACTGCCCGTCACTACGCAGAGGCGTTCGACCGATTCGAGGAAACTCGAAGAAATGCATGGGTACAACAGGGAGAAGAAGCCGCGCGGTTGATTTGGAAGGAGAAGACGACGCACCCGCTATGGGAGACCAAGCGGGAATATATCGAGGAATGGAGACAGAGGATGTTCATCGCAACAACCAGCGGGTACCACAACCTGGTCCTTCGATGGAACGTCCTCACTCTACCCCATCCGGACGACCCCAGACGAACCATGGGCAGCGCGCTATGCTACCTAACGGACGACGGGGAGACGGAGGCGTCAGTCATTCTGCTCGAATCGGAGCAGTACTCGGAGAATTAGGAAAAGATGAAGCCAGAGAAGTAATCCTGGGACACGCGGAGCGTTTTTCCTGACCTCTCCCTCACCAGCGAAGGAGAGAGGTCAAGGACGACCCGAGTTTGATGCCCGCACTTGTATTCGTATCGGAGCAATGAACGACCGTATCATCACTCCCATACGCCTGAACGTGAAAGTATCAAACAGGAGTCAAAACGCTGGAGCAAAGGCAACCATCGACTCGGCCTGCGAAGGGGTTATAGTAAACGAAACTTGGGTCAAGAAACATCGTTTCCCCACCTATGCACTCAACAACCCCATTCGCGTCCGGAACGTCGATGACACCATTAACAAAGCAGGTCTCATCCGATCCGCCTTGGATGTGAACCTCACCATTCGGGACATCAGTGGACGAACGCATACTGAGCGCGTCCAGATGTTTATCTCTAATCTAGGGAAAGACGACCTTATCCTGGGAACAGATTGGTTGAAATACCACGATCCCTCCATCGAATGGAGGCGACGTGAAGTGCACTTTGATCGGTGCCCCCAGAAATGCCAGCAACCATATGGGTTCACTAGGGCAAGGGAAGAACCGCCATACAGCAGGCGGTTATCAGACGTGGAGCCACGGCACAAACCACGCATCAATGAGCGCGAAAAACAGCGCCTAGAACATCTCCGAAGACTATCGGAAGATGTAGGACTCCGCGACCATAGCGGAACGTTTGGTGTCCGACTACGAGCATACCTCAAAAGGAAATGGCTCCTAAAGGACATAAGGAAATACGCAGAAGAGAAACGAAAGGCTCAAGACAAGCCATCTCTTTCACCAAATGAGGGAGAACCTGACCTCCCAGACAAACCCTCAGGAAAACAGGCTATAGAGGAACCAGTTATTCGGAAACTGGCTCCCGAACCGTCAGGATTTGCCAGCTTCGACCAGGACTTAGAGGACGAAATCGTTGTCACCAATCTAAAGGAAAGAGTCCCCAAGGCGCATCACGAATATTTGGACATCTTTAGCGAACGAAAGTCGCAGCGGCTCCCAGAGCACACTTACTGGGATCACGCCATAGATTTGAAACCGACTTTCAAACCTCAAGTGCCAAAAATCTACGCCTTGAGCCCCGAGAAACACGATGAACTAGGGAAATTCATCAAGGAACACCTCACTCGGGGGACCATCCGTCGATCCACCTCACAAACAGCAGCCCCATTTTTCTTCATAGGAAAGAAGGATGGAAAACTGCGCCCGGTACAGGACTACCGACATTTGAACTCGTACACCATCCCAAATGTGTGCCCCCTTCCGCTAATCCAAGAACTATTGGACGTAATCAAAGGGGCCACCATTTTCAGCAAATTGGACGTACGATGGGGATACAACAATATACGAATCAAAAAGGGCGATGAGTGGAAGGCCGCTTTCATCACTCCGCTGGGCTCTTATGAACCCACAGTGATGTTCTTCGGCCTCACCAACTCACCAGCCACCTTCCAGGCCATGATGAACATGATTTTCAGAGAACTCATCACAGCCCGGAAAATAACCGTATACATGGACGACATCCTCATTTTCTCCAAAAACATGGCGGAACACATTCAAGTCCTGAACCAGGTTTTCCAGATCTTACGCGACAACGACCTTTACTTGAAACTAGAAAAATGCGAGTTTTATAAAGAAAAACTCCAATATCTGGGATACACCATTTCAAAAGACCATGTCGCTATGGAAGACTCGAAGGTGGACGCCATACAAGATTGGCCAGTCCCACGCACCGTCCGAGACATTCGCTCCTTTTTAGGTCTAGGAAACTTCTACAGGCGTTTCATCGATAAGTTCTCCCTTATCGCACGACCTCTGCATGACCTCACCAAAAAGGATGCAAAATGGAACTGGACTTCGAAGTGCCAGGAAGCCTTCGAACGATTAAAAAGGGCATTTATCAGCAAACCCGTTCTGAATTACCCGGACCCCATGCATCCATATCGACTAGTAACGGACGCCTCACTAATCGCTTATGGAGCCACCCTCCTGCAAGAAGGAAAAGACGGCAACTGGCATCCAGTCGCATTCCTTTCCGGGTCATTTTCACCAGCAGAACGGAACTACGACGTCCACGATCGCGAACTCCTGGCCATCATAAAAGCGTTGGAACACTGGAACCACTACCTCGAAGGTGCACGACACCCATTCGAGATCTGGACAGATCACAAGAATCTGGAACACTTCCAAACGGCGCGAGATCT